AGTATTATTTAAAATAAAATGACTAAATATTATACAAGTCAACTATAGCTTTTGTACTAGATTGCTACTAGTTACAAGATAGAAGTTAATATAAACCTTGATACCAAGCTCTATAAGTTTATTCTTTATCTATATATTTTTAAATTTGATAAACTACATAAAGCTTTTGAAATCAGTAATAGAGTTGAAAAGGAGAGTAGCACTTAGCATAATGTAGAAGGGACTATCAAGCCATAGGACTATAATAGCTAACTATATCTCTTTATACTTGATTTGATAGGTTTTATTCATTATAACCCTACTAAATCTTTCAGCTAGATTAAACTCCTAGTCTTGATCAAGAATATCCTGTACTTGATTTACCTCTTGTTTAGTAAAATTCTTATGTTTTATCTAAAAGTATTTGAGCCTTGTAGGTCTATAGTACTAAGTTAATATTTAGTAACTTGTAACTATAATACATTGCTCATGGCCCTTTTTTCTATCAAATAGCTTAAAATTCTAAGTAAGTTTTTTAGTAATTACTATAATATCAATACTATACCTGTATAACTTGTAAATATCATTGTAATAAATATAAATTTAAATTTTTAAAGTGATTTTTTTAATCTCTTCTGTCTACAAAGTAATGAAATTCAGTAGTAGAATTAGTAGTATAAGCTTGTATAAATGCTTTAATAGTTTGTTTACTTTATTAAAGGTTAATGAGATACTTTGTAGAAGGCTATTCTAGAGGTCTCTAGACATGCTAGCTAAAAGATAGACTACTACAATCCATGTTTTGCTAAGACTAATATTGTCTACAATGATACAACTATATAGTCTAGATTGCTTGAAATCAAAAATTGCCTTGACTACTACTAGTTACCAAAATTACATAATGTATTTGATGTACATGCTTTTAATATATAAGTATTTAGGATTTTTAATTCTAAGCAGCTTACAGGCAGCATCATGATCTTCTTGCTAATAGGTTGTATTATTTAGTCAACTTTTTATTTAATTAAACTTGTCAATCATTTCTTTAGAAGAAACTTTAAAACAAATCATAGGCTGTTCTAGATTAATATTTCTTAATTCCTGATCTCAAGAGATAGTAGCAATAGTATTTATGCTATTATACTAGTAGCTTCTGCTTAGAACCTAATTTTTACTAATGTTTTTACCTACAATATAGTAAATTACCTTCTACTGCTAGTATGTGTCTTTTAAATTAAATGTATTACTTAATCAAGACAGTTCTAGTACCTTGAATAGATTAAAAGATCTAATATAGTCCTCTTTAAACATTTTTACTACAGGCTCTTGCTCTAGCTTAGTAGCTTTATCTCTATACTTTTGCTTAAGATCAAAATAATACTTAGCAATAGTAACATTTGAGAAGATAGTAGTGCTTGACAAGGTCTTGGCAATGCTAGAAACCAGGTTGTTAACTTGGGATTTAAGTACTATATTAATGCTACTAGGCTTAGCAAAGGTAGTAGAGGTAGTAATAGCAGTATTAATGGTGTTGATAAAGTTAATTATGCTATTTAACTGTAAATTACTTAGAAACAAATCCAAGTCTTCAAGAATGAGATTATAATTTACCTCTTGATCTACTTTTATTGTATTCATAGGTACTTGCTAACAAGTATCTCCTAATAACTCCTTGTTAATTGTAGCAAATTGAAAAATATTATACAAGTTAAATGGATTAGATATAGGTATATCTTATACAAACTTGAGTATGTTAAGCAATTTAAATTTAGTATTAGTTGTTTTTAAAGTAGTTTTATCAATCTTAAACCTTTTGGTCTTTGAGGTATTCTTTTTGACATGGCTTAAAGCAAACTTAAATGCTTGCTTAGATAGTATATACTAAATAGTAATATCTTTGTCATTGTTACTTATGTCCTTGTTATAGAATAGTCCTTGAAGATTTTTAGTATTGTTAATCCTAATATAGATTAAAAACTAAATATAGTAATTAATAGTAGTTCAATTTATTTTGTTAGCTTACTTTCTACTAAATATATGCTTGCTAGTCTTTTCTCTACCAATAATTCTAGTTTGTATAATGCTTAAGTCTAGTCCATAACTACAAAGTTTACTAGAAGTAGTTACTTTTTTCTGTGCAGGTATAATGCAGGATTTATACAGCTTGTTTTAATATAGTTTTAAAACATTAGAATTAAGCTACTACTTTACTTTTACAATATCTAAAAGCTCAAGAAACTTAGTAATCTATTTCTAGCTCTTTAAAATGCTAGCCATTTTAATAAAAATGCAGATAGATAAGGAGGGTAGAGTATCTTGTAGAAGGCTACCTGTTAGTTATTCTATAAAATAGAGAGGAATAAACTTACCTAGAACAAGTAGAAATTGTAATAAATAATGCTTTGTAAAAGACTTCTTAACAACTATTTAATTGCTAAAAAAAAAGTAATGCTTTGTGAAAGGCTTTTTAATAGCTGTTTAATTACTAAGAGAAAAGTAATACTCTATAAAAAACTTTTTGACAGCCGTTTAATTACTGAAAGAAAAGTAATGCTCTGTAAAAGGCTTTCTAAATTGGTGTAAGAGTTACAAGGGACTTGCCTTGTAAAAGACTTCTTCTATAAGAGACTTTAAGCTAGTAGTCTAATTGATGATTTAAAATATATATAGTAAATATTTAGGCAGAAGGTAGAGAGTCTTGCAAGAGGCTTTAGATTAGCACTCTAGAAGATAAAAAAGTTAAAAGATTAAAGGTCTAAGTTCAACATATAGAAGCAAGTAAGATGTAGAAGAAAAGAAGAAGAAGAGGAAAAAAAGAGAAAAAGAAAGATATTTATATCTTTATTATTAAGCAAGAAAGAAAGCTATTTATAAGATAGTCTAGAGAATTAAAGATAAACTAAAGATAAACAAAATAGAAAAAATAGATAGAATAGACAAAATAAACAAAGTAAACAAGATAAACAAAATAAATAAAATAAATAGAATAAACAAAATAAATAGAATATTAAATAAAATAAATAAAATGAATAGAATAAACAGAATAAACAGAATTTGTGTTAGCTAAATAGAATGAACAAAATTTGTATTAGCTAAACAAAAACATATTATAAACTAGATTGAAGACAACCATTATAGAGTATTATAATATCTTTAAGAAGTATTAGTAAATAAAATATTAATATTATAAGTTAGGTGCTTTAGACTATATTTTGAAGACAAACTATATTAGGACAATAAATAGCTTTAGACCTGTCCTAAACATCTAGGTATTTTTATTATATTACTTACAAGGTTAAAATCTATTTACAAACTATTTAGTTAGGTTTTTGTTTAACTCTTTATTTAACCTCTATTCTATAACTATTATAACTAGTCTCTATATAACCTTCTATACTATTTGATCAAAACTCTCTGGTAGAAAAAAACATTTTTTTTACTACTATTACTTTTAAATAGTTTGAACAATTTAGATAGTTTAAATAGTATAAACCTTTGTTGAAAAATGAATAAACAAATTCTACCTTAGTCAAAACAATCATAAAAGAAAAGTCAAAGCCAAAGTTAAAGACATGTAGTAATAACAGCAACAACAGTAGCAATAGTAGTAAATATACAAGGCAGTACAAAAAAGGACACTAGTCCCAGGTAAGATCTATCTCTAGATTTAATACTACTTCTAATCAATCCATAGATTTTGGACTTTGTTTTATCTTTAAATGGGATAGATATGTCCAGAGATCTACTTACTCTAAGTAAAAAGCATCTATGTATTTAGAAGAAAAGAAGATGGTAGAATGTTTTTGACAAAGATGAAGAGAATGTTGGAGCATATAAAAATACAAACTCCATTTATGTAAATACAAGTTTAGGGAAAGATAGTAGTAGCAATACACCATGAAAAATAGGTTGACCATGACTGTTAAGAATATATAAGATGTAAATTAAATTTAAATTAAGTTTACTTGTACTACTGTCCTGACTCTCAATGACAGAGAACATGAGTGCCCTAGTATATTCTATACTTAATAAGACAAAATTGCTTAATTACTACTACACAGGTACATTTCTAAGGTCACTCAAGACCAGCTATCTAACTATCAATCTAGAAAGGAATTGAATTTCAAACACATAACTTTTAGAAATACAGGTTAATTTTCTAGAATTACTACTAGACTTACAATCAAATTTCTTACTTTAAAAGATACTCTATGAAGATAGTTTGTTAAAAATAGATCTTAACTCTCAATTTTATAATAACAATGAATCTGGCCACTCACTGGCATGAGAAAATTCATGGTTGCTGTTATAAGCTTGGATTATGCTTATGATACATATTTATATAAATTGTTAATCTCAAAACTAGCAAGAAGTATAGGACTCTAAGCCTAGTTTATATAAACTAGGATAATATAAAGAGCTACATGCTAAAAAACATTGTTGTTATTGTTGTTTACTATTGTTATTACAGGAAGCACTAGAAAAAATTCTACAGAGAGCATTACAAACTATAGTAAGGGAGAAGCTAGAGAAAAATATATACAAAGATTTTAATTATGTTTTTGACAGTATTTCCTCTAGCAGCTGTCATGCAAGATTGTAGATAACCCTGTTTAATTTACTCTCTCTAGTGTCAAGAGATTTGAGGCTGTATACAATATCACTACCTAACAAGTATAATAAAACTTCTAGAATTAAAAATTTATAACACTTGACAAAATTGAAAAATAGAGTACTAAATTTGTTTATGTTTGTAGTAATAATAATATTACTATAACCAAAAGCTTTCAAGAACTAAAGCTATATATCAATGCTAAATTTTAGTAAAAGTAAGTTAAAGAAGTATTTTACTTTACTAATGAAGCTATTGATTTTAAAAGCATTTAAGGATTAGTACAAGCTTTTCTTCACTATAAAAAATCTACCTAACAACTTGAGGTCCTGAGAAGTTTAAGCTAATTAATTAATTAATCAATCAAGACTCATTTGTAATATTAGTTGTTTATGCATACTTAACCTATCTACATGAGTAGACTACTAGCAATCCAGCCCTTGCATTGTACAATCAAGCTCATTTGTGCAACATGTTTAATGTCCTCCATGAATAGCAGGAATTTTTCAAAAAGGTTTAGCTAATAGATTTTTCATTCTTGAATAGCTTGTTTAAAAAGTACAACAGCCATGGCCCCAGGATCAATATCAATAATGATCTAGACACTAAGCTCAATAACTCTTACTTTCAAGTAAGTAAAGATGAAAACAAAGACTACCAAAAAGATAATGAGTAAGATACAAATAGCTCTATAATTAAATACAACATTAGTAGTGTACAAAGGAGAGAGTAAACATTATCTGGCTTGCTATATAAGGTAGTTTTTTATATATTACTTTATACTTTGTAATTCATTACAAGTTACTATTGAGATAGAAGCAGACTTACAATAGGCAAAAGTCTTGTTGCTTGACTCCAAGTACATGTACTTTGAAATCATATACACTATCTAATTAAAGGCAGGACTTGTGCTCTATACCTAGCTTTTTATTTATATAACTATCTAACTATACTATTAATATTTATTATTTAACTATACTACTTACTCTGTATCTAGCTTTTCTTCTTATGTTATTGTTTAACTATACTATTAATATTTACTATTCAATTGAAGGCAGGACTTGCATTCTGCACCCAGCTTTCCTTTTTATATTATCATTTAACTATACTATTAATATTTACTATTTAACTATACTACTTGCTCTGTATCTAGCTTCCTATCCATGTAACTGTCTAACTATACTATTAATATTTATTATTTAACTACACTACTTGCTTTATGCCTAGCTTTCTATCTACATAACTGTTTAACTATACTATTAATATTTATTATTTAACTGTACTACTTGTTCTGTACCTAGCTTTCTATCTATATGACTGTCTAACTATACTGTTAAAATACACTATTTAACTACAAATAGAATCTATACTTTGTACCAGACTTTCTATCTATATTTTATATAAAATTAATAGCTAAATTTTATTTTATTATTAAATTTAATCATAATTTTGATAATTAATTTAAAATTGATTTTTAGCCTTTATAAACATAAAATTTCAATTTTAGATTGAATTATATTTTAGTATTAAATTATAATAGATTTAAAAAATACTTTTAAATATCTATATAATTTTAAAATATTTTAAAAGTATTTTACATTATTTAATATAATTTAATATTATTACTAAGTTATTAAAAATTTAAATTAAATATAATTAGTTTAATTAAAATAAATAAATATAATACTATAAATAAAAATTATATTTAATTATTATCAATATATTTAAAATAACTATTAGATTGATATAAATTAATTTTAATATATAAATATTTTAAATAATTTTATTTTAATTTTAATATATAAATATATTTTATATAATTATAAAATATACTTGAAAAATTTTAAAATAATTAAAGTATTAATTTTTAAATATTTATATTTAAGTTAAATAATTATGTATATATATATATATATAAAATAAATATATATTATCTTTATTTATTAATAATAAATCTATATAATTTTTAATATTTTTAAATAATTTAAAAATTTATACTAGCTGCATGTAAGTAGTATTCAAGATAGTACTTATTGGCTTTCAAAATTACTCTTATGTCTACCAAGATAATTATGGCTTTATTAAAGTATTAAAGATACTTCTTAAATATATTACTAAATACTATGATATTATCTACATAGTAAGCAACATATTTTTAATTTAAATCTTTAAATTTCTTGTTCATGAAACATTACTAGTAAGTAATAGAAACCTTGTTTTTTATAACTATGACCTTAAATTCCTCCTAACTTCTATAAATAATTACTATAGTTTTGTATTAATCTATGAAATAGATTATTTTTTGATAGTATGTAGATGTTATATTAAATGTACTTATAAATAATTTGTTATATAAAGTATTAAGGATATATTTTTGGTATAGTATAAAATATCTATCAAGTGTTTGTATTTTATTAATAATGTATATATTTAACACTAGTCTAGACTTTAGTCCATTAATAACAAATACCTGCATAGTATAGAGAGATAAATTAAATATTTATAATCTACTACTTATAATCAATAGGTTAAAAATTGCATTAATGACTTTCTGGACTAAAATACTAACATTGAAAGGAGCTCTTGGTTTAAGCACTACCTTTAATTTTAGGTCTACTTTTATGTATATTTAATCTTCCTCAGGTTCTTGAACTATTCCAAAGTTATCATTGAATAAAATTTTAAATCTTGTACAAAGACTTTAGAAAAGTTTCTGCTATTACTCTAGAAAATTAGAATTAATATCTATAAATTAATATGTAGAGATGTTAACTATTAGTATGGAAATTTTATCTAGAATAGGATAGATATAATTTAGGGCATACTCTTGAGAAATCTAGGAAAATGTAATATTGTACTAGTTATACTTGTTGCAGGCTATAGGATTATAGTAACTTTCTCTAGTTATTGTAATATAATATTCAAGCATATTATTTAACTTTTTATAATAATCAGGTAATAAATCCTGGGCCAATAAATCTCTATCAATTTATATAATGTTTGGTAGCAAACTAGAAGCAAGGCTTGAGGGATATTCTTGAGCACTACTCCTCCTAATTACTACTATAGTATTAAATCCTACTGTAGCTACAGTTGTAAAGTCATTATCTAGCTCAAGAGCTTTATCTAGTATAGAAAAACTAAAATTTTTTATATAATTTAACTTGGACAAGTGTTGGTTTAACTTGAGGTACTGAATAATATTGAATAAATTAAATATAATACTCAAGGTTAGAGTTTATAATGTTATAGTTAGGGTATTATATTTAACAGTTATTATATTATTGGCAATCAATATATTGATTCCTAGCTTTAGCATTATATAAAAAGAATATATAATTTCTGTAAGTGTTTTTTAATCCTTAGATCTAATATAAAACTTGATAAGAGCTTGCTAGATAACTTTAGTAAGTTCTGTACTAATACTTTAAATAAACTAGATAAATAGTAAAAATTAAATGTATATATTTAACTTAGAAATATAAGACAAGAACTCTGTGTTAATACTAAAATTACTATAATCTATGTCTACTACTATATTGTAAGGTATTGAAAAATTGTCATTGAATATAACTTGAATTTCTATAAATATATACTTAATAAGATTATAACCTAGTTTTTGCTTTACTATAAGTATAGAAAACTTAATAACTTTTATATTTAGCTAGGGTTTATTATTAAAATGCTTTATATTATCTAGGTATTGAAACAATTCATTGTATGTACTAAAAACCTTCTTGCATCTTTGATAATAGTAGAAATTATCTAGAGAGCTAGCAAAGCATATATGTTACTTCTTGAGAATCTTGGAATCATTACTAGATTTTTTTGGTTTAGCAAGAGTTTGAAAACTATCTAACTCTAAATCATATATTAATTTATTGTTCAAATCTATTATGTCTCTTGTAAATCTTTAATGACCTTTAATCTTGATATATAATTTATAGTTCTTGTCCTAGTACTTACTCTTGCATTTCTTGCCATTAATAAAAATTTTACAAGATTTAACAAATATACTAGCTTTGTATACCTTCTTTCAAGACAAACCTGCTTTTATAATATTATAATAAGACTAATACTATTAGCCTAAGAGTTTTTTAAATTGAGGTACTCTAGCTTTATTAGTCTTTTTCTTGACTAGTACTTCTATATAGTAGTTTTTTTTCTACTAGGGCCATAATGTTATAGCATTTCTTGACTCTTTGTAATAAAAAGAACAATTAACTATTAAGTCATCTTAGATATTATATAGACATGCTTAGTACTCTTTCAAAGTATTATCTTTATGATGTACTACTATTAACATTATAAGTTTAATGGCTAGTTTTTTACAAAATCATCATGTGCCAAGTTTATTATCTCATTCTTGTTAGTATAATTAGCAATTCTAAGTATATATAATTTGTATATAATATAGTTTATTAGGCTCTGTCTTGACAATCATAAGAAATGTTTTTAGTTAACATATTTCCCAAGCAAGTCAGCCACCCAAGCGAGTCGGCCAGGTGGAATCTCCATACAAAACTGTGATTTAATAAGACTTTATATTTCAACAACAATTAAAGTTTTTGAATAGATATTTCTATCATGGGGTCTAGAAGGCTATACTAGCTGACTCTCTTGTTTATAGAAAGTTCACTCAATTGTTCCTGTCAGAAAAAAAATTATATACTATTTTTAGTATAAAATATATATACTCTGAGAAATAAAATGCAAAAACACTTAAAAATATCTGAAATAGTTTTTATGTATAGATCTACCTTAAGAGAATCAAGACTCTCAATTTCAACTCAAAATAGCACATTAATGTTGAGATATAAATGTTGTAAAATTACATTTTTTGTATAGAATATCTGCCTGGCTGACTTGCTTGGGTGGCCGACTTGCTTGGGAAATACATTAGCTTTAATTTTTACTATTTTCTTGACTAGTATAAATTTAAAATGCAACTATTGATACCAAGCATGTATAGATTTGTTCATGAGTTTTTTATTGTCTTTTAGTAACCTATAAAACTAGTTTTGAGTATAATTACTTGTGATACATCTCTAAACTGTTTTCAAGACACAGTCTTCTCTAAAGTTTGTAACTATATCTTTTAGATTATTAATGAATACTTGTATAGTTCAAGCATTGAGAAAAGTACTTGGTTTAAACTTGTTAATGCTTTTAACTTTAAGCTCTTGTATATCTACCCTTAGAATATTCTTGCTCAATGTCCTTTAATTTATAATATTATTATAACACTACATTTCTTCAAGTTGTAATCTCATTAACTTGTTTACTTCCTACTATTGTTAGATTTGAGTCTGGTAATGCTATTGTTATAATAACATCATAGCCATTATTTAATTAAAATCAAGAATTAGCAGGTTAGGAAGGTCTAGTAATAATACACTACTAGGCAGATCTAGATACCAGGGATGGTCTACTATATTGTTAATTTCCTAGCTGCTATTACAAGTCTAGTTTCTAACTTGTATTTTAATACTTGTAGTTATAAAATATTACTCTATGCTTTTAATATTTGTACTAATTTTTTTAAGCAATAAAACTTACTTAGAAACTCAATAACTATCAAGGCCTTGCCTTCTTAAATTTATAATACTTGAATTGACTTAGCTCTTTTTTGATATTATTTTTTATAACAATAAGATAGAGCTCAGGTTTAAAAAAATTAGCTCCTTGTAAACAAGTATAGAGAGGGATATATAGTATCAAAGATTAAGTATCTATAGAATATTTTTTAACTTGTGCCTAAGTATAGCTTTTAGTAAACAGTTAAAACAACTCAATGTTATTTCTCTCTACTCTAATAGAATCATAGGCAGGGCTGTCCATTGAATTAACAAGCTATAAATTTTACTTGAATAAAAAGAAACATTTTACAAACTAGATCTCACCCAGCCAGAGCAAGATAGTTACTAGAATATTATAGCTTGTTATAATTCAAAATGCTATTTAACAAACACCAGGAATTAGTAGACTTACTCTCTTGAGTTTATTAATTGAATAGATATATATATTACTTAAGACTTGTAAGCTCTAGCTCTACAGTCATGAGCCTAAATAATTAAATTTTTTTAATAGCTACTATACAATACTACTTGGATAAAGTAATGGTACATAGCTAACAAAGTTATAACATTTTACAACACTATACAATATAGATTTTAAGCAAGGGTAATAGAAACTTAGCTTGTTAAAAAGCCTCAGCTCTTAATGCTTTGTTACTACTTAAAGTACTGACTAGAGTCAAGCTAGTAACTCTAGTTTTAATGTTTCTATTAAATTCTGCAGCCAAGATACTATAGAGAAATAGTGAAAAACAAAAGGAAAACAAGAAAAAATAATAAGAAACAATATAGTACAAATTTACAACTGGAAAAATATCTATCACAGCCTGGTAGAGTTTAAATAATAACAGTATTACTACCAAGTATTGAATATGCCTACAGGTAAGATCAAAATATAGAAAGAATAAGAAGCTTGATTCTCTAAAAGCTATAAAGCTTTAAGCTATATACTATTTTGCTAATACATACTAACTATGCTACTGGAGAAGAAATACATTAGTAACTTTAATACTTATATCTTGTAGCAGAGCTATAGAACTCTTGTATAGAAGTAGTAATGCCTTATAGAAAGGTATATATTATTAATTAATTAAGCAATGTCTACTTCTAGTATAGTTCAAAGTATTTTTTATTATTGTTAATATATTAAAATTATTTTTTTAACAAGCTTTATTTAGATTTATAACTTTGATTACTAGTTTATAATAATTTATTTAAAAATTTTATAAATCTTAGTACAAGAATCCAGGCTCTCTAGTAGCTATATATAGAGCACTGTATTTTATTTAATCAAGGCAGTACATAGTCAAGCTGATGTAGTACTAGATTGATTTCCATAGAGTAGTTTTACAATGACATGATTCTAATGCTATCCATATAGTGCATCAAGAGCTTTATTACCCAGTTGAAGTACAGCTTTCCTGCTTGGTTGATCCTTAAAAACTACTTGTTATACATAGAAATTAACCACGTTATTAACAGTCTCCATACATTCACTCAGTGCAAGGTTTGGAGAATGTTTAGACCATACCTATGCGATCGAGAATGATTGTCACTGAGAAGGGTGCAATTGTCAGAATAGGGTGCGTGCAGCAGCCGGATAGGCCCACCAGCCCGTGGCTCGATCCTACTATTGCATAGTAGGTATATACCTTATAGATCTAGTAGAATGCACCTCAGGGCATTGTACTCTCATTCATAGGACCCAGTGGCACCGCTTAGGGTTATGTATAGATGGCGGCAGAAGCAAGCTTTGCAATTGATAGATTGCCGACTCTGAAAAACTTCGTTCAAATTCTACCTGAGAGACGTGCCAAAGGCTGTCATTGAAACCGATCTGTAACGGCCCAAACTTGAATTTCTATCTAGTAGTAACAAGTCTAGCACTATCGCTCAGCGCAATGGATGCTGCAGCCTTTATTGATTATTTGTAGTCGTGTATGTTTGCGGGTCATAAGTAAAGCCGCCGCCCCGAAAACTGGCCATCCCTCCCATGGACCCCACGCCATTGACCGAGGGATGCAACTCCATTCCACCGGAATACCCTAGAGCCCCCCTTGAGGTGACCTCGAACGCACTTTGAGATGCTGCAGTCACCGGTGTCATAGATACCGGGGTAGGAGGAATGCTTCCACCAACTAAGATCGTACTTGAAATAGAAGGGGTGACTAATCCAGCTGGAGTCAACGAAGGACAATTAGCTGGAGCAACAAGCGACGTCCTTCTTGACTCAGGCGGAGAGTGTAGGACATGGGCGGGTGGCGATAATTGATGCGCATGATAGCCTATCGGCGACGTGGCGGTAGAGCCCGGGGGAGTAGCCTGAGCAGCACTACTTAAGGATTTAGGCATCGACTGCGATATCAGGTCGTACCCGACAGGATTGCGTCTCATTGAACAGGTCGGACAACTTCGCACAAATCTTGCAATGAGTTCCTTTGGAACCCTGCACAGGTGTATGTTAGGTCAGCCACACCAACAAACGAGCGAAGATCTGAATGTTGAAAATGAAGCAGCAGCACGTCAAACGAAAGAGGTGAAACGAGATTCGTACTTGAGTGAGCAACGCTTACCAGGAATAATATCTGCGCACTTGTCCCGACGTTTTGTCGCGGCCGCCGTGTTGGCAATCCGCATGAGCTTTGGTTAGTATTTGGAAGAGTCGTTCCCGAACTGCGACAGGCTTCCCTTCATGGCATACAAGGACTGCCTTCTATATATTCAACACAGATAAGCGTCAGAGGAACCACATCGTGATATAGGTCGAACGCCGCTAATGACCATGATGGGAGTGATCTAACAAACCTGAGGATCGTACACAGTCCTTAATGAGAACATCTTCTTTGCCCAAAACCTAAGCAAGTAAGGAAAGTCATCAGCTTTAAAACACCCCAAGACATACACCTCCGCTCTTTAGGCCCCCCCCCCCTCCCCAGCCCCAAAGCGAGGGAGGAAAAGAACCCAACCCCACCAATGCGGAATAGAACGGGATAATTAATTGAATCCAATCGACATGAGCTTACCTGAACTGTGCGGACTCAATCGTGGTGCACTTTGGGTCGGAAAGAACAGCTTCAATGTTGTCACACCGTTTCTTGGGTATCAAAGCTTTGTCACGTTTCTTGGGAGACAGCGAGAGTATATAGCTAGCAGACATATGTCAGCTGCAGCCCTACAAAGTAACATACGCATGATGCAAAGTTGAGGCACGAGAAGAGGGTAACGTACTCGTTCATCACCATTTCGAAGGACTCAAGACTTGGAAATCCCTCAGGTTGAGGAATAACTGGTAGGGATTTTCCGTGCGGAAATGTGAGGGCACTGGCATCGCCAGTGCGATCACGAGAGAATGATGAAGGGCCAGGGATCTCTGATAAGATTTGAGAACCAGAAGAGAGCGGTTGCGAAGGTGGTGAAATTAATGACGCCGATAGTGAAGGTGCCGGATATGCAGATTGCATATAGTGCTGTTGCCCGAGAATAGGGTAAACTTCGTCTGAAGCTGTGTATTGGCCTTGTCCATAGAGGTGCGTCGTCGCAGAAGCAGGGTTGGAGATAAATTGTGAATGATGAAAGTCCCTTTGCTGATGATGCCTCAGATCGACTGAAGGAAACTCCACGGCTGACAACCGGGCATTTTTCACCTGGCCAAGGACATTCGAAGCTTCATCATTGCGAATTCTCTCCCTCAGCAAATTCATCGATAAAATATTACCCCAGCAATGTCCACCCTCGAGATGGATAATTCACAAGCAGGGAAAACAAACGTAGAAGAAGATTAGGATTGGATGTGAACTCGACCCCAACAGTACTATCTCGACCGATAGCGGGTCTGGAGTTGAGGAGGACGATTGTTTGGAATGAATATGCGCTTGGGATGACAAGCCAAATAAGCAGCAATTGACACCCACGACCAGTCAAGGTGAATACAATATCGGTCCAGGACGAGATTGATCAATCGGCAAAAGACAACATTCCCGGGCCGTCAAAGCCAATAAAGTGGAATTTTTCTTTGAATTTCCCGTGGAAACGAGAGAGGAGAGTCGAAGAGTAATTGATAGCAATCCTGTAGAGACCTGGGAACAACGCCGAGATGCAAGCACAGAGAAATCCAGTTTTTTGAGACCTCGTCGATTAAAGGGAAAAATACGGACCGTATATAGAGGAGAGAAAGGGAAAAAGAAAGTGGTCAAACGTAGAAGAGAAGTTAAAAAGGGTAATAGGAAAAGAAAAGGAAATGGTAACGAACGAGCAAAGAGCATGAAGGATTGGGATGGAAAAACAGCTTTGAGGCAAAGAGAACTGGTGCTCGGGAACGGCTAAGGTGAACGCGGCCTACCCAACGCAAAGGAAAGGGAAATATAATGGGACAGAGGTTCTGGAGTAGGTAGAGTCCCCAGAAAAGGTCTGGGGCGGGGGAACCAGAGAGGGTGGGGACTAAAGGTAGTGCTAGGATCCGGGCAGCGACCTGGAGAGCTGCTAAACATGATACTAACTAGGAGCTAGAAAGGCATAGCGATTGCACGGTGCAACGCCTGCCTTCACCAAAATGTGCTCACTTATTCATTTGCGACCCCTACTTGGAGGTCTGCCTGACTAGGGGACGTCGAGAAGCCTTGCTGTCTCCAAGTGCTGGGCCCCACCCCTGCTAGTTTCACCCGTTACCCCCAGTGCCCCTCTGCATTAGCTGGTTTAGCCGCAACCGGACGTGCCCTGTGCGTCCGATGATTCGCGTCCACCCGTCTGGCTGGCCGCGTACCCAAGGCAAGATCAACGCCCACCCGGTCAGGGCTTCGTAGCCATTCGTCACACGCAAATCCTTTCCGCCATCATCCCATTTCGTTCAATCTTTCCTTCTTTCCGTCTCGGCCTTTGTCCGTGACCGGCCGCAAATGAAAAGAGGGTATCCAAGAACTTCAGCAGAGAAGGTTCGAGGCATAAGGGACTCTCAAGATATTCATGACAGCAGTGCTGATATGCCCCTCTATTCGAAATTGCGGCCTTTGTCTCAATTAAACCCACCCGTGACACGCATTACTCGTACAAGCCTGGATGGATCAACGTTTGAAGCTCATGAGATCTGCGGCCCAGTACCAAGAACTTCCAGAGGTGGTAACATCCCGTTTTGTCTTAGACTTAACGATTCCTGGCGTGCGTGTCCTTGTCGCCGGTTGCGCTTTCTCGCGAAAATCACATGAATACTAGCAGAGGAAGCAATTACTTCAATTGCAAAGTACAATACAATCCGCCAGCGATGCACTGCCAAAATGAAAACCCCATTCTTCCCTATGTTTCTTTTACCTTACGGAGTAGGTAGCACCGCATGACAGGAACCGAAGTGCTTTCGGCTTCGAAGGCTCCAATCCACCAATGTTTCATATGGGCCAAGAACGCTTCAACCGGTGCGAGTCAGAGGACTAATGTAAATTCATAATCAGTGAAAAAGACCCTCGGCTCATTGTCTTTGAATATTGTTTTTGCGTACACGATACTCTAGAGCTATTTATTCTTAAATGAGATGATTATAGCCTGTATCGCTAACTTTGTTGCATTTCCCCTGATACTCAATTTTTCATTCCCATATACATACTTGAAGATCTGCATCCATCAAATAGCTCCTTTGCACCGAAGCATGAATGAACTTCTAGCCCAGCAGCCTCGACAATTGTCCGCAAGATTCGACAATAACTGGTCGATTATCCTCAACAATTGGTATTTTGCTAGTTTTAAGTGCGATTCCGCGAACATTTTGAATGTAGAGCTTTTATTTGAACGTTATTACAGTGTCCAATGCTGTTGAAAATGCTCCAATTGTTCCGGGTACATTTCCACAACCGACCGATACTGGTGTTTCAAAATGGGTTGCTAGGAGATGCAACACCTTGGATATCTGGGTCTAGCGGTATGTGCGCATTTTTATAGAACGAAAAGATACTTCGCCTGACCCGCGCCACTTCTTCCTCACAGCGATCGAATCCAACTACACGGGAAGACTGAATTTTTTGCCTTGGAGCACCCTTAAAAAAGTTAGTAAGGCGGTCCAGGGGTTCCTTCTACACCATCAATCAAGCAATCAAATAAATTTGAAACTCACTTTGTGTAATAGATCCAGAAAAAGTCTGAATAGAGGATCGTTTGGCAAATTCCAGCGAGAAGGGCAATTGGATCCCAGAAACCCTGGGCAAAATAGCGCCAAATCCAATTGGGAATGTACATAGCCCGGTAGAAACCCAACGCAAACAGATAATGCGTGGTAATGGTTTCTGCCTCCCCGGTTCGCTGGAGCATAAATAATTGAGGGAGGATAGCCACAGCTTCTAGCCAAATTGAGAAGGCCCAGAGAATCTTGGAAGCTCGTTAGCGTTATTCCCGAGGCAAGGCAAAAGCTGAATCTCACCTCAGACATATTGTATTTATAGGGGAAGCATATAGCAAGTAATGCGCTTCCGCCAAAAAGGTAGCGCACGTTGAACGTATCAACATTGGGGTCATGGGTTGGTTTATAATCATTCAGCATAAGGAAAATAACATATCCGGAGGAGCCGATGAAAAGTAATTTGAATACGGTGTTGTAGAGCGAATCCGTGAAGGTCCAGAACAAATCTAATCAGAGTCGAATTAGTATTCAGAATTGAAATATCTTTGTTGGATGAATTTACTAGGGAATCGAAGACTGACCAAGGTATCGCGTGATATAGACTATGAGGTAAAGAGCTTGAGACTTGAAGGATATTCCTGCGCAACTCTTTTAAGGCTTTAGATAACTGCGACGAGGAAGAAAGCCAATTCTGGCAACGTACACTTGTCGATTTCATCTTCTGCAGCAAGATGAACACCGAAAGGAGATGAGAAAGATCACCTTTACCGACGCGTTAGATTTTACTGACAGATTGCTCGGCCAAAATCAATATCATGCCCATGAATTTGATATACTTACCGAGCAGTCTGAAGATATTCATGTTTGCAACTTCTGTTATTGCCTCGAATTTCCTACTATCCTTCCAATGGCTCGAACGGAGCGCACCAGTGTCTTTGTCACCTCTTCGAAGGCTCAGATATGCTCATTCGACGCGCGAATCTTTCCTATTCGTGACGGATTCAATTTGTGTACCGAATTCGTGACACGCAACGGAAATCCGTGGAGCTTGGATCGGTCTGAAGTTGCGGCTAATTCCGAGTGATAATAGCTCTATCCGTTGCCTCGCTCCAAAGGGGCCAGTGGAGCGGGTACTTGCAGGCTTGTAGGCCGATCGCTTGGCTTCGCCATCCACCTGGACGAGGAATAAGCGCTCTTCTTACTGGATAATCTGAGCTCCTATACCTACATCACTCAACAGGAACAGCGTCCCATGTAATCAGACATTTCTTGATTACTCAAATTTTTTTTTTTTTGCAAGTCTTCCTCTGACTATCCCAAGTACAATATCTGGAGGAGTTGCCAGTCATGCCGGCGACGGTATCGAAGTCTTCTAAAAATCAATTCAGGAGGGCCAAAAAGAAGGCAAAGAAGGCAGAGGTGAGTTTCCGTCCCTCTTTCCAAATTGTTGCTAACTCGTCAAGGCGACGCCAACTCCTGATACCATTAAGGATGCAGTGACGCCTGTGGAAGAGACGGAGACTGAGCGATCAAAAGAAGGACCAACCGTTGAATCTGTGCAGATTTCCGAAATCGACGCCGAAGATCCGCTTTTTGCCCAGTTCAAGGATATCATTAGCAGGTTTGGACGAGAGGACAAGGATGATACCACCGAAAATGAGCCCGAAAAACCCGAAGTGTATTTTGACGATGATGACGATATTCCGGATGAAGAGGATAGTACCCCGAAAATATCCAAGAAAGCGAAGAAGCGGGCTACTCAATTATCTGTAGCGGAACTTAAGGCACTCGTTCGAAACCCCGATAAAGTGGAATGGACAGACACATCTGCCTCTGATCCTCGACTATTGGTTCATTTGAAGTCCTACCGGAATGTCGTACCTGTTCCGGGACACTGGAGTCTCAAAAGGGAGTACCTTTCCTCAAAACGGGGCATAGAGAAGCCTCCATTCACGCTCCCCAAATTCATTCAAGAGACGGGTATTGCGGAGATGAGAGACGCTGTTCTCGAAAAGCAAGACCAGGCGAGCCTGAAACAAAAGCAAAGAGAGAGGGTGCAACCAAAAATGGGACGATTGGACGTGGATTACCAGAAACTCTATGAGGCATTCTTCAGATTTCAGACCAAGCCGGAGTTGACTCGATATGGAGAAGTCTATTATGAGGGGAAAGAGTATGAAACAAACTTACGACATCTACGACCCGGAGAATTGAGCGACGAGTTGAAAGAGGCGCTCAATATACCACCGGGAGCACCACCACCTTGGCTCATAAATCAACAAAGATTTGGTCCTCCCCCGTCCTACCCAGCGTTGAAGATACCAGGGCTTAATGCCCCTCCACCTCCTGGGGGCCAATGGGGGTTTCATCCGGGGGGTTACGGAAAGCCGCCTGTAGATGAATACAATAGACCTTTATACGGGGGAGATATCTTTGGTGTCTTACAACCTCAGCAAAATACGCAGCTTGGCGAGCCTGTGGAGAAAACGCTTTGGGGAGAGCTTCAAGAGCCCGAGGAAGAATCAGAGGAAGAAGAGGAGGAAAGCGAGGAGGAAGAGGAAGAGGAGGAAGGTCACGAGGAAGATATTGGAGCTGGTTTGCAGACACCAAGCGGGCTTGAGACTCCAGGAGGTTTGGCATCGGCCGTTCCTTCTGAATACGGCGTCGCTGAGAGTGTAGGCGGGGACTTCGATCTGCGTAAACAACGTAGAGGAACGGAGACAGAAGAATCAACGGGTCCTCGCACCGCTTACCAAATACTCCCGGAGCATTCAATTCGAAGTCAAGGGTTCTTTGGTGGGGAGCGCGCCTACGATCTTCGCGGTGCACAGCAAGATCATGATCAGAACCAGAATCTGCCTGTACTTGGCCAGGACGATCAAACTCGGAAGCGTAAAAAGCCGGGAGATATTGATGTCTCAATCGATGTGGACTCATTACAAGCACAAGATGGATTGAGCAAGGAAGAGATCAGAAGACAATTCGAGGAGTCGAAGCAAGAGGAGCAGAACCGATGGGGCTTTCAGGAAGACTTGAGCGATATGATTGCAAATGAAAGCCGGAAAAGATTACGCAGGGACGAGGAACGGAGGACAAATCGCTAATTAATTCGTCTCTCTGCGCATTTTTGCCGGTTCGAGGAGCTATTTGAAGGATAGTCTGCTCATGAGCCTGGTCTGTCGACTCGGGTTATATAGCGAGGCCTCAGACAGGTGCAGGGTTTATCGCCAGCAACGTACAGTCTGTCATAGACTCCATTATCGCAAACCGAAAATCCATACGACTTCTTTCTGCCTTATCTGGATCTACCAACCTGTTTTATGGACCATGGTATATCTTAAACGCCCACCGTTCGTGTTTCTTCGCCAGTCACTCATGTACTGTTTATCAATTCTCTACAATTTTTCAAAATTGATCTTTATATGTATACAGAGGTACCTAAGGTAGGTACCTGACCTTGAAGCAAGCCAGAAAGCTAGTTGTGTCACGTGAGTCGTACGAAAATGTCAAAGCGCGTCGCGTACAGAACCCTCGGAAGTAAAAGTCTCGATTAGCTAAATTGGTCGGAGCGCCATCTCGACTAAACACTATCAAGGAGATATTGCATAGACACTCCACGAAGCCATTCGTCCCAGTATCATAGCCGGCATTGAAAAGCCTTTTCCCTGGGCGATTGGAACAGCCTATTTCCGGCTGAGTATGGAAAGAGATTGGGACAGAAGGTTTGTTTACAGAATCTTACAACCCCTTCATCCTTTGTATCGGATATGATTGACTTATATCCGATGATCGTCGGCCGTCATCCATGTTCAATCCGTTAATTACGATGCAACTGACTCTCTAGGTTTGATAGTCGAGACCGGGCCATGAGTGGTGAGACGTATCGTCCGTCTCAGCGTATTGGACGGCCTTTTCCTCCTCGCGACCACTTTCGTTCAAATCGTCCATCGTCGGTGAGAAATTGGTCTCCGCCAGCCGGCGATAGTTATGTCCCAGCAGGGAGTATGAGGGATAGTATCCGTTCCCGTGGTCGATCACCAGGCCCTTTTCGTCGAGAATCACGCAGTCCCCATTTTCGAAATAAAGAGGTCGGAACTACTTGGAGAGAGCGACCTAGATCGCCTTTACCACGAAGATGGTCTCCACGGCGGGAGTCGAACAGATGGAACGATCGACAGCGTTCCCCTTCAAGAAGTGGTATTATGCGCACGAGGTCTCCATACAGTGGCTCGGGAGGACGATCACCCAGAACTGCTCCTTTGAAACGCGAAAGGTCTCTTGTAGAAGATCGGCCCATCCGCTCCCCTCCTTCCAAAAGAGAAAGATTCGCTTCACCTCCGAGAGGACGTTCCGACAGACCTCTTTCTCCGGTGAGGCGTCAATACTCCCCTGCTCGGAAGGGAAGGTATTCGCCATATCTTGACACTCGCCCAAATAGGCGCTCTCCATCCCGATCCCCCGTCTCCCGCGAGGACCGTCTCGAAACACAAGCCGGCGGGTTTCGGAGGCGCCGCTCACCATCACCTCTCAGCCGAAACATGCGTTCCGACTACCGATCAGAGCACTCCTCTGGCAGAGATTCTACAAGCTCATCCCGACGCTCGCCGCCTATCCATCCCAGCAGACGTGCCCTGCAACAACCCACAACATCGGATGTTCGATCTTCAGCTTGGTCAGCTACTCATCGCCCTGCCCATTCATCTAAATTCCCGCCACGTTCGCCTCATACTCAATCCCCCCGTGTATCGCGGTCTCCCGTACGCGAAAGGTCATTACCGCCACGGCGGCGCCGGTCGCGGCCGCGCTCCCCTCCCCGAGGTCCCACTGGCTATCGATCTCCGCTGAGAGGGGATGACTCACCTTCAGGATATGCTGTTGACGCGTCTGCTGGTGGCATGGTGGGGGATAGACAGGTTTCTCCTGGCATGGCAGGCGCTCCGTTTCGAAGTGGGGATCTTTCCAGGGCCCAATCTCCGACGGATGCTTCAGTTGGTGGCCCCAGAGATGCTGTCTTAACCGGGACGCGCTCGCCGCCATCCGGTCCGTCAGTACCATTTTCTATGCCAGCTCACAGTCGTTTGAATACCGTTTCTGTGCTATCGGCCCCTTCTCAGCCCCGCGCCGGTCCAAATTCTCGTTTTCCAAGAGATAGCTCAAGAGAATCTTTCTTGCCCCCCACCTATCCAACATCGCGTCGGCCTCCGTCATCTCATCGGCCGGGATTCTCCCGAGGGGGTCATCGAATCACATCTGGTCCTTACGAGCCACATTCAAGATCCCCAGGCCAGGCACCTCCAAGCGCTGTTCCCACTGGACCGCGTTCATCCCGCGGTCCAACCGTGCCATCCTTTTCTCAACCTCAACCCTACCGTCCTTCCCATAGTACTACAGCAACCACCTACCCTCGCACTCAGCATTTCACTCATCATCTCTCAACTATCCCTGCTCTTGTTCCGGGAGGAAAAATTCTCCCGTCGATCTTGAAGCCCGAGGTAGTCGAAAAGTTGACGAGGTTAGAGGAGGAAAAGAGAAAACTCATGGATCTAATCGACGATAAAATGATTAAGAAGAGACTTCTTTTGAGGGATTGGGAGCGTCTCGAGCGAGAAAGTGCACGAGAAGGACTCAAAAGTGACCTTGCTGAGCAGCAACTGAGTATTATGACTGATGAAGGTGGCCTTGGGGGCTCGGCTTTCTGAGAGCCAGCGATCAATAGTGCACAGGTGGGGAACAATCAAGACCTTCAACTTCGAGTCGAGAGAGTGTGGGATGAGAATACTACCTTCAAAAAAATTTGTCTTATTTCGACGGCGTTAAGAAAGGATATCCGTGAGGTTTGAAAGGATCCTGTTTTTGGTGGCATTTAATTGCGTCGCGACATTTTCCCTTCGGCGAGCCTTGGCGTTTTCTTGATGCTTCTACTCTGCATTTCATCAACTCTGTGGACGCCTCGAGCTAATTTGGCCGCATTTGCTGATCATCCAGCCTTGATTGGCGATGATTTTAATCCTGTATTTTAAATCTCTCTCTAAAGCGTTTGCCATTCCCTCTTCCCCCCCCCAAAGCTCGTGGTCCTGCCCTCTTCCCGTTAAATAGGTTCCATCCACACAGAATGGATATACATCGCTTTTATGCCAGATTTGAAGATCCAACGATGGTTTTTTTTCTATCCCCAAATATACGGAAAAGGCAATTGCAGTGCGCAAGAACCGGCGTATAAATGACGAGAAAGTCGGTTTGAAAAACCTTCGCAGTCCGCGCAGGAATGACTATGAAATAATCAAGTAGTATAGCAGCTCTCTCCACTTATGAGGCTATTTTCGAAGACTTGAACAGTGTTGTAGCTACGACTACAACAAATTCAACTCGTATGGTATGTCCCTTTGCGCTTGATCCGATTACCTTAACCGCCGTTTTCAAAGAAGCATACTGTTTATCAGCCGTTGGACAAGATGAATCGGGTAAAAATATTAGCTTCGAAGTCAACCGCCATTTCCGTTGGAGGTCTGAGTCTGCAGCGAACAAATTCTGCAAAAGGTACAACATGAAATGAATCAATTCTGAAGCCTTTACTCTTCTTCGACGTCGCGGCAACACGTGGCAATTTATAAATTACGAAATCCAGTTTCAAAAGACTAGCCTGGCGTGAAGGAAGTCCTCGCATTCGAAGGCGCTTACACAGGTTGCTTGATTTGGCGTAATACCAATTGGCACCTGCCAAGTTTGATTTGAAATCAGTCATGAAAACAATACGAACGAGGTGCGAAGGAGATGCAGTCGGGATGGCAGCATTAGGCTGCATGTTCTCTGACCAAGACGAGTCATATTATGAGCTGAAGAACTGGACACCCAAGCAGAGATAATTCGCTATTTCTTATGCCGCACTATGCATATGCCCAGTGACTACCCGCTTTTTCGTAATAGTTCCCCATGCAAACTGGTGAGAAAATGAATATCAAGAGCTTCTTTTGCAAAATCGTCTGATGACGACTGCAATTTCTCACGGACAACGAAACTTTCCACCACTCCAAGGGTAAGAGAAATCTAGAAGAGTTTTGAAAGGAAAGCCATCACAGATTCGTTGAATAGATGTTAAAACGTGAACTAGAAAACAAAATCAAAGAAACCGTTGAAATCTTGCTCAAGTTGCGGAAGCAGGGACGAGGAAGCCTGCCGAAAGATAGTCTGCGCAGCAGGAGCTGACCAAAATACCAACGTCTATGAGAAAGATAGAATTGAAAACAAGAGAGGAGATACAAATAGATCGCCAATGCCATGAAAGAAGGTCGTTCTGGTGCATGTCATTAACACGTCAAATCATGTCGTCGTCTCAAATAAAACTCAATCTACAACGGAGTTTTCAAGAATATTTGAATGAAGCAGATTCCTCACTGCTGCCAAGAACGAACCCACGCTGAGGTTGACGATTTTCTTTCGCATCAACCTGGGCAGGAAGAGTGAACGCTTTAGAGTCTGATGAGCTCATCTCCGTTTTACTATGGTCGAAGACAGGTGGTGATGCTGTCTCATTAGGTTGCGCCAGATGGATAGACTGTGTGTCGCCCGCCAACCCCTCGTTATGGTCGATTGGAGGTCTTGGGCCAAATCCTGAAGCGTACTGCTTTGATAAGGGGTATTGGCGGGGTGATGAAACACTGCTTGGCGTGGCCTGGCCACTCGATGAGCCGCTACCACGTCCGTCTTTATCTTGTATTTTCCCCTGGATTCGACGTCCGTAAGGGGTAGATCTGATGGCGGGAAGAAGTGGGCGTATGCTTTCAACCAGCTGAGCTCTGCAATCGGAATCGGCGTAATCAAGCTACTTTCCTGTCAGCCAAGACAATGATTCTGAACATCCAGGCGAGAAGACATACAGCCGTCTGTACAACATAGTTTGCGAAAGAGTCACGGAGCATCTTCTCCAACTCATTAGGGTTCAGCATTTCTTCAATCATCGCTCGCCTCGTGTTGATATCTGCCGTTCGCAGACACTGTCATAGAAAATTCAGTACTTCCATCGACAATTATTTCGTTCAATGAACGCACCTTCTCAATGACATTAGAACTGAACTTCTGCTTTGATAAGGTGGGAACTTTGCCCAAAAATCCGCCCCAGAGAGGCTCTGAGAAAGCTGACTCGCCTAGATCGACTGTAGAATCTTATAAGCGCGCAATCTAGAACAATTCAGGCAAGGATTTACCTACGGATATACTGAATGACATAATTGCCAAACGGATCTTGCACCAGAGAAAATGAATTTGCAGAGATTTGCCTCACCAGCTGAGCCTTCTGATGCCCAGAAGCATGATCGATGCATCGCTGCAAAACACAGCAGCCGTGACGATGCGTGCCTACCACAACACAATTGGTGCCAACAGCATCAAAAATAAACTGGTATTTCCATGAGCGAAACGGGGCTTGAGATATGGTAGATTATCAAGACTGACCTGGGCATCTTCAGCACTAAGACGATTGAGACATTTTTGAATGACATGGTTGCCATTCAGATCTTGTATCAATTCAACCACTCGATCGCGAAGAGCGTAGATGATTGTTTGTGTCTACATTTGACTTTAGCAATGGGCTCACTAAAACCAAAAAGGGGTATACATACCTGTTCAGAAGTTGAAACAAATTCAATCATCTTCTGAAGAGCTCTGGTTCCATGCTGATTAAGAGCGATCCGTACCATTTGAGGGGCAGCATTATTTATAAGAACCGTCCGTTCTTCGTCGTTGGCAAATTCGAGCAATTTTTGGCAAAGATAATTTCCAAATGGATCTGAACAATTAACCTCAGTCTCTGAAGTGGGCTAGCTCAACATACCTGTCATCAATTCCACGATATGTTGACTGGTTTCGCGGAAAATCATATGCACATATTCTGGGTTTCGCTCCTCCAATTTCTTCTGCAAATACCGGCATCCGTGTTGGTCTTTGCAAAGGCTGTATATTTCGCCTCTAAGATGTTCCAGCTGCACATTCGTGAACCGAGCATTATCTATCGAACATCAGTACTGCTAAGATGAGGTCTGCCTTTAGGGAGTGTTTACCGTTTTGCATACGTCTTTGCTGAATAACGCGGGCTTGGCTGTCGGGAATTCGCGCCCCATACTGGTTATAAGGATGGTAGCTAGGAAATGGAGATGGCGGGGCCATAATCTGCATATGACCATTCGTTTGAGCGGCTGGCCCAATATGGAAATTATTCAAGCCAGAATGCAGCATTTGCATGCCGTAGCCACCATAGGAGGAGGGTGATCCATAAGGTGGCACTCCAGTGGGATTCGAGGTATCCTGAGTGCTCCCGTTACTGCTAGAAGAGGACAAAAGAGGACCAAACGGAGGAGCGTTTCCTTGCAGCCCTGACTGAATTGATGGAAAGGTGTTGGCCTGCTCTTCGCGGTGCAACTCTCCACCAGAAAGTTCCCTGCTATGCCGAGATTGGAGTGCCACTGGCGGAATGCGCCCCATGCTGGCATTGTGATTTTGTAGATGTTGTTGGGCGTGGGTCTTAGGGGAGCCTAAGCCCGCTAGGCCATTTGAACTCTTCATAGTGGGTATGTCATTAGTGGAATATGATGACTGCAGTTTCGGAGGAGCGTGCGAAGAAGTGTTATTCGACGCTCTGCTAGGCCTGCCTTGATCTCCAAGTGGTCCGAATTTGACCTCGAGAGGGTTCTTATGAACACGGCTGGTTCTGCTTGGTGATTCATTGGTAGAATGATCAGACTGACGAAACGCCACGCGTGGGGAATGATCATTTTGCTTTGCATGCTTTGCCTGAGCGACGTTCTGATGTAAATTGAAAGAATTTTGTGGGAGGCTGTGTTGTGCCGGCCGATGCGTGAAAGGCGGCCAGCCGTTGGATTTAGTTTCTGGACCGGGCGATTGAGAAAGCGCGAGATCAAGAGCGGCGGAGGACGCAGAAAGCTGGTATGTTCTGTCAGTCATCGATCCACATGGAGGGAAGCATTAGGTACTCACCAGTCCTGGGAAGTCGTTGCGACGAACCAAAATCGGGAACTTGTCATCGGTTGCATTCATCTGAAGGTAACTCTTGACATCCGGAGACGTTGCCTGATTATGGTCTTTCTTGGGAGCGGCTCGCTCATCGTCGTCACCAAAAAGAAAGCCAGTTGTGTTGATCTGGCCAAGTGAGAACACTGATCCCAGCTCTGGCCTCGTGCTTCGCATCCGAAAATTCAATCCTGAGGCTGGCATCGAATTCCGATTCATCCTATGAAGAGCATTAGCAAATCAAGATTGGGTCAATAGCCCTAACAAAAGAGGACCGAGTTGGGAAGACGAATGTTAGAAAAAGTAGTAACGACGAGAAAATCAAAGAATATTACACAATTCAATGTGCAAATCCCTGCCAAACGGGAGACAATTTGACATTGTATGTGAGCCCAACAGAATGTTAAATCAGCTGCACCCAAGGTTGGCAGAATGATACTGGCTGAGAGCAACCCGTGGTCATTGCAGGCCGCCAAATTAGAAAATAATAGCAATTGTTCTAATTGACTGAATTTCGATTCGAGGGCGTGTACGAAAAGGCAACTTACGCTGCGGCAGAACGATGATCAGTCTTGAAGACTTCTGATTCGTGCTGAAGTTCATTCTCATCTGAATTTCGGCGCGATGCTGGAACAGACTTTGAGGGAAGTTTATTGGGCAAAATCGTTGAAGGGAAGCTGCTGACAAGTTCTGGCGGAGGTGAAGTAAGCTGTGAGCTCGATCGAACTGACCGACTCGTCAACCCTGGCGGGGACGTGATGCTCGAGCTTGAAAGACGATTATGCCGCGGGAAGACCGTTGAGAAGATCGATTCCGGATATTCTGGTGGCGTTGTAGGCTCACTTTGGTGGCCTGCAGAAGGATGTACCCTTTCAAGATCCTTCGCCATTTTTCGTATATCTTCTTCCTCACGCTTCTGTTGGAGGTCGATCAGGTGCATCTCTGCTTCGAATCGTCTCCTTTGCTCCTTTAGAAGCTCATACTCCATGCGTTTTTTCTCAAGCTAAAGTGTAATAAGGTCAGAAGATGGATTACTCGTGCGAAGAAAGGAAACCTCACAAGTTGAACTTTATGGAAAGTCTAGAGGATTTTAAGTCAATGAGCTGAATATAAAGTCTGGAAGCGAGGTGGTGAATCTATACATGGGGGCCAATAGTGAATGAAAATGTGATGGAAAGCAGGAGGAGGACGTCGGCTGAGGGGACGCAGCTGCAACAATCAAACTTACTGCCGAAGTTAAATCCAGTGATTCTGCGGTCTGCACCCTTTGATGTGAGAATGGAGAGGTAGACGGCATCTTTGCTGAGTCTGTCGTGAATCGACGCTGCAAGCTGGAGCGAGCGTCCGCGGATGCGCGAGAAGGTCGTTGTAACGGATTGCTGCCCCCGCCATAGAGCGAATTGAACTGAGGAAAGGGAGAGCTATCATGGGGCGATTGAGGGCCGCGAAAGCGCATATCGTCAACTTTAAGGCCAGTTGTAAAAGACATTTCATCTGAGGATCCGAGCAGGCTGAAGCCAGGCGCAAGGCGTCTGTTGTTTGCTTCGTTCAGGTGGGTACTGCCGCTTTGAAGTGGGGTTGTACTGTACGTGAAGCTGAAGATAGATCCGGGAAACAAGTCTCTGGAAATCGATGCGACCAAGCAAAGCGGATATCGAATGCGAATCTAATAGGTAACGATAACTGCTTATAAATAATCATGAAAGTAAAGAGCAGATATGGCTGAAGCACAGCCCTCGGCGAGATACGATTTACCAGCAATCGAGTCTCCTGAGGACCAAGGAGCTCGTCAGAGCGGTAAGAACCGCCAAATGGGAACCACCTCGCACGGACCGGGCTGTTCTCTTTCTCCGTAGCGAAGTCGAGAACTCAAAAATGACAAACGCCAAGAGGGCAAGAGATTCAACAATATACTGTTCATCTACGCAGCAGAGGAAAGGACTGAATAGCACATTGTGGGCCTAACAGCCCGAACAGGGGAACGAATGGAAGTTCACAGTCGTTGGAGCGTTTGGCCAGCCGCCATAATTACGGGATAGTGGACGTGTCTCAGGTGCAGTCTCGGTAGGGGCAAAGTCAGACTAGGCGGCAAGGAACAGCCCATGCCAGCTTAGAATGACCCAAACTAGATGTAGGCAAAATGAGGGGTCCATCGGGATAATCTTGCAGGGTCCTGGAACGGATCATCAAACAATCACAATACATAATAACGATTGATGCCCTCTTTACTCCGCAATATATAAGCTCACAAGGGCACATTTATTCGACATGCATATCACTCACCGTACGCTCCATGACCAGATGCGACGCACTAAGTGAGTTTACTGAAATACGGATTGCAATCGAGGAATTCCATTCCACTGTTACCGGATCCTGGCGAATAGCTAGTGAATACATTCTCAATTCCCGAATGAAAACGCTATATAGAATGAATCTTCCTATAACCATCAAAATTGGCCTACCTCTGTGCCGCTATCGCATTATGAACGCTCCAACTGATGCGTTGAACTAGGCTCCTTCTTTTGCATTTGATTGCTGTGTTTACTTAGTCAAATTGCGGCTCACAATTCAAATTGCTTAAGAAGATAAGCTGGGCAGATGGATGAAACGTATGCCTGTGCACGTTCTTCAATGCAGAAATTTTGGAGGGTTTGTGAAGCTTTATTTGAACAGAAATGTCAAACTTCAATTGAAGTTTCATTACCTAAAATTTTGGATAAGGCACATGATGCCATCTTTCCGCTCCGGCTTGATTGTAGCTCTGGGAGGATGGAAGGGCGAATTTGCCAATAGTTGCTTGCTCCCGTTGTGCAAATCTTCTGATGACATTTGCCCCAATCGAATGAACCTGCATACAATCTGTAAGCGCATCATGATACTTCCAGTACAGAGGAATCCATCCCCGCCAGTGATCATTTCGCCCGTTAATCACCGCTTCAAGATTCATGGTCCGCTTGTGATTACTGTGGTACGGCGTGTTTTGATCAGCTATTTCTAAAGCAGAGTATTTTCAGTTGATGCATTGATGGGTGTGTGAGGTTGCGTAGGTATATTCACAAATAAGGCAAACTTCAGAAACGGGGAAAATGATCTGGCTGAATTGTACAAAAGGGGTTCCACAGGATTTACGATCAAAACGTCAATCAGTTGAATTATAGTTAATTGCAAGACCGAGCCTAATAACTACCTTAGGTACCTCAATGAAGATACCTAAGGTACCGACCTGCCTTCGAGCTTACCTTACCTACCGTAAGGTACAGTAGCGGAATACTTTCTCGACATCGCAATAGCTACAGACCTGCGTTGCCTGACAGAATACGAGTACCTCGTCTCGCTCGTCGAGGTGCGATAAGGTCATACCGAGTACGTATCTTCATTTTGTGGAATCCCGAGTCTTTACCTGATTCAGCTAGAAGCTAATGAAAGTACTAACTAGAGGAGGAAAGGCCCACTTCTCGACTCTCCAAACACCTCAAACAATTTATCTGAATTATCATTTCTTGGTAGTGGCGTGAAGAGAACGTGAGAAGAGCAGAGCTGGGTGGTCGTAAAGAAGCCATCATACAAGCTCACGAATCATAGATTGGCTCATGCCGCCACGAAGGAGACCTCCCGTGAGAACGGACGCCGAGAGCGTTCCAAGAGGATCCTCAAAGGTGGGCAATTCTTTTTCCTTTTCATGCTATGTTTCCTGCTAAGCAGCTCAAGGCCAACGGCGCGGAATCTTTGAAAAATGCAACGTCCCATGCAAAGAAGTCACCAGGCGAAAAGTCCCCTGGAGCAAGGTCAGAGCCTACTGAAACATCTCCCAGGGCAGGTGCTGGTCGCGACGATGTAATTATCTGAAAACTCCTCACCGGATGATATTTGCAACCTCGAAAGGCTTATGCTGAATATACAGGATCTCGAAGCGTTATTCCAGACTCATTATGAAGGGAAGTCATTGACGGATCCGATAAGCACTGCAAAGGTATAGTTCAAAAAAAAACAAAAAAACAAAATTAGCCCCAGATATTTGGCTCTGACAGAGGTCGCTAGGACAAATGGAATCTTTTACCGGCCTTTCTCAAGGTGAAGGGCCTTGTAAAACAGCATATCGACTCCTTCAACTATTTCGTTGAGGTCGAATTGAAGAAAATTGTACAAGCCAACAAGAAGGTTTTGAGCGATGTGGAGCCTCAGTTCTATCTGAAGTGGGTTCTTGAAGAACATGTTACTTCGGTGATATTAACTGACCTTTTCCATCAAGGTATACCGATATTTGGGTTGGTTCTCCGGAGCGTCTCGATGCCGACGGCGAAGATCAGATTACGCCAAACGAGTGCAGATTACGGGACATGACATATGCAGCTCCCGTCTTTGTCGCGATCGAATATGTTCGAGGAAAGTCTGTGGTCAAACGGCCAAGAGTGCCAATAGGTCGGTTGCCGATTATGCTTCGAAGCTCAAAGTGTGTTTTGTCGAACAAGTCCGAAAGCGAGATGGCAATACTTAACGAATGTCCTTTGGATCCCGGCGGATACTTCATTGTGAATGGCACCGAAAAAGTTATCCTCGTTCAGGAACAACTGAGCAAGAATCGAGTAATTGTCGAGGCTGAACCCAAGAAGGGCATTGTGCAAGCTTCTGTTACCAGGTGAGTATATAATGCAATAACGAGAGGACGAATCAAAGTACTAATTGTACGTTAAGTTCTACCCATGAGCGCAAGTCTAAAAGTTATGTGATTCTCAAAAAGGATCGAATATATTTGAGACACAACGTCTTGAATGAAGATGTCCCGATTGTCCTTGTTTTGAAGGCGATGGGGATCCAAAGTGATCATGAAATCCTACTTCTCGTTGCCGGAATTGACAATGTCTACCAAGACGATTTTTCTGTCAACTTTGAAGAATGTGCCAAGCTTGGAGTCCATACCCAGCAGCAGGCTCTCGAATATCTCGGAGCTAGGATCAAGATTACAAGAAAGCCGATAGGCAGCGGAGCACTCAAACGTAATTATACGCAGGAAGCTCTTGAAGCCCTGGCTTCTGTCATCATCACTCATGTACCCGTCCGTGGACTTAATTTCAGACCTAAGGCATTGTATGTGGCATTCATGGTCAGAAGAGTGCTCATGACTATGCACGATCCAAATATGGTGGACGATCGTGATTACGTGGGAAATAAGCGGCTCGAGCTGGCCGGACAGCTCCTGTCTCTTTTATTTGAAGACCTGTTCAAAAAGTTCAACCATGACCTGAAAATGAATATTGACAAGGTGCTCAAGAAGCCCAACAGAACTCAAGAGTTCGACGCTTTTGAGCACATGCAGGTCCATGGGAATTATATCACTCAAGGAATGAATCGAGCAATATCAACGGGTAATTGGAACCTCAAGCGATTCAAAATGGAGAGAGCTGGTGTCACGCATGTTTTAAGTCGTTTAAGTTACATCAGTGCTCTCGGCATGATGACTCGAATCTCTAGTCAGTTTGAGAAGACTCGAAAAGTCAGCGGGCCCCGAGCGCTCCAGCCGTCTCAATTCGGCATGTTGTGCCCTTCAGACACACCGGAAGGAGAGGCATGTGGTCTTGTCAAGAACCTCGCGCTGATGACACACATCACTACGGATGATGAAGAAGCCCCAGTTATCAAACTTGTCTTCGTACTCGGTGCTGAAGACATCGCCGCCATCAGTGGAAGAGTAGTCTATGGACAAGGCGCTTACATAATTTTCATCAATGGAACCCCTATTGCATTGACAAGGCAGCCCAAGCAATTCTTAAATGGCTTCCGAAAGTTTCGACGGATGGGTCGTGTATCCGAATTCGTCAGTATATACATCAATCACCATCATCATGCCGTTCACATTGCCACCGACGAGGGGAGAATTTGTCGGCCCCTTATAGTTGTCGAAAACGGTAAATCTCGAGTGACTGCTCGCCATCTCCAGGCTCTGCGCAAAGGCGAGTTACAGTTCGACGACTTTCTTTCTCGAGGACTTGTGGAGTATTTGGACGTCAACGAAGAAAACGATTCGAACATAGCGATTTACGAGAAGGATATCAATCCGTCCACGACTCACTTGGAAATCGAACCTTTCACGGTTCTCGGTGCCGTGGCTGGGCTCATTCCCTACCCGCATCACAACCAATCTCCTCGGAATACCTACCAGTGTGCCATGGGTAAACAAGCAATAGGCGCGATCGCCCATAACCAATTCCTTCGAATTGATACACTGCTTTATTTGATGGTATATCCTCAGAAGCCAATGGTGAAGACTCGGACCATTGAGCTTATCAAGTACGATAAGTTGCCTGCTGGGCAAAATGCAACAGTTGCCGTAATGAGCTATTCGGGGTATGATATTGAAGACGCGTTGGTTCTCAACAAAGCCTCTTGTGACCGCGGCTTTGGTCGATGCCAAGTGTTTCGAAAGTATGCCACTCAATTGAAAAAGTATCCGAATGGGACGATGGACCGTGTTGGTGATCGACACGAGGAGAACGGCGCCCCAATTAAAAAGCACGCGCTTCTCGACACTGATGGGCTTGCTGCTGTGGGGGATAAAGTCAGTAGCGGAGAAGTATACATTATGAAACAGACGCCTCTCAACACGTCAGCATCGGGTTTGGGTTCCGATTATGGCACAAACGAGTACCGGGACACTCCAATGACGTATCGACTGCCCGATCCATCGTATGTTGATAAAGTTATGATTTCGCAGACTGAAGCAGAGGCAACACTCCTCAAAATCCAAACACGCCAGACACGACGCCCTGAGTTAGGAGACAAATTTTCGTCCCGCCATGGACAGAAAGGCGTTGTGGGCATCATCGCCGAACAAGCTGATATGCCCTTCAACGATCAAGGCATCGTTCCCGATATCATTATGAACCCTCATGGATTTCCATCGCGAATGACCGTTGGCAAAATGCTCGAGCTGGTATCGGGTAAAGCTGGAGTTTTGTCGGGAAATTTGCAGTATGGAACTGCCTTCGGCGGAAGCAAGGTCGAAGATATGGGCAACATCCTTATCAACAAAGGCTTCAGTTACTCTGGAAAGGATTATTTGACTAGCGGGATTACTGGAGAGGCTCTTCCTGCTTATGTCTTTTTTGGTCCTATTTATTACCAGAAGCTCAAGCACATGGTGCAAGACAAGATGCATTCTAGGTCTCGTGGACCTCGAGCTATCCTAACCCGTCAACCAACGGAGGGTCGTTCCCGAGATGGTGGACTTCGTCTTGGTGAAATGGAACGAGACTGTCTTATAGCCTATGGGGCATCTCAATTATTACTCGAGCGACTCATGCTCTCTAGCGATAAACATGAAGTTGACATCTGCGAGACTTGCGGGTTGATGGGATATCAGAATTGGTGTCAGAACTGTAAGAGCTCGAAGGCGGTTGTCAAGATGATGATTCCGTACGCCGCAAAACTACTTATTCAAGAATTATTGAGCATGAATGTCTTGGCAAGGCTGAAATTAGAGGACGAATTCCCGGCATAGGTCGCACATGCTTGGCACTGCTAAGACATCACTCGTTTGGCTGAATTTCAATTTACTATTGGCATATTTGGGCGCATAGACGTTGGGACGGTGCATCAATTGTGGAGTTGGCGATTACTCTGATATTTACAGACAAGGTCCTATTTTAGAGGTGGTAATGAAATGCATTTTAACTTTGGCTAAAAGCAAATTGTACTATCTGCGAGATCTTTAAATGTATGTGGAGGTGCAAAATTTAACAGCAAGCCCTTCGAAGACCCAACTGCTCTTAATCAGTCTCAAAATCCTACATATCAGATGAGAGCGGGAACATGATTTTGTAGTTCGCGCTCAAGCAATAGGACACTAGGCTTGTGACTTGAACGGTAAGATTACTGGGGGTAGTTTTCGACTCTATTCTACGAAGGTATGTGAGATTGAAATTTCTTGGAGCTTACTACATGCCAGAATCCACAAGCGCTGCAGTACCTCGGTACCTAGGGCGAGCGAGCAAGCTGTATCCGCTGCTTCGCAAACAGCCGCGCCAAAACAACATTCTCAGGCAACAACTTGCACTCTGCTGTAGAAATGCAGAAGCCTCCAGTGCCGAAAGGAGACTCGCTGCAAGAATTGAACGGACGGTTTCCTTACCGCCATGTCCAAATACGCCAACTTGTCCATGTTCTGAACGTATGTCTTTAAACCTTTACCCTGCCGGGATAACCTCCGCTAAGTCTGGAAGCCAAGCCGTCCATCGCCCCCTGCCATTGTAGTCCATGGGCTTAATGCTACAGGGAAAAGTGTAATTGTTGGAACCATTACTGAGGCCTTCAATCTTTCTCATGCGGTTATACGAGCCCGAGAATGCATCACCACTCGGCACCTTCTCGAACGAATACTTGCAGAATCCTTAACCGCGATCCGCGCCGCGGAGCCCCAAAATTCCTGGAAAGGTAGTGCCTCTTGTGAAAATGTAGGGGCACTTTCAAATGCTTTGCAGGATTTATTAAGCGGCGTACCGAAATTTGTCCTCGTTCTGGACGACATTGACCGCCAACGAGAAATACCGCCTACTCTTTCTCCTGCGCTTGCACGACTTGGCGAAGTAGTACGGCTCCTCCTCAAATGAAAACCAGGGGAGAGAGACTGAATGACCTCTTTAGATTCCCAATTTGACCGTCTTGTTCATTATGACATCGCCCCGAGCACACATGCTTCGTACCGCTGGGACGCCTCACATATACTTCTCACCGTATACGAAAGACCAGTCTTTAGCCATCCTTTCAATATCGCCTCGATCAATATTTGAAGCGAAAGAGGCGTCTCCTGACCCTGACTATACGGAGGAGCAGCAAATAGAAGACTCTGCCTGGATCTGGTCCAGATTTTGCGGTGTGGTTTGGGATAGTATCGGGAAAGGCGCGGCACGAGATATTATAAGCTTGAGAGACGCGGCGGACAAGCTATGGCCCTCTTTTGTCGAGCCAATTGCGGAAGGGACCTATGGAACAAGGGACTTCTCAAAGCTGATGATTGCCAAACGGGCATTGTTTCAGAGTGATGCAATGCTTACAGAGAGCGTGACGTCTGAGAACATTGCAGAGCTAAGGAGAGACACATTGAAAAGTAAGATGATGCTATTAGAAGATTTGAAATACGGCATTGACATTCAGAGCAGATACGCATGAACTACCACTGTTCTCCAAGTTCCTTCTTTGCGCTTCCTATCTGGCATCTTTCAATCCTTCCAGACAAGACCCCATACACTTTATGAAAGCGACAGAAAAGAAAAGGCGGAGGAAGAGTACTGTTGGGACGAGTGCAAGAGCCACTAAGCACCGCAAGGTACGTAAATGCCATTTACTTCATGGCACGAGTTTTTCTAGCCAATTGCTCACCCCCTTCAAGATCCAGCGGCGGCTACTTGGCCCTCAAGCTTTCGTTCTGGAGCGCATGCTGGCTATTTTCCAGGCTATTTGCCCACGATCATTGGCATCGTCTGCAGACCTCCTTACACAGGTATATTGTAGCATCGTGTTCTAAAAGCGAAACCTCTTAACGCGTATCAACAGGTTGCCACACTCTCCTCGCTCCGTCTTATCATTCGAGCTTCTGGCACTGCTGATGCCCTGGAGCCGCAGACGAAATGGCGTGTGAATGTAGGATGGGACTACATTCTTCAATTGGCTCGAAGTGTCGATTTCGAAATTGAGGATCATCTAGCCGAATAAATGCTCGTAGTGATGTTCCGCTCAGTTTGTTGTCTTGACTGAGCCTCCATCATAAACTCAACATGATTCATCCCCTGATCTATTTCAGAAGTCAGTTGGCTGGATGAATCTGTTCAGCTCCTAAAGTGCCTCAACGGAGAGCACAGGGACTTTCTTTTCTCCACGTCAAATTTTCTATGGCGGCGCCTGAGCTTATTGCCAAATCGTTTGGTTCGAATGGATGCTTTGGAACTTCTGAGAATTTCACACACTTGGGAAAGTCTTCGAAGCATTTGGAAAGGGCCAGCACGCTGATCTTTTCTGCGGTATGGAGAGAGAATAATTGCACTCGGCGATCATCTCTTGCTACATTCTCCCGTTAAGGTCAATGGCCTGCCCTTTGCTTTCAAGATATTCTTATTACATTGACTTACCCGCGGCTATCAATCCAGTTTCAATATCTACATCAAAGCCAAGGCCAAGTCGGAACTCGTTTGCATGGGCATACTCCATAACTGTTTGAGACGAGGCCTGTTGCCGTCCTCTGAAAGCCTTATCAGGTTGGTGGTAGCGGAGATCGTACATGGATAACTGAATTGTTCAGAACTTAGTTAGACAGCGAATAGAATAAAGAAACGAAAGAAAATAAGGATACACGCGTTTCAGGAAATAGATGCGGAGAGGGGATCGTGTCAGAACGACAAGGACATCTTCGGTCTGGGCTTACGCTATTCTTTAGGCCACAGACGAGTATGCGGCAGTCATCCACCTGCTTGATGCCGGTCACTGCGCTTCGATGCCTGAGCCTCAGAGATTTGCCAGAGCTACGCTGGTCGTACAGTCTGACGCTGTTGTCTCTTAGCCCTGCTGCAATAGTTGAAGCTGAGAGGAATTCTAAAGCAAAAACGTCGGTTGGATAATGTATGGTCTTGAGTTCGGTCCAATTGCTAAGTGACTCCTGCAGGAGATTGATCCCGCTGCTTGTACCGATTGCAATATTGCCATCGGTCTTGGAGGGCGCAGAAGTCCAGATAGAAGTTTGCCCTGGAGGTTTTAATAGCACGTGAGCTCCTACATCTAACAGACTACCATCAAAGCATGAAGGGTCAACGAGTTTCGCCAAGTGCACAGTTGATTGCGTCGTTCCGCCTAGCGTTGTTGACATCAACGTCCTGGTTTTTCCGATGTTTACAGAAGTTATCTTTCCAAGTCAATTTTGCGAGGATCTATGGATCAGAAACAGAATGAAGATTTCGTACCTCAGATGCACTCGGTGGAGTTATCAAATGCCAACCGCGGATCTTTGAGTATTCAGGCTCACCATTTGATGACCATTTTGGAGCGATTGACCTAGATCGTATAAGCATATTGATTTTTTGACATGATTGAATCCATACATGTACTTGGAAACCCCTGAGTGAATAGTACCTGAGATGGGAAGCTTGTTAGTGCTTGCCCATACTGAAAAGCCGAGAATAGAGAATTCAAAACATTCATGCGCCAAGGCTGATTGGCGTCCCCTATAACTTGGGAATAACATGCTGGGATTTGTTTGACTCAAACGGACTTACTGAAGAATAACCCGCCGGTCTCTGGATCCCTGGCGAACTGCCCAATCTTCTCTCCTCGAGGATCGGAACTAGAGATGAGACGTTCTGAGGACAAGCCGGTTGCATAAGTCTTCGCCAGTGCCGCAGGTCGCAATTCCTGCCCATGCTCGCGCGGAAGGGAAAGAGCGCCGGCCAAGGGATGATTTAGAATTCTGGAACGAGTGATGCGCATTTTCAGCCGGGCCTCATCCCGCTCATCTCTTTTCCGTTTCTTATAAACAAAAGGGGAAAGTCCCGCCACGTCAATAAAAATGCACCAAACGATGAAAAGAAGATCTAGATTTTCGTGTACATGGACGGCAATGTATCGTTGAGTGATCTGACAAGGGAACAGCAGGTGAGAGATAGTGACTTACTCGCTCTAGATATTGGACTTTTGAGACGTTTTGCCTTGAATATTGTGACGCTGGCGCAGCATGATTTGGAAGGATTTTGAAATATTTCCTTTTCTCCGGATCTGATACACATGGACGGTACAATAGTCAGAAAAAAGATCCACGCGTATTATAGGTGGATTAAAGATTCCCGGGCAAAGCAAGAAAAAGTATCCCGTACCAAAATAATAACCCGGAATTCTTTTCTCCATGTTGTATGGCAAGGTGTTTCTGGCACTTCACAAAATTCTCATAATTGCAACCGATTCTCATACAAGGATCCGAAGAAGCTTTGGAGAGGCGTCGCTGAATTGGGTTCGATATTGGTCCTGGCCAATTGCTCGAATCACCGCAGCGGTGTTTAAAGGATTCGAATGGGAATCGAAATAAAAAGAGACGAAAAATCCTTTTTACGCTTTTCAGACACCTCAAATTTCTACCCGACGACCCTACAAAAAGATCAATTCTAAAAAACCGATCAACGCAGTTCGCTTTCAACGAGACCCTATGACGCCAGGAACGTCAGTTGGGAAAGTACGCGCTAAAGCGGAGCGCGGTCGCTTGCACAGCGCGGCGAATTTCACGAAACATCCTGAGGACTGACTAAGCTTGGCTTGTACTGAGCTGAAAGCTCGAGCACGAATCTCACCATTCAACTTTACAGTACTGTTTGAACAACCAATAACGCATCCTTTGACGTACCAGTAGCCTGCTATTTCCTGTAGCTACATAGGGGCTTAAAATGGGATAAAAGCAAGTCACAATCAGGTATTTGCTGAGGAAGACCATATTGATTTACTGCTATTTTGGACTATGCACATCGTAACCGTGCAACCACGTCGAAGGGGATGGTATTAAAAAAGGGAATAATAAAATAAACAATGAAAAGAGTGGGAATCAGGGGCAAAAATTAAAAAAAAAAGTTCAGAAAACCAACCCCCACTGCTGTACAGGAGTATGAACCGGCAACCGTCTCGCAAAGCCATCTAGGCATGCTTTGGTCCCTAATACAAACATCCTTCTCAAGCATTCTTCTCGTGTTGGGTAGAAACACGTTGAAGGGAAACAACTATGAATCTTGTTAGAGCAACTCTGCCGACGATATGACATTGGGGAGAAAAACTTACCGAAATCCTCCAACGACCGTTGTTTCTGATTCTTCTTCGGAGACTTCCCATGCATGAGGTTGTCGAAACCAACACTGTCCTGGAGGAGATAGTAAATGCCCCCGAGAACGCAGAAGACACCGAATGAGTAGATCCAAATACGGACAACGGCAACGATAGAGGTCTGGCCACCAATAAACCAGCCGAACAAGCAGAAGAACGTTGCGATAATGTCGACGACCAAGATCGCTCCAGTCAGTTGCCATGATGGAATTGAAGACCAGAAGGGGCCATTTGCACGAGTAATGAAGATGAGCCAGTTCTCCGACAAAGATATTTGAAGAAAGAGGACTTCATCACGGACACCAAAGTTCTGGACAATACCACCGTAAACACCCTGGTGCGCTGCATTGCTGTTGTCCTGGTAAGGGAACATGGTTGTGAGAGCAATCCAGGTTCCAACAGCCAGCACCACTCCGAGCAACACAGACATGCCCCAGAGCTTGGGCAAATTCCACTTGACAGGGGTTTTGGAGAAGGGTGCATTATCGTAAGCGATAGCCAACGTGGCAATATCTGCGAAGATGGCGATAAAGACGACCAGTTCCAAGTTCAATGAGTGATTCAGAATAGCAATCCACAGGCCAAGGAAAATCTCCAAATGCAGTGATAGCGCAATGCGGTACACGACGTAGGCGTACATTCGGTGAAAGATCTGTCTGGAGGTTTTCAAGGCGTCAATGATCGCAGACAAGCCTGGAGCTAAGAAGACAATATCAGCGGCTGAACGTGCGGCATCAGAAGCTCCCTCGACGGCAATTCCAGTATCGGCCTTTTTCAACGATGGGGCATCATTGACACCATCTCCAGTCATTGCTACCAGGTAACCACGCTGTTGAAGGATCTCGACGACATTGTATTTATGCTGAGGGAAGACTTCGGCAAAACCATCCGCGGCTTCGACAAAGTCATACACTTCAGAACCAGGCATCTCACCGCCGCCGCCGAGGCCAAGGCGCTCTGCGTTATACACATTAGTACCGAGGCCGAGCTGACGCGAAGTTTCACGGGCGATGCCAACCGCATCACCAGTGAGCATCTTAATTGAAAGACCAAGGGTCTTGGCTTCATTGATGGTTCTAGCTGTATCGTGACGCGGAGGATCAGCACAAGGCATGATTCCAAGAATCTCCCAAGAGCCTTCGCCCCGCTTTCGAGCGACACCAAGGGAGCGGAAACCTCTCGTGGCGAATTCGGCGACCTTATTCTTGTATGCTTGATCAATCTCCTCTGGGATAGGGTGATCCTCTTCCACTGTTTTGAGTACGAACAGCGGGGCACCTTTTACGCAAATGATGCGCTCGCCTTGAGGAGATTCAACAACTGCGCTGACCTTCTTGGATACCGGGTCAAATGGATGAAATTCGAGAACCCTGTACTTCGACAGGACACCCTTGGCGCGAGGGTAGTAACGAAGAGATTTCAGGAAGGCTTTATCAATAGCATCGATACCTTTCTTCTTGCGTGATGCTGCAAGACAAGCCGTGAGCATGAGGTCCTCGGGCTCGACGCCAGCGACAGTGAAAGGCTCAGCGAGGGATAGTTTATTCTTTGTCAATGTACCCGTCCTAGACTTCATGTCAGCTCTGCATTATGATTAGCGGTCTCAGTTGTTCTTACTTGTCAGAGCAGAGAATCTCAACGCCTGCCAGGGACTCAATAGCAGAAAGTTTTTGCACGATGGCCTTCTTCTTGGCCAGATATGCCGCGCCGACGGCCATTGTGGTTGTAACTACTGCTGGAAGACCGACAGGGACACCAATAATGGTGATAGCAAGGGTATATTCGAGGATTCTAACGATGGAATTGTTTCGATAGAATGAGGACACCCAAACGATCAAAAGGGTGAAAATGACCAAGATAAGGAGGACAGTACCGATGCCGTTGAGAACCTCTGTGAAGTGGCCAGTTCCACCAGATGCAGCGCTGACAAGAGCAGCGGCGCGGCCGACGAAAGTACTATCACCTGTAGCGGTGATAACCATGAACGCTTCACCACGTTTGACGGCCGAGGAGGCATAGCAAGTGTCGCCAAGATGTTTGTCAACTGCAAGCGACTCTCCTGTAATAGCTGACTGGTCCACTTGAAGGAAGGCGTCTTCGGTAACGATGCGACCATCAGCGGGAATGATTGTTCCCTGCAGAATTGAGCTGTCATTCATCAGTCCTTCATGGGGGTTTCGAGAATAAATCTTACCTCTTCAATTTGAAGAATATCACCTGGAACGACCTCGGGAGCTTCGACCTCTTGAAGGCGGCCATTTCTTAGCACGACAGCCTTGAGGGCCAAGGTTTTCTTGAGCTCATCCACAATAGATCCCGCTTGGAATTCCTGAACAAAGCCGACCGTGGCATTTAGCAAAAGAAGGGCGCAGATGACACCAAAGTCAACCCAATCTTGCAGACCTGCTGCGAGAACGGCAGCGGCCTACCCATATATGTTAGTAACAGCAACAATCCCGAGGCGTGTATACAACCCGCCGCCGGGCAATCGCGAGTAGCTCACCTCCATGACAAACTGAATCGGTCCGACAAAATAACCCAAGAATTTTAAAATCAGGTTTTCTTTCTCTTCCTTCATCTGATTCAGACCGAACTTTTTACGTCGAGTGAGCACTTCCTGGTCAGATAGACCTTGGCGAGTATCCGTTTGAAGTAGCTCTTCAGATACAGGTCGAGCTCCACCGGCGGCAACGTCCTCGCCTTCCTCTTCCTCCTCTTGGTGCTCGTCTTGAGACTCGAGCTCGTCAATGAGGGCGTCCATATCCTCCTCCTCCTCTTCCTCGTCACCGGGCTCCTGCTTTTGAGGAGTGGTACCAGGGGCGTCATTTTGGCTTTGATAATGGCCAGCCTTCTCGGGATCATGTTGACCATCGAGGCGGCCCGAAGGCACATTAGTGCCGAGATGGTTCGGTGGGGTCGCGTCGGAACTGGCGTTAGACGAGTCCCCACCAGCGGGGTGAGCCCCGGTCGGATTGTCAGCCATGGGGATGGATGATCAATGCGCGAGACGTCTGCGTGATGTGGGGCGCAAAGGACAATCAAGGATGAAGAAAACAAGAATCAACCAACAGGTCACTGGAAAAGGGAAGAGATAGAGGGAATTTGTTCAGCGATAGAATTTTTAAGGCAGTGTGGGAACGTAGAACGTTGTTTGTTTTGGGGAAATTCGCTGCTCTGTTGACAATGTCCGCAAGCGAGCTCGGTCCTGGCTCGACTTGAGCTTATTCTGGTAGCTCTACTCACGAGCGACTGTGCACTGTTTTGTGCAAAGGCAATTGAGACCGCGCACTCAGCGTGCTTGCAGCGATGAGCAGTGGAGAACCCCACGAGCTGTAGAAAGAGGTTGAGGGTTAAACAACAAAGAAGAACGGCACGAAGGATGGATGAGGGAGGAGGGAAAAGGAAAGAAGGAAGGACGGGGAGCGACAAGACTGAGGATATATTCCTGAGGAGGGGAAGCAGTCGGTATATGAACGAACACTAGCGACTAGACCTATGCGGGACAACCGTCTCGCGGGGAGAGGATTTAGGCTTAGAAAACGTCCAATGACAACGAATGAGAATGTTCCGTTGTCCGGACGGGCGCTCATAGATGGCGTAGGAACCGACTGAGGACAAATTTGGGAAAGGTAGAGGAGGGGGGTTGCTCTTTCCTTTGGAGAGTTTCCGACCAAGCTGGTCCGCTGTCCCAAATGCGGATAGCTAAAGCTATATGCCAGATACGTAGTGCTGCCCTTACGGTATGACAATAGTAGCTGCTTGTCCCGTACAGTACCTCTTTCAGCAACCTTACGATGGAACACGTTGCTCTCAGACGATTGATTAAGTCAGACATAGTCATCATAAACGAAAATGCCCCTGATCTCAGAAACAAGGGAAATATTATTGCACTGTAGCTGCCTTGGCCTTCACCAACCCTTCTTCTTGGCCGACTTTGCGCCGAGTTACCTGTTTTCCTTCAGCTGGGCGGCCGAGACTGGACCGGCAAAAGAGCAAGTCTCCTCTACGTATTGCAGCAGACAATGCTTGTGATGTAGTATCATTGTTCTGCAAATATACTGGTATCATCCAACATGGCAAAGTCTACAGCTTCGACAAAAGTTTCAAGCAGAAGTTCATGCATGTTGATCATCGTAGAATTTGTTTTCACAATCGATGGTTGTCGAGGCCGCCATGACAACGCAGGGAATGCTACAAATAGCGGAACTTGATGCAAGTCTCACCAAAGTACCCGAGACTTTCCCCCTAAAAAATCCTAAGACGATTTTCTCGTTAAAGGGCCATGAGGCAAATGGCTCAGTAGCATCGATGACCCCCTGGTTGGCACCGCATACCTTGGCCGTTGACCGGCAGCTTGATCTCCTTCCCTGTCGCCCCCAGAAAGTCATCTTGCAAATGTCTCGATCCCCAAAATGCCGTGACGACTCATCTGCTCAAAATAGTCTAAGAAAGATGCCTGCTCTAGTTCTGATTTAATAACTTGGATTTGGAAGATGGTAGAGCGTATCTTTTGCTCACTTTGCTTTCAATCTAGACACTCATGTTTGGTAAAAAAAAGCTAATTCGTAGTACTCAAATTTGGGGATCTGTGAAACATCTCCGGAAATACGTAAGTAGATCCGAATTTGAGATAGTCAGCTTTTTGACGAGGTCGCAAAGGTTTGTAGAATTGAGGGATCCAGATTCTTAGAGATGGGCAGTGACAGGTCGACAGTCTTGTCTTCCCTGAACCGGAAGCTGTCCATTGTGTAGGTTCGTATAGTGGAAACCTCCCTACCTATCTACCTACCTTACATCAATGGGGCCGCTAGGTGAAACTTTTCTACCGTAGTATGGCTTGACGATAACCTTACGTGGGGGTGTTTGGAACACAGACCAAGCTGGTGTGCATGATACGACGTCGACCAAATGGCACCGCTCGCCCCGCTAGCACAAAGCGATCGAAAAGCCCACCCTTGCACAGCGGCTCGTGCATTTGGTGCATTGATGTGCGTCCACTAGTAGCTCTGGCAACCAATCATGGATGCTGATAGAGCCACAGATGTCGAATAAGAATTTCTCCAACCACCCTACCACAACCCTTTGACACATTTTGTGTAAGCAAAGCAACGGCAAATCTCAGTCGCTTGTGATGGAAAACGCCAGCTCTTCACAGCAAGAAGCCTCAGCGGGCGCTGACCCTGTTTGGCTAGGCGATGTCTTCTCAAGTCAGTGGCTGCAAGACACTCACGTCACCACCGCGTCGTTTAATAATTATTACGTGTCGGCTCGAGCCTCATAATGCTCTTTTACCACCCTACAGTAAAGGAGACGTCCAGTACTATAATATGGGGGAATAGGTCGCATAGCAGCCTACAGTACTGGTTGTTCCCTAATATGATCGTCGGCCCCGGGGTTTTACTCCGCACCTTTATCCGCACATTCGTCTCCACAATTTAAAAGATTTATCGTCTGGGGATGAACCTTTGGGGCAGTTTCGGTGGTGGGGGATCGGCTCGACATCCCCCTCCTCCCGCCCAAGCAAGGTTTTCCCGAAGATCGCGGAAGTTTAGTACGCTTAGCGAGAAAACTGATCTTCCGCACCAAGCCAACGGGTAGAAGGGTTGATAATGCGTTTTCAGATGGAAAGGGTCTTGAACGCGAGCAAGTCCAAGCGAAATGGAGCACAAAAACTCCTCCATTGCAAAGGTTTTCGCCTAAAAAAAAAAGAAAAGAAAAGAAAAAAGGACAAAAACAAGACGATAGTGATTAAGAAAACCGATCGTGAGCGAATGATAGGTATGGCGAGTGAACACCGCAAAGTAGACGACCAAAAGGTTAGTAGAGTGAGTTAACTTATAGATGAAAACATACCGAAATTTTTTCTTTAATTATTTACTAATTTGATCAAAGTAAAATTTCATTTCACTCGGAAATTTAGACCACGTCTGGCTTGAGATAGCTATTGCTGATAAGACACTAAAATTTTCACCAGAGATCATCAATCTTCCGAGGCTAACACACGGTAGTCTCGTGCTATGTTACGACGTAAGGGGAAGTAACTTATCTCACTGAATCAATCGTGAGACAAGAGTCATTAAATTTAAATATTCTTATAATAACACAAGTATTCTCACTCCTTTTTTTTTTCGCCCAGCAAACAGTTGTAAATCAACGCAGAGCTAGTAAATGCCGGATTTCAGGTTGAATCTGTAGGAAACGCCAGCAGTGAAGTAGAAGAGCAAAATAAGAAGCCAAATCCCACTATGTTAGATATCTAGAAGCGAAGTTAAGAGGAAAGATTGAAGGCTCTATGATCAAGTATTATGAAAGCCAGGGAACTCCAAGCGAACGAAACCCATCCAAAGATCATTGCTCGTTCAGGATAGACGCAGCTTGACCGAAATGTTCGAGAGAAGAGACACATACGAAGAGAACCTAATACATTTCCTGCAAATACCAGAGACACCGATAGGACGCACAGCTGAACCTGAGATTTAATCACGGAAAATAAGGACGACGCTTTTGGTTTGAATAGAACGGTCGAGAAGGAAAGAAAAGAGGCCGAGTCAGTGTTGAGTGATCAACTGTTTGATGATAGGCTAACCAAGCCAATTGAGAGCAATCATGAATGGATTCTCAAAATTGTTGGCCCGACTTAGTTTCATCAAAAGAAGGGATTAGCTGCTGTGCCCCGGAGGCGGAGGTTGCGAAGGTGCAGCACCAGGCAACATAAACCCAGGAGGAAGCATGGGCATGCCTCCTGGGATACTGGGAAATTGAAAACCGAAACCAGGGACAGCTGGGGGCACGCCGATAGCATTGGGATTGGAATCCCGGTCTGAGCCGTCGTGACGATCATTGCGACGGTATCTTGAAGTGTTATCCTGAAGAGATCTACTTGAGCGAGGACCATTCTTCCCTCCCTGGTCGGTAGCCATTCGTCGGCTGATTGCTGTAGGGGACGGTTAGTCAAATAAATTGGTTTTCCTGGATTGTAGACGCACCTTTAGATGAGACACCTGCACCAATTTCAATATCAGGCTCCTCAACGGATAAGCCACCCTCGATTTGCTTCCCTCCAGATCCACCATATTCAGCAGTAAGCATCCATTTTCGATCAGCATCGGTCAATCGATCGATGGGTATCACACTGATTCCACTTTGATAATCGCTGCAGTCACGTGGTCCAAATCCGACTCCCCAGCGAGTCTTTTCAAGTCAGCAATGCACTAAAACATGTTGCGATTCTTAAAACTTACCCGTAACTGCATTTCAGTTGATTTGAAATGTTCCATGCCCTCTTTCGCAGCTACGGCGTCTCTACGCGAAAACATCTTGACAAAGGCATGCCGTTTGTCGGTATTCACAATACAGGTCTGTACTTGACCAAACTTGGAGAACACTTCACGAAGTTCGCGCTCAGAACACCTAGAGTTTGTTAGATAGTAATTTTATATCCGTACAGGGATTACTTACGTAACGCCGCCAACAAAGAGGGTTCTGCTAAGAACTTATAAAACAATCAGCTTCTTTGTTCAAGATGCAATACCAGACATTCTTTACCTTTGATGTTGCCTTGTCCTATCGTGTAGTCGTAGTCGACCCATTTTGGCATATTTGGCGGCGGAGCGTCAAATGGCCGAGAAGGACTAGGACTGCGATGCTGTCGAACAGACGGGGGACTACGTTGCCGATAGTCATTGCCTCTACCACGACCGCTCTTAATGCGGCCTCGTCGGTCATAGTTGTCACCCCGCTGAGCATTACGGGCAGGTGAATCTCCACTGTATTCGCCATATACGGGGCTGTCCCGGCGTCGAGGAGGAGTCTCGCGACTGCGGCCCCAGTCGACAGGTGACCGGGACCGAGAGCGACGATACTGATGGTCAGGTGTGCGAATGTGAGTCTCAGCTACGCCGTTCCGATCACGTGACACCATGTCATTCCTTCCCCCCCAAGCATTCGGATCAACTGCTTGAGGCCATGCATTAGGGGCAACATTACTGGCTGCTGGTACTGGAGTAGCAGAGACTGCAGCAGCAGCAGCACCTTGATTGAGAGCACCCAAAATCGGGCCCCACTGCTCTTGAGGGATACCTGCTTGTGCGAGTCCTTGGAGAAGCATCAACTGCTGCTGCAAAATATCAGACCCCCCGCCTGGATTTGCTGCAGGAAGCATAGTTGCTAAAGCTGCGAGGGGATTAGGTGCCGCAGTAGCAGGGACCTGAGAAGTACTATTCAATGCCGGAAATTGTGGTGCAGTTACTTGGCCGCTCGTAGGCATGTTTACAGGTGGTGCGATCGGCGGCAACGGAGCCTGAGTTACGGACGAAGACACTTGGTGCGGAACTGCATTCTGTGCATTGGTTACATTATTTGAACTATCCTGTGGCGGAAAAGGTGTCGTTGAAGATGCCGCTGGGGTCTGTTTAGCCATATTTGCCAGTGCTGCCAATATAGCAGAGGTGTTTGGTGCCGAAGCTGCTTGCGTTTGTTGCTGATGAGGCTGTGCTTGTTGCAAATTGAGGGATTGCTGCAGGTCCCGGGGCGGCGATCCTTCGGGCGTTGTTGATTGCACCACTACAAGATAATATTTATCAGACTTCGGGGTTCATCAAGCACGAAAAGAATTTATGAGTTCTTACTTTGTGGAAGCGGGGCGTTGAGCTTGTCTTTGAAAGACAAAAGCATTTGTGCCGGAAAAGTATTTCCACGCTCCCAAATGTCAACGAGCTTCTTTATTTTCTCCTGTACACGCATGGGAATGAGTAAGTTGGGCTCATCAAATTGAAAAGGCACTGGGTAGTCAACTGCAGCAGAAAGCCTATCCTCGAGGTGCTCTTTGCGCGTATCCTCGCAACAAAACGCTCGGCCTTTTGAGCAATACATTAAATAGCGTACCTTTTGGTCATCGGGCGCAGATTGTATGATATCAGTCATCAGCACGGGAAGCAGTTCCGTTACTCTATTGACACCAGCAGCGAAGGTGCCATCTGGTACGGTATTGCCAAATGCCTCGCCGGACTTTCTTGCCTGGTCTACCCACTGTCGGGTTACAGAATCTACGACGTAAAGCACGCCTAACTTGTGTGTTCCAGGTGTTTTCTTGAAATGTGTGTAGAGTTTCTGGACGATTACGGACTCGGACTATAGATCAAAGACCAGTTTAGCTTGTGGTATAAACATGCTTTGCAGAACAAATATCTCTTACCTGAACATTCGTGACACAGAGGGCCGTTATACTGTTTATCTTTGATCCAGACACTCCAGGAGGTTTCAATGATTGCATATAATGAAGAGCTGCATCCAGCTCTGTTAAGACTGTTGACGACATGATTGGTCCACTCAAAAAAGAGATTATCTCTCAACTCATCAAAGTTCAAATGCGAATGGCTCAACAAAGGTCTTAATGCGATACGCGGTTCGTGGCTGTATCAGAGCCGCGTACGCAAGTCTTTGGGAAGGTGTAATCGCAAGTGGAGTGTAAAATATTCAGCAGTGCTTGAGCTACTGCACTCTCGCGCGATCGTGTCACCAACGTCGAAAATCCACACTGCAGTGGCTACAAGTTATTCGCGCGACTCCAGCCTCAGAGAGCGAGAGGTGGACGGCTAGCGAGTATCCTTTACTTGTCTTCAATACGTGCAATGTTAGATTAGACTCTATCGAGATAAAGCGGCAAATATATGCTGGTACGGCTGATGAGAGGGGAGAGTCGGCTGGAGGATTGCAATCAGGTAGGGTTGGTTTATAAGGCGAAGAACCTTGAAGCGAAGTGTCCGAAAGCGACTACAATCACGTGATGTGAATGCCCGCAACAATAGGCGATGTGTAAAATTACTCCATTTTTGTGCCTTGAGCGAAGGGAGCGAACAATCCGACGAAGATATTCGGAAACCCCGTTGCTTCTGAACAATTCCGGGTTTGATTCAAAGACTTTGTTTCTGAGCATAAACTGAGGAAACACGCCCAAGTATACCTATTTTACCCTCAATGAAAAGCACGTGATCTCATGATTTGACTTCCCTTACTCCGTAATTCATCTTCACCAATGCATGCGGGCACTTTAAGCGGGATACGGAGTATGGAGCGAGGTTCAAGCTCGGCATTCCTTCACTTAGTAACTCTGCGGCGTCAGAGCACATGTTCACGGCGTACTTATTTGGAAATTGAAATACTTCATGAATTTTTGGGTTTCCTGTCTCCATTAATGCATGGCAGGAAATGGCAGTGAAAAGAATGTTGGGAATATGCTTCATATTTGTAGATGCTGATATCGTTTATTTTCAGCTTTCGCCAGCAGAATGGGAGACTGTTTCGGGGTGGTTCTCCCCATCGTGCTCCGCTACAGCATTCCGCCCAGGCCTATTATTGGTGGACCAGTAATGGCTGGGGCTTCGTTAAAGACGTCAGGGAGGGTTGCCGAGAGAGGTCCTCCAGTCCTCCGTGGAGCTCCACTAGTTGCGCCCGCGACTAATTCCACCCTCTTCCTGCTAGACACTTCCTTCTGCGAGCTCTCATCAATCCAACTCCCCATTAGCTGTAAGCCATGGCTTCATCAATGCGTATCAGCTCAAACATCCTCCGGTCTCCTGTGACCGCTCGCGCTCTCCCTGCGCGATCGGTGGCCTTCAATGGCGCTCGGTGCTACTCCTCTGCGAAGGCCAAGGTTAGTTTTTCAACGTCACGGGTCTTTCGGCATCGATCGGTTACTAACAGAAATTGCCTCTGTAGTCTCTGAAAGACACCTTTGCTGAGAAGGTGCCCGAGGAGATTGAGAAAGTCAAGAAGCTGAGAAAGTAAGTGTTAATTCTGTCACTCTTCTGGGCTGAGCTGTGCACTCACATCGATCTGTAGGGAGTTCGGTTCGAAGGTTATCGGCGAGGTCACCCTCGACCAGGTTTACGGCGGTGCTCGTGGTATTAAATCCCTTGTCTGGGAGGTGAGGATGGAATTTTTCCTGATCAATTGCTCAGTAATTGGTTTTGCCTAACCTTTTATAATAGGGCTCGGTGCTTGACTCCGAGGAGGGAATTCGTTTCCGTGGCAAGACGGTCAGTAGCTGCCTTTCGGTTTGTTTTCGCGCTCGTCATATGCTGAGTAGTACTTTAGATTCCTGAATGCTCGGAGCTCCTTCCTAAGGCCCCTGGTGGCGAGGAGCCTCTCCCTGAAGGTCAGTACGCCGGCATTGAATCGTTCCGAGTGAAATGTCCCTAACCGGTTCCAGGTCTGTTCTGGCTGCTCTTGACCGGCGAAGTCCCCACTGAGCAGCAAGTTCGCGATCTTTCTGCCGAATGGGCTGCCCGCTCAGATGTTCCCAAGTTCATCGAGGAACTTATCGACCGCTGCCCGAGTGACCTTCACCCCATGGCGCAGTTCTCTCTTGCTGTGACCGCTCTTGAGCATGAGTCTGCTTTTGCTAAGGCTTATGCCAAGGGTATTAATAAGAAAGACTATTGGTCCTACACTTTTGAGGACTCTATGGACGTCATTGCCAAGCTTCCGACTATTGCGGCCAAGATCTACCGCAACGTCTTCAAGGACGGCAAGGTCGCCGCTGTCCAGAAGGACAAGGACTACAGTTTCAACTTTGCCAACCAGCTTGGTTTCGGCGAGAATAAGGACTTTGTTGAACTGATGAGACTCTATCTCACTATTCACTCTGATCATGAGGGTGGAAATGTTAGCGCTCACACCACACACCTTGTCGGCAGTGCTCTGAGCTCTCCCATGTTGTCCCTCGCCGCTGGCTTGAACGGTTTGGCTGGCCCTCTTCACGGACTGTAAGATTGTTGCGGCGAGATTATATTTGACTTTTCACTAATTTTATTTTTAGCGCCAACCAGGAGGTCCTTGGCTGGCTCCAAAAGATGAAGAAGGCCATTGGCAACGATCTCAGCGATGAGGCCATCAAGAACTACCTCTGGAGCACTCTGAATGCTGGCCAAGTCGTTCCTGGCTACGGCCATGCCGTCCTCCGCAAGACTGACCCTCGCTACGTCGCCCAGCGCGAGTTCGCACTCCGCAAGATGCCTGATGACCCCATGTTCAAGCTGGTCAGCCAGGTCTACAAGATCGCCCCTGGTGTTCTTACCGAGCACGGCAAGGTACGTATCATTTGATACCGCATACGTCTTCCCTACCTCCAAATCCCTTATGAGGATTGCGACCACTTCTCTCCCTACGTCACAAGCTATGACCTGCTTTCTTGATATTTATTTGCATTACTAACATTTTGATACTCTGTTGCAGACCAAGAACCCATGGCCTAATGTCGACTCTCACTCGGGAGTCCTTCTGCAATACTACGGTTTGACGGAAGCCAACTACTACACCGTTCTTTTCGGTGTCTCCCGAGCCCTCGGTGTTCTGCCCCAGCTTATCATTGATCGTGCTCTGGGTGCCCCGATCGAGAGACCCAAGTCCTTCAGCACTGAGGCCTGGGCCAAGCTCGTTGGTGCTAAGCTCTAAAGATGTGCAAACTATGTGGGTGCGGGGTAGCAAGAGAATCACACTCGGCTTCCTTCCTCATTTGTATTTAGCCACTAGTCCTTGCAAAATGAAATCACGCATTGCATTCTCGCCAGCTTTTCATATTACTCGTCTAAATGCTACTTTACGGCGATCGAACCGATGCATGGCCTACTTGCGAGTATAGCCCTTACACACCTCTCGTCCTTGTTTTCCTGTCCATAGATTCCGGACAGGACTGATATGAATTTCTTTCGATGAATCTATCCCGAAATTTTGATGGTCGTAATGCACACAGTTACTCACCGTGATTGTCCAGCTGAAGCTTTTTCCGATATGTCAGGGGCAGATTTTGTACAAAACCAATTATTTCACTTCACAAAAGAAACTTAGCAGAACGTGAGATTTAAGAGAAGGAACAACGACCATTGAGATAGGTTGTTGACGCTGAGACTATCTTTAACACACCATTTTGATCAATGTATGAAAATATTAAGATGGATTTGACTGTTAATAAGAGGGAAGTTGACACATGCTGGCGGCAAGGAAGACCAAAATGGAATGCGTGAAGCACAATTGTAATTCATATGGAGAACTTTCTAATGAAATACCATGCATCCTGACGAGGGCTGCCAGCCTTTTGCATTTGATTACTCCATGCAATTTCGCTGAAATATAAGGAAGAGAAAAGCTCAGAGGTGAACCTCCTTAGGCCTGCCAATCAGACGATGCTGATACTCCTCTAGAGCTACGGGTAAGACTTTTCTGATGGGCACATAGTAACAAAATCAGAGCCAGATTTATATCTTGGTGGAATTCTGGACACCTGTCAATAAATGTTGCAAGAATCATCAGCGTGAATGCATCCATTGTTGTGCTTGGAAATGGTGTTCTTCCAAAGGCCTTCGTCCTACGCAAGTGTCATAACAATCACCGAGATCAACTTATTACTGATTGAGGTAAGGTACACCTTGATGGAACCAAAGCATTGAGGAGAGATGTGGATAGAGGAAATAGTGGCTGTGGAAGGTATATTAAGCGAAGGTATCGTATGATTGCGAGCGGTTTGGAGGGTCTGAGGTTACTGTCAAACCTGCAATTCCTTTCTACGCGTTCAAAAACTCGTAATGATAATCCAAGTAATCTCTTTTTACCCGCTTAATATTACGTTCGTGGGTGGTGGGCTCTGGACGAACTATGAAAGTGACAAGCCGTTGAATCCCCAGCGACTCAACAGGAGACCGATTGGGGACTTAGCGCATGATTGTAAGCCAATGGTATCGCGGATATTGCTGACCTGGTCTCCCCCTGCGACGACCTCCGATTCCCGATCCGCCGGCCACCGAAGCCAAAATGGAAACCCCGGTAGCATCCCGGGTTCCGCTTGTCGCCTTATCCCTCAGGCTCATTGTTTTCTCTTCTGGTGCCTTAGCTAAAAGTCCTTGGGGGGCTTGGTGAATTGCCAAGCGTGCCCTCGGTGGCAGAGCCTCACCCTTGTCTCCAGTACCTCGTCGGGCTACTCATCATTACCATCAGTTAGCCTTACTCAGGGTCCAAAACCCGCAGTGCTCCAGAGAGACAAGTTGAGATTGACAATCTCAATGATTGGTTCCCCCTTCGAAAACCAACAGAGTCTCCCCGCCCGGAGTACGATCCCAAGCTAGGAGTGATTGGGATGAAATATCAGCTTGTCGCAAGTGAAACGCGATCATATTCCCATACCCATGATATTTTGAGCACGATACAGAGTACCGATACCTCGGGCTTGCGGTCGTTGAGCGTTGATGGGGACTCACCACCTCCGAGTCTCTCCGGCGAGCGAGCAATGGTCTGGCCTGCTGGGCAAAAAGAAAGGAAGATCGTCCTTCTGTTCGCCGGTACCGGTACTTACCGAGCAATGAACGAATGTTGGATTTTTCCCCTTTGCTTTTGGGCGAGAAAAAGACTCCCGCGGTTTCCCTACAGGCCGCTAAGGTGGATCACCCACACCGTCATCCAACCCACACACTCACACCCCTACCTTGACGGGGTACTACTCTATGTCTACATGCCAAAAGTTGCCCTGTAGTTTGTCGTAGTCTTGCTGTCTATCTCGTAGCTGATCTGAGCTCGCGAATTCCCCCCCCCTCGGACCCGTAAGCTGGATTGAACTAAATAATATTGTCCTCCCACGACCGCCTCTTTCTTGTCTCTTTCTTCTTGCCATATCTCCAAAGGACATCAACGTCGATAGTTCACTCCTCTCCGGTGTTATCCACCGTATTCCTTCCACAACTCCCCTCAGCGACGAAGCGCCAGTCTTCCCTTGGTCAGGGCCCCTTTCAGAACACCCTTTGCCAGAATGTCCGCCGTAGCCCAAGGTGTTGCGCAACCCGTGGCGCCTGCCGCGCCCCCGAAGCTCGAAAAGAAGCCGGTCAAATTCAGCAATCTGCTGCGTGAGTTAATCATCGAGCTAGCACGTGAGTGTTGATGTCTGACAAAATGCTAATTTCCATGGGTAACAGTGGGCGCTGGGTTGAACCTGTTTGAGTAAGTGACATGTCAACGACAATGTGTAATCAAAGGACACGAATGATTGCTGACATCTGAAATCAAGAGTCACTTCCTTGGGACAGGTGAGATTAGCGCCACATACAAGGACGAACTTTTCTCGGGACGGCTCATACTGACATGAGGACTTTACAGCCTTTGGAGGTCATCAAGACGACCATGGCCGCCAACAGGAAAGATTCGTTCGCAGGTGCTATGAGACGCATCTGGGGACGTGGAGGAGTTCTCGGCTGTAAGTGCTTACATACCCAAGCGCTTTGAAGCGCGATAGTGTCTACTTGGTTTTACTTTAAGAAGAGCCTCTGGAGCTAATTTTCAACACGAACAGACTACCAAGGGTTGATTCCATGGGTACGTTTTCCAGAGCGCCTGAAGCTCAAGGCCACGATTCGGCAGGCGCTTGCACGCAAAGTGCGCACAACTATTTGCTAACTGAGTTTCCTCGCCAGGCCTGGATTGAAGCCTCTACCAAGGGTGCCGTGCTGCTCTTCGTCGCGTCGGAGGCGGAGTATGTCGCGAAGAGCTTTGGCGCCAACGACTTTGTCGGTGGTATTTCGGGCGGTATGGCTGGTGGCATTGCGCAGGCGTACGCCACGATGGGTTTCTGCACGTGCATGAAGACAGTCGAGATCACGAAACACAAGATGGCCGCTCAGGGCGTCAAGCCCCCCAGCACTTTCAGCACCTTTGCGGACATTTACCGCAAAGAAGGTATTCGTGGAATCAATCGTGGAGTCAACGCCGTTGCTATCCGTCAGACTACCAACTGGGGCTCTCGTTTCGGTCTCTCGCGCTTGGCTGAGTCGGCCATCCGCAAGGTTACCGGCAAGGAGGAAGGCCAGAAGCTGAGCGCCTTCGAAAAGGTTATTGCCAGCGGTCTCGGTGGTGGCCTTAGCGCCTGGAACCAGCCCATCGAAGTCATCCGTGTCGAGATGCAGAGCAAGACCGAGGACCCCAACCGGCCGAAGAACCTCACCGTCGGCAAGACGCTCAAGTACATTTACAGTAATAATGGAGTCAAGGGTTTGTACCGTGGTGTTACCCCACGTATTGGTTTGGGCGTTTGGCAGACTGTTTGCATGGTTGCATTGGGCGATATGTATGTTCTCTTCTCTTCCCTCAGTCGCCATTGTCCCCTGATGCGCTGAATGGCGGGAATGAATCTTGTGCTAATCATTGTGACACCACACAGGGCCAAAGAAGCTGTTGAGAAGCTCACCGGCGAAGCGGTTACGGCTAAGCATTAAGGCGTTGGCGGTTCTTTTGTTTACACTTTCGGCTCAGGGTCCGGTCCCGAAACGTGTTGAGTTTTTCTTGTTGACATTGTCAGATGTTGTTATTGTTTTTGTCGTCGTTCAACCTTTGTCGAGTAGCAGTACACCGGCAGGTGGGGCGGACGACTCAGGCAGAGCACGGGGCAACCGATTGGGAAGACCAGGCACGCGCGGGCCCGCGTGCATGAAAGCCGTTACAGCGCAACTACCATATTTTTTCTAATTATCACAACCGTCATCATCCTCGACGTCATCCATCCCGACTTATCAGGGATAAGAGCGGAGGGAATTGGTGGAATTTGCCATTTTAATCACAGTTTGAAACGATCGATATAAATCTAGATATTCTAATTAAGATCTGTTTATTCAAATCCATTGTTCCAAAATGCATATTGTTCCGCTAAAGATACGGAAAGTTCGAAAGAACAGGGAAACGTAACCTGCGAGCGCTGGCGCTAGATTATATGTCGGCCTTGGTTAAAAACAAAATAGAAACATATGTAGGTTCTAAGATTAATCCGTTTTCGCCTCTTGCAGACGGAAATGATATATGCATTTGCACGAGAATAATATGATGCAGCAGTACAAGCACATGTCCAGTTGTCCAATTTCGCAAAGTCCCGCTTATACCAAAGTCTGCCTCATTCGCATTGTCACACACCAACGTTCTTAAAAGACTTCTATAAGAGAAAGAACAATGAATGAAGAGGAAGAGATGGAATGTATGAACAAGAAAAGTATAATATCCCAAAGGGTGATTCAGAAGAAAAAAGTTGTAGGAGATCCTTGGTCATGTCGCGAATGCAACCAAGTAAACGTGAAAGAGGGAAACTAAGGGGGAGGGGGGGGGGGGGGAACTAGAGCACTGCATCAAGCACTTTGCGCCGGAGCCGACTAATCTCTTCTTCTTTGTCACGGAGTTTTCTCTCCAAAGCAAGAACTTCAGACCGGTCATGCGATTGCAAAGTCAGCGAACCTTGGTGAGGAGTTGGTAACGCAGAGCCAGACATATGGACACCTGATTCGCCAACTGAACTGGAACCAATTCGGGACGGTGCTGAATTATGTGCGTGTTCGATGCCGCCTGCGGCTTCGTTGACCGGATTGCTGCTGTTGGCAGTGCCGACGTGGTTGGAGGAAGGAGTGGAGGGTCGGTGGGCTCCGCTGCCGAATCTGTCCTTGGCATGGATGTCGATGATCCCGAGACCCGTTGATTCGGGCTCTGAAATTGTGGTAGGACGTGCCGGCCCATCGCCTGGTGGCGGTAGAGAGAGGGTTAATGAAAACATGCCGGATAGAGGCCCCTGGCGAACGATCCAGGAGAGTTCGTACAGAGTTTCGAGAGGGTGTTTTGTATTTTGTCCATCATGCCGAACCCCATCTGGTCTGCTCGAATGATTATTTTTGTTGGCACTGACCACGGTCTGTGCTTGCGTCCGGCGGATGCGCAGGCCATCCATCATTCGGCGTACCGGAGATGTACTTGTTGATGCGCCTAGCCATGCAATGGCGCTGCCGAGGAACATGTGCTCATGCATGGAGCTGCTGGGAAGACGCCTCAGGCTTTGAACTAGCACCCTTGCCAGAGCCTGCGCTTCGTCAAATGCAATAGCTTGTCTGTCTTCTGGTTCCACTTGGAGGAATCGAACTGCAATGTCTTGTTCTAGTTCGGCTACTGTATAAGCTGGGGGATTGAATCGTTGCAGCGGTTGCGATTCGAGATGATGTGGTGATGGAGTAAAGAGGTCAGTTGTTGGTGGTCGAGTGGGAGGCGTTGACGTGGAGTGAAGTGGGTGGGCGCCGTCAGTCGAGCTGACTGCTGGTAATTGCGGTATAGGATGAGTGTTTCCATGTGGAACTTGTAGGTATAGGCGGCTCGGCCGTCCCTCTCCAGGACGTAGATGTCCGCCTTCTGATGGGGGTATTGGAGGGGTTGGGAAATGCGGAGAGGACATCGATCCAAGGTGAGTTACGACGGGAGGCGATGCTGCCGTACCGTTTGGAGGGTCAAGGGCTGATCCATCCTTTTCCTTGCCATGAAGAGGGAAAGTGCTATAGGGCCCATCGCGCACGGACCGATTCCCTGGCGGTCTTCCCCTTTGCTTACCAGTCGATGAGCTTACGCCACTTGGCCATGCCGACGATACGGCTGGGCCGTGGCGTCTTCGCACCTTAGGTCTGCCGATCGACGATGGTGGGATTGCGGAGTGCGGCTCAGAGAAACCTGGATCCGGCGGATAGACGGTGCTAGGAGTGATTGCGGATAAAGGATGTGGTGTTGTTGGGGTTTGGTCAGGTGCATTTAGGCGCCAACGGAACTGCTGGCCGCCGGGGGTCGAGGGCAAGGGATAAGACGATGTAGCTTTATAAGCTGCTAAGTCTGCTGGAGTAACGGCCGAAGCAGCCGCCCAAGGGTCGACATGATCGACAAAGCGCTCGAGGAAATCGGGATGGGCAGTGGGAGGCATTGCGCTGTGTGGGAAGAGCGCCGAATGCACAGGTCCATAGCCTTCTAAGCTCGCAGTCGGCACCGAGGTATCTAGTCGAAGACGCTTTGACGGTGTCTCGTCATCGTCGGGCTCATTATCCTTTTCAGCTTTTCGTCGGCCCCGCTTGGGGCGCGACTCTGGATGTAATGCGCGAAGCGCAAGGTCTTCCTCTGGGGGCACGCCATCGCGGCTGTAGTCGGCATTGAATGTATCCGGCAGGGGAACTTGTGTGTAATAACCATGATATTTCCCCAAGCAGTATGCCGAAAATGCATCGAGGTGCATGGCATGAAGCCATCTCTGATAACAAGCTTCATGTTAATAAAGAGTATCACAGGGACATTCCAGGGCGCTTCCGCAATATAATTGCAAGCGCAAGTGTCCTTACCTTCAGCCTCACAGCATATTGCTGAACTTTCTGGACACTTTGGTTCTTTTCCGCCACTGGCGGCTCAACTCCTAATTCAAGCACCAATTGCGTCCAGGTTCTGATTTCCCCAGTTTCTAATTTCCGAATCAATTCCAGCAGTGTAAAGGTTCCAAAGGTCTTGCCATCGCTCCTTGGAGGAGTACGAAAAGCTTTTCGTAACTCAGTCGTATCTGTATCGAGCGGAACTCCTGGGTTGCAGTAAAGAATGAATGCAACAAAAGCATCTTCAACCGTTTCTTCTGTGGCGCCTCGCGGAGGCAAAGAACGATCAGTGGGTCTTGGAGAGGAAACCATTTCATGCTTTTGAGACTTTTGTGCACCGTTCAATTCCGTAGGGGCCAGAATAGTTGAACTTCCGGACATTCGAGCGACATGGCTGTCGGTCGGCTGTCGCGTCTGCTGTGACTCTAGTGTGCCATTGTCTGACGGCTTGGTGGTTTCCATCAGAGAAAATGAGCCCTCTGAATGATCGGGCTTTGTTGTTGTCGATCTTATATCCTCAGCGCCAGGTGAATTATCTAGGCTCTGGGAAGGCTGGCTTCGATAGTCATCTGGGGGGAATTCCGGACTGGCTGAGGATTGGGAACGCGAATCGCCGTTTTGCTGTTCGCGGCCATAGCGAGGCAGAGGCTGATCACGGTCGTGTGGCGAAAGGCGGCGTAAGATTGTTTCCTCGTGATCCTCGGCCGGCGAGGATCGAGGAGAGTTGAATTGAGACTCCATGACAAGTCGGCGGCTCGAGGTCCTAGCTTTACTGGAGAATCTGCAATGGTTGCCGGAGAGCAAGTGCGGATAACGCAGTCACTGAATGCGATGCCCGTTTGAATAACAAGCACAAAAGCATTGTTTAATACTCGGATTCTCGAAGAGCTTCGACCGGAGCAGCCGATGGAGCGACGAATCACAGAAAATGTTGAAAGTAAACTGGTTGTTTGTCCATAGACGTCGCGAACCACGTTGTCCAAGGGAAATTATTGACCTACGGTTCACTCGCGGGGCATCTCGCGGCGAACCGAGCGAGCTGGGATCGGACCTCTAAGACAAGCTCTCCTCCACCCGAAACCACCGACACGATATACTGGGCCACTAAAGATATATCTGCGTTGCTGTTTGTTGTAAAATATGACGAGTATCACTTGAGCTAAATTCTTTCTCTCCCTTATGATTAAATGATAGAACAGCCCAGGATCGCACATAGAAAGAAGCTCTTGGTCGTTTAGGAGACCAGCAATTAACCCAGCAAGGCCATGTTCGTTTCATGTAACTAGCTCAATTGTACTCAGCCACCTTGGTTACTATTTCTAGCTTGCTAAAGGTACCTTCATGGAAGTCAGACATGATAATTCAACCGAAAGCAAGATAAATTATAACCACAGCAAAGTCAATTCCCATGTTGCTTAAATGAGCATGGCCTTGCACTCTCTCGACATGAAGAAGCATACATCTTGCAAGGTACTATCTCTAAAAAGTAGCAAGGCATGGAAACTATAGAACTATTAAAACTAGTCCTTTTGATATATATAAACAAATGACTTATACAGATATATTTGAGTAAAAGATTTAAACTTTATATAAAAGAAATAGAAAACTATACTTGTCTTACAGTACATAAATATAAGTCCTTGTCAAATGATTTATAATTAGAAGCAAGAGTATCAAGTAAATTAAAGTATATTTGTATCCTTTTGCTAATGAAATTAAATTACCTTTAGAGACTTAAAGATAAGAAGATTATACAATCTAGATAATATATTTCCAGTAGGAGAATATATGTCCTGACAGCTTTGTCATATTCTCCTTTTGGTCTTCACATGATCTTTTCAGTTCTGGTTTCCTAATTGAGTGTCAATCCTTCCTGATTCAGGTGGTGAGTGGTGGACTACGGCCTATAGAGATTTGGAACCTCGGCATCCGGCATCTCGGGCACTTTCCCTTCCCCAGATTTTGCAAAGAAACCTAAATTAACCTGCCCAGTTCTAAGTTAGTAGGTGACGGTCGCTGTACAGCAGCCGTCCCTGCCCATGCCCAATCACCATTTGCCTGTCACATCTGCAATGCAGCTAATTCTTCTTCACCCTCCATTACACCTATGGTCGGCTCTCCTCGAGAAAATCGCACATGGGCGAAAGCCCTTTTTTGTTGCGAGGAGTGGAACAAGTAGAAGACTTAGTGTGTTGTTCTCCCCTCCAGGAATCTTATCCACTAGGGCGGCTCTTGCTACGGCTAAGCTGCAGTGCATATGCTGATCAGCCTAGGCTAAAGCTATGCCCAAATGCCCGTGCTTGTGACCTTCAAAATGAGCTTCCGATCCTCATTTCCCCTCCCATCATCCCCCTCATCTCTTCTAGGGGTTTTATGCGACGCCTCGGGTGAAGATATTGCGAATCCATAATTACCAAAATCAACTTTTTCTCCACTTCAATTTACACATTTTTTGAATTGTATCGAGTATCACTTTGTAGAAACATCGCTGTCTGTCTCAGCTAACGCAGCACCAACCAATTGTACAATTATCAACATTATGTCCGTCACCAACGGTGCTGCAGACCAACAAGGGGAAAAGTCCTCTGTGTCTGCTGCTGCTGCGCAACAGAGCGACAACATTGCCCATGCGCTCGCAGGTGCTGGGGGCGGACTTCTGTCTATGACTTTGACGTAAGCTCAGCTTGCTTCTTCGCTGTCATCTACATGAGATGGCTTTGATCGGCGGCTTTCTAACCAGACTTTTAGTTATCCACTGATTACTCTCTCTACCCGTGCTCAAGTGGAGTCAAAGCGCGCAAAGTCGACGACGCTTGATGCGGTTCGACAAATTGTTCGACGAGAGGGCATCGCGGGCCTATATGCTGGCCTTGATTCGGCTCTCTTTGGAATCAGTGTGACCAATTTTGTCTATTATTATTGTAATTTGATCCAATCTTTTCCGCGAGTGCCATGCACATTAAATCAGACTGACACCCCCACTTTCTAGGGTATGAATGGACCCGCGCTGGCTTTGAAAAAGCCGCGCTTAAGGCCGGGCGCGCCTCCAAGAAGTTGACCACCATTGAATCCATCATTGCTGGAGCGCTTGCCGGCAGTGCCACCGTTCTCATAACGAATCCTATATGGGTCGTGAATACGCGCATGACTGCCCGAAGCTCTTCCTCAGAAGATCAGGCTCTGCCGGGCGCAAAGCCCAAGAAAGCCCTATCGACTATTGGCACTTTGCTGTCACTCATTCGAAATGAAGGCTTCTTAGCCCTCTTTGCCGGCGTCATTCCTGCGCTGGTTTTGGTAATCAATCCAATCCTTCAGTATACAATTTTCGAGCAACTGAAAAACGTCTTGGAACGACGGAAGAAGGTGACCCCCACTGATGCCTTCTACCTTGGCGCACTTGGCAAATTGCTGGCAACTACCATAACATATCCATACATTACCGTCAAAAGCAGAATGCATGTTGCGGGCAAAGACGGACCAAAAGAAGATATGTCTGAAAGCCTCAAAAAGATTATTCGGACAGAAGGGTGGGCAGGTTTGTACAATGGTACGTGTCCAAAAAAGGTGATTCTTTGACTCGAGACTAACTCTTATCATAGGAATCGGGCCCAAAATCACGCAGAGCGTTATCACTGCAGCATTCCTTTTTGCCTTCAAGGATGCCCTTTATGAGATGAGCGTCAGGGCCCGTAGGGGGCTGACTACACGATGATACAATGTCGAAAAAGTATATACTTCATATAGCTCATCAAGAACCAATTCAATTTGCAGATTTTTTCAACGGGCCGTGTTCATCCTGTCCTGCGTGGACCAGATCATAATGGATATTCTGTTGCAAAACTAGAATTTCGATGCCACAAGGAAATTTGATACATTGTACCACTTGTCAGCCAATTCTTCTGAGAATTACTATTATTCTTTCATAGATCCACATAAAATAACTCGAGACTCGACGACACACTCCCATCAGTTCTGCAAGTATAAACACGACAGTATTTAAGGGTGGCATGAATGTTCATTTGATATATACACACGTCTGCTCAGTCCTCACCGAGTCTCCATTACATGTATCCATCTGAAATGAAATAAAAAGAAAAAGAAAAAGAAAATAATGAAATGAAAGATATGTTCATGAAAAAATGTTCACGGATCCCGTGCACGTGGTAACTAAATTCAAAGACTGACAATTGAAGGCGGTGACTCTCGGCATGTTCCGCTATACGATTTGAGATTATATTGCTCCCAGAGAACAACTACCATTCTGGAGGCTCAGGCGCGTCCAACCCCAATCGCGCCGTCAATCCTCATACATACACTTGACATAAGCTTATAGACACGCAGCTCACTTCCAAGGATGATATCAGCTCGTTCTTACAGTTCAGGAAGCGTGGAGCTTGAAGCCGCTTCTTCGTCTTCATAATGATGCCTGCCGCAACGTAAGCATATACCAATGGGCGCGATATGACAAACATCTTCAACACGCCAGCAGGGTTCTGCATACCAGACAAACTAAGAGTTTCGCAGGACCTTATATATGACAGATGAAAGGCCGCTCATTGACTTAAACAATGACGACGAATTGAATTTCTTTCAAGGGGAAGCTCGAGCACAACTCCCCAGTCTCTCTCGTTTGAGGAATGGCCTGGATGGCAGCAGTTTCGATTCGCCCCACAGTTTCCATGTGAGAGACTTCCTACCGCGTGCGACGGCGAACAGGAAGCAACCATTTGATCAACGAGCTTTCCAAACCCCTGTTGGACAATCATGGCATTCCTTCAGAGGGAGGGACAGGGACAATCAACCCTCTCGGCCTCTGTCACATTATAACGATCGTACTAGGGGTGGGAGTGATGATAGCCAAGAAAGTACATCTGGAAACCTCGCATCACGAAATTTAATATTTCATGAAGCGAATTCGAAAGGCTCTTCTCCGGCGGATACTCTTGAAAGAAAGATACGCCACCAGCTTGAAGATTTGAGCAGAGATGTTTCAACAGGCATTGACCGCTCCGATATGCGCCACAACCTGGATCACTTCCATCGGCTCCTGGATCAAGTTGAGCAAGGATACTTTTCCGCCTCGAGCAAAGCTGATATGAGTGGTGGAATTTGTAAAACCGCATTTACTCTCCTGAGACAGCAAGGCGATTTGTCTGGTAGTGCATCTGGTCCAATTCCAGAGTCTTCCACGATCCAAAGTCCATTCAACGTAGAACCAGCCCAAGCTTTGGCATTAGCTATGAGGCTGTTCCGGAATGACCTAGTATCTGAGCAGGTTGTACCTTGTACAGAAAATGATGGGTTTCTCGGCGACTCAATGGTGGGTTTCTATTGCAAAAGTTCTTACTGTGGGCCGTGGACGGCAATGCTGATCTTATTTCATGGACTCGTTAGATTGCGGAAGAGGATATCCTCCCAGAATTCTATCAATACTTAGTGGTTAGCTTTCGGCTTTCAAGCCACGAATTAGAAAACCTGGAACTTCTAATAGATACGTGTTATATCTCCCCTTTCTTAAAATCGCTGCAACAGTCGAAACCCAATGCCAAAAACCACGCAAATCTTAGCGAAGATCAACAGGAACAAATCTGCAGTCCTGAGGAGCAGGTTGGCAGGCAAAGGTCAGGTGGACAATCGAGTTACACGGTAGAAAATGGGAGGCCTGTCAAATTTCTTGAGCTGTCTGCAAATAACACATCTGCGGTCAAAGCTGTCCAGCTGGATTCTTCAAACAAAGAGGAGCCTCCAGATACCAATCTGGTCAGAAGTGAAACAGAGCGGGCCTCGGAAACTTTGGATTCATTTATAGTAGAGGATTATTGCCCGTTAACGCAGACGAAGCAAACAGAACTTGCGAAGAACGGCACCTCAAACAACATCGCCCTGGAAACCGCAAATGCAAAAAGCAAATGTGCTCTTGTTGAAGATGCAGGCAGACCTCTTGTTCCACATCCCTCCAATCATCAAAGAAAACCAGCACCGAACCCATATCAAATCATGCATCAACAAACGCTTACTGCTCTCGAGCCTTTTTACAGTGATACTGATCGGCCATACATCGATCACCGCACAGTCCAGACGATCAAATCTGGACTGTCTCATGCTCGTTGGGGTCGTGGCCATCTTCCCCTTTGGAATGAATCAATCCTTCATGTAGATTTCACAGACGAGGAAATCGAGGATCTCATCAAGAGTATCATATTGGTACGCGAGAATTCGAACAACTCAACACCGGAGATGTCACTTCGGGAGAAGATTGTTCATCTGCTGAAGGGTGTCACCGCTATCCAAATAGCTAACGTGGTAAACCACTCTCACGGTAAAAGGAAGCTTGAGCCACGCGCTAGGCAGAGCATCGTTGCATTTCTAAGGGACGCTTCAGAAGGAATGATTGCAAAGAAGCCAAGGCTGCTCCGAGCCAGACACGTTGATTCTGATCAGGTCGAACCCAAGTCTAGCCACAAGACTCAGGCTCTTCTCCGTTTACGCGAATTAGGGGCTTGTAATTCTCGCGGACTCAAGATATCAAGTCGCTTTGTGCGAGAAGAACTGGCAAGGAGCCTGGGCCTTCAGTTTCGACAATGGAAAACTTTTACAGGAGCTTCCAGCGACGTCATTATCGCTGCATGGTCACCGCATGGAAACGTCTTTGCCGTTGGAGCGACCTCTTACACGGACATCAACAATATGCAATATAATCGGAAGAACAATCTACTGCTCGGGAACATCGCCAACAATGTCTTGGAGGAGTTGCCTGATCATTGCATCGATCGCCCACGACCAGAGTCATTTAGTTTCGGCGCCAATGCCAACGCGGCCACGTACAACACGTGTGACTCGAAGCTGTACATGACAGTGACCGCTGCTCAGTTTTCCAGCACAGGAAGAGAGCTCTATACGGCCAGTTATGACAAGACTGTCAAGATTTGGGATGTCGCCAGTGCGCAGTGCCGAGGCACCCTTCAGCATGATGGAGAGATAAGCCTCCTCGCAACCTCTAGGCATTACCCGGGTATTATTTCGACTGGAAGCAGCGTCTTGGGAAATTCAATTCGAACATACAGTCTAAATCACGAGGATCTGACAGCCTCTGGACTCATTTCTTTTGGTCCAAAAAAGACAACTCTTGGTAATGGCAGGGTGCTTCACCCATCTTGTCTACAATGGGGTCCAAACCCGTGGGTCAAACATCTTCTGGTGGCAGGATTTTCCGCTTCATCTCAAGTTGGAGAGCCTGATTCACCCGACCCTCTGCCCGAGGGAGATCTCATCTGCTATGATGCGGTTGCCGATGCCCGGATTGAAGTACTGCCTTCGAAGCAAAACGTTTTCGATTGCGCATGGCATCCAGAAATGCCTTACTTTGCTGCTGCAACTGTTAAAGGCGGTCTTATAGCCGAACGGTCGACTCGATCTATTGTGAAGGTCTTTGATCCGCTACGATCGAATCGAACGACAATAGAGTATGAATGCCCAGCACTTGATATTAACGATGTGACGTTCTGGTAAGCCGTCTCCAGGCCTTTTGACTATATCTTCTGGCTAATCTCTGGAAACCCTACAGCCCTTCCATTTCAAACTATATTACGGCAGGTTGTACAAATGGTGTGACGTATGTATGGGATTTCCGAATGGGCCACAAAGTTCTACATCAGCTGCAGCACGGCGGTAAGTACAGGGGGACGACGAGGGTTTTAGATGGCAATGCTAAGGATCCTTCAGAGCCTATTGCGACACTCAATGCGGATCTTTCTCGGGAACAATTCGACACAGGAGTTCGCTTGGCAGCTTGGGGAGAAAAGGGCGATGAATTGTACACTGGTTCCTCCGATGGGATCGTAAAGAGCTGGGATATTAAGCGATCTTCAGACGATGTTTTCATTTCTGATGTAGCCCGGTTGCAGGCGGGTATCATGTGTGGCGCTTTTTCACCCGACTATAGCAATCTGCTCATCGGCGACGCGAGCAGCGCTATCCACGTGCTGACAACTTCTGGGCTGGCAGAAGATAACAATGTAGAAGAAATGCGACTCCAAAGTTCTTGCGCGTTCTTAGATACACCGGAAGACACAGCCCTACAATGCGGCCGAGAACTCATCGAACGTGGCGAACTCGTCACTCATCCTGTATTTGGAGTCGGCAAGGGACCAAATTATCGGGGACCGTACGCTCGGTATGCGCGTCGCTCTGATGTACCTCCCTCTTCAGATGACCCATTGCTGCCTCACAATCAAGCCAGACAATTATGTCCGGTGCAGCGATCACTCGCCGGTCCGGGTCCCTCTCTTTCTGAGAATGAGCGAAACCTGCTCGAAGTCCAGACGGAGATTGCTTACGCACGCAACGCGCGGAGACAACGACATCAGCCTCCGCCGAAACGGGCGCATCCCTCATTCAACTATGACACGGATGAAGAAGACGAGTTACAACTCCTCACAGACGACCGGAGACAGAAGCCATTCCGAATGGGCTCTGCCAAGGACTCCACGCTGGTTGTGGACCTTACCATTGATGAGTCGCCGTCTTCCGACAAAAGTCGCAATGGCAATGCTACCGGTGGCGACAGCGGTGTTTCTCATACCGATACCATGAAGTTCCTGGACCCCAAACTTGAAGACAACGACTCGGACTGGTTGGAAGATGACTATTGGCAGCCATATTGGGGTTGTTGAGTGCGCGGACTTTTTGACTTTTATCACTTTATTGTACTTGTCGTTTGCACCTCGCAGCATCATTGCATTGAAATCACTTACCGCGGGGGAAATTTGCAGCATTTTTCAAGACGTTCGCGTCGGCATTCTGGTCTTTTTCTATCCCTTGTTGTCAATTAGGAGCTTCCTGGTGTCTAGGGATTTTTCCTGTTGTCTCCTTGTCTCATGATCAGGAGTGAAACTTTCTTCGGCGAGATACCAGGCATGCATGAAGTACCATGGCGTAAATACATTCGCATAAAACATCACCTGTATTTACAAGATGTCATAGATAAACATCATTTGTTACAACGAAGCTTTGAACCAAGTGCGAGACTTGGTTAGATCTGATCAAATTATACTATGGTATCCTTATCACAAAGTAATGAGTTTAGTAGAAATCAATAAGATACTAATATTAGGAGGCGAAGAAGGATATCCAGCTGCACCTGCAGTAAACAAAGTAACGAAAAGCAGACGTAGGATATAGGATATCAATAAAGGACATGAAAAAGAAGCAAATAAGAATGACCGTGTGACTAATTAGAGTAAAAGAATCCCATCTCCACATACTTATTCCTTGCTTACTTAGTTCTCTCTAGGTTTCTGACCCCTCTCACGGCACCTCTTTCGTTGACTTTAGCAAAGTCGCTGTCTTCCCCTCGACGTCTTTGTTATTTATCCATGATTATATAAGTGTGCACGCATTTTGAGGAGTTCAATTCAATATCGAGATATGAGCCGGACGAAGGAGGAAGATAAGGGAATAGGTGATTAGAGAGTATTGAGCTGCGTGGCAGGCTTAGGTGCCGCTGCGCCCCGAGCGCGGAATGCGCGTATGCCGCTGATGACGGAGCTTACTACGAAGAGAACCCTGTTTGGATTATATGCGTTAGCTAAATAAAAAGACACTGTGCTTCATTGGCTGGCGTGGTTGGTAAAAACAAGGATAAATGAATAATCTTACCATTCAAAAGCCGCAAAGACACAGCCTGCGCGCAGGTCTGGACACACAGTGCCAATGCAGAAATCCAAGTCGCCGAGAAAGACGGCTAAAGCAATGAATCCCGCGAACCAGAAAATCATCGTCACCACGTCGATAGCGAAGATGGCGTAAGCATGTGTAGTGTCCGCGAGAGACGACAGGAAAATAGGGCCGAGTATAGCGTAGAGAATGATGAGAAATGTCCATGCGCACTATGCGTAGAGGTTGGTGGTAAGTTAAAATATCTGGCTTGGGGTTTCAAGAAGTCTCATATAGAAATGAGGTAATATGTGGAGCTGAAACGTACGTTGAACAGGAGAAAGTTCATGCTGGCTGGACTATTCGATGCGCCCTGATTGTACCAATGAACACCTACAGAGAGACTGCGATTAGTATATATTGGTAAGATGGAAAGCAGGGCCGTCTTACCATAACCAATTGTGCCAGCGACAATAAGAGCAAAGAGAAACTGGAGAATTCTCAGAGGAAACAAGATCATCGAATGCTCGGTTACCGCCATGGTGATTGATATTCCGCGCCTTTGCACGCGCGCAGGTCAAATACTGTGGCTGTGTAGCTATTCGCCGATAGAGCGTGCGCAATCTTTGACCGACGTGTCCAATGTACTGACGATGGAAAAGGAACTCTCGGGCCAGGGGGCGGACACTTTTTACGTATGAATTGCGCTCAGCGCGACATATGAGGAAGAAGCCTATGAAGATGACGAAGAAGAAGAAGAAGAAGAAAAAGAAGAAGAAGTAGAAGTGACTCAATGACTGGTGAAGCGCGTTGGCCGGTTTGGTCAGGTTTCGGCGAGCAGACTGAGCAGGTTAGGGTTTTGGCTGGTATGCGCAAAGACCGGTTTTTTCTCCAATTTCACACTTTTGCGGATTAAAGTAAACCAGAACCAACGAGCGCGTCACCGCCCTCCCCCCAGGCCAGGGCCAGGGAGTAGGAAAGCGTGACATTCCTTGTGATCTTTCCCTGCCCTGCCCTGCCCCAGCCTCACGAGAGCTTGCCGTAGCTGGCCGCATCCGCACTATCCCTAATCCGCTCCACCCGCATCCATCACACAGTCTGGTGGGAGACGTGGATGGATTTTAGCCTACATACGATTTGCTTGGTGGCTGGTTTGGCTAGCGATTCGTCAGGATGCATGATGTTTGCGTCGGGCGAGATGAGACCAGATTGGACGATTTGATATCTGTATTATGAGGATGCAGTGGACACTTTTTGTTCCTGTTGCTACTATGGACCCTGGATGAACCTTAGGTACCTTTTAGGTAGGTGAGAATGGAATCGGTACAGCATTGGGGAGTTGCCAAGTATCTATGGTACATGACACTGCCACTCCAAAAACAAGTGGAATTAAGGTTTTGTGGAGAACCACCCAACGGCGGCAGGGTCTCAAGTCTCTTAAAGCCAGCTGATCCCGGACGCCCGACAAGGTGTTAAAAAAAAACATGGATTGACGTAGATTGTGATCGCCGCAGTCACAAGGTACAGGTAACCATTAGATAAGGAGACATGTCTGGATTTTCTTCCATGGGAGCGCCTGGAGTGTTTGCAGGGTCTGACTACAACCGTGTCCTGGTAGGCGACATGGATTTGCTCGAATAAAACACATTGCATGGGCGCCAGGGCTGCCTTATATTGCTGAAGGAGTGTGCATCGAGTTCTCTTGGCATACTTTATTCAACCAGACATTTTGAATGACCTAAAGGTGGCAAGCAGAAGATTGATCAGTGGTACTGGAGCTTGAAGAAGAAACATGCGATCAGGGTCTACTCTACGGTTGCTTGTTCTCCAGTGAGCTTCCCCAGTGCACGTCCCCTCTCCTCGGCTGGACCGAGCAGGGAAAGTGTCAGTACCATTCGAAGCACTCTGGGTGGGAGAGAAAGCCTGTACTGATACGGGCCACACAGTGTTTACGCCTAGCAGATCTGGAACCGATGACGCGATTATGCGCTAGACAGAATTTGGACACAGCATCTGGATCTTCACTTTGTGAAAGCCAGGGAGATTGGATGAGATGGGATGATTCAATCACCCTTTACTTGCCTGATTTTCATGTTTTTTTTCTTTTTCATGAGTTTAGCTTGTGTTGTGTACACTGCTTCATTTACGCCGTGCATGCATCTTTATTCAACGGCGTCCATTGGAAATCCACTCTAAGATAAAATGACCTAATTACCCCAGTCATGGAAAATCCCCAAACCGCCGCTGTGGGGTAACCTGTTTACGTAGTGCACCCGATACCGATACCGGTCCCGCATGTAGATCTTCTTTGGATGCTGAAGTCGAGGAAGATTCGAAGAATACCCTAAGAATGACTTTTTCATTTGAACGGAAAATATATCTATCAAACATGCCATCTTTGTGCCCTTAAAGTTGGGTCGGATAGCTCAGGGTCCACCATAGCCAAAAACTTTGGTTTGCCGTGCGAAGCTACAGACACGGCGCAAAGGTGCCTGTGCTTATCGCAGTTATCGATGGCGTGCTCGGTTCCTCCAGGCCGAACTCGGCCCATAATGAAGCAACTCATGGAGCCATAACATTAGCTGTTCGATCATTGCTTGTCTTCTCCAATCTCTGTTGTCCCTGTCCCTGTACCGTATATATTTTCATTTCGTCCCTTTTCTTCTTACACTCCGCTCTTTGGCTAATCCCTCCAAAAAAGAAACGCACCCTCGCTCCACTCCTTCCTTTTACAAAGCCAAGCACAATGTCGGGGCAGAGATTTGAAACTCTTCAATTGCATGCGGGGTATGTTTCAGTGCACTCCCGTTGATTACTTGCAGATGGGAAAGCTCACACTATGCATTTAGCCAGGAACCTGACCCCGCCACCAGGTCCAGAGCGGTGCCCATCTATGCCACCACAGTAAGATTTTAAAGCCATTTGATCTGGACTTCAACCATCTGGATAGCTAACATCAATACAGTCATACGTCTTCAATGACTCCGCCCACGGCGCCCGGCTCTTCGGGCTCAAGGAATTTGGCAACATCTACAGCCGTATCATGAACGTAAGGGGCATCTGGACAATAAGATCTCTGGCATTGAGGTCATTTGGATTCCTTACTGACTCTGTTTTTGCAGCCTACTGTCGATGTTTTCGAGAAGCGTATTGCGGCCCTTGAAGGTGGTGTTGCTGCTGTCGCCGCCTCCTCCGGCCAGTCCGCCCAATTTATGGCCATTGCTGCTCTTGCTCACGCTGGAGACAACATTGTCTCGACGTCGAACCTCTATGGCGGTACCTACAACCAGCTCAAGGTCTTCTGCCCTCGCCTTGGCATCCAGACAAAGTTCATCAATGGCGACAAGCCCGAGGATTTCAAGGCGGCGATTGATGAGAAGACGAAGGCTGTCTACATTGAGAGTATTGGCAACCCCAGATACAATGTGCCTGATTTTGAGGCAATCGCCAAGGTTGCCCACGAGGCCGGTGTTCCCGTCCTGGTAAGGTTGACTGCGAAGGCACAATATCGGGAAAGAAGAAGAAGCAACCACTAATGAAATACTTAGGTTGACAACACCTTCGGAGCTGGCGGCTACTTCTGCCGCCCCATTGACCACGGCGCTGACATCGTCGTTCACTCCGCCACCAAGTGGATTGGAGGACACGGCACCACCATTGGTGGTATCGTCGTTGACTCTGGAAAATTCGACTGGGGCAAGAACGCCAAGCGTTTCCCTCAATTCGTTGAGCCCGCCGAGGGCTACCATGGCCTAAAGTTCTGGGAGACTTTTGGTCCCCTGGCCTTTGCCATTCGTGTCCGAGTTGAGATCCTCCGAGACCTTGGAACAGCTCTCAACCCCTTCGCTGCCCAGCAGCTGCTTCTCGGTATTGAGACTTTGAGCTTGCGCGCCGAGAGACACGCTCAGAATGCACTCCAGCTTGCTAGATGGCTTGAGAAGAACCCTCACGTCGCGTGGGTTTCATACCCTGGTAAGCGCGTATCCACTGTGCGGACATCTTAAGCAGCATAGCTAACAGCAGTATAGGTCTTGAGAGCCACGCCTCGCACGAGCTGGCTAAGAAGTACCTCCCGCGTGGATTTGGTGGTGTCCTTTCTTTTGGTGTCAAGGGCGGCGGCGCTGCTGGCAGCCAGGTCGTCGACAACCTCAAGTTGGTCTCCAACTTGGCCAAGTAAGCTCTCTAATCGATCAAATTTGTATTTCGCTGTCCAGAACCCTGCTTACAAATTGACTAGTGTTGGCGACTCGAAGACTCTTGCTATTCACCCTTGGTCTACCACACATGAGCAGTTGAGCGACCAGGAGAAGCTCGACTCTGGCGTCACCGAAGATCTTATCCGTATCTCCGTTGGCACAGAGCACATTGACGATATCATTGGTGACTTTGAGCAGGCTTTTGACGTCAGCAAGGCCGCCAAGACTGATGCTCCGGCCGAGGCCGGAAACGCTGAGAAGACTGGCAGCACGGAAGGTGACGCCAAGCTTGTTGTCTAGACTTTATGATTTTACGATATCCTTGAAAAGTTATTTACGAAATGTACAGATTGATTTTATGCAGAGCAGTGATTCATGTCAGAATCCTTTTATTTTGAATGGGAGTCGCGAAAACGGTAGTCCTGTATACCTCTTGCGCTTTTGAATACTGAAGACTGCACGTGAGACCGTGATTGGTGTTTGACGCGAAACTCAAAATAGATGCGGAGCAGGCCATGTGCTCCCGTGATCAGCCATTCCAGGCTGCTGCCTCCAGTAAACATGATAAATATTTGGGGACCGCAATGAGAGCTGCTCGGGTCGTGTCTTTATTTATCGGCCTCTCCCTTATTTTGTATTGATCTTCGTAGATTTAGTTCTAGCAGGCCTTTTCACGAGCCAAATTACGTTTGATATCGCCGTCAGCCTCTTTCGTTCATCATGGGAATAACCCCCGATCTCGACGGTACCAGCGGCACCTACGAGGCCAATTGCCATTGCGGAAACGTCAAATTTCAAGTTAACATCAGCCCGGCACTGGAGAATTATCCAGTATCTATCTGTAATTGTACGGGAATCACCTCTTCAGATTATCTATTTATTCACAAGTTGAGATTTGCGAGACGAGGATGTGTTTATGTCACGATGCACATATTAGCTTTATTTATTTCATTTTCTTTTCTCATTCTGCTCTGTGTTTCATAGTGCAACCAGCGCGCACATATTCTCTAGGATGGCCGGCTTATGCTTACCCCGTGACTGCTTTGGATTTCCTCACAGGTTTATTAATTCTAGCAAATCTCTACTAACCTTCTCTTTCCAATTTTATCATAGGCAGCATATGCACTCACAATGGCTACGCACTAATATATCCTTATAAGAAGGACATCAAGTTTATTCAGGGAAAGGAGGCACTCAAGGTAATACACTCGATGAAGTTTCGAAGCATGGGACCATTGCCGCTGACGGGATTTATAAGGATTACCGGTTTGGAGATAAGAATCTCACGCATAAATTCTGTCCAAACGTAAGATAATCAGAAAGTCTTGTTATGCAAAGCACTCTTAATTCCTGCTACTACATATCGGTCTTTTGTATTCAATTATACATTGCAGGCAGAAAATATCGGTCCAATTTTTACTGACACATTGCAGTGTGGCACCCCGGTTTTGTTTGAGTTTCAGACTTTCTATACAGAGTTGATTGGGATCAATGTAAGTTTTGTGTCGCTTTACCCGGGAAAGACCGAATTTCTTTCTGATTTTTACATATCTTTTATTTATTAAAATAATTTTTTTTAAAAGAAAAAAATCGTTCATCCAATACTGTCACAGTCCCAAGTTCCAAAATTTCCAACTATTCACTGACGGGTGTTATTGGAACCAGGTTCGTACCTTCAAGGATATTGACATGACGACTCTCAAATACAAAAATGTTGACGGGAAGAGCTTATCTCCAAAGTACGAGGTTTAGAGTCTCCGCAACGATTTCGGGGTTTTGATTCAATTGTTTTATGGAGACTGAAACAGCTTTTCCACAAGCAGTTTCTTAGAATTTCGAGGTCTCATACGATATAGCCATGAAAAGCTAATTACTTGCTATGTCGTATTGTCCTCTCTATAAGCTCGTGAGCGATACGATCGTCCCCTTTGTAAAATAAATGCTGTATCATTTTTTTTCCAGATTTGATCTCAGAAGCTCGGGTTGTTTCAGGCAACCGTTGAAACGGCGCAGCTTGGGTGACCAGAGACAGAGGAGCTGGGAAGTAAGTAGGTAGGTACGTGGCCAGCTCGGGTCTTCATGTGGATCAACAGACCCGAGGTCCTTCAAATGTCCTCGGAAGGTTGTCCCAAAAGGGTGGCGTTCGCCGGTCAGTTCTGTGTACCACATGTCATCACATTGAATGCATGACATGTGAGCAGAACGAGGGGAAAAACAAAAACTAAAACGCTTTGTCTCAATACACGGTTGGGCTTTTACCGACCGTTCTCTGTCTTATTGAGACAGGAGTGTCACCATCGGAGGGCGAAGCTTCAGTGGGAAAGAGAATATCGGTAAGACTGGGCATTATTTCCAGTACAAAAAGTTGCAAGGATAGTGATGTAACAAATTTTTTTTTTCGGTCCGTTGAAATACCCTTGTCAGGGATCCAAGTCTGATGCAACGGTTATGATGATCAGCATCATGCTTGGGGAGATCCTGTATCTTTCGGTTTCCTCGGATAATATTCTTGATCGAGCCTCAACAAAGCCTCGGTCCTCGGGTGTTGACCGCCTTCTGGGGGGAATGGAAATACCCCCACACTGATTGATCCTCTTCGTCTTCTTCGCTTAACTCTATCTGGATTCACCCTCCCCCGGGTCCCTTTCCTCTTCTGGCACCCCCGGACCTAACGACAGGGTTACGCGCTGGCCTGAGTTGTTTCCTTTTAACTCCGACTTTCCTCTTCAGCGCTCAGGAACGCATTCATATAGACGCTAAATTCGTATGAGAAACAGTGTGCGAGACTAGCACAACTTGTTGCGCTACTTCCGGGAGACGATTACTACTCCTTTGGTAAGGTATCTGTCGTTTACATATAACAAACAAACTTATGATGGTACAAGGAGTATCTCCCTGTTGTTTCCTCTTCCGAACAATGACGACACTGCACTTTCGCCCTGATACTCTACCAAAGGTAAAAGTGCGCCTTAAACCGATTCGTGGTTTTCCGCGCGGTTCATGAGTTTCCCTGTCACGGCGGTGCCGACATCCATTAGACTGGGGGTTCTCTTCTGCAGCGCATCTGGGGCGCACTCTGTGACCCCAAGTCTCCAAGTTTGGCCGGCCCCAAGGTTCGTTTTGGATCTTTTCCGCCCCAAGATTCGCCGTCACACATGTGCCTTCCATCACCGCCCGCCCCTCGTTTCCACCCCCTCAAGCTCCCTTTTTACCCTTTTCCTAACCCCGATGCGGTCATTCCCCCATGGTTCCGCCTTGCTGGCCCGAGGCTGGACTCGGGCACGCGCATCTGTCGTCTCCTCGCTCAAGATGCCTCGTGGATGCGGTTACGCTCCACCATGCCGTGGAACCTTCTCCGATCCCGCCTGCTCCCCTTCTTTGCTCTTCAATTTTCCTGTTGTATTACTCGACCTAGAAATTCTATCATTCTTCCAAAGTCGTCTGCTCCCATCTGGTGCTCGGTCCTCTCTCACCCCGGTTTCCTACATGACGCTTCTTTGATAGAACGCTTCATTCGCCCGCTCGCTCGTTGACCGGATTCTACCGCTTCCTTTGCCCGCCTCCCTCCTTTGAGAAAGAGCAAGCTCGTGCCCGAAGTTTGAACCACCTGCGGACGGTCAAATCCGGGGGGATCGGCCTCTCGCCTTCATCATTGTAGCGCTTCTCCTTTACTTGTCCGGTCTGCATCCCTTACGGTCGTCATCTTTCTTCGCTCCATCATGGTTCTCTCTCAGCAAGAGCTGCTGGATCGCGCACGCTCCTATCAGATCCCACCGCCTCCAGGGACACCGTATTCAGTTCCGGTGCCAAATTCTGAGAAGCCAGGACGCAGCAAGACGTTTCGTCATTGGAAATTTCAAGATGAACTTTTGCAAACTTTTGACCCAGCGGTATGTTCTCAAAAATTTAAACACTGCCAAAGGCGTTCAAGGAGGCTGACTTTCTTTGATTTTTCTAGTTGCGATCAATGCACGACATGTTTGAAGCTTCCGGTATGTGTTGCGGCGAGAGATTTGCCTATGCTCTCCTCGCAAAACCAATACTAATTCTGACAAAGCCACACGACAACCAAAGTCGAAATGTTTAGGATATCGACCTTACGATACGACAAAGCAAAAGTTTGGGCCATACCAATGGATTGATTATGAGACCGTTGCGAAAAGGCGAGCAGACCTTGGTGTGGGTCTGGTGGAACTCCACAAGAGATGTGGAATAACTGCCACAAAATATGGAGTGGGCATCTGGAGCCAGAACCGGCCAGAATGGCAGATTACAGGTGATGCTTCAGTGTAACGTTGCAGATTTCAAAGAGATGCTAACCACACAATAGACTTGGCGTGCGCATCCCAGTCCTTGTTCACCGTTTCCATTTACGATACACTCGGTCCCGATGCCGCTGAACATATCATTGGACATGCCGAACTGGTATGTGTGGTAGCATCAATACCACATATTCCGACGCTTTTAACTCTGAAGCGGGATCTGCCAAATTTCAAAATGATCGTTTCACTTGATCCCCTTGATGCCGGCGAGCAAGCCGGATACTCTAAACGAGCCATCCTCACGGCTCTGGCAAAGAATGTGGGGTTGTCCATTTTTTCCCTGGAAGAGGTGGAAAGTCTAGGTCAATCCCTTGGTCGCCCGTTCAACCCCCCTTCTCCTGAAGATATCATTACAATCAATTACACATCTGGCACGACTGGAAAGCCCAAGGGCGTTGTGCTGACACACGCCAATGCCGTTGCGGGAGCCACTAACAGCATCATTGTTCGCAATCAACCTGGCGATGTCCTATGTTCCTACTTGCCTCTGGCGCACATTTACGAGCGTGTTTCTGAACAAGGCGCTTTGGGGGCAGGTGGCGCCATTGGATACTTTCACGGGGATATACTGGAGCTCGTCCATGATCTTAAGCTGCTCCAACCTACGATATTCCTCTCGGTGCCACGTCTCTATAACCGATTTGCAACCGCCATTCGAACTGCAACCATCGACCAACCTGGATTCAAAGGTGCGCTCTCGAGACACATTGTGGATACAAAGCTAGCAACAATCAATGGACCTCCGGGCAAGGCCACAACTCGGCACGTCATCTATGATCGGCTGTGGGGAAAGAAGGTTGCCAAAGCCGTCGGACTTGCGAAAACCGAGGTCATGGTATCTGGCTCAGCCCCACTTGATCCCCAGATACAGCAATTCCTTCGAGCTGTCTTTGGAAGCGAGTTCAAGCAAGGATACGGCTTGACGGAGACGTATGCCATGGGCATGTGTCAGACTGAGGGAGATCTCAGTGCAGGAAATTGTGGCGCGGTTAGCCCCACTGTCGAACTCTGTCTAATGGACGTACCGGATATGGAATATCACGCCACAGACAAGCCAAACCCTCGTGGCGAGTTGATGGTCCGCGGCCCCGCGTGTTTCCGCGAATACTACAAGGATGAAGGTGAAACAGCAAAGGTAATCACCGAAGACGGCTGGTTCCGCACCGGGGACGTATGCTCCGTGGACGAAATGGGTCGTTTTGTCGTCATTGACCGCGTCAAGAACGTACTCAAACTGTCACATGGCGAATACGTCTCACCTGAGCGTATCGAAAATGTCTTTCTCGCCAATCTCCCAATCCTTTCGCAAGCCTACGTCCACGGCGACTCTATGCACCCATGTCTCGTGGGCATTTTTTCCATTAATCCAGAAGTCTTTGCGCCATATGCATCAAAGATCCTCAAATCTCATATTGATCCAACGGATATGGAGGCGCTTCTAGTCGCGGGGCGTGACGCGCGTGTTCGTAGAGCCATTGTGCAGGAACTCGACGCCATTGCCAAGAAGAATAAACTCAACTCCTTTGAAAAGATTCGAGCATGCACTCTCCTCATTGATCCGTTTACGATTGATAATGAGTTGTTGACTCCAACGTACGTCTCTGACTTTCATCATTACCTTCTCTTGACCGCTAATACTCTGTATAGATTGAAGCTCAAGCGTCCGCAAACGGCGAAACGATATCGTGCAGAGATTGATGCGCTCTACGAAGAGGCGCTCGCCGAACAAGAGGAGAAGAAGCTTACAGCGAAGCTTTGATCCGTGATATATTTGCCCTATTTTGGAATAGGACGCCTGATGTCTGAGCCGTAAACTCTCATTATCTTGGACGAATCACTTTTGAGTATGATTGTACGAGAATTATCTTAGCCTTCTTGAGAGATCATCTGGTTTTTGGTCAGTGGATTTTTTGCATATATCTGTTTGGACTAGCTCTGTATTAGTCTTTTCAACCTTGGTGCATTGTTGAGACACTCTTTTTGGTTTTCCCATTATTTTCTCAATTTTCAATCACTTTTTGTCTGTCATCGAGTGGTGATCTGGAGTACATCTAGTATTCTTTTTTCTTTCTTGTTCTCTGTTTATTATCTTCTCTTCTATCATCGATTCATGTCCGTTTTTGAGTATGTTGAGCGCCCAGCTTGGTGTATACTGGACCCTCTCCATTCAAATTTCCCGAGATTGATTTTCCATTTGTGTATTGTATTGTATTTTTTTTTCCTTCTTTCCCGCTCGTTCCTGATTAACGATCCTACCATGTTTATGCCGGAATTACATCTCACCAGAGGAGAGGATGCGCAGAGGGGAAGATGTCATTAGCAAATGGATGATAACATTTGAAGTTTGAAGGGGATTGACCCAGGGAATAAGTGAGAAAATTGAGGATACGAGAATAAGGGGATACAAAGTGGATACAGAGGGTCGTTCTGGCTCTGTGTACATACTATATACGAATGAATGAATCAAATCAATTCAGCATTTATACCATTTCGTTTCTTGGATTGAAATTTTTAAAGATTGTCTGATTGTGCATGTGCCCATCTGATTCCTCAACAAATGCTATTTAATCATTTAGTTGAATAGTGAGCTTCGCCTTTTCTGCAGCGAATCGCTCCCGCGCCCCTTCTTCTTAGCACACAAAGCATTCCATCCTGCTTAGTATAGTGACCATTACATCATTAAGCATGTTCTTCGGTGTGTCATTGGCGCTGCTACAGTAAAACTCTTCTATGTAGTCACCAATACTAACAGTACAGTAAGTGATAATGACAATGATAATTCTACTGCTTTACAATATCCACTTTAGGCACGACCCACCAATCATGATATCTGCCAGGGGTATCGACATCCGGGATCTGGACAGAGATGTTTGACGACTGGGGCTGCGATTTCCCACTGACATCAATCGTCTTGGCAGCGGTCACAGTAGCTAGACTTGCAGAAATACATGCTTTCAATGCGTCCTTGACTCCAGCACGCCATTCGGGCTCGATGGCTCGACAAAACAGACCGGCTTCGTCAGCGTCCATGCGAGCGAGCTGCTCAAAGTCTCGACGAGCGTGGCCGATTGCTGCAGATGCCTCGTTGAGAAGCCGCGTGGTGGGTATGTGGTGGCGGGTCACGGACTCGGTGAATTCCTCATAGGGCGGAACGTTCGGGAGGGACAAGGGAAGGAAAGGTTTCATGCGGAGCTCGTAGCGCAGTGCAGGCGTGCTGTATGGTCGTGAGCCAGGGCCGGGAAGAGTGGAAAGGCGGGAGAGCGCGGTATATAGCTGGGAAAAAAGAACTGTCAGTGATTATGGTTCGGACGTCTATTACTCGGAAGGGGAAACGAGTGGGAAAAAAACATAATAAATGATCTGATATTATCATGTTTTCTTTATTCACAGGGTAATAGGATAGGAATGACTAACCGAGCTGAGACCCTCGGCGAAACTGAGAGTGGCCATTGCTTCAAGCATGGAGAGTTTTAGAAATGTAAGCGTCTTGGCGAATGCTTCTTCTTCTTGTGAAGTGGGCCTTTGTATCTTCGCCATGGATCGAGCAACAAAACCCCGTATGCGAGTTAGGTGGTGTAGGCGTGTAGATGCTAGGCTCTGAAGATACCTGCCAATTACGATGAGAATTTAGGTTAGAGGACTGAATACCGATTTGAGTAGAATGTCAATAGCTGTGACACTCACCAGTACATCCCGGCTAGTTCGTCGGCGTGATATACTTCAAGTTCAAAGCCTAGTTGTACGACCCATTGCATCTGCAACAATTTCTGATAGTAGACCCAAGAAGATAGAGGGAATGAATAGATGGCTTCGCTGGAGACTTTGCGGTCCAGAATGGGTTCCTCTTTGGTGAGCTTTTGGAACTCTACGTCGAGCTCTTCGACCTGTCGAGTTAGGGAAGAAAGTTAGTGACTGTATTTTTTTTTTCTTTAACCATGGAATAGAAAATAAATAAAAAATTTTAACAAAAGAAAATATTGTAGAGGAGAAAAATGTGTTAACTAACTTCAAGTTGAAGATTGTCAAATTCGATAATTGAGTGGCAGAGCATACGCCGAATCCTCGATCTGTTTTGGCAGATGGTGCGGAAAATGTCTGTATAAGGCTTCTGGCTGTTAGCTACGGGTTCAGGCTTCGGGTATTGCAGGGGAGACGAACGTGTTCAGCTCTGTCTACCAGGAGATTCATCTTCTCTGCTACCTGGAATCTCGGATGATTTGGGGCCTCTATTGTGTTGTTCTTCGGGTCTAAAAGAATATGTGCAGGAAGTACGGTTTCAGCCAGAGTTTCGAGAAAAAACTCCTCATACGGCTTGTCCCCCAAAATCCCGTCTCCGCCAAATAGTAGTGATTGCATCAAAGATCGAATATACACCGCTGGCTGTGGTTTGCGTGATTGGAAGACCCACACAAAGGTCTGGAATGGTGAGCCAACGCAAAATTGAGGAGAATGCCAAAGGTGCTTACCAGAACGTTGTTGGCCCCTTGGCAATCCAGCATTCGAGTGATATCTGAGCCATCCTGGCAGAGCCTCTTCAAGTAAGGAAAGGCATCATCAGAACTGATGTTGACAATTGGGCGAGGAGGCACAGTGCTTGTCAGCTTTCGTTGGATTTTTATACTAAAAGATTCAGGGATCGGCTTCCCAATTCCATGAGATCCCTGCACTGATGGCAGCAACTCAAGGCATTGCTGCCAATATGGATTTGAGCGCTCTTTGAGAAGCTGTAAGTCGAATGCAATAGCCCTGAGAAAATGTGCTCTGAATTTCAGGCGCGACTGCAGCGCATCATACAGCTCATCTCCGATTGAACCTTTTTGGGAAGCGGTCCAACTTATTGCCTCTTCTAGGAGCATCGACATTTGGTTTTCAGGAATGTCTGAAAGGAGCCTTCTGTTGTAGAGATGCGTTACAAAGTCTTCTTCCTAGTCGACAAGAGATCATTTCAGCAAGATTGGCAATATGTAGGCGCAAATTAGGGTCCACACAAACCTCGTAGCAATGCTCTACCCCTATACGTTTATGCACAATATCACACGTCTTAATCAAAGCTAAGCTGTATGCTCTGAGAACAATGTTCAACCAAGGGCCGCCAGCTCGATCATTCTCCTCGCGGGAAAACGCAGCTTCATTCAAGGTCCGCGGATCGGGCCAAAGAAGCCGATCGATATAAGTGGACGTGAATAGAGTCTGTGAAAGAGGGTATCCCATATGCCATGCCATCTGAAACTAATTAGCAGCTTTTCTCCAGAGAAAGTGTCGCCTTGGGGCCAATGCCTAGAAAACTCTGGCACATACTTCGTGGAAGACCAATTGGTCCATGATCCCAAGCAGCTCTTCTGGATTAAGTTCGCGCAAGACATCGTACTCTTCGTCAAGAGTCTCTCCAGGTTCTAAGTAGCCGCTGTCCATTTTCGGGTCCATGATCTATTGCACATACGCATTCGTTAAAATTATCCTGATACCCATTTCCCCTGCTACGGTGAAAGCTGCTCATACCTCCAACGCCCCAACGGACTCAAATAGTGTAAATGAAGCATCTTTGACCAGCTGTCCTATCTGCAGGGCTTTTCCCCAGTCAGCCTAACATTGGGCGCGAGAGGTCGGAGCTAACGTGCCTGACGCGGCTGTTCGAAACTCTGTAGTAATATCGCGGACTGTGATGCGACTCAGCGACGAGATCGGAGGAGGCGGCGCGACCGGGTCAGGCCTCGACAGAGGTGGTGGCATCTGCTGGTTGTTGATCTCGAGTCGGGATGCATCTTGTGTCGTCATCGTCAGCTTGACCGCCTACGAAACGAGAGGCATTACACAAAGCTCACGGTTGCTGGTGGCATCCTCGCCGGCTCGGTCCATGGCCGCAGAGGTTCTTACACAGAAGGGGCTGACACGTTGAAATCATTTCAATTCACAGAGGCACGAGTGGGTCAAAGTCTTTTGAAAGCTGCTTCGCTTGGAGTACATCGTCTACGGTTTGTGTCTTCAATGGGTACAGAATATACAGAATGCTCTCAATCACTCCTTCCACTCTATCCCTCCCTTCCGTTGACGGCTATGCCATTATTCCAAGCATTTACTGCGCAGTCTGCTGGCCCGCGTGCTCGGCCATGGCGCTGGTGTTGGCGTCAGCCAGGTTCTTGTTGTCGCCCTGCTTGCCGTTCTATCTCGAATATCAGCCAATTGCTCCTCCGACATGTCAATTGAGGTCAGGGATATCTCACCTGCCACTTGGCAAATTTGAGATCCATCTCTCCTCGCCGCTCAACGCCGATTCTTTGCTCCTCTTTCAGAGATCGACGGACCACTCGGGCAGCAACTGCCAGGTAGCGGTTGTAACTATACTCATTAGGACCAGTAAATACCACAGATAAGTAAAGGAAGCATACGTAAGGCCGGCAGCTTTCCACGCGAAGGCCATTGTGACGGTATTTATGGGATTGAGGGTTGATTGAGGTGGGCTTTGATGAGGTCGCGATAGTATGCTGCCAGTGAGCTTGTCGCTAAGATTGATCCCCAATTCCGAGACGTCACGTGATTTACAATTCGGCGATACCCCAAATGCTTAATGTTGATCATCCGACATAAGTCAAGAAAATAACTTTAATCACTTTGCGGCACGATGACTAGCTATTCAATTCGTCGACGTCCCAAGTCCATGATTAATATTTTAGGAATGTGGTACTGCAATGCAGGAAATAGACCAGTAAAGGAAGATGATACCGCCCATATATCCCGCAGAACCAAATCAAACCGTGGCAGGCGAAAGCATTCATTCCGGATCGCATCACTTATACGTATATATAAATCAAAGGCAAAAATCCCACTTTAATGCAGAAAATGTAGACTTGGAGCAATTAGTAATAGAACAATTTTATAGCACAAGCCGTTAAAGGCTCAAAAATTGCTAGTATGTTCACAAGTGCTTGAATCTCTAGACAAAAAAAGAAGCCAGTGTAATCAGTGTTAGTACATAAAAGCCACCCCATCTATTCCTGCCTCCCCTCTCAATTTGCACGCTTAAACGTTCAGGCCAATTTCCTCAGCCCAAGGAAGGACGTAGAGATCACCGACGCTGGCGACGGAAGCCTTACCCTCAATAAGAGTCTTGGCAGCCTGTTATATATATGTTAGCAACACGCAGGTATTTTTTAAAACATCCAAAGCTTTTTCAATACTAACCTTCTTGAGCTGCTCCTCGGTCACGTTACCGATGCTCTGGGCAACCTCCGAGAGCTCGACGGCCTTGCCACCGCTGATAAGGGCCATACCGGTGGCCTCAAGGCCATTCTGGATGCCCATGCCTGACTCGAGAGCCTTGAACTTGGCAGAGGCGACAGCCTTGCTGACGTCCTCCTTGGAGAACTCACCAGCCGCAACGCTCTTGAGGGTCTTGGAAAGAGCCTCACCAGCCTTGCGGACACCCTTGGCGGTACCGGTGATGGTGGTGTAGAAAAGACCAGCATCGGAATACTGGGCATTGGTGGTGACAGCGGAGGCGCCGGCGATATCAGCAACAGCCTTGGAGACGAGAGAGAAACCGGGGGACCACTTGATGCCGGACTGGCCGCCGAGGAGGGCGGAGAGGACGGCAATCTCGGGCTGCCACGAGCCCTTGGCGCCGAAAGAGCTCGAACCAGGGAAGGCAATGACCATGGCGTTGCCAGAGGGGTGCGAGATACGCTCCTCACCACCAAAGTACTTGGTCGGGGCGCTCTCAAGCTTGGGCAGCTTGGCAGGAGCAGCGGTGGGGAGTTCAGTGAAGAATTCACCGACCCACTTGGACAAGTCGGCCTGGCTGGCGTTGTTGGCGACAACGGCGATGTTAGGCTTAGCATAGGCGGCCTGGCCGTAAGCAGCGATGGTCTTCTCGCTCAGGTACTTGGCCAAAGGCGTCGAGGAGGTCGGGCTGATGGGGTCTCCCAAGCCGCGGTGGAAAGCAAGGCCGTGAGCAGAGTTGACAGCGAGCTCAGAAGCGCTACCGAGGGTGTGCTTCTGGGCGAACCTGATCGACTGAGCAACCTCCTCGTTGAACTCGTGGGCTATTTGTATTATTAGTCGCTGTAGATTCGCTTTTGCCGTTGGGGATTGAACGTACTGGTGAACTTGGTCTTGCCGGCAACTTCACCGAGAAGCTCGACGAAGTAAGGCAGGTCATCACGGAGGAACTTGGCGCCAATGATGAGGTTTTCCCGAGAGTGATAAGCAAAAAGCTCACCACCAAGCAACTCGACTTCACGGGTAATTCTGAGCGAAGAGCGCTTCTCAGTGTTCTAAATCGGCAAAAACGATCAGCCTCTACAATATGATAACCGCAATTTTGCAATTGAGGCTGATTAAACAGCCATTGACAAATCGATTCGTGCGAGACAAACCTTGAACGCAAACTTCTCCAGACCCTCAGCGAGGCCGGGAAGAAGCTGATACCGCGAACCAGCCTTGGAGACAATCGCAAGAGAGGTCGTAGGACCGGAGAGATCACGGCCTGCGGTCTTCACGCCAGCAGCAGAGCCGGTCTCGTAATGGAAAGGTGTTGATGCAGCAGCAGCGAGGCCACGGCGGGAAGCCGGGAGAGCAGCGGACTGCCGTCGAAGGGCGAAACGGGCATTGCGCCCAAGGGATGATCGGGAGATCATGGCGGCGAGGGGGAGGCGAGTGTTGATGGAAATGCGCCTACAAGGGGACAATTGCAACAATTGCAGGCCCTGATGAAGCTCCTACTCGAGAAGAAGAATTCGGGTCGATGGGCAAGTTGAGGTTCGTCCCGGCACCAAATTACCGGTGATCACAGCTACGCAGACGAAAAGCAGTACCAATCACCTTGCGCATATTACTGTTCGGCAAAAGGCGATCTTAGTGGTACTTGAAATGTCTATGCAGTCATGAGCCAAATGACAAGTACCGCAAAAAGACTGCCAATGTTCCATACCATTTCCTCTTTTAGTGGCCCCGCCCTAACCGCAAAGGCCCCAAAAAGTCCTGGCGGCTGGACAAGTTGGCTCGAGTGTCGCATACCTAATTGAATCGCCCGACTCCGATTAATTATTGTTGTACGAAAATGATCTTTTTTTGAGAAGCAGCGCTCCAATGAATCTCACGCGGTAGTCTTTGGCAATTCATTCTAGAGAATTCGTTACATCCCATCTCTAGAATATGAAAGCATGTCTCAAGTAAGGGAGCTTCCCATTCGTGTGCAATGATCCCGTTGCCCACTATCACTATTTTTCTTGAGGCCCTGTGCAAACTGACGTTGGTGTGCAGCACGCCTCGGAGCTTTGCGTCCTCTTAGTTGACGACATATACGGTCAGCTCTCTTCGGTCAGTTTGCCCGTTCTAAATACAAAGGCTGTAGCCTTATTTATATTTGTTCTGCCTTGATTGCGATCTTCTCTTACATGGAATTCATCTGATCTTCTGTAGAGAGTTTTTGCTACCCTTCTTCGCTACGGCCGCCTCAACTTACCCACCCTCGTTCAGCACACCCGTTTGAGCTCCCGACAGCTCAAGCATGGCCTAGCAGTCTTGATTCAACAGCATCTGGTTCTGCACTACACCGCGCTTGAAGAAGGCATCACCTACTATGAGGCCGATTGGATGAACGCGTATTCCCTTGTACGGGCTGGAAAGATCATTAAGTTGGCTGAAGATAAATTTGGCGAAGCAGCTGGAGGCATCATTTCAAATCTTCTATTGCTAGGCCACACCAGAGTAGGGGATTTGAGCTCAGCTTATGCTGCGGCTGCTGGCAAAGCGAAATCTGCAATCAACGGAGAGGTGTCGGAAGATGCCACAGAAAACAAAGCAAATGGCGTAACCAAGGAGCATGATAGCAACAGAGATCGCTATCCTCTCATGACTCGCGGTCAGCTCCATTCCTTATTGCAGGATCTTATGAACGTCGGCTATATTGAAGAAGTACGGGAGGAACACTTTCGCCCACATGCGGATAATTTCAATGAAGCTGAGCGCCTCGTCAAACGTACGCAATTTGGTGGTGAGATCAGGGGAACGAAGCAAAAGGCAGAATTTGACAAGGCGGTTTCAAAGAAACTGAAACAATGGAGAGATGGCGATGGCTCTTCTGCCCCGAAAGGTGTTAAGCGCTCTCTTAATGATTCCGCTGGAGATGGCCGTGGAAAACGTGCAAAGCTCTCCAGCTGTCGGTACGGATTTGTGGATCAAGAGGAGGACGAAGCGGAGGGATCGGTGCTGTTGAATGTAGGAATTCTTCTGACACACATGTTGGAAAGAACATGACATGCTAACCTCTTGCCAGGATGATCTAGTACTGCGAATCAATTACGACAAATGCACTGTAGCTCTCCGATCAATGCGGCTTGTTGAACTTGCCAGAGATGCAATTGGGGAAACGACCTCAAAGGTATACGCCGAGCTTCTCCATAGACTTGAAGCAAAAATACCACGATGCCGAGAGTTTCTACCGGGCTTCGAGGAGGATAGTGGGCCTGCGCAGACCATAACGACGTTAGAGGTTTCAGCAACACTCGATAAAACACTCGACTTAGCCTCTGCCATTGGCTCTGCTCCTGAGGGCAGGTTTGGTACGCCCTCTGGGAAGAAGGGCGACGAGGCCGCTGAAGATGCGAATGACGAAGAAGGCGCTGAGGATGATGATCACTGGGGCAATGGGAATGGAGAGGACCATTGGGACGACGATTCTGGAATCAAGATGGGGGATGAAGACCAAGACGCGAAAGGCGAGGATCGCAGGTACCGGATGAGCGAGGTACAGCAGCACATTAAATTACTTGCTGAGGATCCTCGGAAGTTTGTCCGCTACGTTAGCAACCGTGGACTCGGAGAGTGGGCTGTGGATTTTGACAACCTAGCCAAGACACTCATCCAAACCGAGTTGGAAAACACAATTGCAGCTCGCTTCGGTAGAGTTGCTGCTCGTTTGGTCCGCGTGTTGTTGGACAAAGGAAAATTAGATGAGAAACAGGTGGCACAAATAGGCATGCTGCGGCAGAAGGAGATTCGGTCCACTCTCACAGCAATGCAAGAAGCAGGTCACATTGAGCTTCAGGAAATTCCGAGAGATAACAATCGCCAACCCAGCCGAACAATGTTTCTGTGGTACTTTGAACCCGAGCGATGCCGACAGCTGGTTCTACAAGAAACATACAAGGCCATGGCTCGATGCTTGCAACGGGCACGGGAGGAAAAGAAGGAAGTACAATTAGTCATTGACAAAGCGGAGAGGTCTGATGTTATAGGGAAAGAAGACCGGTATCTGATGAAGGCCGAGATTCAAGCCCTACAGCGTTGGAAGGACAAGGAGGAAAAGTTACTGGGTCAAGTAGGTCGGCTGGATGCGTTAGTGGGAGTGCTGCGAGACTACTAAGCCTTTCTGCGATCTGAAGTTTCGATGCAGCGTGCATTGCGCCGTGTTATATAGGATTTTTGTTCTGTTTTTCTTGCATGTCTCCGGCGTTTGGACATATCATGGACGAGGATCTTGTTAGCATGTGTATTTTCATTTAGGCCTGCCTTAAAAAGCATTGGAGCTCTTAATGCTCTTTAGTTATTCTTCGAGATCTTGCGCGAGGATTTGAATCCTTCCTTGGGTCTTATCGACAAATAAAATGAAAAGAAGTCATATTTAAATTGACCCTCGAGCGTTTCCTTTGTGTGACTTGAATGGTATGCCCCGTATGGTTCTTCGTACTCCGTATATCGGTCGGTTGTTTCCGGTGCCCTCCGGGGTTTGGTGCCACGGGCTTAGTCTTCCGCCCGCCAAAATCCAACGCAAGCGCGCTCTTGGCGGGATCGCCCTTCGGGGTGCAGCTTATCTCTCGGCTGCAAGTACAACTACTCAGAGTCCACCTTAAACTCACCTATCGGGTCTTATGTTTGCCTGGTAAAAGAGGTAGCGGTACTTTAATTTTGTCTTTTCATCTCGTTTTGTTGGACAATTTTTCCCTGCGGCGATAGCGAAACCCGCTCCCTCGGAGTTGTGACATTTCGACTTTCTCACTCGCTTGCTCTAATAAAACTAATTTGTCCTGTCTTGCTTTTGCTTGCGCGTTGTTGGAGTTCAGTGGCATTGATTGTCGTCGTCGCGGCATAGACTTCCCTTGTTCGTCACTATTCAATTTTTCATCTGATAATTTGCCTTTTATCCTCCGCAATTCGTCATGTCTCCCGCCATTGCTGCACCCGCGATCCCCGGATCCGCGTCAAAAGATTTCAAGAAGGAGTCCACCACGGCCCGTTTGTTGGGTTCAGGTATGACTGAAAGATACCATTGAACTATGCTCATTGCCAAATGACTGACTATACAAGGTTCTGCTGGTATTGCTGAGCTGGCTGTCTTCCACCCGGTAATCTCTAGAATTGCGCCTAACTTATTCTCAATCTAACGTTGCCAAAGGTCGACACCATTGCCAAGCGTTTGATGAGCAACCAGGCGAAGGTATGCCCCGAAATCCATGCTTTGAGTCCGCTGAAATTCAGTATTAACTTGGTAATTCAGATCAGCTCCCGTGCGAAACTTAACGAAGTTATCTTCAGGGAGAAGGCACACGCTCCTGTTGGCACCAAGTTCTTCTCTCTATTCCCCGGTCTCGGATATGCTGCGGGTTACAAGGTAGGCCACTACCAATCTCGGTCTCTCATTGACACGCCTGTTGATAATCGAGCAGGTTATGCAACGTGTGTACAAGTATGGCGGTCAACCGTTCATGCGTGACTACTTGGCCAAGAACCACGGTGACAAGTTCGACAATGCTTTCGGAAAGGGCACCGGCAAGGCCATTATGCACGCTACTGCCGGAAGGTATGCGTCTTTACCTGGAACCCACAACCTATGCTTGTCTAACTGATAGCCAGTCTGATCGGTATTGGAGAGATTGTCCTCCTCCCCTTGGATGTTTTGAAGATCAAGCGTCAAACAAACCCTGAGGCTTTCCGCGGCCGTGGTGTCTTCCGCATCGTCGCTGATGAAGGTTTCGGTCTCTACCGAGGCTGGGGTTGGACCGCTGCCCGTAACGCCCCTGGATCTTTCGCTGTAAGTTTCGCTCATACCTCGGTGGTCGGTAGACGGAATACTAAATTTTGACCGCTTGCAGTTGTTCGGTGGTTCCGCTTTCGCCAAGGAGTACCTGTTCAATTTGAGCGACTACAACAAGGCCTCATGGTTCCAAAACTTTGTTGCTTCCATCGCCGGTGCCTCCGCCTCTTTGATCGTCTCTGCTCCTCTCGACGTCATCAAGACCCGTATCCAGAACCGCAACTTTGAGAACCCCGAGAGCGGTTTCCGCATTGTCAGCAGCATGGTTAAGAACGAGGGTGTTACCAGCTTCTTCAAGGGTCTCACGCCGAAGCTGCTCATGACTGGTCCCAAGCTCGTCTTCTCGTTCTGGCTCGCCCAGACCTTGATCCCTGCTTTCGACAAGCTCATTTAAATGACAGCTTTATGCTGAATTCCTTTCCAATTCCAACACATCCACGACTCGGACGCTTGTATGCGACGCTTGTTGCACAGCTGATGACTTGCACAACGGACCTCAACGTATTTTCTGAAACGGCCGCATAGACCGACTATATAGAGAATGCGTCGTACGACAAGCGATCACGAAAGTCCGCATTTCCACCTAATGTAACTTCTCAGCTATAGAAGAGCCGGGCTCGATATAGGCTCCTGGCCCCCCTTCCCCTGTCGAGACTATACTCCATTTTTCTTCTTCCTTTTCTTAGACATGATTATGTCCGGGTAGATTTGCGGGAGCATAATTTAGACCGTTTTTGTATTTTTTATATTTCTTGTTTTAGTCTCTTCAAGCGTTTTGTTTGCGTTATGCATGCTAGATGAGCAATAAAAAGTCTGACTCTTCTCTTTCACTTTGCCTCTTTCTTCTCCCAATCGCCAAGGATGTTGAGCAGCCGCAGATCAATCCAAGCGTGCCAAACCCAAAAAACCATATACAGCCTAGGGAGTCTGACCATGCAGGGCGCCATGATGTTTCCGAAACAGAAAAATGAAATGAGCCAAAAGAAAAAAAAAACATACAACAGCGGGGATTCGCTGGTCGTCACCGACCCAACTACTAGTCCGCCGATTTGAGGCTTATGTATGGCAGAGCGGACGGGATGCCCAGTTCTCCTCAATCTATGGTCGTATGTACTTGTAGGCTCCTTACTACTGATATACATTCCAACGTTGATATCATCTAATGCAGCGGCGGCTGTGCCGTCTGGCGTGGATAGAACACAGTCAAAGTATACAGTTGCTGGATTCAAACAGAATTTTAGATATCAATTTTCATTTCCCAAAATCAATTATTAAAATAATCAAGCAAGTCAATTAGAACTCGTGTTTTCATCTTCTTATCTTTTTCATGGAAAAGAAAAAAGCAAGTTGACATAGAAACACCCACTTGAGCACTTGACATCGAATGTTCGCTGCGCCGGATTTTGCCGCAGTCGCAACTCTGCTTCCGCAGCTTGACTGCCGTCGTTGGCTAACTTAGCTGCCGGCTGAACATAACTGCAAGGTTCCTTCCGATATACATATTCTCTAACTAAACACATTATTTATATCTGCAACACGCGACCTGGTCCGGAGTCACTCAAGCGAAAGAAGAATTACTTTCACGGCATTGGAAAGCTCTTGCAATTCTTCATCCTGCCAAATTGTACGAAGCTTTCTTCTTTCCGCTACCTCGACACGACGATAAATTGATCCGCCGTCTCACCTTTGCGAAATCAACTATATACCCAACGCATACCCAAAAAAGAAGAAGAGGAAATATTTCGATAAGTGTTCCAAGGGGCCGAAAAAAAAAACAAAAGAAACAATCATGTCGGCGGCGTCATACAAGTATATCATTTCAAGGTATGTCGCCGCCTAGCTTATCTATTTCTTCAAAATGCGCGATTGAGCTGTGGGTCGTTCTTCCAAAGGTCAGAGGATATTGGCTCTGGATCTTCTGTGCTTTCTAGATTTGCGGTGCTAGTAGGAGCTGGCTAGGATTCCTACAGTCAAAGCTTTCGATTGTCCTAGAACAACGGAGTGGAAGAGGGACATTCTATCCTGGGCGATTGGGGACAGCGTTGCAAAATGAACAATCAAAGCTGACTTGTTCTTTTGTGAATGTATAGGAGAGTCGACCCGGTTTTTGCACTGGCGATTGGTGTAGCTGCTGCCGGTGTGCGGATACGTCGTGAGGAGAAAGAAAAGGGACATGATGGCTGGCAAGCCCTGGCGTTGGGAATGAGGTACGCTCTTTTGCTCATGATGAGACCAAGTGGGATTGGAATGAGCTCTCTTCGCCTCTTGGATTGTTTTCCTGCGATGGAGTCAGGCTAATTGTAATTTCTTTGATTTTAGGAGAATCGGTGTATCTGAGAGCTTCAGGAGGCAACTGGGTCTAGATGCGCCGCCGACAAAGACCGTTGGAGTAGAGTGATAATCACGGGTGGCTCCACTCGAAGATAGTTCAACAATTCACAGATGGCAGGCTTTGGCAGTAGTCAAGGGAATTCATGAGCGTGAAAAGGCGCAGGCTTTTTGGGAAAACTTATTGCATTCAGATACCAGCAGATAAACCCATTATTATTCGATGAGAAATTAGCAGACATGTTAAAAATTTGGCAGACATTGTGTGGGATAAATCGTTAATCACTAGATATCTCGTCTATGCAATCCCGCTCTCGTCATTGTTGTAACTGACTAACCCCCACCTTGGAGGCTTTGGAAGGAGCCAATCTGTGCGATAGCGAGCTTGATCCACGAGACAGTGGCCATTAAATAAACATGAATCATGAAACCATCCAATGCACAAAGCATAAAGAGCAGAAATCAAAGCCACCAACCCCAAACAAGGAAGAACCGACATCAAACGCAGGCCTGCAGAAGCAAGCACAAGAAGAGCACGGGCGCGGAACAGGAAACCGATATTGACGTGGCCGAGACGGGGAACATTTGTGGTATCAATCATCTAGCACGCGTACTCGTCACCGAACGTGTTCTCGCCAGAGTATCTAAAGCGAGAGTTAGCATTATATGTTTGAGAATGCGGCAAACTGCGGATGTGGGATGCGCGACTAACGTGATGTAGAGGAAACCATCCTCATCCTTGTGCTCTTCGTAGATGCTGCTCATGAGTGCGGCGGTGGGCGGCAAGACCTCGTCAACGAAGATAAAGATTGCCTTCTCAGGGGAGAGCTTGATACGCTTCCGGATCACGTAGACAAACTGACCAACGGTCAAGTCGGCGGGCACGAGATACTTCTTCTTATCGATAGTTGCGATATCTGACTTCTCAACCTTCTCACAGATGACCTAATGAAATGAGCGACACGCAAAGGTCAGTGAAGCTGCTCAATCCATAGCCCGGACGGGTCCGGCCCGGGAAAGGTAGACAAAGAACAGGAAGCATAATGGTGATACGGGGTTATCTTACCGGAATGCGATCGGTATACTTCTGCCTGATACGCTCCGCCTCGGCCTTGCGTTTCTCAAAGGGGTGCTCGTCCTTAAACTTGGAGCGCATGATGATTGACTGGAATGTCAAAAAAGGCTATGGGATGTGGTGATGAAGCTGTTTGGAAGAGCTGGAGGTAGCTAGAAGCTGGAAGTCGTTTGAGAGTAAGAGGTGTGAGTGATGAGGAGTAGGAATGAGAAGATAGAGCGAGCGGCGATGGTGGAGATGATGGAGGCGGTGGAGGTTGGTTGACTAGATGACTACTACTAAGTCCAGGTCGGTAGGCCGGGAGAGCTGGGAGAGCTGATAGAGAGCCCGATTGCTAGAGATAACTTAGGTAGAGAGCAAGAGGGAAGCCTTAGCGTCAGGGTATGACTGAGTGAGGGATGAATGGAGGCGGGCCAGAGTGGCTGATGAGGGGCACTAAACCCAAATAATCCAACGAGGGGTGAACGAAGGGCAGCGAGGGGGGACAAAATGACCACCTTTACCAACTTAAACCACCGTATAGAACACACTCAGTGGGTCGTACCAGATACCTTATCCTTGCCCCAGATACCTTGTATCAACCAAGGTACTCGCTACGCTCATTAGGCGGCAGCCAATCTACGCGACGCGCGCGTACTTTCCCTATGCCACCCTGCTGATTAATGCCGCGAATAACCCTTCTGCACGTCATTGCGAGATTAAGCATCCCAATGTCGACGCATATGAATGATGCCATATTCAAGCGCAACAGAATCAATTCCACAGAGTCACCAGTCAAATCTGAACAAATTGACCGTGTCCATGTTTTGTCTTCACTCTCAGACAATGACGCAGAGATGATGATCATGTGCAATACGAAAGACGTTGTCTCTTGACTAGGCAGCGTGACCAGACAAGTGAACTGTCTAATCATGTGACTCACCTGCTTTTCTTCCTTTCAAATTGATTGCAAATGAATTAATTTGGACTATTGTTGCCTGCAGTTGAATTCTGTTTGGCGATCACTTGAGCAAAGCTCCAGGTCTCAACAAATGCCTTCACAAGCTATATTCCCAGTATGAGAATGCGTGGGGAAGATGTATGATTTCTTCTCAATGCTTCCTCTAGTATTACGTTGTACCAACGTTTAAGCTCTGGGATGACCCTTTGCCCTTTCGATTTAAAATAACATTTTAGGAAAAGAAAGAGTAGAGAGCACAAGAAAGAGAGAACCTTCGATGAGAGAACAATCTGTGCTGAGGGACGGGTATAAGATTCCACCTCGAAGATAGTGAACTGAGGTCTTGATTCCGTAGTATACGAAGAGTAACAAGAATCCGTATCGAAATGATATTGATCAAACTCATTCTTGACTATCATGCCTGGTTCCGTTGATGTTTGAGGATATAAATTGTATGAAAAGTGGAAGTAAATAATTCGTTAAGTTGGACTTCAAATCCTGATATTCCATTTCTGACAGATCATGATAATCATGTTCATAAAACCGTATGTTTTTATTCAAGCAACAACGAACGAAAAATAGTGGCCTTGTCTTCCTGAACAATGAACGGAAATACAAAAGACTACGAAATATCCGCATCAATTCAGGGTCCATGTGTGTAAATACCACTACTACGTGCAGCGGAGACTCCGCGTAAGTAAGCGACCGGAGATGCTGCACCGAACACATCCACTTAAAGTAGATGGAAGGGCCGAAACAGACATCGGAATAGGTCTGGGCTGATTTGACGACTGCGGATCGTGTCGCATCACCCCATAAACAGCCCAGCAACCGGCTGCTTAGCAGACACAACGACAGACCCCTCCCCCCGAGGCATTGGCGTGCCTCTTTCGGTTCTTCCGGTTCAGGGAACAGTCAGTCCAGATTTTCTCAACCGGCGCGCGCGCCGAGAGAGTAGTAGCCGGGGTCACATTTTATAACCAGCACGATGCCCTCCCTCCACGCGGCTGCTGCGGGGGCAGTTCGCACACGGATAACTTCAAGAGCATCATCTGGACGGGTTCTTTTTCCTGAAGGAGGCATTGCTTCAGTTGCATACAAAACCAGCAGCACTTCATCTTCATTGCGCTTCTTCACAAGCTCTCGACCTCGTCACTCTGCGGCGCATACGTCTACTCCTGCTCTACGTTCATCAAGGACGACATTTGCTTCAATTGCCATTGGTGCAGTCTTTGTCGGCAGTCTAGTTTACAGCATGGTATGCAAATATCCCCTTCAATTCCTTGACCAAACCCCAGCTATCCTGATCCTCGGCGTTCAATTTCCCCATGTGCTTCTCAAACGTTAACACTGCCCCGTTTCAAGACTACCCAACCCTTTCAACATCTCGACCCGCCCACCATCGCAGAGCGCGATGCCACAATGAAACGCGAGTCCGGCGTGACCGTCACATCGCCAATGCGTCTGCGCATGGAGCAATTCATCAAGGAGCAACAATCTGAGATTGTGGCCGAGCTATCACGAATTGACGGCAAGCCCTTCAAATTCGACACATGGAACCGCCCCAACGGAGGCGGAGGCATCAGCTGCGTGTTGCAGGAGGGCAACGTGTTTGAAAAAGCGGGAGTCAATATCTCCGTGGTATACGGAACACTACCTCGGCCAGCGATTGAGAAGATGCGCGTCAACCACAAGGCGCTAGACCCAGACGTGGACAGCGTCGAGTTCTTCGCGTCGGGGCTGAGCATGGTGCTGCATCCGCGCAATCCCATGGCGCCCACGGTCCACTTGAACTACCGGTACTTTGAGACGGCAAATGAGGACGGCGAGGCAACGGCATGGTGGTTCGGCGGCGGCTGCGACTTGACTCCCAGCTACCTGTTCGACGAAGACGCGATTCATTTCCACAAGACGATTAAAGAGGCCTGCGATAAGCACGACAAGAGTTACTACCCGCGCTTCAAGAAGTGGTGCGACGAGTACTTTTTCATCAAGCATCGCGGTGAATCCCGTGGCGTGGGCGGCATCTTCTTCGACGATCTCGATGAGACTGAAAAGGATCAGGAGAATCTGTTTTCCTATGTTCAGGACTGCTTGAAGGCTTTCCTCCCTTCCTATGTTCCTATTATTGAGCGCCGCAAGGACATGCCCTTTACTCCGGCCGAGAAGGAATGGCAACAAATAAGACGCGGAAGATACGTCGAGTTTAACTTGATTCATGACCGAGGCACACAGTTTGGTCTGAATACCCCCGGTTCCAGAGTCGAAAGTATCCTGATGAGTCTGCCTTTGACGGCCGAGTGGAAGTATATGCATTCCCCTGAGCCGGGCACTCGCGAGGAGAGACTGTTGAATGTCCTCAAGCAGCCTGTAGAATGGCTCTAAATTACTCTCCCCATTCTCTCTCCGTTCTCCATCCTCCGCTTCTTACTCGTCCCCATCACGGCCCTCCTTCCGTGTAAGCACGCCTACAGTTCAGAATTCATTTGAGCTCTGAGTCCGTTGAGGCCAAAAAGCAGTGCACAGTATCAGGTGCATCGTGTACGGCAACAATCGCTGTACATCACCATCTCTCTAAAAAAAAAATAGACCTGCGTCGAAAAGTCTCACTCCCTTCACTTATACATTTGCCGTCGCAACTGCCTCGAAAAGAATCGCAGCGATAGATCTGGCATGTATCAATTTTCTTGTAATATCTACCTAGGTAGCTCTTGTATATCATGTACTGTACAATAGACTTCTCTTACAAGCATATAATCTTTTGCATGTCGCCTCTATGCGAGCTTGACATGTTCTATTACAATTCCAAATATGTAGAATCGAAAAAAAGGCGCTCTGAATGGGTCGGTGACCAGTGATCATCCGGTCCTGAGAATGAAAAAGACAAAGACTCAAATGGAAATCTCCAGCAAGTATACCATAAGATTAAACCACAAGGTCAAGGGGGATATAAAATTAAAAGGATATTTTACAAAAACCAGCCGCGCTTCTGAGAAATTAATGGCCTTGGGTCCATCTCATCTTCGATGGACGCTTGCGCTTGATGCTGTGAGCAGCTGGCGCTGTTTGTTAAGCCAGCTTTTGGGTGCGTCGTTGCGCCTTTGCACCACGACACTATTTGTTTGTAATCGGCTGGTTAGGTCATACCAAGCCGTTGCAATCAGCGAATTTTCGCGCTGGATGTTTCTCATTTCCTCTCTCAAAGCAGCCTTGTGTACCTTGTTAGCCTCACGTCCTATACGGATATACTCGAGAAATGCTCGTCTTATACTACATACCTCTTGTGCGGACGAATCTGTGCTGCTACTTTCAGCTGCAGATTTTTGTGCATTTTCGACTTGCTTTTCCAGTGACATGATAATCTCATTTTGCTTTTTAATATGCTTTGAGAAGTCAGCAATGCCCGAATATATCATTAGAAATGCAATCTCTACCTCTGACCGCTTGGAAATTCTTTCTCTGTACTCGATTAATTTGGACATCATCTTTCCAATGTGGTCCTCCAACGCGCCTTGACTGCCTTCTTGACCTTCAGCCGCCGCTTTGAGGAGCTCTATTCCTGCCTTGATTTCAGCACTCGCTCGGTCAGACTCTTTTGTCAGCCGATTCGATAATTCTTCTTGCAGAGCTCCCTTTCCAAGCAAAGCCGCATTGAGAAGAGTTTTCTGCACGTCCAAGTCGGATTCTAGGTCTTTGTATCGTCTTTGGAACTGCTCAATCTCATTCGACAATTCCTCTGTCTGAGAACTGTTTGCTTTCTTGACGCCCTCTAGCACTTCCAACCGGTCCTTGTCCACGAGTGATACTAGAAACAATTAGGTCTTATGCTCTACTAAACCTTCCAACCGTCCTCTTACAGTCCGTTTGCGCTGTCAGCAGCTGACGTTTGACATTCGACAGCTCCGTCTTTGCGTCGTTGAGCTCTTTGCTGGTTTTTGCAGCCTCTTCCTTTGCATTTTGCAGTTTTTCGCGAAGTGACAAAAACGTTCGCGCACTAAAAGAGGTGAGTATGTTACTGCCGCAAGGGTCGTGAAGATATATTACCTTCCTGTTGGATCTTCTTGACGGAGCTCGTTCAAAGAAGCCTCAAGTACGAGCTTCTCAGAGTGCACCTCTAGATATTTTCTTTCAAATATTTCAGTTTTTGTCTTTGCATCCTCCAAGAGCTGTTCGAGCAAGAACTTCTCTGGCGAAGTTGATTGCTCACTGAGCTTCTTGATTTCGGCCTTGAGATTATTATTCTCGAGTTTACTGCGTTACGTTAGCAACAGCATTTCAAAGAGTAGACTGAGCAACGTACAGCGCAGAAGAATCTTCTTCGCTTGAAGCAAGTTCGGAATCTAAATTTCCATTTGCTTGTACAAACGGCACGTGGTCCGCCTCCAGCTCCCTTATCCTGTCTTGTTGTTCGGCAAGGAGATCTTGATCTTTTACCAGTTGCTCATTGACTCGATCGAATTTCTGTGCTAAGGTAGATTTCTCAAACTCTAGGCTGCGTTTGATCTTCTGCAGTTCATGAATATCCTGTTCTAGCATCGGCAAGTTTTTCCGGTATTCTGCATTTGCCAGTTGAAGTCCGGCGCACTGTTTCTTGATTGCATCCAGTTCTTTTAAATGTTCATTTGCTTCGTCGAGGTTTTCACGTAATACGTTAACTTCTTTCTCGATCTCTTTGCTCGCCTCGAGTTTTTGCCTAAATCTTTCCGCCATGTTGGCTTTCTTTTCTAGGTCATCCCGTTCGACCTTGACCTCATCAAGCTCATCGCGGAGCTGTTGCAAGCTTCCGTAAGAGGACCGCAAGGAGGTTACCTGTCGCACATGGTTAACAAGGGCAAAATACGAAGCAGTGGAGAAGCTTTTACCGTTTGCTGCAGGTTCTCAACTTTTTCCTCAGAAGCCACAAGCTTGGATTCTTGCGCAGAAATGGTGTCCGACTGCCTTTGCCTTTTGGCGCGTGAGATACCGCCATACAACACTCAATAGTGGAGGATAACCTACACTCTATTCCAAAGCTCTCGCTTTTCGGGATCTTGTCTCGGGCTCTTCAAAGCATCTTCCGCATCCGTTAAGCGTTTTTGGAGGATATCCTATCACCGCTTCAGCTAAAAACCCTCACGCATTCCGATAGCAACTCACGTTATTTTGCTGCAAATGCTCGAGTCGCTTTTGCAGACTAGTGAGGTCTTTTTGCAGTAATTTGTTGTCTCGTGCTAAGTTGTCCTTTTCTGCCATAATTTTTCCGAGCCGTTCCTCGAAGTGCAGCTCCAGGTCGATAACCGGCATGCTGTTCTCGCCGTTGCCTCCTGGTGATGTGGGTGAAACGGGCGTCGCGGCGTCTTCACTGGCCGATTGCATCTGTCCATCGTCAGAACATCAACATCACTGGAACGGCCACCATTATTTCAAGATCTCCAATTTACCTCTTCAATTATGGCCTTGATGGATGCTTGTGTCGGAATGCTTAGCGAAGCTATCTTAGCAATGTTCTGCTCGTTCGTCTTGGGCGATCCAATTGCAGCCATCAGGATGATCTTGAGGAGCTGTTTGTTGATCCAGTCAGCATGGACCGGATTTGTTTTCCAGGGCGGCGAAAAGTACTTTTGTGGCATCTTGGTCCGACGAGCTTGTTGCAATAGCCTTCAAGTCAGGCGCGAGCCCGTTGTTCAAGTTCAAGCTCTGTTTGCAAACATCGCGAATAAAGCTTGTCGTGGCTTTATTTACCTGCTTCACTTCACCATCATTAGCGGGCCAGTAACTGCTGCAGAACGTTATGAGCTTACAATTTTGCCATTTGGCTAGCCAATTGTCTGACCCAGAGACTGGTTGAGGCTCATTTGCAAAATAATCAGGGTCAATGCGTGCTGGAGAAATCGGCCAAAGGTGGCGGGCTAATTAGCTGTTTGAAATTCTATGCCTGAGTATCCCGATGGCACACGTACAACAAACGGCCCATAGAAGAGTGCCATCGGAAAGCTGATCCAACGAGGACACAGTTTGTGACAGAGCGAATGTATTCACCTACAGCAGTATTTCTAGGTAAGCATCTTGGACACGCGCGGTTCAACAAATTGCAAAACAGCAGTTTCCTACCCATTGCAGCAGTGCCTTTGCGGCCGACGGTTTGGAATCCATGGTTCCGAGAGCTAGGATTGCCCCGTTTTAAGGAAAGTCGCAAAGCTGAGGATGAATACTATTTCGGAGCAAAGGAAGCGCCAGGGGCATTCTGAGGCTGGCAAAAGCAGCTGTGAAAAGAGTCACGTCGGGAGCAATCTCATGTTCCCTGTCCAGTAATATTTATGAACGGGTTTGACGTCGCGACTCGACCAAGCGACAAGGTCCACGACCCCGGCGACCCTTGACAGCAGGAAAGTGGAAAGTGCCGGCGTATGGTTATACGCTAGTGACGGTATAAACTCTTGGTGACGCGAACGCGGGGGCCCTTATCAATGTGCATTCCACAAGTACGCTTCTATTCATGTGCATGTCTTTAGCATTACACTGGGTTTCTATCAGACTATCTGCATGCATGTGATTCACAAATACCTGTCACATAGATGGATGCTTAGCCTGGTTTTACCAAAGCCAAAATGAGTATAATCTTTTAGTTGTAGCGTGGATCGTGGAAAGTAACGAAATTAAGCTCTCTTAACCAGTGATAAGCATTCTCAATAATCAAGAAAGTAACTCTCCATGCAGCCAAGGTATGGAAGCAGTACATTCATCATGCACTTCCTTTACCACAAAGGCCTACTCCGTAGTAACTCCACCGCGCTGCCCTCAGTAATAATTCAACAACCCAACCATAAGTATCGATCACGGACTCCCAGATATGCATAACCAGACTTCATAAACAATCAGGATGCACATGGCTTAGTTGTCTCCAATATCGTTGCCTCCGAAGTTGATTCCAACCACTTCGTCATCTTCGATGAATGCATTGTATTTGGTAGACATGCTCTCGACCGTGTCAAACACAGCCGCTGGAGCCTTTGCTGCAAATGCCCTACAAATCGTGAGTTTCCACAGTCGACACATGGTATGTCTCTTGGAGACGGGCCCTGGCTTACTTTATGAGTTCTAGGTGGCAGAGTTAGTATAATCAGCTTGTAGGATGTTTCGAAGGCGGAAGACTTACTGTACTCATGCGTGATGATACCTCCCTATGAAAAGGTCAATGATAGCTCTTGACAGAAAGTGAGACGGATAAAACAGACCGCATCAGTAATTGCTTTCTTTGCTTGTGTCATAACGGAAGCCGGCGTGTCATTTGGGTAGCTCACGATTACGGATCGATCGGATGTCGGAGGTGCAGCACAAACAACAGCGATGAGAAAAGCCAGAACAACAGTAAAGAGATATAGCTTCATTGTAAAATGTCTTGATTCTTCACTTTGAATATTGAATAGAGTTGAATATGAACAACGGTTGATCCAACGTGCCTTCTGAGCAGCGATGACGAAAGCGGATATGGTGAGACTTTGGCATTTTCTGCAAGCGAAGAAGACCATCTATGCAACTCAGTGGTAGCTTGCCCAAAACGGTTTAATTGTGAATCGGCGGGGCTCAAAAGTCGCGGATTTCTCTTATACGACAAGGTTGCAATAATTTTATTTGGCTGTTAGAAATTGAGACTCTTCATCTTCGAAATTTTGAGAAATTGACCCCTTCTTCAGAGTTCCGCATCTCTTTCTGGATAGGCAACTATTGTCTAATATACTGCCTGCGGTACTCGGGAGCAACAGAGTCGGGACCTATTGGTCGGGATTTGCCGCAATTTTCTGGTCACGTGCGCTTGAAATCAGCGACCGCAAGTAATTGCCGCTTGATCAACGACAGTTCCTGCCGCGACATAATCTAACTAAATCATCTTCTTATCATCAAATTCGTTCGTCTTTGGAAGCGTTTTACCCGTTGAATACGTATCGTCCTTGAGCATTCATACTTCTCACGTTCGAATTCGTGGATCTCACGTTTTCCCTGCTTCTTCTATGCCCTTGTGATCGTCGGGCGGCTGGACAGTGTTGAGTGCAACAGAGGTTGGGCTGAAGAGTGTTCAAGGCATCATCAGGAGGGCTGGCTGTCAGCAGGCGAAGGGGCATTATCCTAGTTGAATGCTTGCATCTACCTGTCGTATTCTCATGTCTTTCTCTTTGAAATTAGCTAGCAACGATCCAAGATATTTTTGATCCTTGTCCGCGCAAGAGCAGAGCCTTTGGAGAAGCTGGGCGCTGAAGAGAAAAAGAAAAAACAAGAAACCCTGACAATTCTTGCATATCGCGCAAGTCCCTCAAGCTTGCAGTGCTCGTCAGCTTTCCATCTGTGGATAATCCACTACTTTTCCCGCTATTGTTCCTGAGATCTAACCCATTAGCGTTTCAACTTGCGATATCGCCCATTATGTCTTCGGGATTAGCCTCTGATGAGGTGGCTGAGGATTACAAGAACTCTCTCGAAGATCTCACCCTGAATTCGAGATATGAAATTAGCAATCTAACAGTTATCGCCAAGGAGAATACAGAACATGCGATGGCCATCTCAAGGGTGTTAGAAAACCATATCCGGACCGTAAGCGCTCACCCCTGCATTTAAAACTCTTTGCAGTAAAATCTTTCACAGCGAATTCTTTCAAGGCTCGAATACGGTCGAGAATTCCTTTTATTAATGGCAGCAGACCTTACTAACTGACTAATAGGCACCTCCAAATCGAAAACTCCCTGCGCTTTATGTCCTCGATTCTGTTGTCAAGAACGTAGGCACACCATATACTCTCTTCCTTGGACGAAATCTCTATCAGACTTTTATGAATGCGTATACGCTGGTCGACAATCAGATCCGGAAGAAGTTGGATGAGATGCTGAAAACATGGAAGGAGCCTGTTCCTGGCTCCATGGATACGCGGCCCGTCTTCCCTGTTGAAATCACTCGTAGCATTGAAAATGCATTGATAAAGGCCAAGACAGCTGCAGTACAGCAGCAGCACCAACAAGCAAAAGCTCAACAGGAAATATTGCACCGGGGACGTTCCACTGCCACCCCTCCAATGCATTGGCGCAACACTCCCACGCCCCCGCAAAGTTCTACACCTTTTGCACTTCCATATGGCGCACATGCCTCAGGCGTCCGTTCAGGAAACAATAGCAACCACAATAATAATAATAATAATAACAACAGCAACGGCGTAACGCCGTCATACGGAAATCACAAGGTATGTGCGAGGGGAGGTAAGCAGGATCGATACTGGATAACTGATGACAAGGCGTTGCATCCACAGCAATATCCACAACAATATCCTCCTACACCTTTATCACAGCCTGGCCCTTACCAGCAGCCAACGCAGACTCCGGACACTCTAGATACATTGAATAATGACATTGCTAATTTGATCGATGTCGCGCGCGCTGAATTTGCCACAAATCTATATGACCAAGGCGTACAAACAAGGCTGAAGGCGCTTCTTGACTTGCAAAGCATTTTGCGCAGCCAAAAGTTGCCCCCAGAGCAGATTAAGCTCATCAGAGATCAAGTAGCACAACTTTCTCTCTCTTCCAAGCCTACGCCCATACCAGCTCCTCCAGTCATAAAAGCGCCGGAGCCACCCCAGCCTCCCGCGCCTCAGCCTAATGGGCAGCAACTAGGAGCGTCTTTGCAATCTCTCTTTTCAAGTAACGCACTCGCTGAACTGTTGGCGTCTACGGCTAGGGCTCAGCAGAAGCCGACCCCGCCGCCTGTGCAGTCGGCGTTTTCTACACCGCAACCGCAACTCCCATTTGCGCAGCCACAAGTAGCAGCGGCTCCAGTCCCGCCGGTGGCTACTGAAAATCCATTAGTAGCCTCATTGCGAGCTGCCGGTCTACTTCCCCCCGCAAATGTTCTATCTACAGCAACACCTCCTGCGTTGCCCTTGAATCCCGCCGTATTCCCAATGCCCCCTATTGCCCCTCCTACGATTCCCCTAATGGGCACACCCCCTACTCAATCTGCGACTCCCGCGCGTGCTGCGCTTGCGGAGATTGAAAATGATGTGGAAATGACCACTGCCTCCTTGAAAATGTAAGTATCAAAGTGGGATAAGTTGATTGTTCACGTGCTCACGGATTACAGACCACGCCCTAAACTGATATCTACGTTATATGAAGCTCAGCCAAGCCAATGCACATCATGCGGGCGAAGGTTCCCGACTACGGAGGAAGGCAGAAACAAAAAAGCACGCCACCTTGATTGGCATTTCCGTGTAAATCAACGACTAGTGGACGTTGTTAAACGTGGTCAGAACCGGAGCTGGTATCTTGATGAAATGGTATGTCCAAGATCGGAGCGCTTGTGTGCGAACGTAAAGGTTACTGACCGATTACACTTTTAGGAATGGATTAACTATAAAGAAAATGACGAGGGCCTCAACGACACGAACTCCAATGGGACGGCTGCTGCGGGTTCAGCTGAAGCAACCTCGGCAAAATCGAAGAAAGATCTTAAGAATCAGTACATTGCTGCTCCCAGCGACCCGGCCCTGGCTAATGTCAGTTGCCCTATTTGTCAGGAACGATTCGAGACTGTGTGGCATGATGGCGCGCAGGAATGGGTCTGGATGGATGCCGTACGTGTTGGTGGCAGGACCTATCACGCAAGCTGTTTTGCGGAGGCTACTAAGGATGGAAGAGGAGGTACTCCAGCTCGAGATGCCACCCCTGAGCCTGTACTCGGAAAGCGAAAAGCAGAGGTACGATCTCAATTTTATAGAAAATTTTGTTCTTTCAAACGAAGCTAATCTTGGTAATTACAGGATGGCGATCTTAACGCTTTACGTGCGCGGATCAAGAAAGAAAACATCCCCTAACGCTTTCTGTCCATTACATCTGTTTGAAACTTTGCATTGGCCTTATTTCTGCGTGAGCGTTGCTATGCATTACTGGTGTTTGGTGTTTTTATGAGCATGGGGTTTGTCTAGATTTCCCCCCATGTCTGGGGTTTGCTTTGGGTTAGCATTTCATATGTGGATTCGGGACTTATTAAGGGCGTGAAAACGCTCAAGATAGCGAAAGCATCATAGTGTGAGCAAAAATTTCATGGATTGAAGAGGCTGGTTTCAGTCAAATAAGTTAGAAAAGCAATCAGATGGCTTGTGCAGTGTCTTGATTTTGAATTGCTCTTTGTATTTGATTCAACTCTCATAAATTTTTATCAATTTCATCAAAAAAATATGTATAAATCAAATATTGTGTCCGGAAACTCAAGAATCATTGAACCGTGCTAAATGTTATGTCAACTACTTCACGCCAAGCTTATAGTAGTCCATGAAAATACGAAATACAAACAATTTCATAACATCCAGCAAAAAAAATTCATTCCACTATCAACTGTTAGAGGTGTAATTCTATCTGAGTCCATCTAGGTCATTGACTCGGGGCATGTCTAGCCGAGGGGTAACGGTAAGTTGCGAACTAATGAGATCATACAGTGATAGCTCCCCACTGTTGATAGCGGGGCACAACAGATAGATATGCGCAGCACTTGCTGTCAGATTAAATGCCAACTGCTCAATCCTATATTTCAACAAAAGAAAACCAAAGCACTGAACTGAGCCTAGACCTTGTCATTTAAAGTATTATTTGACCTATATATTCATTTCAAAATGTCTTCGAAATCATATACCCTTCGTTGGGGAATCCTAGGTAAGTCGCCGTTTGTCCCGATAAGCTACGTTTCGATTGAATTATGATACTGTCATGAGCTGCTGAGCTCTGGTCTCTGTATCTATCCTTACTCCTGCGGGAAATGAAAGAAGAGTTGCGGTATTAATGCTAATATATTTTCTTTTGACAGCTACTGGTGGGATCGCAAAAAGTAAGCTTCAGTTTCAAATTTTAGCTTCAGTCATAGTAGCCTCCTGACAAGTTCAATTCCTATCAATTTCATTAAATTCAAGCTGGCCTCTTCCTGCTAGACTTCTCTAGCATTATTACTGCTGTCTGAAAATTTACAATCTTCCTTGATATTGCTTGTGTCATTCATCACAAAGGAGAAAGATTCTCTTCCCTTACAAGCTCATTAACTCTGTCAACTGCATCACCCCATCCTCCCTCTACTAAGGCATACTTCCATCCAATTTTCCAAAATCCATGGATTCCCAGACCGTTGCCTACACGATACCCTGTCTTGTTTGTGTCTTATTTAATAACAGATGAATGCGCAACCACAAACTCACACTACTTTGCAATCCTCAGCATTCACAACAGACCTTCTGGTCAACCCTACAACCCGCGACGTACACGATGTCACCCATGCCGTCGTCGCCGCTGCATCATCCACTTCCGCCGAACGCGCACGATCATTCCTCTCAGACTGCGGCGCTCCCTCTAGTGCCGCCGCATATGGATCCTATGCCGAGCTCGTGGCCGATCCAAACATTGACATCATCTACGTTGCGACGCCGCACTCGCATCATTTCCAAAACGCCATGTTATGTCTCAAAGCAGGCAAAAACGTGCTCTGCGAAAAGCCGTTGACTGTCAATGCCGCACAGACGAAGAAACTCGTGGCAACGGCAAAGCAAAAGGGCGTGTTCCTCATGGAAGCCGTGTGGACTCGATTCTTCCCCGCGACAAAACAGGTCCAGCAGCTGGTCACCGAGGGCGCAATTGGGCCAGTCAGACGCATAGTTGCGGATTTCAGCATGCATTCTGATGTGGAAAAGGAGTGGAAAGATAGCCATCGGCTCTTGAATATGGATTTGGCTGGTGGCGCTCTGTTGGATTTGGGCGTGTATCCTATAAACTGGGTTTTCCAGATCTTATATCACCTCCAGTCCTCTCCTTCTACATCTTCGCATTCGACGCAGCCGTCATCCCAGAATCCTCTCCCACCAACAGTCACGTCGTCCATGACAAAATACGCTCCCACGGGCTGCGACGAAAACACCACTGTTCTCATGACGTTTCCTGGCTACAATGGCGGCTCGCAGGGCATCGCAACGACATCACTCAGGACATCTAGCGAGACCGGCCCGTCCGTTCGTATCTACGGCGACAAAGGCGAGATCCAAATCGATGGATTGCCCTGCCACCCAGACAATTACCGCCTTATCACAGTCAATCCCGGGGAGGGAAGTGTGAGTAGACAGCCAAAGGAGGTACGTTTTCCAGTGCCAGGGGGTGGAAAAGGCATGTTCTACGAAGCGGATGAATGCGCGCGATGTTTGCGCGACGGACGCAAGGAGAGTGAGAGTATCGGCTGGATGGAAAGTATCGCCATCATGGAGACAATGGATGAGGTGAGGAGGCAGAATGGACTGGTGTATCCCGAGAGAATCGAGAGTGCAGAGTATCCTCTCGAGGGATTCTAGAGAGTTTGAAACTGCAAAGACGTTTGGTGAAGGGTGTGAGGGGAACAGTTGGGGAAGAAATGGAAAGGGGAATGGGAAAGAGAATTGAAGCTAAAATAGCTATAATTGAAGAAGTAAATCGAAAGAAGAGACAGCGCTGAGAAGGAACTCGATGTAAAAGTAGTAAAATGATGGATGCATAGAGATTATATATCATATTACATACATCAGCATTCAAATAAATAAATGAAAAAATGGACAAAATATATCTAGCGGTAGCTCAACTGGTATGGCTGGAATGCTTTTTCTCTTCTGCGGGAAAATGCCCAGAGAAGAGGGGAGAAATATCACAGATTCCACCAGATCACGTCCGAATATTGAAAATTACCGAAAACTCATATGCCCCCGTTCTGTCACAGGATTGGCACAATGATAAATGACGAAAATCGGGCCAGTGAAATTCCAGCAGAGCGCGAATTGATCGCTCGCTGAAGTAGCCAGCCATAATACATGATGATCATATTGGCAGGCGCGAGCGAACGTGACGGTCCGAGGCTATTCAGAGTCCAAAAGAGCAGTCCCGATAACTGAGCCGCTGCTTATTCGCTCCTGCCTTCCCCAGTCCGACTTCTCGCTCTATTCCGGGAATTCACGGAAATTTAGTTCTTCAGGCCAATCTTGGTCAGGATGCCAGGACTCGTCTCGGGCACCTGGCCGAAGACACCAAGCAAGCTCTTCCAGACCTGGCCGGGCTCCTGGCTAGCATCAATGGGCCGCCAGATACCGGACTTCTGGTAGTAGCTGACGACGGGGTTGGTCTGATCGTGGTAGGTAGCGAGACGCTTCTTGAGGACTTCCTCATTGTCATCGGAACGCTGGATCAGAGGCTCGCCGGTCACATCGTCCTTCATAGACGCCTTGGGCGGGTTGAAGATCTTGTGGTATGAGCGGCCAGAGGCGGGGTGGATCAAACGGCCAGTGATGCGCGACACGAGGAGCGCATCGTCAATCTGGAGCTCAACGGCGTGCTGCAGCTTCTCCTTTCGCAGCTCGAGCATGTCATCCAGTCGCTCGGCCTGGGCGACGGTACGGGGGAAACCGTCAAGGATGAAGCTGTTACATGTTAGCCTGGTTGATCATGGAGTGTAGACGGCAGTAAGGGCAATGAGAGCATCAAATGCAAAGGCCCGAGATTTGCTTCAGGGATATGAGAAGGAGATAATGATGGACGACTGCTTCGTCCGATTTTTTAAGATGTTGAGCAGTACCCGACATCTGCGCTCCGCGGAAATGCATAGGACAGAGAAGAGGTGAACATACCCGTTCTTGCACTCAGTGTTGTTCTCGAGCTGGTCCTTAATCATGTTAACCATGATCGCATCGCTGACAAGACCGCCCTGGTCCATGATCTTCTTGGCTTCCCGACCCAAGCTGGTCTTCTTCGCGACCTGCTCACGGAGCATGTCACCAGTGGCCTTGATTGCAAATCAAATTAGCGTTATTTTTCACGGGCATTGGAAAACAAGACAATTGGATTCAAGCCTCACCAAATGGCAAACACAGAACTTGTCCTTGATTCTAGGAGCCTGAGTGCCCTTGCCTAAACGCATATCTTGTCAGCCTCCGCTCATCCGAAGCAGCTTCTACCAGGATTATATCATCCCCCACAATTGCTCCGAGAAACGTACCAGCACCAGGAGGACCCATAAGGATCATGCGGATAGACGAGGGAGCGATCAACTGCGAGGGAGACGCATTTCCGAGCTTGGACTCAAGGTCATTGACGCGGCTCTCCAGCTTGTGGACGAGGTCCTTCAGAGCGTGGACAGCGTCGTCGGTAGTCGGGGCCATTTTCTTAGCTGGAAGAATGGGAATTGAAACCTAATTAAGGTTGCAATGGGAGATTGTCTCCTTGGGAATGGGTGAAGAAGAAGGAGGGAGAGGGGCGAAGAGGTCAATTCAACGGCAGCTTGGGGGCTGGAGTTGAATGATTAAATATCGCGAAAAGCGTTTAGTTGAGATATAGCAGGTCTGGGGGGTTGTACTGCTTGTTGCCGCTACAAGTAAACTATCGGCTAAAGCCAGCAACGTGCCGGGGGAGTTTCCATGGCCGCAGCTCCTTTGGTCCTAAAGTGATCGCTCGGTTGCTGTCCGGAGTAGAAATCGAGGCGTGCCATAATCAATAATTAAATAGAGCTACATGTTCTTTAAAGTATAAGAACGGGCCGTCCGATCCTCGGCTTGATCGAGACTACTTACTAGATTACAGCACATGGCAGTAAAAAGAAGAAAGAGAGTGAGACGGAAATCGCTTGATCTCATTTCTCTCATTCGTATGATCATGAGGCTCTTGACAACAAGGATGTGGATTTAGACAGGGGAGCTCTACTTGTTCTGCTAGCGATGACGGAAGATCTGCTCCAGGTATGTCCTGATGTTAGTAAAATAACTCTGATTCTGGGCCACTACAAATTCATTATTCCCACGCACTCTCTGCGCGACTTTCCTACGTAAGGTATTCATCCATCCGGATACCCGCCAGTCTTTTCTAAGACAGACAGAAAAAGCAAGTAATTTATGCTTAATTGCCTATCAATCGCAAAAGACTATTCGATCATGTTTAGAATAAACACTGTTTTCTCTCCATTGGACAATCGTTCCACATGCTTCTGAACACATAAATAAATCTGATCAGAGTAGCAACATGGTCGATTATGTAAGCTAGCTCAGTCTAATCACGTGATAGTATGGCACTATGCCCAATGAGGTTGATGAAGCTCTCCCATACGTCGACGGCCATAGTAGAGAGGTAGCACATAGCAGTCCTAATCGTCTATTGTAATATCACACTTGAGCTCACCTTTGACGCATTCAGTTATTTACATAGATTAGCTGGCTTATTCCAGTTTCGGGAGACTGCAAAACAATTTCCTACGCTTCCAGTCTCAGTTTCAGTCTCATCATGCCCGCGACGACAGCGGAGACGCTGTCTCTCGTGACGCGAACCGTTTCAGTGGCACCGTTGGTCCTCCTCTCCGCCGCCGACCATTACGGACGTTCAGCAAAGGGTACCCGCAAGCGGGTTGTCGGTGTGCTTCTTGGCCAGAACACTGGCAACAATGTCAGAGTATCAAACAGTTTTGCCGGTATGTACAATGCTTTTCCCGACTACATCTTACTGAATCTCGTATCATCTGTTGCTGACAAACATTCTCCAGTGCCATTTGAGGAGGACGAGAAGGATCCATCAGTGTGGTTCTTGGACCACAATTACGTTGAGGGGATGAATGAAATGTTCAAAAAAGTCAACGCCCGCGAGAAACTCATCGGATGGTACCACTCTGGTCCGAAGCTGCGGGCGTCGGATCTCGAAATCAACGAGCTTTTCAAGCGCTACACTCCCAATCCTCTACTTGTCATCATCGACGTTCAGCCAAAAGAAGTTGGTGTACCGACGGACGCATATTTTGCAGTGGAGGAGATCAAGGACGTGAGTCGCTGGGGATGGCGTAAATTCGAGAAGCGAGAACATGGAAGCTGACATATTGTAATTATTAGGACGGAACGACAACGGCCAAGACCTTTGTTCACACGCCCTCTATCATCGAAGCAGAGGAGGCAGAAGAGATTGGCGTGGAACATCTTCTACGTGACATTCGTGACGTGGCTGTCGGCACACTTTCCACTCGCATAACATCTCAGCTACAATCCTTGCAGGGCTTGCATCTTCGATTACGAGACATTGGACAGTATTTGCAAAAGGTGCTGGACAAAGAACTTCCCGTCAATCACGCCATTCTTGGAAACCTGCAAGATGTCTTCAACCTCCTTCCCAACCTATCGACGCCCAAGACACCCTCAGTTGTAGGCGGAAACGATTCTGCGCTGACGGAAAATAACGAGCTCGCCAAGGCCATGAGTGTAAAAACCAATGATCAGCTCATGACCATCTACCTAAGCAGTCTGATACGAGCAATTACGGCTTTCCACGATCTGATCGAAAACAAGATCCAGAATCGGCAACAGCAGGATGAAGCGGACGCAAAGAAGGAAGAGCACGAGGCGAGGAAAGACGAGATCAAGAAGGAGAAGGCCAACGGCGTGAACAATGTCGAGACCAAAGAGGGTAGCAAAGACGACAAGAAGAGCAGCTAATTGATATGTCGGATCGGATTTATATTCACGTTTATCGCGCTGTGGATCTCAGGCGTCCTTGAGCATTTGCGTCTCTACAGTGGTGGCGATATATTTCTCTATGCATTTTTCTTACGCCATTTTTTCCCCTTTATCCAACAAATCATGTTTTCTTTGTAATATAGATGCAGACCATGGCTAAATGGAGCATATGGTTTACAATACAATACCTTCAAGAGGTGAAAAGACGGGATCCTTTCATCCCTAAACAGCGGAATGATACTATTGATAATGTCTCAACGTGAAGCAAGGTGAAAAATGAAAAGCTAGATCATAAATCCGATTCAATCTCCCCAACCCGCTACCCACCCAGCCAGTTCTGCCTCGTCCACTTCTTTTTCCTCCACGTAACTCGCCAGCAGAGGGAAATTTTCGACCAGGAAGCACGCGAGAAGATGCTTACAAACGGGCATTTGACCTGTGCCTAGGCTCAGACCACCAAAATTGAGCCCGTCTCGTATCGACTCTTCTGCCCCGCGTCTTCCAGGATGTGGCCTTTTGGTTGCCTCTGTATTCTCTGAAACAAGATCTAAGGCTGGGTCAGAGGCTGTAGTTAAGAAAGGACCAGAACCCGAAGAAACTGCAGCAAAGGCAAAGGCAGGACATGTACAGTTCCACGCTTTTGTGCGAACTTCATAATATCTGCCGTCATAGGCACGCGAAAACCGCCCCGGGCGAGAAAGACTTGCTGCGGAGCGAACATAGAAAATGTATGGTTTTTCATCCTTGTGGTCTTTGAGGGGCTTTTTCTTCTCTTCAAATTCATCAGGAAGAGCATTGTTCATTCGGCTTTCGCGTCTGGCTTGTGTTTGGTTGTCTCCCTGCAATCTCTGCGTTGCATGTGCTGCTGTAGAGGTCACGTCGGTTCGGTCAAAAGCAACATTTGCTGCTGCTGTCGGTTCTGTTTCACCCTCCGCCATTTGAACATCATTTTCTCTTGAGTTTGATGGGCGGTAATATCGTTCATCTGGCGTTGCAGTTGGCTTTGTAAACCCAGATTGACATTCAAGATGGACTTTTTTGCTAGCAGAAGTTCCTGAAGGGCCAACAGCTTGCTGGCAGATTAATCGACTGACAAGGCGTCGATCAAGCAGATCCAGTGCTGGCAGAAGCTCATTGGGAAATAAACAGTGTAAAGTAACAAAGATGCGCCGAATAGCAGGTGAGGCAGACAACAGTATGCTTCCGGGAGTGGGTTGATAAGTCTGTCCAGTTGTAGATGGAGCCGCTTGTCCTGCGCCGGCTGTCGAGGTTGTCGTATTTAAGGATGAATTACTATGTGATTGGTTGATTTGCTTGAACAGAGAAGTGAGGACGTCCCGCGGCGATGGAATGGTGGATTGGGAGGTCATGATCATCTGGGTAACTTTGACTCCATTTTTTTGACCCTTTGTTTGCTGCCTTTCCTATGGACTGAGAGAGAGGGTTTTGCAAAAAAAAAAATATCAATCTAGCCAGGGAATAATATTCATATAGAATTTAAAGGATATGGCGGGAAACCCAGGATGTTTTGATGTTGATATTGATAAATCGGGGATGTCCCACGTGTAATAGCCCATAGGGCTGGGACGTCGGTATACACGAGGGATTACCCGTTGTTTGGACAGAATAGGGAAGAAGTCTATTTGAACGCCATGCGAAGCTTTAACTGTGGATATTCCAGCCGGGCTATGTATTGTTTTGCATTTGCGTTGCACGGCTTTTTCTGCTCCGACTGCAATTTTGTGACTTATGATGAATATTTAATTCGATCGCATCAAAATAAATTACATTTTCGTGTATTCAAGACGCTTTTGACTCGATAACATTAGAAGATGCCATCAGTTCTTGTGGACGCATAAAAGATCCTTCCGATTGAGCAGACGCGCAGATGTCGATTTCCTGTATTTAGCGTTGCGTTGTGATTCTTCCAGTTGGATTTCTCTTGCTTTCGTTGGTTTTTGTCACTTGTGCCTTGCGCCTTTTGTTTCCTCTCCGCGCTGTTAGCGCTGTGAGCCTCCTCCCCGTTTAACTTTTTTTTTCTCCTTCTTGGTATTTATTCGTCCAATACTCAATCGTTTGGAAGAACGAAAATCTTCATTGACAATTGTTTAAACGAAAGTAATCCTTGAGTGGTTCACGGTGACTTATACGAATAGAAATTAACTAGGTACATTAATTGATAGACACAAACAGTTCTATTATAAGGCTCTAAGCAGGAAATTCAATAGGCCGAGTAGTGTTCATCTTAAGAAACGCTATTCGCTGCAAAACGAGATGTTTGAAGTCCTTCTCCAGGTCGTCTTGCCGACTGCTTCTCCATCTATAGCTGCGTCCATAAAGGAAATATTCTATGCGGTATAATATCGCGCAATATTATGAAAACGACAGTAACATTTAGGAAGCTTTCAAGATTAAGGTCGGAAATCTCTGATTAGCAAGAGTGCATTCTGTCCACCCTGAGGATCGGTACACTTGACCATCACTTTCTCGTTTCATCAACTTTAAGAAGCCCACTCCCATTGACCGTTCACATATCGTCTAAAACGCCGGTATGCCTCATCCCATACCCACTCAGAGGGCTGCTGATGGTCAGGGACTGGTCTGTCTTCAATATACACTGCTGGCATTTGGCCAGAAACGTTGACTGCATCCACAAGGACCGTCCCATGTCCAGGGTTCAAAGGGTTTCGGGGGGTAACATAATGGACGGGACGGAAAGTAAGGCCCATCTGTTGTACATGTGTCTCGATGATTCGTTTCTGGTCAGGAAGTGCTACCTCTCCTTCATATACAGCACAAACAACAAAGGTATTCGCGGCTGGGAAGTAGCTCCTGTGCTGAGTGTACAGGCTCTGAACTCGGATCATCATTTCCTGAACATGTCGGTCTCCGGCATATGGGTCTTGTGTAGCATATGGCACTGGAGGAATATGGGCAAGAATTGCACCATATGGCGATGTGATGGCCACCACAGAGCATCCAGCGAGATCCCTAGTACCAATTGCAGACAGCTGCTGACTGAAAGCAGCGAACTGGACATCGTCCATTGCAACGAGGCGGATTCGACCGCTGGCTTCCGACTGCGCAAGTAGTCCGAAACTTGACATGAAGGAAATTATGGTCACTCATGAATTACTGGTATATAAGGCGTCGATGAACTAATATTCTTAGTAAGTTTTGAAGCACTCTTGCAGCCTAGAACAGAACATTGTTTACCCTATGACAGACTGCGTTGGCAAACAGAAAAATGAAGTGACTAGTTGCTTGGTATGCAGCTTCAAATGATTAATGGAATAACTGAATCAAGAAAAATGAAATAATATGGTCAAATGTTACCCTTTTTATACTCCTCAACTCCTTCAACATCTTCAGTAGCACGTTACTGTAGCGGGGGAGGATGCCATCTCATGAATGGTACCCCTAGTCTAGCTTAGCCCATTCTTGTCGAATTAATTTCATCTTTCATGATATGTTTCCCTCCAAAATCCTTGCAAAAGAAGACAACCTGGGTTTGGGATGATTGATTGGTGACGAGATTGCTGAAATAGCTGGTTGAAACAAATTGTTGACATGGTAGATAAGATGTGTCGATTATCTGGGGTAAAATGGGCGCTAACCAAGTTGATTGATTGGCTCTCCGCCGGCCAAGCGCGGGGAAGGTGACTGTGTCGGCACCGGTGCCTGACCCTCGGTTGAACGATCGAACAGCAAAGGATTGAGAATACTCCATGATTCCAGATCAAGGACCGTGAAGAAACTTGTGCTCAAATCAACCAAATGATCATTTTTCCGTTGGCACTTCGAATAAGTCATAATTTCTACAACTTGTGAGGTCTTTTGTATATCATGGCTGCAATCCAGGCGTCACATGCCCCGCGAACTTCATCTACTCCACGCTTTTTCCAACATTATCCCCCAAAGGAAATTAGCTCACTAGCAGATGCCTCAGCCGCTGGAGACCTTGACACCGTAAGAAATATTCTGCAGTCATACATAAAATGCCAATCCCCCGAAGATTCTAGGCTCCAAGAGTTTTGGCCAGTCCTTCTAACTGCGTTGTCCTATGATCGTGCGGAAATTGTGTCATACCTCTTGGACGCTGGAATCCCCTTATCTTCTCTGCATATCCAACAAGCCGTCCGGACGAAATCAGCAGACATATTTGAAGTATTCCTGAGGCACGGCTGGGATATTAATGCGCCATTTTCCGAAACTCAACCCTCTGCCCTTGCGTACGTGCATCGAGATATGCAGCAACAGGAGCGTACTAGCAAGCTGACTACTACCTAGATTTATCGTTGAAGATTGGGAGCTTACTAACTGGTTTCTTGACCACGGTGCCGATCCAAACGCTGCTTGTCGATTAGATCTCACTCCCATGTCCTTCGCTATTCAAACTGCTCCGCTTCGGACGATTCACCTCTTGTTCGATCGAGGAGGGGATATAGGCAAAGGCCAATTGATACATCATGCTGTCGAGCGAAATGACGGGTATGCTGTGGAAGTGATCCAACTGCTTCTGCAGAAAGGTGCAGTGTTGAACGCAAGAATGTATGAGAATCATCCGCCGTCATGGAACTTGCAGTTTTTCAAGGGTCTTGGGACTGCGCTGCACAGAGCAGCAGAGTTGGGGAAGTCAGACGTAGTGTCCTTCCTCCTTCAGCAGGGGGCAGATATCTCTGTACGAGACTCAAAGGGCCGGACGGCACTAGATTGCGCAAGGCGGTATAATCGCACTAATGTTGTGATGATTCTGGAATCTTCATAATTTCAACTTGCCTTTCTAAGATGACAAACTGAGGATTTTACAAGTGTACACATCATCATGAGGTTGTATGATGGCAGGCGAGTTAAATGATGCAAAGTATATTAATGTAGACCATGTTGTGTTCGTTGCGGTGTGAGAGAATTGCAGAGCGAAAAATGTACATTGGATTAATACTATTGTACGGCCCCTTTGGGTCTTGTAATTGGAATGAGTAAAATCTATGCTTAACCTGGCCTGAGGTGAAGCCCAAGGGTATCTATGAGTAAATGCACACAGGCCTATGCACTATGAAGCTAATATGCATCAAAGAGAAAAGAAAAGCGTAATAGACAGTGGATGTATCCAAAGATGAATGAAAAGGAAGCCAATGCTGAAAAGGCATACAACTGACTCGGCGGGTTAGCTGTCAAAACTCTTTGACCCAGCTGAGAATTCCTCGGTGGCGATATGAGCGGAAAAAGGAGCCTCTCTTTTCTTATTTTGGTAGCGAACAGCAGAGTCAAGGGATAGATTGACAATATCGTTAGAGCGAAGGTGCTGGGAGCGGTAGGATGGGACCTTTAATCTGCTCTGCGCTGCTTTGCTCGCGGATGACTCGTTTAATCCCGGAAGAACCAATCCCGACCATGTGCCTGGAGCGCGAAGATATCGACTTGCAGCTAAAGAGAAGCGATTACGAGCCAAATCTTCTTCCCAAGATTCACAAGATGCAAGTTCCTTGTGCTAGCCGCTCAAGCGACATTTTGAAGACGGGAAGAGAGGAAAAGATCGAGGTTTACCCAAAGCTTGACCATCGGCACAGAGGCAGGTGTATTGGCGAGTGTGCGTGCTTTGACAGTTCAAACGCCTTCGGGACGCCACTTCGCTTCCTGCGATTTCTCTTTCTGTTTTTAATTATATGCCCATATGCGACGGCACTCGGAGCTTCGTATAAAGCTTTAAGCGGTTCCCGCAGCCCCAAGCCCGCACCGAGTTCATGGTCGAGCTTCTTCTGTCGACGGCAAGTTCTGTCGAGCTTCAACAAAGGCCATTAACAAGGAGGGCATTGACCCACTAAGGGCGAACGCCACTCACTGATTTGCAGTGAGCTTGTCCACCCGCACGTACGTGAGGATGTAAGGCGTCCACCCCTTTCCAGGGTTGATTGCGTCACTGATGGTCGCTTTGCTGACCATCTCATCGTTCAGAGTCCTCCACATTTCATGGGGACCCTTGGCCACGCTGATATAGTGACCACCGTGCAGAGAGCCACTGTGCTGGACTACCGAAATGAGCCGGTACCGCAGCGTGTCCGGGACACGCTGCTCCAGCTCACTTGCATATTTGCTCAGATCCAGCCACTCGCAGATGTCCACTGCCGTTTGGACCTTCCTCAGCCGGCCAAAGTCGTTCATGGCGAAGCGCTTGACCGGTAGAATCAGGACCTCGGGCGCCAGCGAGATGGTGAGCTCGCGCTCCTTGTCGCTCCGGTCGTTGCACTTGGAGCATCGTACTTCTGGCAAGACCTCCTTGAAAAAGGGCTTCAGATACGATGTGAGCCGTGGACTTGGCTGTTTCGGTTGCAGGGGCACGTGCATCTGTAGCTCCTTCATTGGCGGTTGCCGGCTGACGTGCTTGCATTTCCGATTCGGGCATTTGTAAGAGGATTCGAATTCGATGCAAAACATCGAATCAATCTCTTCTGCTTGTCTATTGAACGAATTAGCAATTGCAAGAGGCAGATTAATTTTCAGAAGAAGCGTCCTCGCATACCTCGGAAGTTGCTCACGAATCGTGTCCAGCATCCATAGCAGGAATTCCTGTGCATCTTGCTGCTCACTCGAAGGGTGGCGCCAGCCCACTGCAATTTTGATCAGTTGATGTGATGCAACTTGGGCTGTCGAAGAGATGAAGCATACCTTTTCTACATAGCACATCGAGCGCTTTTACCGCCCGATATATTTGCTGTCTATGCTGGCTTTGAGACAGGCCACCAGGGCCCGACCTCTGCCAGTAGGCTTCTTTCAAGAGTCGAAGCTGGCATGCCAGGCAACTCTTTCCTCCCCGCATGCCTAATGATTATGTGATCAGCGTATGCTTATCTATAGAATACTGGAAAAGCACTTACAGCGTCCTGACTGGTGTTTCTGCTCCAGCCAATTAACAAACATGGGCACGTGCATCAAGGCCTGCATCGTGCTGCGACGATAACACATTGCGGCATTGTCGTTCGGCATGCCTTGAGAGGAAAGAGGGCCACCCTTGGCGCCCTGGCCTGTGTATGCAGAATTCCAAGACTTGGAAATGTGCTGCGTCTACTCGAAGAGAACCGAGTCAGTGACTGACAACGCGCGAGGGGAATAAATTTTCCAATTACCTGGGTACGCCGCCGCGCCTGCGCGGCGGTCTCATGCTTACGTACGACTTTTCTTGGTCTCAGAACAGCCATCTTTGCCTCGTCTTCCGCAGTCAAGTGCGTTGCCGGAACGAAATGAATCGGATTCTTCAAAAGCGCTTCCAGAGCGCTTGCCTTCGACTCCAAGCTCGAGAGAAACACCGGAGGTGACGTGAGCCGAGGAGGAGATTTCTGACCGGCAGAAATCTTTTGAAGAGTAACAGGTGATGTTCGCCGATGCGGAAGCTGACCAGCAGCTCGTAACAAAGAGCGAGAGACACGCCGACGCGGATTTGAGGATGCGGAAGAATGATGCCGGATTAACGAAAGAAGATATGCATCATGTCTTCGAGGAGGCGACAGGCGGCCTTTAAGGCCAGCCCGTCCAATATGCTTCATAATCACCGCCATATTGAACCTGCTTGTTGCTATGAAGCCTCGTTTAAAAGTGCACTATTGTCCAGGAGAAAAGACAATAGTCAGGAAGAATAAGGCAAATAACCAATGTGGCAATGAAACAATAAAAATAATCAATGAACAATAAAAGCAAGACCACTTGAGAATATGCTACACGTCAATTAACTTTCCTCCGCAGCAAATGGGTACAACTATGCTTATTGAAGGAAGCGCACAAAGAGACTATGCGGCAATAGAGGAAGGCTGACCAGCCTTATGAGACTTTGCGACGACTGGCCAAAGATGATAGATCATCGGAGTCAAAGCGGCAGTAAGAAACTGATTATGCCCCCTCAGTCACAGCCGTGAGGTGATGAGGGCAATTAGAGACAACCTTGGCGGCAGAGAGTTGATGTATTTACTTTAGAGTTTGAGGTTGGGTCAACAGACCAAAATTTGCCCCGTCGTGAATTTTTTCGTTTGGACGCGGGATGTCTCGTTTCTTCTGCCGCTTCCCGCGCTCTTCGCTTTCGGCGAATCGTTTTGCCGATTCTCCGATCATCCACGTCAAATTCCCCAGAGTTTAATTGGTTTCACCTTTAAATTATAGCTTGTCACGTTGCATCAATCCCGTACGGCAGATTTTATTATCCTAGTTATATAATGTCTGATATTTGACTTTGTAACTTATTTGACTTCATCTCTTTAGAGTTGAATTCTCTTATTTCTTTCCTTTTTTCTAATTGAACGATTTGGAAAACGCCATTGTAACCTTTGGCCCGATAAACCATGTCCTCCCGTGACGGCAGCACTGCAGTTACATACGAAGACGAGCACGTCCACCATGTCTATGAACAGATTGCATCTCATTTCTCATCGACGAGATACAAGGTAAAATGTTCTGATGCATTTTCAGAGTCTAGAAATGCTTCCAAAACGTTACTTTCAGCATGGATTGTCGTCGAAATTAGCTAACCCCGACTCGTTCAGCCTTGGCCGATAGTGGAACGTTTCCTGCAGGGTCTTCCCGATGGTGCAGTAGGAGTTGACGTCGGCTGCGGAAATGGCAAGTATCTGACAGTGAACCCGAAAGTATTCATCCTTGCGTCCGATAGGTGAGACATACTTTCATTTTCACCCAACAAATTCTTTGCTGACAATGATTCCCAGGTCACAAGCTTTAACCAAGATTGCGGCACAACATCAGCCTCATGCGGCGCTTATCGCAGACAATCTTTCACTTCCCCATCCCCCATCTTCTTTCGATTTTGCTATCTCTATTGCTGTCATCCACCATTTGTCAACCCCAGCTCGGAGGGTTGAAGCTATCAAGTCAGTCCTCGAGCTGCTGAAGCCAAATAGAGCCCTCAAGCAAGAGAGCCCAAATGGCTCAGTATCCCAATCTCCAGACTCAAGTGACGGCAGAGCCCTCATCTATGTATGGGCCTTGGAGCAGAAAAATAGTCGCCGCGGATGGGATGAGGGCATGGCCCAAGACGTCATGGTTCCCTGGGTCACAAAATCAAGCCGGGGAACCTCTTCCAAGCCGTTGAAGCGAAATAGCGCCGTTGAGCATTCGGAAACACGGCAGTCAGACTTATCGAAGGGGTCGGTAACGGCACAAAGCCGGAAAGGTGAAAGCCTTACCCCTTCAGACAGCTCGCAGACGTTTTACCGGTACTACCACCTTTACCGAGCCGGAGAGTTGGAGCAAGATGTCTCAGACGCCGGCGGTACCGTCATCGAGTCTGGCTATGAAAAGGATAATTGGTGGGCCATCATTGTGAGAAATTCAGAGCCATAAATCACACCCTGGTAACGAACAAAGACATCCACGTATTCATCAACACTATTCTCTATTGCAAAGTGGAATTGAACAGCCAAAATGTCAAAAAGTACCCCAGAAAACACAATGCGCTCACCCGCCCGCAAAATATAATGCTATGATCATCACACGTCAATTCGGTCAATGCGAATCCAGAAACCCAACGCCAACCGAAAAATGCTATCTATCTGTACCTGCGAGGTACCCCGCCAAACGGCTCTGGTGGAGACAATCCTTTCCTTTCCATAGGTCGATCAAAGGGCAATGGATAAGCCCCAGCCGTGACCTCCGAAACTGGAGGGAGCTGCGGAGGTGGCCCTATAGCTCGTGGGGCGGACTCTCTTCTTGATCGCGATGTTCCAAGACTTGGTCTTCGACCTCTTTGCGCTGGTTCTGTCGAAGTACTTGATAGCGAAAACGGTACAACGCCTGCTCGACGTGCCATGTCTTGTTCTCCCAGCTGCCAATGCATGGCCTCTGCCGCCCGCCATGGGATAGCCATTTCTTCCGCCACCTTGGCCCACATTTCTGGCTTAAATCTATCGTTTTCAACAAGTCAGTCTCCATTGTACCTCTGTGTTTGTTGACTGCCGTGCTTCCAAATGCCATGACCATGTCTAGTCACATATGCTGCCGTCTTACCTCTCATATAGCCTTGCGAGCTTGTTTTTCTTCTCCTCATCCCATTCGCTTCTTCTCTCGAGGTAATTTTGATAGTGTAACCTACAACTGATTGCGCTTCGTCCGGCCAACCTCTTGCTGATATCTTCCCATTTCATTCCTTTTCCCCTCAAATCGATGATGAGAGCATCCTCTTCAGGCGACCACTTCGATTGCTTCTTTGCTGGAGATTCCGAAGGATGCGACGGTTGACTGCGCTTGTTGGCAGCTGTTACAGGCGCGTGCGAGGAAGCAGAGGATGTGGGCACGGAGTTTGACCGGGATCTGTCAGTCGGAGAGGACACATCCTGGTCCGTGGGCATCAAAAGCAGTGAGATATCCACGGTGGCGGCTTTGATAACGCTCAGATGCACAAAGCATGTGGAAGAAGTGCGAAAAGGAGCGACGTCACGGCTGAACTTTGTCCACCCCCTTCAGAGTCTCAATTTCTTCTCGTGCTTGGAATATAATTTATCCTGTGTGATTGATTGACGTGGCGATGAGCTCTTCAGGCTCGTGTTGATCCAAACCAACCCCTGGCGCTGCAACCTTCAAACAAAATTCCTTGCGATGAATAACGTTCTCAAAGCCGCTCTATTTTTCAGAGACTCTATTCAAAGTTCTTTTGAAGCCGAAAAGAACAAAGAGGAAACAATTTCAAGGTCTAGGGGGTGGAGAACAAGGAAGGAAGTCAAAGGTGAGAGATTGCGAGTTGGTCACTGTTGCTTCATCTCGCTATGGACTGTTTCTGCGGTCTCATTGGGCGTTGGCCAGCGGAAGTTAGACCAATCGCGAGGGCGTTGTTTAAGGCCTCTACTGCACTACTCAATTGGCAATCTCTATTTAGGACGAACTGGTCAAGTCAAAACTAGATGGTCGCTCGAATTTGATAGCGGCCCCGCGTTGCATGGATGTTGCTGCATGGGTGGCGGGAGGGAGGAGGGGAGGCTGTCGCGCCAGAAGAGGCACACGCACAAGCAACGACAAAAAAAAAGTCAACGCCAGTAACTTAGTCTGGTAGGCAGTCGAGAATGCCACATCACTCGGCCACGGTCTTCTTCGGGCGTTCGGGCTGGTTGGGTCGATACTCGGTTGGTGGCTCACGATCATCTACCTGCCAATACATCATACATGGACAGGTCTGGGTCGCAAATCTTCCCTAATCGTCCCTACTGTGGCCCCCAAAGGCCGACGGGGTTGGTGCCATCGTTCGGTGAAAACTGCTTGTGACGGAGAAAACCCAAGGCAGCAGGAGAACGGGCGGAGCCTTGGGCTTGTCGTCCGCCGGCACCGCCGCTAGGGTACCCACGCACGGAACGGTTTGCGACTTTCTCGACTCCCGTCCTCGATGCCTCCACGCGTCGCTTCAGATGTGGTGTGCCTGTAACCAGCGGCGGAACCGTGGGGGAAGTTGACGGACGTGCACAGCATCAATTGGACCATAAAACTATATCTCTGCGCAACCAGAGCATGCTGAAACTGTTGGCTTTTGGGGAAAAAATTCCACGTTGTGGGCATAGCGCTCTGCCTGGTGAGCTGTGTGTGCAAATCACATTTGAACAACTTTGCGGTGAACATCTGTCAAATCATATCCGAGCGCTAGTGCATTAACCAAACCTTTGGCGACTACGCAGTGGCCAGACAGACGGTCGTAGGGCAGAAGAGGGACGTTTCTGGTGGATGGCAGACACCAGAACCCGCGAACCATGATCTGCAAGCCGAAGAAGTTTGCTGACCACATTCCTCGTTGGTGCTTGCACCGGGACTAGCTCATGGTCCATGAAGAGTTACTCTTCTTTCCACCTCATCTCTTGTCCTCGTTGGCTTCGACCACCCGTTGAGAACCTGACTCGTGCTACCATGAAACCCTGCAAAGTCTCGTTAGTTTCGAGGGAGTGGTGGGAGGGGCGCAGGAAGAGAATGCGCGGCGGCGCTCCGTTGTGAGAGACTAGCAGCAAACGAGCACTCACCGGAAGCACTGTCCCCGCATTGAACTGTGCATCTTGGTGTCACGACCGAGTTTGGCGGTGAGGTCAGGCCGTGGATTGTTCAGTGTAGCCCCCTGTTTGGAGCCACTGCAACTGGAGATTGTGGGAGTGAAAGAAGTGTAAAGTTTTGCTGCGAAACGAGAACCATGGCTCTTCCAGCAGAGTGGCAGCTTGGTACGGCATGACGCCGTGGCGCATATCCCTCCTCCGCTCCCACCACACAGGCCACGGCAAGGGACGAAGCGCGTCCTGACGAGGGCTCAAATCTCTATTTCCGTTTTCACTTTCAAAAATGTTTTTTTTATGTTCGGTGTACGGAGGTGTTCTTAGTCTATTTCACATGCCATTCAATAACAATAACTGCTTCACTGTCGACAAACACAACAAGTTTCTTGCTACACCTCGCCATGAAAGGGTCGAAACTTTCCAGGCACTTCGCTTCACCGAAGCATCAAATATAGCAACTGCGCCCGCAAATTTGATATTTGGAGCGAGGTGTCAAAAAGAATGACCAAGGCCGGCCATGGTCAGTTTGGTCTTTTGGCCTTACATTGGATTCGCCCTGACTGCAATCGATGGTGTGCCTCAAGGAGGAGGCACAGAGAGAGGGAAAGAGCAGGTGCAAACTCACGCAACCTCTGGACCGGATGAGGAAAGCCCTGGAGTGAGCATCGAATGGCATGGCTGGTCAAGCAACTACTAGCAAAGCGAACAGTTTAGGGAGGCGGTGAAAGCGAAACAAATGCGAGGGGCAGGAGTTGTCAAACTAGAGCACAAAATGGATCAAAGTATGGATCTTCCAACGGGGAAGTACCCTGGTTTGAAGTCGGATCGGTTGTGTTTGGTCCGTGCTTGAAGAAGGACGAGAGAAGTGGAGGGTGGAACGAGTGAACTCTGGGAAGAAAGTCCCATGTTTTCTTGGGGTTTCCGAAGAAGGATGAGACAATTTTATGCATGTGGAAAATGAAAAACCAGAAATGTTGATACGGTGAGACTGGCGACGCATATCATTACATTTCATTACAGAAAAGGCACGGCGCAGTAAACAAGTGGGGGTGAAAGCGACAGGCGTTTGAAAAAAAAAGGCTATAACCAATTGATGTTGGCAACAGGCGAGAGAGGGAAAGGAATATTTTCGTCTAAGTATGCGAGAACCCTCCACGCGAGCGGCGTAGACGGACCACGTCGTTTACCCGCGTTTTCCATCTTTCGATTACAATTCAGCTGGATTATTGTCATGTTCGCATTTTTCAAACTTTCAATGCTAGGCAACGCTCTGTAACTACCACAGTCGTGGGTCTAGGGGAATTGCAGTCTTGCGGGTCATTGCACAATTCAATATCCATGGGGTTTCCTCTTTCAGTGTCTAAGCTTATGGAGGGTCTGAAGGGGAGTGAAGGGAATGTTCTCACGCTATTGCCATTCCTCTCGCCGCTATCTACCGTTCTCCCCCAAACGAGCCGGGATTACCTTTCCCGGGAATACGAGACATGGTGCCAGCGTCGCCGCAAACTATACAATGTTGAGTTGGATGATCCACCATGATCAATAGGATCGCTTTGCAGATCTATAATTTGGGAAGCGTCGATAAAAGGCTATTTCCCTTCCAAAATGGGTAAATCTTGCTTTAATTATTGCTTTGGATCATGAAGATGCACTGGTGTGATAAGTTACCGGATGATGAATTTACCACGTGGTGCTCACGCATATCAGATGAACATCGATAATCATGCTTGTTTCTCGAAACGGCCGAGTCTGATAAGTGGAACTCTTCCCTTTTTCTCTATATCAACGATGACTTGAATCTTCGGCCAAGGTTTAAAATCCGTGGCCACCAATCGTCACAGGAGTCCCCGAGAAACAAAGTGAGTCGGTAACCGGGCTGGACTCCGACGTTTTAGCGTATCGGGAAGGTCCTACATCAACCATGGTTCCTTTGTCGGCCGAACCACGGTTCCCCTTTCTGGAGCGTTGATCCTTGGCAGATCGCATCCCACTTGGTGCCAAAAACAACACTTTTAATGTTCGTCAACACAATAAGTCTCCTATAATCTCTCGTCTACCTCAGACGCTCAGACGCTTTGGATTTTGAGTAGACAGCTAACTTACGGCTTTGCTTTCCAATAATTCTTTTGTTTCTTGCGCCGAAACAGGGCACCGCTGACGGACCTCAGGCTACTGTGGTGCGCAGCAACTACAGTTTAGACCCGCTAAAATCTAGCCTGAAAGAGAGGATTGCTGGGCAGGATTGGCGGGCACTGGTTCTGGTCTAACTTCTCACCTGCAGTAGCTCCTGTGCTCTCAAAAATTCATTATATCGGTCGCGAGCACAATGGCTCGGCTTCATCCGTAAGTTATGTCTGGCTCGCTCTTAGTCTAAAATTGGCAGGCCCCATTTGTTGCATTGGAATCTTAACGATTATGAAGGCATAGCATCTTTATGCGCCTTACTTGAATGGGCATATCTGAAGAGAGTGGAAGTTCAACTGCATGGTTATTTGGCAAATTCGGGACATGTATTCACTAATAACAAAAGGAAATTATACGGACGTTCTTTTAGCATAAATCAAACTCAAAGGAGACAATTTCGTCATATCTGGTCGGGAAAACTTTCAAGGTGGGTGGGGCAACACTGGCGGGCTTCATGTGTCGAAATATTACTGTATTGCTGCCCCACGCCTCACAATCCAGACCTAGCCCCGCCTATGCGATCGTCTGTCATTTGGCACATTACCAAGGTCCGCAACGGCTTTATATGCCTTAATCACCATCAAGATTAATGCGCATCGCACAGTCATCATGCGCTTCTAGATTTGGACTTGTCTGTCTTGGAGAAGAGATAGTCTGACTTAGCGCAAAACCTTGGATCCAACTTATGTTGTTATGACGTTGATTGATTTGGATCAAGTGCCTCTTTCATTATTCAGCTACTGTTCTGACACGTCCTTGTTTTAGCAAAGAAGATGCTTGCTGTGACGAACTACTGTGTTATATCTGTGTTCTTATACGGTCAAGTTTCTGGATCTATGGAAACCATAATTTTTTTATTGTTTTCTACTGACTCGTTTTAGTCTCCTGCTTAGTTGAATGTTACGCTGCTTACTGGAATGATAATCGATTGTACGCAGCGGAGATTTTCCGCCCAGAGATTTCAATAGGGTACGCTTTGTGTAAAGGAAAGGAAGGAAGCAGAAACGAACTGAACAAAGACTTCACGGCATGAGAAAGGGCCTTAGATTCGTCGAAAAACGATGGGATGTACGCTAAGAAAACCAAGGCATCGTTGACATGATAGCACTTCTCGGAAGAAAGAGTGCATTGGTTTCGATGATGTATGAATTTCGTGCTCAAGTCGCGAGACATTTATCCCCTTGGCTCAAAATGCTGATCTCTTCATTTTGGACGACTTAAGGTGATTGCATTCTCTAAGTTACATCGGTGAGCTTGCTGATGATTCGCCAAATTTTTGTTGATCCTACACCGAGGTTAGTCAGGTTCCAATTCTCATATACTGCATTATATGATCGCAGCATGAGGCTGAGGTGTTGGAGATTATAGAAATCTCTTCGAGGGATAAACACACAGTTTCATAGGGCGCTTGGGAAGAGGTAGAGACGAGCTTGTACTCATTCGCAAAGCCAACAATATCGATAAAAATCTGAATGATATGCTAACGAGCATGCATATGATCCGTCTTTTAGATTTAAACGGTCCTCAGAATGATATAACCTCCTTACGCAGGTTGAAACGTCTGCATATGAAAGCTCTCAAATAACTCTCGGCTCTCTCAAGCCTGTAAAGCTGCTGCAACGGCTACTACTCTAAATGATTTCCGCTCAAGGCTTGCTAGCCAATGGTGGGAACAACGGTGATAACTGTCGCAAGCATGTCATCTACATGGGACTCATCAAGTTGGATCTATGCTCAAGATGAAACTAACAATCTAAATAGCGAAGCAGTATTGTGATTAGGTTTGCAAAACATGCCAATCTTTTTGACAGTGCTGATTGTCGTTGTTCAGCTCGACGGCTGATGAGGCTCTTTTACATGTGAAATGCAGACGAAATGCAAGGCAAATCAGCAGTCACCACGTCTGCATTTACAACGTATTATTTCGAGCACATATCACAATGGAAAATATTTTGACGCACTAGGATGCAAGGACTCGGCGCAGCACACTAAGTACATTCTACAATGCATACCTTTGTACCTAGATGCGCATCAAAATGAAGATCGACGTTGTACATGGTCGATAAAAGAACCAGAGAAAATGCCGCATGAAATCACAGTTGAGCTGATGTCATAACTCATTTGAGATCTCACATTCTATGAAGCTAATTTCTTGGGAATGCCAAACAGGCGCAGACGCACGCATAGACGCCAGATGCAACGCCCGAGAACCATAGCATGCGACGTTATGAGAAATTAGTGCAGCTCTCTGGCGTTGGGAGCAAGAGGGGAGACCACGGTCGTCTGTTCTGGTCAGGTTGAGAAAAATAAGACCGAACAAGATGAATCCACAACAGAGCTAGGAAAATAGTTCGATGGAGTAAAGAGGGGGGGGGGGGAGGAAAAGGCGGGGACCAAATGGGGAAATGTATAAAGAAAGAGGTCCAAGCGAAGGGGTACGGCACCAGACAGAGTTACAGAGTACTGTTAGGCACCTACTGTAAGTTACTCGTAGTGAAGCAACGAAGCCATCACAATCATAACTAATGCCTGTTCGGTAAACACACGTCGGGCAAGGCTTCGGTTAAACGTGGGACCCTTTCTAGCCACGCGGCGGGCCTTGAGCGACCGGAAGCACCGCCACAACGTGGGATTAAGCGAGAGATGGCGCCCAAACTGACAGTGGCTCAACCCCTCCATGATCAACATTTCTGCTTGAAATGCCACTACATACCTTAGTCTGTAAACGCGGGACGCAATCGAGGCAGTAAATTTAATGCGTGTCATGAAGCCGTGAATCCAATGCTTATTAGCCCTGCAGAGCAAATGATGCTGGGTGCTCAATGGTGTTTGTCATCTCTAACAGCAATAGAGAGGACACCCTTCGCTTCTCTATCCCAAAGAGGAAAGGATATTGGCATCACGTCCAGAGAGTCCCTCAAAATGATAATGCGCGTCAGCATAAATAATATCATTTCCACAAGACGTCTTCCCTTAAAGTCAAGCACATGATATTTACTCTCTAGAATTGATTTGGGTATATTCTGACGTGCTATTAGCTAAGAAGGCCTCTTCTGGCTGTACAGATTTCGCGTTTCGGTTTTCCTTCGCGTAATCCGTGGGTAAAACACACGATTCTCCCGTGTTCTCTACACTACGATCAATCTTTAGCTACCCAGCTAGATACCAGATCCTTCCTATAGCAACCACAAGTCAACGCAACAACATCCATACAACCACGTGTTTTTATTGCACTTTCCTCTTTACTCATCTTCATTTGTTTGCCTTATACACTCCTTTACGTGAAGAAAGCATAGCCTAGCTTCTGCTTTCCCCCCACACAAGTACTCTTTATTAGCGCGTCAGCACAGACGTTTAATCGCCGCACCACCACGCCGTCTCGTCATCTGTTTTCTCGTGGTGTGATAAATATTATAGAGTATACGCATTCAACATGAGTCTTCAAACGGCTGTGGATATCCCACTGCAAATCACTTCTGAAAATGCGGCGTCTGAGCGCCGCATCACCCCCTCATGGTCCATTGCTCAGTTGAAAACTAAGCTGGAACCAGTGACGGGTGTTCCGCCATTCGCACAGCGTCTTGCTTTGCGCGTGGCGGGCCAAGCGCCTCGTCCAATTGAGGCAGTTGATGAGGAGAATACCCAGGTTGGAGATTTTGGGTTACGAGCTTATGCGGAGATTTATGTACGTCCATCATTTGATTTGTTGGCTGGTAACAAATGTCACTGAAAAAGTCTATTGCGTGTTATTTTGCTGGTCCAACTGTTTACTTTTTCTGAAAGTTTATATTGATGCACCGTTTGAAACACATGCTTCAATTCGGGCACTGTTCATTGTTGTTGTTGGAGTAAAAAGAGTTGTTTTGATTCCGTGGAATTTTGATTTTTGAATTTGGAAGTGCTGTAGTTTCTGCTTTGCTCTGAAATTTTCGTCCGTTGGTTCATTGGACAGGGTCGAAAGGCAATGATCTCGCCATCGAGTGTGAAGAAGTCTTTTAGCTATAGTCAAATCCTCGGATTTGAATCTTTCTTCCTCACTCCATTCTTCTAATCCACCATTCTTTTCTTCTCCCTGGCCTCTATTCAAAATGCGCTTTGTTTCTTGTTTTCCAGCATTTCAACAGCTAAAAAGATTACACTTGTATAGGTCACTGATACTCGACCACCCGCGGCGCGGCAAAACTTCACCGACCTGTCTAGCGTAGAAAAGTACGAAATGCCCGAAGACGAATACAGCAAGTTGTCCAACACAGTACTGGCGTATAAAAAAGCAAACAAACTCGGCCGATTCGATCCGAATGCTTCACAACTTGAAGCTGAGCGCGCAGCAGAGCAGGACAAGATTATTTCAGACAAGGGTACAGATACGCATCTCATTCCTTATTCCCTCCTTTTCCCTCCTTTCTACGGTCCATCTTAAATCTTATCTTTCATTGAGACTCTTCTCACAAATCCTTTTCTAGGCCTCACTCTCAACGCCCGCTGCCGTCTTCTTCCTCTCCCATCCGTTCGTCTCGGGCGCATCGCATATATTGGCCCCGTACCCGAAATCCACCCCCCCAGCACCCCTGCCAATGTCGACAATGCAGAGAACTTGGATCCCTCCGGCAGCGCATTCCAACCCATCTGGATCGGCGTCGTGCTTGACGAACCCACGGGCAAAAACGACGGCACGATAGCCGACCCCAAGACGGGTGAGAAGAAACGGTACTTTGAATGCGGCACCAACTGCGGAGCCTTTGTGAAACCCGAGCGCGTTGAGGCCGGTGATTTCCCGCCCCTCGATGATTTGGGCGATTTGGATGAGGACATGGAGGAGATTTAGTCAGTCTTTGCTCTTTGGCATTAGTCTTGATTCTTTTTTTTTTTTTTTTTAATTCTTTAAATCAGTCTTTATTTACATAGCATACTCAAATGTAGGTATGCAGCACTGTAGACTACTATACTTTTCTATTTATATATAAATCTAACTGATTCCTTGTATCATGGCAAGTTGGCAACGTCACACGTGTGTATGCTGGATTGCTGGATACCGTGAAATGACAAGACTACAGATAAAAGTAGGATATTTGTGTTTGTGTCTGTTTTTTTTTTGGGGGGGGGGGGGGGGGTGCCGGTTTGGGCCTCCGGGCCTCCGGCCCTCCGGGCTTGAAGGTTGAAGGTTGAGTTTCTCATTGGATCCAATAATCAAATTACAATCTTGAGCTCGTCTTCCAAATTCTCACTTGTATTCCAGACTCCCTCCGTCTATTGCGTGGTTATGGATTCGTGTCATTTGTGTAGCGAAGAACGCTGCATGCTGAGTGGCTGCGTCGTAGTTTGTTGAATTTGGAGTGTATGAAGAATTTTTTTCCCCTCATCATAGCTCTGTTGATATGAAGTTATTTTTCTATCCTATTTTTGACATATGTCTTTATTCTTTTATTTTTTTTTTATAGGTTCTTTTTTTATTAGACAGGTGAAATATATATATATGTATATATGTTAAACATACAACAATTTAGAGCAAAATTGAGAAAAAGAAATAGAAAACGGACTCCGTGGACAAGACAGTTTACATTTCTTTATCTACAAATTAGCAAAACGACGGACTAAAATCTGACACCGTGACAAAGACACCGTTACAAAAAGACAGAGTGAAAAGTGAAAAGTGAAATTAATAAATTATCAAACGACAAACTACCAACAACTAACAACTAACCAGACCACGAGCAAACGCTAATTGACAAAATCGATTCACTCGCCAAATCAATTAAACTTGTTAAAACAGAACGGCTAAAGTTTAAACTAACCGGTCGATTTTGCCGGATTGACCCAAAGATCCTACGCTTTCATCTATCAAAGGACTGACAAAGGACCGACAGACAGACGAAATTGACCAAAAGATACAAGACCAATCAACCGAGTCTGGACTCTCCTTCCATCATGCTCGCTTCGCCCGCAGACAGAACAGGGATCATGTGCGACTGTTGCGAGTGTTGGTCTATCAGGTCCTGGGTATGGCCAAGCGGGACTTCACAGCCTTGTGCGAAAAAGATGCGTGCGGGACGGGTCGTTAGGTTGGCAATGCTGTAAAAGTTTCCTGTTGCGAAAGAGCGTAAGTATGAGCGAGTAGTAAATGAATTGTTTCGGCAATTTCAAAAAGAAGTAAGCAATAATGCGTTTTAGTCGGTAGGGATAAGAAGGGAGAGGAAAAAAAAAATGTGAAAATATCAAGCGAGGTTGTGTGAATTGAGGCATCAATAAAGAGGCGGCTGGTGTAGTGGACTCTGGAAATGCAGGACAGAGGGACGTAAATGGAAAAGAGAGGCACAGCACAGGAAGTAAAAAAAAGAGGTTCGAATGGGCGGATCAACAAGGAGACAAGGGAAGGAAGGAAGGATAGCCGGGGATACGGGGAGGCAACCGAGTGGACGAATGGCCCCCCCCCCTGGCTTTTTGAAGGATGACTGAAGACCCAACTGCGTGTGATGGATTGAGGCTGCAGGATGTTGACGCCGCAATCAAGCATGTCAAACATCAAGTCCATCAAGCCGACAAGCGCCGAGTAACACGTCGTAAGCCACCACCCGACGACAACAGACGCAATGCCGAAAAAGGAGATATCCAGAGAAAAAAACAAAAACGAAAGGCAAACAGGGGTAGATGAACGAGTCAATGGCCATAGGCAAGCGATTGACGGGATCAGAGACAAAGAGGACGGTTTGCTTGACGCGTGCAGGGGAAAAGCGCAACAAGGATAATGCAGGTCCCAATGATGACGTCGTCATCATGTTTATGCATAAAAACGAGTTACACATCTTGCGGTGAGACCCGTCATCCCGCCCTGTCCCCACTTCCCAAGACAGCCGATGCAAGGAGCTGCATTGGCACAGGTGTTCGTCTTGTATCCGATGCATCCGCGACTGATGCATGCACGCGTGGGGGGACCCCGGACTGCCGGGGGGTTGCCCAGCGGGTACAAAGAAAGGGGTTTCTGCCGTTCCGGTCCCGAAGAAAGGGGAAAAGGAAAAAATAAATAATTGGAACCAACGTCGCGGTGCCATGCGATGCCTGCATGTGCGCCCCCGTCGTGGCACGGCCCCTTTTCCCGCTCCAAGACACTCCACTGAGCCGCACTGTGCTACATCGCGTAGAGGCCGAGCGCCGTCCCTCGTTGGACAGTGATGGCTTTTCCCCAAGTGACAAAGAACAACGAACCGGCAGGTCCGGCTTCGTCCTCTTCCATGTGGATTGGTGTCTTGCCTGGGGAGAGCCAAGCTAACACCGAGAATGAGACGGATTGGGATAGAAGACGGAAGAGATGTGGGGACCAGCGGCACGTGTGGCGAGTTCTCTGGGGTAGTTCGACGTCCAGACAATCAAGCTCCCCTGTTTCCCCCCCATGTCCCTCAAAATCCCTTTGGGCGCCACAATGCAGCCTCATCTCGCCTCGCCTCACCGCTGGGTTGTGTAACACTGTCCTCTTGTTCCTGGTCCGACTCGGAGAATTGACAAAGGGGGAGCAGAGAAGAAAACGGCAAGCCACGGCCGAAAGAGTACAAGAGAGAAACATTCCAAGAAAAAGAACAAGCAATCCAAAAAAGGAAAGAAAAGATAAGATCGCTTACCTCTAGGAACCTGCCACATGCCTCCTTTGCTAATACCAAAGACATTATTGGCCACTTTGACCTGCACGTGACCGTGAAAGACAAAAAACACCATTTGCATCTTTCGTGAATTCTTCATCTTCTTGACACCGGCTGGTGGTAGATCGACCATTCCAGAGCCAAAGAATGGAAGGGTAAGAGTCTTTGCGTAGCGAAACGTCGTGTTGGCGACTTCGCGGGTTTCTATCGCTGAATGGGCGTACGCCAATTCCGTGACTTCTATATGCGCCCATGAGTAAATTGTACTCGGAAAAATAAAATCGATATTGCGCAACTCAGGATACTCACCTTCGTCTTCATCTTCATCAAGAGTGGCTCCAGTAGCGGAATCCCATCGTTTAATGCCTCCACTAATTATACCCTCTCCCATTTCCCAGTCTTCGCGTTCATCTCCTTCGTCTTCGGTCTCCTCCTCTTCTTCAACCTCTCGAGCCTTTCTCTTCCTGCCCGCTTTGGCCGGACCCTTCGTTCGTGGCTTACCCCGGCGGTTCGTAGGCTGCGCAACTTCTTCCGTGCGGATAATCTCCGTAATTGCAGGAAGGTAATGCCTCTCTCCAGGATTCTGTTCGCCTTGTCCGTACACGACTCTCTCATTACGCCAAAAAGCCAAAGGCTTAATGCACGTTCTTCCAGACCGTGTAGTCGTCACAGCGTCGCCGTGAGACGGCGATTCATGGCGGGCAATCTGCCTTGGTGCTGGTTGAGCTGATGGAGCACGGTTTCTAGCTTCCACGTGTAATACTTCTGACTTTGACGCGCCAGGTTTCTTAGCGGAGGATATGCGTGCGTTCGGGTCCCGCTGTGAAGGCGGAGGTTTGCGTCCTTTGGACTTTGTAGGATTCGACGACTCCTTTGGTGATTGTTGTGATGATTTCTGAACCGGAGCTTGCTTTGGTTTCCGTCCCCGCTTGGAGGGTCGAGCCTCTTGGCTTTCGGCGGCCTGTTCCTCAGGTTGATCCGTAGGCTCCTCCTGAGCCTGTTCCTCCGCGACTGGCTCCTCCGGAGTTGGCTCTCTTGGAAGATTGGCCTTGGCCTTGGCAGGACGCCCTCTCTTCTTGTGAGCTTTTTGCGCAGAGGCTTGTGAAGATTGCGAAACTTGTGAGGGTTGAGAGACAGGCTGAGGGTTTGCTTTCTGCTTCTTCGACGGCCTGCCGCGACCAGACTTTTTGGGCGGTGGGTCCGGCTCCTCATCGACTTCTTCTGATCCATCTCTTTCGACACTCGGCTCAGGCTCTGCTCCTTCCTCATCATCATCTTCTTCTTGGCCATTATCATTAGTCGTATCGTTACCATTTAGAAGCGTGCTCTCGTCTTTCTGTCCATGGATGTAGCCGGATTCATCTTCTTGTGCACTATCCTGGGGTTGAACATGCATCACTAACCGTGCTTCCTCTTCGCCATCATCAGCCACACTTTCTTCATTTTCTTGCTCTTCGTCCTCGTCTCCTTCGTCTTCTTCATCTTCCGCAAAAGCAATGGTGCTGCGCTTCAGAGCGGATGAAGCCTGAAATGCAGGAATGTTTGAAAGGAGTTTCCTGCCTCTCCCCGGAGCTGGTCTTGAAGGAGGCTTAGATGCCGACGAGGGGGCGCTATCAGCGCTGGCGCGCGACATTGTCGAAAAGTCGAGCCGTCTGTTGACAGGCTCTGCTGTAAAATTATCGCGTGGAGTACCGTGACTGAACCGTTGAGGCGAAGAGATAGGCCCAATAGAAGAATGTCGTCTAGCGGGTGAATTCAACGAAGTCTTTATGGGCGAACGGGCTCGCGGCGGGGGGAGAATGGAATTAGATGAATTGCGCGCGTTGCTGCGCTGAGAAAGCACTTCTGTTGGTTCTGGGATTGTGCCTAGCGCGTGTCAGCGCATTGGATCAATCTATTAAGAGGCTTGAGCTCTGTGTTTTAATCACATACTTTGTCCGAGATCCATATCTGCTTCGTCCGAAATTGTGGTATTGTTCTGGCCATGTCGATGCTTCGGCGTCGACCGCTCCGGCGACGAGAAGATGCCGTCAATCAGTTCCAGACCATTCTCATCTCGTACACCCTCTTTGAGGGTGATCCCTGTTTTCCTGTTGACCGTCAATCATTGTTCAACTGTCCATGACCAAGCTCCGCCCAGCTCGGAGTAGCTATTCAAGCTTGGCTCCTGTAGGGAAATCTTCCTTACCTTCCCTGAACTCCAATATCGAAGAAATTATTTTCGCGAGATTTATTCGTAGTCGCGGAGGGCGCCATGATGAGCGCTGCGCTCGTGTTTATTTTGTTTGTTTCAGAGGGCTAAAAGGCGAGCGCGATGAAGCTCAGCGCGATTGATATGTACTTAGGCGTATAGTAATGTGACGCAGTAATTCAAGGCTCGGTGGTCGGCTTCAAAGGGCGATTTTCCCAAAATTTGTCGCTGGATATGACATGAAACGGGGAACTTATTGATTGAGTGATTAAAATTCCCCGAACAAAGAATGACGATGCGAGAAATCAAGGGGAGCCGCGAAAGTGAGGATGAATGAACCTTTGTCGGTTGTCGGTTCCTTTCAGTTTTCCCCAACTTGCTCCCTCTCGCCAGTCAGACGCGTCTCCCCTCACCCAATTTACACACGTCGCGTGTCACGTCAACTTCAGCAACATTAACATTCAATCCTCTACATAGAATTTATTACAAAACAAACGCACTTTCACCATGGCCGACACAGAAATGGACTCTCAAGACATTGCGCAAGAGACGCCTGCTGCAGATGTCTTTATTGCGCCTTCAATCCATACACAACGCATTCTTTCTGGAGCTTCATATACACATCACTCGCCCATTCCCGCTGTTATCAGCAATGAAATGTCTACAGAATGTGTCCTGGGAGTCGACGAAGCTGGGAGAGGGCCAGTATTGGGTACGTACTTCTTCTTTACTTGAAATTTCCCTCCGAAGGCCAGACTATCACGAAAAAGCTAATCCCGCTAACATTGTTTTTATTATTTCAGGACCAATGGTGTATTCGGTTTTCTACCTCCCTCTAGCCTCTCACCGCAGTCTGCTCGCCGAGACGCACCACTTTGATGACTCCAAAGTTCTCACGCCTGCCGTGCGTTCGAACCTAATGCAACTTCTCTGCAAGCCTGAGTCGGATCTGCACCAATCGTGTGGATGGGCCACACGGGTCATGTCCGCACGAGACATATCTGCAGGAATGCTCAAGCCGACGGGAGCCTATAATCTGAATGCGCAAGCCATGGACGCGACAATCGAGCTGATCAAGGAAGTGTTTGCTAAAGGCGTCAACGTCAAAGAGATCTACATTGATACAATTGGAAGTCCACAGACATACCAGAAGAAACTAGAACGGATATTCCCCACCACGCAAATTACTGTTGCGAAAAAGGCGGATTCGCTATACCCGTGTGTCTCGGCGGCATCGGTCTGTGCAAAAGTGACGCGTGACGCTGCGCTCGATGTATGCTATGAGGCTTACAAGAATGAGTCTGCCAGCGATGACGCTCCAGATGTCGCCGCCGAGGGGTGGGGCTCAGGATACCCTTCTGATGCGCGCTGCGCGAGCTGGCTCAAAACGAATATGGATCCAGTGTTCGGATGGGGCGTTGAGTGCAGATTTAGTTGGGGCACCGCAAAGGACCTGATAGAAGGGAAAGGCACTGGCGTAAAAGTGGACTGGCCGTTGGAAGAGGATGCTGAAACCATGCGTGTGACGGACTTTTTTTCGGCGACCTCCAAGCCAGACGAATCCGAGGCGGATGAGCTCGCGACATGGTTTGGCTCTAGAGTTACAGAAGAAGTGTTTTGAGCGGCGGCATCACTACCCAAGGCCTCTTCTCTACATTCTGAATGCTTCTTGAACGACGGATCTAGGCTGGATAGCTCCGTGCGACGAGTGCTTCGCAATGCCATTTGCGCACGGAGACAGAATTCTCATCCCAGTCCAGGTCTACTGCGCCATTCCTCCGTTAGACACAAGCGGTACGCAGCAGTAATAGCAGCAGTAATAGCAGCAGTATCGACTCAGGCGCCGTCATTTCTGCTATCTATTATCAGCGGCCTGTTCGCCGATGCACTATATAGCAGCTAAAACAGACACGTGGATTGGAGAAGACTCCACGTCTTCCACATAAAGCCAATCCAGTTGCGCATCAACGCGGGCGACAGCCCATGCCTGACAGACTGGACGCTTGATATCCATCTATGCAATATCCAGAACAGAACGTGCTGGAAATTTTATCTTACAGCAAAAACATAGCAAAGTCACATAGATTCCATAGGAGCAATAGAAGAACAAAACAAAACGTGACAATAATTAAGAATATATAATCCACATTAAGCCCAAGCTAAATTCAAATTTCAAACGGATAAGAGCGCCAAGACATACACCGACCCTACTTCTTGACCAAGATCATGCAATTGCATTTGAAAGGCGAACTGCGAATGCGTACACCTACACGTCTAATGCAGCGGGAATACACACAAACAATTACTCGTACAAGATTGTTACAAGCAAAAGTAGAAAAAAAGGGAAATTGAAGAGCAGAGTAAGTAACGAAGCTACCAAAAGACACAATTCCCATCTAATAGACACGCACAAACGGGAGGGATATCACGAAGAAGGCTACAAGCTGGACAGAGTAAAGTACGAACGGAACACAGGACAACATAACCTCTTACAAAGTGGCAGTCGAAAAGTAGTAATTGTCCCAGAGATATTCGTAGTCGTCTAGGACGCCACCGACGAGATCGAGTAAGGGTTTATTGCGCAATTTTGTGGTGACACTACTCAGCCATGACCTGGTTTTGAGCTTTTGGTTAGTCCTCTGTAAATACCACATCCCAGCTTCCGGGAGATTGACCCAATTGTAACTCGAAATGCCACACATCGATTAAGAAACAAAAGAGGAGAAAAAAGAAAGACATACTTTGTAATATTCTCATAGAAGGCGCCTCGCATAAGCCACCATCCAAGCGCCCATCCGCGTTTTCGCAACTCCTCTCGCTCCAAGCCGGTCAAGCCGCGCAGACCGCCAGCCACGCGCTCTTGAAAGTCCTTCTTGGCCAACTGGCGTGAGCCATACTCGATAGCCACGCCAAGTAACCAAGGGCGCCAGCTCTTCTTGTCACCACTCCAGCGCTGCATGGCGAGCGCGTAAATGACAGGTCGAAGAATGTAAAGGACCTCTGCGAGTTGGCCTTGACCCGTCACGCGGTGCAAGAGAGCCTTCGGAGGCTTGATATCGTCTGCTGTGAGAACCTTGGAGAGGAGGTAGCTTGATAGGTCCGATGATTCGGGCAGACTTGGGAGTGATAAGCCCGTGCGTGGCATGGTCCAAGTCTGCGACTCCGGATTTGCAAAAGAATCGGGAGAAGCAGTATCTGGCGCAGATGTTTCGTGAGTAAAATCTGAGGAGGAGTCTGACTCTTCCAAGGTGCTGGGATCAACTTCTCGTTGCGGCAGAGGCGGAGACACAAGTGGTCGTGAGTTCGTCAGACGAAGGAGCAGCAGTCTGCACAATGCCTTGATCCCTTCGAGCAATACTATGACGCGCCAGCGTACTTTCTCGCCTTTTCGTTTCGCGGCCATTTCCCATAAAAGCTCGGTATACTGGACTATTTGAAGGAGAAGTGCGATGCGCTTATATGTAGAGGAGGTTCGCGTCCAGAAGCGGGTATATCTGTTATGAAGTGTAGGTTGTTGCGGTGGTGCGCGGGACCCAGGGCCGGATTGACGAGTGGCCATGGCGCGAGAGAGGAGAGAGTCATGATAGAGCGAGAGAAGCTGAACGCCGCTATGCACTGTGATATTATGAGCATTTGTGAATTGTTTTGCGGAATTAGAAAGGAAGAGACACGAGAGAATTCGGACGTACCAGATTCAGATGCTATCTCTGCGTCGCGGAAACGGCCTGTAGCGACATCATAACGTCAGTCAATGATATTCATTTCTCAAGCTACATCGATACGTATGCAGCAGAGAATAGATGCTCAGAGTAGGAAATTAAACAAACCAGGAATGATATATGTCAGTGATCGTAGAGCAGACTCAATTTGCGACACGGCGCTCGCATTCTTGGTGATGAAGTCACCATACATGTGGACCCATTTAGGAGGCTGGCGGAGCACATCGGAAAGACCATCGCCGGCCTTCATCGTGTCTTCAAAATACAATTGATCTAGCAACGGAGTTGAAGCCGGACGAAGATATCTGCGTATGGAGGAAGGGGAGCCGTCAATGACAAGCTGTAGTCGAACGGTATTCGCGGTAGCTACTGGCTGAGCTGGTGCGCGGTGGGCCGAGGTATATCGGCGCTTCTCGCTCCCGATCCCTTGGACGCTACAGGTAAGTCCGCTCGGTTCCCTGTCGTCAACATCCCTGCCATAAAGCACATAAAAATGCGATATGAAGTTATAAATCCAAATTATTCTACCATCTACAGAAGAAATAATTTCTTGTCATTATTACATCTTTGCTTCGCTAGTACAGTAGATGAATCTCTGGAGAAATATGCACGCTAAATTGTCGCAATATGGGTCCCATGGCTAAAACGCAAAAATGCTGTCAAGAGAGTTTGAAAAGAAAGATTTGGCCAACACATCATTTATGGCTCCTCATCTCTGAACATGAACCTGCCGCCAGGCCTCATGGCCTCCATATACCGCTCCTCAATTTTATCCCTCTCCAATCTTCTCGCTTTTTCGCGGTCCTGTTCCAACTCTTGAGTTGTAGGCATATCGGTTCTCCAAAATCCAGGAGGCGTCGCACGCCTCTCAAAGGGTTGTCTATGTTTCCCATGCTTATCGGCAAGAAGCTTCGCTTTTACCTGGACAAGAAGTTCCTGTCTTTCCTTCTGACCCATACGGTTCAAACGTACAGAGTCATTACCAAGATAGTCCTCGAGAAGAAGCTGCTCTTCATCAGCTGACATCGAATACCCTGCAATCTCGACAAGTTTGCGAAATTGATTGCCGCAACACTCTGGCTTTGTACATCCAGGTAAGCAACTTCGTTGCTCACGGTTGCGGATAGTCTCAGTAAATGCATATTCAAGTCCTTGATTGTTATTTGGGTTGATTTTGAAATGCTCAAGACCGAGACGATGAATCCCTCTGGACCTGAATGGCTCGTTGTCCGGATTATCCTGCTCCGCTATTCCAGCAGTTGCCACATTTCCAGAAGCTTGATTATCAAAAAGGCTTTCAGGTTGCCTTTTGGGCGTTCGCGTACTGCGAGAAGAGCGGGCATGTATTCCATTTTGCAACAACACTTTCTTTGACGGCGTTCGGTCGTCTAAAAGGTCTCCTAATCGTTGATATGTAAATGGTTTCATGCCAGAAACGTTAAGCTTGTTAGAGTGTATTGAAGAGTTGTGTTTTTCAACCAAGCTTGGAGGTCGTTCTGGCGTCATGTTTTGCTCCCCATCCTCGGCCATAACAGCCACACGCAAACTACTTGAACTTCCATCTTTTTTGCGCGACTTAGTACTATGCGTGTGATTCGGATTACTTGTCCTGGGTAGAGCTCGAATGTTTGCGCTTTTCTGTACCAGTGGCGAATCGAAGGACCGTTCTCTTCTCTGATTCTGTTGACTCTGTTGGAGTTGTGACGAGGTGGGTGGTTCACTTCTTGATCGCAACCCGAGGTTTTCCTGGTCGATCGTAGCGTCAGGAGCTCGCGACCCCGTAAGGTTGTCGTAAAACTGGCCTTCATCTTGAAATAATTGTTTGCTGTCCAGCTGCTGAGAAGTGTAATCATTTTGCGTCGGCTCAATTTTGATTGCTCTTTGCAAGTCCTCTAAATTTGAAGCGCGTTGCATACCAAGATGATGCGGCACACGATTCCGTAAGCTTCGTGACGCTTGAGAAGATGGAAAAGACTTCCGAGGTTTCTTCGGCGTATTAATTTTCTGCCCAATCTCATCGAGGTCAAGGCTTTCCGGTTCGACCACGACAGGAAGTATATTATCAAGGTCGACAGGGCTACTGGATTCTTGCTCATGCTTTATCCTTTGCCTCTGGGGAGAAAATACCTCATCGGCTTGCCAGCAGTAGGTTGATATACTTCTATCTTTTTCGGTTTCTCTTTTCCGCTTGACTCTCCTCTCAGAGACAAAGACTGGCTCGTCGAATGACAAATTAGAAGACGGCGGATTTATCTGGTTCGGAGGACACTTTGCATGTTCGTTCCCTCCGCTCTCAAGTGCTAAATCTTCCGCTGCTCCTTGAATCAACCCTGCTCTTCGTTGGCCCATTCCTTCCACGTTTTTAGAAGACTTGGTTCCACTAATAGGTGCTTCTCGGTCGATGCCGTTTGATGAGAGCGATTGGCCATACGGCCTTTTTGGCGCTTCGTCATGGAAAAAAGTTGATACACCGTAAGGACGAGACTGATTTCTGCCGTTTTCATCTTCGTAAAATGGGAGACCATCGACTTCATTATGCATTTGGCGACCGGTACGAGGAGTACATTCCTTGCCTTCAATTGACTGGCTCCAGCCTTGTGGGTAATTCAGGTGGGAAATTTGTGGCATCGGGGATTGATGAGGCGACAGGGGAAGAGGGATGTCGTCAACGGCAGGCGGTGGATTCAGCATAGGTCCTTGCATGGCGGTGCTTCCCGCTGGTGAGGGCTCAGAATTTCTGCCGACGGTACTGCGATTCCTCTTCTTGGCAGTATGCTCACTGTGCCATTTGGCGTATGCTTTCCACTGGTCTCTATTCTGCTTTTGCTCGTCCCAGTGGAACCGCAGAACCTTGTAAGCCTCAAATACCGTCGCGTACTTGCTCGATAGATGATTGTAATTTTCAGCCAATCTAGAGAGGTCCTTGCTAGCAGTACAAGAGCACTGTTCAGATGGCCTAGTCTCGGAACCAGCATGGCGAGTTTCACTTTGCTCACGTCCTGGAGGGTCCCTCAATGAGATGTCTTCCAATTGAGCCTCGAGTCGGCTGTTCTCATCACGAAGTCGTTTCACTTCCGGATTATTATATTTTAACATATGAACCTCGTTAAAGAGTTGCTTCTCATTCTCTTTTCCTGTTCGAGCAGCCTTGTCAGCCAAGTCTCGCTCTAAAGTTGAACGCTGAACGCTACAATACCGGGGAGATAGATTTTGTACTCACGAATTGTTATTTCGTTTTGAAGCTCTGTCCATAGTTGATCAAATTTCTCCGTAAATGTATCAAAGAGAGAGGAACGATGTCTCTCAAATTTATCCATTTCGTCATCCTCTTGCCATTCACATTGCTGTTTACTCTGTAACAAGATCATGAAGGACGGACGCGTCAAAGGTGGACGCGTAGGAGTAATGACGATCTTATCTGATAAGGGACGAATCGAAGCGAAACCGCTCAAGATCCGATACGCAGCGGGTCAGTGTTATCGATATGCTCATAAGCTCCTAACTCCATGATTCAGCTCCTGTTCAGCACCAGAATAACCTCATCGCTATGCCGAAGCGTCCAAGAGAGGACGTTGATGACTTGTCTCGTCCAGCCAAACGATCGAGGTTCTCGTCTTTTGATAAGATCTCGCCCCTTAGTGATGAACTACTGCTTAGGATATTCTCGAATCTGCCTATCTCGACCTTAGCCCTCTGTCAAAGGTATGTCTATAATAACTTTGTAGGCACGTTGCTAATGTGTTCTTAAGAATATCGCATAGATTCTATGACATTGCTGGAGATTCGCAGCTCTGGAAATCTGCGTACTATACTCGCTTCGTTCGCCCCAGAGCTTCGCGGATACCTGGCATTCGCGACCATGGGTCAACAGCTGGCAGCCTCCAGTATTCATCCAAGGTTTCTAGATGGCTTGACGACCATGAGCTAGTGAAAAGTGGCTCGCAAACAAATTGGAAGAGGCAGTATAAACTGCGGCATAATTGGTCACGGGGCAGCTGCGACGTTAGAGAAATCCAGGTTGCGGAACGACCTTGCGCTCCGCCTCTGTTGGTTCGCCTCCATCAAGGCATCGTTTTTACAGTTGATCTTACATGTGGATTACGCGCGTGGACAGTGAAAGGAAATCACAAGCTTCTGGCAATAGTGGCATTGAGGAGAGGTACGCCGGACGGTCCAGGCAACATTGCACCCACCTCCATGGGAGTGGATGTACAGGACTCTAATCCGGATCTTGTCAATGTCGCCATTGGGTTTGAAGATGGCCAATTTTCCATTTATGCGCTTAAAAAGTCGGCTGGCAAATTCATCCATCGATTTTCTCATGCCCCTTCCTCAGCTGGCATGATATCTGCCATCGCTTTTGCCGCACCATATCTCCTTGCCATGACTGAGGGCCAACTGCTTTCGCTCTATAGATTCTCACTTGACTCCGCTCAGCAACCGGAGTTGCGCATGGAGGCCCCGCATCTTCTTTGCTCTTTGCAGTCTCACACAGTTTGGCCTCCTCTGTCACTATCGCTTCGGCCTTCATCGCAAAATATCCTAGCCTCCATAGCTTACGCGCTGCCTACTTATCCCTCGGGCTGGTCTGTGGGTTTGCAGGAGCTACGGCTTACTCTTGATGGCGAAATCAAGGAATCTAGGATTGCTTCAGCAGTAGAGCAAGGATTCCAGTCGTTGTCCATGTCGTCGGCAGCGGCGAGTTTCTCGTCTACTTTGACAGACCAAATGCCATCAAAGCCGACATCGCTTTCTTATTCCCACCCTTATCTCCTTGCGTCCCGTCCTGACAACACATTGACCTTATATTTGGTCACTTCGACAATGGATTCTCTGTCCATTGGCTCTGGCACCCGGCTCTGGGGTCATACGTCATCAGTGTCTAGTGCCCACGTAGGCGGCCGAGGCAAAGCTGTCTCGGTCAGTTCGCGCGGGGATGACCTCCGCATCTGGGAGCTAGAGGGTGGGACGGCTTCTGCTTCAATGAGGCGACGACTGGCCACCGGTGAGATGAGCATCCGCATCAGACCTGATACTGCCAATGGCATAGCTATTTCGGGAGAAACTCCTCTACGAGGCCAAACATATGCGCGCCAATTTGAGCTCAGGCATCTGGTGGGTTGTGGAGCAGAAGATGCTTACATGAGCCGAGGCTGGGTTGGATTTGACGATGAAAAGGTTGTTGTATTACAAGATCGCAGTCATGAAGGCCAAGCATTGGTAGTATATGATTTCACCTAAGGTGGCCATCTTTCATATTTTGCGCATTTTTTGTCCTTTTTGTTTTTGTAAGTTCTATACCCTAGGGATACACGTGGGCGTTTAGAAGGGTTCTAGGACCAGGATCATTTAGCCGAAATACGAAAGGCTGGCAGGCTTCAAAGAACGACAACATATTAGGTTGGGAATGAGTGCAGTGAATACTACCTAATTGATATAGATGATTGGGGTCTGAATTTTGGTACGATAAAATTTCAGTGATGAATCCAATGGGGTGAATCCAAAAGAAAGATCAATATCATGTGGTGAAGAGGGAAGAATGAAGAATGAAGCTGAAGGCGGCCGCTTTTATTTGCCAAATTCCCCACAAAAGAGGTGGATCCCTCCATCTCTCTCTCGCGCTGGCTTATCGATAAGACAACCTCACCAAATTTTTCCCTTTGCGCTGAATTTTTAATTGAGAGAATTGGAGAAGCGCAGCAGTGGGGAACTATTCTCTTGTTTAACGAGAAGGAAAAAGCGGTGCCTGGCAGATTTCCCAACCCTGCAACGTTAGCTCCCTCTGTAGCCGCGAAAAGTCAATCCCACATCCGATTCTGAATTCCTCGTCTTTTCTCACTCTTTCTCCATTCTTTTTCAAACAATCTCTTTCACTTCTCATCCGCCAATCCCTTTCTTCACATCGGTGTTGATTTTTGGCAGCAACAGAAAATAAAAGGTAGATGCACTCTTTTTCGCAAAATCTTCTTTCATGCCCTACTGTGGACTTGTTTTGTTACTGCTGAGCTTCTTCGACGAGCGAAATCTCAAGGCTGACATAATAAATTCCAGTCTTGCTTTAAACTTTTCAATCAGACGCAATGGAATTCGGAAACGCTGCGGCTCCTCGTGCCTGCTACACCTGTGAGTCTGATTTGATTTGCACTGTTGCGACAATTCTATAGTCAGAGACCGATAGCCTCAACTCTAATTTTCACATTCGCTACCTCAATCACCGCTGCACGCGTTTTTCACATGAGCATGTTCCAATTGCCTCACATTATCCCCCCGCCGTCTATGATAGCGTCAAAAAATTTCACAATGCTTATTCAATCTAGGTGGTGAGACTGGCCATCAGGCTCGGGAATGCCCTCAGGGCGGAAGCGCCGCTCCCCGCCGCACTACTTGGTAAGCCTCTCAATGGGATTCTTTCGGTATTTTCTGCTTGGATGCTTTGCTCATTCATTCTTCTTTTTTAGCTACAACTGTGGTCGTAAGTTCAGGAAGGTCGTTTCTCGTCTTCTCCCTTTGCTAATTCCAATGCGCTGCGTATAGAGGAGGGCCACATGAGTAAGTTATCCAGGCAACTTGAATTGTAGCAATTGATGCTGATATTACTTCCCAGGCCGCGAGTGCACCAACCCTCAGAAGGAGAAGTCTTGCTACCGCTGCGGTAACACTGGTCACATCTCCCGCGAATGCCCTAGCCAGCCCCCAGCTGCTGGTGGATTCGACGCTCCTCGTGAGTGCTACAAGTGCGGACAGACTGGACACATTGCCCGCAACTGCGGCCAGGGTGGCTATGGTGGTGGTTACAACCAGGGCTACGGCGGCGGATACGGCGGCCGTGCTCAGACTTGCTACACCTGCGGTGGCTTCGGACACATGTCGAGGGACTGCACGCAGGGCCAGAAGTGCTACAACTGTAAGCAATGCTTCATGAGATGATTCCCACTTCGTATTACTCTTTCACTTTCGTTGCGCTCCTTGACTGACGTTTTCTCTTCATCTCAGGCGGCGAGATTGGCCATGTAAGCCGTGACTGCCCTACCGAGGCCTCATCTGAGCGTGTCTGCTACAAGTGCAAGCAGCCCGGTCACGTCCAGGCTGCGTGCCCTAACAACTAAATTCGTTGATGTCGGTGATGCGTTTGATGCTATGCCGGCGGGCAACGCCTGATGTCATTCTGCCGTCGTTTGGAGCTGGTGCTCCTCTGAGATATTGCTTCATATCCAGGACCCGGGTTACAGTGGAATTGGAGCATCAGCACAGTTCCTTTTTATATTCTTTCATATTTCTTGTATGAACTTTTATCTTTTCTTCCATTAAGGTGGCATGTCTTCGTCTTTTATTTTCCCTGCAACGTACCTCGGGCACATCCAACCATTGATCGTGGTTCACGGTTTGGGGCGTTTTCAGTCACTTGGGAAACTGGAAAGGAATCGGAAAAGAAAACAGCCAGGACAGGAACGAATTCAAAAGATCAAACCAACGTAGCCAATGATATTTCTATTAATTGTTTCAATTTGTGCGTTCCATCAGGCGTGCGATTTAAGTGCAAGCTTTTGGAAAACCGGGGTTAATTTTGGCTGCTACTATCATGATTTACATGATTGGTGAATATCAACTCGATGATTGATTCGGAGATGGACCGCAGCATGTGGAGACCGTTCCTCGGTTCCAGCTACGCAGTAATCGAATCTCCCTCATCTCCTGGGCGTTTTTCCTTTTCAATTTTCCCTCCTTCATTCGCTGAGAGTCGACTGAGCATCGACTTAGTGTTTATGCCTTGCAAGGCTTCGAGTAGATGAAGTATCGATCCATGCCCGCACAATACAAAAGCTATATCACAGAATCACATGCATATTATCCGCATGAAGGATGCATGTCATCATACATCGTTCTTCATTTATATGAACTGGCCAGCGGGAAAAAGGGGATTTCTGGCCCTGCTACAACATGACCATGTATCTCCCATGTCATCGCGGTGTGGTGACCATATTCTCATCTTACCACCTGCATGGCGGGGCACATCCACCAGTACAGCCTTACCCCGCAAGAGATCGGGAAACGCAAACCGCGAACCTCTCCACTCTGATATCTTGACCTTGATGTGTGAATTGTTGTTGGCCCTAACTTGAAAATACCTCAAAGCTTAGCGCAGTCCAGCGCACTCTGACTAGCGGCGTGGAAGCAGGTAGAAGAGCGACCGGGAAGAAGGAGGAAGGAGAAGAAGATAAAGACGTGTCTCAAGTTTCGTATCTTAGAGAGCAATCGCAGACGCCAGTGGCGAATGGAAAAGATTGGGAATGTGTGATACTGACATCTAGATACACATTGGCCTTTGAAAAGCGGGGTCGCAGGAACCGCTCTCGCTCTACCGGCATTATATTAGACGACGATAAAGGCATTGGGATCAGGGAATCGACGGTGCGAGGGGCTGTGGATCTTGATTCTAGAGTGGAACCTCAGGTGGAGCGCTGAGAAGAGATTGGGCTCGGACGCTTGAGCTTGGACGCATCTTTTACTCCCATCATTCTTCTCTCTATCGTGAAACTTCTAATTTTCCATAGACGAGAAAAATTGGAGGCGCCCGACTAGGAAAGGAGAGGCAATGAATCATTTCCCCCCAGACAGAGATTAAGTGAAGCTGATGGCTTATGTGTAATGTTGATGCGGCATTTTTGCGAGTGAAAGCAAAAAATCCTTAGCATTCTTCGCTCGAGATCACGAATAATGGATAAAAATTCGAAGCGACGCTCGACAGAGGCAACAACAAGACCGGTGTCGGGCTGTGGCAGCGATCATCGGTTTTTTAAGTCGTCGAATGCGTCAATGTCTCCAGCCTAACAACTCGCAGTTCTAAGAGTTGCCGCGGGAGAAGACTGGGCCATGTCTAGACCAAACATCTGTATAATACAGAACGCCAATCTCAGCGAACCCGGTCGGTCAATATCGAGAGCAATTGATGCAGCACACGACAAAAGCTTCGGAGGCCGAGGACTCCTTGTCTGCTATGACGCGTTTTGCGTACCAGAGAGACGAAGAGCCCCTCACAGGCCAACGCTATCTAGGCTGATTTTCCAAAATCAATCCTTTTAGCAGATGCAGAAGCGGACTTGGATCTGCCGACCTTTCTTTGTCTCGTCATCTCATCTTCTTTTCCTTCTTTATTCATAATAATAAAGCACGCCATTTGAGAGCGCTGCGGGCGGATCTTTTTCGGCCCTCGCGGCGGGGCCCGTGAAGGTTATGGCTTGCGGGGCGCTCCATCTCACCCGTTTGTCAACTTGGACGAGGGTGAGGGGTTCATCAGATGGGTCGGGGCCCAGCATCGGGCACTGTCGTATTCACCGTAAGATGAACGAACCAAGAATTCTACTTCCATCACAGTAGTCCACTTATGAGAGAGTGACTGGCTAACTCCGCGTAGCCTTCCATGGAACGATAGGGGATTGGCCGGGCGTGGCTGTGACATCTTGGTTATAATTTTACCTGTAGTATACTGCAGCGGCTGGCGAGTCACAATGGCGCGTCGAGGTACTTCTACTTGGCATGTAATAACGCCAATCAACTACTTCGCCGCACTTCAGCTTCAGCCTGGTCGATATATCATGCAGGGTCCTGCAACACGGGAAACACACATAATGACTCGCCATTGACCAATGACATAACAGCAGCAGAGGTAGCAACACATTCCCTTCCTTTTCATGAACACGGCTCCTAGGTGCTCTAGACTCACTGACCTCTTCAGAATCCGCTCATAGCCCTTAGGTCCGAGCGTCTAATAACTATTGCTATGGCCGTATCAGAGTCAGAATCGAACTACGACCAAATGCACCCTTTTGCGGCACCTAAGTGATTGTTTGCCGCAGTGTAAACTGCACGCGCCCTCAAATGGTTAAGAGGCTTCAATGTTAGTACTGCTTGGTGACTGATCGAATACGTCTTTCTTAAGTGCTCATTGAATCCCTGCCATTCATTCGGAGGGATTCTGACTAGCGCATTGTGCCATAGATAGGCTAGGGTGAGCGACGCTTACCCCACTGACTTGCGCAACGCTATCGGATGCGACCAGGTTAAGCAGTGTTGATCTACCGCGTCACTTTGGTCGCGGTGGGGTATCGATAAGAGAAGGCCTGCTACGGAACATGGGAAACTACGTCTTGAACCTACGGATGCGGCACTTTATCATATGTTTGTTTTGCATCCATGATTTGATCTCCGAGTAGAGCGAACCAGGTGATCCTCAAGTGTGCGCATCATTGATATCGTTATTTCCGATGCCGAGGCATAAATCACTGATCGTGATGGGTTTCAGGCAAGGAAGCCTCAATTGACCAAAAGGAAAACCCCCACAGTTCAGAAAGGGTCATTTGATGGGTGGCATTTGTTTCAACTGGGATCTTCTTCACGATAAACGACGGTTTCTCTATAGAGAGATGTTGAGGTATCTTGTACTGCGCACACCAACGGGATTGATTTTTGGCGGGTCGCCTTGTCAGCTGCGGAAGACTTTCGGCAAGGATGACTGGGTGATGGGGGTGTCCAATGATGTCCTGCTGACAGTGATCCTTCCCACTCCATGGGGTAGGGGTCCCCTTTTCTGGCTTTCGTCACAAAATATGTTTCGCGATCACAATTTGATGAACAGCGACTGGGCCTCCAGCTTTGGCCCCCCTTGTCGGACGCCGACCGCCGTATTGATTTTGATAGAGGGCAATCCGAAACCTACTGGGGGCCAGAACAGGTTATACTCCCTGGCCTCTTGTCGTTTGACTCTCATTGCTAAAGATATCAAACTTGATTGCCAAGGCAAACATTGATAACCATGGGCCAGTCGCTCCCGCGTGCTTGATAAACGGATAGTCCGCGATACGGATGGCCTATATTTGGGGCAAGTGCGTCCGATTTGATCATGTGCAACGCTCAAAGGCACGAGTCACTGCCTCAATAGATCAAAGTGGCTGGCTCCAAAATCTGTTACCATAATCCATCCTTGAATCCAGCTATCAACAGGGGACAGTGGTACAGCTGATCTGAATTGACAGGGGCGTCATGGTGAGTAATGTCTCTCACCTTCTTGGTCAATTGCACAATGACGGATAGAACCTCAGCACAATGCAGAAAATTCCCCGACGGGAAGCGCGGTAAGCAATCGTGCTTGGTCCGGGCCAGTTTATTGTACATTGTGAGGCTCTGCGCGATTGAGGAATTTCATTGCCAACTCTTGCGATGATGCAATATCCAACTCTGGTTTATGGCTACCTAACCCTACGTAATTTGACTTGATGATGCCTACCCGCCAAACTCACTCCTGGTTCCGCGTCCAGCCGCGACCATCCGAATGAATTGGAAAACCCACGCTTAATGATATTACTAAAACTAAATTGCAAATGGCAGCAGCACCATGGAAGGCAACAATGGATGCTCTCGATCCACGGCGAATGGGGCAATCCGAATCCTGCATCGCGATAATGGGCCGCAAATCGACTCGTTCGCTTGCATGGCTGGAATAGTCTCCAAGGGTCGCAGTCGACCTGACTATCCCGGGCAGTGGCCCGGTAAGGTTATCCTGTCATAGCTGGGCCAGTGTTTTAGACCCCCGTTCTGTAAAACCTGTAGCCTCGCCATCCGAGCAGGATACTTGAACATGACCAAGACTTCTTTTGCCTAGTGATGCGTCTGAGTCCCCTGTTTTGGGCCGATCACGTCGATCCCCTCGACTTCTGGGAAACAATCAAGTTGGAGGGCTGTCTCAGCGAAAGATGCCATTGTGGGCGGTGCAGATGACCTAGGCGTAGCCCCATGGCGGTGCTCCTGCCTGCTCCAGAGCTCCGTCCTCCGTGCCCCAAGCTCAATCGCGGGATTGAGGCGTTACGGGGAAGTGAAGGGACCGCACCTGCACGTGCTGACCTACCCAAATGTGTCCGAAGATGAAACAACTAGGGACACACAAAGTCCCTCCCGTAGTTACAGAAGCACGGTACTCGGCCACGACGGGGATCATCAATCGATTCATCAAATATTATTGCAATTGAAACAATTGGTTACCAATTGGAGCAAGATTACGGTCAGTAAGAAGTAGTCGCCACGATGCTCTTCTCGATGAATTTGCGTTCTTTGCAAGACGTGCTCGGGTTTCGGAGATGGAATGGCATGGCATGGCATTCCCATTATTCATACCACCACGCCACGCCACTCCTGCCGACCGCCTGAGGAATTGCGGCGAAGTGGGTAAACAAGTGGACTGCGCACCAGAACAACTGGTCAAAATGAAATCAGACGGTGAGCTGGTAATTGAATTGGCTGATAACAAAGCTAGCTACAACGGCTTCGCATCAAGCCAGATTCGGGGTTTCTCTTTGTTTTAAATTGATGAGCACAAGGGAGCCTGATGAAGTGATAAATGTGTTTGTTGGTCCAGGCAGCTGCACGACGACGTGGATGGTGGGGAAAAATTAGGGGCCCAGCGGCCGACAAATTGCCAATTGCTCAATCAAATTGGCCAATTGATGAACAATAGTCATCAGCTCGGCGTTGGCTTATGGAAGCAACAAGATATGATGACTGCAAGCGATGAATTGGTGTTATTGACGATGATGATGACTCTTTGTGTGATTATGATGCATACCTGACTGCTTGGACTTTTGGGAGGGGTTCCGCAAAAGGTGGAAACCTATCGGGAGTTCCGAGGTACCTAAAAGACGGTGAACTGCAACATGAAGGCTACTGGTGGATACCCTTTCAAGCTACTCTCTTGGAATGACATGTGAAGGTACCCAACGTGTACTGCCAGGGGCTTCGTGAGACAAAGGGACTGCGGCGAGGTCACGGAAGCGGACGACGATTTGGAAGCATCAGGGTTATTAGCAGTGACCAATTACCTTATGAGGGATAGCCAAAGAGGACAAGCAACGGGACAAGGAAGTTTTCTCTGCGATTCTTTGACCTGCTTTGACCGATTCTTTTCAGGCCTCGACACGGCCTTTTTTTTTTTTTTTTTTTTTTCCTCTTCGGTGCTGAGTCTTGGTTCTGGTGCTGAAAATGCTCCAACCCTCCATTGGGCATGAGTCAGATCATGCGAGAATCGAAGCTCGTTCAGTGACTCCGATGCCCACTTCCCGGAATCCCTAGTCCCCTTGAGCCTGGGCTCCCCATCAGTTTCGTCAAGGTGCGACCTGACCTGATGGTTTCTTCTTGGGCTTTCTCTCCCCCTCTACTGGCTGCAATGGGTCTATCGACGCGTGTCTGAAGCTTGAGCGTCGCCGACTTTGTTTAGGCTACTCCGTAGACAGATGGCGGGGCGGGGGGAAGGATTGAAGCTGAGAAAGAGGGAGTGAGGAAGTATGAGGGGAAATTGCAATGATGATTGACAGGCATTGTTTGGAGATTCAATGCATTCGAATACGTGACTGGTGAAAGGTCATACATTTCCAGCTGGTCTTTTCTTGATGCAGTGATCACATTGGTCAATGACAAGGTCATTGAATGGACCAATGGCTGACCAATTCATCGTCTGCCTCTGATTACTTGCGATTACTGAGCGCTGTGTTTCGCTGGTTCATCAATGGATGCGGCGCAACTCAGTAGCTTTCTTTGCTCTTCGGCCTGCCTGATACAGTTGTCGCGCCCAGACAGTGAGCACTGGCGGCGGCGTCGTCGTCGGCGGCTTCCTGGAGCCTTTTCCCCTCTTCCTCCTTTCCACATGCACCAACAAGGACACCCCCCCCCCCCCCCAAATTACGGGTCCTCTTGTTGTTTTTTCCCCCTCCATGATGAAGCAACAAACCCATATGATTCTTCTTTCACACAGCGCTTAAGTCGGGTCGGTGTGTAGGATGTGTGCCCACAAACTCATACCGGTACCCACGCACGCACACCACCCCCTCCACCACCTCACCTCACACTCACACCCACACCCACACCCTACCGTATGCTATAACACCCCCCCCGGACTAATGCCCCTTACAGCCTTTCTTTGTCCTTGCGACACATGTCGCAGTCATTCGTATCGGCCGTGAGCCTTGGCTGATCCATCCAGTCATGACTAGTCATGACCCGCTCTTTCCAAGAGGGACCAGATGTTGTTTTCGTTGTGTTGCTGCCTGCTTACGTTTGAACAGCCTCACGCGCCCATACCTGCGCCTTCTGGACTCTGGGGCAGTTTATAATACCCCCATGACCCTCGCCCAATGCCTCTCCCATTTGGCATTGGGAAATCACATTTTTTTCCCTCTTTTTTCGCGACGTTTCGCTCTTGCGCACCCAAGGCTGCCTGACTGCAGTAGCAAGCACTTTTCATTGGACGCAATTGGGATTCCAGGGCTGTACACTTGTACACCTGTGACAGGCAACATCGCTAACTCCCGCATTGTTGACTGATTTCTTACTCGTTGGTGCCTGCCACCAGCCGGGGGCGTTGTCATTGTCAGTCAATCTCAATCGATTAGGTTTAGAACGGGGTGAGATCGTTCGACGCCGTGTCCGGAAGGCAAAGGGGCAAACCGCAGCATCAGCACAATAACAAAAGAAGTCAAGTCCGCCTTTTGGGCTTCCCTTCCAGCCCCAAAGCTTACCGGTGTTGTCATCATCCATCACTTCACTATCCAAGCTTAAATTCTGACCGCGGTCGCCACTTCCGGAGTTTGCGCAGGAATCCCTGAATTTAATTCCACACACACTGACACACACACACACCGCCCACTACTGCCTACCTGACAAATCACCGTTACCTCCGAATCACTGTGTTCCCTCCTTCCGTGGCCTTCCATTGGAACCACGCGCTATAAGTTGTTTGAGGGAACCCTTTGTTTTCTTCTGCCTCTTTGAACCCTTTTAATACCTTTTCTCTCTTTCATCTCTCCTTCCTTCACTCTCTTCCTCACACCTCTCAATTCTACTCTCATCTTGGTCTCGTTCACTGCGCGACCATTGCAATCGCAATTGCCACCGCTCATTGAGCAATAAACGGCAAACAGTCTATTCATTGGCGCATTCGCAATTCTCTAATCGCACAATTGCACAATCACCACTCAACATGAATCGATTACCCTCAGTTTCGAGTTTAATCTCTCCGCCAGAGCCAAAGCCCTACGACAGCTTCTCTTCTCCCACAATGCAGGACAAGATGTCGCTGCCGGGAATCGCTCCTTCATACGCTACAGAGAACACTCTTCCTCCCATTTACAACAGTCAATGCCGCGGTACGCCGTACGTTGAGGTCCTACCATCGCCACCCGTCTCACCATGGGCCAACGACGCACGGAAGCCCGAGGGGCGATTTCGCGGCGACTCAATCACCGAAGATGGCTCTGTTCAAGGCGAAAATATCCACGATCCGCCACTCTTCTCTTCGCGTCACAACAGTGATGCCGGCCTCGCTCCTGATGTCCCTCTCTTCCCGCCGCAGCCCATTGACCCCAACGTTGATGCTCTGGTCTCGCGGCACATGGCCTCGCACCTCGTACAATTCAACGGTCGCTTGAGTCAGCCCACGCGCGACGAATACCTTCTCGCCCTCTCTTGCATTCCTAAAATCTCTGAAAGAGTGAACCGAAACCCTCAAGGATGGCTGAAGCGCGAGCGGGACATACTGGATGAGCGATTTGGGCAAGCGCAGCGCGTCTGGAAGCGACCGGCGACCAAGAGTTTTGTCAAGCTTGCGCCTGCTCCTGCCGGCGCCAAGCATGACTCTGTGCCGGCTGCGCGCAACACTGTCCGCCCGGCCCGAACTGCGCCTCGTCAGCCCAAGGTCAAGCGCACGCCGCCGACCAAGGTCTTGGACTCGTTTGCGTCCACCGTGCCAGCGACTCCCAAGCAACGTGCCATTGGCACCAGTCGTGAGGACACTGACTACGTGTCGCTGCCCGATTATTCGCCACCGACCTCGTCGCTTCCCAAGAGCAACCCAAAGATCCTCAAGGCCGACTGGAGGGGCCAAGTTCTTGACCTTTCGAACGATCCCGACCGACACATGCTTCACGAGGCCGAAGTCAATCTCGCCGCCACCCTCCGCCTGTCTTGCGCCACTTATCTCTGCAGCAAACGCCGCATCTTCCAGGCTCGGCTTCAAGCGCTTCGCATCGGCAAAGAGTTCCGCAAGACTGATAGCCAGCAAGCCTGCAAGATTGATGTCAACAAAGCCAGTAAGCTCTGGACAGCCTACGAACGAGTCGGATGGTTCAAGCGCGAGCACTTTGAGAAATATCTCTGAAGAATCAATTGCGATGAATTACAATTATTTGCGACCGCTTCAAACCGAGACGACAGGTAGTTGCCAGATTGAGCATATCATGGTCGTTGGCTACTCTTGTTGTCATGTGTTTTTTGATTGATCGGACCGGTTCCGATCGTCATGGGGACGAATTTTTATCGAAGCTAGAGCAGGGCTTATCGGCGCAATCAGTTTGCTAAAGTTGACGACATGAGACGCCGATCCCCCGATGAGGGTCTTGCGGTACCTTACTCATTCGGATCTTGGCATATTTGCATTGGTGTTTGTTTTCTTTAATTGTTCTGCACACCCAAGCATCTCACCACTCCTTTCCCGATTTTTTTTCACCTCGCTCCGTCGCTCATACGACGATCGTCGCGTGTCGCATCCCCCGTCGGCGCGGACCGCAACCCACTTTGATGGGTCGAGAGGGTCTTGTCTCTTCCTCGGATCATGCGAGACCGAAGGTAAAAGTGGTCTGATCACATGACCTGACTTTTTCCCTTTTTCCCACCCCTGTTTCGGATTTCACCCTTTGGCCTTTTTTTTTCTTTATGTGCTCATTTACGATTTGTGGTTTTGGGAGTTTTTACACGAGCGTTTTACTCTTTGCATCATTTGCATTCGGGCCATTATTCCGAGCATTTGGCGCCTTTGCTTCGCACACGGGCGCTTTTCATTTGCACACTTCCTGTTACATTGCATTTACTTTTTAGTTTGCATACATTCCTATGCCCCTTCCATTACGCATATCGCATACTGCATGGGGGTTTTCGGTTCTGGGTCGTTACGTGTTGATTTTTTCGGGGCAAATGGTGTGTTCTCTTTTTCGGGTTCTTATGGTCTTATGTGTCTGTTGATTTGCTCGGGGGCTTGACGCCTTCCCCTTCTTTCTTCTTCTTTTTTTATTTTTTATTTGGTTTTCACCTGCATCTATTTTTATGCTTGCCTTGCGCCGCTGGATATGGTCTGATACCCCCCCTCGTCTTATCGCGTTTATTACACTTGTTATTAGGTTACCTGGATACATGATAATATATCATTGAATCACATAACGTTAGCTACTTTAATATTTCCCATTCAAGTGTGCAGTAATTGTGTCACAGCCCCATATGTTGTCGTGAGTCGTGTCATGTCACCATTTGTTATTGCTTGGTTAGGATCAGCATAGCTGCATAAGTGAATCAGAATATTCCTGTGTTTTTCATTTTTATTTTCATTTTTATTTTGTTTTTGTTTATTTATTTTTTATTTCTATTTTGTTTCTGTTTTATTTCTATTCTATTTCTATTTCTTTTTTTTTATTTTTCTTTTCCCCGACGGTTTCGTGAGCACAAGGACTCGATGCTTACGGATTGTGAGTCTCTCAGTGAAGTTATTGTAATTTCCCCGCTTATTTTATCTTTTATTTTTCCTTTTTTTTCTTTATTTTTATTTTTATATATTTTATCCATGTAACCTAAAACCTCACCTTTCGTGCAGGTGCTCTTCTGCCCGATTTTATACCTTCGTTTTTAATCTTTTTTTTTTTTTTCTTTTTTTTCTTTCTCTTTCTTTTGCTTTTCTTTCCCTTTTTTTTGTTCCGCCCCCCTTTTTTTAGGCATATCCTGTATAATATATTTACTGCCAGCCTTGCCCCTTGGCTCATGGCTCATGGAGTCTTGGTGATTCCCAGATTCGTGAATCGTAAGTTCGTAACACTGCGAAAAATATTCATCGAGGCTCCGAGCTATATACAATTAGGATAATCACACGTAGAAGGAATACGAGGGAATGAATAATTATATACGGTATACGGTATACCGTATACCGGAAAAAAATATTAAAATATAAATTACCCAGTATCCCCTCCGCCTTGTCCCAACTCCGCTCCGCCTCGCCCGTGGGCCGGTGCCTGTTTGTTTAGATCGCTGGCGACTGGCCACGGCCCACGGGCGAAATTTGATGTTTCTGAAAATTTTGAATCTTTTGAAGCTTGTCCTACTTGACCTACTTGAATCTTGGCTTTAGAAGTCATTGTGGTTTGTCACCGCCTCGCAATGCCGTCAAGGCCATTGATCCTGTCAATGCCACATTGCTACGGTTTACCGTCTACCGTCTACCGTCTACCAGTGGCGTGATCATTTTTTCTGCTTCAGTTTTTTCGTTCATCGAGATATGATATATCTATATATTTAACTATGTCTTTACTTGTGTAAAATTGTTTTATTTTTGGGGGAAAAATTTAGCGGAATTGTTGAGCACTTGTCGAGGCTCAAATGGGATTTCGAGACAATGTTCGAACGAGATATTGCCTACACTTCAGGACTTTATGAATTTTGACAACATCGAAAACAATAAGAAAGAAAAAATGAAATAAAACCAGAATGAAATACAAATAACAGTTAATAGCATAAAACACAAACAGAAATAAATAAATAAATAAACATAAAAAAGAAAAATAACAAAGAAAACGGAGATCATATCAACATTTGGAAAGAGCCGAACAGTCGATATACATCCAAAGGGTCCGTCGACTCCATCGTTCGGACGTTCCCTTGCCCGCGGATCACGAATCACGATATCTCCGAGACTCCGATAATATACAAGTACACCACTGAATAGTGTGCACCTCGAACTCAAGAAAGCGAAAGTCCAAAAAGGACGAGATCCGAAAAAGAATGATGAATCTCGCTGATTCGCTAGTAGTCAGGCAATTGTTCATTCTGTACGATGCTTTTGACTCTTTTGGGATTTGATCTCGCAATATCAAGGGCAGCTCCTGCCTCCGACAATTTACGGCTTGGCGGGGTCGGTCTGCTTTTGATGACAATGCTCGTGGAGTCGTGGCCTCGCAGTTCTACCCCGCAAGAAGCACGGCTGCATGGTTATCGAACAGCTGTATTAGGAAAGGGAGGGAGCCTTGGAAGAGACTTGATCAAGCGAATGATTTATCTTGAGAATGAATTGGAAGAGATTGATGAAGTGGTGCAATCGAGTTGGACTGGAAATGGACTCAACTGCTCATGTAAAGAGCAAAGTATCGAGAGGAGAGCTTTGAACCTTTGATGCCATGGAAAATTGAGCGTGGAGAACATTGACGCGGCGTTGCAGAAACCAGAGTCAGAGAGCGATACACGTTGCGGTGTATCTGGATATGTCAAAGACTCCGAATATATCCTTTATAGAGAGCGTGTTGAAAAGCTCGAATGGTTAACTACTTCAGTCCGAAGTGACGGCCTTGCAGAATAACATGGTCGTGCCTTCCGAGCAAGATGTGAAGGCGTTGCACTTGCAGTTTTTGGGGTTCCTTGGGAGAGGACAACAGGGACAGCAGAAGGAAGTGTCAACAGATGCACAACTACTGGTCTGCTCCTGCCGCGGATATGGTTGAACAGGCGAAGTGGCAAGTCCATCGCTGCAGTATACTTAAATGACGAGATCTGGAAGCATGTTTTGTTTCCTTTCCTCCGTCTTTCTTTTTCTTATGTGCTGTGTTTCAAAAGACCTCAAGACTCGTATATTATTTGATGGAAGATACGCAAAGCTAGTCGCTGACGAAGCGACGTATTTTGCCGTTTGGACACAGGTGTGCAGCCATTTAATATCTTATGGGCCTCTTTGGTCACGAATGCTGCGTATGATGATCCAAGTACGATTTACTACTATCTCTGTGAACCTTACCAGGAAGTCTGTGAAGAAGATGAGCAGTGGTGGAAGAGGCTGGACTGCAGACATCGCTTTGGCACCTTTGCCTTTGCTTGGACGTGACGGAAAAATTTACTTGTTATCTGCTTTTTCTTTGAAGCAGATATAACATCAGCATGTCCCTTCAACTAAAAGAGCCAGAAGAATGATGGTAATTTGGTAAGGTATACTGAAATTTTGCACCTCAGAATTTTACTAAGTTATGAGCTTATGGATAGATTATTGACGAGAATTCGAAATGCTCAGAGAAGTAATTAAAGAGCAGAGCGCCAAACCTCATTCGGGATGCTCCTGTTCACACGAGAAGCAACAAATCTTTTTCTATTGGCGCTCGTGATAAGCACCTAGACCAAGAGTCCAAGCTCAAGTCAAGATAACTTCGAATCGGCATTGCAACTGAACAGTCTACAAGGAAGCTTTTGCGAGGTCGGCGTGTCTCGTTGTCGAATCAGTATTTGGCCTCGAGTACATAGTCTACTCGGTCAAATTCTTATAGTCATCCAGCCGCCTGCCCGTTAAAGCAATGCTTGGTTCATGGGGTATGACCTTTATTTGGCAACTTACGTTTGGATTTTGAGAAAGATTGATTCCCAGCCCAATGCTCCGCACCAGGATGAAATTGAGGAAGCCTAGTCTGAGGTTCAACGAATATTTGAAACCACCATACGTTTCCATCTTTTTCTCTTCAACTCAACTGCGTACTCAGTTTGAGAGTTGTCGCCACGGTCTTCTCTACAGAAACGAGGCAGGTGGGCTGGGATATTACAACGATTCGGCAAGCTCTATACAATAGGGCGCTGAAGCCAAGGGCTATTCATAGTCTTCAGCAGTATGGTCGAGACAAGACACTATCAGAACTGTGAGCCGCTATATCAAAGATACCTTTACAGGTGGATGCCACAAAGAGAGTCAGGGAGTGTTATTGGAGAATAAGACCAAACTCCTACAATATCAGCTGCACGTACAATGATCAACAGCTGCCTACTACTTCATTACCAATGGATTTGAAACTAAGTCTAAGATCAAGAACAGTCTCAATGACAAGCAGAGATAATGTTACGGTCCGTATTTTGCCGCCTGAGTCGACAGAGAATCAGCTATTTTTCATCTGCTATGCAGTCCGAATCTGAGCATAACGTTGAGGTCTTTCAGGAAGACGCATCATGGTATCGCAACGCCAGGAACTGGGCGAGGGAAATGCGAGACAATGCCATCGATGCGGCAAACCAACGAGTTAGTTTACCCTGAATAATACCCAACAGCTCTCAACTGACTTTATGGTCTGGCGTCAGATCGGTCTATGAATTTTTGTTTTCGCTTTTACACAGAATTTCTCTTGTGGATTATTACTGTTGTCACCCCCTCTGCTCATCTTGCTTTTGCTCGAAAGAGAATATTGCAAAGCTAGACGATGGGCAGTGACTGCACTGCAAGGTTTACTTTTCAGCACCAGATTGACGGCGGCATGTTGGAAATTTTGACTTTAGGCGGTCCGGTCCGCTTTGCATAGCGATGGCGCGATCAATGAGCCCGAACCACAAGGATATATTATCCTCCCAGCATCGCATCGCGTTCTGAAAACAAGACACTTCAAACTTTATGCTTTAGCATTTATGCTGTTTGCAAAGTCTTAGACAACAGAATATGAATTATTATTAGCAACTTTCAACGGCGCTCATTGATGCCAAGAACGAAAGCAGTCGTGGCCGTGGGAAACGGCAGAGGCGGACGAGGCAGGGGTCATGGAGATGAAAAAGCTGCGAAAAAGTCCACCAGCGAGACTGCGAGAAAGCAAAAGCCCGAGAGCAGCTCGACATCTGTCTCGGGCATTTACCAGACGCCAGGTGATGAAGACATGGAGGACGAAGAGTGACCAACGTAAGTTTATACTCAACCGCATTACACTGCACTCCTTTGGAGATGGGCCTCACTTAGCAGATTGTAAAAGCCTTTGTTTTTCAGTTCATAATCCAAAGCGAAATGTTTCTACAGGCCGTCGCTTTCGCTGAATGTTATACTAACAAAATTACAGACATCAGACAACCTTGGATGACTTTGAATTCGCTCGCGAAACTCCTCGTTGCCAGCATAGAGCGACTGAAGAAATTGATAAGCAGAGACCTGGTCCAACCCTATTGGCACTCACTTGTGCTCACCAGCAAACGTCCAGTTTCTGGACCTTGGTCCACCCGTGTCCGCCTGCTGAAATGCAGACTCTATCAGATCAGATATACATAAAGATATTGAAAGAATGGCGCTCTGAGGATCCCTGATACTGTCAACAATTATTTTTACTTTGACTATTCTTTGACACCGACCAATTTATAACAACCTCAACTCCCATCCTTACAATCAACATCACCATGGGGGCCATCAACCCCATGAGATTCAAGTTATAAAATTACGTTGCCGGTCACGATGTCCAGCGGATGAAAGACTGGGGAAAAAGATTTTGGCATTAGAATGAGATTGTACGTGATAGTCTGTCCTCACAACGGGGGGGGGGTTTTTTTTTTTCATAGAGGTTTAGGGTTAGGGTTAGCACTTCAATTACTGGTACCTCAAGGTTTGTCTACCTCCGATCTTGAACCACGTGTATGATTTGACCAGTTTGACAAACTCTGGCAATAGATATGCCCGGAGCACCACAGAACACATGAGGCATGCAACTGTCGTTCTGACTCTGTCATACAGGCTTTGAACCGCCACACTCGTTTCCGAGGGGCTCATTCCTTTGGACCTTTGCTCTTGCGAGACTGATGAGATTATTAATTTATGTTTTGTTCCTCGATCTTTTACTCTCTTCATTCTTTTGAAGTGATGTTTTGCAGAAGCATCGCGCGCTGATTTAACCATCACTTTACACAAGAAGCCGATGCTAACGTCTCAAATGGGAACCTGTGTTGGGAAAAGAAAGCTCGATTCACCATGGCCAAGCTTCTTCCCGGCGGCTATGCAAATTACTGCCACAGAGCCACCCCACAAGGTGTCTGAAATTTTGGCTGCGGAATCATTCCCTGCTAGAGAAAATATCATGGGCCCTGGCCCATTTTGAGAGAGCTCGGCGCCGTCTGCACCACCTGCTCATCCTCTTCTTCCTCGACCGTTTTTAGAGAATATTCGGGTCGGCAGATAATGAACCCTCGTGGTAAGTTTCCAGATGGTGATTAGGATAGAGTTTTCCCCCTACTTTATCTATTTCTCTTTTCTTTACCTCTATGGTTTTTTCCCTTCTCACTTTTGTTCTTCCCAAAACAACAACCGACTAATATTTTAAAGATTTCCTAGTCTATCAAAACAAGGCATACTGCCCAACGACACAAAGACTCCAATTTTGCCCAATAAGGCACGTGAGGGTTAGCCTGCTAGAGTCTGTTATATCGAGGGACCATGACTCGTCCTGCTACAAAGACGATTTCGGAAAACTCTACTTCTTGTGAGCAGCAGAATTGACAGCCCCATATCATAACTGGGACAGAGGTCAAAGGGAACAAGTCTCAAAAAGTTCGCGCAATGAATACAATCATTCAATACTTTCGTTCTCGCCCCCAATTTGGCAATTGAACTTCCAAGCAGCAAAGGTCGGTTGTGAACTCTAACTTCAGCGGAATTTAAAAATCGACATGACAGATCATTTCCATGCAGAGATTGCAAAATTTATACGGAAAGACCGCCATCAACTCAAACGCCGCCCGAGGCCATTTCTTCAGGATTTGGGATGCCCCTCTGTGTGGAGAAAGGCTTGGATGTTTGGCAAATGGTCACAAGAAAGTTCAGATTCAAGAGTATGACTTTTGAGCTCTATGCTCAGAACTTTCGTGCCATTCTGGACAAAGATATCATCGCGCGTCACATCTTTGACAAAATTGAGCTTTGTTTCGTGGGTTTTCGGGATTCCGCTAGATCTGCTCGAAAGTCGAATGCCGAGTCAATCGACTGTTCGACATTACAGCCTATCCTTCTCTTATCCCGCTGCCGGTCGTATTTTAAAAATGCGATAACCAGGACAAGCACTGGAGATATAGAGTACTGTCAAACAAGAAAAGCTCCTGCCAAAATTTTCGAGTGATAGCGATTAAAGCCTGCGATTCTTATTCAAGATATTGGAAAGCGATTACAATATGAACAGTTTATCAACGTCCGACGATCTTTACGCAAAGACCATACCGGAGCTCCAATGCTCATCATTGAAGTTTTCTCTTATGAAAATCCGTTGTGATTCAACGAATTAATATTGTAATTCTGATATTCGACATCAGATCATGGAAACAACAGTCCATCGTTATCTTGTGCCCTCGAGGGAATATGCATCAGCTTGCAGAACAAACTATCCATACGCTGCAGTCCCATCACACACAACTGTGATGAATCTCTCTACCGGTTCTGATCAACCAGTTCATTACGGGGACTCGAAGAATTGCAACAAGGTCGGAACTGTGATTGTGGTTTGGAGACGTTAGAGGGTCGTTTCACTATTGCAGTTGCAAGGCCCAGCAAAAGGCAAGTTCAAACAAAGCAAAAACGAACGATGGAACCACGTCTGGTTCGTGCTTTGGAACGGAGACGACCTAGAACCATGGAGCCAAAGAAGCGGAGCGAACTTAATGGCAGAAAAGAAGACGCTCACTTTGGAGCTGTATTACATGCCATAAATTTCGAAGTACCTGTAGCTTCGGGACAATGGCGCACCAGGGGAAGTCAGAGCGTGGAAATCTCGCAGCCATCTGCGAAAAGGAGCTGGGTCAAGGTGATCGTTAAAGAGACGATATAAGCTATCGTTGAGGTCGAAGAAATAGAGAAAAAGAGCGACTGGAGTGTTCACGAATCAGCTGAGGGTCGGCGCCGGAATCCAAGTCTACAGACCCCAAGAATCCGCCCTACATCAGGAAGAAGAAGACAGCCGGAAAGGTATATTAACAAATGGAACGTGAGTCAAATCTTCAAATACTGACAACGTATCATCGACGCGATCTGCTCTGTGAGTAGATGCAATCGAACAACGACAACGCTCAGAGGAAGAAGATGAAGCTAGAATAAGAATAGTGAGACTTCAACCAAGAAGATGCTTTTGTAGAAAGGATTTTAATATGCTTATCTCATTAAAGTGTGTTCTTGTTACTGTGAGATCGAGAGAGTGGAGAATATAAGATATTGTCATGGACTCCTGGCCATAAATAATTGAATATATCGCGAACATGATATCTTCTATTCTTCTTCTTTTTCTTCTTCTTCTCATATCTTGTGCTTTTGGGAAAATTCATGTAACTACATTTGTATGTCATCTTGGTCGAATATTGCGTCGCAAAAGTGCTTTAAGCTGGAGGTGTTCATTACCTGTTAGACGCTGATTGTAGTTGGGAGTTCTACCGGAGCAAAATATTGAGTAGTCACTTATTGTATTCATTAGTGGGATTATGAATAGCGACATAACAAGCCAATGTGACAATTCATTTTTCATTTTCCCCCGAGAGTAGAACATCCCATTGTGCTACTCTGATAGACTTTTTGAGAGAGACTGGGTCAAGTTTATGACATTGTTTCCCATCTTGTTGTTTGCAGCTTGATTGCTCCCTCGGCCGATATATAGATGGGTAAGTTTGTCCTGTCATTATTGAAAGCGAGCTACACCACTTTCGGATCAAACTGATTCACACTCAGATGACAGCGTGGCCAAGGACACCATAACTTCAGCTGACCCTAGCATTTTCATTCATATTTGTTTCATTAGCTTAGATTTGTCCTTATCCACAATGTCTATTGCCCATTGTGTTTGTAATTTGCCACGTGGTGATTGCCTGGAAATTTTCTTGTCCCGACACCTATAAAACCTCCCTCTATCCCTCGCTCCGCCTTCATTCAAATTTTGTTCTTTTTTTTCCCCCTTCAAGGCTTGAAAAGTCTATGGGAATTCGTTCTATCTGATCATTCATTGCTCATCTTCACCATGTCATCATTCGGGGGTATATACCCATCTCCTCCAGGTAGCGACGAGTATAAATTACCCAATGGTGAACCTTATCATTGGGAGCCATTTCGAGCCGGTGCCCCGGGACCCTTGCCTTGGCTACCTGTCTTGAATTTTCCAGTCGAGCGGGGTGAGCCTATCGTCGAAGAATTTGAGAAAGTCCGTCCGATAATTCATCGCCATTTGCAAGAACACCGGATTGAATGGTCCGATATCACAGTCTTACACAGAAGACCTGATGACGACATCAATTATCGAACCAAGTTCGGCAGCGATCTAACTCTCCTTGTCACAGCCAAATTTCGCTTTGATAATACCTGGAGAGATGCTATCAACGACATTCGGGAAACTTTGAGGAGGAACTATGTAGCGGAACTGAAAGTCGAATTTTTAGATGGGAAAGCTCTGAAGCCACAGCCTATATTCCCGATTGACGCATCCGATCCAATTGTTCCAGCGTGGGAACAAATCCGACCTGAGATCCATGGTGCCCTCGTCAAATGCCCATGGACTTGCATTGACGTAGTGAGGAAAGGAAAGGAGACCGCAGCAGGATTTCAGAGTCCCATCACCATCATCGTGACAGTCCCTGTCGACAATTATAACCTCTATCTTGATGAACATGAGAAATTGAAAGCTGTTTGTACAAATCACGGCTTTCCTGAGGTTGATGTTCAGATTCGACATTCTCCCGGTCCTTTGTGGGCTGACACTGCAATCTCTACCACAGCGTCCCCTACTGCAGCGACGGCCAAGCCGGAATTAACTGCCCAAGGTCTACCAGATGGGTCTTACAATAAACTGGTGAAAATGGGGGTGTCCATGGGACCGTCTGGATCTTTTGAATATCCTAACGGCACGTTTGGAGGATACCTTGAATTGCTAGATCCAAACAGTGGAATCTCTCGCGGCATCTACGGTCTAACATGTTATCATGTCATAGAACCCGCGATACCAGCAGAAAGACAAGAATGTAAGTTTCCAAATGGTCGTCAGAAATCAGAATATCTTTTCTCCTCTGCTCTATTTTTCTTTTCTTTCCCTCTGTTCCTCTTTTATGTTCGATTTATTCCCCGTAATGCTCTCTTCCCAACCGCAACCGCAACGGACTAACATTTTACACATTTCCTAGTCTATCGAAAAAAAGGGATAATGCCCAAAGACACAATCACTCAAAATTTGACCATGACTCAACCCGGCCACAAAGACCATCTCAGAAATGTCTTGGATCTGGAAAGGTATGTATTTCGACCTTTGTGCGAATGTTGGATTCTTGAAAAACCCTCCTGACTTGAAAAGAAGGCTAGTCGCTTCTAATCATCCAAAAGTGAGAAGTGAAAGAGAATCCGTTGAGGCCGCCTGGCACAATCACGGCAAATTGGGGACTGTCCTCTGTGGTTCAGGGCTCCGGCGGCTGATCCGCGATCATCGGCTTGACTGGGCCCTCATTAAAGTGTACCGAGAGCGAATTGGAGATAACTTGGTCTGTTTCCCCCTCCTCGTGCTCGCTATTGAAAGCTCACCTGAAGTGCAAAGGCTAATGGTTTTGCGCAGCTCCCTGACAGTCGTGAAGATTGGCCAGGCGGTTCTATGGGTGATAGAATTATCCATGAAGAGATACGGGAATCTCTCGCAGGAAAGCATTTGGATGCCATTGGGAAGCTCCTGAATGAAGATGTCGTATACAAAAAGGGAAAGTCCACAGGTTGTCGAATTGGCCGATTTAGTCATATCAAATCTGATGTTAGGGTCGATGACGAGGACTTTATCTCTACAGAATATGTCTTTATCGGTACGGAAAAGGACAAGTCATTCTCACAAGGAGGCGATTCAGGCTCAATGGTATTCAGCTTATCTGGTGCTTGGCTGGGCATTGTATGGGGAGGAAATCCTTTCGCAGGTTTGACCGGTAACTCCTACGTCACCGATTCTCAACGCTTGGTTGAGGACATTGAGCGTTCTACAGGGTGCCGTGTTAGAATGCCCCTGCAACGTTCCATCGATGATCCATCCACTGCATAAATGCAGTATAATTTGCATTATTTTCATACAGAGTTACCATTATCGAATTATATTTTGTCATTGCATCCCCAGCTCTTTCCACACGAGGCCATTAGTAAACATGAATTACTCGATCGTCTAGATAGTTTCTAATATCAACCTATCATCTAATATTATAATTGTGAATTGTGCAACAATTTCGTCGACAGGGTTGTTGATATTTTTCCTAAAATAGTAATTCTCCGGGGTTATCCGGGGGCAGACCCCTTGGAGTAGCAGCTCCGAAACCCGACCTGCGGGGTGGTCCCGAATTCTACCGTCGAACTTTTGCCACAATTTTTTCCGACGGATAGGGGCCAGGGACAATTGATCACTCCCCATAGCACCCCAATGGATATTCTAACTACTTCTACAATCATCAATGACAGAGCGTACTTGAAGTCTTATAGCGAACTCACTTTCACTCCCTTCGCAGCATTATCAAGGCAACTTGCTATCATTATACAATTTCCATCCGCTGAAATTGCTCGCATGATAGACGCACAGAAGCAATGGCATATTCTCCAGACTTCAATGGAACGATGAGAAGCCTCTTTCTTCACGGACATTATTCCGACATGAAGATTATTTGTCAGGGTTATACATTTAAGGTGCATCGTAACATAGTTTGCTCTCAATCACACTTCTTTAGAGGCGCTGTAGATGGGCAATTTCAAGTAAGCTGCTTGTTCTTCCATTTCATACAAGTTCTTATTGCTTCTCATCCATAACCTTTATTCATTCGAGAGCAAACCATGCACTAATATTGCCCGAAAAAAAAAGGAAGCAGAGAACAACACAATCAATTTGCCTGAAGATGATCCGGAGACAATTGAAAGAGTCTTGTCTTTCTTATATCTCGAAAAGTACGAAGATGTCGGACATATCTTGCCGCTAGACGTGATTGAATCAAAGCCGGCTCAACAGGGCTCGGCGACAGCTTCCAGCAATGCCAGCAACAATACTGAACCTACAACGGATGCGAGAAGCATGAATTCTAGCCAGTCAGCGACAGTTTCAAATGGCGTCTCAAGCTCACCCGACGATATGCGACTGGATGAGGAGAAGACAGTAAACACCCCAGAAACTGCAGGCGAAGAAGGAGAAGAGAAAGACGGTGACGACGATAACGACGACAACGACGACGAAGAAGAGGAAGAGGGGGAAGAGGGACAATCGCAAGAAGACTTAGACGTCATCGCATCAGTCGCTAATGCCAACATTGACGTGTACGTCGCAGCCGACAAGTTTGGCATTTTGCCATTAAAATCTGTCGCAAAAAAAGCCTTTTCCAGCTGGGTCGAAAAGCACTGGAACCTGGCAGTTTTCCCGGACGTCGTTCGAAAAGCACTTGTCACGGCACCTCCCCACGAAGAAAGGACTGGTCTGCGCCGCATCGTGGTCAACATTATTTCGAAACACGCCACAGTCCTTTTGAAGAAGAAGAAGATGATCCGCGTCGTGGAAGATTTTGGAAGCCTAGGCTCTGCGGTCCTTCTTAATCTGGTACAATGTGGCTTGGTGGTCAAATCAAAGAAAGAGCAAGAAGGCGCGCTGCACAAAATAGCGCTGAAGTTAAACACCAAAGATAAGTGCGATTACTGCCGGAGGGCCTTCAATCTTCTCATGAAGAACGACTATCGTAATGGGGAAATTTGCTGCGCTTATTGCAAGACTGGCCTCTAAGAATGTGACCAAAGCACGCCCATTCATCGAGAATCGAGAATCGAGATTCCGAAGGATTGGGAACTCGAGTTGGCGTTTAATGATGAGACACGAATCACGAATCTAAAATCATAGGCGCATAGCAATTTTCCAGATATTTACTTCTCTTCAATTAACGCACTTTAGATCATATATCTACATTTCTTTCGTCGTCATTAACTCACAGGGCGAGATAGAGACACCTCCAAGAACGAACGTGTTGAGAAACTTCTAATACTACCGCCTGGGAACCCGTCAATTTCGCATATTTCTTCTCGCCTATGTTCAGACACCACTAGATATACTCTCAGCGTGCAAGGGTACAAATACTTCTCCTGAAACTTACGTTCAACGTATATACTTCCTCAAACACAATCACCGCCCGTCTGCCCTACATCATGCAAATAATAAATAGTCCCTCGAGCAATAATTATATAACAAGTCACTTGATTAAACGAGGGCCTGTGCCAAATGAAGCAGTTGATATGAAGTTTAGCATCGAAGAGAAATGATTAGTAAAAAGAGAATGATATATTCGATATTATATAAGTGAAATCTGGAAAAAAATGAAAACGAAGAGTCATAACGCAAATAAAAAAAAGGGACAGTGAGACACAGACACAGATATCTGGCAGAAGGGGGGGAAAAAGAGTTACAAACGCAGCCCTATAGACGCCCTTTAGATTTAAAGCATTTGGCAGGTAAGAAATCGAGAATATCAGGGAGAGAGAGTAACTAAAAGAAGAATCATGTAAAACGGCGACAGTGCGCGACCCTTGACCTAATGGGGTTCTCTGTCTGCGCGCGAAGGCACATAAGGCGCAAAGGCACAGAGCGTACTGGGTAATATCGTTGGGTCTCAAAAGGGAGAGAGAGAGAGAGGGAAAGGAAAAAATAGGTGGAGATTTGCAGAATGCAAAAGGAACGAAACCCCTAGTTTTTATAATCAACAGCGTAAAAAAAATTGATTGGGAACACAATGGCCAGGTACACGTAGAACTTTGTTTCGGTCAGCCAACAACAGGAGTTTTAAAAGGGCAGTGTTTTGCTTGGTGCTAGCGGGGGATCAAAAAGGGAAGAAACACGTTTGGAGAACGAGACTATGCTGCGTTCATGCCGGGACGGACGTCTCGCCCGCTAGCGACAGTGGCGGTCGTGGGCTGGTCGTTGTTCCATGATAGATAGGTGTGGTCACCGAGTTTTCTGTATAGGAATGTGTGATTAGTACAAATCGGATGGAGAAGTAAGAGTAGAGAGCGAGAAGAGTAATGAGGGGGCTTAGTTTGAAAGGCATTTAAAAAGACAGCACCAAAGAGAAATGACATACCTCGGCTTGATCAAGTGCGTAATGGTAAAGAGAGTACCAAGGACAATGCAAATGCCTCCAACGACAACATAGGCGATTCCTAGGAAAGGATTCTTTCCACCCATAATGGTCCGCGTGGAAATGACAATCATCTTCTTGCCACCATAGACAGAGACGGGGAAGTCTAAGGGATGGGTCAGTCTTCCTTTGTAATGTTCACAGACATACAACAAAGGCGATCGTAAAACTTACTCAGCTGAATATCAATCTGGTACGTTCCCGCAGCCATTGTCAAGTTGTCATTCCTCAATGCCAGCTTGCTGAAGGTGGGCAAGCCCGCCGTTCGCATCCATACCTGGAAGCCCTCGTCCTCCGACAAGTCCGGCGGCGGCTGTTCCTCGGTATAACCATTGGGATATCGCAACGCCCAATTCCGCGGCGGCATGACCTGGTCTGGTGTGTATTTGGTTTTTCCATACAAGTCTTTGTCACTAGCCCAGGCGATATTCTTGTTCGTCATCGGATACGTCTCATTGTCCGCGCTACTCTTTCTCGTATTGAGAAGGACAGGGCTAGCAAAGGTGTCGTTGAAGAGGGAGTTGGCAATCAATCCGCAAGGGTAGTATGCCTTGCCATTGTCCGCTAGTCTCAGGGGATTGCATGAACCGCCTTTAATGGTAGAATTTGAAACTGCATCTCCCTTCAATTGATTGTCGTCCAGAGACGCGACGTAGCGGCGGTGGTTTTGATAAAAGTTGGTAAGGCGGTAATAGAGGAACACCGGCGGTCCGATCGGATCAGGAAGATCGAAACGAACCGAGCAAACGGTCGTATCCACCTCGGCACCGGGACCGTAGTGCACAAGCGTCTGATCTCGCTTCCATTGCGGCTTGCTGATCGATGTGCTGTTGGGTGAGGATTTGAAGGAGTAGGAGTATAGGTCAGGCTCCATTGTGCTAAAATTGCCCATTGGTGCTTTCGGCCAGCAGTCGGAGTAGTCGAGAACAACTTCCTGCACCTATATGATTTACGCGCATAAGTCCCTGGGCAGAGAGAATATAGCTTGTGTGACGCTTCAACATAAGAAAGCCTCCGTCCTGAAGAACAAAAGGTAGATTCATCGGGCAATGCGGACGTACCTGTGAACTGGCCCATATTAAGAGACCTCCGATCGGCGCGAATATAATTCCCACTGCAAAGAAGAGCGGCAGGACAGTCTTGGGCGTCAATATTGGTCTGATTGCATGATAATTAGCGCTTCTATGCTCAAAGCATCCAATTACTTGAGGACACTCACTGCCATGCCTTCAGCCGCTGCTGCCGGAATGCGGTGTCTGTAATCGAGCTTTGTCAGCCGTTCATCCGGAAATATTCCTTCATTGCCTCTCATTCCATCCCATCATGTCCCAGATCGCATTGTCCCCAGATCGCGTCTTCGTGCGTTCCATGTCATTGATTCAACTTCGTCACATTGCCAAAGTTCCAATATCTCATCCCGGCTGCTGATGGGCAGGAAGGTGTACGAGGTGTATGGGGTATATCCTTACTTCCTGGTCTCCTGCTCTTTTGCTTTTTCTCGTCAACAAAGTGAGGGTCCTGTTCATGGATGGAGTCGGTGCGCACCGGCTCCGTCGTAGACATGGTGACGGCGCCACTAAACAAGATACGATGAACTGACGATTGCGACGGTGATGCTGCCTGGCTTGATGATGAATTCCGGCCTTGTCGTCGGTCGTCGGATGTCGGAATAATCCCTGGACAAGTTCCGATGCCCCCCGTTCCCAATTAGGAAACTTGAAATTGCCGCGCGGCCTACGCAGAATCACCACAATATAAACATCAAAGGGTTCATTATTCATAGAAGATTCACACTCAAAATACTGATTATTTTCAAATTAATTGGTCATGCTCGAGGAGAACTCTTGAATCAAATCAAGAAAGGCCCAGTCATCCGCTAGCTCGGTGTTTCTCGCTGGTCATAATTTCACGTCTTTTGCCGAAGCTTTGTCAACAATAAAACAATTCCCTAGTCTGAAAGATGGACCACGCGACATATCAAAACTCTCTAGTATAACAGCCTGATTGAGGAAAAGATTTCGTGGCGTCAAAGAACCTTATGAAGGTGCAAGGTATACAATTTATCCATGTCCCGAAAGCTCGAGAATACCGCCGTGGTGCAAATCAGGAGAGCCAGGTGCATTTCTCTTGGCACCACGATTGCAAGACGTGGAATGGAAAGGGCCCCTTGGGATCACTATTTGGAACTCCACAAATTTCGTTATTTCTGCCCGTGGAGGTTGGCGCCATCAACCCGCAAAGTTCGATCAATCCGCGCTGTGGTTCTGTGCAAAGTACGGGGTAAGCTCTGTGAAAAGGTCGAGTTTAGCTGTACTCCGTATGTGGATTCTGCCTTTGGTCATCAAATGGGAGTTGAACCGGTTTCTGCCGCTCGTGCTAGGCGCCGGCTCGGCTGCTTCATGAAGATGAAGCGATCCACTTTTGACCCGCAGATCATCATCGGTTGCAAAAAAGTGCGGGACAAGTTCTCCCCAATTCCTCAAAAAGAGACAAGGATTCAAGCCAAGCATCAATCTTGGTGTAAAAGTGGGGAACAAGTCGTAGTTGGCCTGAAAATCAGGAAATGATTCAACACGCTTTTCACCCCGTTATTGTTTTTCGCAAGTATCTGGATGCGAATTTTGGCAACAGGGTCGGTCAGTGCATACGTAGATAGAGTACCGCGATGCGACGACCTTTCTGGTGTCCAGGACTGCCCTCGAATTCGTTGGGCCGTACTCAAAGATCTGCAATAACAAGTCCGTCAATTGCAAGATGCAAATTAAGTTTCAATCAAGTAAGAGAAATTCTCGTCAACAAGGAATGACTTGAACACAATACTCAAGGATCAGTTAGCGGGCGGACAGTAATCAAGGGTGTCACAAGCGCTAATATTCCGATGATCAACCTCACTATAATTCGCATTCTCCAAGACATTTAACTCCGTACTGGCGGTCTGAATGAAACGACCTTGCGTTTCTCATCATGAAAAAGCCATCTCTCAGGAGATTCGCCTCAAATGGCCTAAACGTTAGCATTTTGAAGACCATCAATGCCCTCCAATTACCCTTTCCTCGTGTCTCAGTACTGGAAAATGCTCGTATATCTGTCACTCCCGGTGCGTGTCGGTCTTAATTATGGAAGCCCCCGTGGAGGAAAATTCGCCTAGCGTCGTCCTGAACCCTAAACTAAAAAATGGATGACCGGGGCATAGCTAAGGGTCCCCGGACAATGACGGTTGGGCATGCGGCTGACTTCAAACACGCTCGCCGAATGAATCAAGCGGTGCTCCGCAATGTGGGGCCCTGTAGTGAGAAGGTGGACTGTGGTAGACGACATTCAGGGAGGCAGTTCCCTGATAGTCTATACTATACAAGCTTTGCTCGGCGCAATAATAACCCCATTTCTCTGCACGTCAGCCGCAGCGCGGCACAAACTCAATTGTTCGAGACCGAAAAAAATTCCCGTCCAAGGTCAAGATCCCAGAAAGATCGGGACGAAAAGGAAGCGGCACAGCGAAGACGGAAGTGACACGGAGTGCACCCTGCTGTATCTCTTCTTGGACGTGATTCTGACGCCCAGCGAGCTTTTTAAACTAGTAAAAGCCCTTTTCTGCGCACAATAATGCGCATCATTCAGCCCGCTGATCTTGACTCAAAACTGACTGTACCGGTGCTTATTACTGCTTATCGCTCAATTTCCTGAAACTTTTGCCCTGAGCTCTCACCACTTCACTGTTTCATAAAAATCTGTTTCTTTAATTGTCTCTTCGGTCGCTGGGCGAGAATGACGTGAAATTTGTAGCGAACTCCTGGCAATTCGTTATCCTATATCCCTTTTCCGTCGTATGGCGTCGCATTCATCCGTTTTTCGTCCTTTCGCGCCGTGTCATCGCTGCATGTCGCGCATGTGTGGTCATTTGCAATGGTCGGGTCGGCGGACTTTGTTTCCCGGTTTACCCGGCAGTCATGGGCTATGTACACTGTCGGCATGATCATTATTTCTCTGAGATGGTCGGTTCTGACTCTTTGGTTCTATTTGAATGGTCAAGAAATCTGGACTAAACAGCAGACATTAGGATTGCTCGAGTTCAGAGACTTGGATTCAAGGGGCTCCAAGCCGATGACTATTTAATGCTTCTTGTTGCGGTAGGTCTAGCTTTGCCCCTAGTTCTTGCATGAACTCAATTGTCAGGGAAAGAAAGTATTGACGTCTGTTGGCATCTAGGCGTGGTACACGACTCTTGTGACGTCTCTCAATGCCGTTAATCATGGCGGAGGCAGTAACTTGCTGCGTCCGGGGGAGGCTGCGCATCTGACCGCTCACGAAATTCAGGTCAAAATGAAAGGATCAAAGCTGGTAATTTTGTCAGAACAAGTCAGTAATCTACTCGTTGAATTGCTTGAGTAAAGAGACACAGAAATGATACTAACACAAATGCACGACAGGCTAACCTTAACGTCATGTATACGATCAAGGCTTGTATGCTCTTTCTATATCATAGATTAACGTAAGTTGCTTCTTTAGATATTACGGAGTACCGCATTTCTAACCTCCTCAAGGACTGGGTTGTGGCAGCAGCGGGCTGTTCAAGCTTTAGCAATCTATGTTGCATGCGGCTTCGTTGGATCAGAATTGGGATTCTTCTTCGCCTGTCGCCCATTTCATGATTACTGGGCGGTGCCACCAGCAGATCGTACGTACTTCTCTGAACCATATCAGCTTGTCCCCCGATACTGTTGCGATGAAGAAACCCAAGCTAGCGTCTGTGATCTTACCTTTCACAATGGCCATACTTACGTCTTCTAGCTCAATGTGCGACATTGCAACACTATGCCATCACTGAAGGCGTTTTTAATATTTCTTCCGACCTCCTCATGCTTGCGGTCGTATTACCGCTAGTATTCCGAGTGCGTGTGCCACCAAAGCAAAAATTTGTTCTTTGCATAGTATTTGGTCTAGGAATTTTCGTTGTACGTAACGCCGTTATGACCAGCTTTGCATCCGCTATTTCATCTACTCCAACATCATTAATGACTAACCGGGCAACTAGATTATCGCTGCGATACTCACCAAAGTTTTCAACTTCTCCGACGTTTACTCGCCCGACTATATGTTCTGGTACATCGTTCAGGCTAGCGTGGCGGTTTATGTCTCCAACCTCCCAATGGTCTGGGCATTCCTTCGCCAGCTCTTCCCTTTCTTGCGTTTCACCTCTTATTACCGTGGAGCCGGATACAAGTCCGGGGCATATCACTTAAGCAGCAATCCCAACAGTCGGACGAATAACAGCAGGCTTAAGCACGCAAAACTTGCGAACATGACCATCGGTGGCCATAAACGTTCCGGCGACGGTGATGATTATGACAATGAACTCGATGGCCGAGCGTTCCAAATGTCCAACTTCCATTCAAAGACAACTATAACCGGTGCGGCTGATAGGAACGGAGACGATGAATCATATGGAACGTCTAGCGAATGTGAAGCTAGACATGGTCAGATTCGAGGCCAGAGCAGTCGAGGAAACGATGGCTCAAGCATCATCAGCAGCAGCAGCCAGGAACGCATAAACGGCCCGAGTGAGAATGAGAATGTGGGCGTGAAGAAATGGCACTCGGCAAAAGCGGCCGACTCGAGCGTACATATTGGAGAAGAAGATCTTGGCCACCGCCTTGGTGACAGCGGGAGTAGCTGCCCATCAAGTATGAATGTGGACCTGGAGAAGGTTGGTCAGCCGCAACATCAAGGACCAGGGGATTATAGGGACCCTTTTGATGACAATCGACATGTTGATCGACATGGACAGGGCTTTTGATGAGCCGCGAGCTGCGCTACAACCATTTGACTCTTTGCATCATCAGGATGGAAATCAGCATAATGAGTTTCAAACCTACTTGACGAAAGTAATTGCGTTGGCTTTAGCATTTAACGTTAGATATTCAGTTTTTGCATTGTGGGATACAAATCTGGCGTGGTTAGAAATGGGCATGTTTTAGAGGATAGACGGTCGCCACAACTTCCCATTTTTCTTTGGCTTCTTATAGACTTAATATCTTTAATACCTAAGCGGGAATCAAGCCTCATCTCAGATCGGCTTTGAGTCGCGCACAAAGCTAGTATCGAATGTTCAAAACCGCGACGGATGATCAATCAAAATTTGACTGATGAAAAGGTATTTCGTAATGTGACGCAAGCTAGAAATGCTGTCATCTGCGCCACCCACCGCAATGCATTGTATTTAAAATCTCAATTTTGGTAGGCTATGATTTTGCTTATACGATACCCAGTGCATATTGAAAAGATAATTTCCCCGAACGAATACCGTTGACCTGATCCGACAATAATACAAGGCAAAAAATAATAAAGAAAGAAAAAGTGAGGGCTCATACCCCATTAATAAACGGAAAACCGTTGCGTTTGACCTGAATATATGCAGTCCTCCAGGTCCATCAATACAAGAGAACAGAAATCAAAATATTCCTGGCGACGAAAAGGATAAGTTAGCCCTAAAAAGGACTTCACCTCTTCCGTTTACGTCCCTTCTCTTCATCTTCAAGACCATTTTCTCTGTCTTTCTTCTTTGCCTTCTTCTCTAATTCGTCCCAGTCATCACCGCTTTCATCTTCGTCAAAGCTTCCTTCTTCGCTATCTTCGGCCGAGGCGTCCTCGTCGAACTCCGAATCCTCTTCGGAAGATTCGTCGGAGTTCATGAGCTCCTCATCAGAAATCTCAAACGCAGATTCCTCTTCCTCGGATTCGGCATCTTCAGAATCAGACTCAGCAGCAAGGAAAGACCAGCCACCGTCCACGAAGAATTGATGGGGATCCGCCACAACGGTCTTCATAATAGTACCCCAGTTAAGGTTGAGAGGACCCTCGGAGAAAGGAATGTTGACAGAGTCGAGCCACTCTTTGACGTTCTCAAGAGACTCGACGGGAATAGTGTTGATATGTACAGGAGGACGGTTAAAGTCCTTGAAAACGAGAACCATATCGAAGTTTTTGAGACCAAACTGCGGAACAAACATGTCAGTCAAAGAATAGTCAGATGTATGGAGAGAAGGGTGTAAAATGTACCTGAACACGCTCAAGGTGAGCAATTTCGAGCTCATCGAGGGTGACAACCAAAAATGGAGGCTCCGTCAGCTGCACCAAACAGTCGGTAGACGGCTGGCATAGCACATTGGCACGGTTAGGGACACCGTGGAAACCGAGCTCACGGAAAGGAATATCGACATCAACGCCGTCATTCCGACCAGCATCCGAGATCTTCTCTGCAAAGGCCTTGAACTCCCGGTCAAGAGCTGCTCGCCTTCTTCGTTCCTCCTGCTCAGCTTCAAATTCCTCCTCGTCACCGTACCGGTGTCTCCGCTTGCGGTTTCCGGTCTCGTCGAATTGCATTTCCGTCGCTTCACGATAGAATTGAACATCTTTGGTCTTCTTCTTGCCAATCATGATGGGGTTCTTGAGATGGACGTGGATGATAACGATAAGTTCGTGAGCGCAAGGTTGGAAGAAGAGGTGCTTGACATTGCTGAAAAGAATGTCGACCCGCTGATCCTGCCGTAGAGGGGATTGATATCGCAGACCGTTTTGATGAATCTCCACCTCTCCAGGAACTCGCTTGCCATCCATGGCAGGTCGAACAAAAACGTTGTCGAGTCTCTGGGGGCGACGATTTCGAATCTCAACGAGTTTATCCTGCTCCACAACGTCCTCCATCTCCTTCTTTTCCTGCTCTTTGCGCACCGCATTCTTTCTCAGTTCTGTGATATGCTGGGCAACTTGTTCAAGGTGTCCAGCCTCCTTGGATCGGAATGTCAGGCTTCGAACAAAGTGCGCAGAGGCGTCCTCGAAGGGCTGGTCGTCTTTCCGTCCAACACCCTGTCCAGGAGAAAGGAAATTGATCCGGAGATATGCGTATTCGCCTTCATCGTTTTTGCTCGCGTTCTTAATCGTATTAATGTGGAAAGGAACAGGGCGACCCATGATTGGCAGGACGACGGTCGAGTTCTTTTGATCGACTACAATCATGAGGTCTCGAACGCGCGTTGGGAACTGATTATCCCATCTGTAAGACTCGAATCGCTTGAACTTCTTCTGGGTCGATCCATCTTGGTCTCCAGTTGCTTCGCTATAGCGCTCAAGACCCGCTTGCTGCTTCTTCTGGTGCAATTCTTTCTGATGTCCACGACGGCGGGCCTCGGCACCCTCGTCGACTTGGGTCGTCCGCTCAGCCCTTAACTTGGTCTTGGTGATATTTTGGGCGGCAATAGCGCCAGCGCGAGGGTCCTTCTTTTCCTTGGGTTTGGGAGCTGGCTCCTCATCCTCCTCCTTGAAAAAGAACGAGGTAGACTCCAAATCAGAAGGAGCGTCCTTTGTGAAGACAACTGGCTCTGCTCTCGTAACACGCACGGTATCCGACACCACCAACGAATAGACTGAACTGTTCTTATCTTGCGGCTGAGGGTTCTGCAGATCGTTAAGTCCAACAGTGACATAGAGAGTCATACCGTCCTTCAAAGTACGGGTATTCTTCGCATTGAGTACCATGGTGTTGTCTCTCGTCTCGATACCAATTCCTGCACCGACATTTTTGACGAAGTGCTTCTCGAGCTCTGGCTTCTTAGACTTTAAGAAGTTTAGAGCCTTGCTGTAGATGTCCTTGGCAACGGCACCTTCCCGAATTTCGCGAAGGACTACTTCATGGACTGCGAGTAGGGTCTTGTAGTTGTTCTCCTGCGACTTATTTGGGTCGACAAGGTATGTTCGCGCAATAATTGAGCAATATGTCCGATATCTCAATCCAAAGGCAGAGATGATAATTCCAGCATGCAAATTCTTATTGTCGGACATGGCGCCGACTTTGAGGTCATAATGTCCGCCACTCTGGACGACAGGCACCCACGCCCAATCCAGCTGCTGGGGATCAAAATCCGAGGAGAGCTTCGGTAATTTTGCAAAGAACTTGGGGTCGTCAATCTTGTTGTCGACCTTTCGACTTAGCGCCTCATGGGTCATCTTCTTCTCCTCATCCAAAATCTCCGACATTTCCTCCACAAAATAGGATGTCATCAGACCGGTGCAGGCTCTTGAAGCATTTCTCATAGCGCGCTAAAAAAAAAAAAAGGTTAGACACCGAAAAAGGCTAAAAGGGGGGAGGCAAATTGTAACGCCGTACCAGTTCATTTTCATCCTTGATTGAGAATGCAGCTGCAGATAGGGCTGGAGCGATATCAAACTCTGTGACATCTTTGGAGATATCACCATAAGCACGTTTCCATTCTTCCACGAACGGTCCGGTCGCAACATCCTTTGTCAAGATACCGACTTTATTCTGCATTCTCTATCAGCAGCGGGCTTAGAATAGGTCACGGCGGCGCAACTTACACCTGAGTCCTTGATGATTTGGACACAGCGCTCAAATAGCTTGGTATTTTGTTCCGGGTCCTTGCCTCTTATTAAAAGCTCAACGGGAATTTTGCCACTCTTTAAAGGCTCCAAATGCTTGGCTGTAAAGCGGCAATGTCAATCAAAACTTGTTCTCCAATTCATGATCTCATGATCGGTAGATTGCGCACCTTTCTTTGCCGTGGTGACAATGTAGAGTGTCTCGGGAGTAAAAAGAAGGAGCGTGGCAGGAAATTCGTAGCCCAAGAGCCAAAACTGCAGATATGAAAAGTGCTTGATTAGTCCGCTGATTTTCGAGAGAGGGAAGTTTTGAAGATAGAAATCGCACGAGAACAGGTTGTAAGATATGATCGCACAACGTACATGCATAGCATTGTTCTTCTGAAAGGAGCTTGATTCCTCAGTCTTGCCAACAATAACGACAATCGACCCTACGCCGCCGAACAACGCGTCGCCGGAGCGCTTATCGGCCTTCCATGCCGAGACGAGGTGAGACAGGCGGTCATGGAAGGTGTCCTTGTCAATTTTGATCTCATCCGCCATGATCGCCGAATATCGCTGGGGCCGTCAAGGGAGCGAAATCAGGCCTTGGTGAAGGAAGAGATGGCGGACGAAGCAGGTGAAACTCAAGAAAACGAGAGCTTTGGACAAGTTCGTGCACAAGCGCGTCTGAGGTAATGAAGTGCTTCTGCCCGTATTCGGTCTAGCGCCAATGGCAAGTCCCGTCGCGCATTATCTGCATAATCGATTAGGGACTATGCATAAGCCTGCATAAAACATATCAAATGCTCACTTTGAGGTCTCAAATCCAATGTTCATGTGAGTCTCAACTAGCTGCTCAGCTGCAGTTTCCCGTGAGTTACCCCTACTGAACCCGTGAACAATATACAAGTCTGGAATTGCTCACAGAAGACTTTCTCAGAAATAAGACATACAACCTTGACGACACGCTCAGAGGCTTCTCACGACATAGTAGCTCTGATGTTGTTGCAACTTTCGAAAAACCCTCAGTTCAGACGATGACCACGCCCCTCGATGTGGACCCGACAGACTTCCTCAGAATTACGCCGGTAGTCGAGCAGGATGAAGATGGTCAGCCAAAGCATCCTCAGAAGAAGCATGCTGCCACTGGCGCGTCAGCGGCAGGAATACGAGCATTCAGCGCACAATTCCTATCATTTTATTTCCGTGCGCCGGTGAAAGCGTTCTTCCCTACGCGGGTTGAGTAAGCACTCCTAATCTCGCTTTTTCTCATGATTCATAGACTAATTTTTACTTCATTAATAGTTACATGGTATGCGATGTCCCAAGGTCCCATGCGGACGTCCATGGCACTCCAAAATTGTCTACTGCACCTCACTTACTTTCTCCCAAAGGCATTTGCCCGAGCCATTAATCCTAGAGTCCGCGCAAAAGAACGCTGGTCATGGCGCATGACCACGCCGGGCCTGCTTGCCCATGCAGTAAAATACCACGGCTGGAGCTTCATTCCAAACCAGGTTCTCCCGCCATTAATTGCGAACGTCAGGTGAGCTGTTACCTATTCGCTCACATACATGAAAGGCTATAGGCCGCATTGCTCACCACTTTCTTCTTCTTTGCATATAGCGTCGGAACCATTCTCTACACAGGTTATCTCCAAACCCTCGCGCACTACCACGAGCCGTCAGCGCATTCAAGTAAACGACCGTACCCCCCGCCTCCACCGGCTGCCACATTTGCAGCTGGCTTCACAGCAGGCACCATTCAATCACTTGTCGCAGCGCCACTAGACGCGCTGCAAGTGCGCTTCAATGTCAGCGATATGCTTGAAGGCCATTACAAAAGCATGTGGGAGTACGGGCGGCACAAGCTCCAGGAAATCGGTCTGCGCGGTGTATTCGCCGGCTGGACACTCTCCTTCCTCAAGGACGCGCTTGGAGCCGCAGTCTTCTTTAGCACATTCGAATACGTCAAGCAGCAAGCATACTATGGTTTTGTTACACAATACTACGGTTCCTTCCAGCCACCGCATCCTTTTCTCTCTCCTCCCACAGGAGGCGACGGGTCATCTACTTTCTCCACATCTCCGTCCTCATCTCCTTTTAGACAACCCACCGCTCCCTCGCTTTCATCACCATCGCCATCTTCGCCATCTTCTCCATCTGTAGATAACCCTACCTTCACGCAGGTAGACGCCGCGGCAATCCCAGGCGTACCCAGTCCAACTCCACATCTCACGGACACCAACGTCCCCGCAACCCCCGGAATCCCCTCACCGTCCTCCTCATCCGAATCTCCCGATCCATTCGTCATCCCTGACGGACCAGGCGATACGGCGTTTCTCCCAGCCATTTTACCAGCCGATTACCCTACTCCTCGGCCCACCATCAAGCCGCATTTCACTTTAGAACCCGCCTTTCTTCTTTTAGCGGGCATATCCGCAGCCATTGCACAACAAATCATTCAGCACCCACTCACACTCATCCAAAACATACACTACGAGCGCCTCGAAGCCCTCGATTACCAGACCCGCCTCGAGCACACCACTGGCGGTGTGATGAAACGGTACTATCACGCCTACGAGAAAACATTTGAACAATGCCAGCGCGAGGCTCGACGCGCAGGAGGTTGGCGCACGTGGTTGTACAAGGGCTTCTTCTTCTGCGCAATGCGTCAGGTGCCGAGTACGAGTGCAGGCCTGATTGTGTTTGAGCTCGTGCGCAGAAAGTACGGAACTCAGGCAGAGGCCGCGAAGATCGAAAAGGATGGGTACGATATCTTGTTGTCGTGACAGTGCTGTGATACAATGTACTGCTCCTGCTCTCATCACTTCAGATTCATGGACCGGCGTTATATAGACAGGGCGCAATTTTTTTTTTTTTTTTTTTCAGCTTCATATCTTATATTTTATCCTTGGGGGCCTTAACTTTTACTGTCTTGCTCTATTCGCCACTTTTTCTTTTCTTCTTCTTGTTCTCTTTCTCATTGCATTCTGTTTTTCTATCTCTCTTCATTCCCCATCTCCCATTCTCTTCAGCTGAATTTAGGAATGTCTGCATAACGTTGGCGAGGAATGGGGGAGATTTAGATCGAGCATCTGTATATTAACCTAGCACACCAAGATACTACCCTGCTTAAAGATCCTCACCTTATACCATTGTAAGATAGAGAATTACTGGATTAACAGCTTTTTAAAACCACTCAACTTGATGTTATGGTCGAACTATACAATCACCGTATCATATGTAGAATTGGCATTATATTTCTTAAGCACAGAATGTCCTAGTAAAAGCAATCGACTTAGACCTATGGCTTTCAGGGCGCTACTACGCTAGACCTTTCAATGCGGACAAATACGCGCAGGCCCAACTGTCCCAAAAATAGAGGGCAGGGGATTTTATTGTCTTCAAAATATGGCTCATGGTATTTTGCGAAGAACTCAACTCAAAGGGCTCCAAATGGAAGGCCAATGGGAGAAAAAGATGTGATGTAAAAGTAAATGTTGAAATTTTTATTTCGCTCCATAAATGATTTTTCTATCTCAAACAGCCAACTGCCTTACATATCTACTTTCCCAAGAAAAAGGAGTAGCGACGCAACCACAGGATATGCGTCTAAGCATGGGTAGTGCAAAAATAAACCGCCGGCAGGCTGAACACTTGCACGCTTAGGGGGTCTGAGAACCAAAAATAGCAAATTATGATCTTTGCCTTACTTGACCGCCCCTTCAACTTCCCTTTCTGTCGCCCCCTTCCCATTTCTCTTACTCAGATGAATCCACTGTACAGATGACAACTGCGCTGTAATTGTTCACTGCCTTTTCCCATCTGGCTTTCCTGCAACCTACGGAGTGTCCGTCCCGTAATGATACCCACATCCCGCATCATCAGACCAAGGAAACATAAAAAGATGTAAACAAGGATGACTTTTGTTAGTGTGGAAAAGCCGTCCCACGGTCAAAGGGTCGTGACGCCATGACACATAATATGCATGCTCAGAAAGAAACACATTGAAAAATAGACAAGAGAAACAAAGACCGAGAGGTGACGTTGTGCGTTTCTCTTGTGAAAGAAAAAGAATATATCAAGGAAGAGTTGTGGCCGAGGATGACAGCTGCGCTCATGCAAGTGATTCGATGACCTTCGCTGCGCGGGCTCGAATTCCTTCAATTCGGAGCGCAAGAACACGGATGGCGAAAAAAGCCTGTCGTACAGCCATCTCAATAGCTCTGAAATCCGTATGAGGAAGAAGAATATCAGGGGAATGTTAAATGATTGCAGGTGATTTTTGAGCAGTTAAAAGATTGAAAGAGGGCTTATGTGAGAACAGTTTGAACAGTTTTAGATTCGCTGGTAGAAGAGGATGTATGCAACCTTGTTGTCCTTGACCGAGAACCTGTCGTTGGTCGATTTCTTCGAAGCGGACGTAGGAGTAGAGGTACCATTAGCAGAGTTTGACTTTTTATTACCAGGAGACATGCCGGTGCTGGTGCCGTTTACTTGACTCCAGCCCTCATCAGCGCCATCATCAGAACCAAGAATTTGCTGGTAGAAATTGTCGCTGGTAGCGCCATCGCGTTTGTGGTTTTCAAGTGCAGCGGCGAGTACTTTAGGATCCTCTTCACTACCGCCCTCGGCAACATCCTCGCTGCGCAGCCGTCGAATGACGGTGTCGTCGAGGCGAATCCATTCTCGGCCATCCTGACGTCGGACGTCAACAGTGTAGTGGCCACCGCTGGCGTTCTTCCCATGGTGATAGACAACTCCAATCAGCCTGTACTTGGGAAGGCCGCCGTGGCTCATCATAGCCCCGCGTTTATTAGGCGGGAAGACCTCCTTGGGGATCTCAAGCTCCAACGGATACCCGACCTTCTTCCAAATTTTCTGGGTTCCTCCAGTATTGTCATATTGAAAACGCTTCAGATGCAGGATTAATACTGGAGGCATAGTTTCAATGAACACTTGCTTAGTTGCCGTGACATCTGGCCCGCGCGGCGACCCAAAATCGCCATGGAGAGCCTCGGAATGAGTCAAACCCTTGAGTGCGTCGGTAATGTTGCTGACTTGCGGAGAACCAATGTCAAGCTGAAGAGGCTGATACGGCTCCAGGGTTACGGAAGTCTTCAAGCCAGGAACACGGAGTTCAGACCGTAATTGACCACCGAAAATCTTGTTAACAGGCGAATCGAGGCCAGTCATGCCAGATGAACGAGTCACTGCCGATTTCTGCTTCGGCCCGACTTCCAGCCAGCCATCGTCAGCTGTGGAGCCTGGTCCGCCAAAAGAGTCACTGGTAGGCGAATTGACACTCTCTGCGGGTGTCGAAATGCCAGAAGGAGCGGTCGAGGCTGTTGCTTTCATGACGTTGATGCATTCATCATGAAGGCCTTCGAGAAGGAATCCTAAGAACTCCTCGGCATCTTGTTGGTGGCCACGCTTGCGGGTGTCAGCTTATTCAGCAAGTGCAATAATCGAAAGGCAGAAACTTACTCTCATTGATGAGAATCTTGGCAAGCCATTGATGGTTTCATAGAAAAAATGAGGAATAAATGCTTCGCCATATTGCTCAATCTCCGGGCCTTTTAGGCGCAGCTTGAGCTGCTCAGATGTCGGCGCCGAATCGAGGACCGTAAACTCACGCATGAACATTATCCTAAATTGTGGGTCAGAAAGTTTTGGTCATATAGCGGCGAAAATAGTGTAAACTTACATGGCGTCAATAAGAGGAGTATCGCTCTTGAAACTGTAGGCAGAACGTTTGCCCATCAGGTCGAGAAAACTATAAAAAGGAATGCAGAAAAGCAAGATTTGAAGAACCTTGGACGTATGTTAGGAGAAACAATCCTTTAAAAGACGGCGTCGGCTTGACTTACAGAATTCATATAGCACATATTACCAGTATTTACAAGACCTCGAGGCTCGACGAACTGAATTCTGGATTCCCTTACTACGGACTCAACATTGAAAGAATGCAGCGCTTCGCCAAGGGAGCCAGCTCTTGCAGCGCTAAAGCCGTTTGTTTGAATGGCGCCATTGAGGGGAGTCGCACTCGCGGATGGAGCGTTGGCGGCGATTGATTTGTTGCGAACAAGATCCGCCCAAGATTTGGGAGCAGCCTTTGGAGGCGTCGGCGATGCTACAGACGGCTCAGGAGACTTTTCGGTCACTTCCGCCTTCTCCTTGCTAGACTCCAAACTCTCCTCAACGCCGGTTGGGTGGGTAAGCGCAGGAGATGGCTGATCAGCGCTTACAGGGGCGGCTTGGTTGGCTTTTGGCAGTGCAGGTTTCGATTGGGATGCAGTTTGAGGCGTAGCAGGAACCAGAGGGACAACTGGGACGGCCGTCTTGGTGGTTTCGCGCTTGTGTGTCGGTTGGGCCTTGGCCGATGACGCGGTATCCGAAAGCTGGGTTGAAGGCCGACGGTTTGTCGCCTGTTCCGGAGTGTTTTCTGTGTGAATAAGAGGGGCATGAGATGCAGTGGCCGCAGATTCGGTAACATTATCTGCGAGCGAAGCTTGGGACTTTGATTCTTCTGGTCCCTCCCGAGACGGTAGCTCCAATGATGCAGCGGACTGGGAGACAGTTCTACGCTTTCTTCGACGCCTTGGAGCCCTTGAGGGAAATGGCTGGTCAGGGACCGAATACCACGGCAACTGATTCCTTTAGCTGTAGTCAAGAAATATTGGCACTTTATACATACCGAAGGGTAAAACGGTATCCGTCGCGCTGGCGGGGAAGGAGGTCGGGCGAATGATGCGAAAGGGGCGTTGGGAGGAGGGGTCGGGACGTTGACGGACGTGGTCGAAGTGGAAGGCGATGGCATAGGCTGAGGTTGCGCCAGAACAGATGGGTGCGGTTGAGGCGATGGATGGCTCAGTGGAGCAATAGGCTGAGCGTGAGGGTAGGACGAGACGACCATAGGCGGAGGTTGGCTGTACTGCCGCGGAGGCGGCATGTGCATATGTTGGTAAGGTGAATACCACTGCTGCCGTTGAGGCGAATGCGCGTGTGGATGAAAGTGCTGGTAGTGATAGCTGGCATAAGGCGAGGGCATAGGAGCATGACTAGCCGGAGAGAAGGGCATGTCATTGTGCCCTCTGCGAGGGTGGAAAGGCATGGCAGAGAGCCCATGGGGCGCCGCCGGCAGATGAGGGTTCATCATGCCGGCCGAGAGGTTTCTCTAACGCGCCTTCACAGCTCGGCCTGCTCTGGATGCTGAAGGAACCCAGGCGGCCGACTGTGAGGCAAGTGTGGTAAGAGGATAATCGGCAGAAGAGTAGCGGCGGCCAGGGTTGCAACCTGCTGCGTCTAAAACACCTCCAGCAGCGAACAGCTCAGGGGTTGAGCTTCAAGGTTGCAATGAACAGACGCGAAAAAAATGAAGGGGAAGCAAAATATGATGGGTGTGGGTGAAGGTGAATTGAAGGTGGAGGATAAATGATTATTTCTTTTTGTGATGGTGAGAGGCAAGTTAGTAGTTAGTCGGTGGTAGCTCTGATGGCGATCAATCATAACTTGCGCATAAAAATTATTTGTGCAAACGCGCATAACATGTCGTCAGAGAGGCTGGATGACATAATCATAGCCTTTGCACAACGTGCAAGGTGCACAATTACCCGATTGGTGCAATTATGCTTTCTCTCTGGCCCCCCGCCACCACCATCACCAACGAGGTACTGTACCTCAAACATCCCTCCATCTTGCTCGTCCATCCTTTCTCCTCTGTGTCATCCCCAAGCTGTCACCCTTGGGGGACACTTCAGTACTTCACATTCTCCTTAAGGCATCTTGTCTACTAATATTGTTTACGCTGTTTGTATCGATTTCTCCACTCTGTATCAGCAAGCATCCTCCGCCCAGGTTAAGCTAGACCCAACGCGAGGTCTGAGACCCGACAAGCTACCTAGGTGCACTCCGAAAGCCGTTTCACGTCATGTCTAATCAGTCTCCCGCTCTCTCCTCATCAAAGATCTCCAATACTCCTCCACAGATTTCGATACCAGCGCAGTCCCACGTCGGTCCTCCAGGCGGTGCTGAGAACTACTCCCAACGTCGTGGCGGCGGATCTTCAAGCTTTGGAGGGGGGTCTGCGTTCAAGGGTAACTCGCCTTCGGCCAGAAGCAACCAATCTCAACGAAAGCAGCACAAATCCTCGAAGAAGCCTAGGCTTGCTACAGAGGATGCCATTGCGGAAGCTGTAAGCTCCCAAGTCAAAGCCCTGATTCGGATATGGCCCGCTTTTGCAATTACAGCACTAATGACACCATGTGTTCCAGGTCGCCATGAGGTCTACGAATAGTCGCAAAGGACAAACGTCCATTACGCATCTGATGAACTTCTCCCTCCCACCGAGGCCTCCGAGTCATTATAGCCACGCTCATGGTCGTCCTGTGCGAAGAAATCCAACCTGGGGGCTTGGCTCTGGATACCATGCTGTCGATAAAGCGAGGTAATGCGCGTCTGATATGGACTTTTCGAGACATCGTATTAAGTGTGTAACAGATATGTTCATGCAAACTACCGATTCATCGTAAAACCCAATGGCGATTACCGAGCGCAAGCTGTCGATGCGGATATTCATCTCGACTGGAGCTCTGTGCTCCAAGTTCTCGCCTCCGCTTTGTCTCAGTCTGCTGCATGTCCGATATGTTTGTCTGAACCAGTAGCACCGCGCATGGCCCGTTGTGGTCATATATTTTGCCTTCCATGCCTCCTGAGGTATATGCATTCGACGGACGGCACAAAACCTGTGCCTGAAAAGAAATCCCGCTCGCAAAAATGTCCTATTTGCTACGACACTGTTTATATGGCGGAGACTCGGCCAGTCCGCTGGTTCATTGGGCAAGAGGGAGAGCCGCCTCACGAAGGTGCGGATGTGGTTTTGCGCCTTGTGATGAGGCAGCCGGGAAGCACTCTTGCGCTTCCCCGCGATGGCGGAGATGTGTTGGAAGACAAAGGAGATATTCCGTGGCACTTTGCTGCCGAAGTGGCAGACTATGCACGGGTCATGAAGGGCGGGGAGAGTTATATGTTGTCGCAGTATGACGAGGAGATTGAGGCTCTCCGTCGGCAGGAACACGAGGATGAATTAATGTTTGGCGAAGGTGGCGAGTGGACCCGCAAGGCTGTAAATGCCATCAATGCAGCAAAGGAAGTTATCCGTGGAATCGGGGACCCTCCAGAAATGCCCGATCATCCGGTGGAGAAGAAGTCCAAGAGACTGCCGATTGATTTGCTCACCGACGAATCCGAAGTCCCAGAAATGTATCTGATTGATCATGCCCGACGTTCCGGTCAAAGTTCTAGCGCTGAATCCTCAACACCTACCTCTACGATTCCTGAACCGTCAGAGGCACCCCACGGGCCTCCACCGGTGCTGAACCACTCTGGCTCTCGCGAGGCGCCTGATCAGGAACAAGCCGCCGCGGCAGCTCCCACGCACCCTCCGCACAAGCATGGGGAGCACGGTCATCACCCAGATTCGCCATACTATTTTTATCAAGCTCTGCTTCACTACTACCTCTCTCCTCTTGATATTCGAATCCTGAAGGCCGCATTTGGTACCTTCTCTGCATTTCCCAGCGCTTTGCTTCCGCGCGTGGAGCGGGTCTCCACTGGTCACACAATTGATGACGAGCTCCGAAAACGTACAAAATACCTTGCCCATCTGCCTTATGGATGTGAGATTGGCTTCTTGGAATGCGATTGGACAGATATTGTCCCTCCGGAAATACTGGACAAGTTTAAGCCAGACCTTGATCGGCGGCGGAAACGTAACCAAGACAAACAAGTTAAGGAAGAGCGAGATCGCCTTCGCGCTGAGAAACAGGAGGACAAACGCTGGGCGGCTGCTGGGCACCGGCCATTTAGTCTCCCTCGCGAAAGTTTCTCCGAGGAAGATTTCCAACCCCTCACGGCCGGTGATTTTGCGCCGTCTTCGGCAGATATTGTCAGCACTTCGTCATCCCCGCCATGGCCGTCTTCGCGCAGTCATCAAGGATCTGCTTTTGCATCTCTGGCTTCTCCTTCAACCAGTCCCACTACTCCTCGAACCGTATGGGGTACAACGGCTATTGCGCCTGCCTCACCTACACTGCACCCTCGTGACAGTGAGCTGCATGACGACGGGTGGCTTCAGGGATGGGAGAAGGATCTGTTGCACGAAGATGAGCTGATTGCTCAGGTCGAGGCTGCTTCACTTGGGGAAGAGGCCAAGGGCGGTGGCAATGCTAACAAGAAAAAGAAGAAAGGGAAGAAGATTACTCTAATGAGTACCAATGCGCGGAGAGGAGCATGACTTGTTGTCAAATGCCCTTTCTTCATTTATCCTTGCGTCTATGATTGATTTTAGCTACCGTCGAAACTCGAGCTTGGGCATAGCGATCTGATTTTCTTTTTTTGTGAAGGAGTCTTTTGGGGCTCGCGCATTTCTTCCTTGGCGTGAAGATTTTATTTCTGTTTACATGAATATTCAGCATACCTGCCTTTTGGCGCATTGAGGGGGACAGGAAGGTTTATATGGCAAGGAAGCTCGACGAAGACTCGGCTTCAGCCTGCAATACTCTTGTACCAATTGGGTACCAGGCACCTCGCACCAGATATATATGACGTTGTCAATCATAAAAATGTCGGATACGAAGAAAATAAAATTACATGATTAATGAATGATAAATAAAGTTTCGTGGTGATGATGATGATGATGATGATGAGAATGGTGATGCTGCCATACCCGCAGAGAGACAAAGGCATGTGGCTGGACCATCCAATCAAATGTTTGTTGTTCCTGGAGGACGAGCCCATGACCGAAAGGGGAAAGTGTTGTTCATTTTGAAAACCCTCGGTGTTCGTCGGCCCCTCGCTCCGTAGCTAAAGAGGTCGCAATTGATCAAAGTAGCCCGACAGGTCTAAACACCCCAACCCCAATAATAATCTCCCCCAATAATTATTTTTATTTCTTATTTCACTCTCTGAGGTGACAGGCTTCACCTATCTCTGGGCGAGACAAGTTATTCGAGATAGCACACTGGCTCTCTCGTATATTTTTGATCTCAATTCCGGACAAGCCTCGATTGCGAATAGTTGATCAATTTCGCATGGTACCCGGCTGAGAGAAGCATTAAAAGTCTCCACGTGCCATTAATTACTCTCAACCCGAAATGACCGTCACACGCTCGCAGTCGGGCACTCTGCCCAAGTAAGTGTCCTTCTTGTTCTGTCTGTAGCCTTTTTAACGTCCTGGTAATTGACTTTTAAAATTGCAGAAAGGTTGAGTACCCCGATTTTGTCGAAACTCCCTCGAGACGCAGAGCAAATGGCACGCCGTCAAGACGCGCAACCAGCAAGACTCCTGGCCTTGATGACAGCCCATCCGTAAAACGCGCAACTGCTAGGGCGGCTCGGGACATTTCTCCCACGATCAAGCAGGAAGATGTCGAGACCCGGACCCTGTCCCAGACCAAGGAAGGCGTTGAGACAACGACTTCAGAAACCCAGACCGAGAAGCCGACTCAACCCAAAGTGACCGATGGATGGGCTGAAGGGATGGATCCCAAGGTCGATTACAGCGGCCACTTTGAGTTTGGTGGCTCGTGGGGGGTTACTGCCATGATGCTTGGCTTCCCCTGTTTGATGTGGTATATGTGGATCGGCGCTACATTTTATGACGGTCACTTGCCATTGCCCCAGGACGGGCAAACTTTTGTCGAATTTCTCAAACATCTCGGTCATCTCGTGTACGAGGGCGCATTTCCGACAGCCAAGGCGTGGGTCATGTACTGGACTTTCTTCATCTTTGAAGGAGCCTGCTATCTGCTCCTTCCTGGTGTCTGGACTAAGGGCAAGCCTCTGCCACACGAGGGAGGCAAGCAACTTCCTTACTACTGCTCTGGCATGTGGTCGTGGTACACGACCATTGTCGTCGCCCTTGTGCTCCACGTGACTGGGCTCTTCAAGCTGTACACCATCATTGACGAGTTTGGTCCGCTCATGTCGGTCGCGATTCTCACGGGCTTCTTAGTCTCGTTTGTTGCTTACTTTTCTGCCCTTTTCCGCGGTGCTCAGCATCGCATGACGGGTTATCCCATTTATGACTTCTTCATGGGCGCCGAGCTGAATCCGCGCATGTTTGGCATTCTGGATTTCAAGATGTTCTTCGAGGTCCGTCTGCCATGGTTCATCCTCTTCTTGGTCTCTCTGGGCGCGGCGGCCCGTCAGTATGAGCTGTATGGCTACGTCTCTGGGGAGGTTGGTTTCCTGCTCATGGCTCACTTTTTGTATGCCAATGCCTGCTCGAAGGGTGAGGAGCTTATTGTCACCACCTGGTATGTCTGCCACACTTGTTCTAAAACTGGGTATATAGTATTAACATTTGGTTTTTAGGGACATGTATTACGAGAAGTGGGGCTTTATGCTGATCTTCTGGAACTTGGCGGGTGTGCCCTTGAGCTATTGCCACTGCACCATCTACCTTGCCAATCACCACCCCTCAGAATACCACTGGAACCGCGTCTTCCTTGTTGGCCTTTATGCCATGTACCTTTTCGTCTACTGGGTTTGGGACACCACCAACAGTCAGAAGAACCAGTTCCGTCACCAAGAGCGCGGCACTCTGATGAACCGAAAGACCTTCCCTCAGCTGCCTTACCGTCGCATTGAGAATCCCAAGACCATCAAGACAGCGACTGGTGATTCGATTCTCGTTGACGGCTGGTGTAAGTATTACTTTTTCTCCCCGCAACAAATGCATATCGTTTAGACGTTCAAGATTGCTGACTGTTGGGAAAATAGATGGCAAGGCGCGCAAAGTTCATTATAGCTGCGACCTGTTCTTCGCTCTCACCTGGGGTCTCATTACTGGATTCAACAGCCCCTTCCCGTGGTTTTATCCTCTCTTCTTCGCCGTCATGATTATTCACCGTGCTACTCGTGACATTCAACGCTGCGAGGCCAAGTACGGCGAGGCTTGGCAAGAGTACAAACGACAGGTGCCTTACCTGTTCATCCCCGTAAGTCCTTTGCATCGCAGTGTTTGGTTAAATTTAAACTGACATTTACCTTTACAGTATGTCTTTTAGATTAGTTGAACCATCTTGTTCGACTTTCAAGACCCAGCTGCACGGAAGAAAAAAGCAAGCCTATGGATAGAGATTTGCCGCCACCTAACAGAAATCGTCCCAACTGACTCGTACGGTACAAATTTGTACATAATGTGCAATCATCCAAGCCAAGCAAGCATCACGCTAGAAGGGCCAAAAAAGCAATATACGATATACGATTTCAGACGCTCAACCCATCTCTTTTGGACCAAGAGTGATAAAGAGAAGCAAGGAAAAGTTAGCATAGAGATGTTCAATTCATATACTAAAAGATACTTTATTTTTAATACCAGCATTCTTGGATTTTTTTTCTTGCCTTTTTTTTTTTCTGTATCATATTGTTGCACATCCCAGTTACGCATCGGAAATTTAAAGACTAATCTAATAGTGGGATGATCCGTTATTCATTCTCTTTATGTATTGCGCAAGCTGATGAAGTTTTCAACTGCATTCCATTTTTTCATGCAACATTCAAATTTATTAATGTCACCTAATGTCCAGAAATAAATGCTGACTGTAAGATAGAAGTGCCACGTTATGCTGAGTTGTGTAGCAATGCATGAATCAACTTAGTTATAAGCAGGGATTTCTTATCGATAAGGTGACCCACACCATTACAACATCCAACCACAACGTCATACCCCGGACACCCAACAACAGAGTACGATGCTATGATTTATTGCCAGACCACCATCCTTTCACTTTCAAATTTCATCCTGAAACACATACCTTATACCAGTTCAGTCATAAGAGAAAAGGTCATAAAGTGGGACGAGAAGGATCACAACTAAAATAATCACGCAATTGGCAATTGATACTCAGCATCTTACCACCGTTCCTCATAAAATACACGACAAATCATAATCATGAAGCTAGATTCCGCAATTGTCAAGGCCCTGAGCCTCGATCCAGCCGTCATATCTGTGGCCTCGCACGGCGGATCCGGATTCTCAAGCACATCCAAGGTTTCCACAACAGTGACAAGCCCCGAGGGAAAGGAGGAGAAGCGCAACTTTTTCGTCAAGACAGGCAAGGGAAGAGACGCCGAGATTATGTTTGAAGGTAATATACACCAATAAAACTGTTTCAATCTGTCGTTCAATTCTCACCTTACTGACGCCGTTCTATAATAGGAGAACACACTTCCCTCAACGCCATCCACGACGCAGTTCCCAGCCTATGCCCTGCCTCTCTCGCATGGGGCAAACTCTCCGACTCTCCCGGCGGTGCATTTCTGGTCACCGAATTCCTTGACCTAGGAGGCGGCAGCATCTTCAGCCCCTCTTCATCCTCATCATCGTCAGAAGGATCGGGAATGTCTCTCGCGCAAAAGCTCGCAAAGCTACATACTACCCCCGCGCCTCCACCGCACGACGGATCGTCTGACAAACCCATGTTTGGTTTCCCCGCAACCACATGCTGCGGCGACACGGCGCAGCCCAATGACTACAAGGCCAGCTGGGCAGAATTCTACGCTGAGAACAGGCTACGCTTCATTCTGCGCCAGAGCGAGAGCACAAACGGCGCAGATGACGAACTCCGCTCGCTCGTCAAAAAGACTGCAGATGTCGTCGTGCCGAGATTGATTGGAGACGAAGTACTGAATAATGGAAAAGGCGTCACCCCCGTGGTCACACACGGCGATCTTTGGTCCGGTAACAAGTCCCGCGGAACCATTGGAGGTCGGCCGGGCGTCGAGGATGTCGTGTTTGATCCGAGTGCGTGCTATGCTCACGGCGAGTTTGATCATGGTATCATGAGCATGTTTGGTGGGTTTGGAAAGTCGTTTTGGGATGAGTACCATCGCTATTGCCCAAAGACGGAACCACAGGACCAGTGGGAAGACCGAGTGGCTCTGTATGAATTGTATGTTCCTTTTCCCTTTTTCATTCCCATCTCTGTCTCCCCTTTCTCCATGACATCCCTCTTCCATCCGGCCGGCAGATGGTTTGAGTTTTAATGTCCTCGATATTTCAGTTGAATCTGAAAAATTATAAAGAGATGAGATGGCTAACGTGACATCTTTCGACTCACAGATATCACCACCTCAACCACCATGCCATTTTCGGCGGATACCGCGCCGGAGCGGTATCCATCATGAAGAAACTCTGGAAGAAATACGGCGACTAACTTTGTCCCATTTATTTTTATTTTTATTTTTATTTTTATTTATATTTATTTTCATCTTATTACCTATCCCTTTGGCCCTCATTACGTATAGATGAAGTATCGTGTAATATATACGCGCAATATATCCAAGAGTCCGAGATATTTTGTATATAGATATCAAGTTCCCGTAGAGGCATTTTACATAGTATCCCCAATCACGAAGCCGTACATTCTGTTTCCAATATAAACGCGCACATTTCATTCATCATATACATGATACATGACACTTTGAATCTAGCTTGACGTGTACACGCTACATGCTACATGTCACTGATCCCTCGTCCCTCGTCCATTGTCATAGTACCTACCTAGCTACTCATACTTCTTTAACCTTGCTCAAATCTGTACTAACCACGCTATTTAGGTAGGCATCTCTGCACATGTATATACTATTTTGTTTTTTTTTGTTGTTTTTTTTACCCCCTTGCCTATTTGCCTATTTGCACTTTATATGTATGTATGTATATATATATATATCTCTCTCTCTCTCTCCCTCTCAAATAAAAAATAGATAACAAAAAAAGATACAAAAAAGATACAAAATAAAAAAAAAAAAAATCTAGCAAATATTCTCAATCTTGCCAGCGTCAGCCACGCGCGGACCCAAATCCGATCGCAGCGCGCGGTTGAACAGCTCGAGGAGCATCTCGAAACAGATTTTGGAAATGGCTGGGTCGTAGCGGCCTTTGCTGGATTCGTCGCGGATGAATGCATCTGTGGTTGTTAGTGTTTGGTAATGTATGTGTAGTACGTTCCTTTTGGTTTTTATTTTTATTTTTGGGGTTCCTTGGGTTTTCTTGGTTTAGTTGTGGATATGGTAGTGGGATATTAAGAGGATGAGAGGATAGGGATAAAAGGGTAGGGATAAAAGGGTAGGGATAAAAGGGTAGGGATAAAAGATAGGGATAAGAGGAGAGGGATAAGAGGATAGAAAAAGAGGATAGGAAAAGAGGATAGGAAAAGAGGATAAGAGGAAAGAGGATACATACGTTGAGCCCAAGCGACTTCGTACCAGTTGAAGCAGACGTTGGCGTCGTGCAGAGTTTGGCGGATCAGATCGCGGCCCTGGGGAGGGACGTGGTTGTCTTTTTTGCCGAAAATCTATGAATGATTGTCAGCAGAAGTCTCAATATATATATATATAAAAGAAAGGAAAGATTGAAAAAAGAAAAAAAAAGATTTGGGGGGGAAGAAGGGAGGAAAAGAAAAGAAAAACGGAAAAAAGGAAAAGAGATGACTCTTTCCCTTTTCTAGCCCTTTTGAGACACTGAGATCCTGAGATCGTGAACGCACACAACCCCCCACTCCCCTCCCCAACGAAGATCAAATACAAGAATACATACCATGACCAATTCGCCTTTAATGTCCCCGGCGCGCTTCAGGCTGTCGTCGCCCTCGCCGAGAGTACTGCTGTGAATGTCCGTGGCAAAATAACACACGGCGGCATTGACGCGCGAGTCTAGCGCGCACCGGTACGCCAGGTGGCCGCCCAGACACATGCCTGTTGCGCCGATGCGGCCGTTGCACGTCGGCAGATCCAAAAGAGCGCTTACTGCGAGAGAAGCATCTTCGTCATACGCAGCGACTTTCTATATGTATACGGGAGCTTGTCAGCAGCTCGATTACAAGATTATATTTACAAGATTGCATTTGAACACAGTGCAGTTTTGGTCTGAAACGGAGCAAAGAAAGCGGGGGGGGGAAGAAACTTGAAAACAAGATAGCATGGTAAGACGCACCTTTTTCACCTTGAGCTCGTTGCCAAGATCCGTGCCGGGGCCATCATATGCCAAGGGCTCCGGGCCGACGAATTCGTGATACGACGACGGCGCGGCGACAATGTAACCTTGGCTGGCAATCTGTCTGGCAAATCGTGCAACGGGGCCGGTGACTGCATTACATTCTTAGCTAACGGAGGAAGGAGAGAAGGGGAGGCGTTTCTTCTTGAGGAGCTGGGAGATCAATGATATAGGGATATAGATGGTATATCATATCTATATACTATACAGGAGAAGGAGGGGATGCATATAAGAGAACATACCTTGGTAAATCTCCGAAAAGACAACTACGCCCGGAAATCGAGCATGAGGGTAGTTGGTGATAGTAGGATGAAAGAGGAAGATGCCTGGTTGAGATGTCCGTCCGTTAACACAAGAGTCTTGAACCCGTGATTCGATCATAATCTGCATTTCCGAGTTTCCGAGTTTCCAAGTTTTGATGCCAGCATATAGCAAAAGGCAAGACGTGGTAATGTTGACATTAAATGACAAAACTGCAATACATATATCCCCACTGCCAATCGATTGACCAGACGATCGTTCTAAATCAACCCCGCGCAATTCAGAGTATCAAATGCATGTGAAATACACTGCCACGAAACAACAGAAACACCCCCCACGCAGGAGTCGGGGGGGGGGGGATGAAACCAAAGACAACAGCAACGACAGGTAAAGAGAAAGACAGTTATTTAAAATCAGAAGAGACAATATTACAACTTACGCATAGAAGACTTGCCGTCCGCCGTGGCAGGGACATCCTGATGGGTCTCTTTGATGAGCATCTTCGCTAGCTTGCTCTCTCTCTCTCTCTGGAACTTCAATGCAAAGATATTAGCCCTCTTGCGCTTTCATTTCTTATGTAGAAAGGACGTATGTCCAAAAAACTTCGAACAATTGGAAAAGGTTCTTCTCGTACAGAAATGTGATGCACTGATACCTTTTTTGGGTGTTGATATGGTGTATCGATAGCTTGTCTTCCGGCGGTGCAAGAGAGAGCTAACTAGTGGGAGATCTAGGGCCAACTCGGCAGATGCCGTTAGTCGACTGAGGGGCATCGATGAGGGGCATTGCTCAGGTTCACGTACAGCTACCTTGGCTGCAATGTTTTATAGCTACGTTCTGGTTCAAGAGATGACATCTGATTTATTTAAATTTGTCAAGCTGACTTGGTTGGTCTATAAATCATTTACCCCATCAAATGCCAGATTGTTTTTCCTCTTGCCAAAACACCAAATGTACCTAGGCCCCTCGTTTCTTTCATTCGCATCGAAAAATAATATCAGACAGAAGAAATAAAAAATATGTTTGAATTGTGAAAAAATCGTTATCGCATTTCCTCATATATCAATCAACGCCATATCTTTTCCTCTGATACATGCACCACTTCTCATACGCTGCTAGCCCAGTTAATCTTGCACATGTACAATTCCACTGTTCCCACCACCCGACCAACAATTGACCGCGACCATGCAAAGTAAATCTCAACAGCAAATTACTGAAATCAAGAAACCAAAAAGATGAAGACAATTATGGAAATGAAAAAAAAAATGACACCACCCGATTTGCTTCGGCTGCCCGAATAGAGGCCAGAAATTAAATGGTAACAAGAAATGAAAAACAATGTCACTATCTTAGGAGACTTCCTAACTGAGCCAGCGCAGTCTTGACTCGCTCTCGCACATCCAATTCGGGATCGGACTCCATGCCTCTGAGTCGACTCTCGATCCCTAGATTCTTTAATTCCAATGCTCTCGCACGGCCATTCATCTGATCAGAGGTATCATCTACCCATGTCAAATTGATAACGATCCAGGCACATGCGGCGCGAATATGTCGATTTGGATGATTGAACAAGGGCACGAGCTCGGACATGAGATCGCTCTGAGAAATGAGAATCTGTCGATGTCGTGGCTGACCAGCAGCGATGTGAACAAGCACAAAACAGACGGCAAGGATGATTTCAGGCGTTGGTGGGATCGATTTGCCAGAGGTCTGGTTCTGGTTCGCATTCTGCGGTGGCTGAGAGAAAGAAGGAGACGAAGACGAAGAAGAGGCGGAAACTGCGATATTGCCAATTCGATACTGGGGATATGTCGTAGTTGTTCCTGCTGATGCTGCACGTTGAGCGCGGGCGCCTGTCCGATCGGCACGTTGGTTGTCGCCGTCGACGACCCGCGGACGGAGTTTTGATTCGAAAATATGAAACATTTGATCCTGGCCGAGCGTAGAGAATAGGAAATCAATCATCTCTGGGGCGCCGGGACCGCAGATGAGATTTCGAATGAGGTCTAAACCTTGTTCCTGTACAGCGATATCGTCTCGACGCGCTTGTTGGACTGGGTCGAGTTCATCATCTTTGATGACGGCTAGCCGGGCCTTGATGTTTTCTGTAGTCGATGGCGCGGTGCCCAGTCGCGATGACGAGTTTGCACCATTTGTCTCGAGCGAAACGTCTGGCCGCGATGATCGGCTAAGTGAGCCAATGCTGTCTGTCATTGTAAGGTCACCCTCATATTCATCTCCTGCGCAAGGCCGCTCGGGCTCTGTCGAGTTGAGAAGATCGACTTGCTCTCCTGCAGCATTTGAAGAGCCCATGCCGAGCGGCGTTCGTGGTGTTGACGGCCTGAATTCTTCACCGTAGTTACCGAAATCATCAGTCTCTTCGGTGATGAGCTGGATAAGCCAGCTGGGTCCGAGCTCCCGTACACATGACATTTTGACGTCGTTTGGTGCGGAAAAGACAAGATGCTTGAGCGCCCAGACGGCGTTGAGTCGAAGTTTGGCGCTCGGTGAGTGCGCTTGCTGGCACAGAATGTGGAGCACGCCGGCATCAAGAATGGTCTGCCAAATGAAGTTTAGAATAAATTCTAAGAAACGACGAGGAAGGGAAGAAAAAGCTAGAACTCACCTCACGCATTGGGCTAAATTCAATGACCAAATTGCAAATAACTGCTGTCGCGGATATCTGAACTTCAATATTGTGATGCCTCAGCAGGGAAAAAAGGGGCGTAGCAATGCCATTGTCGATCAGACTGGTCCGTAAAACACTGACCGACCTTGAGAGTGCGCGAGCAGCACTACAGGCGGCCAAAAGGACCGATGGTGGATTGCCAGCTGATGTGGTTGAGATGCCATCACTGACACCAGCTGCACCAGGTTCCAACGGTTTCAGCGAGTCGATAATATAAGGCACAACGCCATTGTCAATAATTTTCTTCCGATACTCGTCTTTAAACGGGGAAATAGCGGCTAAAGCGCTGAGCGCGCCCGCCCGGCACCGCATCAAATGTGTCACCATGGGCGATACTCCAGCAGGGCCTAGATTATTCGAGCTGAGCGCTTCAACAGATGATGAGGCATACTGCGTCTCGGTTGGGTTTGCACTCCAATATGCCGGACGGGTTGAGCTCGGGACTGCTTCAAAGGTCTTTTTAAGAAGTTGTGCCAAGACCTTTATGGCATCCGCGTCGTCTGCCGCTTTCTGTAAGTCTGGGCTGTCCATGACTAGTAATGCAAGCACCAGGGGAGCTCGCTCTATGACAGCCCATCCGTCGCATGCATCTGGGCTTTGCGTAACGTCCAGCTTGTCGCACTCATCTTTAAGAATGCGAACGAGAAGCGGGACAATGAGCAGTGCCAGACTGGCTTCACGACGCTTGTGCGCAAAGCCGGAGCGACACAAAATCGAAAGCACCCAAGCGGCCATGACCCGGATCCGTCCACCCTCGGCGCGGGCGACATGCACAAGCCATGCAACCAGAGGGCTGTCAATATCCTCTGCCAGCGCACGCTCATTGCTGGAGCCGAGCTCGGACGCCAAGTTCGTTGCGCTCGATGTCCTTGAGAATCGTGAACTGCCAAGTGGGGGAAACGCCGCCGATTGAGGCGAGCTACTCTTAGAGTAGTACCCGGGTAACTGCGGAAGCAGCTGGTCTATGGGATTGAGATGCGCAGTTCGCGGCGTCAATGCAAACCCCCAAGCCGCTTTGGCGACCGGGTCTAAGCTTGAGGGTGGAAAGACGGCAACCATAGCGGGGGAAAAAAGTAACTGTAATGTCCGGTACTTCGAGTGCTGAATGATGACCGCTATCGCCTCTAAAATAGGAGCCAACTGAGCTCGAGATGGCGCAGGCGGCGGAATGGCCTCCGTCGCATGAGGGCGGTCCGCTGAGGGCTCCGCTGTGGACAAGATGAAGCCCGTAGCTACAATGAAGCTCGCTAGTCTTGCGGCCAAGGCATCAAGGACATGATGCCTGGCTAATGCGGCCCGATGACGATCTTCTCGACACGACTTTGCAATTATAGAAGCTGTGAGAGCAATCTGTTCTTGAATGATGGAGGCGGATGAGGTTTGCGACAAAATCGCGGCTATATTCTCTGCATTTCGCCGACCGCATAGCAAGCTGGGCAGGGAAGCATCTGAGAGACCTACGCCGGGGTAATCGGAAGGAAGAGACTGTGCAATGCTATCGAGGGCGCGCAGTGTTGCGAGGAGAAGCTGCGGTGAAGCTTCGCCGGGGGCTAGGGTAGCGAGGAGAGGTGGAATGACACCGGCTGAGAGGAGAGGTGCCACGAAAGCCGGCCCACCTAAATTGGAGATGCATACAGTGGTTACTCAAACAATGATTCTCTCCAAAAAATAATTAGAGCGAAAAGGGGTGCGCGTCCACATTGAACGGTTTGTGCTTCCCTACGTAACAGAAAGACACAATCACACCCGCAAGAATACACGAGCAGCTTACCTTGAGCTAGGCTTCCAACGACAATGGTGGCCTGTAAACGCGCTTCGTCCTGTGCATCCCCGAAGGAGTCGTGCACAATGCCTTGACCGTCTCGTGACATGCCATTGCCATCTCTGCTTGAAGCAGCTTTGCCCCGCGCACGAGCAGAGGTCAGGATTCGGACGACAGGTGGGACCACGCCGAGGTTGATCCAACTTTCTTTGCGCTGCTCATGGCCAATAATCTCATTCTTGAGCGCTCTGAGGGCGGCCACCTGCGCGGAAATGGAAGACGGATCACGGAGCTCGGCGAGCAATGGAGGCGAAGCAGGGCGGGTCATCTTGAAATTGATCAGGACGATAGACTGAGGCTATTGATAGCCGCCAAAGGAAGAAGTCGCCTCGGGGCAAGAATGTGATATATAGCCTGCCAAATCTGCGCAGTTTGCTCCGTACTAGAGGCGCAACGTTTTGTCGTTGTCGAGAGTAGCAACAACAGCAGGTTGCTATCGGCGTTGGTAGAAAATGACGTCGTCAGGCAATTATCAAGATGTCAACGGGCCCGTCGTTCCCAGACTTGGCAAGAGTGCGCGTGAAAGCTCAAGCAGTTGAATTTTTCATTTGAAGGCCCGAATGGCGAGTACAGAGTGAGTTGCTCTAACGCTACCAGCGAACCAGAAATTATCTTCGAACCTCAGAGGAGCGTATGCTGCTGTCCGTCAACGAGGCCGTGCAGGGAGCACAGAGAGGGATGGCGTTAGAATTTGGCCGTTCTGAATATGGGGTGTAATCGGCTGGTGTGCGTCGCCAGTGGCAGACTACGAAGAAGGAGGTTGATTGGAATTTTGGCAGCGAATGGAAAACAAGGCAGATCAGGCTGTCATTTGGTGATTTGAGGGAGCGAGTCGATTGATGATGACGGAAAGGGTCAAGGCCGTAAATGAGATTATAGCAATTAGACACGTCAAACAAAATAAATTTCAGAGCACGAATCCAGCAATGAAATGAAGCCTTGGTACAAAGAAGCAAGCAGAAGGCCGAAAACAATAATAGCTATAACACAGAAACATGAATTAGCTTCATCAACGTCTCGGGATCTCTTGGTCTATAGTTGTCTTCCGTTGCTCCTGCTGCTATCAGCAGAGCTCCTTTGATTGGCGCAAGATGCGAGCCGAGGTTGTCCGGCGCCGGAGCAGCGGCAATCCCCGAACTTCTGATGGAGATTGACCATGTCCACTTTGTGGATTATTTGCGTCGAAATGTGTCAAATCACACTTGCTGAACGCGTGTAGTTGATAATCAAGACTGAAATTTGATTCACATATACGGTAATTATGTATTAGGAATTGCAGATAGTTATATGTTGATTGCAAGCCTCCAATAGTATTTATCATGGTTAACATCCATGCAAGACTATTCTCGTTCTGAAGTGAAGGATCCTTAAAATACATCCAATTATGAAGAAAAATGAACACGATGAATTACTGCCAAGGCTCCCATATATGCTGTCCCCTGTGTCATAAACAAGTGAAATGAGAGCCGCATGGTCTTTTCCCAGACAATTGAGGTCATCCAAAGCAAATCAGCTGCAGAACAAGCGTCGATGCGAATTCCGAATAGCGAATGCCCTGCTCTGAATGCCGAGCCGCATCTATGCCATGGTTCGCTTTCCAGGATTTGCTTTTGCTTGGATCCCAAGGTGTAGCCATACTGCCATATGACGCGCCTTGCAACCAACAGTATTCATGACAGGCACATGCAAAACGATTGATAGACGTTGCATGGCAGATACTGTCTTTTTGCACGAAGAGAAGATCGGGACATGGGAAAAAAGAAAAAGGGAGAAAAGAGAAGAGAATAAAATTAAAATAAAATGGAGGAGACAAAGACGTTGCCAGTAGTGGAGAAATAACGCCACGGGTATATGCTGCGATGAATGAAAAATGCTCAAGAAAAAGCGCCTCCGTGCCTCCATATAGCTTATAGGAGAATCATGCTTTGAAAACATAAAAAGGAAAAAAGAGTTCCACCATGGTCATCATGCGCGTCATCGAAGCGAAAGGAGAAATAGAAAGCCACTGCTCCTACAAATCGGCCAATTGACCTCGGAGCATAGCATCAGGGCTCAGGAGCAGCAGCGTCGCCATTTGTCTCCATTGCATCTTCAATTGTAAATCCCTCACTACGCTGCACGAGGCTGCGATAATAATCGACCAGAACCTCAGGCTTTGGTACAATGCGCCACTCAACACGCCAGAGAAACTCGAGCTCGAGCAAGGCTAATTCGCGAAGACTGACACCGCCTACTCGTGCATATGTATTGTTTGTCCAAAACGCGTCCGAGAGACCCTTGGAAGCCACAGTGGCAGCAGTGATGAGAAATCGGTGAACCGTCAACGAGGAGATGTTGAAGGCCGGATAGAGAGCGCACAAGCGATCGATGTAGTAGACCATGCTGAGCAGGATGGGCGGACTGAGAGTGGCATGCGTTGTGAGACGAGCGAGGTAGTCTGGAATGGAAATGCCAGGAGGAGCTCTGAATCGCAAAGGCCAATTAGGTTAGTTGGAACTCAAAAATAGATTGGGGAGCCAACGGGGTAGTCCGTACCTGGAGTGGAAGCGCGTCAGGCCGCCATTGCTGAGTGGAATGGTATCATTATACCGAACAAGCTCCATTAGCATATTGGAAATAAGTACGATGAGATCTTTGACGTTGCAGTCTTCGTAGCGAGCCGGCATGACCTTAAGGGCGGGCTGAGGAGCGCGCAGTCTCTTTGGGGAGGCAACCTCTCGATCAACCGATGTGTTGGACGCAGAAGGTACTGGATTGGGCTGAGCCGGAGTTGCAGGTGTTTGCGATTGCTGAGCCTGAGCAGTGGTCCGTGGCGAGGTAGACGTCTCTCGGCGCTTGCCCAGTGGAGTAGTGTTTGTTGGAGCAATCGGCGCCGACTCGGCGGCAGCCGGGCCAGAAGAGGGGGAATGTGATGGGATCATGTGTGTAGAAATGTGCGGGGAGGCAGCAGCAGCAGGAGCAGCACCACTACCACCTCGACAACTTATATCACTCTCAACGTAGGCGGGTCTCGAAGCTATGTCGGAGGTAACTGGAGGACCGACCGTCCGCGGCGGTTGCAAGCTCTTTGGAGGAGAAACACTTGCTATGCCGGCCCTGTACGAAGAAAAGGAGGAGGAAGAGGAAGACGAAGAAGGATGCGGAAATGGACGTGAGGGAGAGCGCGATTGCACGCATGCGCGAGAGCGATGAAAAGCAGCGACGGACGCAGGATTGACAGGGTGTAAAGTCGGCGAGGGTGAGGAAGTCAACATCGCGCCGCGTCAAAGTGAATGCAGGTAGGTAGCCAAGTGAAAGACAGGAAGTGGCCAAAGAAGCGCGCGGGCATAATGCGGCGGGCGAGACGAACCGGGGGTAGATGGCTGAGAGGATTGACTGGGGACGTTTGGAGAGTGTCTGTGGAAGACCGTAACAGGAACGAGGGGAAGAGAGAGAAGGTCTCTGTTGAGGACAGTCTCTGAAGATGGAAAGCGCCCAGGATGATCAGTCTTCTACCAGATCTGCCAGTGTCGGATTAATAGGGCTGATCATTTGAAAGAGATTGAAAAAGGGAGCCACACACAGTTGCAGGAACAAAGTCTTGGCTGGGGGGCGTTGTGGGCGACCTTTGTTCGTGGAGGAGTTTCTCGTCTGACGTACTTTCCCGCACCGAAGCCACGTAAAAGTGATCTAAACCAAGGCTGACCCGCGCGAAAGGAGACGGGAAAGTACTCCGGAGGAAGCTCCACTCGGGCAATTACGTAGCTACGAGAGAGCGAGAGAAGGGAGAGCGAACCCGGTAGCGATCCCAGATACTCCTCTGGTACAGACAGAGGTACTTCCGTTCAAGAGTTGGAAAAAGAACAGAAGAAAACAGAGGGAGATGGGGGGAGAGAGCGAGGGGAAAGCCATGAAATAAAGTCAAAGGGGAAATAGCAGAGATCAGCCTTCATGCATGTTTTCACACAACGTGTCGTTCGGCTCATAGCGATCTCGACCCGGTCGTGGGCAGATGCGCTGCCTCCATTGGCCGAGCCACAGGAGAGAAATGACCAGGGGTAAGCAGGAAAGACGGAATCCAATGATGATGATTTGACCATTTTTTAACAAGCATACATTTCTAAGATTGCACCATTGCATCTCATCTCCGTATCATCGTGGCGTATCAGCAACTACCTTAGGTAGGTAAGTCAGGTAGGTTAGATAAAGAAAAGAGCGAAACGCAGAGATAACAGCATTTCCACTTATTGGACTCTCGGTCGCCTTAGATATCCATCCTTTCTCCCATGGTAACCCATTCAATAAAAAAAAAAATGATAGAAAGAAATCCTCACGCTTGTAATGGGTTCATGCAGGATAATAGCTCCGTACAGCATCGTCCAACTCAAAGGTTCCTGCCAAGAAAACCATCGCTTCATGTTCTGCATCTATATTAACTCTCGGTCCAACACAAGCCGATCTGTGACACATCGATTTGACCATTTGGCTTTGAAGAGCGTTTCTACTAAACCAACTCGACGCTGCTAATCACGTGATCAGTCAAGTAGTTAATTTTACGGTATCTTAACTTCATTATCTAAAACAAGAATCAACTAACGCCTCGCTTTACGCCGAACTACGGTATAAACATGCAAAAGCCAGTAATGCTCATAATAAAAGACTGCGTCTTTCTACAATTGGTCTGGTAGTCCTCCGAGAGCGAGAGTCGGGATCCAAGATTAATGATGTCGGCAAACCTGGGGACTGGCAAATCTCCCTACAAGATGGGATAATATCCAGCGTGTATCCAACGCGTCCAATCAATCGAGGGTAACAAAAAGGCACATTTTCCAGCTCGTAACGGCCAACCAGGCAATCGCCCGTTAGTTGGACTTCTGCTTCTGAGCATCTTTTTGCTCCTTAGCGTGAACGGCCTGCTCGCGCTCCTTGAGCTTACGCTCTTCTGTCTCGACCATGTCTATAATCAATGCGTGTTAGACTGTCTCATTGGCTGCGGACATGGACAACGGCTGGGACAAGAGAAAAGGGACATACCCATCCACTGGTCCTCACCAGCGTAGCGCTCACGGTGAATCTTCTTCTCAATGATGCGCTTGTGCTCCGGATCGTTGGGATCAACCACCTTGACCGTCTGCCATCGGCTCTGACCCTGTTTCGCGTCGCCAATCTCAAAGGCGGCCGTAGCTACCAATACTGCCAGCGTCAAACCTTGGGCATACACACGTGCCTGCACCAGCTTTTGTTGCGTCGAGAGGTAGGGATTGCGACCAACGAGACCGAGCGCAACGGCCATGGATGCCAGCCATGAGACACCGACAATAGGATACCGGTTTTCACGGCCCCAGTCCATGAATTTCTCGTAGCTAGACTTTTGCGCCTCGAGCTGTTGCAGCTCGCGAGACGACTCATCGCGATATTGTTCGTCAGGGTGGCGGGAAATTTCAAAAGCACGGGAAGACCGGTCAGCATTGATGATAGCTATTAACAAAATATATTAGCCTCAATTCAATAACTTCATTCTCGTCCTTGAAATCGATTGATGCCGCAGCATGTGGATTTGTCGCAAGTCGTAGCAGCAACTGCAGGGACAATCGCTCGCATCAATGTCTTCAGAATTCTCGCCGTAAGACAAGCTTATTGTGATAGAGCGTATACTTTATGAGAGAGTACGCTTTGCGCGGTTCGTGTATGCTGAATACGATAAAAAGCTCCCACAATCGCTTGAATTTGGGATACGACCGAACGCGGAGCCACGTGAGAGAATAGCCCAATGCGAATGATAGGACAATGGAAGTCAAACCAAAAGAGCGTAGGACACCGTACCTGCAAAAGTACCAGAGGAGGTGAAAAGGAAAGTCCGCATCGGTATGGTCAGGGATCTAAACGCAGGAAATCGTGCACTGGCGGCCCAGATACCCGCACCACCAACGGCAAGACCAAGAGCACCTCCGACAAGACCGCCCTTGACGACGGCACTGGAAAAGTCAGTATGAACGCAAAGGGTCTCAAGAGCTCGGACTGCTTACTTGTAGTGAGCTTGCTCTTCTTCTTTAGTGAGAATCTTCATGTTTGTTTATGAGAGGAAACAGCTATCGATCTCGAGATACGGGGAAGGAATAATGAAATATTCTCAGCCAGTCAAGCAGGCAGCTTTTAAGAGAAAAATTGCTTGCTTAAACAATTTGTCAATGGCGTTCTTGGCTCCTCGGAGACGTTTTGGTGGAGGCGTCTGGAATTGGTGAGGATGACTCGCGCGAGACTCTCGGGCAGCGGCTACGGAAAAAGTTCGGAGAGTTCGTATAAGTAATCAAACGACGGAAGAATCAGGGTCAATACGAATAGGCTTCCGGATGAACCGATTGATACCCTTTATGTGTCTCAATTCCTTTCAACTTCTGGGAGAAAAGAAGATTATGTAGAATGTGAAGTATTTACGAAGAAAACAATTAACTGTTTCAGCTTTCGTAGCCTTTTGCCTGAGTTTTCCCAAATACCTGATGACGATGGCATGATCCAATAGCTCCCGTCGGCTGATAATTGCCGGAGCTGAAAGTAGCGAATACTTCATTCCGAAGGAACTTGAAGCGTAATTTCGAGGTATAGGAAACAATAAATGCTTTGCACGATACGGGGCTCCTGCTCGTAGGAAACGTTTGGCAAAGCTCTAGCTACATAGACATGATTCGCTATCAGCTCGAATTGCTTAAATTGTGAGCTGATCAAATGCAGGTCTGCATGATATGCTTATGTGGACGCTGACCTCTGCGACTGCCACATACTCTATTCTAGACGCCCAAGGAAGAAACCACTACCCACATACGGAGTAAAGCTCCCTTTGACAGAGGGGTAAGCCTCACGGAAAAAATATCCGGAGGCTAAGTGACACTCGCGTCAGCTGAGGATGTAGGGGCAGATTGAGTCACCAAATACGGATTTACTGGTCAAGGCTTGCAGGATGACCTTAAATTTCTGACTGCATTTTTATCTTATCGCGTCTCATCCGAGAAAACGGTACAACCAACTCCGCACATTGGACCAGCGCCATTAGGAGTCGAACCCAATATCAGTTATATATACACACTCTCTGCACAATCCGGACGTATATTTCTTGCTCGGAGGGGGCGAGGGAAGCTTGGAGTGTCTACCTACCTAAGGTAGGTAGGTTTATAGATTGCCATTTGAATATGTCCCGGAGGCCAATGCGCTCTACGAGAGACGCTTGCATCATTGAGAAGGCCAAGCCTGACAATTTATGTGTCTATACTTGAACCGACTAAATTTCCTACTCATGTTCTGAAGGAAGCAAAAACGATAGAAGACCGCGCCGACAAATGTACACACTTAAATTTGTTTTACGCTTATTGTTTTTGCCAACGCCTAAAAAGATGAACAAGGATCAAGCCTAAAAATGTAAATCGACCAAGCAGCGCCAGCGCCACTGAGCGTCGAACATAAGTATAGTATCCGTCCAAAAGGACCCCAACAGCGCTCGAACGCGGTCTATGCCAGGACCGTTCTCTCACATTTTGAGTGATTCCTCCTTCTGATCTTCTCACTAATCCGACGGCGTCTAAACCTTCTTCCACGGCCACTGCGGGGGGCTCGGAAAGGGCAGCCGCTGATTCCATTGTTTCTGCAGAATCAATATCTTTTGTTTGCCCCACAGCCATATTTTGCTCCTCATTGCCACCGCCGCTTTGCTTGGTCACTTGTTCCGACCTTGCCAGTCTTTGTTCCTCTTCCAATTCGCATTGTTTCCTTCGTCGGAAAAAGAACGTCATCACTCTAATTGTAAATCTAACGTCCCAAGGCGTAAATGTCGGATAGCTCCACAGACCAAGGGCGTCGTGTGGGGGAAGCAATTCGAGGAAGTCGGCGAGAACACCGAGCGTAAGGCCCCAGAGCAAGAGTGGTCGATCCATGTTAGCTGAACCAGCATGATCGCCAAGCCACCATTCCTTCAATGTGGTAAGCAAGGGTCGCTTTGCAAGTGCGCGCGACGGCGAAGTTGACAACGTCGGGGTCGGAGGCTCTGCACTAATTTGGCCGACAGCTCGACCTCTAGCCGCAGCCTGGCTCTTTGTTTCGTCATGAGAATCATGTCTCCCCTCTACTGCGCCCGGGACAATCGTGTCCCCTTCATCGCAGCCATCATAGCTAGGTAAGAAACCAGGTGCTCGGCTGGAATAGAGACTTTCGGTTGGCCTTAGTCGGACTGCAGCAAAGACCATTTGACCTAGCATCGCCCGGAAGAATGCTCTCGTAAGATGACCGCTTTGGCGGATCAACCGATCCGATACATCGCATCGTTCTACCGTTCGTTGCGAGGGTGCTAGCAGCGCCCGTAGAGAGACCCAATGAGCAGATGCTACTTCAGACTGCTGAAGCTTCAACGGAGGCACGTCGGGACGAGTGATAAGAAACACGAAAGGGCAGAGTACCATGAGCCTACAAAGGTGAAAGCTAACGTCAGTAATCCTTCGTGTCGTGGGAAAGGTAGCCAATGGGGAAATGGTCGCCTCACGGTATGGTCCCCCATGAGGTAGTCACCACACGTTCTGATAGGTTGCCAACATAAATTGATGAGCCATCTGCAGGAGATATATCAAGTCCAACTTCTTCTAGAGTTTCCCGTATCGCAGCGGCCAAATCGTTCTCGTCGGACGGGTCTCTCTTGCCGCCGGGAAGCGCAACGTGGCTCGTCCATCGATCTCCCTTTCTAGCGGCTCTTTTAATGAAGAGGATCTCTGGATCCCCGTGCCGCACCCACGGCTGTGAAAAGAAAGCATCGAGCTCATCCTCCGTTTGTTGCGACTTCAACTCTCCCCTAGCGGGGCTTGCAATTCCCGCATTGCTGGAAGGCGGCTGAAAAAGCGGATGTGGCCGAATGCGAACTGCCAAGGCAACCGAAGCGCGCTTCTTCACTTTGGGAGGGTTTGGGACATGTGGGTAGGGATTAATGACAATATTTCGAAGCACGTGGTGCAGCTTCGGTATGATCCCCGATAATGCTCGCAAAGGTTCACCTGCATCGTCAGACATTAGATATATGTGTATCCGGGTGAGCAGGTTGTTAGAAATAATTCGCAACAATAAGCAATCAGTACTAGTCCAAGGTAACTCTGAATGGTATTTGAGCTTGATTACAATTCTTCAAGCGCTAACAGAACTGAAGCTCGGCCTGTCGTTAGAGTACTCCGCAGTAGTGAGAACTGATAGTGTTCAACATATGTCGGGGCGGAAAGATCCGATAGACCTTACTCAATTAAGAAAGCGGTGAGAGAGAAAGCCATGGAGGTGAAACGTGCTGGGAGCAGCATCGAGGATTGGTTCGCTTAAGCGCTGCTTGGAGACCTGGTTAAACATGGGGTCCTCTCTGCATGTGTTTGGCTTTCTGCACCACACTTACGTCTTTTTCTCTTCTCCCACTTTTTCTAATATCTGGGTTTCTGAATTTTATAGCAAGTTCAAGTGGTTCTCCATTGTCTATTCAATTCCCGTTCTTGGCTGGCTTGCAGCTTTTATCTCTAGACCAGACCTCCAAGTTGAGCTTCACGCCAAGTTCGGCTAAGGACTGGTCTCGAATCGATCTCCAAAGATGCGCTTCGGGACGACTCTCCGCGACTCGATCTACCCACCTTGGGAATCGCAGTACATTGATTATAAAAAGCTCAAAAACATCTTGCGCGAGGATCGCCAGGGGAAAGCCTCTCGAGCGGATCAGGACGATGAAGTCGACGAGTGGACAGAGCAGGACGAGGGAACCTTTGTGGAGGAGCTTATCAACGTCCAGCTCGAAAAGGTCAATGCATTCCAAAATCAGACCTTTGAGCAGCTTCGTGAGCGGGCTGCCAAATGCGAGACGAGGCTCGAAGCTCTCCTGAGCAAGGGCAAAGAGAATGGAGAGCCCAATCCGAGCGATGATAAAGTTGACATGTCGGACAACTCCAAGCAGGAAACACTTCGCGAGATCATGGAGGAGCTTGACAACATTGCCAAAGAGATAAATGAGCTTGAAAAATACAGTCGAATCAATTTCACGGGCTTCTTGAAAGCTGCTAAAAAGCATGACCGGAAACGAGGACAGCGATACCGAGTGAAGCCGCTTCTGCAGGTGCGGCTGAGTGCTCTTCCTTTCAACTCGGAGAATTACTCTCCGCTTCTCTACAGGTAATTCAACTACAACTTTCCTTTAGGGTGTATTCTGGACGAGATTGCTAACTAGAAGGCAAGACTGTCTGCCATGTATTCCTTCGTCCGCCAACATCTTGAAGGAGAAGTGCCCAAGGAGAGAACTATGTCCGTGGCCGAAATTGATCCCACCAGCTCACGTTACAGCTCTTACAAGTGTAAGTTACTCATTGGTAAAAAGCAAATATGCCTCAAACTTATAACTGACGGGCGTAGTTTGGGTGCACCCCGACAATCTTCTGGAAGTGAAAACCTACATTCTTCGTCGTCTCCCTGTTCTGGTCTATAACCCGCAGACATCAAAGGTCGCTGACGGCGCTCGCACCGATCCGACCATCACATCTCTTTACTTCGACAACTCCAAATTTTCCCTCTACACGCAAAAAGTCGACCGTGCTCCGGACTCGTCGTCTTTGCGCCTACGATGGTTTGGCCAGCTCGCCGAACAGCCTGAAATCATGTTTGAGAAGAAGATCGCCAAGGAAGGCGACGAGAGTGAAGAAGTCAGATTTCCCATCAAGGAAAAATATATTCAGTCATTCATCAAGGGTGATTACAAGATGGAGAAGTCGGTTCGGAAACTCCAAGATCGATCAGGACCAGACAGTAAGGAGATTCAAGCATTGGAGAAGAGTGTGGATGAGATCCAGAAAGCCATCAAGGAAAACAATTTGCAACCCGTTTTGCGCGCCAATTACACTCGCACTGCCTTCCAGATCCCGGGAGACGACCGAGTGAGGATCTCGCTCGACACAGAGCTTGCCCTCATTCGAGAAGACTCTTTTGATACTGATCGTCCGTGCAGAGATCCAGAGGACTGGCATCGCAGGGACATTGACGATGCTCAGATGGAGTTCCCCTATAACAACATCCGTAAGGGTGAAATTTCTAGATTCCCTTATGCTCTGTTGGACATCAAAGTCCGGGGAGGCCCGGCAAAGAAGACTCCTGAGTGGGTCTCGGATCTGATGTCTTCACACTTGGTCAAGGAGGCACCTCGATTCTCTAAATTCGTGCATGGTGTCGCACAATTGTTTGAGGACCAAGTCAACAGCTTCCCATTCTGGCTGGGCGAACTTGATACGGACATTCGAAAGGACCCGGCTCAGGCTTTTGAGCAAGAGCAGGAGAAGAAAGCCAAGCGTGCAGAAGACGAGATTGCTGTAGGGAGCTTCCTTGGCTCCAAGTCCAGCCCCTATTGGAAGCCAGTCGTTGGCTCGCCAGCCGACAGACATTTTGACCGGAAACGGAGCGAGAGAGACGAGTTGCTTAAACTTACCGCGACTAGATCGAGATCTGTCCCAGGTGAAGTTGGTGAAGTTGGTGAGGAGCGCGATTCAGACGATGACGGAAAACAGGCGCCTGAGGCGGCTGCATCACCCACCTCGCATGGTCTCGCTTCTCTTTTCCCGTCATTTTCTACATCAAAGTACGCGCGGGCGCGCAGAGGAGAGCGCGTTGAGCTTCCTCCAGGCGTGAGACACCCTGGCACATTCATCAAAGACTCGGGACCCGTCAAGGTGGAGGCCAAAGTCTGGCTTGCGAATCAGAGAACCTTCATCAAATGGCAGCATGTATCTGTGCTGTTGGCATCACTTTCTCTGGGTCTGTATAATGCCGCAGGTGAATCGAACAATGTGGCCCGAATCCTCGCCATTGTCTACACTCTGATCGCAGTTTTTGCCGGCGTCTGGGGGTGGGCCATGTACATCTATCGCAGTCGTCTTATCCAGGAGAGGAGTGGCAAAGACTTTGACAACGTTGTCGGCCCCCTGATAATTTGCGTGGGGCTTGCAATTGCACTCTGCCTCAACTTCGGATTCAAGGTACGTACACATATCAAAATGCCGTTACATCAAACATGGTTAGCTAATTCTAGTCAGTATCATGCTGTTATGGAAGCTCGCAATGCGCATGGAGCGAGAAACGAGACGGCTACTCTTGTAGCAGACATGTTGGCAAATGGCCATGGACTTGTCCAGCAGAGACCCGATGCCGGCACTTCTTACTAAGGTCCTTGAGACTCTCGAGGAATTATGGATGGCTTCCGGTAAGAGCTGCTGTCGAATTTATAGAGCGAAGACTGCAATTGCGAATTTATGGCTATATGTACGAATGTTTGTAGAGAAATACCTGAAAGTCATCCGCTCCTAGTGCTCTAGGGACGTAATATTGTATATACCCAACCAATCAAAGGGGGAAAATTCATAAAAAGAAAATAAAACTATGTTCTTATCGACTGCAATGCTTGCGCAGTCATCAAAGTCGGCGTTGATGCCCAGTGAAATATTACTTTCGTGATTTATGAATTTATCAGATTGCAAGATTCATGTGCTGGCCCCAATCAAGGTAGGTTTGCTGCGGGGTGACATCTAGTGGCATGCCATAGAACGAGCTACCTACAGAGTAGTGCTAAGAGCATGAGAGTGAGGCTGACAAAAGAGAGAATAAGGAACCCAGAGCCAGCTAAACAAACGAGCCTTATAACACTCCCGGCAAAGCTATCATAGTCGACAGGTTGTAATGAGAAGGATGGAACTCGCGACCCGCATCTACTTTGCTGCTGGCAGTCGTTATTAGTTTTTGAGATCACATTTTCAACTTCTTCAGATTTTAACTAATTCTTCATATACATGGCTGCTCTTGTGCGCTGGTGGCCAGCTAAATGGCTGATCGGCGTTCGAGTGTCAAGGGCGCCGACCGTTTATGTACGCGATCTGCCTGCAGAGCCACCGCCTTTTTCAACGTCTAGACTCCCCAATAAGAGAAGCCTCTATCGACGGTTGTATGTCGGAGCTGTGGAGTCACAGAGGCGTGGTGGGGCTACTCCAACAGCAGACGTCTTCCAACACTCAGAACATTTTTATCGGTGGAAGAATCAACTTGCATGACCATGAACCTAGCCGCCCTGTGATCCTGTTAAGTGTCTCTATCTGTATCTCTTGACATTCCAGTATTGGCCTCAACCCACACTACGGGAACCAGCTTCCTCATGCGACCTTTCCCACAAATCAAGATTCACGGGATTGGGGTTTCGTGATCTCTTAATCCTTCTCCGCATCCAGCGCTCCCACTAGAGCCTCATTCGTCATTCACGTCTCCGCCGCCAGGTCAAAATCGTGGCATGATATTCAGGTCTTTCCCCACATTGCGTACCCAGTGATGAATGGCAGCATAAGCAGCGGCATGAAGTCTGACTTTTATGGCGATGATAACCATCATGCAGAAGTATACCCGACTCCGAAGGTACGGAGAAAAATTCAATATCAAGAAGGCATGTGATTCTGACTTGGCAAATATGGGTTTAGAGCGGAAGCTTCAATCGAAAGCCGTCTCCAGTTCGAACCTCTCTATACGGGCGTAGACGATATCGCGACAGTACTGTTCCAGTAATTTCGGAATCACAATCGCACCGCGGCCACCCCCGAGATGGTAACGTTTCAGAGGATATTACCCTGACTCTGCCGACGTTACCACGAGTAAGAGAATGGCCGCCACAATGTTACACCCTTCATTCAGATCTCCAACCTGATGAAGCCGAGCAATATATCTGCCAAGGGGCCCCCGTCTTTACAGGCTACTGCGATGATGTTACCCATGCGGCGCCAGGAAACTTCCACTTTTATGCAGTCATAGACAACGACTCGACCAAGGGCTCGGACCGTGCCCGTTTTCAATGCGAAGCGTTCCGTGACGTTTCACTCTCGCTTCCTACGGAGAAGAAACCTTGGCCATGGGAAGCTTTGGAGCAACCGAGTATGGCGTATTGTTTTGGTAAATCGCCGGGAACGGTCACGCTCAATTACTGGGCAGCGGCCTCTGGAAACTTGAACGCAACGGTGGAGGTGAATTCAAAAATTAAACCGCGGAAAATTGGACTACTCGCAACCTTGGACCGACTGCGTTATTTGGAGGGAGGCCTAGAAGAGAGCGTATGCGATCCATTCCCGACCCTGGAGAAAAGAAATGTCCATTCTAATCACATAAACAGGAGTCGGAAGAGCTGTATCAAAGTCTATATGGCAACCTCCTGCATGATCCAGAAAAGCACACAGAGCCCCACTACGGAATGGAGAAGCAGATTGCGGACTTGATCACGGTTTTGAGCCGGTCAGACTGGATTGATTTTAGGCGGCCAGAAAACCAGATGGTGGCTAAATTTTTCACCAGTCGCGACCAGAACAGATATCATCAATTCTTTATCCAATTACTATTGGCGGTCGAACTCTACCTGCGCATACACTGCCCAGAACATTCAGACATTGCGAAACGCAAATTGCTGCCCCAGCTGCCTCCGAAGATCTCGTGGGATCTGGCACTCGCTCAGCGCTGGTTAGAGAATATGTCAATTGGAAAGCCGCAGACCAGTTCCAACGCAAGCGAGGTTTCATTCGAGCTCAAAAGCAAGAAGCGACAGGTTAAGACACTTCGAGAGTTTGCCTGGACACTAAAGTAAGGGAAAGCATTGGCCAGCATGTGAACAAAGAGCTTGTCTTATTAACTACCAAAACTCCAGATGGCCAAACATGAGCGAGGTGGAATATGCCCTGGGCAAAGGAGACCGTGAGGAGACGGCGGTCGAAGACCGGAGCGCCGATGCCATGTCTTGGTTTACTGGAGTCATTCTTCCTGGGAAAACGCTGCCTTGGCTTCTCATGAATTCGTTGATCGATTGTGATCAAGACACAGGAGAGGCTCTCAAGTACCTAACATACATGCACCCAAATGCCGGATTTCAGTACCGGACAAACACCTACTGGTCGTGGGAGTGTGTTGTAGGTAAAGTCTTGGGCGCGGCCAGAGGGGTTAACCAAATCGCCGGTTGGATTGGGCCTTGCAATTATAGTCCAGACTTGAAGCGCATCGAAATTGCCTGCATTCGTACGCGTCGGATCAAGCAGCGCCTTAGCCCTCAAGATGTCCGAAGCATGAGCAAACGCACTGATCCTCTTGGTCCAGCCGATGAAAGCTATCCGGTCAATGATTACGAGCTCGTGGCACCTGATACCGAAGATGTCACGGATGCGATTCGCATCGAAAAACTAAACTTCCGCGCCCGCAAGGGTCCGCAGAGCAGCAGCGGTAGCCCTCATGCCCCACTGACGTTTGATGCAGCCATCACCTTTGCCATGGAAGGGCGTTCGTTGCCCCTGCGTCTGCGGTACAATGTCGATTTCGTCTACGCGGCGCCATGTGTGGCTGGTCCGCATCCGCTCTTTTTCGATTTCGCCTACCGATTCTGCAAAGTGATTAATCTACACAATGTGCATCACTGGGGAAATACAGCTACAGCTACTCCCGTGACACCTTCAGGTTCCAGTCATAGTCGATCCTCCAGCGTGGCTGGACGTGGCAGTGGACCCGGTCGGAGCAACTCGCTCAGCGACAGTGAACGCGATCGAGAGAAAGCAGCATCCACGTACGTCCCGGACATTGAGATGGTTCTTGTCGTGGAAGCTTTTGGGGTCCCTGACAATGAAGTCTTTGCCCGAGCATGGTGCGCGCATTGGGGTCTCAGTGCCATCACGGCTGATCTTCGGAGAAGTTGCGCTGCATGCGCCATCCGCGAAGCTTATGCGGCTTGTGTGAGCGTCGTCATTTTGACCAATGGCGGACGCGATGTGGACGTGGAAAAGGTTGAACGACGGAGTTTTGCATAGATGAGTCTGACTGATTTTTTTTTCTCTTGTTTTATGATATCCAGCGGATTTGCGTCGCATTGTTTGTCCATTGCGTATGGAGGTATCTTCAGCTAGATGGGTTTTCAGATCAGAATTCATGAGAGTGAGTCCAATCAATGGGTCTGGTCGTGATAGAAAGAGCCACTGGAGTTTCTGTGTATGGCACGTATCTCCAGCAAAGGGCAATTGCCCCCAAAGCTTGATACCAATAGGCGATAGATGAGAAATTTTCGTGCATCTGCCTTGTACCCTTCCCCATGATGGAGATGCGTCGTCAAGGAAGAGAAACATCCATGTCGACCATATAGTATTTCACGCGCTAAGGTTGCTTTGATATTCTCCGTCTACTAGTTATATTTACCACAGGCCCAATCATTTGAGAAAATAAGAGGAGACCCTACACGGGACCTCTTACGTACGTCTTCTTATCTACCGGGACATATCATAGAGACGTTATTCATCATAGAATATTATCATTTCCATTTCCCGGTATCACCGAATCATGAGGGAAGAGTGCGTCCCTTATTCTGGGCAGCGATCTACGGAATGCAGTTGTAGGCGATGCACTTCGTGGAGTAAGCCACCAACAGGCCCTAACAAGGATCCCCGACTTGCACCGCAATCCCGCTAGACGAGTTATGGGAACACACCCAATCATGCGGCGACGGAGTTAAGCCCAGCGGTATGTATTTTATAGCTTGACGGGCCAGGGGTGCACAATCTCCTGCTAAGCAACTCCAACTACAACCGGTGTGTGTATTATATTGTCCAACTACCAAGTATATGAAGGGGAGTGGGGGCCAAAACAAGTTCAATCGGCGTCTCACACTTTTGGTAGCACACAGACTCCGCATCAGAAGGTTGATACACTATCCATTATCCCAGCAAGCCAAATCCGCTCCTAAGAATAATCCATATTCTCACCACACTTGCACCTCGAGCTTTGCAAGATGGCAACCACGGCCAGCATAGTTGAGGGGCAGTGCTGCGCAAATCGTTTGATGAATTGGATACTTTGAAGCTTATCGATCACGAAAGAGGAGTATTGTACTTTGAAACGCAAACTTATCACCTCCCCGCCCGACGTCGATCTTTACGAGTTCAGGGCCCCTGCATGATTCCCCAACTGCAACTCGCATGGCGGTGGACTGTGCGATATGCGTCCAGGCCCTTATGATATTAACAGCATGACGGGACCGCGATGCTTGGCGTAAGACCTAGCCAGCTAAATCCTCTGGAGGTCGAGACGCCACGGTCAAATCAATTAACGGTGCAGCAGCCATGCTTAGTGGGCAATGGAAAACTGATGCTTTTTAGCAATGATTCTACCTACCTACTTGTGCAGCCCGTGCTTGACCGGTGCCGGTCATTTCTCTCTTTATCCTGAGTATCCTTTTCCTGCTCTTCGCTTTGCAACTCTCCCCCTTCTCTGTCCTTGCGATTTTTTTCGCCATGAATAGAGCACAGTCTGTCTAAGCTATAGATTGCGTCTTTTCGCTGGTTCAATATATCTTTTCAGATTCGTCTATGCTTGCTGCTCGATTTTCTTGACTGCGCCGCACGCAATTTCCGACGGACTACTTCTCTTGGCCCCCAACACAAGACTTATTGTCGCCTCCCCGTTCTTGCAAGGTTTCCCTGAACCTGGTGATTTTCTGGAACTTTGGACCATTTATCACCAGGAATTCGGATCCGCCATTGTTATTGTGAGGGGAGCGTGAACGCGCTGCCACTTTCCTCTTGTGTGCCACTGGTTCCATCTTCGCGCAAACCTGGTCTCAGCGCCCCGGGAAATTGTCACTCGACCAAGGAGCATCGGAATTTTGAGTCCTCAAAGTTTCAGGCGTACGAAATCGCGTGGACAAAGCAGAGAAGGTCAGGTCTAAGCAGAAGCCTGGATCACAAACTGCTGCATCCGCAAATATGGAACGACATACCGTACAGTCACACTCCGCGAACGGTTCGTCAGAGAGCCGGCCAGAGTCGCCAGCGGCCGACGTGACAACGCCTCTAAACACTCCTCCGCCAGCGCAAAAGAATGACAATCAGGAATATCCGCAGGAGCAGCATTATCTCCAATCTTACCAGAACCATGAGCAGCCGGGTCTTATACCAGTCCCTCCTGGGACAACGATCTCGCCCGGCAAAGTCGACCATGGAATGCAAGCATATAACAACGAGCAAAAAGAGGTGCTTCTTGATCAACAAGGCTACGGCGCGGCACCACCGTATGCTGAGGACCCAAGCGGAAAACCCAAGATCCTGGGCATGCGCCGCAAGACCTTTTGGATTGTTTTTGGTATCGTGCTTGCAGTCATTGTTATTGGTGCAGCTGTAGGCGGCGGCGTCGGTGGCGGGTTAAGCGCGAAACATCATTCAGAGTCACCCAAATCGTCGGCATCTGCAGCCGCAGCGAAAGCCTCCGCTGCCGCCGCTACTTCTATCACCACCACCGCGAAGCTACCCGACCATACCATCACCGTTACCCAGATTGCTCCAGGGGCCAAAACGGTCTCAAAATCTACTTCTCCTACTGCCTCTGCGACTAAATCGACTTCGACGGCCTCGCAAATTCCGGACTCGGGCTGTCCAAAATCCAACGGTACCAGGACCATACCTATTGATCCATATACGAATAACAATGTGATGGTTGATAATACTGTGCAACGCTACGAGACCATTTGCGATACTGATTGGCCCTCTGGGCCTTCTTTTGGGAATCCCGGTGTCATGGATGTCTGGGTGGACAATCTTGTCACTGGGCAAGACCTGACCGATACCATGGCTAACTGCATGCTACTGTGTGCCTGGTACAATTCCAACTTCAACTCTACCAACAAGCAGTATGGCGATACGAAGCAAAAGCCCGACGGCACTGGCGGAGATATGGGATTCATGCCTGGTGTGATCAATGCCTGTCGTGCCGTTGTGCTTGAGATCAGACCAGAGGGACGATGCTGGCTGAAGAATGCCACTGGAAATTCCACTCAGTACTCGACATATGAAGTCGATGGAGCTGTGCTGGTAACGTGATAATGGTGAGCAAAATGTCCCCTATGCCAATAGTTCGCGTCGTCAGTGATTTCCGGTGAACTAGTGAACTGAGACCCAGGTGGCTGACAGACTTTAGTGTTTAATACAAGGTTTCTACGACATGGAACAGCACGACATTTTTCTATTGCATAGTTGAACAAAAACGATAGCATCAGTGTTCTTCTTTTCTGATTTGATTTCTAATTTTGCCTTTATCACTCACACTTTCTTCTATCATATATCTTTTTCCCTTTTGCATTTTGTCATATTGCATACGAGCATCTCAGCCTGGACCACGATGTACATGTACAAGCAACACACTTAGATACCCTTGTTTCCAAGCTTGTCAATCAGAGACTTATAATTCAATTCAGTTGCACTGTTCTTTTTTGTGTGTGATTGTTTTGTTCTGATCTGCTGTGAAACTTTTCTTGAAGAGCAGGTCACAATATCATCAATTCACGTCTGTACAATTGCGGCTATATCGATGGAAACCAGACAGGATATCACATAAAGTTGAAGGGTTATCGAAATGCAACGAACCCGCCCAGGACCACACTTCGATGGTACGAACACTTTTGAACAGATAACTCTATGGATTTGAGGCCGGACTTTCCGCCTGAAGTCCCTCGTTCTGGACCACCCAGCGTCCGGTTAACTTTTCCAACCGCAAATCTGACCTCCGTTGACAAATCAGGGCGGCAACCCCCATTTTCCAATACTAAGACTGGTTCAGTCCGCAACTGCTCATCCCATATCTCTTACCATCGCTTGTCTTGCGTCCTCCGCCAGCTTTTTCGAAGAGCGCCAGGAGCTCTTAGTCTAGCAAGGCTGTTTACAATCGCCTCCCATCGCCCTCTCCGCGTTTCCTCATTCATCTGTAAGTCCAATTGACGCTCTCACTTCAGTCCTCTCTAATCCTGTCCTCCAAAGAATCTTGTGATACTAGACTCGCTCCTCCTAAAGTAAATCGTCATCATCATAATCATCGTCCTCGCCATCACACAATGGACCAATCGCAAGAGCAGCCTCGCTCGCCCGACTACTTTCAACAACAGTACAAGAGACACCTTACTCGGCTTGCAACTGAAATTCTCAGCCACGGGGGCCCACCATCTCCGGAAGATATCGATGAAACAGTCAAAGAACTAGACGGCATGCTGAAAGAGGATAGGAAACTCCTAAACCTCCAATTCAACGTCGCCAAGAAGTTTCTCATCGCCGGCCTTGCCATGAAACTAGAGGAGCTGATGGGTCAGGGTGAACACTTGGCTGAACGCATCAACGAGTCGTCTGCAACTAGGATGCGCCGATCCGCGACTCCCGACCAAACCAAGGCTCGGCTTCTCAAGTTCATGGCCCGCTTGACCAAGGAAGACATCAAAGCATGTGGCTTGGACGTCGAGAACCATTGGCCTGTCGTTCAGAAATTTTCCAGAGTAAGTCACGATAGAGGCAGCCGTCCACTTTCTCCCTTTGAGTCATGTTTTTTTTTCCTCTGCTCTCATATATTATACCTCTTCTCATATACTTTGGATTATCCCGATATGTTAAGAAGCCTGAGATCTCACGCTTCCAACCCGGCCCTGGTCCACTAGATTGGCTAACCCTTAATAGTACCGCATCTCCTCCATCTACTTTGACAAGACGTTCATGAAAACGAGCCCCAAGGTAGAATTCGCAAGGGTCCTCCACTCAATGCACGAGCAGCCGTTTCTCTGGGAAAAGGACTTTTCGAAGCTATATGCTCGCTGGAGCACCCTTTTTGCTTTTGTCTATGGGCAAAGCGTGCAGGCCGTCGACAGAGGACACCTCCGGAATATCTTTGCGTTCTTGAATTCTGAGTCCTGATACGATCATACGGTTCTCTTCTCAGCGTTCTTCATTATGCTTCTTCAGCATTTTTTAGTTATTTCTCAGCCTTTTTCATTATCAACATGACAACAGGCCATTGACGGATCAAGACTTATCGGCTGTGTGGAAGAAAGGATGAAGGTCTAGCTGGTTGCTGTATCCTGCGTTGCTGTAGCCTGCGATTGCTGTTAAATGTGATATTTTACTTGCGTTTTATTATTGTTGTTATTATCGTCCTTTTCATCGCTTAATCGTTTTATCGTTTTATTGTTTTCTCAGCATCATTAGTATCTCTATCCTTTGTAATTGAAACATGCAACTTCTCGAGAAGTGACACTGCGACAGCCTCAATCCACGAGCTCTTCCTCATTGCCGCGCGGTGACTATGCCCACTGCCATTCGCTCATAGCCACATAGGAGTATGATGTGAATCATCTATCAATCACAATCCCAGTAATTTGCTGGATTCACGAGAGTTATAGTAAATTAAGACTGAAGCGTTTCATTGTTCAGCTTGTTCTGTCAGGATTCAATGGTATTTACTCTTGCTATTTACCATTACATTTACCATTACATTTACCATTACCATCACCATTTACCGGTACTCTTTACCAGTATCCTTTACCATTACATTTACCAATAGCATTACTATTAGCATTGCCATTACTAGTTACTCTTTACGGTCTTGACTCTTACCATTTACCCTGTACTAGATACTGGATACTGGATACCTTGAATACCGTCATTTGATATTCATTAATCGTTATCATTTACCTGGAATATGGTATACCGTTATTCGTCAATGGTTAATGTCTGATAATGGCCGGTTTGACGGTGAAGAAATTGCAATCACTGCAGCCTGCAGCCCGCAACACATAGCTTCACCGTCCACAGGACCATAGGAGCACAGGCATGGCCCGCCAGTGAAGATAAAATCATCGAGTGATGCGTTGAGCAGGAGTAGAAATATAAATATCCACTTCTCACCCCTCCATCGATGATTCGAGTCCTTTTGACATTTTACCACTCGGAGTCTCGGACGGCGGACGGTATTATAGTCCTTTTAAATCGAGTATGTATTTCTTCTGAGTCTAAGATTCTAATATATATTCTCTCTTTCCCTTTCCCTTTCTCTCTCTCCCTCGCCCTTCCCCTCTTTCCGTCTCTTTCATCCAACAAATAAAAATAAAAATAAAAACGCAAAACGAAAAAAGAAAAAAGAAAAAAGAAAAACAACGTATGGATTCTTGGATTCTTGAAAATTGGAAATATATTACAATTCACAGATCCGCAGCATATCCAGAACTCAGAGCAATGGAACTGACCGTGGAGCCGTGGATTCGTGGATGTATCGACTATCCAACTAACTTAACGAAGAGTCGCGGACTCGCTGCTCGCACTGCTGGATTTGTCAACTCGCCGCCCCGTCGCTTTATCGCATCTACGCCTGGAAGGCTGGGAAATAAGCTCCCCGAACCGCGGATAGTCGGGAACTCGGGGAACAAGACTAAGCTCCAAGCTCCTTGAAACCGGAGTTTTCGATTGTCAGACGGTCAGACGGTCAGACCAGACCGTACCGCTCAAACACAGGCCCTAAACGAATATTGGCAGGTGGCGGGCCTCGACGAGTCCACGAAGTCGAGAGGAAAACAGAAGCAGAGAATCCGAGTTCCGAACATGCTTGAGTCACAAGATGAGGTACCAATTGCTTGACTCCTTGAGTGACGACCTCGACGAGTCTTTCAGGAATCAGGAGAGCAGCAAGAATTGAGTCAAGATGCAAACAACGATTTTTTTTCGTGGGTTTTCAATATAGGAGAGCTATCTCGCAGCTCGCTCGCAGTTGATATTTTTGGATCAAGGCAATCCAACTGCCAGCAGATCATTCATTGATATCCAGAGTATTTGATACTCAACTGTTATGCAAAGAAGTGTGATTGGCCCCAGAACACTGCGGGATGAAATTTGGGAAGTCGATCTTGGATCACTGAACATGTTACATGTTACATTCAAAATGAAGCATTGAAGCATTGAAACCTATACGTTCCTTGAAATACTGGGACAAACAAGCTCGACTCCTCGAGATTTCGATATTTGTGGATACAGAGCGACGAACGCCGTCGCAAGCGCGGAAAACCGCTACAAAGGGGAAAAATCAGAACTTCGGCAGCTGGGCTGGTTTCTCAAGTCAAATGCTGGTTTTTCAACAATCATCTAATATTGATGTCAACCATCTTGATATTAGTTTGATATTGGTTTCGATGATAGGGAGGTGTAAAGTCAATACACACAATCGCTTACAAGGACGAGTTGTTGGATCTTAGGAGGACAGGCTAGACTGGACGCCCAGAAGCAACGGAGCAACTATACAAGGAATCAAGAGACTGGTTGCAAAACGGCAAGACGGCGTGGCGCAGCTACATTGCTTTCGTTCCTGTCGAGAAACAGAAAGGAGAATTATACTGACTATATCATAACATATACTGATGGCAAACAGTGGTTCATTATGGAGTTTTGACTCAATATCTTCAAGATTCACCGGTGTAACAATGACATCCCGTGTGCCACTGCAGTATGGTGACCTAGAAATAACAAAGAACTTTTGAAAGTGGTTTGGAAGAGACAAAGAACATTTGGAATGTTTCGTTTGGAAGATGTGGCAATGGAAAAACATATATTGACTCGTGGAGGCTCGCGAGAAATGTATGCTGACTGGATAAGTACATGTTAGGGTACTGTTAGAGAACAAAACCCGCTGGAAGATGAGAAAGACGATCTGGCAAGTTACACTATCAACAAGCTGTTGTACTATTTCAATACTCTCAACACAACACAGACCCGTTCTATTTCGTCTCAATTCCCGATATGTCGGTTCGTCATGCTGTCCTCGACTTCCCGCTCATGGAAAAGAAAGGAATACCTCGCCAACCCTCCAAGGAAGAATTAAAGGTTCTTTTACGCCTTTTTCCAAATCACTGGCCTCAATGTTAGCTCTTATGTGCTCTAGGCTCGACTGACGAATTATTGTTTCATCAACTCACTGGATAAAGAGCTACAATATAATTTCAACTCAAGCCAACGCCCATTTACCGCCGTTGCAGCATTCACTCATTTGCCGTTAGCCTTGCTGTTTATAGTAATATCCATATCAACCATTTTCGGCAAATACGCTGAAAGATCCACTTCGTTGCGGCAACGCACTCGCGGCCCATCATGCATTGAAACGAATGCTCCACCGTCTCAGCTAGGGCTTGCTCTCCTGCATGTCTGGACTTTTGTCCTCACAGATCAGTCAGCTTACTCACAAACTGGAGCCACGAATGTCAGAATGATGTAACACCTTTATAATCCTCTACTACTATCCAACCTAGGCTTTGGAGTTGTCCTTCAGTCTATTTATTCAATTTTAACGCAGCCTTTTACTAGTATTACAACTACAGTCTGTTTCGGCTTCGACTATATGGCGAGTATTCTTTGTATTGCGGAACAATGGAGACCCATCAAGATCGCCTGTCGACCGAAGTCTTGAAGCTGTATTCGCTCTAGCATACACTTTTCCTTCCCTGAATTCACACAACTGTTTTCATTTCAGATCAGAGCCAGTCTTACGCAATTTGCAGCAATGGCTGTCTGAACAAAGGGTTATTGAAAGTTGGGTCCTTTCGTCTAGGTCATGTTATTGTTTGACAACAAGTGTCATGGGTCCGTGGCATTCCTGAAATGTACAAGCACATGGAAGAAGACTTCCGTCTGGCCGTTATTGCAGGCCTTATGGAGTCTGACGGATGCTACGTGAAGTCGCACAATACCTATCGGTTTATTCAAATGACCGAAGGCCACAAAAGATCGGAGAAGATCTAAGAGAGACGGCATTGGCTACAGGAATATCTGTATCAGGAATTGACGAGGTAACTCGCCCACCCGTCGGAAATTACAACACAACAAGGACGGGCCCAATAGGAGGTACATTTGCTACTCAAACAAGACACCTGCTTATCCCGCGAAAGAAGATGCGACTGCCGTCTTTTACAGTCAGATATTAGGTTATATCTTTCAGACCTATATTTGACAAAATGCACACTAAGACCTTCTTATAGTAGTGTGCTCCAGACTGCACGACTTGCGGAATGCGGATTGTGGCAATTGACAGTAGACAATTGGCATTTTGCAAGAGAATCAAGACTGTCATTTGGATCCTGTCCATTTATACTGTACCGATTATGTCAGTGAGCACAATAGCGCTCCTCGGACTGAAGATCTCTCAACATCTCGTTGATCGAGATGAAATCAAGCGGCCAAGTCGGCTAACAACACATCTAATATCAAGATAGCCGGCGAAGAAGAAGATTCAGGTGATGATGAAATGAGTGATGAGGATGGTGAAACCAATGTTGCTTTGCAGGATTGCAATGATTGTAATACTAATATTGATGATCTAATATCATTTACAACTCCTACTCATTTTCAGCCTACTTTTTTGTCTTAACCACCATCCATATCTATTCTAAAGCCCACAAGATCAGCCAGAAGCTCTCAACCTTTGCAACAAAGGAAACCTTCAAACCTTCCATGTCGTTTATAAATTTCAAAGGTGAGTTCATTCCTACATGTCTCATTACCTTCCTCACCTCACCCTTCTCTTACTTTTCTCTCATGATAGTTTTACCTTGCTCTTAGTTCACTCTTATCTTACTCTTACTCTACTCTTACTTTCTACTAACATGCATTTAACAATAGAGCAACCCTGCTTTCTAAATTTCTACCACCTACATTAGTACCAAACATAGTTCTAGTAAGTTAAACCTAGCTGTATATGTAAGAGTCTACCACTAATCACTGAGGAATCACTACAAAGATCACTACAATTGTGCTGCACTACCCTACCGTCATTTTCTCACACCAGAATTTTAATTTGTCTTGTAAGGAAACATTCCCTAGATTTACTAGCAACATTTTGTACTAATACTTTACTTCAAAGATTACTCCAACAAAATGACGCTACTGCCAGACGCATACCACCCATGAAATCCTGCGCCGAAAAAGCCGAACTACGATTCCGCCAAAATCACAGACACTGGGTCCGGCTCAGGGATTCGGCAGTCCAAGATGGGTGGCCATTCAATGTCCCTGAGCTGGTAAAGGAGCCAATAACTCAGGGCAAAACTAGTGGTAAGCCTTACAAGGTAACTACAATGGTAACTACGACTGACTTGACTGAATGCAAACCAGCGGAGGCATTGCGTGAAATCCAGTTTTATCAAGAAAGCAGCGGCCTCTTTCTCCCCAACTTGGCTTTCTCCCGTTTGGTGCGAGAAATCGCCATGAGCTACAACACAGAGCTGTGATTTCGACAGGTTGCAATGCTTGCATTGCAGGAGGCGACAGAGGCGTATCTTGCAGCATTTTTCGATAGTTCGTGCAACTTGAGCATTATTTTGAGGTGATGCATTCATCAGATGCCAATCTTCTATAACATGGATCTCTGCTTTCTGCGGATTGTGGTCGCGTTGTCGTTCAGACTGATGGTCAGAATCAGATCAAGTAACTGGTCGAGACATTGCTATTGTCATTCCCCTTGTCTGCTTGCCTGCTTGCTTGGAAATAAGGAGTTTGGCTACACAAGTTGGCAAGAATGCCCACTGCTCGAGCTGATGGATCGACAGGTTTAAAAATTTGATTCTAAAAATTTGATTCTACAACTGAGGCTTTTAAACTGTCAATGGCATGTACAGAGCATGGGTTCTTTGATTCATCAAATTGATGATTTATCGAATTATCGAATCGTCGAATCCATATATCGCCTTTCAAAATCCTTTGTAATGACGCTTTGCGATTTTCAGACTGAGGAGATCATCAAAAGGCAATGTGCAGTCCATCTCGGCTCTCTGCCTATTTGAAACAATTATATATTGATTGACATGTATGCGGCGAGACCATTTGACGTCCCGCCGCTGGGACTACTTGCAAACTCTCAGGAATCCAGACAGAATGTCACAAAAGGGCGAATTATGAGTTAGAACATGTGTCAAGATCCAAGATTCAAGAATCGGAGTTAAATCCGCAAGAATTGAAGACAACTTTGATGAATCATGAGCTGGAAGTACATGGACAGAGAAAAAATGTGATGGAGCCACATCTAGGGTGTCCGTTGGTCTTGTCGGGGTTGGTCTTTAAGGTAAAGACCAAGGTATTGCCAGGCTGCAGGTCACAGCTTGCTTGTTCCCAAAGAGGCTGCGCTGAGACCCTTACCACCCTTGCAGAGACAAATTTGACAAAAGCTGAAAAGCAAGGCCGCAAGAGTTCTGGAACTTCTGGCCGAAATTGCCAATGAAGCTTGAAAAGAATGCTTTTCAGTGCTCCCAGGTTTAGGTCTTTTTAGAATCATGGTGCTGCGGTGCACCGTGCTTCGGACTTGTCTGTTTCGTTTTTTGAACAGGCTGCAAGCTTAATTTTCAAAAGACTGTACAGAAATCCAAAACGTTCGGGACCTTGCGTATAATTTCCGAAACGGTGAGGGGACAGCTTCTGGAGTGAGAAAGGCGGCGAAACAGTTAAGCCTTCACAGAAAGGGTTCGACCGTTCGACGGAGACGAGTCGCAAGACGAGCACCAATTTCTTGGGAGACTCTTTGGTCTCCCGATAAGAGAAAACACCACTAGGGTGTCCGTTGGGGCCGGTGGAAATCGGTGGTCTTTGGTCTTTTACACACTCAACCCGGACCAGGTGTGCAAATTTGAGAGGAGGATCAGACCAGGAACATGCCTCCACCGGTCTGTGATCACCACCAACATTGCCCACTTATATAGGATATACATCAACAATCAGTCAGCAAAGTTATGCTCATAATGCAGGTTATTTGCCCAAAATATACACATATATACCAGATTTATGCATAGATGGGTTTAGTTAAAAAAACCGCCCACGCCCGGTCTGGAGGTTGGTTTTACCTTATAGACCAACCCAGACCAAAGAACACCTTGGTGTGGAGCATTTCGGGCACAAGAGCGACCCAGACCAGACCAACGGACGCCCTAGAAAAGACTCAAAAAGGGAGATCGTCTGGTATATTTTGATTTGGGCTGCTGTGGGTTTAAATGACGGTATAGTTGGACATGAAAATGGAGGACGGAGGATGGATGATGTGGCTTGCACAGACAAAATAATGAGGAAATTGAGAAACGAAGAAACGGGGAGAGGAGAATATGCAAAAGAGAAAAAGAGAAAAGAGATGGAAATGGCATTATTCGTTCAAGTCTATACTACATGACCAGAAATGCGTTATACGTCAATTGTAAAATTTGATATCTGTGAGTAGTACGCGCTGATGCCGAGGTCGAGCAGGAAAGTATCGTCAAACACGCGTCTAGTTTGAATTGAGCTGTTAGTACGCATTACAGTCAATTGGCTATTCAGTATCAAGGAATTCCAAGACGTAGAAATGGGTATGAGTGTACACGGGGGACAATATAATCACCGGCACATCTGAATTGACGACGAAGATTTACTCACCCATCGTATCCTCCGACAACGAAGAGCCTTGAATCGTACAGGACAGCAGCATGATACCCCCTCGGACTGGGCGCCGCACCATATACTTTTCTCTTATCCCACTGCATAGTCACGAGATTAAGTAGCAGCAAGTCGTTTGAATACTCGACACCGTCATGGCCACCAAAGACGAACAAATAACTCCCCACAACGGTCGCGGTATGACTCAGTCGCGGAAAAGACACTTCGATATTGACGCTTTTCCAAACCAGCGTCTCGACATCAAATATCCACACGTCGCGGAAGCAGTCTACACCATCTGAGCCGCCGTAGACAATGAGTTTCGAGCCGACCATATTCGCCGTATGGTATCCTCTGGCCGTGGGACGCGAAGGGGAGGCCGAAGAAGCAGAAACATTCTTCGTCGTAGTCAGTCCGTCCTTGCCCTTGGCCGTAGTGGTGGTAGTAGTGGCACGGGATGAAGACCCAGCACTGATGAGTTTCCACGTTGCGCGATTGAGATCCGTAAGGTCCAATCTCCACACATCATTCAAGGCGCGCACGCCATCTCCGCCGCCAAACACGTATAATCCGCCCTTGTACACGCAGGCGGTATGCGCGCGGCGTTTCGATGGCTGGGGCCCGTTGATTTTGGGTTTCTTGTATCGCAGATTGACCGTATCGAGGACATATACGTCGTTGAAATATGAAGGCCCGTCGCCACCGCCAAAAATGACAATCTTCTTGCCTACGGTGTTCATTGTCATTGCGCGCAGCGGAAGCGGGATCGTGCCCTGGCAGGGTGGCGTGGTCCAGTACATGCAGTCTGCGTCAAGAACGGCGAGCTCGTTGAAACACGCTTTGGAGTCGCATCCGCCAAATACGTAGATATTGCTGCCCACGGTGCACATTGCATGCGCGCGTACAGGCAGGCGGTCGTGACCCAGGCTACGGGCGCGCGACCAGTACATGGCCCCGGGCGGCGCGGGCTCAACTTTTGGCCCTTTTTCGGCGTCGTATAGAGCAGGAAGTTGTGTGGGTGGATGTCGTTTAGCCCGCGGCTGGTAGGCAGGCTCGGGCGGAGGCGCGGGCGGGTCGGGTTTGAAGTTGAACGCCGAAGTAGATTTTGGAACCTTGAACCAGGACATTGACGCCTCAATATCGCTCTTCTTCACCTTCTTCTTCACCTTCTTCTTCTTCTTCGTCTTTTTCGAGGACGATTTTTGATTCGAGGCTGTTTTTGTCGTGGCAGTTGGGTTGGGTGAGGTTGATCTCGTCGGTCCATCGGGGTTTAATACAGAAGTTTCGGGAATAGGAGACAACCCGAGGTCGGAGGAAGATTTGTTGCTAACGTTGGGCTTGAGTGTCGACATGTTTTCGAGGGACGGCGTTGACAGGTTTCTACTCTGGGATGCTTGTGATGATGGTTCCTGTGCGCGACGGGGCTCTGCAATGGTGTTTCCGACGTTGGAATTAGAAGAGTTGTCCTCCTCATTGTTAGACGTAAGCGCCGTCTGAGACATGTTTGGAGTTGTCTTCGATCGTAGAGGAATAGATTCAGGAGTTTCCGTTAGTGTTAGAGATGAGACATTACTAGGCTTTTGTGGAACCTTTTTTCTTTCCAATTCGTCATCATCTCGCATGAGTGTCTCAGGGGGCACGATTCTTCGTGTCAGCGGTTGCTGCGGCGCGGCAAATTGGTCGAGATAAGATACATCAGGCATTGTCTTCTCTTTCAAGTGAGCCGGTACCGCCTCTTCAGCTTCGCTCTCGCTCTCATCGCTGCTTTCGGAAGGTGAGTCGCTGATTTCTTCAGGTTTCCTTGCCGAGGGCTGAGTGGTCGGAAGTAAAGGAGATGACCGCGGTTCAGGAATCTTGTTTCCAGTTGACGGGTCCTTTTGCACTCGCTTCAAAGGCAGTACGAGCTTTGCCCGTCGAGCCACTTTTCCAATAACAGATCCTTTCGTGGCGCCTTTCTTTGCCCTCTGTTCTCTTTCTTCCGAAGAGCTGCCTTCAGATTCTTCCTGCGGGCTTGCAGTGAGAACCTCTCTCCTTGGACTGGGTCTTCGTTCCAGCGTGGGCCTATTCCTAAACGCTGCCTTGCCCATCGTACCATGACCGATAGGATCTGTGGGCGGCGACAGTATGGGCGAGCCCAGGGGGTATGCAGGAGCAGTAGGGAAACCGCGTTCATTCCCACCCTCTCTATCGGTGCCGCCTGCGGTGCGGGGTCTGGAGAACAAACTGGCAGCATCACGAGGCTGCGGAGATGCGCGGCCTGTAATGAAGCTAGATTTGCCATCTGCAGGATCTGTTGGCTTTGATGTCATGTTCGCTGACGCTGCAGCCACTCGACTTGAAGACGCGGCTGACGACGGCGCAAGTGAAGACTGACTTGATCCTGCCGTGAGATTTTGCCGACTTCCAGCGCTTTGAAATTTCCAATTCGATGGCTCCATTTCTGTTTCTCTGCGTCATAGATTGTAACCTGGAGAATTGACTCCCTCAAAAAGGGCAGATGCGTGCCAGGTAGCATACAAGCCACGAGACGCTTGATATCCGACAGTGCCTCAACGGCGGAGCTAAATCTGGAGAAAGAGCAAAATGAAGCAAATAAACAAGAACAAGTACAGTCTAACAGCACTGAAATATAGTACGTGAACAGGGTATCGTCTAAAAACGCGCAATATAGCAACCCTGGGAGGAAGCTAAACGCCAAAGCAGAACGAAGCGCAAATGAAAAATCGATACAGAAGATTCAAGCATGAGATACAAATTCAGCGATATGCTCCGCAAAAGCTTAGACGACTATGACTGGAGAGAAAAGAGGTGAACTAAATATCTCAATGTCGGCGAGAGAACGCGCGTATCATGCAAGTAAGGAGCGTGTGCTGTTGCAATGTGACAACAAATTGCTCAACAGATCAGGCAACACATGAAGGAGCGACTGAAAACTCGACAGATATCGACTTTCAATTTAACATTAAAAGCGCGCGAAATGAAATCGAGGGACTGCGGAGGGAGATAAACACAGGACGTGCAGTGATCGTGGTGGGGCCCCAGCACAACCTCAGCTGGTCGTTACATATCCAGATCATCGCTATCTGTGGCTGAACTGGTGGTGTGGCGCAGCAGGGACCGCGATCTGGATCTGATTCGATCTGATAATGATCCGATGCCCCACCATTATCCTTTAGCTATCACCGCCAGGGCCGCCCTAGAGACCCCTCAATCCAATATTTCATGGCCATCGTAATTGGAAAATGAATTGATGCGAGTATAAGGGAATATAGATGGTAATTCTGCAAGATGGCAACTTCAACTTCACCATATGAGTGGAGACCAGTGGAGTATATGAAACAAGGCTCCAAGGCCAAGTTCGCACTACTGATACTCAATCAGCCCATTACTGATATTCCGGTATTTGAACGTTTATGGGAAAACGGTATGCTTCTCCTTCACATTTATTGAAATGTCCTCTATCCATTTGCCTCTCTAGTGTTTATCCTGTTCTTGACTTCTTTTTACAATGGAAGAGCTAGTTGTTACTACATCACCCGTACATCGCGTGACTTCTTTTGGTTCTCCTTCTGCAAGTTCAATTGCGTACATTATTCCCATATGTCTGTGTTCTTGCGCATTCGTTATCTCTCGTCATTATACGATCCATCTGGTCATCGCAATTGCGATTTGTTCGTTGCATCATTCTTCCGCTTCTTTACGTTCTCTTGTCTCGCAATGTTACAATACCCATGTCATTGTCAATGCATCTGCTCCCATGCCAGCGACTCCATACTAACCAACAACAGCTGCTGTAAAGATATGCGCCGATGGCGGGGCTAATCGTCTCCACGATCTTTTACTTGACCGCGGGTTATCATTTGTACGTTCCCGTCTTGCTCATCCAAAGCGCTACAGTCCGACAGCCTCGCATTCACAAGCTCCAATAACCTACAAATACCTCTCATCAAATTACGCGCTTCATATCTAACCAGTCCAGACCCCCAACATAATCCATGGCGACTTGGACTCCCTCCGCTCCGAAGTCGAGCAATACTACCAAGACAAACCTCAGCCTCCTATCCCATCCTTCGCTAGCTCTTCCCCATCTACATCGACTGTTCCAACTGTCGAAATAAGCAAAGACCCAGACCAGTACTCATCGGACTTTACAAAATGTCTGAAGCGCTTGGCCCGTTTTCCCGAGCCCATGGATGTCATTGCTCTCGGCGGCCTTGGTGGCCGCGTCGACCAGGGGTTCTCACAGGTGCACCATTTATATATGGCTAGTTTAAACAATCTGCCTGGCGATGGCGCCGAGGTTGAAGGGGCGAGTCTCAGCAACCCTCGAAAAGAGAATCAGCCAATCACAGGCCGCGACAAACGATACTACCACGACGCCAAATCACTCATGCGTGGGCGTGATCTCTATCTGTATTCCGAGCAGAGTATCTCGTTCGTGCTGCATCCAGGGCAAAACAAAATCTATACGCCTATGAGCGAGGGCTATCTGACCGAGAACGTGGGCATTATTCCAGTCGGGAAGCCTGCAAAGATCACAATTGAAGGGTTTGAGTGGGACGTGCAGGACTGGCCGACAGAATTTGGCGGGCAGGTTAGCACGAGTAATCATATACGAAGCGACGTGTTGATGGTGGAGACGAATGAGAGGGTTCTTTTTACGCTGGAAAGGACCGAAGGCTGGTCGTGAGGACAGGGGAAATATATTACGAATGTTTTGAGTTTGGAATCTTTCTAGATGGTCGGTAAGCGCGGGCAGCGATGCCTTCTTGAAGCTATACGGCTTTGGAGATGAGTATATCAAGATATCCTTAAAGAGCAGTTGATAGAGACGAATATTTTTGACGTGTTTGGCAAGGTATATGTGTTATTCATCGTGGAGTCCTCTATTTGCGCGTGACTGGGCTTAATTACAAAAACATTACTTTCGAGAGATACGAGAGACCCAGCGTCCTCGAAAAGAGTCATATGTCCAAAACTATACGCTGAAATACAAAAAGGCATGGCATTATCGCTTCTTGCCCTTCGTCTTGTCGACGATCTCGACCCACTGTCTGCTTATGCCCCGCTTCTCTAGCGCCTTGATAACAGCATCCTTTTGTGGACCTTGCACCATAATCTCCATGACTGGATGCTTGGGGCTACTTCCAACTAATTGTCCGACGCTGGTTGAACCGGCGCAAGCTGTGCGTAATTCATCCGCAAGAGGGTTGGGTTTGATATAGAACGCTTCGACGCCAGATACTTTTGTGACCGTCTTGTTTCCTGAGCGAGTCTCTAGCACAATTTGCACCTTGGGCGCAGCTCCAGACTTTGGCTTGACCTGGTCCATGCTCTCGTTTCCGCGTAAGATGGCCCAGTAATTTGCGCAGCCTTGGAGAACGCGCTCGACAAGGGCGTCTCTTGGTACAGCTCCTTTCGCAAGGACCTCACGATCCATTGGTGACTGGCCATCAAAAACGGCATTTGCCAAGATGGGGTTTAAGTTGACCAGCCGCTTATTGGTCGATGCAATGAGGTTTTCGGACTCAATATATGCTGTAACAATGATGCGGATTTCGCTAGCCACATAGGCGGCTTTGACACTGAGAAAGTGTGAGCATTTGGGTTTGAGAAAAGGAGAATGTTCAAATACCTGGATCCAGAAGCTTCGAAGAGAGGAGCGAACTTGTCCTTTGGCTTGTAGAGATTGACCTTGGTCAGCTTCTGTCCAATCGAATCATCTCGTCCAGGGTCACTGGAGGCAGCAGTTCGAGCTGCTGCGCCTGCACGATCCGCTCCAGCAGAGGGAGCCTCCTTTTTCGGAAGCCGGTAAGGAACAAAGTTGAGTAATGCTTGATCATCAAAGTCGACGTCCATGATGACAATTTCTCCTCCGCTGCGGTCCTTTGATTTGACCAAAAGCTCCTTGTCAAGAGTTTTGATAAACTTTTTGACATTCTTCCAGCTTGTCTTTTTGATTTGTAAAGATGATGCCTGCGCTGGTGTATATGCGGGTAGGTATGGCAGCACAAGATTGGCTATGACAAATGACTGGGTCAGCGGGAAGACAAGCCCATGGTGTGGCGGCTCTTTGTTGGTTGTTTTATGATGGTATAAGCCGTACAAGAACGCTTTCCGGAAGGCATCATCGATTTCTGCAAAAAAGTTAGTTCCCTGAGAAATATTTCGCGATGGTAAATCGAACAACAAATTACCTCTTGTGGTCAGCTCCTTGTCCTCAACTTCGACCTCGTCAAAAGGCTTCTCATCCTGCATAGCGGATTCTTCCTCTCCTGCCGGGCCTCGTTCCTCTGCCGACTCCTGCTCTCCCCCCAAAGATACACCTTGACCGTGTGTCCCCGCTCCTTCCTCCTCGTCACTTATAGAGAGCTCTCCCAATTCTTCCTCGAGGTCTGAATCATCCGCACCTGTTACCGCCCAGCCGTCAAGAGAGTTTGGCGCCGCTCGTCCAGCCTTCCCGTCCGGGTTCCAAGCCCAAATTTCATCCCCTTCCCATTGTACCGGATGTACAGCTTTGCCTTTTTCTCCTCGTGCTTTCTGCAAGCTGCTGACATCGATTTCGCACACTCCGACAGCTAACGGAACAGTGGGATTTTCATGACTTGCGATTGCGACCACAGCTCCTTTTGTGGCATTTGTTGGAAAAGGGGGACCTCTTGTCAGACCAGGTGTCATGAGATCCGCACCGCCTTGAAGTTTTTCTAGTACGAAACTCGGTGTATGTAGAAGAGGGACAATATTAGGGTTCCGCCATAACGTGTACACTGCAGAAATCGATTGAATCAGTAGGTGCCAAATGGAAGCTCTCATGGAGAACTCTTACCGGTCGGATACATCCGATCTTCTACTTTAATCCAAAGTATCCTATTGTCCTCGCCATCATGTGTGCCAGCATAGACTGTTCCAGAGACCTGCTTCAGGTTGGGCCCCGCAGTGGTAGTGAATCTTGCGGACATTGTATTGTCCGGGAGGAGAGCATTTCGAAGGGTAGATACGGTGGGTGCAGGCGTCGATTGCTCTGACTCAGGCTTATCCTGGCTTGCTGGAATCTCCAATTTGAAGTCTGCAATGATTTGGTCCGCAACTCGGCGGCGCTCAGACGAGCGCAGCGGGGAGAATGGTTTAATCTTGGAAGGTTAGCGCGGCGCAAGACGAAGAGGTATGCAGTAAATTTGCGCACATTGGGCTTTTTCTTGAACATGATAGAAGCTAAGCAGACAAAATATTCTCAAAAAAGAAATAGGAGATGGAATTCTGTGAAGTCGGCTTCTACTACAACTGTTTTCCTTTTTCGTAGCAGTGGTAGTGCGTCTGTGCGGCACTTTCCGCGTCGTGGGGTTTTATGACGATAGAGCTCGTGGTGGCATGGAAAAGGCAATTTATACACAACGTCCGAAGCACCTCACTCGTCCTTCATGAACGACTACGTGATCTGATCATGGACTGGAAACCGTGATGCTCCGTGTACATCTTCCAAAAACAGGATTCAATCTCAAATATCGAAGAGTCAATTGCCCTTTTCGACTTGCTCGAAATAGGCATGTTACTCGATTCTCTTCAGCTGAGTAAATAGTTGGGACTCCTTTTCCCTGAAGAGGACACTTTCTTACACATGAGTCAGCTTCAGACTATGGCATATTACCTTTTTCCGGAGACAAAAATTGTACTTGAGCTACCCGAGCAAGGAAAATGCATCAAGGATAAGCAGGCAGAACCAACTTTGACTCATCGACCCCCGATATTCGTCACGTGATATCCAGACAACCGTCAAGACTGGATGTTATAGATAACGAATGATAACTCAATCTTAACAAATATCATGGTCTTACAGAATGAAATTCCTCAGCTGTTTTACGCATGATCATTTCGATGCTCAACGTGGATGCAGGACTGAAGAAAATGCCGGGCCTGGAACCGTGCAACGCGCGCAGCTAAACGATGCAACCCCTCCAACCCCACGTTGCGGCAGGGTAGCCGATACTAACGAGAGGACCTGCCTTTTGGGGTATCTGCCCCTCTTTCCCGCGCGCTATTCGGTGATCGTTCCCTTCCCGGAACCTGATAGCCTTATCGATGTGCCATGGATCGATTGGCGCCCCCCCGAAGCTACAAGCAGTAATGCTTTCCCTGGACAATGAGCTGAAGCAAACTTATCGCTATGGTGCTGCAGTGTGGAGAAGTTCATGCAGGTTGCTCTCGCGGCTTGTTTCGTTTTCTCTCTTTTCAGAATTTTTTCCCTTCTCCCTTCAAGGTTTCCTCGCACCTTGCAGGACTTTCTTTTCACGCTTTCTTCTCCATTGATGCAGTTTATTGATTTTCTGTTTCTTTTGAACGGTATTACAATCGCGAATTACTTTGACACTCCTTGGACAAAAGACTCTTTCACTGAGTGACGTCAGATTCTGCAAGAAAAACGAGGGTCTTTTGAAGAATCAACATGGGGCGAGATTCTGTTGACGCCTCGGCCGATGCGGCCTTGGCCGCCATGGGGTACAAGTCTGAATTGCCCCGCAATTTAAGCATGATGAGTATTCTAGGGCTGTAAGCATAACCCGAACCGAATGTTGAAGGATCCGTCCATAATTTCCAGATTCACTTGCAGGCACCAGATCCAAACAGAGGCATAACAGCTGACATGATGCCCGCGCAGATCATTTGCCATTATGGCCGTTCCATTTGGTCTAAGCACAACATTATACATTACATTGACTGATGGCCAATCGGTGACCATCATATGGGGATGGGTTCTAGTATCTCTTATATCCCTGTCGATTGCTGCATCACTTGCAGAAATATGCGCCGTGTATCCTACCGCTGGCGGAGTATACTACTGGTCCGCAATGCTGTCGACGAGAAAGTATGCTCCTATTGCCTCATGGGTCACTGGCTGGCTCACGCTTGTGGGCAACTGGACCGTCACAACGAGTATCAATTTCTCTGGCGCTCAATTGATTCTCTCTGCAATAACGCTATGGCGGGAAGACTTTGTGCCCAACCAGTACCAGACTGTGCTCATGTACTGGGCCGTAATGCTTGTCTGTTTCTCTGTCAATGCATTCGGATCAAAGTATCTTGATCTGATCAATAAAATATGCATCTACTGGACAGCCGCCTCCGTCTTGATCATTCTCGTGACTCTTCTGACCATGGCCGATCACCGGCGCAGCGGCGCTTTTGTTTTTGGTCATTATGACGCTTCTGCAAGTGGATGGTAAACCTCTCCTTTCACCTCTCTCACCTTCTCCCCTCCTCTTTTCTTCCTCTTCTCTTCTTTCTTCTTTCCGTTCCTTTTTCCCCAATACCCCAAAAGCTGACCAGTATCAAAACCACAGGCCCACCGGCTGGGCATTTTTCGTCGGCCTCTTACAAGCAGCATACACCTTGACCGGGTACGGTATGGTCGCCGCCATGTGCGAAGAAGTGCAGCGACCGCACCGCGAGGTACCCAAAGCCATGGTCTTATCCGTTGCCGCCGCCGGCATCACGGGCGTCATCTATCTCATTCCAATCCTCTTCGTGCTGCCCGACATCGCCACCCTTTTGAACGTGAAGAACGGTCAACCCATCGGTCTGCTCTTCAAGACCGTGACCGGCTCCGCAGGCGGTGGCTTTGGCCTATTATTCCTGATCCTCGGCATTCTTTTCTTCGCGGGCGTCGGCGCTCTTACCGCCGCCAGTCGCTGCACGTATGCTTTTGCCCGCGACAGAGCCATCCCCGGCAGTCGACTATGGAGCCGCGTCAGCCACACGCTTGACATTCCGCTGTGGGGGCTCATTCTCTCTACTGTCGTCGATTGCTTGCTTGGTCTGATTTATTTTGGTTCGTCTGCGGCGTTCAATTCCTTTACGGGCGTCGCGACCATCTGTCTCTCCACATCATATGGTATTCCCATTCTCGTGTCCCTGATGCGCGGCAGGAAACTCGTCAGGGATTCTACCTTTTCGTTGGGAAAATTTGGATTCGTCATTAATGCGCTCACGATTGCGTGGATCGCCCTTGCGGTTGTGCTTTTCTGCATGCCCGTCTCCCTGCCTGTCGATGCGACGGATATGAATTACGCCAGTGTCGTTTTTGCCGGCTTCGCCACGATTAGTATCGTGTGGTATTTCATCAGAGGACGATCCGGCTTCAGCGGCCCCCCTGTGGAAAAGGACATGTCTCCAGAAGATGTAGATGTTGGTGTAGTCTCTGGGCATCCTCCTCCCGCGGATCTTGAAAGTAAAGCGGCAGCGGCAGCTGCTGGGGGTGCGGCGGAAAAGGGGTCGCCGCAGTCAAAGACGGAATCCTCGATATAAACCACGACCTTATTAGACAATGTTTTAGATGATTTTTTATTATAGTATATTATTTCTTTTTTTAAGCTTATTATTTACTTTTTTCTCCCTTATATATTCTATTTTGTTTTGTTTTATCTCACTTCTTTACGTCTTTTTATTTCTTCACTTTCTATTATTATTTATTTCTTACACCTTTTATTATTGTTTTACACATATCTTACACAAACATGACACAAATTTTTATACCTTCATCTTTCTCCACTTTTAGGTATTGGGTTCTACTTTACTCTATAGGTACTTTAAGACTGTCCAGAAACGTTGCTATGAAAAAGAAAAAATCCTTGTTAGATAAGCTAGGTAATCTAATATCTACCGCATACTTGTAGTAACCCGAAAAGATATTTAAAAAAAAAAAAAAAAAAAAAAATAATGAAAGAATTTAAAAAAGAATAAGGATAAGAATAAGGATAAGAATAAGGATAAGAATAAGGATAAGAATAAGGATAAAGATAATGATAGTCTAGCTTCACAATCGGTGACAGTCCTCGAGACAAACACGTTCAAGATGCAGCAACGAAAGGAGAAAACATAAAAAGGGAAGAAAGAAAGGGGACAACAGATAGAATCCCAGATCTGATCCCGCATGCGTGCCGTCCACCTTCTAGAGGTGAACTGTATCCTTATGCGCACAAGAACGCGACTCATAGACGAAGGTATGCAAAATACTTCAATTCACGCCCGTGCAACAAAACCAGATCATAGACGTAAGAAATAGAATCAAAGCCATAGACCTATGCAACAAAACCTAGTTCGCATCAATAAATCTCAGAAAAAATGAAACCTAAGAAAAATCAACATCGACATGCTGCAATGCATCTAATGCGGCAAACGCCTCTACTACACGCAGACCGCGGACCCGCTCGGCTTCAATGCGTGCATATGTCCACTCCTCCGCGTTTGCTTTCCCGGCAGGCTTGGATTCGTCTGCGAACTCCTGGCGGGAAGACGTAGGCGCGGGCTCAAGAGAATCATCGAGCACGGCTTCTGCGCCTTCGGTGGAAAGTTGGAAGACTGCGCCTTCGACGGCGCCATTGAGATTGCTGGTTGAGGACTCGGCAGAGGCTTCAGCGGGAGTGGCTGGGCTTGCTGATGCGGAGGGTAGTGAGGAGGACAATGACGACGGGGTCTGTGACGCGCCAGACGGGACTGACAACGCTGAGGAGATGGGAGATGGCGATGATGATGATGATGATGATGGAAAGTCGGCAGGTTTGGGTGGCAACAGTCCGCCCTTGGACAGGACAAGTTCCGGCGGGACAGTCAGACGGCCCCTTTTGAGGACGTATTTTCCAATCGCGGATGCGTAGATTTTGGGCGGTTTCTCGGCCGCAGAGGAGGAGGAGGAGGAAGAGGATGAAGCTGATTTACTGCCGCGACGACCGCCGCCGCCAAAGATCTTGGAGAGGAGAGTGGGACGAGGACGAGCCTGGACAAAGTGACTGATGATGTACACCCATTTGCGGTCCCACGTGAGAACGCGACTGCGGATTTCATATGCTTGGTATGGTTGGATTTCAGCGCGGAACACGGCGGCGACGGCGCCAAGAGCGATTGCGAATTTGCCCTTTGCTGGGATAGTCGAGTTTGAGGCGCCGGATGAAGAAGGATCGGGCAGTTCAGTCAGCCGCGCGGTCTCAACGATGGCGTGTCGCAGCACTGACGCCACGACGTGTGTCCGACTAACGTCCAAGTCGGAAAAATATGTGGAATTGGATTTATGGATATTGTAGTCGCACTCAAAGGCCGGTGAACGAGAGCGCAGAATGTGCGTCTTGAAGAGGATTGATGGCGAGGGTTTCTTGGGTTGGATATAGAAATGCTGTCCGAGGGCGGAGAAGACGCGGAGCTTTGAGGAATAACGTCAGTTCCTTGCTCGCCACAAAACGTGTTGATAAAAGGAGCAAAGTAGGTATAATTTTTTTTTTTTTTTTCGGATAAAAACGTACATGCCAAACAAAAGGCAAACTTTTGATATTCAGCAGCGCAAATATCACTGCCAAAATCTTCCACACCGAACCGGTCCCGTCAAGAGACAGTGTCCGCATAACTGCCGAAGGAATCTCGCTCAGCGACTGCCCTCGAAGCGCAAGAAGGAGAGGTATAGCGGCCGATACGGCGACGATGGGGACGAGCGGCGTTGCTGTAGATGACATGTTGGTATGATGTTGTCTAGACGTCTATTTCGAAAAGGAGAGAGAGATCTTGTTCCGCGGTCTATTTCGAAAATGCTGTGTTTGAAATAATGAAGCAGTTCAGCGCAGCGCAGTTGGGTGCACTGTATCCCGGTGCCAATGTGTACTGTTCTATATCGCGTAAATCGAAATGCAGAATGCGCAATTCCTCTGACTTGTAGCTGTCTTTCCAACTTTCACTCAGGTCCAGATGCAAACACAGATATCATAGAATCTCCGCAGCCAGCCTTCACTCCCGGATGACATGCGAGGCTCGCGGCGAGTAAAGCTATAATATCTAGATCCGTCCTCTGAATCTCTTCCGATACGTGTAGTTGTAGTTGTATCCGTCTCAGCCTTGTCTTTGGCTGGGTAGTTGTACTTTTGTGGAGTATTTCGGAGTTTGTTCGCCAGGTACAAGCCCAAGCCCGAAATCGTGGTGTTCCGCAACTTCTGACCTGCAGTTTATGAATTGTATGAAATATGTAGCCCGGATAGAAGAAAACGGAATGAACAAGAAGCGCTTGCCCTTTCTCCTTCGCTCTCTCTCTCACTTACTCACGCACGCACCCACACACACTCTCTCTCTCTTTCGGAGCAAAACAGTGAAAATGAAATTACCCCGGGAGAACGGCCATCCCCGGCTCCGATCGGTCGGATTAACTGGGTGAAGGGGGTTCGATAAGGTTTAGCTTCTTCAGGGTCAAAAGGAACCTCGGATCTCGGTTCCGCGTCCACTGCCCAGGACCGAGGAACGCTGCTCGGCGTGTCCGAGAGAGTTTAACTTTGTACGAGGTTAATTAATCGTTCACGCATCTTGTTGAGAGCTAAATGATGCGATATTGTAGTTGACTCAACTTTTGCTTCTAGCGGTAATGGAGGCGGATGAACCATAGCTCCGACTGGGCGACATGAAAAGATTCTGCTTTTCTTATTGATCATGATGCGGCAATATTCCTCAAAAAGGGAAGAGAGAACCGAAGATGCACAACTCATTATGAGAATGAAGCAAACTTTAGAGAATTACATGTTTTAGTGGCCAATTGGAATCCAGGAGAGATATGTCCATGGAAGTTAATACATTCCGATCTCGAGCTAATATGGCAAGAGGAGACTAGAAAGCGAATCCAAAAGAAACAACAGTTTCTATATGAAACATTGAAACAGGACGAAATGAACAAGACTGATCTTCCAAATGTCCTACTCATATCTGATCAAAGACAGATGTTGATTTAAATTACATTCGTACAAAAAGAGGTACTATTTTAGATGTCATCATCCTCATCTGCGGCTTCTTGTGACGGGTTCTTGCCATCGCGGTCCAAATCGTCCATTCCGATTGACTCGGCGTCTTTCCGGCCCGACATGGCCATTGCTTGTCGCCCCGTATCAGACGACTCCAAAAATTCACGTAATCGGTCTTTGCCTAGCTCCAAGGCTTGCTGCGACGCGGCATTAGTCATCTGGAGAATAGGCCCCCAGAGGTTCAGCGTGTAGGTTACGTAGGCGCCAATGCCGATAAAGATCAAAAAGATAAAATATATGGGATTGCGGAGCACTGTAGAGAGGCAATTCGGTCAGCACACTGTTTTTTCGCCGAAATATTTCTGCTCGACCTCATGGGAGGAAAGCTGGTTGAAGCATGCTACTTACCGGCCCAAATCTCATTCCATCCTAATGCCAAAAGGAGACCGTAAAAGTATAGGGGCACCTGCGTGATACCGCCAATGGCTCCACGCTTTGCCTCAACGTAGACTCCATCAGCCATCTTTTTGAATCGCACGCTGAGATCTTGCCTCTTGGCGTCGCCCAAGACTGTCATTTCTTCCTCGAGGCTCTTTCCTTCATCCTCGTCGACGCCTCCTATGGGCGTCAAGTCCTCTTCATCGGCAGGAGTAACGGATGCAGGGGCATTACCAATCCAGGCGTCGATTGGTGGTGGAGCAGATGTGCTGGAAAGACGGAATCGTGAGAGTAGTGGAATGAGCGTCAGAGTAGATTCTCGGGCTTTCGTATAGATGCCCTCAATGTCATCTGTGGGTCGCCAGATGCGAGGCACTCCCGCTTCGTCGTATCGGAATTTGTCCTCAAAACTAGAAGCGGCGGAAAAGTTTGTTGGCACGTTATACTTGTGGTCGGACATGGTGACGAAAACTTACTTCTCACGCAACTTTAGAAGAATATTCCCCTCCATGACTTCTTCATCAATCTTTGCACGCAGCACTCCCCATGATTTTCTCCGCAACCGCCAGAGTCCAACCTCAACTTCCTCCGGGCTGGCGTCAAAGCTTGCCGCGCGTTCGGTAAACCGCGTCTCAGCGTCGCCAACAGTGCTCGTAAAGACGTTCCAGATGCGATCCCAGAGATCCTGCTCAGATGGCTTTTCTCCAGATTCTGGAGCGCCAGAACCTCCACGGCCAGATCCTAATTTGTTAAATTCAAGACCCACAGACTCTGCAAGCCGTGATTTGACCCATCTCTCAACGCGAGCTGCGAGACGGCGCATCTCCTCTCTGCGAAGGCGCGTGCTCACATCATCCAGCTCCTTTCGGAAAAGACTTAATTCGGCAGAATACTCGCTCCAGGCTGCGCCTTCTACCAAAACGCTTTGTGCTTGCTTTTCGTACGCCTTGAGCGCGGCCGTCTTCTCTTGCTCCACAATCTGAGCAAAGTCATAATTTGTCCCTTTCTTTTGGCCATTCTTCACGGACATAGTGACTGCTGTGCTGAAAGAGTCTACCCCGGCTTTATGCAACGCGTTAAGATGGCCATGGAAAAGAAGCTTTAGTCGGGTGTCAATCTTTTCTAGTAACTCGGAGCGCTTGAGCGAGTAAACACCCTTGTGGTATCGGCTGGCTTCAGTCTCAAAGTCCTTGATTGCCGTCATCCTCGATGACCGCATAGCATCACCCAAGCCCACTAATGCTTCCTGCTTCCCAAGTCGTGCCGCATCGGCTTGTTTTGTTTCGAATGGCGTAATTGAGACGTCGAATGCAACCATGACCTCACGGGAAATTTCGTCGCATCGAAACTGTGCAAGCAGCTCTTGCTGAGTTGGTAAATCCAAGTCTTTGTTGTTCACGATTTGGTCCCAAATGCCCTCGGCGTAGACGGGAAACCCATCAGCAGGGATCCGACGGTGATACTCGGGTAGGAAGATCCCACCATCAATCTCTTGGTCGTGAAATGCCGCCTTCTTTGGGTCTCTGTAGCCTTCCCGGAATCGCGCACCCAGTTTCGTTACCTCGTCAACAAATTTCTCCGGTTGAAGGATCTTGTGGGGTAACGCAGCGAAAGCGAAATCGAAGTAGTCTTCAATCTTGGATTGCTCGAGGCCTGAGGGCTTGGAGATCGAAGACCAGATGCGCTGCAAGTCCTGGACTAGGGTTGCCTGTAGATTTGCCAATGGTGTTGTCCCGATATGGTCTCTAATGACAAAAAAGAGGAGCGATCGAGGCGAGGAGCTGTAGCAAAAATAATCAGCCACACAAGCACGATCAAACATCACCGCCGAAGGGCATCGTACGTCTTGTCTTTTAGGAAAAGCTGCAGGTTCACCTCAAACACCGTTTTCAAAAGACCCATGTTCGCTCCTTGGTACAGCCCGACCTGGTGCTCCCAAATATTGACGATCAACACCTCACTCGTTGCAAGTGCGAATAATGCACTCTTGCGCTCAAAGTCCTGGTCCTCTCCGCGCTCTCTGCCATCAGTGCCCTCAACATCCATGACAAGAATATTCTCGGCCATGCGACGCGCTTGATCATCTGCGTGTTCTTTCCGATTTTTAGCCATCCAGATTCCTTTGGTGGTCTGCCGCCGTTCCATTTCAGACATGACATTGAATTCGGTACCGAAAAGGTGGTTCAAAAGCGTCGATTTGCCGGTTGACTGGGAGCCAAAGACGGATATCAAGTGGTAATTGAATCCTGCAGGAAGGACCTTTTGGATAGAAAGGTAGCTCATGAGATTGGGGCTGTATCATGATCATGCGGTCAGGCTCTGCCCGAGTCGGACTAAAGACGGGGATGCTCACTTAAAGACCTTATCCTCATCTACCACCTGTATGCCGTGCTCATATTTCTCGCTCCCCGGGCTATCGCCGGTCGAGGCAAAATGCCCATTTGCCGTCATGACGGAAGGTGCTGTAGGGAAGCGATTCGAGACCGACGGACGATGGTTATTGCCATTAGGTTGGGGAGAGGCCATGATTGATCGCGCCTAGGCAAATAATGTATAGGTGCTCGGTCCAAACTCGAAAGAAGAAGATTCTGTTATATGATACTTGAAATGTATGCCATGAAAACAATATTGGCAGGGATCAGGTCTGCACTGGACTGGATGTGAAGGATAAGATGGGAGACGCTGTCGATCTGGAGACTTTGGGGATTCCTTAGAGAGGTGACAGGAGAGCTTGGGGGAACGTCAACAAGGACGCACTGTGGAGACCTTAGAGAACCCAACAATACCTGATCTCCCTCATTAATAAATAGATAAGGAAGTATACAGAGGTACTTTCCAGTATCTTTGGTTGGTGGGCCAGCCTGCGCTACTGAAGCTCCACTTCCCCACAGAATGATTCGATTCCTGCTCCTCTTCAGCTATAAAATCGGATATTGATCAGATATCAAGATTTTGGTCAGTAACAAAATTACAAGAAAATCTGCACATATCTGGATTCTTTTCAAATATCTCGAATCGTGCCGTTAGACTCATTCAACTTGGAACCATTGCCTTGGTCAGGCCTATTTTCGCTATGATATCTAGCTTTTGCCACTAGCTACCGGATACGAGCCCTCGGAAGCGGGCTCTATAGGCAACGATACACTTTCATTACCTAGGTACCGAAGGTATATATCGAATGTTGCTTGATGAACCCGGGGCGAGTAAAAACCATTGTGAACAAGTGGAATAAGTGGCTCAAAGGCCGTGCTTCCATCACCACGATCGAATGGAATCTACATATTGATATTTGATTTGGCGGCTATCAATTCCAAGCTGGAGCCATCTGCTCAATCTGCCTCGCGCAAAGCGAGGCCTTGCGGACCTCGCGATGGGCGTCGCAGAAGAAGCCATCGATGCCTCCACTGCCATTTGAAGCATCTGAGAGTGAGACGACCAAAAGACCCAGTGACGGAACATGCAGGTGGCTGACTGAAGTGCGTTTTGCAAAGTGTGATGGGATAATCCCATGTTCGACCTGCCAGGACCGGAATATAAGATGCGAGCTCCGCGTGCCCAGGAAAGCCAGTCAGCTAACAATAGTTGACGCCTCATGGGTGCTGAATCCTAAACCTCAAGCTCTAGTCCCAACTGATCCCGTCTCGGTGTATATTCCGTGTTTCTTTTCGTTTGTCGGATCAGCGGAACACAATCCCTGGACTCTCGCGCTCTCGTATGATTCTATCGGTGCCGTCACTCAAAGCAATTCAATGATATGTGATGCTGCCATTGCGGTCGGGGCAGCGATGGCCAATGCCAAGTGGCCGGCAGAACTACAAGGTCGAGGTGAAAGCTATATAGCAGCAATGACTGCCTACAGTCGCTCACAGAACGACCTGCTTGGATGCGTGCACTCTAATCCATCTGCGATGGTCCCTGACGAAATGTTTGTCTGTGCACTTCTTCTCAGCCTCTTTGAAGTAAGCTATGATTTGATCACGACTTTTCCGGACACGCAACCTGCTTATCACAAACCAGATGATGTTGGACAAATCAGCCACCCGTTTTTACAACTTTCTGAGGCAAACACTGCGGCCACTGGGCCAACAACGACAGCAGCAGGGTCTCTCAAACCGATTTGAAGCCTCGCTGCTTCATCTTTATTCAACTGTTGAAATGATGTGCTCTGCTTTCTTTGACGAGGACTCCGTGGTGGCCGACCCAGAGTGGAGTCAGACTATGTGCACTATTGCCAGCTATGTGCCATTAACAGTCGTTGAAAAAACGGGGGTCTTTGATAGCATTCTTGCTCGACTGTTAAGGCTCAAGAAGCAGTGAGTTCATCTCTTCTACTTCGTCTCTGGACTGCTATTGATTTATCCAGATCTGGAGAGTGGCTTCATGAAATCCGTTTGGCTCCGATGGAGATCCTTCAGGCCCCGATTGGGGGTGGGCTTGAAAGCGAACCATTCAACAAATATCCCAGCACCGAAAATGCCCCACAATCCAACAAGGAGCTGGGCAGAAGATTTGTCCTAGAGGCGTGGAATCTTCGACAAGCGTGCCAGGAGGCGACCCCATTTTTATGGACGCGAAATAAAGATCAGCCAAAGCCAAATACGCTATATTATCACTGTTCGATGATTTTGATTTCTCGTTTATTTATCGATCCTCTCTGGGCTTTACTTGATATAGACCTCCCAGTTCTTCCGCAACAGTCGGTCAAAGAGCATGCCCTTGAGGCTTTGCGGTTTGCAGAGTGGTGGCTCCCAACCGCAAAATTTGGCGCGGTTTTTGCCGTTCCTGGATTGACTGCTATCTCACTTGAACTTAATGCGCTCGAACAGCGACAGCGTGTCAGGCGGCTATTCCAACTGATTGCGGACAAGGGTTTTGCTGTGGCATCCGTAGCAGAGTCCGATGTAGCGCTTGCCTGGTCCGCTGTCCCATGTCGTTTTTGACAAAAGTAAAAAGGCTTGATAATTCGCAAACACGTTTTCCGCGCGTACATGCTGTTTGACCATCGGAATTGCGGCTTCAACATCTAGCCTATATTCCCTTGAAGCCTCTCAGGGCAGATATCTAAGGATACAGGTCATAGTGCTCTGTAACTGGTAATTTTGATGTTTAAATGACAGTTTTTCTAGCCACTTTGTTGTCCCTTTGCTTCAGCAAGTGCCTCTTTTGAAGTATTCTATAACCAAGAATATTGCATGGAATACAAAGACTATCACATTTAAAAAGATATTGTAGTTATTGCTATTCGCGTGTTTGTTGCTGTCGGCCATATAGCATCTCCATCTGTGGGGTTTATAAAGCCACGGGCCTACCGGCATCTTCCGGGGGGGATGGGCTACCGGGGTAAGCTTCCCCTCAAGTTCAGGAAAACAAACGGGACGTGACAAAGACGAATTTCGAGCTTTATTGATTCCAAGAACATTATAATACTCACTACCTCTGGTTTGAAAGCAGGTTGGCTCGCCAAATCTCGTTCATGCTGATCTAGAGCTCTTCTCAAAGAAATACCCACCTGTGAATGGGACTTACTGTTTCTGACCATTACACATTACCCTTATAACAGCAGTCTGAGAGAGTGGCCTGCAGTGGCTGATTCCCGCTTGCGCAGCATTCACTCAGGATTTGCTTTCAATAGAGCGCTATTGTAGGTGATATTTATCCTATAAGCCACCTTCTCTGTCTTTAGAAGGATGTCACCCTTACTGATCATGAGCTTATGTATTTAACCTAGAAAACCGTGTCCGCGTCCCCACCTTGAACTAGATAAAAGTCGTCGCAATTATACCCTTCCTATTTTATTCCAATCTGCGGGCCTTTTTCACCCGAACTATCCAGGGGAGAATATCTCCTGCACCTTGGCCCAGTGCGTTATATTCACGGAACGTTCCCAAACAGATTGTACAGGCTCCTCTCCTTGTGAGCACCATGTCTCGCCAAACCTCTACGCCAGCACCTGCCTCACCATCCGTCTCCGTGGAGTTTGAGAGACGCACACCGACGCATGAACTACATTCGCAGGCAGCATCTCCCACTGATACTGTATCATCTGGTGGCACGAAGCGAAAACGGACAATGGAACCGAAGTTTTATTCGGTTCGAGCTGGCCATCGTCCTGGCATCTATCACAGCTGGTCTGATTGCCTGGCTCAAGTAAAAGGCTTCAAGAACCCCACATGTAAGCTATCAAATAGGTCAAATTAGAGATCGAGTCACTTGCTAACCAAGGTTATTTGGCAGTCAAGTCCTTTAGTTCACTAGCTGATGCCGAGAAATTTTTGGCTGGCCCCGCTTCCAGTCTAAACAGCTCGTCGTCAACGGAAGCGCCAAAATACTATGCAGTTCGCAATGGCCGTGTCCCCGGTGTCTATACTGACTGGCCTTCGGCCCAAAAGCAGATTACTGGGTGGATTAAGCCAAAGCACAAGTCTTTTATCAGTCGAGCAGAGGCCGAGGCCTTTCTCAGAGGCGACAAAGAAGGTTCAACCAATCAACCTGAGGGTTCCTCGCCTTCTGTTGCGGACGGCAAATCCGACGGTGCGCGTGCCGGTGACGAAGAAGGCCAGAACAAGAGGCGAAAGAAGGACGTTCCGGCATCGAATGTAAATCTTGATCCGTTGAGGGCCCCTCTCCATCACGACGTCGAGCCGGGAACGGGGCCACTGCCGCCAGGCGCTGTCGATGGTTTTGATCCAAATATTCTTTTCAATCCTAAGACGGGCAAAGTCGAATACAAGAATGAGGCCCAAAGAGCTGCGACAAAATTCATGCCAAACGGCGCATCTCCAGGCGGTATGCTTCGCATCTACACTGATGGCAGTTCTCTGGGCAACGGTATAAATGGTGCTCTCGCAGGGGTGGGCGTATACTTTGGGAGTGGCGATTCAAGGTAGGTCGTGACATTCGAGGTGCCTTCTGAGAGTATCATGCGGTGTGCTGACGGAAATCAACCAGGAACATATCTGAGGCTCTAGTTGGGCCGCGCCAGACAAACCAACGCGCTGAGCTCACTGCGATTCTCCGAGCACTGGAGATTGCGCCAAAACATCGTGATGTTACCATCTTTACTGATAGCAGATACTCTATTGATTGCGTTACCGTGTGGTACATCAACTGGCGAAGGAATAATTGGCAAACATCCCAGAAAAAGCCGGTAGAGAATCGAGATCTAATCGAGGCCATTCTTTCGAACATCGAGGAGCGCAATGCATTGAAGGTGCAGACGCTTTTCCATTGGCTTAAAGGTCATGCGGATCACGAAGGAAACATTGAAGCGGATAAGCTTGCTGTCAATGGTGCCCGAAAGGCGAGGTAGACATGGCGATCTTCAAGTCTTTTTGCATATTTCACAATGCGGAAACTCGTTTTTCAGCGCATCTCACCGACTTTCTGTAGGATTCTTTCTCTGATGCTTTTTGCAGACAGGCGCGGATTCCTTGGATGAGATCATTCTTCTTTTGATCAGGCTCTTATCCCTTTTCTCCTATCTCATGATATCACGAGGGGAGTTTGTTTGTTTTTTTTTAGTACAATTGGCGTCACAGTTCCTATTTGAAGACAGAAATCGCTTCGAGCCATTAGCTTCAGCCTGGATAGGCCATTAGGTTTAGATGCCGTTATTTAGCGCACGGTGGAGGCCTCCGTTAAGGTTGCCGCCCGCTATATTTGGAGACATAACCGAATATCCCGGGTCCGCGCCTACCAAACGGCTTCCTTTCGTCGCCAACATCCCCATTTTACACGGGGTTAATGCATAAAAACAAGAGCTTCTTCAAAAATAAGGACTTTCATTTCCCTCGTTGATACATGATGGTAGATAATGCTTGCTATTAGAAATTGGACTTCGAGTCCTTTGAAAGCATTACGACGTAAGGCTTGGCCGCTGCCCAGTGCGACTGCACCGCGCCTTGATTCGTCACAGCTCGTAGAAGAAGAGAATACGCCCTACTATAACATTTCGAGATTCTATCCCGCTCGACTGGGCGAAGTTCTCAATAACCGGTACCAGATCGCTACGAAGCTTGGTTATGGGGTGACCTCAACTGTCTGGCTTGCAAGAGATCTTTACCAGTTCGCGACACTTACTTCTGTCTCCGCCTTCTCAAAGCTGATTCCCTGGAATATAGATGGCGCTGGTCGGAAGAACGATATGTCGCAATCAAGATTCTAGCTAGATCAAGGCCTCGCTTGCACCAAAGAGCTACGGAGGGGGAATTGAACATTCTTAGGCACATTTCAAAACGGCGTTCGCGTCACGAAGGCTGGCACTTTGTCCGAAAATTATTAGGCTCTTTTACGCTCCAGACTGCTTCAGGAGATCATACTTGTCTAGTGTTTGAACTGCTGCGCGAGCCCTTATGGATATATCGTCAAAGATGGCAGGGCGATGTGATACCACCGGAATTGCTCAAAATTATGCTTCAGATGATTCTGCAAGGGCTATCTTACCTCCAATCTGAATGCCATATAATACACACCGGTATGATCACTCATTCATTTCTTTTCTGTTATTTATTCAATTTCCTCTTAAATTAATTTGTTCCTATAGATCTAAAGCCGGATAATATTATGGTAAAGATTGAAAATAAATCAATCGTTGAGCAGAATGTCTTGGATGAGTTCCATAACCCATTTCCACAAAAGCATCTTAATGATGGGCGAATCATTTATATGTCTCGAAATGACTTGGGGCCGCCAGTTGGGACCACCGGTCTAGTTACTATTGCCGATTTTGACCTCGCCGTCCGAGGAGACGAACCAAACTCCGGGTTTATTCAGGCACAGGCCCTCCGAGCACCAGAGGTAATAGTTGACGCAGGCTACAGTTATAGTGCTGATATATGGAATCTAGGAGTCATGGTATGTAGCTGTACTACAAGTTATTGAAATAACTTGTATATCCACCTTGAGTGAAAGGCTAATCGAACCCTGCTAGCTGTGGGATGTTCTTGAGGGAAAGGCACTTTTTGAAGCAGCCGCTCCACGTGTCGACCGGAAGTACGAGGATGGGAAGCATCTTGCGTATATTACTGCTTTACTCGGCCCCCCTCCACAAGAGCTATTGAAGAAGGGACGACGAACTCAAAAGTTTTACGACGCTGCTGGAGGTAAGACGGACAAGCATCTAAGAAATATCTTGCGTTGATGATGATCTAATATGGCGTGTATAGATTTAAAAGGCATAGACATCCCTACAAACTTTAGCTTCGAGACTACACTCACGAATGTCAAGGGCGAAGAGAAGAAAATGTTTATTGCGTTTGTGAAACGGATGCTGAAATGGAAGCCAGAAGAGCGGAGCGCCGCAGAAGAATTACTCGGCGATCCATGGCTTTACACCGACTTTGATAACACAGACCCTGCCATATGATTTGATCATTGGAAATTTTGGACCTTGTATATAGCCTGATTTCTTTTTAAGATAGAGTACAGCATTCATATATTGTCTCGATCGTTCGTGGCTGTCCGCCGACTTTTTATTAGTCCATAGATCATCTTCAGTTACACACTGAAAATTGTTCAATTTTAAAATTTATTTTATTCTATTTTTTTTATTTTTTTAAACAAAAGGGAAACATTCTAGAACCACGTTCGCCAAGCATATCATTGGCACCCAAATGGAATGTTCCTTCATTTTATAGATTGCCATCTATCTGCTCGATCCCACGGTATGCCTTCGGCTCGCTCCGTTTTTGCTTGCAACGGGGAGAAAAGTATACCAACTACAGCTGATGATTATTTGTTCTTTCTCAATTTCTGATATAAATTAGCAAAAAACTAACTTCTTAATCCAATATTTATATGAAGCACGGAATACCTCGTACATCAGTTGAAGGGGACGAATCGGAAAGTTAATGTGGTATATGCGGAGTACTGGGGTTATGTTTCGGGCGAGGGGTGGCACTTCAAACTCACTGGTTTTAGCGAAGGCGGTGGAGCCGATTTTGAACCCCTTCCCCTCGTTTTAGTAACCTTACTATCTTAGGTACTGCATCTGCAGTTATTTGATACCGACCTTACTTATCGCCGAAGCCAACGTCAAAATTGCACTGCGCAAGGCATCATTATAGGTAGCCTTCATTTGGACAGGCCTCTGTAAGTTGCTCTTTTTACCTATATCCCTGTTCTTTTACCGCGTGATAATTGTTTGGATCTCTCCCGATTTATAAGGACTGATTGTACAACAGAAGCCAGGCTGCGACTGATAACATCCGAGTGGCCTTCGCCTCCAACGTCAAGGATTCCAATCTCAAATCGCCCATGCAAAAGAAGAATTGGACCACTCTGATGATCTTCTACGTGGAAGCTCCATTCTATATGAATAGTCTTGTTCGATAACCCAACGAGAGCACAATCTGGTGTCTTTTTGCAAGGCCTCTTTGGGAACTTTCCTTAGATGAGTATCCTTTGAAAGATTTCTAGGTTGCCGGACAGAGCCGGTTTTCAATACTTGATTGATCTTCAATCTGCAGCTCCAAGGCATTTTGCGGTCGATCGACTACTCTAGAATATGCCGACTCTTGCTGTCACGAATTTCAACATTGTTTGTGCGACACTTGGAGGCTTCATAACTGTCTTCGGACTGGTATCTTACCTCTTCAAAGAGAAGCTATATCTGTCAGAAGCTCGTGAGTAACTGACGCAAGCCCCTGCATTTCCCAGGCCATGCTTTCCTCGAACCGCCTTAGAGTTAAAGACGATTGGTTTTCAAGAAGCGCCGCTCTATGAATGCTAATTGACGTCGGGTATCATGAATTAGTTATATCGTTATTGGCAGGTGTCATATTCTCTCCGCACGCCGCGAATTTCCTCAAACCACTCGAATATGCTGCTGGCTCGGCTGAAGTTCTAAACACAATCACACTTTATTTCGCTCGACTAGTGCTTGGTGTTCAGCTTGTCATAGCCGGAGTTCAGCTGCCAAGCAAATATCTTTTGAAGGAATGGAAGACCCTGGCTCTTCTTCTTGGACCCGGAATGGTCGCCATGTGGATTTCAAGCGCCCTGCTCATATGGGCTCTAGTACCGCATTTGTCCTTTCTTCATGCCTTGGCCGTGGGATCTTGCATTACTCCAACAGACCCTGTCCTTTCAAACACGATTGTGAAGGGCAAGTTCGCCGACAAAAATGTTCCTAAAGAGCTACAAAAGGTCATTGTTGCTGAGTCAGGTGCCAATGACGGACTTGGTTATCCGTTCTTGTTCCTCGCACTGTATTTAATCAAATATACAGGCGATCATGGCTTGGGTCAGACCGGCGGCGCCGGCAGAGCCATTGGGTTTTGGTTTGTCGAAACTTGGATATACACGATCATTTTGAGCATCATATACGGAGCTACAGTAGGTTGGATTGCCAAGGAACTCTTGCATTGGGCAGAGGAAAGGAGATTCGTCGACCGTGAAAGCTTCCTTGTATTTGCCATTACTCTGGCGGTAAGATCAATCCTTGGCTTTTTGACATGTCGATTGTTGACTGATTTCACCTGCGATAGCTCTTTATTGTTGGGACATGCGGTATGATAGGCAGTGACGATGTACTCGCCGCTTTCATTGCGGGAAACGTTTTCACTATTGAGTGAGTATCCTCGTCTGATTTGATGTGGCATGCTTAAACTCATTCATACTTCAAGCGACTGGTTTCGGCTAGAGACACTCGACGATTCCTTGCAACCTACAATCGATATGCTTCTCAACGTCTCCATCTTTATATGGTTCGGTGCAGTGTGCCCTTGGCACAGCTTTGTTGACAACAGTGTCATCCCGCTGTACCGGCTCGTCACTTTGGGGATCCTCATACTTTTATTTCGGCGCTTGCCGATCATCCTAGCAATGCATACCAAGATTCGGCAAATTGAAGAACTGCGACAGGCATTGTTTGTCGGATTCTTCGGGCCTATTGGTGTCAGCGCTATCTTCTACCTCTATGTCAGTCTTGAATTCTTGGGTGACGTCAAGTACGCAAGAGTTGTTCGAGACGATGCCGCCACTTTGGAAGAGGTTATGACGGTGGTAATTTGGTTCATCGTAATCTGCAGCGTGGTGAGTCAGAGTCTTATAATGACGGATTTGATACCACGCCCCTTGTGCATTCTGTACTTTGGCAAAACTAACTCTTTGTCGACTCAGGTTGTGCATGGATTGAGTATACCATTAGGCAAATTGGGGTTCTATCTGCCTCGAACACTTTCCAGTGCACTTGATACAGGTGAGCAGACTGAGCCGGCATCGTTCCGTATCCGTGAGCACGCAGAAGAGCTGGCAGTTGTGCCTCAGAGAGAAAATTTGAGACCTCGTCAATCTGAGAATTCTCGTGCCAAGGGATCCCCGCAACGACCGGCACAGCCAGTCTTTCGGATTGGCGGATCCGTCATCCGAAGCGGGAGTCCCTCGGCCTCGTCAAGCGCAGATACAACTTCCTGGGTCCCCCATCAGGGTCTCTCTTCTACAAGTACATTGTCGCGCGCTGAGGCGAAGGTACGCAGCAGCGATCAGCACGAGGAGAGTCCTCAGGCTAGAACCGATTAGCCCTGTCAAGTCACGACTGCACGTCATCCCACGGAATCCCACGGCATCGCTCCTTCTTTTGCATGATTCATTTGATAGACAAATATATGGCTCCATGGCCGATCACCGCAATATAGACGGAAGACAGTTGTCAATCAGATTGTAGCATAGCTCATTACTTAGCACTCCACTCGTCAATTCTACTGTTGCTTCTTGTAACTACGATTAGGGAATGCCCAGCATGGACATCCGTCGGGTCGGCCTGCAGGGAATTTTCGACCCGATGACGCTTCCAGGATGGCAATCTTGTTTGTGATGATGCATTGTTTGCCCGCCACATGAGTTGGCGAGTGGCACAGCACAAAGTTTCAAGACGTGCTTTTGCTCTTTTTGCCTTACCTTAACGAATCCATGATGGTGCATCAACTCGGAGAGTCTCTCGGAAGGCGGGGGCCTTCGCCACCTTCCGGGTGTACTTCTAAGTAGTCACACCGGCATCGATTGATGATCTCCCCTGAGGGGTCGGTCGGCTGTTGGCCTGGCGTTTTCCCTTCTCTGAACTCCCTTGGAAATCAAAAGGCTATAGCACGGTTTTCGCCCTGCTCACCAAGGAGCCGACGCCGGATGCCGGTCAAGCATTACGAGCACCCACGAATGAGGGTGTCGGAGATCCTGCTGAGTGGGTGCGTGGTAGCTGGAGACGACCGCGCGGAGTGGCTGGCAAGGGGGCCCCCAAGCGATAGCAGATACGCCACGATGCAAGCGGCCAAGGGAAAGTACTCGAGATGCTCCCGAACGACCAACAAACAATGTCCCTGACAAATTGAGAGGAACAATACGAGGACAGTGCCAGGGTCGATGATAGACAAATCACCCTGCTAAAGAGCGGAATTAAACACACCTCTTTTCTTCCCTTTTTATTGAAACATTCTTCAAAAATCAAGTGAAATGTTCGCCAGTCACCCTTGCTTTTTGGATCAAGCTTTGCGAATATTGAACATCGCGTACTTTTGATGCGGGTACTGTGTATTGTTCTGGCCCGCCTGGAATTGAAACTGCCCTCTTCGACGCGTGGATGGGCATGACATGACCCGACAAGGGTTCATTCACCCCAGAAGGGGAATAGACGCCGTCTGGCGTCATCTCGCTAGGCTTCTTATCGTTTTGTATCCGCATTCGGCTTAGTCTATCATTTCGCCTCTCGATAGTCCTCGGCCCAGACGGGGAACCGTGCGCGCTAAGTTAATGGGGGGGCCATGGATGGCATTTTTCCCAAACTGATACGAGACAGCGACTGGGAAAAAGTGTGGGCAAGGTGAGGCGAATATTCCTGTCTATTCTTTCCCATTTCTCCGCCTGAGAATGACGATCCACACTGATGCAAAATAGACTGATTGATTTACCTGCAAGGTCCCAAAGATTCAAATTCTTCATCCACCGCAACCCCCATCATCGCCTCGTTTCTGCCCTGTTTCCTAACGATGATGCTATACCGCAGACGCAGTGATTTGGCCAGCAATTGGCCCTTCTCATTGGCTGTCTCAAATCGCAACCTTTTAGTTGTCTCGGTATCCCGTTGAGGACTCACTTTGGGACGAAAAGCAATAGGGATGATAGGAACTAAGCTGGTCACAGGATGTCGCCGAGTGCCTATCTTGGGCTTGAACTTCCCGGCAATGGTGCACAGTGCATCAGAAAATTGAAGTGATGCGAAGCAGTGATTAAGCACAGAAAGGAATCGAAAATCCCACTTCAATTCAAGAAGAGCGTTTCAGTCGATCAATTGATGTCAACTGGGATGATCGACAGGATCTTTTCCGTTTTGAAAATAACGACTACGAGCAGGAGTAATCGTGGGATTATGTTTCATGTAGCGAGCATGTCAATTGTATTGTTTTTGCAGCTCTTTTGGCAAGTAATGGTCAATTGGGGAATTTCAGAACTGTTGTTTCTTGTTCCTTGCTCTGGCCGAAGACGGTTACGTTGAAATTGCACACCGTTTGGAGACGGGCGATCGACCGCTACCGGGGAACAGGGTGGGGTGTGACGGTGGCTGGCGAACCGTCGGGCGGTGGAGACCCGCATGCCCCTCCTATCCAGGTCTTAACCTCCTCGAATGGGTTGGTCAAGCGGCGTTTATCCTTGAATTGCATGGAAGCCCATTATAATGCATCGATAACAGACACCTGGACACGTTCCTGTGTTAAGACAGTGGGTCCTTTAATTTTAGGCGCATCTGTCTCCTTGATGTGTCCATGACCGTTCCAAGGCGACAGGCCACCACCACCAGTACGGCATACACCGTCGAGGCCAGTGCACACCCTCATCCAGCTCCCCATATCTCTGCGCTCCTCTGAGGGTTCGCAGCTCAGGGAACGACGATCCTGCTGCAGGTCAGAGCATGGGAATTGCGCTTGAATTTTCGGCTAACCCTCAACGCTTGCCAAGCTCTGATGGGATATCATGGGCATTCTTTCTGATGACAGAGCCCATTGGCTGCGGCGGCTGAATGCTGTGGTGCGGGTCATTCCGGACTTGGCTTGGTCCCTACTTGAGGCTTTTGGATTCTATGGGGGTGCCTGGTCTCCGTCTTTCCCCCCCGCGCCTCAAGGGGGTGGGGTTCGAGGTTAGGTTGCTCCAAAACCTTTGCTAGATTCAAGGGGAATAAGATGGAGCAGCTCGCCAGGATGAAAGATAGATTGTCGAATAGTTTCACCGTCAATTATTTCAATCAGAATCTGCATTTTCATCCATCGCAACGTCAGTCCAGATCCACTTAGCAGTTGATTCACCTTTGGCGTTGGTGATCCGCGGAGGTGGATCGGTCCCCCGAACGCGCGACATCTGGACTGTGACTAAACCCTCCTATATCGACACATGACTCAAAACGGGATAGCGATCTGCCAGACGTTCAATTTGGTGCAGCGGCGGGGACATAATTGTGGGCCTGATTCCCTTGTCTTGGTCCGCACGTTTCTGGGCGGTCCGGTCGTTGTGAGACGGATAAGGGATTGCGTCTTGGGAGACGAGGAGGGGTACAAGTATGGAGACCAGAAGGCAAAGGGCAACTACCTAGGGAAAAGAAAGAGGGATGGAGGAACAAGCCACAAAAGTCTCCACCAATGTCGAATGCTACTAGAGTGCGCACTCGCATCGGTGCGCTAGTCAAGTACTCGCTGCTGTCAACTTGACGGGCGGCGACCCACACACATATTGAGCCGCCTACCCAAGGGTCTGACGTTCTCAAGCCTTCAACTATTCGCGCCCTGATATCTGCTCTGGGGCTTTTACTGAACCATGGAAACAGAGTGTGCTCAAGAGAGCTGAATGGCTTGACTCTTTAGATATATTGGCCAAACTGACTTCTCAACCGCTGATTGTTGAACGTCCTATCAAGTCTTGTGTGATGCTATTCTCGCCAGTTTTGGCAGCGCTCCGCAGTCCTCTCCCTGTGTGCGGTCCTCGTCTTGCATAACGAGGTTGATAATCATTGGATGGGATATGGTGGCCCACATATGCCGCCGCACTCCGTCGGCTCTCGAGTCCTACCGGCACAAATGGCCGCCACAGAAAGGAAACCTACCCACGTTGTGCAATGATAATGATACGTACCAGCAAGTGCGTTACGGTGGAACAGGGAAGAACCTGGTTCAGGGTCATAGTGCCTCGAGGTCGCCGCCTCTTCCTCCCTTGGGCGGCCCGAGATGACACTGGACAGCATGACAGTTCCTTTCGTCAACAGCCGACTTCACGGAATTGGTCAATTGCAAACCTGGTTTGGGTCACGGAGAAAGAGAGAAAGGGAAGAGGAAGGCTAAGAAGGTATCATAGACGAGATCTATCAAAATCTGGAGCGCAATCCAGATCAAAGATTACAATTGTGTCTTTGTTTTGGGGAGCGTCTTCGGCGCCGTTAGTCTCGTCCTCACTATTCGTAGGCACCACGGCCCGATCAGGGGGATCATCGGGTGTAGCGTAATCGCCGGATAGAAATAGCAGTACACCTTCAGGCAGAGACGTTAGCATGAGGAGCTTCACCCCTACTGTTTTTGATGCTATTTACTTAGATCCAGCAGGCTGGTTCTGATCCACCTGGCGTATTGACCAGTCCAGTCAGGGAGGACCTGCTTCCGTACTATATCCCCGAGGTTTAGTGGTTGTCGCCATCGAGTCCTTGGTCGTCGTCGTCGTCGTAGTCTCTATCGTTGTCTCTGCTGACTTTTTATTTGTCGTCGTCAGACTTGTTACTTGACCTATTCGTTAGCGCGACCTTTCTCCGCAACATCTTGACCCTCGCCCGCCCCGACCTTCATTTTTGTACCTTGTCTTCTCCACATTTGTGACAAACAATTCCCATTGTTCTCTTTTCCATCAGAGAGGAGAAGCAGTGAGCCGAGGAGTAGGAAAAGGGAAGCCTTCACTTCCAACCTCTTGACTTTTCTTCATCGTTCCTCAGCTTCTATAGATTTCTCTTCTTCCTTTTTTTTTGGCCTTCTTTACTGTATTTGTGGGCTTCCTCAATGGTCCCGATCACGTACCATAACCCCGCGAGAGCAATAAGCAAAACAGTCACTCCATACCCCGTTCTCGGGCACGAATCAACTCATAGACCCAGCTTCCTCCGCCTTGCTAAAAAAGAAATTGCATTATATTGGTGAGCAAACACAATACCATATAGCTCAATTGCTGCCGATGTTTCTGTCCCTTTTTAGTTTCAAATTGGTTTCCCTCTCGAATTGCCTCGGCGCTACTCTATACTGCTCTTCATTTTCTTCGCTGCACACGTACCACTCACTCACTGGCAGCAACTGTCTACCTACCTCCTTCCTATCACTCCCAGCCCACGGGTTCATTTGTACTTTTTTTCTGATATGCTACCAAATGAGACGAAGCTAAGACGAGACAGTCAAGGCGAGGCGAGTAATAGAGAAGCAGCCCAGACCTTTGGACCGCCGACAATCCCGTCTATTATTTTCCTCGCTTGGCTCGCTTTTTTGACTATTAGCAACGCGACGGCCGCCGGCGTGCCAATCCTACTACTGGCACCACCTCCATTACGAATTACGAAGACGGGGGGCGCTTGTTGGTATGGCACCCTTTCCCATTTCTTTTTACTCTTTTTGCTTCTTCGCACACGCACACATACATACAATCATACATATGCCCACACCACACACGCACACAGACACCCTACAAGACCCTATATCCTTAGTACCTCCACACCACCACTCCCACTACCAACTCTACCACTTCCACCCACACCCTTTCTCCTTACCTTTGCCTCGCCTTCCGCTGGCAAAAGGGTACTTCTTCTCTCCACCATTACTCCGTACTCACTAAACCTCGCCAAAAGTACTAAGAAGCGGTGGCCATCCTGTCAGCCCATCCGACTCATCAACGACCCTTTTTGCTCATCATTAACGATTCAATCTTCCTCGACCCTTTCCTCTCGCCTTGACTCCTGCCACTCCAATCCTCGGACCCTGCGCCCGTGGTCATAGATCGGAACCGCCTTCTATTCTCTGATCGCTCGTTTGCGTCCCTTTGGCCGGAAGGAAGCGCCCCCCTCAGTTGGGAGCGGACTTCATTGACAACGCCAGCGTTTCGTTGTTGTGGCCAAGCTGGGAAGTTTTGTAAGCGTCGCTGGCATCTTCGCTCTTTGGAGTGTGCTCCTCGATCTAAACAAAAATTTCGGTACCTGGGCGACGATTTACTTTGACGACAACTTGTTCGGCCTCCCCTGAACAACTCTTTCCTCTCTCTCTCTCTCTCTCTCTCTCTCTCTCTGTCTCGACGGTGATCCTCCTCTCACCGTCGAGATCCGCTTCCTGCCATGAGTCGACGAGAGGAGTCCACTCGCACAAGCGCATTCCTGGGCCCCCACTCGCCCCTGATTCTCGACTCGGATATGGGAGGCACGTTGCCAGACGCCGAATTGGAATTCTTTGACTCGGCTTTTGCACACGATTCACCCGCAAGCCCGTCGCATTTGCTCGACGACGATTTTTTGGCTGCCGCTTCGGCCGGCACTTCATTGAACCCTGTAGCCTCGTGCTACGACTCACCCGCCAAATTTCCCCACGCGCGTCTCCAAGTCGGATCGAGTCCGCTGACTACCACCGCTGCACAACCTCTATCGGCCGCATCCCCCGAAAGCTCCGTGCACGACTCGTCATCGGACGACTCGAGACGCCACAAGCGCAAATCCTCTTCGAATTCGTCCCGCTCCGCCTTAATCGGCCAAGATATTACCATGATGGAGGACGCCGACATGAGCGACTGGAAGCCCGACGAGCTGATGATGGGAGGCGATGGCGCCAGCCTCATCTTTGATGGTCATGGCTTCTCGCTCCACGGCGACGCAAATCCTCTTTCGCTCGACACGGATCTGGAGATGAGTAATAAGGCGATGGAAAATCATTTTGATTTTGATAGCGCTACCAGCAGCCCGAGTCCCGTTGCGCAGCCAGCAAACCCAACTGAGTCGACTTCAAAGCGAAAAACGCAAAAGGCGGATTTGAACAAACCTCGAAATCCATCAAAAGCGAGTGTCAATAGTCGTTCACGAGGTAGCGTTTCGGTACGTCATTCTTTTCCCCCTCGTTTCGCTGTTCCTTCTTTTTTTAAAAATAACCCTGGAAACTTTTTGCTTGAAGATCGGCTAACGTGGGGGTAACCTCTAGTCGCAGACAACACGACACAATGGATTCTTTCTGGGAAACTCTCGAGAAGTCTCGCCGCTCTCGGCCATGGTTACAAGCCAAGAATCTTCACCCACGAACATCTTCAACGCCGCGACGCCATCCTCGACGACGGGAGATGACTTTGGTGCTGGCCCCATGCTCGGAGCCACTCCCCACAATGCCGCGTGGCCAACCACGTTCAGCTTCACACAGCAAAACGCGCTACACAATTCGTTTCCGCCTGCTGGCTTAACACCTACCATGTTTGCCCATGGTCTGGCATCGCCGCTGTCCTCCAAGGCGGCTTCCGAATGTTCTCGCGTGCCGACCTTGACAATCCACCCGACACCGCTCAAATCTCGAGTCGAGACGCAGATTCCCATCAGGATGACCCTTCATCCCATGCCTCCCGGTGTGACCAAACTTCATCTTCCCACTCACACCATCTCGAAACCGAAGCTGCTTGCTAAACCATCACCACCCAAGTCGCCCGATATGCTTGAACTTCATACGATGCTGGTTTGCACGAGCGCCATGCAAAACCCCGCCAACTTACAACGAGCCCTTCGTCGCGCAGCGGGGCTCGAAACTCCAGTGAAAAAGGAGGAACGACGGTCGTCGTCGGGCGATGCTCCTCAGGCGCAAAACGAGGATGGTGATACCGAGAATCCTCTGAATGGCGGCGAAGTCTCCATCTGTCTCGGCTGCATCACTCGAGAACGGAAGCGGGCTGCGCGAAAGAAGGTGAAGAAGGTAGAGGAGGAAGAATCCTGGCATCAGTACGAAAACAAACGTGTCATTGTCTTCAACACGCAAGAAGTGAAGGAGTGGCACGAACCTGCCAAGGATGACAATGCCGAGCAGTTTCCGCCATATCCGGAAGGTGCGCTGCAAGTCGATGCGCCCATGCGAATCGCATGCTACTGTCGACATCAGAATGAGAAGGTTGGCTTCCAGTAAGTGCCCCAAGTCACACCATATGCAAATTTGCCTTTTCGTTATTTGTTACTAAACATGTCTTGTCAATAGAGTCATCTTCACCATCAAGGACCACGAAGATCGAGTCGTAGCTCAGGCGGTGACCTCGTCCATCATGATCACTGATGACCACAAGACTCACGCCGCTCCTCCGCCGCTTCCCGCGCCGACCTCGACGTTGCCGGATGGTACACAGCTCCCTGGCGTCGGTGTTTTCCCGTCGGCACAAAATTTTGAGGTGCCAGTGGGACCGTTCAGGGTGTCTCATTCTACTCCCGATCTTCAGGCTATGCAGCACAGCTTTGGTCAGCAATTCGCAACTGCGCCACATCCATTCGCTATGGCGCCTGCCGCCGGGTCTCAGACGACATCTGCTTCCCTCACACCGCGACATCTGTCCCGGCAGGCCTCGCCGCCAGCGCCGTCCGGCCATTCGGCCAAGAAGAGAAAGTCGAGCAGTTCAGCCAAGGTCCCGAGCGGCTTGGTCATGACGACTCTGGATAGTGGCCCACCTCCCACCTCGGCGCCCAGTGCTACGACGCCAACCGCGCCGACAAGCGCTGGACTCACACCGCAATCTGCCACGGCCGCAAACTTTCCTCCTAATATGAACCCTTTCGTCCCTCCTCCGGCTGACCGTGCGTTCATTGCTCCTCCACTGTCCGTCCCGCCAACTTTCAATACGGGTCCTCCGACGCCTAACAGTAACGACCAAGGCTTTCACCCGCTAGCGCATCGATCGCAGAGCATGGAGAGCCTCCCTATTCCTCGTCTCTTCTCCACTCCGACATCGACTGACCCCAGCCGGCCGCCAAGCCCTGGAAGCGCCTCGCGAAGCACCGCTTTCCAGCAATCTCAGGCTCAGATGGCCCAGGCTGTGGCGAATTCGTTCTACGGCATTCCACTTGCGCTGAACCCTCACCGACCGCCGACCATTCATAAGCTGATTCCCAATGAGGGTCCAAAAGCAGGTGGTATCGAAGTGACGTGTCTAGGCAATGGCTTCTGTCAGGGTTTAGAAGTTATGTTTGGTGATTCGTTGGCTACCACGACGACCTACTGGGGGGACACTTCTCTAGTGTGTTTGCTGCCACCTGCGGCCCAAGCCGGAACTGTTCCGGTCACCTTCAAGCATCAGCATCAGCAGCATATGCAAATGCCAGGATATCCGACGCCTCCAGTGGCCCAGCAGCAAGTCTTTTTCAAGTACGTGGACGATGACGAGCAGCAACTGTTGCGCATGGCCTTGTCTGTCCTCGGGCACAAGATGACGGGACGTATGGAGGACGTTCGTGATATTGCCAGACGTATCGTCGGAGGTGGAAATAGTTCTTGGGCTCCACCCGCAGCGGGCTCATCGACGACCGGCGGCACTCAGCATAGTCAGGCGGCGGGTCTCAGTGCGGCATTGCTTGGTGCTATGGATACTGAGTCTACTCTGTTGAAATGTTTGGATCTCATTGATCTCGACGACAGCCCGCATCTGCCGCGCCTGAATTTGCGGCGATCTTCGGGTCAGACGATGCTGCACACGGCCTGCGCCCTGGGATACCACCGATTTGTTGCTGCACTTCTTGCAAGAGGAGCCAACCCCGACCCTCGTGACAGGGGTGGCTACACGCCAATGATGCTTGCTGCGATGCACAACCACCCTCAAATTGTGCGACGGTTGATCATGAATGGCGCCGACCCCACGCTGAGAAATCTGCGAGGCTTTACCGCCGCGGATTTGGCAGTGTCGGAGGAAGTGCTGCAGTCAACCCGGCGAATTGAGCGTCATGTGCGGACTCGCAGCGCCGGCCCCAGCTTCAGCCGGAGAAGACGAAGCAGCGCAGCGTCGCTTCGATCGCTCTGGGAGCCGCCACTTGAGATGACGTATGCTCGCTCAATGGCTGCTCCTGTGCACGAATTTGAAGCTTCGAGCAGCGACGAATCTGTAGATGAGGATTACGAGGATGATTCTGATGATAGTGCATGGACTGAACAAGAGCCTGCCGACAAGCGTGTTCCTCCACCTGCCAGCCAGCTCTCCACCCGGCCCGCGACGACTGGCGGTAATGGTTTTGTTGGCGGCGCTATGGCCTCGCCCACGGCAGCGATGGCAGCCTGGAGAGACCATCTGGCTGCTCAGCTGCACCATTTTCAACAGAGCTTCAACATTCCAATGCCTACCTTGCCGCCTCTGCCAGATTATCAAAACAATAATATCGCCCGTCGCATCAGCTCGCTTGTTCCTCATCGAGGTTCATCAGCACGACCAAGTGTATCGTCCTCTTCCACTGTGCAGGCCTCGAACGGGAACAATGGCCAAAGCCGGAAGCAAGGAGGCGGCGGCGACTCTTACTGGTCGCAGCTCTTCTCATCCTCGTCGACCTCGACCGCTTCTTCTCCTCCGCCCCCGTCGTACGAGGAGATTTATCCCGAGCGAAAGGAATACACTGAAGACATGAAGAAGACGTCGGTGCTGCAGGCAGCTGTCGATGCAACCATGGACCAGCATTGTGAGCAGACGTTTGACAAGGCGCAAACCGAGAGCTCCTCTGCCACGACCACTGTTGCGCACAGTCGGGCACCAAGTGACGGCGAGAGCGACGGTACTGCCGAAGCCATTGATGTCAAGATTGGTCGCAAGACGACCATTACCCGTGAGCAGCAAGCGCAGCTGCGACGAGCTCATAAGAAGAGCCTCAAGCGAATCCGGAGCGACCGGAAACTCTTCTTTGTTTGGGTAGGTCATATTGCACTCGTAACATGAGAAAGGATTTTACTGATGATTGCTTTTTTATAGATTCCTCTTCTTTTGATCATCATCTGCGCGATGCTCAAGAACCAGTTGCCTGCTCTTTGGGCTAGCTTGTGCGAATTTGTTGAGCCTTTTGTGCCAAACGTCAACTTGCATCAGAGATTCGTCGGTTGGGTCGGTGCGGCTTAATATTTATTGGCATCTTTTTTTGGTCCCGTTTTGACTTGGGTATATGATCCGACTTGGGAACCTTTTTTTACGTTTCTTTTTTGATTGAATATTCCCACTACTGATTCGATCGTTTACGATCGATCGCTGCCGCGTTCTAGCTTGCATGTTTTATCTCGATCTCTAACTGCTGGCGGACTTGGCCGGCATTCTGTCTTTTTTCCTAACCAGGTCAGATTTGTGCTTTTCAAGCCGGAATCAGGATTCCAAAATATCTTGCGGTGTCTGTGGCGTTTGAATACACATCCACATCCGTGTCTGTTTTTTTCTTGGGCTCGTTGACTTTGTTTTTTTTTTTTTTTTTTCGTTGCGTTCCGCCATCAACTTGCGCTCTGCTTTCTAATTACCGTGATACACACACGCGCGTACATAGGCCCTTGCGTTCTTGCGTCTCCATGCGTTTTGTTTGCTTTCACTTCTCGCCTTGTGCAGGGAGGGTTATTCTTGCCTGACATGTGCAAGCCCGTTCTTATAGAAGTATATTTTTTTTTTCTTTTATGTTTTCTCTTTTGTCTTTCCTGTCCTGTGTTGATGATTTTCTTTTTTTTTTTTTTTTTTTTTTTTTTTGCCTACGGTACCAGCCTTTTTTGGACTGACGACTATCGATTGACTGTCGACAAGCGGGAAAACGGCGGGGGCCATTTGTGGAAAATACATGCAAGGACTCAAAAAGGTAAACCGGAAGGGAAAGTTTTGCACATAATTAATTTTACGCATGATAACGATAATCTCTCGTTGGTGGGGTTTTTCTTTTTCTTCTTTTTTTCTTTCCTATTTTTTTCGTTTTCAGACAGTTTTACAGTATTTGTAGATGTATGTCTGTATGTTATGTATGTTATGTATCTAGCTAGCTATAGGTAGCTTAGGATAAGATAGGATAGGAATAGACTTGCACATACAATATCTTACTTGGATTTCTGTCCTCTTTCGATTTTCAATCATGTCTTGACTCTTTCGTCCCTCGTCTTTCACTCTTCATTCTTCATTCGTCGTTCTTTGTTCTTCGTTCTTCGTCTTTCGTCCCTTGTCCCGTTTTTCCATCTTCTCTTTTTATTTTTATTTTCCTTTTTATTTTTATTTTTCTTTTGGCCCTGTCTCCACTTCCAATGGTGAATGGTGTGATACTTCAGTCTTCCATCTTATATCCCTTGTCCGATATCCCCTATCCCGAGCGGTCCCTAGGATCTAAAAGAGTCATGCCCATGCCTGTCTTTCATTACTCCGGTACACCTTGGTACACTCTCACGGTCATCTTCGACCCATCTCGACCGATCAACTACTCCACTACGCACCCACGATACTCACTTCCTCCTCCCACCATCCTCTAAACACACGCAACCGCTCCGTCCGCTCCCGCGCCAGCCGCCGCCCTGTGCGTGTCTTCATCATGTCTTCTAGCTTTTCCAGTTTCTCCGTGAAGTGGTCGATTGTGTCGGACATGCTGCGTCCTTGGCCACCTGCTGCCGCTTGACCATGAGCCCCACCGTACGTAAATGTCCGCCCGATCCCCACGGCCCCAATCGCGTCCAGTCGGTCGGCGTCCTGGACGATGGCGAGCTCTGGGTGCGTGTGCAGAATGGATTGTAGCGCGCGGCTTGTGCGGAAGACATGAACTCGTGGTGCCTTGGTTGATGTCTCCGCATTGGCCGGGGCCTCGACTGACGTCTCGGTCTCGGCGCCGGAATTCGCGTCCGCCTCGGCCTGCAACAACTTCACCTCCTTTGAATATGACACATGCTCCACAATCACATCCACGCACCGCGCCAGGTCCGCGCTCGCGCCGTGGCGCAGCAGGACCTGCTCGACGCTGGTGGGCGGGACATTTGGCTTGGCGTATTTCCGATCATTGACGTCGTGTAACAGCGCCGCGAGAGTGACAGTCAGAGGGTCGTATTTGATGGGTTTGATGGATTTGCAAGTCGGAGAGGAGCCGGGTGAGATGGAGTTGGTGTTGAGTTTTATTTCAGAGGCGGAGACCGAGGCCGAGGCAGAGGCAGAGGGAGAGACGGATGCAGAGGCAGAAGTAGAGACGGATGGTTCTTCAGAGGCGAGTATGTGTTGCGCCAATGCGACGACGCGCTGGATGTGATGCATGTCGTGAGATGCGTCGTAGCCAGACATGTAGTCTTGTACGAAGGACGTGATGCTGGCGATGAGCGCGGCATTGGCCGTGGAGTTGGAGTTGGAGGTGGAGGAATTGGACGAGTCCATGTTGAATCAGGATTTGGTGTTGTTTGTGGGTTTGGGATTGTAAGTTGTGGGGTACGAGGTCTTAATATAGCTGAGAGACACAGTGCGGAGAGATCGTAAAAGAAGACGGGAAAAGGAGAAAATAGGAGAAAGAATATAGATTATATAATTCTATGTAAAGTGTTAGAAGAAGAGGCCAAGGTCACATGGATTTAAAAAAGAAATAGTGTGGAATGCGGAGAGTGGCAGAGTCTGCGAAAAATTGAAGAGATGAACAAATCAGAAACATGGACCAGCAAAGCGGTGAGAAAAAAAAAAGCCGCACCGTGGAAAAAAAATGCAACATTGGAAGTATAAAGTTCCGCGTGATGCGTGACGGGTGAGTCATGCGGAAATATACACGGTAGGGCTGAAGGAAACTGGAAGAAAGGGAGAGTGTGGTGTTGTAGAGGAGAGGATGCGGCTGAACTTTGAAGCTGAATGACAATGTGCATATAGTAGCACTGTAGCAGGTTGCACGGTTCCAGCTGCTGCCTGATGCAGGCATCCGTGCGAGGTTGACATGCGGCGCCAGAGTACTTTGACAAGATGTGATGGACGAAGATCTGAACTCAGATGTGTCTTGATATAAAAGCATTGATTTAAAAACAACGGTATGTTACAAAGACATTGTGATCATTGAAGAGATTATCACGAAGTGACTGCTTTTTTCTTGTTCTTTTGTGTTCAGGATGCAAGAAAAGAACCGAAGTGAAACAAAAAGAGAGTATGAAATTCAGATCTAATTAGGGATTCAAAATGGGGAAACGAGCAAACAAAGAAGAATGAGAATGAGAATGAGAGAAACAAGCAAGAGAAGAAGCAACAGAAAGAATGATAGAAAGAGACGCACCTATGCCAGGAGTATTATTCTGGACAGAAGAACTCTGTATGGCTTGATGTTTACCGGCAGTCCGATAGAGTTTGCTGACTAATGAGCGGCAAGGGCGAGTGAGACGACTGCCGGAGAGGACAGTCCGATTCCCCGGCTCCAGGGAACCCCCCGGCCCCGCATTGCCCTAACCAGCCACATCCGACATGCGTCAGTCATAACATTGACTCAAATCTGACTGTATAGCCTAGAAAGGAATTCTTGAACAGTGATGCTTACAATAACCTTGGCAATGAAAACGACGACATAGCTATACTAAAAAGTAAGCAGACCCACTACAATCTATTTCAAATCTCATTGTTTCCTCAATTGGTCATATCAACGACTCAAATTCAGGAAAGCTTGGGTCCTCCTACACGAGTCATGCTGGGTTTTGACTGGAGTCAGTTTTCTACTCGTCATTATGCGCAATTCTCGCATGCAGCATACAGACAAACAGAACAAGATTCACGCTCGAACAAACCTAGCTCCTCTCTACCAGAAAGCCTGTTAAGGAAAAACAAACTTTTGGAATTATCAGAATAAGGCCAGTCTGGCAGACACCGTTAGGCCTAGATTTGCATAGCGCATCTGCTACCCCACATTTTCCATACTCATTTTGGCACCTTGTCGTCAACTTGTTCTGGCATCGCGCAGAGACGTTTCCATGGCCTCGTCATCAATCTTTCCCTAAATGGACAAACATGCGACTCAATTGTGTCTGGGATAAGGTGGATTTCGACCCAGAATTACCATCCTTCTCCCGCGCTTCCTGCTCATGTCGACCCTTGCTTTGGCCACTCGCTGCCCGTCCAAGGGCTGATGACGAGTCTTTGTCTAACATGACTTGTCTGCACCTCCACTTTCTGGCCTCCCAGTTGCCGGTTGCCCGGAAAGTGGGGGGATCATAGGCCAAACCCTGTCCCCTGCCGTGCTTTGAAATCAGATAAAAGTGGGGAGTTGTGGAATAATGAGTGCGGCGTGTGGTGGGCTTATTTACCGGCATGGATCGCCAGTTCTCAAATTATTTCCTCTGGCATTGAATGCGCCGGGCAGTGCAAGGCTTCCTTAAGTGTCACCGCTGAATCTCCTCACCGTCATGCATTTCCAGGCCCTACTTGTCGGCTTTTGCGCCTTTGTGGCTGCAATTGCCATTGCCAGCCCTGTTCCTCGAGATAGTCCCTTTGAGGACATGCTCAGCAAGAGACAGTCCGCGCCGATGAATTCCTCCCTGATGGTGGATCTGGGCTATGAGATGTACAATGGCGTGCATAATTCGACTTCTGGCTTGAACACTTGGCTTGGGTATGGTTCCAAATGTAATCAATACATACCAATCCCCATATAATTGACCTTTTAAATCCTTAGAATCCGCTATGCTGCTCCTCCTACCGGTCAAATGCGCTTCCAGAAGCCGCAACCTCCAAAGTCAAATCGCAATATGGTCATTCAAGCGAATGCCCTGCCTCCACGGTGCCCTCAATCTTCATTTCTTCCATAGTATGTCTCCAATCAATTGGTACTGGAACGGGCCTTTTAACGTGGACGTAGTTATGTGAGCGGCACAAATATCACTGGCAACGAGGACTGTCTGTTCCTCAGCGTATATGCGCCGCCTAATGCTACAAATTTGCCCGTGTTTGTGTGGATTCATGGCGGTGGATATGGACTAGGACAGGTGTGTTTGTATCCTCTTCTTTTCTTTTGTATAGAGCATAATTCTAATTATATCGAATACAGGGAGACCAAGATCCGACAATGTTAATGGCCGCGAACAATAATTCATTTGTATCTGTTATTATACAATATAGGGTACGAATCCGCAAGCTACTTCTCATTTCTTCAGGACTAATAAATCATAGCTTGGCGCATTCGGATTCCTTTCTTCGGATGAAGTGTATCGCTACGGCACGCCTAACGCAGGTATCCATGACCAGTATTTTGCTCTGGAATGGACGCAGTCTTATATCCACTTGTTTGGCGGCAATTCCTCTCAGGTGACAGTTGCAGGCGAATCTGCCGGCGCAGGATCAGTCATGCTCCAAGCCATGGCGTTTGGAGGGCAAGATGGGACCAGACTTTTTAGTAACGTTAGTACCCTACACTGCCTGCGCATGTTGGATTGAAAGATCATAAGTAACACGAGACCCTAGGCCATTGCTGCTAGTCCGTATCTGCCCACGCAATGGGGCTACGCGGACTTTGTTCCGTCGCAGTCATACTATGCATTTGCCAATGCAGCGGGATGCTTCCACGGCGTCAACTGGGGCGGCTTCAACAATTCCATTTTCGAGTGTCTTCTCAACAAAGACACAATGACGTTGCAAATGGCCAGCAATAACGTCTCTATCGAGGGAAAATTCGGCACCTGGGGATTCTTGCCCGTCACGGATGGAGAATTCATTCAGAACTTGCCTTCGGTGCAACTGCAGCAGGGCAAAGTCAATGGTCTCCGTATGCTTGCGGGGGTATGTTTAATTTTTTTTATAAACGTTTACTTTCCCTTTCTCATTCTTCACCGTCGAGTTTCTTCCATTTCCCGCAATACTGTTTCCTTCTTTCCATTCAATTCAGTTTAACCGGTGTTTCTTCTACTCAAATCAATCATGGGTATGCTAACCCAAGCAGAATAATGCCAATGAAGGACCGCTGTTCACGCCCCAAAATATCACGACCGAGGACGACTTTTTGGCATTCCTCAATACCACGTTCCCGCTATTCGACAATGACGATCTCGCAAAAGTCTTGATGTATTACCCTTCATCAAACGCGTCTGATACTCCCAGCATGCCTCGCTTCAGCACCACTGGCACATCCGGTCCGTCTGCATTGAATGAAAGTGAATTCGGCACTGGTCAGCAACAGCGCGCAGACGTACGTTGTAATTTCTTCAGTCCTTGTCATCATTTACTCCAATTCCTATATTCTGTTCCATGCTCTATCTCACTGCTCACATGCAATAGAACCTGTACGGCGAAAGCACCTTTTCCTGCCCCGCGTACTGGCTCGCCGAAGCGTACACGAAGCCCGGCTACGAAGCGTATCGATACCAGTATTCTGCCCCGCCGGCCCAGCATGGCAGCGACGTGCAAGCGTACTTTGGCCCGCCTTCGCCCTTGTACTCTCCTGACCTGATGAACGCCTTTATGCGTACGTTCCTAGATCTCTCCTCTTCATTCCCTTTCTCCCCCTTCCCTTTTCTCGCTCTACTTACCCTCCCTTCAATCTAATATATACTAAACAAATACGTACAGAAATATGGGGCAACTTCATCACGCACAACAACCCATCCATTCCCAACGCGGTCGCCAACAACGCTACGTCTTCCACTGCTTCCAATTCCACGTCGTCCTCTTCCGCGAATAATACATTCAACCCAGCAAGCCAATGGCCCATGTACTCGCTCGCCCAGCCATACATGATCAACCTCAACGTGACCTTGTCTAGTATGGGTGGTGCTGGCGGCAACATGACCACTGGCATAGCCGGCGGAATGGCAGCGAATATGACGAGCATCAGCGCCGTGCCTGGCGCCCCGAACGTGTCTGTCCTCACGGGCCCCAATGTCGTCAACGACTTTAGTCTTGTCAATGCGTATACGTGGGAGGCTGGACGAGGTATCCGCTGTGATTTCTGGAGAAGCATTGGTAGTTTGGTTCCGGAGTAGCCGTCTGTCCTGTCCGTTTAATCTTGTCATCTAATTATTATTATTTATTTTTTTATTTTTTTATTTATTTATTTTTTTTTTTTTTTTTGCCATCTAACTCGTTGTTGATTTTAGTTACTTTTACCTTTTTATCTTTTTTATCTTTTTTTTACAATAATTTATCTAGGTATCTTCATCTTCAATTCGTCCAGATGTATATTCATGTTTATGCTTTTCTTTCTCTTTCTCTTTTTTGTTTCAAAAGCTTTTACTTTTCTCTCTGCCCATTGCATGCATTCCACATGTAATACCTAATACCTCTTTCTCTGCCCTTTTTCCTGTTTGCCTCCTTTCGTTCGCGGTCTTGTTACTTGTACGGTACGTCAGTCTCTTTTCTCGGTCTTGTACAGTATGTGAGATGTCAATCTATCACGTTGCTGTCCGTGTTTTTTTCGATTTGTCGTGATATGAAAACAATGTATATTTTCTACCTTCCTCGTCGGCGGTTCTTTGGTGTTGGTGTCTTCACCTTGGTCCGTACATATTTGCTCGCCTGTCTGCCCGTTTTCCTGTTTTCTTGTTTTCTTGTTTGTTTATTTGGCTGTCTGCTATTTCTCTGCCTATTTGCCTGCTTATTTGCTTATTTTCCTACCTGTCCGTCTCTTTGTCTATTTTTCTGGTTAGCTCTTTGCTTGTTTATCTATTTTTTCATTTGGCTGTTTGCTGTTTGCTTATTAAGTTATTTATATGTAGGCTTATTTGGTTTTGCTTTACCATTTACGTTCTTGATATTGACCCTACCGTCCTACGGACCTACACAACTTTCTACCTAGTTACATACTAGTCCTTACCAACTACCAATTACTTAATGTATAGTATTTTGCCCCCCCTTTCTTTCTATCTTTCGTTTGGTTGTTTCCTATCTTTGTGTATTTGTATCTATCGTGTTTATCACGTTAATCATGTTTATGATGTCTTATTTATTACATTTATTGTTTTCATGTCTATCGTGTAACATGTCTATTATGCTTGTGTCATTATGTATTTGTATTCATTGTACTACCATTTCTATTATGTTTCATGCCTATCACGCTCATCATGTTTAACTATCTCATCTATCAAGTCCTGTCGTGTCATTTATAGTACATGACATACAACCCTCTCTACAAGCAATACAAATAGGGAATTGCTTTATACACACCTTCTTTCTCCTTGTGCATCCCCCCTTCCCCCCCAACAGGGAAACTTTTTCGCTGAATTGATCGCTTTTTACTCCCCCAGTTTTGCCATACGGGGCTCTATCACCAGCTATTCTACAATCTTCTACGATCATGATGGATCCTACGCCGTAGCCTGTCAACAACTCTCGTCGCCCGTTCAGCCCCAGCAGGCAGGCAACACCTCAAGTTCAAGTTCATGCGAAGATGGTTAAGAGGCATCTGAACACTTTGCATGTAACATGATCATTCCTCGGGATTAATGTCTGTCTTTATTGGTCCCTTTGCCTAAGGTTATTGTAACTATCAATAAAACCCAAAATAAATTTTGCTGCTACTTATATATTTTTTTGGCTTCTCACATTCCGGCAAACTGTCTTGTACCTTTGTATAATATTATATACAACAGCACAAAGGTGTATACCAGTGTACTACCTACCTTATATACTAGGTAGCCCACCGCCCCGGACCACCGCCTTGAAATAACCCCCATCCTTTCTCTTACACTCTTACTCATTACCATGATCCCATGATCCCATGATCCCATGATACCATGGACTTCATGGCCCACAAGCTTTACATCCCCCCGTGCATCGATACTCCAGCCCACTCTCTCCATCTACCGCCGCTGGGTCGGCCTCTGAGGATCCAGATCGAAGGGCCCCTGACGTGCATCGAGAAGCTGTTCCCAGATGTATCGTGGCAGCTTGAACATATACCTCCTCGGCCTTTTCCGCAGCCGGCTGGCTTGCGTCTTGCAAGGCTGACGTGCCGAGAACTATACGGGCGAGAAGCGCATCCCGAGGATCCCGAGGTCGTTGGCAATATTGTGCTGAGGGATGAATACTTGGGCTGGCTGCAGCCAGTGTCCTTGAGGTATGGGAGTCTATGAGAATTGTATTGTTAGACATGTCTTATCCCCGCTTCATAACGAGTCAGGACATTTTCCTATGCTTTTATAAATGACACTTCTTACTCTATAATGAACACATTGACACATTGACACTTTCCCCCGGCTCTATATAACCTCCCGCAATGGGGGCCGGATCGGGACCGAATCGTGGCGAGGGCGATATTTCTTTGAATCCTTGATTAATTTACGGCGCTACGGTCTACCTACAGTGTACCGGCGAGTACCAAAAGTTGTTTTACAGTTTGCCCCCCGTCTCTAAAAGAAACTCAGAGTTCAGAGTTCAGAGTTTTGTCAGTCGTGAAACTTGTGAAGTTGTGACTCGGAGAACAAGTTTGGGAACTTGGAACTTGGAACTTGGAACTTGGAACCAAAAACAAAATCAGAAAGCAACAACTAACTTTTTTAAATCATTAGCAAAATCGACTACTACGGCGTCACATTCGATTACCTTGTCCCTGCGGACGATCCTGATCCAGACGTGCTGCAGATCAACATGATTGAGATTGAGTACGACGGAGGCGCGTATGCAAACGAGACGCTGAGATGGGGGCCGATTGATGCAGCAGAATATATAGCGAACAAGCTTGTTCTTGCCGTGCCAAGATGCTGCCAGAAACGAAAAGGAACACAGGATCGTTCCAGGGTGAATGATTCTGTTGCTTGGAGGGGGGCCCGGGAAATAATGGATGACGATGTTACTCGGAGGAACGAATGATCGAATGATCGAATGATCGAATGATCGAATGATCGAAAGAAAGAGAGAAAGAAAGAGAGAAAGAAAGAAAGAAAGAAAAGGAGAGTGGTGAGTCAATGTTTAGTCCTTTGGTACATTGTGCATTGCGCATTGTGCATCATGCACTGTGCAGCCATGCTCCAAAAGCACCGGGGGCGCCTGATCTTGTCAAAGTGTTCAATTCTGAAAGGGATAACTTATAAGCTGTCCATATATGTAAAGGATTTTCACCACTGGTCTGCGTGTTACCAAGAGCAACAACTAATTTATTTTTTTAAAAAAACAAAACAAAACAAAATAATAGAACAACAAGTCAAAAGATAAAATAAAATAAAATAAATCAATCAAAATCCTATTCATGATTCTTGTACATATCCCAAATGTCCAAATGTCCTGTAATGCTTGTAGCCTTCGTACTGCTTCCAGCTCAGCACAACCATGCAGTCATGATCAATCGAAACCGAGAACCAAGGAAGCAGGAAATAGTTCTCGATGGGCAGATGAATAGACACTGACGTGGAGAAGGAGCCACGGACGCAAGGACACAAGGACACAAGGAGACGACGAGAGGAATGGGCACAACAAGAAGCCTAATATGAGCAGATGAATGGATTATGGACATGACAAGAACACGAGGACAAATGAGACGGGCATCGAGAACGGTGACAAACAAGAAAAAGAGAGAAAGAAAACAATCAAGATATGAAGAATCATGACGAGAATTATAATTCAGGATAAAGTTAAAGGATAAAAATGTTATCGTATTGTATGAGAATGTGGACCTCTATGTATCAATGTAACACTGTATCACTGTATCTCTATCTCACGCAAAGGCTCTAAACCCGGAAAAGAGAGAAAGAATAATAAAATGAAAATGACATTGGGAAAAAAAGAAAAGAGGAAAATAAAAAAGTTATTATCAAACCCAACGAGTGCCTCCGAAAAAAACTCCAATAGTAGTAGAATGTGCATGGTCTAGTACCAGATACCATTCAATAACGATGATGATAATGCAAATGGTGAATGAACAAGACTAGAATATGAATGTTGAAACAAAGAAGGAATAAAAGTGTTCAGTGTCGGACGGGGTCTCCTAGACGGATTTTAGAATCAAGACGTGACTTGTCCAGATTGTCCAGAAAATGTGGATGCGGTGTCAGCCTCGCTCGGAGACGCTCACGGAACCGACGACTGTTGCGGAGTACAAATCTTGCAGACTCGGGAGTACACATCTTCCTCTTCTATTTAAACACAAAAATTGACGGACTACTTCGTCCGGCGAAGCTATGTGCGGTATTAAGTATTGCTGCTGCTACTACTGCTGCAACATTTTGGGTGGTTTTTACTTTTTGGCAGCTCAATCGGCGCTTTCTCGGGCTTACTCGGCAATGGGAGCCATTTGCTGAGGAGCGACACCGAGACCGTTGCGGTTGCGGTAGAACAAGACACCCTTGCCCTCGCCCTGGGCGTCAACGCTGGGCTCAACCCACTGGCACATGCGCGCGCTCTTCCACATGCTCTTCAAGAAACCAATGGCGCCGTCCTTGGTGTCGGAGCGGTAGTGACGGCCCATGACAGGCTTAATGGCTTCCGAGGCCTCGTCGGCGTGGTAAAAGGGAATCAGGGAAACATAGTGGTGGAGAACGTGGGTCTCAATGATGCCGTGGAAAATGTGGCGGCCGATAAAACCAAATTCGCGGTCAATGGTAGCAGCCGCACCGCGAGTAAAAGTCCAAGTGTGGGGCTCGTAGTGAGGGAGCGAGGGATCAGTGTGCTGGAGGTAGGTAATGGCAACTAGATGTGTCAGCTGACAAGTTACTTTTACAGGGGGAAAAATTACAATGGGACCTACCGAGCCAGTGGTTCACCCAGAAGTACGGGATAAAGTACCAGACGAGCATGTTGACCCAGCCAAAACGCTGACCGAGGCAATACAAGAGACCACCCATCAGAGCAAGACCAAGATCGCTCAACAAGATGAGCTTGCCATCCTTAGCCTCATAGAGCGGGCTCGACGGGTTAAAGTGGTTGACACCGCCAAAGAAACCATTCTCCTTGCCCTTGCCGCGGCCCTCAATCTGACGCTCGTGGAAGTTGTGGCCAGTGACATTGGTGGTCAAGTACATGATCCAGCCAGCCAGCTGCTGCTGAAGCAAGTTGAAAGCCGTCGCAATGGGAGTCTCCTCCATGAGCTCGCCGATCTCGTGGCTCAGCTTACCCAACCGAGAGACGTAGACGTCGCGGGTCTTGGGGAGGAAAACCATGTCACGTTCCATGTGTCCGGTAGCCTTGTGGTGCTTGCCGTGAGAAATCTTCCACGAAAAGTAAGGCACAAGCAGCGACGAGTGGAGGACCCATCCGGTGGTATCGTTGAGAATCTTGGAAGGCGAGAAAGCCTGGTGACCGCACTCGTGGGCCAACACCCACACACCGGTACCGACCAGACCCTGAATCACCGTGTACAGCGCCCACAGGCCAGCACGCACGGGGGTAGAGGGGATCGTCTCGGGGGTGACGAAGCGGTTGAAGAGGTAAAAGACGGTGGCCAAGATGGTGAGATCGCGAGCCACATAGCTCAAACTGCGGACAGCAGAGCGCTCAAAGCAGTGGGCCGGGATGGCTTCACGAATCTGCTTGATGGTGTAGTCGGGAATCTCAAACTCGTTACCGTAGGTGTCCAAGAGCTTGCCACGCTGGTTCTTGAAGTCGGCATCATCAATGGAGCCCATGGACGAGAGCGAGGTCGACGAAGGAGACTGTCTCGGAGAGTCAACGGGCGAGACGGAAACCGAGTTCACGGTCGACGAATTGGTCGAATCGGAGGTGACGGTCCTCTGAAAGACCGTCTTGCGAGGAAGTGCGGTAGTGGAAGCCATTGCTGAAAATAGCTTCTTTTGTGGTTTAAAAAAAATGTCGGTCTAGAAGGACAATGTGGCACAGTTTCCAAAAGAACGAGGGACCCAAGGCTGTTCAATTGATAAGACGGCTAAAGGTGTCCGAGTTTATGGGAAACAAAGAGACCTGAGCTGTGGCAGACGCGTTAGCAATTGGGTTTGCAATCCAAGGGCAGATGAGCCTCTGGGGAAAAAACCAGGGCCGGGAAGAGAAAAGAAAGGTTAAACACTGACCTGGACCCAATGCACGACGCGTTGAGAAAGAGGATGCGGAGAAATGGAGAAGGGAGCAAGGGGGAGAAGAAACAGTAGAAGGAAGAAGTGTGCGCGTGGGGGAAGGGAAGAAAGGAATTGGGTGGTGGTGATTTGAAAGGGAAAGAGGATGGAGAGGGAGAAGAGAGAGAGAGAGAGAGAGAGAGTAGAGTAGAAGAGCGGGTGGGAGAAAGGGAGCAGAGAGAAGAGAGGCGTTGGCAGACCCTTTTTAACGAATTGAAGTGAAAGCGGGTGGAGGAGAAAAGATGGGGGTGGCCCGGATCGGTGGGAGGTGAACGGACGGATGGCTCACTTGTTGCGCACACACAGGGCAACAAGAAAAGGAAGAAGAAAGAAGAAGCAAAGAAAAGAGAGAGCGAATAAAAGGTCCAATTGGACGAATGATAAAAGGAGGGATTGTATTGCGCGTGTGTGTGTCTAGAATTAAAAAAATCTAATCTCTACTACATGCACCAAGCATGATTGGCTTTTTCCACTCGGCGAGATGCTAAGAGAGCTCAGTCGTCTACAGGCTAAGTTGAAGCATTTTACCCAGCGTAGTCTAGTCAAGTTCGAGTCGAGTAGGGGAAGGAAGATCTTCTTTTTCATGTGGTCCCTCTGTCAAGGTCCCTGGTCCTTCTTTTGCGTGGTGTTCTCGTCTCTCCCTCGACAACGGGGGGAAAGAGAAGGAGAGAAGAGCTGGTGTGGAGCGAGAAAAAAAAAGGATCTTTGAGCGATAATGGTCCGTGGAACCCCCGACAACCGGCGCCAGGGCGGTCAGTCAGGGTCTCCTCAGGGTACATTGATTGCCACTGCAATTTAGTAATGGAAAAGGGTAGATATTTGTACTTTATCAAATTTTCGCGCTAAATGGGACAAGCGAGGTTTCTCGAATTGGGTTGGGGGCTGTTGTGCCGCCACTAGTGTCCATTTTCCTGTCGGTCTGTCAATCATCAGACGCCAATTCCTAGAGTAACGACTTCCTCCTAACCAAGTACATTCACTTTAGTCCAGGAACCACTGCAGCCCCTTCCTTTGGCCCCGTCCCTTTTTCGCTTTCATTTGCCTCCCTCCCTCCGCGCCCGCCCCCCCCCATGCCCGGCCCCCATCTCGACCGCCAAACAGAAAACGTTGAAAAAGAAGATCGACATTCTTTGTTCACATGGCAAACGACAATTATTATCTCTCCCAATACCCACTTATCAATGAAGATTCTTCTAGACATTCAATCTCTGTAGCGGTGACCCATTGGTGAGGTGATTGAACTGGTCAATCCATACCTTATGTACAATGGTTCAAGTAGCGCCACACAGGGTTTGAAATGGCATCGGCACGAGTCATTTCTAGGCGAGAAATACCCGCCGATTCTTTCCCCGGAGACAAGTACAGCAGGAACAGTTGTCCGGCAGCAGCTACCTGATTTACCACAACAGAGCTACCGAGTACAGAGCTACAGAGGTAGGAGTACAGTAGTCTATAACGCCATTGACGACAAGAATCGACAGGCACCAGATCATCCCATCCTTGTCCATCACATGAATTATTTGCCACAACACTCCAGGTAACGATCGTTGTCCAACACGTACTCGTAGAATTCTCGAACCCTTTCCACAGTCAGTCTCCAGTCCAGTCTTCTAGAGTTCACCTCGCTCCTCGTCTGGTCTTCCATGTAGCCAGTCCTCTTTGACCATTGACACACATGTCTGTACGGCTAGTTCTGTATTTCTGTAGTTCTGTACTCCATAGCTCTCTACCCTATCAACATCCTAGGGGACTACTGTATACAATACCAACCAGTCTTGGCACCAGCACAAGCATTTCTCTATTCGCACCACATGCGATGCGCCCAACAAATCCATCATCTTCACCGTTCTTGTCATCACAATAACTCTCCGCACATCTTGCATCATTCAGTCAATTTATCAACTGACATGACGTCTATTTCCATACTGTAAGCACTCTATCTACCTACCCTCCTACCTACCTACCTACCTACCTTACTTCTATACCTCTGTATCTCTGTATCTCTGTATCTCTGTATCTCTGTATCTCTGTACGGAGTAATCGACACAACAACCCTCGAACCAATTACCGCATCGAATTCACCACGCGCATCAACGACATCTGGTAGCCTTGCTCGGTTCTCGCACCAGGGTACAGGGTATCTCGCTAAGCGCCATGGGCCTGAGTCGCCTAAGCCCAACAAAAAGCATCCACCATAGTACCTTTGTACACCTCGCACCAACGAATATCAATGTATCCGTGCTCCAGTACCTCCGTATCGGAGTAAACAATTTCCTTCTATCTCTGTACTCTACTCTCGTCTGAGAGTTCGTACAAGGACAGCTCCACAGCTCTACAGCTCTACAGTACACCGGCTTTACAATACTCCGTGCTCTACTGATAGCTACCTTACCTACCTACCTTTCTAACAAATCTTAATCGTCTACACTCACTTAGCTAACATACCTTATCTTATTATCCCTTACTCTGTAGTGAACATAAGGTGCCTTTGTAATCAAAACCAAATAAAAATAAGGTAAGTGCTTCTCTAACTAAAGTGCCTAAGATAAATGAATGAAAAAAAAAAAATGGTATGACACTCATATCGAAAAAAGTTAATATCTGACGATCCGACGATCCGACGACAACGCGATATATGGTCTGACATATCATAACACTAAACACTACGATGAACCATGAGTTAACATAGCTTCGTCCAAAACCTCTGATATACCTTTCACCGCATATCCTGCTGCCACCCACTTACCTCAACCAATCGAGCCAGTGCACATGACTGCAAGCGCAATCCAAGGTGGGCAATGGACAATGGAAAACGAACAAATAGAAAACACGGGCAAGGTGGGGTACAAGGGTATCTGAGACGCGCGTATCCTGTATCAATTGACATTGACGTTGACATTGACGTCGAGTTTGACTTATATTGTACCTCCGTACATTGTCGAAATCGAATAATCGAATGATCGGATGATACTGAAACGTCAAGCCACCTGCCACGAGAGAGAGGCCGGGGAAGTGTATGGGGTAGAGTAACATGACATCATTTATAATGATATAGTACCTACGAGCTTTATATACGAGATGTCAAAATATCAAATACCAGATCCGATATACAGTATACAATATACGATATAATGTACGATGTACCTTACATAAACGACATCAGATATCACATACCCAATACCAAATACCAGAACCCAAAAATCAAGTAAACATATCCCAAATACAATATCACATAAACATATCCACAAATCACATATTCATTCAAGAGATCACCTATCACCCATCATCCAACATGTGCATATGTCAATATGGCAACATGTCAATTCGTGTAGAGTCCCTCTCTCCTTCCAATCTCCTGTCCTGAGTACAAATTTAGTTTCCCCCAAGCAGAGTAAACGTGTAAAGTAAAGTTAGACTAAGACGCGTGCACTAGATTTGTACTAGTCTACTAGAATAAACACAAGTAGACCACACACGTTGAAAAGAAAAAAGGAAAAGGAAGGAAGTAAAGAGGTCCAGACGTCAGAGACCACTCTCACCTTCATGATATGCATATTCATTAACTCATGATGTGTACATCAGGGTCAAATGGATAAGACAATAGAATGAGATAAAAAGAAAGAGAAAAGAAAAAAAAGAAAAGAAAAGAAAAAAAGAAAAGGAATAAAAGAGATCCAGAGGCTGGATAAATAGAAGAAGAAAGTAAAGGAACAGACAATGAAATGAAAAAAAAAAAAGGTCAGACAATAGATGAGGGAGGGGGGAATGGAAATAAAAAGCAAAAGAAAAAGAAAAAAGAGTTAAGAAAGAAAAAAACAAGGAAGGGCAAAAAAACAGACAATGAAATGAAATAAAAAAGCAAAGACATAAACGAAGACGCCGTTCCGTCATCAAATCTCATTAAAACTCATCAAGCGGCATCAATACACAAAATTCCGCTGGAATAATATCATTTATTTAATTCCAGTCCATGACTACACGGATGCGAATCCGGATTCATGAGTCGTTGAATTGTTGAACTAATGAATCAATGAATCGATGAATGGAGTAAATCCTTAGGATGAATGAAAACACCTAGGATCAATGGACAAATGGATGAAATAAACACCCAGGACGAATGCAATCAAGGGCATGCTGATACGTAGTACCAGTAGTAAAGAAGAAGATGAAGAAGAAGAAGTAAAGCTTAGAGAGTAAAGTCATTATTCGTAAGGCGACAAGAGACATTGAGGCCGTGTCGGGCGTCGCTAGGATATAAAACTAAACAAGGAAAAAGGCTGACAGAAGAAAGAATGGAAAGTGGAATTTAGGGGAAAAAGAAGAAAAAGAATAGAAAGAAAAAAGAATAAGAAAAAAGAATAAGAAAAAAGAATAAGAAAAAAAAAGAAAGAGAGAAAGAAAGAAAGAAAGAAAGAAAGAAAAAAAGAAAGAAAGAAAGAAAGAAAGAAAGAAAGAAAGAAAGAAAGAAAAGAAAAGGGCAAAAAAGAGTTGGATCACTGGATCATCTGCGCAGCCAAGAAAAGAAGAGTAGAACAAGGCCAGACAACACAAGGCTACAAGGCTAATGACCAAGACAAGAGGAGAATATCGATAATGAACAAGGAGAATATCGTAAATGAAAAAGGAGAACACCATAAGGGAAAAAGGAGAATGCGTAAGGGAAAAGAGAATCAAAACACATCATCAGGCCATTCATAGGTCTCCTTCTCCTTGCCAAGATCTCTCCCCAGATGTGCCTTCTTTGCAATCTTCGACGCCAGCGGGGTACCAGTCTGGTGACGCATCGAGTAGCCCTTTTCTCCAGCAGCGTTGACATTAACATTGAAATTCTCATCTGCCGTTGTAGGTCGAGCAGCGCGCTTCTTGGAAACAGTCTGTGTTCCAGTGGCCACGTAGAAGGGCAAAGGATGTCCATCATGCGCAGCATAGCCTGCGGGGATCTTCGGCACAGGCGGCGTATACTTTGGAGTCGTCGAGTCGTTTGCATCGTCCTCAATGTGGTATCCGGCGTGCAGACCAGAGTAGCTTTCCTCGTGAGACTGCCTTGAACGATTGAGCTTCAGAGTAGTCTGACTGGACCGATTTGCTGCTCTACTTGTTTGCTGACGCTGAGGGTGCTCGGTACCCTCTTCGTTCGGCGTACCTTGCCCTGGGCCTGCTCCTGAGCCAGCTCGAGAGCTACGAGCGCCAGCTGCAGAGCCCTGCTGCGTTGATGGTCGCCGTCGTACGGCGGCACGACCGAATTCCATGCCATTGTCAAGTGCCTTTGATGATGATGATCTAAAATCGTCCAGAACTTGTTGCGAAAAGACGGTAGGTAATGGCGTTTTTGCCAGAGATGAAGGATGCACCTCAACTATTTCTTCCTCTTGCATGGCCCAGCACGGCACCTCGAGATCCCTGTCACGGGCGTCTTCGGCATCTCCGTTCACTGCCACGTCGACCTCAACCCCAACATCAAGAGCTGATGTATCAACGAGGTCAACCGGGTCAACCGGTCCAATAGACTCGGAAGCCTCGCGAGGATTGCCAGGCAGATCCTCCTCAAGGCCATCAGAATGAGATGCAATGCTAAACGATGGCGTGTCTAGTTCGCCGTGCATGCCAATTCTCGGTCTATTGGTTTGATTTGATGGTATGACGGCGGGAGTCACTGCTAATGCTGCCCCTGGCGCTTGATTACGATCATGGCTACGTTCATCAGCGCCTTGAAGTTCGCCGGTTCCGAGTTGAGAGGATTTGGATGGTCTGATAGTCTTCGTGTGAGATTCTGAGAGCCCCAATTCCCTGCGGACTTGTGAATCTCCAGAAAAAGTGCGTCGGGGTTGGATATTATTCTTGGTCCTGGAACGCGGCAGCTCCTGAGTAATGGTTCGATCAGACGCCGGATGATTTGGCTGGGATGAGCCCGCCGCAGCCGGTGTGATGGGCTCATGAGCAGCAGCGGCAGTAACGTGTGCCGGCAAGGGTGGAACAGGCGGGACATGTGCCAACACAGCGTTCAGTTCACGTCGAGCGACCTGGAGCTTCGTCTCCAAATCGCTGACCTTTTTCATCAGCCTTTGCTGTCTCTGCATATCTCGTTTAGATTGACGCTTTCGGACTTTCTGCTCATCAGTATCCTTGGGGGTTGCTGTGGTTGTGGTGGTGGCGGCGGTAGTTCCTTCAGGTATTGGCGGTGGTGGAATGCTGGTGCCAAGCACCCTCGATGATGGCAATTGCATCTCCGATTTTGATTTTTTCAAGCTTTTCAGCGAAGGCTTTTTGAAGAATAATGATCTTCGAGGCGTCACTGTTGTCGAGCCAGACATGTTTCCGGCTGATTGCCCCTTTGTCGATGAGGCTAGTAGTGATGGTAGTCGGTGGTGATAGTACTCATCACCTGCATGGTCTTCAGAGGATCGGTAACCATCAACATCGATGCCAGAGTCACGATGTGGTGGCAGGTTGCCGTAGAGATCATCATCACCTTGGTCGTCACGACAACCATCGCCGCCGCTGATGTTGTCGGCGCTCTTACGCGCATTCGAGGTTATTGAGGTAGTGATTGTGGATTGCCTGCCTCTCACATTAGGAACTCGATTAACACGGTGCGAAAGTGGACTACCCAGCGTCGCCAGCTGGCCATTCTTCTTCAATTCCGCATACGTCCTTTCAGCCCGTTCGCGGCGCTCCTTCATCATTCGGAGCTGCGGGTCAAAATCCTCCTGCGTCTGTTTCCACTTGATTGCCATGCTTTCCCAAATGTTGACGGGGTTAAACGCCGTCGCAAATTGCTTTCCAAAGCGATAAATACCCTCACGAGTAAAGCCGCCCCTTTGCTGCTGTGCAACCGATCCAGACCCTAGCCTTGACGACGAGGACAATCCGCTCGTTCCAGTGTCCGCACGTGGCGGCACAATACAAGGTTCCGACGCGTCACGGAAGAAGTCGTCCATGAGATCCTCGTCCCGAACGTAGATACTCGGGGGTATCTCACTCGGCCGATCATGCATGCTACCTTCCTTGAATCTGGAGAGCTTCCCGAAATGCACGTTACGCCGCTTGGCAGAAGACGCATGAGATCGCATCGAACGGGCAGATCGCATCGATGCATTGTTCATGCCTGTTGCGGATCGGGAAGTCGATAAATCTAGGTGTCTTCCCCGGCGGCTGCGCTTTTGCGCAGGTGTATCGCTGGCCGCGAGCTCGTCCTCCTCATCGGTATTGGGCATGATGAGAGACTCTCTCAGGACTTGCGACCTTGACGGGCTTTCCAGCGCGTGCGGCCGTTTTCGGGAATTGGTAGATGGCGGGGCGGAAGAGGATGCGTGGGCGCTGACAGCAGGGCTTATTGCAGGCTTCGGCATGGTGCGACTAGCTCTCGAGTATGCAAGTCATGAGGGCCAGGCGAGCGACGTGGAGAGGGGATATGAAGGACTTGAGTATGTAATTCTATCGTCACGCAAACGAATCGTTATCCTTTGCTGGATCATGCACGGGGCGAGAGTCAGTTTTGGTTGCAATATTAATCGATATAGAGTGACATAAACAAACCAAGCCGAACAAACAACCGATGCTAACAATTCGCGGCGCACAGGGAGACCAAACAAACAAACAAGGGCCTCTGAAGCTTTTCCAATTTGCGAGCTGGATCAAGCTATGGTGAAGCGAATGGATCGGAGCAAAGCACGAGCGCCACGAGGTGAGCTAGACAATACAATGCGATAGCAAAATATTGCCCAGAAAACCAAAAAGGGGCGTCTCGCAGCGGCAGTATTAGATGCGCGTTGTTAATTCGATGCTCAAGAGAACAGCTATGTCGGTGCCAATCGATCGGCCCAAAAAAATACAAATCAGCAAGCAGCCGAATCCAAGTGGTGCTCTTTTGTAAATGTCATATGAAGTATTTTTCTGGGGGGGGTATGGCAGTGATGATCATCAGATGGGGAGGGGAACTTGAACAGCCAACGTCCAAGGCGGTCAGACAAGTTCAGTCAGCAAAAGGTAAACAGAGCCCACGAGCAGGGATGGAGATCAACAAGTACAGGTACACATAGTACTTGCATTAATCGCTTAGTTTTTCCTGGAGCCCTCAGACTAACCCAAGTACCGATACCTTGAAACCTGACTGGTAGTTACCCATGGTGATGGAAGACCTCAGCTAGTGGAGATAGCGAGTGTTCAAGGCAAAGTGGCACCTGGTGGCTATGAAACGCTGGATGTTGCACCTTTGGACACTTTGGTACCTGAACCGAGGCAAAATTACCTAAAGATTAAAAAAGCCATCAAATCAATGAATCGTGCATACCGCTTACAGCACTACTTTCAGCTGCATTGCATTACATTGCCGCACATTTTTCAGCATTGCATACTCGGAGCGGAGAAATCAAAGCTCTGAACATCACCATTGCAGCGCAATCAAGTCTAAGCGATACGGACAAGACTGACGCGACTCAGTCCTCGAACGAGGGGAAAAGGTGAACCACCAAAAAAAAAGGTAGATTATAGATTCACGAAGCCACGGGACATTATATCCATCACGTTTCTGAGAGTGTACCATTCCAAGGACATGTAGTCAGCCGAAATGTAAGAGATGAAAATCAACCAAAGCCAAGACAATTTTTCGATTTCCATCAATGAAAACACAAAGGGCCTCCTGTGCACTTTTCGTATACCAGGTGCAAAAGGAGCACTGATGGGAAATGATGTGACTGTAAAGCACTTATCCAATAACAAAGCCACTGCCGCAAGTACCAGGAAAATGTATGGGAAATGAATGGACACACAAGTAGAGAGAAAATGAATTGGTCAAACAATAGTCGAAATTGAAGAGAAGTAAATTCACAAAAGTTGACCGGAAGCAACCAAAAGTTAATATGACACATAGGACGCATGTCTCCGTGAGAAGGTTAAACAAAAGAAATGTACAGCGTTGACAACCTATACAAAGTCCCGGTAAGGTGAATTGCAACAAAAAAAAAAGAAAGAAGAGAAAGAAAAAAAAAAAAAAAGAAAACTGGGGAGGCGGAGGGAAAAAGTGGGTATTTACAAAGGACGCCATCGCGAAATTGAGACAAACGCCATATATGGGATATCACAAAGCATCGGCAGAGCAGGGTCTTCGCTCGGTCTTATTTACCCGCTACTGCATACTCGAAAAGAGTGCGCGCTGGCCATACCATGAGCTGCTTTGTCATTCACTGCTCAACCCGACAAGGGGGCTCGGCGACTAATCTCTGTGCCATCTGCACGCTTATACCGCATCCGTAGAGCCTGCATATCATACATGTCGAATTCCTCCTCATCGTAGTCAGCCTGCACCATGTCCTGGCCGTGATGCGCAGTGTTTGGGCGCATGCCGTCCTGAAGAGGCTTCTCCAGATGAGCAGAGCTAAACACGGAACCAAATGGACGCTTGGAGGAGCGGGCAGAGTCAATCGTGGAGGCAGAATGGGGAGTCGGATACTGCGAGTATGCTCTCGATTTAGCACTCTCATAGCCGCCCGAAAGGCTAGAGCCGCTGGCAGCAGAAATGGGACCCGGAGTGGCAGTGATTGGTGAATTCGTCTCGTACGTGTTGCTCAGAGACGGCTGCAGAGTCTTGAGTGGAGGGAGTGCGGGAGCAGCGTTGGAAGTGGTACTAGCAGGAGTAGGCGCGGGAGGTGGAGGAACGGTGGCGTAGGGTTGGTGAACCGGCTGAGCGCTGCTGTAAGCGTTTTCGGCAGCGTAAACGGGCATATGTTGGCTAGCATAGCTGGATGGGGCAGGTGCAGAGTCCCGACGATAGTCTAGATTCTCTTGACGAACAGCGACGGGTTGCGAATAGGGTGGCTGGGCATATTGCTGCGGTGCTGCGTAACCGTAGACCTGTGGCGCAGACATTTGTCGAACGTGAGCAGAAGGCTGCAGTGGGTATGCCGCAGCAGGTGCAGTATGGGGAGGCAGCGCGGCGGGCTGTGGGTGGGCAACAGGTTGAGGGGCGCTGTAATGTGGCGCCTGATACTGGGGTGCCGGATTTGCTCCAAACGCAAGATGTGAAGGATAAGCGGAGGGAACGGGCTGAGGTGGAACGTGGGCCGGAGGATATGCTTGTTGATACGGTTGCGTGGTGTATGGGCTCATCTCGTGCACCGAAGGGCGGCGATGGGGAGGCATGGCGTACGGAGCAGGTTGTCCATCGCCGCTGACGATGCTCACTGAGCGAGGTCTGTTCTGGTGGTCCACTAAAGGTTGAGCATTGGAAATCGCCGCCTGCGAATAAACATCTGGCGTGGCAGTTCGTCGCTGCTCCCTCACATAAGCGTTTTCTTCGTCATATCCATCCCAGTCCTTGGCCTTGCCATCGCGTCGTCTCATGCGAACGTCGCGTCGGATGCGAACACGACAGCCTTGTTCGGCCACGATACGGCTGAGGGACGTACTTTCCGCTAGACCAGGGAATTTCTTGGCACTGAAAACGGTAAATGGCATCGACTTGACCTCCAATCGCCAATATGCGTGGGCGGTAGGCGAAGGATATCCAGAGACATTGGGAAGTTGGCCGTTGATGTCTGGTTTCCCCGCAATCACATCCATATCAAAGTCCTTTGATTCCTTGACTTCTTCAAAGAGGTTGAAACTCAAGCGGTATTTTCCTTCGTGTCGAACAGAAAGATCGGGGAATATGAAGTAACCAGCGGGCAGAGGACGGTCGAGATAGGCCATTCCAGCAACGGGCATTCCGGTAAGAACAGGATAAGATGCAGGCGTTACGGGTACGCGTCCTTGGGCAATGGGACGAGCATTTTCCAAAGTCGCAAAGAGGAAAAAGTTGGCATTATAGGAGAAGGTAACATCGTTCTTGGCGTCGCCCTCAAAAATTCGGAGCTCCACGATTGGAGGCGGGTCAACAGGTCGTCGATCGGCAGAAGCTATGGAAGAGATGAGCATCTTGTCTCTGGAGAAAAAAGTGTACATATATTTATTTCGTCGCTTCTTGCTCAAGCACTTACATTTTGCACCAGAGCCGCAAGCACGAGCACGCTCAGGCTGTTGAATAACGTTCAACTGATACGTCAATTTCCTCCCCTCCTTGGTCACACGAGAGGACGAGCTCATCTTCTCGTTTGCGACCGCGACCAAACCAGACATTTTCGGGTTGTGATCTGAGCAACTTCGCACAAGCGTACACAGTAGATGGGTTCGTGGGATTTGCCGAAGGTGATGATGCAATAATAAGACTTGATCTGGCCGACGTATGAGATTGGTCTCAACAGAGATCAGACACGATTATATTTCGAGATTTGGCTACCAGATGTTCTGGTTCTTCTTAATGCCCTGCCGAGAGTCGTAGAGTGTTTTAATTTCGCGTCTCTTAGGTGAATGTTGTCACGAGATCTGGGTCGGGTAATTCCTTAAAAGAGGTCCAACGAGTGATGAGAAGAAAGATGAATTGCAGCGAGTGAATTCTCTGAACTGAGGTGTTAATTTCATTCAGTCACTTTTGTGCAAAGATTGACCAGCTCATCGTCCATGATTTGCAAATTTTGGCAATGACGGCACGTAGCCAGGTGGGCAGGATGCAATGCTTACAGTCAAAAAATTAGGGAATCGAGAAAGAAGAGAAAAGGGCTCTAGATGATGACTCGCAGAGGGGTAGCTCAAATGACCTTGAGAAAAGGATAAGAATCTTGGTCACTGAAGAACAAGTCCCGCTCAAGCCCAAGGACGAGCGAAGCACGATGATCTTCTTGAGGCCAATGTCGCTCGGTGAATTATGATATTGGCAGGCTTGAGGCTGAGAAAATCACTGCCTGGATCGACAACCGCGAGGGTTCTGAATGCGTAATCGACGGGGGAGCAGAAGCACTGCCTCTCTCTTCACACTGCGTCTCCTGGACGTCGTCGTTGTTCAGCTGTGGGCGAGCGACGCAGAAGCGAGCAAGTGGGAAGAAAAGAGCGAGAGAGGTCAGAGAAGAGAGAAGGAGGGCAAGAAAGGTGACAGGCTACTGGTAGAAAGGGCAAAAGCTAGATGCGGGTCGAAGAGACAGGGTGGGCAGCGAGGAGGAGTCGAGTGGTCCGTACGTAGTTGCATAGAAAGCGTGCACGACTGGGAACTTCAACAACTACAGGTAAAATTGTAGTGCTACTGCAGCAAAGAGGTCTAGGATCGTGATGGCGTTCCGTCTGCTCGAATCCCTAAGCCTCGGGCTTCTATCCATGGCTGTTCTAGCTGTCTGGCAGGTCTTGGTTCCCCCCTGTCCCACCAGCAAAAGAGGCACGCAAGTGGACCCGACGACCCAGACCAAGGAAAGGCCCGGGAGCCGGCACGGCGGCGGAGGGGGGTGGGCCGTCCAGCTGTTAGGTCCCCTCTCGCTCCGACCTACTGGACTTTGGTTTCACCTCGCGTGGGAACCAGAATGGATTGTGGTGTGTGTATGGGTGTGTTGTGTGTATGTGTGTGGTGGGTGGTGTAATGGGTCAGGCGGGTGTGTGGGTGTGTCTTTTGTCTGTGGCATTGGTATGGGTCTCTCTGTATGGATAAGCGTACTGGCCACCTTGGCTGATGGCTGCTGGCGGTGGTAGAGAAGGGACGAGGGGGAGGGACCCAGCAGCGTTTGTGGCCTGGTCGACGACGGAAATGGGCTCGCTCCCTTTCCGCATCAAACCCCCCTTTCGCTAGCTTCAATTGGCCCCAAATGAACAGCGAGCGTTATGACTGGGTAACAGGGCGAGACAGACAGGGTCAACGCCCCTTTCGTGGACGGAAATGGATTTTTGCTGAGCGGGTTTGGCGTCATGTTCTGCCCGTAGCGAGCCCACCAGCGTTCCTTTCCCTTCTCACTATTCGTACAGAGTTACCGGACTACACCAACTCTTTTGCCAATTCTTTTCGTCTCCAAACCTCGGCCTCCGCCCAACCTTCCGACAAAGACCAATTTCCCAGGAAAAGAATTCGACCGCAAGCCCAGCAGTCATCCTCCACCCACCCCTCCCTTTAGGCTTTTCCTCATCCCTAGAACTTTTCAACTCTAACCTCTTTGTAGTTATTCGCCTTCTGCTAACCTAAAGATCATCGCTACTTGCTCGGAGCAGCTTCAAATAGAATCACAGATACAAAGACACACAAACGCAGATAATTTCGTTAGTAGCTGTTGCAAACATGTTCGTCGAACGAACCATCTCCTGACGCTAAAGCCGTGCCGAGCTGAAGCCACCGAGAATAGTACAGTAGCCTTTCGCTTTTCTCTCTTCGCTCAGCCGCCGCTGAAGCTATCTTGACGGACTGTCTACTGTCTCGCCGCTAGGAAGCACTCCGAGCGCTTAAGCCCATTCGACTGACCCAAACGTTAAGCGGTCCTAATGCATCATCTTTGGTCTTCATTATTGCTATGATATGATACACTTTCACCCGAATGCTTCTAAAGAGCCCAGAAACGTCAGAGAACAGTCCATTTGAATCTCATCTGGATCCGCCTAGAAGAGGAAAGCGAAGTTTTAGCAAGAAGCTTTGCTTGTGAATGAGATGCCCCCGATCGGGAAAGCGCACTTTGACGTGTCGCACCAAACGCTGGGGAATCCCAAGTTTCACCGGCAAGGATCATATCGGGAGCCAGGCGATCGACCCAAAAAGGACACAAAATTGCATCAAAACAAGAGTGAGGGACGGAGTACGTATCGTACATGGTACTGATGATGTCTTTTGGGTCCAGTCATGCATCGACTTTTGTGATGAGTTGACTCGTTTGGGTTCACGATGAGGAAAATGAGTGTGTGAGGAGCAGCAAGTATCGTACGATGGGCCGCCCTCGGTAGCATCGACGGCGACGCCAGGACGCGGTCTCGGGCCCGGGACCCGCTCGGTGCAAGGACGAGTTACAAGAGAACAATTTTTCTTGGTACGTCCATACATTGGCCACGCAGGAGTCGGTTCCACCTGCGCCTACAGCAATTGCGAGCCGTTGCTGCTTCCCATTTTCGTTCTCATCTTCTTCATGAGCGAGAGGTGTTTGGAGATACATGTGTAAAAGCATCATCACTTGCTTTAATATTCTAATATCTTTTCCATGGCTTCTCTTCTCTCTTCGCTCACCTGCCACTAGTATTTGGCCGCTACCGGGGCGAAGGAGGGACGGACAGCAGAGGCTGGTGCCGAACCCGCGCGACTTGGGAGTACCCGCTCCCGTTCCATGCACCTTGTCCCGTTCAGGGATAGCCATGTCCCTCGGTTAAACACTCTGGTCTGCCCTTGTCTCTTCTCGCTGGCTCTTGCTCTGCTCGCATCATTCGGCCCATCATTGCGATCGGCACCCCTTCTCCTGCAATGGATTAAACGGTGACACAATGCAAAGATGATTCGATTTCTTCGGTACCTGTCTGAAGAAGAGCGACATGCGACAATAAATAATCTCCGAGCAAGAAATACCCCAATGCTAGCCTGATGATGCCCAGCCGATCACTGAGAATACACCTTCTGAATAGAGAAAGGAAAGAGATCTTCTCCCCTTGACCGCAGAGAGACTACCAGTATTAGATTTGGTCCTGGTCCGTCCTTGTACGATATGAGCAGGTACCTGACTTATACCTTACGTTCCGTACCATTTAATATACCGTACTCTGTACCTTTGGTACTTTCATCGATCGGAGATAATACTATGGCCTCTGACAGTCTCCGACAGCCTCCGACAGCCTCTTTTTTGGCTTTTCAACGTTCGCTTCGCTCGTGCATGACGCAGCGCATCTCGTCTGCGTCGGAAGCTCATCTCGGCATCGAGACCGCATAGTCCCTGGCACAGCTAGGTATGTGATCAGTCATCGAACATGCGGTCCTCGCAACTAAGCCACCCCAAAGTCACCCTCGAAAGAGGAAAGGAATCGCCTTTTTTATCTACAGTTGCATGCTCAAGGCTTCAGGATCGATGACTTCCAGCACGTTGCAGCGATGGCTTTTACAGTTGTCTCCGGCTTCTAGACTGACTAAATCCATTCTCCATTTTTTCCCTGGCCTAATTCATCTCATTATATTGGAAGAGGGCGCAGGACCATCTCTAGCAAATCGAGATGCATGTGAAGAGAAGGGTGGCCCTTGACTGGTCGGACCGCTGCGGGCGGCAATCTCTAACTATCTCTCGACCCATCTCGACGTGCATCGAGGGTCCGAGCATATGCTTTTTTGCTGTGCCTCTCTCTCCAGTATGGAATGCGCCAGGAATCCCCGTCGTCTCAGCGTGGACCAGCTTCCCCCGTGGTCCCCTTGCTCAGACCTATGTGGCGCATCCTGGTGACCAATGCGAGTTCTTTGTCACTTGATCGAATCGCCCCATTCGGCCCTCGTTCCTTACGCCATTCGAGTTCTTCCCCATTTTCCCACAGATCTCATGTCCCCTGACTGTGCCGCACCCAAACACCAAGGGTGGGCTTTGACGGGAATGTCTATCGGGTGTAGGAGAAAAACGGGCTGTCTCACGGCGTCATAACCCGGGACAAGATACCACGGAGAGCCAAATACCCAGAGGCGGCTTGACACGAGCGTGAGCCTTGGTGCTGTATTGCCCCGGTGCCGTGGTACTTCTTTCGGGTCACCCGTCAAGGTACATTTGCTGGGTTCAATATTCTTTACCTGGCACACGTTCCCGATATTCTTTCTCATCATTATTCTGAGGCACTGAATATGCTTCTCCTGAGGCATCACGCTTCTTCTTGAGTGAAAAATCTGTCTTGGCTTCCTGCGCAACGGTGTCACGGCAGTGAAGCTGATCTTCGATGATGGAACAGCTGAAAAGTGTGCGTAACCCAGAATTGGGCAGCCAGAGCCGGGGACATGGCAACACAAGCCGATCAAGTATGAGACCTATCACAAAATCGGACCCGGCGACTGCTCCACGTGTGTCGGCGGCCGCAAGTTATTTTTCCATGTAGCGAAAAAGCTCAGCAAAAGAAGTCGCCCTCTTTTGCTTTTTTTCGAGTCACCCGTCTGTCGTCCATCTTTTGGATAGATGGAACTTGTTCTGCAGTCAGTTGTCTTGTTATGCCAGCAATTTCTTGACATCAAGCGGCAATGTAGACATTGGTTGAACTTACCTCTTTGCTTCACACGACCTTGTTTCTCAAAAGAAAACATACTGGAACCGGAGCATCAGACGGGCCCATGCATTGGCCTTTTACTGGCATGGCAGAATCCTGCTTCACACCCGTGCTATCATGATCGGCCTTTTTACTACGGCGATCGCCTATGCTCAGCCCGCATCCAACTTTCTTCTCTCAGCTAAAGAGCCTTCAGAATAACAATAGCATCGGCGACCCCGTCAGAAGTATTTACTAACAATGTTGCCATTATTATCCATTGGGCCGAACCCTTTCTTACCTTCTTAGCGTCTAGTTAGTGGGGAGATCACGGTCAGCACGATGGAATGGATCTGATTACTGGACGTCGTTCCAGAGGAGACGATAAGCTCATGAGGTAAAACACCTCGATACTTGCAAGTTTGCAAGGGCTTTATCTCCTTTGAAAGGATGGCTTGGTTCGGTAATCGCAGCATGCATCATCACCGCATTAGTCTGAAAAACGCACGCTTTGGAGGTTAGTCATTGGAAGAATACGGTACTTCACTTTGACGCAGCAGAATATCCAGAAAGCTCCAAAGCATCCCCACCTAAGTGCAGTTTCCCGCATACCTGAAATTCTCCGACAAGAGCACGTCCAACCAAAACGTATCCAGCATACCCACAGTCAATACAATCTAGTTTCATATTTAACCTCTGTGCAATGTCCAGCTTCAGTAACGACCCACTTGAGCCCGTTGCGGGGCGGCTCAATTCTGCGCACTTCTCATATGAAGCGGGTTGAACTTCAAATTCGGCCCGTATTTCTGGTCTGAATCAAAATACCGTTTGCTCCCAATGGTCCAGAACGCCCAATACTCTACTTGCTCATAGACCGAGTGTGCCATCATGATGCTATAACAGGTGGGAGGTGGATTCTGTGGTCGTAGTTGGACGAGGTGTTTACCGTATTGTAACGATGGTGCTTTTCCGGTAAATGGATCAGCTCGTATTAAGCTTTCCTTTCCTCTGCCTTTTCTTACATGTTGAGATCCTGCGAAGGGACCTGACGACTATGATGTCATTTGCGATATATAATAGGTGTTCGGTTTTTTTTACTTGGGTCGTGGAGAATCGTATCCTGAAACACTCGCTTGAGTTGTTATGATCAAGAAGCGTTTCAACATAAAATTTCTTCTTTCAATACAAAGCTTTTCTATATCTCGAGATTACATTTGGCTGCATGAAAAAGCATCGGGTCGCGGAAATTTTTTCATTATCGCTGCTCATACACTCGGCCATTTGACGCCTTGGTCGGTTGAGATTGAAAGATTGTGACAGCCGTAATGCTGACATTAAGAGGCATATGCAATTCGTTTACGCTGCGAGATATTCTGAATCAAGTCTGGTCATTGGATTCTGGTTCAATTTCTTGTTTGAAATATGAATATTTTCGAGAAAAAGAGAGGAAAAAGATAAAAAAAAAAAAAAAAAAAAAAAAAAAAAAAAAATGGAAAGAATGTAATAGTCATGGGAACTATGAAATTCAAAAGTCCTGGTAAATACAGGTGAAATTTTGTCAACAACTTCAACTACATGGACCAAGAATACATTGAGTTTGCAGACATATACGGACAATCGTTGATAACTTGATTGGACATGAGATGGAGGTGTTGAGGTCAGGCAGAAGACCAAACAGACTTGTCGCTTGTTGGCGGCGGACTAGCCACACCGCCGTGGACCCCTCGCTTAGGCCCCCATGTGTCTGATATGCTCGATAGTCTAGAGGAACTCCTGGAGCTTTATTCAATGACAGCTAGGGAACAAAAGTTCCAAATTTCGGTGCAAAAGAACTTGGGAAGCCGTTCAATTCATGATGCACATTCCACATGTATGAAATGTACTTGACATAAATGCTGTGGAAGATTACACCAATCGCTGCAGCACAGACTCATCGCAATGGACGGCCCGGCGTCGACCTCGAGCGTCACTGGTAAGTAGGTGTGCGTGAACGAGGTGGACATTTATACTAATGTGCGAACGCAGTGGAATACTATGATCCCTCCAATGTGTTCCAGCTTCTATCGCCTGGGTTGCTCTCACGTCTTCCCCTTCAAAACTTACACTGGAAATCTTCCACACGCCCGTTACGATCGATTGCTTCGTTACATGTCGACCTCGTTCCCTCTGAAGAGAATCTACACACTCTTCCACTGCATTTACCTTCGTCGAGTCCCCAATTAACTTCGGCCACTGAGAAGCCGCTTTCTTCAACGCCGAACGAAGGGGAAGGTTTACATCGCACGCATTCGGAGGGTCAAGGACAATGGCAAACCGTCAAGACTGAAGGCGGGCACACGCAACCCAAGGGGTTTACCAGGGATCGGAGGCACCAAATACCTGGTCTGCGGAAGACACCCTATCTGAAGGTCTTCTTCCTACGATGCGATGACAATGAAACGTACAAAGCATCGTCGCGGAAGCTATTGCGGGAATGGCTGACAGATCATACCTCGTCTTCCCAAACCGGCGCACCGTCAAACACCCAAGAGAACCACGACGCCTTTGAGTGGCTTATAGTTCATGTGGTACTCCCGGACACTCCAGCTGCTTCGCAGCCGGGACCTGGTGCATCTGCATCGGGGGCAAGTAGCGGCACGGAAAAGTCATCCAGCGGTTCCCGCTGGCCGGGCCGGGGTTCATCGTCGATATTGGAAAAGATCCGAGCTGACTTCAATGGCACCTCCAAATCTTCCAAGGACCGGGTAGCTCAGATTCGGATCCCAAAGTGCGACTTGCCTCCGCATCTACTAGCCAGGTCTTCCCCCCAGCCACCATCCCCTTATGAGAGCGCCCAGGATCTCGAGAAGGCTTGGGCTGATATGATGGCCAAGTTCCGATCGCTTATCCTGACTTCTTTTGACTTGCGTGTCAGCCAATATGAGGAAGATATTCGAGAGAAGGATTCGCAACGGGGGCTTCCGGGCTGGAATTTTTGCACGTTCTTTTTGCTCAAGGAAGGATTGCTTCGAGGGTTTGAGAGTGTAGGCTTGGTAGAGGATGCTCTGCTGGGATACGATGAGCTGTCAATTGGGCTGGACGTGATGATTCGGGAACAGGCGGCCCAAACCGATGCCAATCATCGAAGCACTTTCCTCCCCTTTACGCAAGACTTGCGTGAACGCTTGACTAGTATCCTCGACAGTCCTTCCAGAGAGCTACAGCAACAGAGTGAACACACCGAGGTTGACGGGCCTGAAAATGATGCAGCTTCCCTTCTTGACAGGAAGAATTACCGTGATCTTATCCTGTCGAGTACGGTCTCCGTTTTCGATTTCCGCTGTTATATTTTTGCAAGGCAGATGGAGTTATTACTTCGACTGGGCACCACATTTCCATCAAGATCGACCCTTTTATCCAGAGTACGCACTCATCCGGCTGCTTCTCAGAGTGAATACAGCTTCCACGAGGATCCTCGCCATACCAGCAGCTCGGCAGGCAAAGACGCCACAGAGGATCTAATGACGCTCGCTGACATTTGCCATCGGGCTGTAGACTTTATCACATCTGCATCACGATTGATGAAGGCTGATTTGTGGGAGGGCTATATGAATGGCATTCGGCTGTCTACCGCGGATGTATCTTCAGATCCTGAAAGAGAAAAGAGTCCGGTTGAAGGCGCCGTTAGCGAAGTGATTGAAAACCTTGTTTTGTCATGGACTTTTTCTGCAAGTCAGCATGTTTTGGCCCGGACGTTGACTCGGACTCTCTCGGGTCGTCTTGAAGAATTGAATGAAGCTGGCCTGCCTGCGGATGATTCGGCTTCGGTGGACACTCAAGCACAGTCCGTTAGTTCCCGGGCATCAATTACTCCATCGGCAAAGATTGACAAATCACCTTGGGCAGAGGCAGCGTCCGCCAATGCAAAGGCCAGCCTTGAAGCAATTACAGCAAGCAGGGCAGATTTAATCTTGTTGAAGCGCGGCGTTGTCGAGAAGTTGGCAAATAAGCGGCACTGGCCAGTTGGCTGGGACTCCGTCGAAGTAGGGGAAAATGAGAGCTCCTTGACCGGCATGGACAATGTAAATCTCGACGACATTGCTGAAAAAGGGGTGGATGAACAATCAGACGAGAAAGATAAAACGGAGCTTCCAGAGCCCAGTGCCTCTGGACTGTCTGATTCGGAGCTCAAAACAGCGGTCGCTTCTGAAATACAGCTCTGTGAACTGCACGGGGTAAATATAAGGCCTGCAATATTGAAAATACTAGCTGACTTGCGATAATCAAGGATTTGACGGAAGCTGCGTTGGCCCATTTTCGTGTTGCTAACCGTAGCAACTCTGTCGAGAAGCTACTTGCCGACATGGCTGCTTTCAAGTTGTAAGTCGATTTTCTCCCCCAGCTTCTCGACGTGATGAAAGATTCTGGTACTGAGAATCATGATAAGCTCTCTTCGAGATTACGAAAGTTGTGCTGCGTGTCTTAAAAATCTATCAACATCGTATGCAGAAAAGAATTGGACATCTTTGGAGATGGCCGTACTCAAAATGCAGGCCAAATGTCTCCTCGAAGTTGGTCAGATTGAGGGTTACGCTAAAGCAGTACTCAAGTTTCTTGCCAAGGTCATTGCGACGAGGCAAATTGGATCAATCGGTTTTGGTGGACAGGCTCTACAATCTCAATCTGATGAAATGTGCGGCAGGAATGAAGCTGCAGGAGCAGCGTTTCTAGACGGCCATGGTTGCATGATCGAATTAATCAAGCATACTCCGTCATTAACGTCGCCAGTCGCCGTTCCTATCGACCAGTTCTTTGAAGCAATAAGCGTTGACAACTACCTGCAACACTTTGACGACAGGGATGGGTTCCAGGTTCAGCTTCGATTACGATATCTGTTGGACGACTCTTTGGCGGCGCAAAAGGTCAAGGTACGAATAGTGGACAATTCGTTGTCCCAGCCGCGAGAGATTTGGCTACAAAATGATCGAGACGTGACCTTTGTCCGCGGCATGAACAAGCTCATGGTCGGCGCTAATGTATGAAAATCTCCTTTGCCCTGGTTTGCACATGTTTTGCTGATGATATCCAGGTCTCTTGCCCGGGCTACTTTACCGTTGACCGGATCATCGTGGATGCATATAATATTCATTTTGTCTATGAGCGCCGAAAAGAACCGGTCATGCCAACTAGACTTTTGCGCCAGTCGGATTCTCACACAAGCGCTCCCAAATCTAAAGAGGCCCGCATTCTATGCTACGCCAAGTCCAATGCTCTTGAAGCGAACATCTTTTTTTCACGGTCGATTCATCTTAGCCGGAGCAAGTCTGTCGACATTGAAATATCAAGTGGCTGGAACCAAGTTGTATCAGGGCAAATCCGCATTCGTTCCGCATCTGCCGGACTTAGGCTACACACAGCCGAGGCTACGGTTACCAACGGGTCACTAATTCTCAAGGATAAGCCCAAGGCAGGAGTAATCAATTTTGGTGAACTGTCTAGAGGTACTCACACGGCCATCAAGATCCCCTACGGGCTGGAGACTGATCCGATAGAGCTGTCTTTCAAGCTGGAAATCTCCTACGTGACCGAAAAGGGGGAATTTCTCTTCATATCGAACCCTACGATACCAATTGCACTCCCTCTTGGGGTAAACGTGCAAGACATTTTCAAAGAAGAGTCGTTATTCTCTCGATTCACAATAAATGCAGCCGGCGCCGTGCCTCTGCGCGTCCTAGGCTCTGAGCTCAAGTCATCTCCGTTGTACGAAGTTACCAGCGAATGTTCCATGTTGTCACCAGTCTTGGTGTTTCCCAAGCAGAGCATGTCTCTAATCTATCGGATTGCGCCGCGCAAAATCGACCCAAAGGTACCTGGACAGGAAAAGGCGTCCAAGATGCCTCTTGCTCTTGATATCAGCTATCGTTGTCTTGACGAGGATGTGTTCCATGCGGTGGAAATTAACTTTCTTGCTGCGCTTAGAGATAGCGCGTTTAATAAATACTCTCGACTATTATTGCCAAGGCTCCTCGCGCACACCAAGCAGATGCTGACTCCGCAGATGCTTGAGCTTATTGGCCTTACTGGAGAATTGGAGCTCGGAGGGTTTGACGAAAGTGGGTGGAATGACATCATTCAGGCCTTGCACATCTCAGACCGAGAAGGTCTTGATCAGTGGCTTAAGGATTGGTACAAGGTATTTCTTCCCATAAAATTCCTACCCAAAATCAACTCCTATGAAAACCCCCCATTTGCTGACTTGCATTGCAGACAAACCCTACGATATCCTTGTCAACGCTAGACGACCCTTCTATCGAGCAGACTAGCAAACTCCCTATCCATGCCATTGCAATTCCTGTCGAAGTCCCTCAAATCCAAGTCGTACATACCGCCGAGCTCTCCATTCTAAGTCCTGATGTTCCATCCTCCAACGGCATCGATGTGACCGTCTCCATAGGCGACGTCTTACCTGCGGATATCCGCATTAGGCACTCTCGCATATGGGACGTCGACCGAGCACTTGCCGGAAAGGGCGGATCCGCAATGGGAGACAGGCCTCTGACGTTTGTGTATGAGGTCCATGCAAATGCCGATCACTGGCTTGTGGGTGGACAGCGCCAGGCACATTATTCCGCAAGAGTATGTTATCCCATCTCTTAATTTTTTCTTTCTATTTTCTTTCTATTCTATTTTATTTTCTCCTCTTTTAATTTCCCCTTTCGTTCTTCATATATTTTTACTTTCATCGAAGCAATACCCGTTACATTAAAGCTAACATGTACCCCAGGAAAACGAAGCAAAAGTCTTCAATCTCGTCCTCATTCCCCTCCGCGCAGGTCATCTCCTACTACCTACCATTGAAATAAAGCACGTCAAACCACATGTGCCTACTGCCCAGGGCGCCGCCCCAGGATCTCTTGATGCTATCCCCGGCGGACATGCCGCTGTCAACCCCGGTGGCGGTGTATACAATCCCAGTAGAGCCAGCTGGATACACAACACCAGCACTGCATCTTTCCAATCCTCCCGACGTCCTTCTTCGTCTTCTACCTCGTCGACGTATCCCCATCACGGTGCCTCCCTCCCCGGTCAAGCTCCTGCACCCGGAACAGGACTAGGCATCGACTTTCCACCATCTAATCCGATGCTGGACGCCCGACGACGAAGCTCTGCCGCCTCGGTCCAGGGTGATGCCAATGCCCTCAACGTCACTTGCGAAACGGACTACAAGTCCCTCGGCCAAACAGTACTCGTCCTGCCAGACATGCAGACCACGACTGTCAGTCTCGATCCCGCTCGGCCAGGCAGCGGCGCGTGGTTGATGCAAGGCGATAGAAGACTCGTTGCGGGTACTGCGGGGGATGCATAGTCAGTCTTGCTACTATCGTCTCTGTGCATGCAGTCTCATACGTTGCATGGTTCGTATTTTAATCTGTTCAGCCGTGCATGAATATTTGGTTACTCGTCCATTCTGCTCTCCATTTTACTCGTCTATTGTACTCGTCTATTGTATTCGTCCATTGTAATATCGCAATTCGATCTTACACATATATGTATTGACTTTTGACATTGCATGGGATGCTGGGAGTTTTATATTCTGGATCATTTGGGAGGTGGTCGGGATGTAGCGTGTTGCATCTTTTCCTTCTTCATTTTCATTTACGTCTTTTAATTTTCATCACATTTGACTCAACCTTTTCGTATCTGTGTATATTATACGTGCACGACATATTGTACATGCCATACCATACCATGCCATGCTATACTAAGATATTGTAAATACACGTCAATACACATAAACACACATTGTTATTTTTTCCTAGTCTACTGCCCCTATGACATTGTACATGGGCTTCAAGGTCTGTGGATCCTACTTTCTACTGCCTGTTTACATGACCACATCGGAGATGAGTGTCCCAAAATCTGGTATAAAAGGTTTGTAGTAAGACAGCAAGACAGCAAGACAGCAAGAAACAGCACACTATATAAACTTGCACACAAAATTTAATAGGTTATAGCTTTGACAAGATCTGTCTGTCCTTGCCCTTGCCGCTGCCAAGATCGCTAGGATCGAGTCCAACTGGGCCGTCGTATAGCTGCTGCTCGACCGCGCGGGTATTTACCTATTCAGTCAGTCGTTTTAGTGTATTATTTTTTCTTTTTCTTTCTTTTTTTTTTTTTTTTTTTTCGGTTTTTTTCGATTTTGGTTATTGAGAGAGGAAGACTTTGGGTATCGAGAGAGGAAGACTTTGGGTATCGAGAGGGGAAGGGTTTGGAGTATACAGATCTTATAGAGTCGGTGGGAGTGGATGGGTGGGTGCTGGACACGAGTAAGGGAGAAAGACGGAGAGAAAGACGAAGAGGGAGTGTTTGTGGAGTGAGGGGAAAGAAAAGTCCTGCCCACCCTGCCTGGGATCCGACGAAGTACGTAGAGAGTAGATGGTAGAGTGTCCCAGGAAATACCGTGATATATCCAGGAAAAAAGGGTGAGAGTAGATGGTACATGGTAGACAGGTAAAGGTAGAGGTAGAGGGCAGAAGGAAGAGCCGTAGAGGGCAGGGGATAGAGGGCAAGGCATAAAGGGTTAAAGATAGAGGGTTGTAGGCAGAGGGTTAAAGGTAGAAGAAGAGGGTATGGGATAGAGAGTAGTGAAAGGGTTAAAGGTAGAGGAAGAGGATAACAGAGAAAAAGGGGAACAAAGACGTACATGTCTCAAAGCTAAATCGCCAACGGAATGCGCGCCGAGAAGACGCATGGCTGTTTCGAGTTCTGCCTTGAGGACTACAATACACGTTAGCGGTACTGTTAGTGGTACTTAATTGCAGCGGTAGTAAACCAGGGGATGGAGGGGATGTATGTAATGTCGTATGTGTTTCGAATTGGGGTCTTGTAATGGATGATGTTTTGGACCGGGGGGTAGAGGACAGAAGATAGGATAGAAGATAGGATAGAAGATAGGACAGAAGATAGGATAGAGGATAGGACAAAGGACAGACGCACGCGCCGGAAATGGCATGTTTAAAAGAAAAAAGAAAAAAACAACAACAACATAAAAAAGAGACAACGCAGCACTCACTCTCAAACGTCCGCTCCACCCCCTCCGGCCCACCCGCGCCTAATCCCCACAGCGCCGCTCGTCCTATACCCACGCCCCGCGCACCCAGACACAGAGCCTTGACGACATCTGTGCCGCGCTTGATCCCGCCATCGACCCAGACTTCCAGTTTCTCAAAAACCTCGGGACAGTATTTGCGAATCTCCAGCAGCGTATGTACCGCGGGGGGCGCGGTGTCTGCTGCACGCCCGCCGTGATTGGATAAGATGATGGCCTTGACTTGCGGCGCGCAGAGGGACGCCAGGTATGCGTCTTCATGAGTCTGGATGCCTTTCAGAAAAATTGGCAGAGAAGTATGTTGCGCCAGCCAAGGGAGGGTAGCGCGCCACGTGAGGTCTGGTGCGGTTCCGGCGAAGAGGGACTGGCCTATTCCGCCTTTTTTACCCTGCGGAGATGATCCTGCGGTCTTGAGCGTGGTGGCTGTTCCAGTCCCACCGGCTCCAGATCCGGGTGCAGGCCCAGATACAGGAGGACTCCGCTGTACTGCTGAAGCAACAGGCAATTTCGCCGCAACGTTTGAGGAACGTTCATCGTCTTCTCGTTTCCCAGGCACGGGAGCATCCAGCGTGAGGCAAATAAACTTGATTTTATCGCTCAATTTATTCACCCGCGCGAGCATTTCCTCGCTCTTCTGCCGGTGCACGTTCACGTACAACTGCCATCCGAATACCTGACCGGGAATAGCACCTTTGACAATCTGCTCGGGCGTCAACGAGGCATTGTTTGATATTATTTGCAGCGCAGAGAACTTGGCGCACGCCTGTGCAATGCCTGCTTCGCCGGACGGGTGAGCGAGACGTGCCATGGCGGCAGGGGAGACAAAGATGGGTAGGCCGACTTTGTTCCCCAGAAGAGTGGTGGATGTGTCGCAGTGGGTGCAGTCGATAAAGACGCGCGGCCGGAGCAGAATGGAGCGGTATACGGCGTTGTTGAAGTCCTTGGAGAGTAAGTCGTCGCTGGCGGAGAAGTAGTATGCCCATCCCTTGCGGCTCATTTGGCGCGTGGCTACTTGCTCGATTTCGTCGAGGTTGAGGAGCGTGTCGAGTGGTGGAGGCACGTCTGGTGCGGATGATGGAGTATCTTCGACCGAGGGCTCGTTGGGTTTAGGGAGAGTGTTTGGATCGATTCTGCCTAACTTTGCTTCTGGTTTGAGGTTCTCTTCCAGTGTGCCTGGTGGGTGGATCGGGTCGTATTCTTCTGTGGCGTCTCGCCCGGAGAGCTTCAATATGATCTTGGACCCGCCAGGATGCTCGGAGAGGAAGTCTGTGACCTGGAGTTGTTAATTTAATTGAGCAGAGCAGATATGTTTCGGATAAGGGGCAGAAGGATAGTATATTGGTAAAGAAAATAGGATATAAATGCAGCTGGCAAGGAATCATGGGATCATACATCGTAGACATTGTCGTATAAAATTACCCAGCAACTTTCAGGAGTGTTGTGCTTCGCCACTGCGACTGATCAGAACATGATCTCGACTGAAGATGACTTGCCGCTATCCATACCCTCGTTCGCATCGAGTAATTTTGTCATGATGAAATATATATCCCGTGCCGGTGCTGAGTTGTATGTCCAACGCAATGCAATAATGCGTGATGTCAGATGTTCGAGTAATGAATTGATCAACTCCGGTTGAGAAAGCTTGAAATGAAAATGAATCTGAAAGCTTCAAATCCAAAACAAAAATGTGCAGCTCTCTTAATCAGCGATATTTCTGATGCAGAATGTAAACGAAGAAACAACGCAGATGATATTTTTCCAATGCAGAGCTCAAATGTGCCGGAGTCTGCTCAGGTACGGAAATCACGACAGCTTAGACAACTCCTCATCAAATACAAAGGAAATACAGAAATTGAAAGCAGAATCGGGTACACCTCCGTCTTCGTCAGGCCACAAAGCCAGCAAAAGACCCATCAATTACGACCTCAGCAGATTCTTCGCACAGTTTCCAATAGGTAGCGGACATGAAGCTTTTCATGTATCATCATAACCCGCATCTCCCCGTGAGAGGCGGACAATGCAGCGCAATTACGTCTCCACAGAATTGTTTTCGATGGACCAATCATCGAAACGATAATATCTGATGTCACCCCCGCACAGACGGGACTGTTTCCGCCACGCCGCAAAATACCAAGGAGAAGCTGGTGGGGCTATCCGGAGCGTGGGGGTTCGCGGAGGTTGCGGAAGCAATTGGGTGGCGCTAGTCTTGTTTTGGCCACGAACTCGGCTTATTTCCGCCCGAACAAAGTTTGCCCCGGGTTCCTACAAGACGGGATCTTTTTCTTCGGTCAATTTTGCCCAGTACTTTACAGACGATGTTTGTCATTATTCGTATACTGTAGAGGGATATATCTGGGTAAGAGAATATATTATTTGTATGTTGTGTCGCCTCTGTTGGACGGTTGGTCTAAGACGAACATCAAATTACTCCATAATGCTTAGATGCCAGTCCGCATTCTTTTGCTTATCGTTCCCCCTGGATTGGAAAAATTTCCGATTCAGGATTGCCTGGCCCACGCTCGCCGACCAATGCGTTGCTTTCTGCATCCGTGCCGTCTATTCTCCGACGAGTAGCCGTATAACAGCATTTTTTCCTACACCCCCAAAAAGATTCGTGTACGCAGGCTGAGCCAAGGAGCTCGACTACCAATACCAAGACTACAAGTCCAGTGGTCGTGGCTACAAGTTCGAGAGAGTTGAGTCTAGCTTTCCGCGACTCCGTGTCCGGAGAAGATGCTTCGGACTCTCGTGCCGCCAGTGCTTTTGCCGACTCGGAGGAAGAAGGAGAGGAATGTAAATCCGCAAGCGGGAGACAAATAAGAACTATCGCGACAGCGAAGCGTACAGCGAGACGGTATGACTTGCGTAAACGCTGCCCTGGGATCGAGCGGTGGATGTGAGTCATTGATATTATTGCTTTGAGGATTGTTAGTTTCTTCCACTGCAATGTATCAATCTTGGACGTTGTGGAAGGAGATGAAAAATGACGCCAAAGTCAAGAACGGGAACGTACCCATACACCCTAGAGCAATACCAAGCCCGGCACAATAAAACCATCTCAAGCCAGGACTAATTTCCGCTTCAGACCGCTCTATATATGGTGCGGTGAGATCTTTTTCGGGATCCACATCTGGACAGTCGTGCGCGACGACGAGTCGGGATAATGCGGCACCAGCTAAGGTGAAGCACATGATGAAGGGAAGATGAAGTGACATCCAAACAAGCGCTAGAGATAGAAGAAGGATTAGAATGTCTCTTGACCCTTTCTCTCTCTTCACACATCCTTGGGACACTCACACGAGAATACATGTCTTCGAATGGCATGTACATGGATATTGAACGCGTCGATTTCAAAGTACAGCCAGTTGAATGAAAATGCCTGAACAAGGCCAAGAATAGCTTTGCCAAACACGCTAATTGTAATGTAAGCAGACCCGAGCATTATACCAAGCATCAAATGACGGAATAAATTGAAAGACAGAAGGTGGTGCGAAACAAAGAGAAGTGCAGCAAATAGATGCGACAGAAAGCGACTTAATAGCTACACCAGGGGCTCTTACGAATTGATTCCAATCGGACTAGCGTTCTGGTATAAGAGACCCACGACAGAGTATCCGAAAATAAGTGTCACGAATGCGTTGGTACGTTCGCCTGAGTGTGATTGCAATAGAGATTAGTCTTCAGCTAGTTCGCTAGGAGCATGTGTTACGACATGGCGTACATCTGTGTTCAATGTTGATAGCTATATCAACTCTTGAATTAGCATTGCAAATACAAGGAGAGCATCAGTAGAAATTGTTCAACGTACCCGGGAAAAACTCAAAGAAGCGAATAAGTCGTTCCACGAAGGGAGAAGGTGAGAGGCGGCTTTGAGTCCATCGCATGATCCCAATGCTGATCACTGATCCTGTGAGGTCTGTATTGGGGATTAGCTGTCACAGACCAGTAATTGTTTGGTACGTTTCGTCATCTGCAACCTACCGAGGAAGATTGCAATCCATATCAAAACGAGTCGTATGGGCTGACTCAAGTGGATACTGCCAATCCAAAGAGCGCTCGGTATGAGAATCGTAAGTATATTGCTGAACATGGTCCCGCGAACCATTGGGATCAACCACGCTATTTGGAAGTAGAATAAGGCCTCGAATAGGCGAGAGGCGAGCTAGTATACAAGTCAGAATTATGCAATTTGCTTCGAGAACCTGTCAATTGACTCTCACATAAAAAGCGATCATTGGGGCATAGGTCTGGCCCCATGATCCAACTATATTTGTTGTAAAACCAAAGAGAAACGCCATGTCTAGGAGGATGCAGACACGCTGAAAGATGTCATCTTCTTTTGTCAGCATTTCAATTCCAGAATTGTTTTCTTGCCAAATACATCGGCACTAACCAATCTCAAACAGACTGACAATAAGAGTAATCTCACTCCAAATCTTCCAACTGAGAATAAAGGTGACGCAGAACCGGAGCAATGAAAGTCCATTTGGGTCTTCGACCGCCGTATCTCCATTGATGGCAATGATACCAACGTAGAGTAGATCTACAAAGAGCTCAAAGCATGCAACTTCCTCTTGGTCAGATGCTCGCCATAGCAGGCCCTTGTGGAAATACTGTCGCACCACAGGTCTCTTCCAAAGCTTTATTGCTTGGCCATGACTGCCATCACCTTCCCAGACGCGCTTAAGACTCGCCTCTCCGTAAGTGGAATTATCAGACGAGCCCGAATGGGCTCCTAGCATTTATTAGATTCTAGTTTATCAGTCAAAAATGAGTTACTCACGAATGTTGGCACTGTATCCAAATTTGGAGAAATTTTCATCAAGCTGTTCACTGTGATTACGGCCTGAGAGCATGCGTAGCTCTCCAGAAATAGTACCTAAATCATCTTGAAGTTGTTCAATTTCTTCATATACGTCTCGATATTTTTCACGCAGAGCTCTTCGACGTGCTTCGTGATGAGCGTGAGATTCGCGAAGTGCTTCTACCTAAGCCGCAGATTGACCTGTTAGTCCAAGTCCTCAAACGACATACGACACGCGTTGAGATATCAAGAGATAAAAGGTTTCCCAGAATGTAGTGCAAATCCAGGCCTACTTGATGACGAAGATATTGATGCTTACATGTTCTGGTGACCCGTGCACCATCAATTCTGGCTCCTGTTCTCCTTCAACCGACTCCGAGTTCTTCTCTGCAGCTATACTGCTGATCCTTCTTGCATCGTTTCCATTTCTACTACTTGTCGTCGATAAATTCCGCCTCAAATGCTCAAGCTCCTCAGGGGACCTTGCAACATGAACTCTCCTCCCATCTGGGCGAAAAAATTGCCTTAGACGGTCGCCTCGCTGGTACTCGGGGCCGGATTGGCTGCCAGGATTTGAATAACTTAAACTAAGAAAGCCATGTTGCGGGTTATTCTGCTGCTCTGCTGATGGTACCGCTTCGCCTATCTGATTTTGCGAAGCAGAGTGCTGCTGTTCTCCCAGATATCTGCTGGGGCTGCGATGTCCGCTGTCTTCAGACAAGTTCCGGTGCGATATCGATGTAAATCCTGACCCAGGTGACCTTGAATCCGAGTGTGGTCTCAAATCCTGCATGTTAGGCCGGGGCGAGCTTCTTGGTCTTGAAGACCTTAAAGTATCCGCACCCACACTTTGTTGCGCATCCTCAGACGGCTTCGAGAATGCAGAAGCGGAGTTGAACAATGGATTCATGTTGATTTTCCTCGCAACGGTTGCAATATGTTAGGCCGGTGGTCGGATGACTGCAGTACAGCTTTTCAACACAGATCCTCCTGCTTGTGCTCCTTTTCCCCGTCCGTACTAAACAGCAGCAGCATTTGACGGTAATGGGCAGTCTATCTCAGTGTGTGTATTGGACCCAAAACTGTCAAAATTGTGTCGCCTTATTTCTCTAGGCAAAGAGTCGATGAAGCCGCAGCTATTCTTCAAGAACGCTGTGGCACCGCGACCGACCAGAGATTTGGTAAAGCGAGACTGAGTGAGTGACTTGGAGGGATAAAATGGTGTATAGTATATAACGAGATCAATTCAACAAATCAGATAGTTAGACAGCGGATTGAAAAGAAAAATGTACAAGACGTCAAAATAATATCATCAAGGGCAAGGATCCAACGGCAGACATGACTGAGAGTACAAGTGATCGACACAGGGATTCAGGGGAAGCTTAATTAGACAGCGCGCGCCATGCAAGATAATCCAGCGGAATCGTCATTAGTGCAAGGGGGATGATCGTTCAATTCAAAGACTTGACAAAGAAAATTACTGGGAAAGATAAAATTGATCAAGTTCGATCGCCATGAGCTGAAAAAAGCTGCGAAGCTGCAGTAACCGTAGCTGAAGAGCGGGAGATAAGCTCAACGATAGAGTTTCGGGCTAACCCAATGCGCCTAAAGGGCTTTGGCTGTGGGCTGGCTGGGGGTACTGAGTATAGCCGATGGTTGGCGAACGCCTAGCCAAGCTTCGCTAGACGCACTGTATAAAGTCACACTTCCGTTGTAAACCAGAGAGATGGAGCTTGTCAGGTCTGCACGTGCTGATACAGCAAGATTGCATATAGTTTTGCTAGACCAAGCAAGTCCATAGTGGTTTGATGTAGTAATGTAAGTTTTCTGAGATTGCTGACGATGCATATTATTATATCCACAAAGCAAGGGAGTATATATCATCCTTTCTCGTCCAGGCTAGTATTAACACCGTCATTTTCATCGTCATATCAATCCCACCATTCCAATATTTCAGATGTCTCAACTGTAACATAATTTGCAACGCGCGAAGAACAATCGCTATTACAGAGTAGTCGTTGGCCCACCATTATGCAGCACACAGAAAGAGGAGATAGATTTCCGCCATCGTGAAGGGTTAAAGGGGAAGGTCAAATGATGAAATTCAGGCAAAGCCATGCATTCTATAGCCAGAAACACTGGAAATAGAAGCCGCAAACGAGAAGATGGAATTGGGATGTAAGGAGACATTGTCTTTAAGAAATGAGCTGACCACCCTGAAAGCAACCTTGAACGAAGCACAAATGCCCTAACTTGAAAAATTCCCCAATCGAGAAACGCCAACAAGAAGAAACCATAGAATCCGTCCCAGAATGAAGAGATGCAAAAGAGACAATATGACCGTGTTTTCCCATGTAACAGTCCGCCGTTTGGATAATTGTCGTCGAACGTGGTTCTGCCTAATTAAAAAAAGAGCGTAGAACCAAACCAGTGTGAACTTTTTTCTTTGTTTCGATTGGATGTACATCGTCAAATTCGTCATTCGCTCAACAAAAACTTAGTTTGAAGAGTGATTGCTGGCCCGTTGGAGCTTGTAGTTGGGCATATAGTCGAACCAGTCAGTGTCATGATTGTAGCGGTAAGCTTGGAAGTCGACACCATAGGGTTTCTGGCAAAGTTTTTTTATTAGCCTGCATGTACAAGAACGTCGCAAAGACAGCCAAGGAACAACATGGGAACGTACTGGTTCAAGCATGTAAAGCGTGCCAAGCGGCACATCCAAGTTAGCAACCTCTTCACGCTTCAAGCCCTTGAAGTACGCGAGCAAGACACGGGCAACCGAACGGTGTCCAATCAGCAGCACATGGTCAGTCATACGCTCAATCTCCACAATGACTGCACGAAGACGGTTGATAACATCCAGATACCCTTCGCCACCAGGTCCAGGGTAGCGATACTGAAGCTTGTCACCCTTGCGAGCTTCGTATTCATGGGGTTCTTGGCCCCTGATTTGTTCATACGTCATTCCTTCCATGGCACCAGCGTTGAGTTCGTCGAGCATCTTCATCTGCTTGATGTCAAAGTCGTCCTCGTCAAAGTATTGTGCCGTTTGGATGCTGCGCTTAAGCATAGAGGTCCACACGCAGAAGCTCTTATTAGGGACCTTGTCGGGATCCTCTCCATAGACAGCGCGTTGGTATTCAGGATTGGGAGGTGTGACGTCGCCCCAGCGAGGCGGGTCATGTTTGGACTGAATCTTTTCAGCTTGTTTGAGAGACCACTCCTCACGTTTGAAAGAGATAAATCTAGCAAGAGCCTTGGCATATTTGACGCCGTCTTCGCTGAGGTTCGAGTCTCCTCCGATTTTACCCTCGACATTGTCAATTGATTCGCCATGGCGCGTGATCCAAATCTGCCGAGGCGAGAGGTTAAAGTTGAGTAGGTAATAGACACACTGGGCAGCCAAAAATCCCTTGATGCGGTGAGCGACCACTTTTCGCCCAACGTCAATCATCTAGGCGACATGTTTGTTAGCACAGATGTACCCTCGAGCACAATTTCGGTGATGCATACCTGGATGAATTCTAGGTCATGTTTCTCCTCATATTCTCCCAGAGGAACGTAACTCTTCTCATAGATGGAGACTCGCTTTTTGAAGTCCTCTAGAGCAATCACGGGGTCTTGCTCGCGGTAGTCGGGCCCCGAAAGTTTCAACCGCATGTTTGCCTCGAGCAGCTAATTTCTTTGTGTGAGCCAGTGTTCTGCCAATCTGCAAACCAAACGTGGAGGAAAAAATCTCCAAAATAATCTGCACTCACATTCTTGTCGACGCAAAGACTTTCCAAGAAGAGCACACCAAGATCAGGACCGGCCCGTTCTCGGACTCTCTTCATCACATTCTGTCGACGCTCCAAGGTACTGTTTGTCGCATCAAGGACACCGACGGCACCGCCCTGTTCCAGGAGAAAATCCAAGCACTCGTCGAGAGTAGACATGGCGACCTGTTCGCGAAGCTGCGCGGCTTTCAAATTGTTCGGATCAAAGAATTCGGCTGATTGTTCCATGGCATCGGGGTCAATGTTGGAGAATTTGCGGCGACCGGCTCCGGGGATAATGAGGGACGTCATCCGTTGCTTGGCACCACCGGCGTCGGGTGGCAGTTGTTCGGAAGCATTGGCATCCTCATGACGCTCCTCTTCATCGCCAACGGCCGAACTGCCATTGATGAGAATCTTAGCTGCCAATTGCGCATTCTCCTCCTTGCCACCGTGGGCAGCCAACAATTGAGAGCCAATGCTGCTCCTGCGAAGAAGATCCAGCGGAGACTCGCCCGGAGCCAGACCCGACCGTGAAGCTCGCTGTCCTGGGCCTCCCGCCGCCTCCCGTCGTCGCTCGCCAACATTGAAGATCTTGGTGTCATGCTGGAGCCAATTGAGGTAGCGAGCCAATTTTTTGGTGATGTAACTTTTGCCTCGAGCGGGAAGGCCAACCATGACGATGACCATTTTAGCACCTAGATCCTCCCGTGCGATTTTGCCATCAGGAGACACCTTGGATTTGGTCAAGCCAGGAATGTCCAGCGTCGTGGGCCGACTTCGCATTATCGGTGGAGGCTGCTGGCCATGTTGACCACGAGGACCCCTACCAATTACGTCAGTAAAGGAGTCTTGCAACGCCAGCCAGGAACGCAAGAGAGGAAAAAAAAAAAAAAAAAACTACGAAGATGGGGGTAGAGAACCCATAAAATGTCAAGATGTAGAGAGCTAAAAGGGTTTCAAAAAAGGAGATGAATACATTCTAGGGCTGCTGGGCGCTGTTGGCGCAGGAGTGTCGCTGAGAGGGTGTCCAATGCCATGCTGAGATAAATGGTAATATTCGGGAGTATGACTTGGTTCATTAATATGAGGTGGCGACGGGCGTCTGCTATGGTGGTGGGAGTGATGCGGAGACTCATCGAGTGCCCGCGTGACAACGGTTTTCAGTGGTTGCTGGTGAGGGTGGTGTTCATCATGCTGGGTTTGTTGCTGAGCCCCATCATCACGCAAGTCCAGATGCTCTGGAGAATGCTGGCCGTCCGACGTTGAGTGGGACTTTTCAACGTTGCTCATAATGACCGCTCGTGCGATGGGAGAATGCTGACTCTGCCTCCGCGATGCAGGATATCGAGGAGTTAGAGTAGATGAGGTGGAGGTGCGATGTTGCTGCTGCTGCTGCTGCTGTTGAGTAAGAAGCGGCATCGAAGCTTCAAGAGTGGTTCGACAAAAGCTTGACGGCGATAGCGGCAATCGGAGCCTCTCTCGGAGTGTGACGTGGGTCTTGCACGAACAGTTCGTTCAGACAGCCAGAGAGAGCGGGGTGGGCCTTTTGGCACGGCTTGAGCCGCTAAGGACACGCAGGTTCGGTGCTGTGCGAGCAAGCTCCAAAATGATGGCAGTTTCTCTAGCCAAGACAAAATAAACCAGTCAGCCATTGTCATCCATCCGCACAACAAAACCACGCATACTGTAGCAGGGGAAAACCACGCCCATAGTTTGCCCTCGTAAGTTTGAACCGAAATAGCTTGCATCCTACCTTGTTCGCCACTCTTCCGATGGTGTGTTTTCTCAGGAGAGTTTTCCGCGGGCAGCGCCAAAACTGAAGCAGGGGGTTTTGTTGCTCAGGTAATCCAGCGAAATATCCCGTATAATGTTTTGCTCACTCGCGGAATCACGGTGAGGCAGAGATCAGTCAATTTTGGTGGATAGTATTCGGGAAACACGGATCGGACGGGAGCTGAAATTGTAGGCAGTTGGACGATGAGCGCGTAATCTTCCACACCGTAGCGATGATGGGCACACAGCAGTGTTCAAGCGAGCGTAAGAGGTGGACGGAATGGAAAGGATGAGGGCAGTCGGGAAGAGGCAATTTGAACTCTTCTGAGGAGAAGAGACTCTCACAGAAAGAGCAGACATAACAAGAGAGACCACATCATCCTCAAGTGTGAGACAAAACCGGCCAAGTCTACGCAATCTGCCAGACCGAAAATAACCATGTATGTGAAGGGTGAGATAATACTACTACGAATTCAGACACCACGGCTGTAGTCCTTGCCTTGATGAGGAACAATAGAGTGGCACAGTGCTGAAATTAAGGGAGAAGGGTGGCGCTTGGCGGGAAAAAGAGAGGGAGGAACTTTGAGGGAAAAGACAGCTATTGAATGAGAATAAGATGGTGATGGTGATTTGCTTGGCCTGCTTTGGCGAAGCAACTTGTTGCAATGATGCCCGTGTCAAAACCGATCGCAATGATTGATGGGATGGGAAACGCCAGGCGAGACCAGGCAAAGACACCAACAGCCTCTCGTCCTCAGAGGACCTTCCAGATAAACTCATGTTGAAACCTCCTTCGTGCCTGCCTTTCAAGTCAGTCAAAGCACGGGGAATGGCTCTTTCCCATTCATCACCGGATATTACCCTTATCTGGCCAGGGACCTGCCAACCACCTACTAATTAATGAAAGTAAGCACGCCCTTCTCCTTGCGCTACTGCGAGCAGGTAGCGGTACCTGCCCAGTTCATATTCATTGGGTATCCGCGGCATTATTTGGTTTCATTCCGCAGGTGTCTCGTCCCCTCGTGGTGTCGCCTGGGTCTGTGGTAGGAGTACTTTTGATGTAATGGGAGACTAGGCATGAACTCAAAACCAGCTGGGGCCACTCTGGTGTTTTTGCTGCGGTCACTAGTCGCAATGACCACCAAACAAAGACGATGCACTGTCCCATGCGGACTTGAAGCATGCTTGAAAAATTTCCCCATTTGCCGAACAGATGGTTACAATACAGCCGGATATTTACAGACTCAAAAGCGATGGTTGCTAATAGCCCGAAGATGTTGCTGCAATAATGTACATCGTGGGCTACATTAATCCAACCCTCCGTGGTCGAGTCACCCCACATACTGAAGAAGAAGCCCGCCCTGTGCAGTGCCCTGCGCATCAAAGATTCTAAAAATGAGCTTATGGGCCTTTTAGACAAGGGGCAGCAAATCATGACAAAGGCCGCGTTTGTCCTGCTTGGACGTGGTTGGCCGGACTCTTTTTCTCCAGCCAGCCAAACAAAAGAGAGCTGGGGTTGTTGAGGCGTGATCGCCATGCATGGGCTTGTGCCGATCCCATCTACAGTATTACATCAATCTTTCAACAAATGCCGAAGACCGACGGTCTGGCATACCGCACGCGCGATTAATCTTGCCTCGATGCAAGTCTCAACATCTTCAGAAGATCTATTTGATTTATCGTCCAACTATACCAAAACAGAGCCGTTTCTTGAAGAAATACTTTTGTATCCCTTTCAGATAAGCCCTTCGGGTTTTGACCACTGTAAAATGCCTTGAACAAACGAGTCTCCGAAGCCGGGGCTCAGTGGCCTAATTGCTCCTGCGACTAGCAATGCCCAGATGGCTTTGCAGATGCGTTTCGCAACACTCGTCAGGGTTGGGAGGCCATTGTACCAGGAAAGCAGTTTGAGAATAAGGTATATATCACTGATAAGGTGTCTCAACCCCGCGTGTTGCACAAGATCATGCCCCACACAATCTTTGACCTCTATTCTCCACAAAGAACGTGATCACTTCTTGCTTTTTCTGGACTTTACTTCCGACTTTGCAATTCTAATCGACCCCACTCGACTCAGCAGAAGAGCCAGGCTTTGATGCAGAAGGGGGTGTTCTTTTGGCATATATTATGTCCAAAGTCCATTCGACCATAAACGGTATGCTTGATTCCAAGTCTTTCCATCGGATCCAGATTCAGATCCCTCCAAATGGCTCTAAGCAGCTTAAACTGCGATATCAGATCGAGAAATTCTCAGACTGAAACTCACGAGTGCAATAAACCCCAAAATATCAGGAATCAATCTTCAGAGTGAGTGCCAGTAAGCTAGCATAAGCAGCGATACTTAATGCTGTCAGAACTACCACAACGTTTCCGCTAGTCCGAAATTTCCTCCGATTGAGCCCGTCTTCACCGACTTCAGAAAAGAACTGCTTGTTCCCTTGCTGCCTCCGGAAAAGACTTGCGAAGAGTACGCCAGCACCATAGACGGCAAAGAGAACGCCGATGCTGTAGAACTCGGCCGTAAATATCTTGAGCACTACAAGTGCAAAGGAAAATTGGCCCAGAGCGGTCCTAATGTAGGCTCCTTCAAATGTACGCTGAGCTGCCCGAACTTCCGTGAGCTCCTGCGGCGTAAGTACGACTGACCGAGCGCGATGCCGGCGAAGCATATACCGATCAGATGCGCGGAACTATTTTGACATGTCAGTCAATCAAGTAGGAAAAGAGAGACATTTCGTCTCATCTTAGATTGCTCTAGCTCCTATGCCTGCTTAACTCACCTCCATATTGATTATGCCAGTACGATTGCAATATCAAGCAATCATGTAGAAATCATTCGCAAGGCATTGGCTGTAACCTCATAGAGCAGACCCAAATATCATCTTTCGCGGGTCATACCAGAGTGATAAGGCGGAAAAGTTACAAACTAGAACAAGTATCTGCTGGAATGGCATCATTCGTCTTAGACGTGGAACTGCATATTTGGCCTTTCAAGGTATCTGTATGCTCCCAGCTACTTCGTGAACCGTTACCCCCGCCTGCCGGAGAAACCTTAATCCGAATGTTTTCCAAAAGTTGCCCAGATTTTTGGTCCGAACTTTCTGAGAGTGGAAGCCATAAGGCCAATTTGGTCAGCAACTCCTCTGGCTAAGGCGAATATTAATTATTTTCATCACTTTATAAATATATTTTGCAATGATCTGGTAGCATGAACCTGCAACCTGCTTGTACCATGTCTAGCGTGCCGAACGCCCGCAATTGCGGGACAGCTACCGCAGCCACAGACGTTCTCACTCAGGAAATGTCAATTGATGGCTTTGGATCCTCCACCGCTAGACATGACAGTCAATCAGTTGACAACAGTCACAACACACCCGCAGCACTGTCTGAGCATGGCATGAAGCGGCGAGATCACGATACAGAAGGCCAAGAAGCACCATGCCCCCGACGACACGAGCCAGCAAAAGGCACAAGACAACCTTCCGCTTTTGAGGTCCAAGACTTACGTTCCGGCACCCTTATTCCTCTCAAGACCACCCTTGAGACACAACCTGATGATTCCACTGTCGACGTCTACATCGTGGAGCTACCGGCCAAACAAGCCAATGGATTCATGAATGTGCTCAAAACAGCCATACCCGAACGACCTCCCATCGACCTCCAACACCTCCGTCGCATAGCCAAGCAGGAGCATCTTCCAGACCACCTGAAACGGAGCGCTCCATCAACAGCAGCATCCAGCGTCACTCCTTCGCCCGCAGCTCAGACACCGTTCGCGCCACCTTCCGCCGTCTCAACCACCACATCCTCTCCCGCTCCAGACTCGCCCGCAACGCCAAACCCTCAAATTCCTCTCCCTGCAACTCTCCAGCTTCTCGTCGGTCTAACCAGTCAAATCAGTCTTCACGACCTGACCGCCCTCCTCTCCAAACACCTCTGCGACTCGCTGCCGCCGACCAATCTGCAAATCCAAACCATCCAAGTCCCCCGCCTGGCACCCACAAACGAAGAGCAAGCCAGACAATGGAGCAGCCAATACTGGCCAACCATTTTCCGGCGTAACAATCCCTTCGGGCCCCAACCCAACGCTGTCCAGCGCGCCGAAGACGAGATCCTACCGCACATGCCGAAATGGATGGCACTAGCCTGCCAAGCTGCGGCCGAAGTTCACAGCAGTAATTCCGGCGAAGCCATCGGCGCCGTCATAGTAGAGAGCAATGCTGAAGACGGGCCTACTGCCGTCGCCGTCGCAGGTGACGCACGCTGGTGCGGTCCCGGACAGCCACACTCTCGCAGTAGCATCAACGATGACAGCGACAACAGCGGCCGCAGCGGCAAATCATGCGGCGCAGGCAACGTCATGACCCACGCCGTGATGCGCGCAATCGGCCTAGTCGCTGCCAAACGCCGGACCCTTGCGCGAGAGCAAGAAGCTCCAACTGCCTCGACATTGGACCCGTCTTCCTCAGCCGCGCGCCGCTTGCAGTCATCCGAGACCGCCCACGCGAGTGACAATTTCTTCGACAAGCCTCTCAATGCACTCGAACGCGCGTATTTTGAGCAAGATAATCTCTCGTCGTCGGGATATCTCTGTCTCGACTTGGACATTTACCTGACTCACGAGCCGTGCATCATGTGTTGCATGGCTATTCTACATTCGCGCTTCGGCCGGGTCGTGTTCGGCAAGAAGATGCTCAAGACGGGCGGCATGGCTGCTGAAAAGGCAGATATGCAGCATCTATTCGCGACTCCTTCGACAGATTCATCTGCGGCGACAGCTCCTCGATCCGCAACAACCACTATCCCTGCAAATCCATCTGTGGAAACCCATGAGGATGCTTACCGCTCACCTGCTGCTGCTGCTAATCAGCAAGAGGTCATAGCAGCCGGAGGACTCGGGTATGGTCTTTTCTGGCGACGGGAGTTGAATTGGAAAATGCTCGGCTGGCAGTGGCTTGAAGACGGAGCGCGCTACGAAGATGCAGTCTCCCTTGAGGACGTGCATGCCTAGACGATGGCCGCCGGCGGGGACTTTATCCTTATATTTCTTGCTTGCTCTTCGATTTTTTGTTCGAAACCGGTGTGCGCCTTTGGCATTGGGCCACTTTGCTTCCCCGTGTAGGGGACCTTGCTTTTATATACTAACAGATTTACATATACTGATACCTAGCTGCATTGGCGTGGCGTGGCGTGGCATTTACATGGCTCTTGCATTACATTATCGCGAAGCATTTTGCTCCAACACATTCTATATATCGACTGGCGTTGCTCTTTGCAGCAGTGGAGCTGTCAAAAAGGAAAGCTGCACCAAAACGGGAGTTCTGGGGGGCAAAAAAAGAAAAGAAGAATACGCAATGCTTCATTGAACCTTATGGCTTAATGCTCTAAATATAATGCGATAAACTATGAGGAAGAAAATGCTCATTCAGAAACTGCAGAGAGAGACGCTACTATCTAAAGAAGAAGAATCTATGATGCAGTTTGGGTAGCTTTCAAAAGCCCTTCCAGGGTGATACTCTTCGGCCGCTCGATCGGGAGACCTAATGCGCGGTCCCAAATTAATTGCGCCAAGGGCCCCAGGCCTCGACTTACGCCGAAAGTAACGGTGTAGTAGAGCGTTTCGGGGAATCCATAGTGGTAGAAGAGCACACCGGACGAAGAATCCACGTTGGGATGGGGATTTTTTGTCTGTAGCAGGGAAGGATATATCAGCCTTTCATGCACTCTGCCCTCACTCGACCAATGGAAAAGAAAGGAAAGAAGGGTCATAAAACGCACCTTGCCATGTTCTGTCAGGACCTTGGGGGCTATCTTTGCGTTTGTCTGGACGAGGCGGAAGATAGGGTCCTGTGCGATCGAAGGACGTGACGCAGCAAAGTCCATGAGCGCTTCGAATCGAGGATCTGGTCGTCGCAGCACAGCGTGGCCGTAGCCAGGAATCACACGACCGGATTTGAGCGTCGTCCAGAGATAATCTTCAACTTCTTTCTCGCTGAAGGATGTGCCCACGTGTTCTTGCATTTGCAAAATCCAGCGGAGAACTTCTTGTGCGGCAAGGCTGATTGAATGCCCGTTAGTATTGGAAGCTTATGGATTTAATGGAATAGTGGGACAAAGGGAATAGTTTCGTACCCATGCAGAGGTCCGGCCAAGCCTTGCAGGCCGGCGCTATAGCTGAGAAAAGGATCGCTCAAGGCGCTACCAACGAGATGCGTTGCATGGGCTGATACGTTGCCGCCTTCATGGTCCCCGTGCAGCGCGAGATATAGTCTCAGGAGATCCTGGAAGTCGACGTTCTCTCTGCCACCTTTTCCAAGCATGGCTGCAAAATTATACGCCCAGTCTTGCTCCAAATCAATCTCTGCGGGCAAAGCGCCTCCGCCGCGATAGGAGTTCTGGTATATCTTTGCTGCGATCGTAGGCAGCTTCGCAAGTAAGGAGATGCAGTCGTCGTATATCGGCTCCCAGTAGTCTGCTTTATTCATGCCTTTTTCGTACATCTTTGCGAAAACAGAAGTGTGGTTCAGTGCGGACACCGCGCAGGCCATTTGTGTCATTGGATGGAGGTCCTTGGGGAAGTTATCGAGCATTTTCTCTACGAATTCGGGAAGGGCTGCTTTTTGTGCCAATTCTCTGGAGAAGGCATGTGCTTGCTTGGCTGACGGCACTTTGCCTGTTAACAGAAACCAGAACATGGCTTCTGGGAGCATCTCTGTCCCATTAGCAGCCTGGGGAAGTTCCCGCTGGCAGTCTTTGATGGTTTTTCCATGAAATCGAATGCCTTCGTTTGGATCAAGCAATGAGCCTTCCCATACCATTGCTTTGAGGCCTCTGTGTTATGCGATTGCGTCAGAACAAGATGAGGCAGGAAACCATATAATCGTTCACTTCCAAAAACGTACCTCATTCCTCCAATGACGCTTTCAACTTTGAGCTCCCCAATCGATTTGCTGCCATGTTCCTTTTTCAGCTTCTTGAGAAGCTCCCGTTTCGCGGGTATAATTGATGCCACTGTATCTTTTAGACTGGGCTCGGACGATAGAGAGTAACTACGGCGTGTCTCTTTTGCTGGAATAGCATCTTGGTAGGTTGCTTCGATCTCGGCGTTGGACTTGGATGTATAGCAGCGAAAAGCTATGCTCACTGGGCGTACTGCTGTAGTGTGCTATGGTTCAGAGGCTGTTAGTGCGAAGTTTCTTCGTTGATACCCAATGGCCCTATGGGCTTTTTCTTACTTTCACGGTCTTCCAAGCCCGAGGGGCCTTTGCTATCATTGACATGGTGTGTTTTTTCTCGTCGAATGTTTACTAGGTACTTTGCTAGCCAGTTATCGAAGAGCAATGAGGAAAATTATATTATTTTCAATTCAAGAATAATGTTTTCTTCTGCTTGGCAGGCTTCAGGAGATGAGTTGCAGAGCGTCAGTAGAGACATGCTGGCGGTCATCCCACAGGGGCATATACGGCGTATCGGACAAAAGACACAAGCCGTCATCCTAGCATCCTCGGCTTTTCCACCCCCTCGCCCGCTTCTTTGGCTCCCGCCTCCGCAAAACTGGGGACTTTTTGTGACCGAATCATCCGAGGGTCTCCACCTTTCCCTTTCGAGCTTAATCCACCCGCGGGGTCCTACCGTCGTTAGCCGACAGCGTTTTTCTCTGACATCAAACGCATCTTGCACTGCTGTCTGCTTGTAGAGATCACTCGTTCTGCATTGGAATTCATACAATAAATCAGATATTGAATTCTTTAATAAGTGTTTTGACTTGTCATTTTTCTGTATTACATTCTGCAATTATTATTGGATTTGCATTTCTTTACCATTGCATCAGCTTTCAGTGTTTAGGAGTTTATTTGCCGTTCACTCTAATCAGCATGTTACGATCTCCTTCTCGTGCAATTTTGCGCCGCTCTAGGAAGCCTATTTTGAACCTTTTTCATGCCCCAATATACTCGAGGATGGTTTCCACTTTACCTCCAGTCGAGCCAAAAGTTTCCGCCCGTTTGCCCTCCGATTCGTTTCAACTATTAGCCAACTCAGAAAAAGCCGGGGAAGCAGAAGATGCATTATTCGCCGAACAGGTTCGGGAAATCCGAAAGTGGTGGGCAAGTCCTCGGTATGAAGGCATCAAACGCCCATATTCAGCAGAGGACGTCGTGAGCAAGCGAGGGGCGTTGCAGCAAACATACCCCAGCTCTTTGATGGCAAGAAAATTGTTTAATCTCTTAAAAGAAAGAGCAGCAAATGGAGAGCCTGTTCATACGAGTGCGTGTGTATCTTTGAAAATGGACGGCAATATTTGATAGCTGACAGCGTGGTACCAGTGGGCGCCATTGACCCCGTCCAGATGACCCAACAAGCTCCTCATCAGGAAGTTCTCTATATCTCCGGATGGGCTTGTTCTTCCTTGCTCACGACTACCAATGAAGTATCGCCTGATTTTGGTGATTACCCATACAATACAGTTCCAAATCAAGTCCAACGACTGTTCAAAGCACAGCAACTACATGACCGAAAGAACTGGGATGCAAGAAGAAAGATGTCACCCGAGGAGAGAGCATCGACACCCTTTCTAGACTATCTCCGCCCAATAATTGCTGATGGAGATACTGGGTATTACTTATGATAAGACAAGTCACAATTGTATTGGGGTTTGCTGACAGTTTGACTAGGCATGGCGGGCTTTCTGCTGTTCTTAAACTCGCAAAATTGTTCGCTGAGAATGGCGCCGCTGCTGTTCATTTCGAAGACCAACTTCATGGAGGTAAAAAATGTGGCCACCTTGCTGGAAAGGTGCTGGTCCCAGTTGGCGAGCACATTAATCGCCTTGTAGCGGCACGATTCCAGTGGGATCTGATGGGCTGCGAAAATCTGGTGATTGCTCGAACCGACTCGGAGAGTGGAAAGCTTCTAAGTAGTGCAATTGATGTGAGAGATCACGAATATATCCTCGGTGTAACTGAGGATGTAGAACCCCTTGCGGAAACCCTACAAGCAATGGAGTTGTCTGGTGCGACTGGATCCGAAATTGACAAGTATGAATCCGAGTGGGTGAAAAAGCACAAGCTTGTTACATTCGATGAAGGTAAAGAATCTGCTATGGTGATTATGAAGATTACTCAGGCTAAATAACGTGATGTAGCCGTTGTCAATCAAATGAAATCGGAAGGGGCCGCGGAGGGAAAGATCGAGGAGTATGTCAGCAAAGTCCGCAGAGATCGAAACATGCCATTGCATCGCCGTCGCTCGCTCTCTTCGCAGTATACTGCATCACCCGTTTTCTTCTCTTGGGATATTCCTCGTACAAGAGAAGGTTTGTATCATTACAAAGCGGGTCTTCCTGCAGCCACCAAACGAGCCATAGAGTTTGCTCCTTATGCGGACCTGCTGTGGTTGGAAACGGGAGATCCAAGTGTCGACAAAGCATCTAAGTTTGCCGGGGAGATTCGAGAGAAATGCCCAAACAAGCAGCTCGTATATAATCTTAGTCCCTCATTTAATTGGATGGGACAAGGTTTCACCGAATCGGCTTTGAAGTCATTCATATGGGACTTAGCTAAGCATGGGTAAGTCATGGATCCCCTCTCCCATTGGTAGCCAGCTATTGTGCTTAAACGTGGACCTTTTCTAGATTTGTTCTTCAGCTCATTTCTCTTGCTGGCCTTCATTCGAATGCTACCATTACCGCTCAACTTGCCAAGGAATTCAAGACGGATGGTATGCTTGCGTATGTGAAGCTGGTACAAAATCGGGAGCGGGAGATGGACGTGGACGTCTTAACTCATCAAAAGTGGAGCGGGGCCCCGTATATGGATGGAATCATGGGCGCCATCCAGAGTGGAAGCAGCGGAAGTAAAAGTATGGGAGAAGGAAACACGGAATCAGGTGTGTCAAAATGAAGTCTCCAACCTTCCTGAATTTCCAGCTGATCTTATAGCATTTTGAGCGTTCAACCTAGCGTTCGTCGGCTTCCGTGTTGATTTCTGAGGTAGCGTATTTCTTATACCATGAAGTGAAGTGAATTTCCAGAACTTTGGCGCATTAGAAGTGAAGTTTCCGGCCAAGACGTATGTTTACGGCGCATAAGATCACCGCGTCAACCACACTTACCTCAAAATAACCTGCTACAAGAAGAAAAGGTTGGAACAGCCAACCGCACATTTGCAAACTATCGCCAGAATTGCATGCCATTCTGGACTTCGTCTAGCACAATGAAAAAGAAAGCTAAGGGAGGTCGTCGCAAACCTAAGTCTGCACCTGAGCCAGACTCCCAGGCTGATGAGCCTGAGGAGGAAATTACGACTTTTCATCCTCCGGCTCCAAAGATGGATCCTGAAACAGAGCTTTGGTTCAAGCTACAGGACTTTAGCGCTAATGAGAAAGACTGGGTCCGTCGATGCGTGGCCGGACTGAAGACTCCCATCGAGGCTGCCCCCGTTCCCACTGAGCCGAAAGAGCTTTACTGCATTTGTGCTGAGGAAGAGGATGGCCTCATGATCGAGTGCGATAATGAAGAACGCTGCTTGGGCCGGCAATGGTATCATCTTCGATGCGTGGGGATGAAGAAGGCACCGCGAGGTAAGTCGCAATGAAATTAAGACTATCTACGGTCATCCTAATGAGCGTTTTAGGGGATTGGAACTGTCCTCGTTGCAGCACCGTTGACTTACGCGCCAGCGCTTGGGCTCAGTACATTGATTACCTGGAAACCCGGGCCAATGGCGTTGACCTTGCGCTGTCTGGCCGCCTTAGAAGCGCGACACCGGTTCTACCTACTGCCTCTCAAGATGAAGATACTATTGGATTGCCACTCGGTCATGAACTTTGGTTGGAGAAGACCTTCGATCCTGGGAGGTGTAAGCTGCGCAAGCAGCCTGGGAAGAAGAGACGTCGAGCTCTAAGAAACGTCGCCAGCAACGGCCTGCAGTGAAGTTGCAGCCTTATGTGATGCCATTTATTTCTCCCATATTGAGCGGTTTTAACACAGATTTCATGTATCAGGTTGAAATTCCAAATCACTGGCGAAGTCGAGGCGCCTCGGTCACGGGAATAGGTGGAGTCGGGTTAACGTATAAAGGTCGAGATATTATGGCAATCATCTGAAAATCATGTCCGATAACACAAATTTCCCCTGAAAATTGAGTAGATTGCAAATTGACAACGATTTTCAATTAATTGTGATGGACGTCTTTTTGTTATTGGTTCCTAGATTGTGGTCATTGATTGATGAACCACGTGCACAGCCATCAGAATCCTACCGGCCCGAACAATCAGCCCCGGTCAGGTCCCGGGGGGAGGGGTTTTGTTTTGGTTTAGGCCGAATCTGAGTGGCGGAAAAAGAAAAAGAAAGACCAGCACAACTTTGATCATCCGCTAAACCCGATATGGAAGTCGCCCTTACAATCTTTCGCCCGCGGCTGGAAAAGTGAGAGTGAGAGGCCCCAAAATTTCAGAGCCACCGAGACGCCAAGTACTCCTGACATCTTTCTTTCTGTTCCTTTTTTTTTTTTTCAACCACTCTCACTCCGTCTCTCGCCTTTTCGATAAGACGAGTGCAAAGGCATTCTTCGGCAGTGTATTCCTGTGGAAACGCTGTCTACGCTCTCACCCAAGTGTTTCATTTCAGCGCATCATTTTCTTGGTGCACGCTTTCAGCCCCTCTGTTCGTGCGCACCCCATTGGGGGATTACATTTTCGCCGCACGCCGCCCCTGAACTTTTCTGTCCGAGAAAAGATCGTTGCTGAGCGGTCATTCTGTCAGGCTCGGATATTTTAATATCTAGTCAGAAACCTCCGAGTATCGTCTGCAAAGCAGAGCCTTGGCTAACCTGAGCATAGAATTTTGAGGAGAATGCCCCACCACACTTCTCCACCTCCTGCTCCAACCATGATTGCAAAGTCATCAGAGCCCGGCCCTGCGCCGACTCAAGAGGAAGTCTCCTCGGTCCTGAACAAGGCCTTCGCAGCAGAGACCTCGCAAAATTCACTCGATGCCGCTTACGCTCTGACCGGCCTGTTGCTCAACTCGGTCGGCTTTCGGGGCCTCAATGGATATGGTGTAATCGCAGAGGTCAAGAAAGCTGCTACAGATAAGAAGAGTGGCCCTCGCCGCGAAAGCGCCATGATCCTGCTAGGTGCTCTTTTCGAGAAGTTTTCCCTTCAGCAACCGATCAGCGAGGTCATTTTCCTCGTCCAGGATGGCGGACTCGTCCCCCTTGCCCTTGATGCGCTGGCCGACAAGGGCGGAGTGGTGCGCGAGTCTGCTCAGTATGCACTCGATGCGCTCTTCGCCAACCTCAAGCCGGAGGCTCTGGTTGTCGGCCTCTTGCCCGTCCTTTCTCAGTATCTGCAAAAGATGACCGGAAAGTGGCAGAGCGTCGTTGCCGCTCTCGAGTTGATTGGCCGTATGGCCGACAAGGCTAAGATCGGAATGGGTACCAAGGAGGAGGAAGAGCTCAAGGACCTCTTGCGTGAGGCTATGGGTAGAAGACTTGAAGGTCTTATCCCAATTGTCGAGAACGGCATGCACGATTTGAAGGCTGATGTGCGTTCAGGCCATTTTTTCCCTCGCCCCTTTGGAACCATAGCTGACTTAAGATTTGTTACAGGTTGCCAAGCAAGCTGTCAAGACTATGAACTCTTTGACTACCCTATTGTCCAATGATGATGTCGCTCCGCGGATTCCTCTCATCATCAAGACAATGCAGAACCCCTCTACCGAAACCCTTCAGAAAGCCATTCTCGCTCTCTCACAGACCACCTTCGTTGCCATTGTTACTTCGCCGGTTTTAGCCCTCTTGACGCCTCTGTTGGAACGTTCACTGAACACTCCGACCACTTCCCAAGAGGTTCTTCGCCAAACCGTGGTTGTCGTCGAGAACTTGACCAAGCTCGTCCATGACCCTGCCGAGGCAAGAGAGTTCTTGCCCAAGCTGCAACCCGGTGTCAAGCGTGTCCAGGATGGCGCTTCGTTGCCTGAAGTTCGTGAGTTGGCCGCCAGTGCCCTTGGGGTCATCCACAAGGCCATGGGTGATAATGAAAGCAACATTGCCAATGGAGCCATCTCCAGAACGACTGCCGACGAAGTTTCCAGCGAGCTTGACAAGGCTCTTAAAGCTCAAGGTGCTCAGATTGATGAGCAATCCGACGGTGCAACCTGGAAATCGCTCAAGGAATACATGTGCGAGATGGCACAGGAAGGCATTAACATCCGTCAGCTCGGTCGAATCCGAGTCTGCATCGCGCCGTACCTGCGACAATTAATTTCCGGTGAGCAGGCTGAGGCAGTCGCCGAAGCTGTTGAGAAGTATTTCGTCGAGGAGGATGACCGCAAATATGGCAAGCCGATTCAGGAAGAGGGCGAAGTCGAAGTTGTCAATGCCAATTTCTCGCTCGGATATGGAGGTAGACTCTTGCTTTCCCACGCCAACCTGCGCCTTCTCAAGGGTCATCGTTATGGTCTTTGCGGTCGCAACGGCGCCGGAAAGTCAACTTTGATGCGCAGCATTGCTGAAGGCAAGCTTGAAGGTTTCCCCAGCCCTGATGAGCTCAGGACCTGCTTCGTCGAGCATAACCAGGGTGAGGATGCTGATCTTAGCATTCTTGAATTCTGCGCCAAGGATCCCGAACTCATCTCAAAGGGCCGCGAGCGTATCTCCGAGGTCCTTAGCGAGGTCGGATTCACCTCTGGACCTGGTGGCCGTCAAGAGCAAAAGGTCGGGTCTCTGTCTGGTGGCTGGAAGATGAAGCTGGCATTGGCTCGTGCCATGCTCATGGGCGCTGATGTCCTCCTGCTTGACGAACCGACCAACCATCTCGATGTTGCCAACGTGCAGTGGCTGCAGGAATATCTCAAGCAGCACACTGAGATCACCAGCATGATCGTCAGTCACGACTCTGGTTTCTTGGATGCTGTTTGCACCGACATTTACCACTACGAGGGCAAGAAACTCGTGTCCTACAAGGGAAATCTTTCCGAGTAAGTCTATAAGCCGAGCCTCATTGCTCTCGAAAGGATCTCCGTCCGCTAATGCAAAGCACAGGTTTGTTGAGCAGAAGCCTGAGGCTAAGAGTTACTATACCCTTTCCGCCACCAACGTTCAGTTCAAATTCCCTCCCCCGGGTATCCTCACTGGCGTCAAGTCCATGACTCGGGCTATCCTTCGAATGACCAACTGCAACTTTACCTACCCAGGAGCACCTAAGCCATCCATGACGGATGTCTCCTGTCAATTGTCGCTCTCTTCTCGTGTCGCCATTATTGGTGCCAACGGTGCTGGAAAGTCGACTCTTATCAAGCTCTTGACCGGCGAGACAATTCCACAGACAGGAAAGGTTGAGAAGCACCCCAACCTTCGTATCGGTTACATCAAACAGCATGCTCTTGAGCACGTTGAGATGCACCTCGAGAAGACTCCCAACCAATACTTGCAATGGCGGTATGCCAATGGTGACGACCGAGAAGTGTTGATGAAGCAAACCCGTGTTCTCACTCCCGAGGACAAGGCTCAACTGGAGAAATTTGTCGATCCTGGCGATGGCAGGGGTGCTCGACGCATCGAAAACTTGATTGGTCGACAGAAATTCAAGAAGTCTTTCCAATATGAAGTGTAAGTTTTGATCTATATGTCCTTGGATTGGTTGAATAATCGTTGAAACTAATTTGCTCGTGCAGTAAATGGGTTGGAATGCTTCCCAAGCACAACAGCATGGTTTCTCGTGAGACCCTCATTGAATGGGGCTTCACCAAGCTCGTCCAGGAGTTTGATGACCACGAGTCGTCGCGAGAGGGTCTCGGTTACCGTGAACTTCAGCCCAAGGTCATCTCGAAGCACTTTGAGGATATCGGTCTTGATCCCGATATCGCCAACCACAGCCAAATCTCTGGTCTCTCTGGAGGTCAAAAGGTCAAAGTTGTCCTTGCTGGTGCCATGTGGAATAACCCGCATCTGCTCGTTCTTGACGAGCCGACTAACTTCTTGGACCGTGACTCCATGGGTGGTCTCGCTGTAGCCATTCGCGAATACAAGGGTGGTGTTGTCATGATTTCGCACAACGAAGAGTTTGTTGGTGCTCTTTGCCCCGAGCAATGGCACGTCGCCGATGGTCGTATTGTCACCAAGACTAACGCTGCCGTCTCGCTTGACCGATTCGAGGACAGCAAGCCGGGAAGCAGTGTGGCTTCGAGTGCTGTCTCGAGCGCCACTGCCAGTGCCGCGCCTAGTGCTGTCAACTCGGGCGCTGAAGACAACGGCGAGATGAAGTTCAAGGCCAAGAAGAAGAAGAAGATGACCCGTGCCCAACAAAAGGAGCGTGAGGTGCGTCGTCGTCTCCGTCACATTGAGTGGCTCAACAGCCCCAAGGGCACACCGCATCCCCCGGATACCGACGACGATGCGGAGTAAATATGACCTGTACGGTGTTTGTATGCCTGTGCATATGGGGTGGGAAGGAAGATTTCTGGAGGTTCAAAAAGAAGTTGGACGGAACGAATTAAATGATTGATATCACAAAGAGAGCGCAGGATATGTTCAAGTTAATCGTACAGGTGATGTGGCATGGCATGGGCTCCAGGAATTATACAGTTTTCCGAGGTTTTCTCTTTTATTTTTCCATTCGAGACGATGTTGATGACTATAGACGGGAAAAGGGCTGCATTGTGCATTGCCATCATCGGCATCTTTGTTTCAATTTGATTGCAGTTGTGGTTTTCTATACACATTTCTGTTCGGGTTTCTGTCATGTCGCATAATGAAGTAGTCGGCTTTTTAAGGCTTTTTGAATAGACTTTTATCAGAATAACAGTTTTCCTCATGTTGTACTCTAACCCTTTGAAAAGCCGTAGTTGTATTTAGGTCATGTGGTGAGATAAATCGTGACTTTGGTCCCTCGGTGGCTTCGCAACTTATCGCTTAATCTCGGTCACTGTAGAAGCAGTCCAGAATTCAACTACAGGTAGCAGGGCTTGTACGTTGTTAATCTTGAACCTGATATTTTTTGTTTTCAGCTTTCTCAATCAAAATCCTCTCACTTGTTGATCTTCAACAAACGCAATTTCTTTCTTATCGCTATCAGCTCCGGATATAATGCAAACCTATAGTTATGTTGCCTGGTGTCCACTGCATTGTGAACGCCGATAACACCAAAAGGGGTCCTGGGGTCCTTTTTCCTGTCTGGGAACGCAGATCCGAAAGCAAAGGCCACCAGCTTATCACCACACTTGCGAGCCAAAATTGACGCCTCTGACCCCGTTCTTTTGGTTCGCGCTTATCTGACAGCTTTGCTGGGGTGTCTGCTTGGTGTGGGGTTTTCGATTGAGGACGAGGACTGAAGCACTGTCGCTGTACTTATCGACTTGGATACAGTACGCACTTTGAACCGCGCAGGCTGCGTTGATCAACTCCACAAATTATGTACGGTACACAGTGAATGCTCAATTACGACATGATAACAAGGAACTGGGCATTTGATGTCACAAATTGTGCATGGACGACGGCCGGCTTGGCATTAGAGTGTCGTATGACACCAAAGCAGCCAAAGAACAAACGCTGGGGTAGAATTATACTCCATATTACGGTACAGAATTACTCTCGCATTTCGAACTGCATGATCCCATCGGCTATACCTGAATGTTTGAACTATGGTCAAGGAAAACAATTGAAGTTGAGTTGCAGGGCAAATGTGTGTTTGGATACAGCAAATCGGGCATGTTCGGTCTCACTCTTAACCTAACCGCAAGTGGAAGCATTACCGACAGCGGGGTGACGAAACACGAATTGGAGCTTTTCATGATGCACAAGGGTAGAGTTTTCCTTCGTGGCAAAAATGGGTCTAGTTCAGGTTCTAGAAGGGCTAAGGAAGGGGGTTGCAAAGGGTTAAAAGGTGGGTTAAGTGGTGCCCAGCGGGAGAGAGGCGAGGACGAGAGAAGCAGGTGGTTGATATCATAGGGTCTAACAGAAACTTCCCGGGATTGGCTTCACGGAACGATGCTGCCACCAAACCCTTTTTGCCAGTTAGTTCCTTGGTCTCCCGCCGTTATTGGCGGGGCTCCAGCGTTTGCGGGTCCCTGGAGCAAGAAAAAAAAAATTTGGCTTCAGGTTGACTGCCAATTGCGGGTCAAAATGTTTTCTTGGCCCTCTAAACGCAGATGGAAAGTCTCCCAGTGGCTCAAATGCGGTGCTATCCAATATATCTGTGGGTTACTATTACGTTGGTCTGTTCGACCTGATTTCGGCGCTTTAACCTGTGTGTTCCATGGAGGGATTGTACGCAGACCGATTCCTCTTGCTTTTTGCATCGTCTTGTTGTTTCGCTCGTTTCTTTCCCCCTCTCTCTTGTTTTTCAAGACCCTTATCGCTGCAGCGTTCTGTGGGATCTCTCTCAGCTCACTTGACCCCTGCTACCATCTTCCTGCGCAACCAATTGCCACGAAGACTGGGCTCCCCTTCCACGGACAGTCTCTGTCCCCTCGTCACTATACGGAGTGTCTTTTACAGACAGGTTTTCTCGGGTCCCTTTTCTTTCCTCATTTCCTTATCGCACGCGAGACTGGGGTCAGTAAGATTCCTGCAGCTTTAACAGTTTCATTTCGCTGCTAGTTCCTCCAGTCTTCCACTACACTGCTGTCTTAACCAGCTCAAATTTACGCGCAGAGAAAAGAGTTACTATTGGCTTTTCAACTTTTCATCGAACAGGAAAAATCCGTCGTGCGTGTGGGCGTGCAGAGTGATTGTGAAGGTGATTTTCATTGGCTTTCGCAGCCATCTATGTTTTGAGCGAACGTTCTGGCCAACAGGCAAATCTGTCAGTGTCGCTGTCATCTCTTGAGAGAACAGCAATTGCTATACCCAAGCGTTTTCGATCCTTTGCCCCGGCATCGTTGAAACAGCCCAGACGCAGCCTTTATTTGCGCTTGTGATACGCTTTCATTGCGAAGACCGTCACGCGACATAGCATCTCGTTAGCCATCAGCCCGCGCACCGCGATAATTCGAAATCGACTCGATTAAATTCGAGGACATATAACCATTCATTCCTAGATCCTACGTTAAGCAGTCGAGGCCTATAGCCCTAGGTCAATAGGTTATAAAACAACCATGGCGATAGACGACAAGGACATGGTGATTGGCGGTGCGTCGTCACCGGAGGAAGCGCAGGAAGGCAAGCTATTGGATGCCGACGCCATCAAGTTGGCCGAGATGGGCTACCGACAGGACATGAAGCGGAATTTCTCAGTCTGGACACTTTTAGGTGTTGGGTTTTCTCTGACCAACTCGTGGTTTGGTATCTCGGCAGCTATGATCACCGGAATCAGCTCCGGTGGCCCCGTGCTCATCATCTATGGCATCATCTTCATTGCCTTGATCTCGATTTGCGTTGGAGTCACCCTCTCGGAGCTGGCCAGCGCCATGCCCAACGCAGGCGGACAGTACTTTTGGGCCAACGAGCTAGCACCCAAAAACTACGCAAACTTTGCGTCGTATCTGACCGGCTGGTTTGCCTGGGCTGGTTCCATCTTTACATCTGCCAGCGTTGCGCTGTCTATTGGAGCTGCTGGTGTGGGCTGCTGGCAGCTTGCACATCCCGACTAGTACGTTAACTTCTTTATTCACGTCAAATATTTCTCTTTGCCCCTTTTCTTCCTTTTTGACTTTTGACTTTTGGTCATTTCCTTTCTCTCCCTGGCATCCACCTTGAGAAGAGTCTCGGACCGCGCAAAGAATAACTCTCCTTGCACTTCAAACCCTTCCCCAATACCACTGGAAGAAGCATAAACTAACGATGCCCCAACCAGTGAAATCCAAGTGGGCCACGTTGTGGCTTCGTACCAAGTGTTTAACGCATTCTCCTTCGTCTTCAACTGTTACGGCCGAGTTCTTCCCAAAGTAGCCACCGTCACACTCTACACCTCGCTCGTGTCCTTTATTGTCATTCTCATCACCGTGCCCGCGCGAGCACCGACTCACCAGACAGCCAAGTTTGTCTTTGCCAACTTTGTCAACAACACGGGCTGGAAGTCCAACGGCATTGCATTTATTGTTGGACTGATCAACACCAATTGGCCATTTGCATGTCTCGACTGCGCCACACACATGGCCGAAGAAGTTGCGCAGCCTGAAAGGATGATTCCCATCTCCATTCTGGGAACCGTCGCCATTGGCTTCTGCACGTCATGGACATACTGCGTTTCCATGTTCTTCAGCATGAACAACCTCGACAATCTGTTTAGCACGCCTACCGAGGTGCCGATCCTGGAACTTTTCTACCAGGCCCTCGGCAACAAGGCCGGCGCCATCGTCCTCGAGAGTCTGATCCTGGCAACTGGAATCGGTTGTCTGATTGCAAGCCATACTTGGCAGTCTCGGCTTTGCTGGTCCTTTGCCCGAGACCGCGGTTTGCCTTTCCACAAGTTCCTCTCCCATGTCCATCCCAAGCTGGATGTGCCCTTGCAAGCCCATGCCGTCAGCTGCTTGATCGTTGCCGCCGTCGGCTTCTTGTATTGGGCATCGTATACCGCTTTCAATAGGTAGTTCCCTTTTTTTCTTTTTTCTTTTTTTTCTTTTAATTCTCGGACAACCCTTGTCCATCTCTTCTTTGCCTTTAACTCCTTTTCCCTCTCTTCTTTCGTTGTTCCCTTTCATCTTACTCCATATCAAAATTCAGTTGAGATATATACTGACAAAAAGAAAGTATGGTCACGGCATGTATCGTCCTGTTATACATCTCCTACGCTATCCCCGTCATCTGCCTCCTCATCCGCGGCCGGAACAACATTGCTCATGGCCCCTTTTGGATGGGCCCCATTGGTCTTTTTTGCAACATTGTCTTGCTTGCCTGGACCCTGTTTACCCTGGTCATGTTTTCGTTTCCGTCCGTCAAGCCGGTTACTGCTGGTAGTAAGTTCCCTCCCGTTTTATATCCTTTTCCATTTTTCCTCCCACATTCCCTTTCCTTATTTCCCCCTCTTCTCCTCCACCTATTTCACTGTTCCCTTTTATTCATCTTCTTGCACATCTATTCCACTGTCCCGTCCCCTTTGTCTCTTATCCCCTCAGGCCTTCCCTCCTTCCCTCCTTCCATCTCGACATCTCGAAATCTCGAAGCCACCCAAATAAAACACAATGCTAATCACCATTTTCTTTACTAGCAATGAACTATGTCTCGGCCGTATATGGCGTCGTTGTAGTCATTATCATCGCTGACGTAAGTACTTACCTCCTTGATCCCTTGATTTTCCTTTTCTTTTCTTTTCTTTTCTTTTCTTTTCTTTTCTTTTCTTTTCTTTTCTTTTCTTTTCTTTTCTTTTCTTTCTTTCTTTTTTTTATCTCTATTTTGCCGTTCGTTGGGGATCGGGGGTTGGGGGTTTTGAGAGAGGACGGGGGAGGGGTGAAAGTGATCCTTCCTCTTTTTTTCCTTCTCCCTCTCTCTCATTTCGTTCCTCTCTCCTCTCTGTCTCTGCTCTCCGCTCTCACTCGGCTTCGTGCTTCTTCCTGCGCCTGCTTTCCGCTCTCTCCTCAGTTGCCTAGTCATACTAATCCAACTCGTATGAAACAGTGGGTCGTCCGCGGCCGACGCAAGTACCGCTCGCAAGCCGCGCGGCACGAAGAAATCGAACAGGTCCACCAAGAAATTGCCGCCGCGCATCATGGGTCGTCTTCGAGACCAGGCACTTCTACTGCTGTCGACTCTTCTGCTGCTCCGATTTATCGCTGAACATGAGTACATTGAAACTTTCTTTTTTCTACTACTACTAGGCGCAACGTGACGTCTTTTACATCTTATCTTTGATATCTTGACATCTCTTACATTTTATCTTTTATATCTCGACGTTATGTATACAATTTATTTCATCTCGATGTATAAGATCTCACATTTCACGTTACATATATACCAGTATACCAGTATATCAATATACCAATATATCAATATATGCGAAACATCATCTTTTCAATCATAAATAAGCTAACTGCCATTTTTTCTTTTTACTTACAATAGTAGTAATAGTATGATTCTTGGTCTAATATAATATTATATCATGATTTGTTATATTCATTCTGTATCTGTACCTTGTGCCTGGACTGCAATATATCTCGACGCAAATCCTATCGTTATCATCACTCTAATACATCTATCGTGTATTCATATATTCATATATATCCATGTATATCCATGCCCATGTATAACGCTATCAGCCTCCCACCTCCCTCTCCCCCCTTTCCCCCCTCAAAAGAAAGTAATGAAAAAATAGATCAGAGGGAACCTCGAAAAAAAAAAAAACAGAGAGAAATATTAAAGAAAAAATAAATGACCTGAGATGAAATAAAATAAAAGAATTAAAGAGATAAAGACGGCCTAAAATTCAGCAACCAGGGGCAAATCCCTCGAACTCGTCCCAACACGCACGACAAACGTTCCGGTGACAGGCATGACCCAATTCTGCTGGATGGTGCACCAATACGAGAGGTCCTTTCTCGTGAGATTCAGCTTCACCTCACTACTCTCACCGGGATCCAGCTCCAGCTTCTCGAACCCACGAAGGACTTTCACGGGGAAATCGACCGGGGATCCGGCGCTGTCGGTGACGCCCTGCGGGTAGGAGAGATACAACTGGACGACCTGCTTGCCGGTTCGAGCGCCGGTGTTTGTCAGGGTGACTTGGACTTCGGCATAGGTGTCGTAGAGACTGGGATTGCCTCCTTGGCCGCCGCCGGCGGGGGAGAGGGGAGCGGGGGTGTGGTAGCCCGGGGGATAAGGGTATATCGGGCTGTGTTTGACTTGCTTGGTGCTTTCAATGTACGGATAGACGTATTTCTTGAGACGGCGGAAACCCGGGGGGAACAAGGCGGAAGAGGGCGCGGGGATAGTCTCGTCGTAGGAAGGGGGCGTGAGCCCGGTAGGACGGGGTGAAGGGAGGGCAGATTTGGGCTTGAGCGGGGTGACGACGAGATTGGAGAGGGTAAAGTTGGTGTAGGAGAGACCAAAGCCGAATTCGTAGCGGGGGTTGATGTTGTACTTGTCGAAATGGCGATAATCGACAAAGAGACCCTCAGTAAAGTTCTGCTGGGGCACGACGCCGTTGGGGTAGTAGAGGATTTGGCCGCCGGGGCCGTAGTCTTCGAGGGATTTGCCGACAGTGTAGGGCAGACGACCACTTGCGTCGTCGTCGCCAAATAAAATGTCGACGAGGGCGTTGCCGCTCTCTTCGCCGGGGAGATTGGCGAGAAGAACGCCCTTGACGCTGGGTATGTCGATCCAGCGCTCGACTACAACGGGTCCGACGGCGTGCACGATGACAATGGTGTCGCCTTTGCCACCGCCGCAGCTCTTGGCAACGGATTGGACGAGCTTGTCTCCGCCCTTTTGAGGGAAGAGGTCATTACGGTCGCCGCGAATACCGCCCCATGAAATGTAGCCTTCGCCACTGTCCGAGTTGATAAATACAAGGCAAAGGTCTTGCTGGTCGAGGGTTTTAGCAGCATCTCCGTCTAGTGCTGGTTCGTTTGTGAGATATTCGGACAATTCGACATGCTCCGGATCAAATGCAGAGCGAAGAGCCTCAATAGGAGTGACCAAGTAAGGGAACTCGGCAGCACCGCTGCCCCAACCAGAGGCTAGAGTGCCTTCATTGCAGCCACGATCTGGACAGGCGTTTCGTCCTCGTCCCTCACCGGCGTCTTCTCCAAAGATGGCCACGTTATACTTTGAGCTTGGTCTCGGCGTAGACATTCTCTTCTCAACGCTTGACGCGCTTTTGCCTTGGCGGCTCAAGGGCAGAATATTGCCTTCATTCTTGACGAGAACCGTTCCTTCTGCTGCAATCTTGCGGGCGAGATTGCCGTGCGAGTCCTTGCCTTTGCCTTGCACATTGAGAAATTTATTCACAACACCCGTGGCATTGTCATCTGTGCCAGGATGCAAAAGTCCAGTTTCGTCATCAGTCCACGAGGAGAAATTGGGACCTCCTCCATCTTCCGGCGCGGGCCATTTCTCCTTGTCGTCTTGGCCGAGCTGGTACCATGCGGCAACAATTCGAGTTACCATGTCGTTAATCCGGCTCATGGGCACAGAGCCGTTGAGGACAGCCACGGTGAGACGGGATCCCCACAGTGAATCACCATCCTGCCACCGCAAGCCGTCGCCTGGCATGGTCATGTCGAGTCCGGCCAGAGCACTGGCAACACCACTGCGCTGAGCGAGCCAGTCTGACTGAACAAATCCCTGAAACCCAAGCTCATCTTTGAGAATACCGTTGAGAATCTTGCTATTGCCACAGGCATAAGAGTTATTGACCATCTGGTAACTGCACATGACGCTAGCTACGCCGGCGCGGACACTCTCTGCAAACGGCCAAACGTAGAGTTCATGCAGGGTGCGATCATCAATGTTGGAGGACATGGCATTGGGAAGGCCCCATTCGAACGATTGTCGGAAATGCTCTTGCTCGTTCAGAATGTAGTGTTTGGCAGTAGCCATGACTCCTTCGTCCTGAATGCCGCGAATTACAGCTGCAGCCGCTACAGCTTGCAGGACTGGATCTGGACCAAACCCCTCCCAGTTCCTTCCACCGGCAGGCATTCGGCCAAGTGGACCCATATTGGGGCCAAGCAAGACATTGACACCCTTGAGACGAGCTTCAAGTCCCTGGGCCCGGCCACGCTGATACATTAAATCTCGATTCCATGTGGCGCCCGTGGTGATGCCGGCAGGGAATGCAGTGGAATGGTCTGCAAACCGTATGCCCAGAGGTCCGTCCTGTAAACAGAGAGCTGGGAAGCCAGCTTCACTCGCACGGCCTGGCGGATCATTCATCTCAGCTCTCCTATCGCGGCGTATGGGGATTCAACAAATTGCATACCGGTATTGCCCACGCAGAGCTCTCCCATCCAACCAACGCCAGTCGTAATGTTAACCTTTTCCACTAAAGACATTGATTTGACTAATGCTTCAGCCTTTGTGTAGCTCTCTTGCCAGGAGCTAACCGTGCCTCCTAGAGGAGAGGGATACCTGGGAGCAGTTTGGTAGGTTAGCATATCAGGATTGCAGCCTCGTAATTACTACTATGAACCCACCATGATGGACTCTCTCCGTCCTTTGGTGCACTTTTGTAGACCCAAGCACCGCTACCTGTGAGCAGCAAGATTATAGCTGCGACAAAAAGTACAGTGATGATTGTACAGGTTCGTCTGGGCCGATGTTTTTGGCCAAAGAATCCGCGGCGTCCATCACCACGATCTCGGAACGCTGATGCAGGTTTGCTTCTGCGTCCTGCTTCTGACACGACCGACTTTGCATAATGGCTGTTCTCATAATCTGCATCTTGACTCCAATCATGCTCCTCATCCGTCGAGGACCGATATGGCCCGTCCAAGGAAGCTCGGAGAGGAACCTCCTGCTCCTTCCGCACGTCGGCACTCTCGAATCGACGGGCCATCTAAGCAAGCCTGAAGATTCGAGATTCTACAAGAAATTACTTTCAATTTCAATGGTTCTTGCCATTGAAAGGATTTGTATGAGCTTTTCACGAGCTGGGCCACAGAGCAGGTAGGCTGTTGTGGGGTTTCTGGGGTTCTGGGATCCGAATGACAGCTTATTCAGCAGTATGAAGCAATCATCAACAGTTATCCATAAACGCTAAGATATATGCAGCGATAGTGCACACTTCCGATGCTTCCCCGGCCGATCCTCCTGATCTACCCAAGCTACACGTAACTACAACGAAAATCTACCAATGATCCTGAATCTGCATATGGAGCGACCTCATCGACTCTGCGCACTGCGATGCGTTCTCGCTATACCAATACATACAAGTAACGGGTAGATGCAAATCAATTCACCCAGTGCCTCCGTCCCTTGGGTCTTGTGATATATCTTAGCTATAGTACCTTACCTTGTGGATTACCAGAGTATAGGACTGCGTACAGTGCTGAATTCATAATCTTGGCATTATGGTTTCAGAATGTCCAGTTGCGGTGGTGGCACTGTGTGCTGAGGGGAATATGTATAATCCAGTAGTTTACATATCATATGTAACAATTTCATACAGTGATTGTCATAAGAGCCATCGGTCGCTGGACACCTCAGAGGGCTCGAGCACAATTGACTACTTCGTACTCACAGAATGATGCAATTGAACTTGCATCACCCGGCGCCCCCGCCCGCCCGCGACGATGCGATGCAACGCTGCCCATCTGAAGACAGAAATCCATTGAAGATAGAGCTACTCACTGAACCCTTTTTTTCCCGCCATCTTTTATCGCCGCGAACTTTATCTTTATTCATGGCAGGGCGACGCCTGGGTGGAATTCCCTCGTATTCTTTCTCGTCTACCACACCCACACCCAGACAACTGCTCGGGAAGATCAAGAACATCTCCCGTCACAGGGCTATTTCTGGCCACACACCCACACCTTTTCTCCCACACACACTCATATGCAACTTCCCTTGATAAATCCACAAGAAGAAAATGGTCCACCCACTGCACCAACAGGAAACTTCGTATCCGCAAAAAAAGAATATTGTAAACACAATTTCGACAGTAATCTTTGATAAATAGGGTTATTATTAGAATTGGCCATTCGGAGTCCGCTTGACCATTTCTTATTCACTCATTTATTTTGTAGTTTTGGAGTGACCACATTCCAATTGACATAGTCTTGCCTTTGATCGATGAATATCAGATCAATGGTCTTATCCGCCATGGGTATCGGGCAAAGCTGCTGTTATTTCGCACACAAGCTGAAAAGAGTCAAGCCACATGAGGGCTACACACCCATCGTGGCCACTTTACTTCTGTTGAGAGGCGCTAACAGGGTGAGCAATTGATCATAATACCAGTGGCGTCCTTGATGAGAAATTGTCTGTTACCTGCCCTGGCCATTGTGCCATGCAGGCTACTTTTGGCACGGAACTCTAAAAGGGCCACGGCAACGTTGCGGTGCCGGATCTCGGATGAGAATAAAAAGCGGTGGTTGCGGCAAAGCTATCCTTTCATCATCATCACAAAGGTAAAATCCAGCGTAAAAGAAACTCTAGGCGAAACAGCCCTGACCGACTTAAAGCATTCGCCTCCTTCATTCAAGCTGCCCGAGACATCCGTTGCCTGTCGAGCCGGAGAATAGCCTGGGTGCCGTTTGACCACTCTGAGTCGTCCGGGTGGCTTGTCTCGTAGTCAGCGCACTTGCCTCACCAGACTGGCGGATGGCCCTTTGACTTTGAGTAGATCAAACAAGGGGCTTCTTTCCCGGATTGACGCCACTCGCAGCCTTTGTTCGCTGCAAACCCAACATTGGCAGATCAAGGAGAACAAAGGACGTATTGGCAGCACCTTATCAACACTTACTATGTACCTGCCATTATTGACAACTTTTGGCAGCCTGCAGCAAGTTGATAGACCCACTGTGAGATGCAGTCACTGTATGATCGACTGATGCCATGCATAATGTCCATCATCTGGCCTATTGCATGCAAGTAGAGATGGCGGTGAGTTGCAAAAGGATACGAGACAGACAGGTATCGGTACGGTGGGGAAGACATGCGAACGTGGATCCTCGCTCACCAGTGTCTCAGAAGAAGCGTATGCGTGCGCAAAAAAAATGCAAGCACGTAGTATCTCTCCCACATTGTCTGCCAGGGATATGTACCTGTACCATGTGCAGTACTGCAAAGAGGGTCTCGTTCTCTTGCATTGCTCGTTACTGGATTTCGTGGTAGATTCTGATACTGGCCGTGGGCGAGAGCACCAATGATCAGAGGCCAATCCAAAGAGGGAAAGAATTAATATGGCGGCACCGAAAGCAACAAGACGGGAATTTAATGCCAGGGGTGCATGGTGATTAGGCTTCAGGTCCAAGACTGATCGAATCACTCGAAAGATATTCTTGGGGTCATGGACGACCGAGCGCCCATCGACTAGCCTGAGGAGCTCGAATGAGGCGAGGGCGATACAGAAGGTGGGTGGGCGGGTATGAGTCCAAGATTGGCAAAAGACGTCTTGTAGATAGTTACCCTTTGAGAGAGAAAGACGAGAGAAGGAAGGTGATGGATAAGGAATAGCTCGGATACTTGGCAGGCGGAGAAGGCGTTCGACTAGCGAATTGGCAGTTAAAAGCGGCATGGAGTTTTGGCTGGAAGAGGCGTTCCTTGGTTCTACAGTAAACTTAGGCAGTCACCTAGTCCTTCTGGGCGATGATAGTGCAAGGCCCGAATGTTGATGGGGCCCAAGACCCTCGCCAGACTGCTGGGATTGTTGTGCTCTAGTATGGGGTTGAACAGAAGATCCATTTCCCAATTGATCTGTTTCCCTCGTCTAGGGCCTGTCAATCGCACGTTGTTTCCCCTTTGGAAGGCCCTGCGTTGTCCCCACATGATTAAAGTGACATGAAGGGTGAACAGAAAGATACCATCTGTACGGAAAGAGTGTCGCTATCGGAGACTACCCATCTATCGATTGCCTTTTTCATCTTCCATGTGTAACGTTCACTTTACGCCCACCATGCCTAATCCTGGTCGCTGAGCTAAATCTGCCTGGAATCGAACCTTTTGGCTTTGACATCAACAGCTCCCATCTCAGTACACGGTCCAGCACTAACCTACCTAACTATCCGAACCGAACACGGCTCTTTATTCGTCTTTGAGCCCGGCCGTACAAAGTAACTGTGCTCATAACAGGAAGGGGGAAAAAAAAAAAAAAGAAAGCAGACCCCTGTCGGGCCTTGTCCATTTGCCGATGATGCCAGACCATTCCAGCCCACATCACCACAAGCATCTTCGCATGGTCGTTGACCATCCCCTTCTCTATCAGGGTTCAATCTTTCGACCTGGATGTTGCCAGGCAAGATTTTCGGCCCCAACCACTCCGGAGACGCCAACCCGTCCGGCTGGTCTTGGTGCTTGCGACCAAGACAAGATGCAATCGCCGCCGCAACGTCAGCGTGCCCCCAGAACTGGACCATGATGTGTACAGCGCGACAAGATCTAGTGCGCGTGTCTGCCATGCCCCCATGTGTTCGAAAGCCAGCTAGATGCCCCAATCTGGCAGAGCAATAATTGTCTGGCCCCGGGATTGCTGGTCCTTGTCCAGCCCAGGCCGGCCGAGCTAAGGCATCGCATCGATAGCGGTTGCTGGATCTTTTCCAAACATGGCTTTTGGGTGGCCAGCCGTATCGCCAGTGAAATGGCATAGCGGCCGTCGTAGCATGCTCTGCCTGTGCTTCAAAAACACACGCTGCCCTGCTTCTTGTTGCCCTTCTGTTTCCTCCATCATCATCACTCATCATTCATCACAGCTCTTCTTTGCTGGTCAGGATCCCTTCGTTTTCCTGCACCTTGCTGTCCCCTCTCTCGAGGCGACTTGAGCATTCATTCTCTTTTATCTGAATTCCTCGTCCTTCGTTGTCCAATCTCTCCCACAATTGCAGAGAGAGAGAGAGCTTCGAAATCTAAAAACACATTTTTCCCTAGTCGACAGTTGTGTCTACCAATTCTATCCCTCGCAATGGAATATCCTCGTTCTACCACGGCCAACACCACGGCCACAGCCACGCCCATGCGCCCTGGCACTCCCGACTCTGCCGAGCCCTATGGCGATTCCATCACTCCGCTGCCTCGCCAGCAGAACCCCTTTGCCTCGCCCTTGACCTCTCGCCCGGCTTCTACCACGGGCTCCATGGTCGGGCCGCGCGTGCCTGGCGCTGGCCCCAACTACTTCCACTCCCGCCGTGTCAAGCGTGGTGAGGCCGAGAGACCCTGGACGAAGAAGAAGGACCCCAAGGAGAAGTGGGTGACCATCCTCCCCCTTATCGGTATCCTCATCGGTCTCGGTATTTCCGGATTTTTGATCTGGGATGGTCTCCGCACCGTCGTCAAGCACAATTACTGTCTCTTGCTGGACGAAGATTGGTCAGAAGGTTTCAATGACAAGGTCTGGACCAAGGAGGTCGAGGTTGGCGGTTTTGGGTATGTTGTTAATTACAAATGGCTATGCTTGTCTACGTGAATAATGGCTAATCAATTTTTCCACAGTAACGGTCAATTCGAGATGACTACCAACACTGATGAAAACGCCTACATTGAGAATGGAAAGCTCGTCATCAAGCCCACTCTTCAGGACGCAAAGTTGATTGAAACCAACAACATCATCAACCTGCTTACTGACAAGAGCTGCTCGTCTGATATTTGGTCCAACTGCGTCACTTCCACCAACGTCACCAACGGTACCATTGTCAACCCGGTCAAGTCTGCCCGTATCAATTCCAAGAAGGGTGCAGTTATCAAGTACGGTCGTATTGAGGTCAAGGCCCAGCTTCCTGCCGGCGACTGGCTCTGGCCCGCCATTTGGATGTTGCCTGTCGACAGCGTCTACGGCGAGTGGCCACAGTCCGGTGAAATTGACATTGTCGAGTCCCGCGGTAACAACTACACCTATTCCCAGGGTGGTAACAACATTGTCAGCAGCGCTTTGCACTGGGGTCCCAACACCGCCAACGACGCTTGGTGGCGGACCAACGTCAAGCGCGAGGCTCTGCACACAACCTACGCCAAGAAGGCGCACACTTTTGGTCTCGAGTGGAGTGAAAAGTACCTCTTCACCTACATTGACACCCGCCTGCTCCAGGTTCTCTACACCAAGTTTGATGAGCCTCTCTGGAAGCGTGGTAACTTCCCGATTGCCGACAGCAACGGCACTCGTCTTAGCGATCCCTGGAGCCAAACTGGTAACGACGCTACTCCCTTTGACCAGGACTTTTACCTCATTATGAACGTTGCCGTCGGCGGCACCAACGGCTGGTTCAAGGATGGTTCCAGTGGCAAGCCTTGGGTTGATGGCTCTGCCACCGCCAAGAAGGACTTCTGGAATGCCCGTGACCAGTGGATGCCCACTTGGGAAAAGGACGGCCAGATGTTGGTCGAGAGCGTCAAGATTTGGCAGCAGCAGGGCTACAATGGCTGCTAGTCGTTCTGGCAGCCAGCGCGCTTTGCATATGCTTGTTTTGTTTTGGGGTTCCTTGGTTTCACCCCTTTTTTTTTTTTTACGAAGATTATAGATTCCTACTCACTTTTAATGATTCCTCCTGTCATTGACTTTTTTTTTTATTGAGGGCGCATCTCTTCTACATAGCCTGGGAGGGTTTGAGGATACTGAAATGGTGTTGGTTACGACCCATCATATCTCTGCAAATAGTTTTTGTCTTATGATAGTCACTAAAGCATGGCATCAATAATCAAGCCAATTCATGATATATTTAATTACCATTTATCTAAACTAATTATCGAGCTCCTCCCTTTCAGCATCTTCGATCCAGTGAAATATAATGACTGACTCGATTTTCCTACTTACTCGCTACGGCGCTATGTAATGTAGGTAGGTACTTACCCGACGGCAAAGAAGCTCGACTATATTTCATCTACTTCTTTGACCCACTGACCTACCTAAGCTCAATATTTTAGCCTCCCGAGCCGAATCATGTCGCATCCAAGCATGCTCCAAATAATGCTCTTTAGCAAACTGGGTCGAGCGAAAGGGGGGCTATATTTCCCAAGTTTAGGGCCGATTGCAATAAGCGTCGACTAATCTAACGCAGGCATACTGGACGATCCGGCTCGCTACGATGTTCTCTATCCACGTGGGCTCAATGTCGAAACAGACCACTTTTTCTAGACAGACTGAATTACAGTGCAGCCAGCTGTCAGGAACAATTCGCTACGATGAATTGCTGCTGATAGTTGACTGGACAATCCAGATGCCGCAATTTCCTTTTGACGCTCAGCGACAAAATCGGCTCAGATTAAAATTAGTCATTATGGCCGCGCAGGTCATCTGCCTTTGATGAGCTGGGAAATTACAAAAAAAAACACGCCTTTCGTGGTTGTCTAGAAATGACTGCGATCCCTCGTCCACCGGTACTTTGATTTTCTGCTAAATAGATTAATGACGTCGGTACCGATTTCTCTAGGCTACTTCGGGAAGGGATGCCGAAATTATTCTCCTCCACGCGACAATTATTACCAATAAGCGCTGTGGCTGTCAAAGCCCAAGGACAATGAACCATCATCATTCGCGCTGGACAGAGAAACAATGAAGCAAACAAAGAGAGGGGACAACGAAGGCAGAATAAAAGTCTTTCCCTTTTACTCATTGCTGACTGACATGATTAAAGCGGCGTTCAACTCTCTAGTACAGCTCGAGTTTACTGGCATGCCTAACTGATATTTGTGGAACCCAAAGATAAAGCAAACAAGCGATGCATCCAGGCTTCAAGCATTTGGAGGTCACCAGTCAAAGGTCTACAGTTTTCTGTTTCATCTCTAAATATTTCAGTCTTTGATTGGCTTCTCAAGTATCGAATTATCAGCAGCGAAAAAATTTAATCTCAGGTTTTGCGTCAAAGAAAAATGCCTAGATCATCGATCTGTTGCTCTTATTTCAATATCCTGATCCGAGGAATTTGAGCCAGGCGGCAAAATGATAGAGCGGAGATGATTGTTTTTGTTTGCAGTCTACCACAAATCTCGTTAAAATTGTAGCCGACTACTATAGTGTCGCCGTTTCTTTACAATTTCAGCTGGACAATGTATGCTGTGGATCGATTTGGCTCTTGTTCCCCTCGTCTAAGTATTTGCGGTGGAGCGGCACCATTTTCTTGGCTTTCTTGGACGGCAATCTCCTACGGATTGACTGGGCGCAGATGCTGAAGTGATTACGAGAGAAATATCGAAACCGAACGAGGCCTTTGATCTTGGCAGGAGCACTCGAACAAGGACAAAAAAGCAATTGGGCTTTTCAGCTCCTCTCGGAATGTTCAAAGATTTAGATCCACACCCGTGATATGCGAGCCCCGCCACAAGAGAATCCGTTTAGAGCTGCATCATCCGTCTTCACCTATCACTATACTTTGGGTGGCATTCTGCCTTATTCTATTCAATTGACATTTACAGCAAGCCAATTGCATTGCATTGATAACAGCCTTGCACAGACGCTGGTGCATCATTGGTCGCCAGCGCCAGACCGTGTGCTTCGGATGCTACCGGGCTATGAGCCGTCAGTTATTCATCGACAAGCCGATGAAGCGGGCCGTTGGGTGGGGACAATCTGCTTTTGTCTCCAGGCGCTGCTAAAGCTGCAAAGCTCATTATTGATTTTGCTTGTTTGGGAAGAAACCATGTGGTTTGACTGCTGCTGCCTTATCCATAACATCAACTTAGTTCGGAGTGCTACCTTCTACTGCCATCTCCACTGCCGCAAGCTTGAACAATGCAGGCAGCAATAGCCTACAGGTACCAAGAGTACACTTTGCAAAAACGAGGGTCTAGTATTGATACAGACATCCTTCATCTATCTGAGTGGGACCAGATCTGAGCTGATCATAACAGCAGGCGACCAGCGGAGCCATATTAGCGCCACAGTGTTTGTTGCATTCATCCATTTGCGGCGCTGCTTGGCAGAAAATTTACTGGTACTCGACATTATCTTAATCGCAATTGGAAAAAATGCGGAGCTGCATAGAACATGATAATGGAACAGAGCACGACATAACGAATTTTCTTATCAATGAAAAAGCCATGGTGAGAAGATTGCACGTGCCAATGGCATGATGAGATTCGGAGCGAAGCCATGGTTACCAATTGTTCCAGGCAGGTCGCTCAATGAAAAATAGCATTCGCTTACTCTGTACTCCGGTACACAAGGTGTTTCTAGATAATTCATACATGACAATGCGTGCGCCGCACAAAGGCTCAACAAATAAAAAAAATTGGTCGAGTCGCTCGGGCGTGCCATTTGGCTCCTGCTGGCTCTACTGATGGCACCGTCTTGGCCGGTCTCGCCACTTGGCGGCATAGGCAAATTCGACGAACAGGCGCGGAAGAGAATATGGATTTCCACTCTGGGACGATGTGAAGTCTGGGCGTTTCCCTTTTGAGAATCCCTGATTGGTTTAGCGTGGATCTTTAAGCACATGCGAGTGACAGCAGTGGAGAAGTGGGCCATGGGCCGAGAGCCACAAAAGCCAAAGTGTGGAAAGGTCCATCGAAGATTCCTGTTTGGGCGATGGCACATACTAAACCAGGTACTCCGTATACGTTCCCTTGGTACGAGTACCATTGATAATTCGTCTCGTCCCGAGGAGCGCGGGATTGCCCAGCAACCCTGCAACGTGGCTGACGCTCGCCCTTCAAGCCTCTCGCCGCTTTTTGTGTGGGCAACTGAGGGGAGGCTGCTGGGACGTTTTTCTTGGTCTCTCAACCACGTCTGCCCATCGCTATCCCTCCTCGAGCATAGCAAGAAGCTTAAACCTTGTTCCTGAACTCCAGTGACACACGGCGAAGACCTGCTTTGGAACACCACCACTCAGGGATGAACCCGACTTTTCCTGCCGGTCTTGACGCTAAAACGTTGCAGTCCTTCCGGTACGAGAGCCTGATAAAATCACCACGCTAATGGACATCCCACATTTTCCACCTTACCGCAAGGTTTCTGCTCTGCCCACCTTGCCTCACTTCACCGGCATCTCAGCATACACGAAACAAGGCACATGCTGAAGTGAAACACAATGGCTTCGATCATCGCCAACCATGAACCGAAGCTACGCATATCGACATCGCGGAGAATTGATTTGTATTTTTGCTCGTCTGTTCCTTCTCTCTTCAGCGCTGGAGTGCTCGCAAACCCGTCCGTCGGGACCGCGCCGGTTGACAAGCTAAAATTGGTGCATTCTAGCGTCATGGCTGGCCCATCGGACTTTGACGGTATGTATCTGGAGACGCAGCTACCCTGAAGGCAAGCTCGCCGCACGCAATGGAAAAGTACTTTACCGTATACCGTCTTGTCGGTTTCTCCATTGATTGAGTTACAGTGGATCTCCGCTGGGTGACAATTATGGGGCGACTTTTACTGGGCTTGCAGTTTTCGACAGCGATTGATTGTGCACAAAAGAATCGGCTTGATATGCTATCGCACTGAGCATTGGTCCTTTAGAAATCATTACAGGGAGGCATGCGCTCGGAATACGACCACCTTGGGTGCCGCATCCTCGCGATAGGAGACGTCCAATGTGAAGGCGAGCATCCCGATTGCTTGGAACACCACGCAGATTCTATAGCTCCCTTGCCGCAAGTGGGCTTCTCAACCGTCTCAGGATGTAGTAGAGGCTATTCGCTGGCGTATCTTCTTTGGCCATGACCCGGTGGCTTAAATTATCCTTTGCTCGGATCATCCATATCCTGTCTGATTGTTTCAAACGTGGCAATTGGGGGCCTTTACTGGTGCTGCCGGCAGTTTGGTCGCACAGGGTGTGGCTGATAAGCAGCAGCGCATCCATTTCGCCTGCAGTTTTCGCCATCAAATCCTTGGAAGACGTGCAGGGCAATATCTATGCTGACAGCCAGGGGGGCTGTTTGATGGGGCTACTGAACTGTACAGTGAGTTTTGACGATGCGAATGGATCCTCTGCTTATTGCACCACCTACGAAAGCGGGATGCGCACTGGAAGTAATAATAGCATATCATGCCGTATACGAGAGTTGAGCGATGAAGCCGCTTGTCTGTGGCGCTCCCGGACCTCAGCCCAACGACGGTTGCTGGTCGCTACAGATATGTAAAAATGGTGATGACGATCCTTTGTCGTCCTTTTTTCTACATGCTTCGTGTACAGACACCCACAAGCGGCTTCATCGGGGCACATTTGTGTTCACTCTTTCAACGTCGTTGTGGAGAGCGGGGACTGCGCCCGCGACCGCGGTATCAAAACAAAAAAATATTACCTTAGCATGCGAGATCCAGATCGGATAGAGAAGAACCTTCGGGCGGTTGAGGGAGGATTATTTTTGGGAAGTGAACGGAACGAGAGCATGACCCAAAACAGTAATACTGCAACCTGGACGATAACCCAAAGCAAAGAAAAGAGAGAACGTCGGTTCGAGAGTGCAACTCAGTCAATGAATTATGCGAGACGCCGCCCTAACGCCACCTGGACCGTGAGCGAGGCCTTGAGCGATGCGCTGGTGGGAAAGATTGATGGCGGTCATCCCAAAGGGGAAGGAACGCCTTTGACACTAATTGCCAACCATCCCTGCTTAGCTCCTTCCTCAAATCGACAAGGAACAAGGGGAAAACAACAATGGGCACCTTTCAGGGGTATTTTTGGGACACGCATGATGGCATTTGTAGCTGACACGCCAAGTGGTAGTGCAGTGGTACATGCAGATAGCCATGCTGATTTGACGCTTGTCATTCTGGGCCATGTCGTCCTTCTGCCCAGCGACTAGGCCCCAATTGCTACTCCGTATCAACCTCACCTCGGCCTCACCACAGCTCTATACTACGTACGACTTAACTACCTCTATACACTGCACACAGCAACAGGACGCCAGTGACACCCTTGCTACTGCTTCTCTCATGCTGCTGTTGCTCCTCACTGCCGGGTTCCCCCAAAATGGCATTAGCTAATGTCGAGACCTCGGTCAGGGTCCCCTGGTCTCCCCCCAGGCATCACTGCTGCACCTACCAATAACTCCAGCCTTGGCTTGACGGCTTGACGTCTACAGTGGGCGTACATGTTAGTGTGCGGAAAAGATGAAGCCCGATGAATCGTGAAATTGCTCAATTCGGATGAGGCCGAGCTTTCTAAGGACAGATTAGGATGGATCAATTCTCTTCTGGGGATGCCTTTGGCTGTCTTAGTTCTCCATGGACCCCGTCAAAGACCCTGTTAGGTTCTCGCCTCTCAATATATCGTCTGTGCATGTTAATTTTTTGAAAGCTGGGCTGATCGACCGCTTTTCCAATTCAACTGGCGCCAAGTCAGAAATTCCAGATCGCGCGCTGTCCAGGCAAAGGTAGCGTTCTTTTTGGCGTGCCACCGAGAGGTCGATGGAATTAGCTATCGCCCTCTTGATTGCACCTCTCTTTTTTTTCTCGCGTGTCACGACTAGACCGCACACCACACCCCCCATGTGGCCCATTGTGAGCCCCGGCCGGCCTGAGACTCCAGCAATGGAGACAAGGTTCAATCGGTCGATAGTTCGAGCTTCTTTTGTCTTTTGTTGGCCTGTCCTCAATGCCCCCTGCCCCTCCTCTTGGGGCTAGTATCAATTCCCACCCGCACTGTCTTGGGAAGCTTGCAGCCGCGCCTGGATCCCGATTTCACCTGTGCTCATGGCCGGGCTGAACATCATAAACACTGCCTCCCCGGCCTCGTGGTGGTCGTTTTTCCTGTCTTCACTACTCCCATCACATACACTCTCTCCTCCCGCCTGCACTACCAGTCGTTTGGTGCTGTGGAGGTTCGGTCTGCCTTGAAGCTCTTCCTTGGTTGTGAGTCCCTTAATCAACTCGTCCCGAGATATAACTGGCGAATGGACACCCATATCTAATTGATCAGCTACAGCTTCCATCAGATTTCTGCTCCAAGGTCTCCATTGGCTGAAGAGGGTAGTCGATCCCCATTCACCTCCGTCGTTCGCTTCTTCTGGAGTCGTCCTTTTGGAACTTTCTCTTCTTTTTTAATTCATTCGTTGCGATTGCCCGGAGGGCATCGTTTGCAACCGTCGTTGCTGTCCTGCGCTGTCAAGGCCAACCAGCGTCACGATGGGTCTCAAGAACTATCTGAAGTCCGGCAAGGGCGACAACAATAACAACAATGCCACACCAGCTGCTCCCGCGGAAATGACTGAGAAAACCGTGATTCCCCCGCCAGTTGCGGGCCACTTTGAACCTCGCGCTCCTGCTTTTGGTTCCTCGCGAGCATCGCTGGCACCATCCACCCGCAGCTCGACGATGCTTGACGACATCAAGCACGAGGTCATGGTCAACTATCTCTACCAGCAGCAGTGCAGCCGTCTCTGGGTCAGCGATGGTAGTGGTGAGATGGAGGGTGTGCTCCTCCGAAAGAGCAGAGGCAACTACATGGCCTGCCCACCCCAGCTCGCTCAGTCCTTGTTTGCTGCCGCCTGTGCTGCGCTCAACGTACAGGTGAGTTGATGAAACGAGCAAGTTTTGCGCACCCGAGACGTGAATGTTTTTGACTGACGAAAAACCTACTGCCAGGTCGCCATGACTGTCAACTCCCGTGTCATCAAGACTTTTCTGCAGTGGTCGCCTGACGCCGTTGACGTGCCGCTCATGAATGGTCTTCGCATCCAGATTCTCCCTACCATGGATGATCTTCCCCGTGCCCGCAAGCATCAGTTTGCCGCTTTTATTGCGTCCGAAGCCATCTTGGTTGTTTGGGATGACGAGGCCACCAATCTGGTTGATCGTGCTAAGCAGATTGAATCTGAGCTCATGGAGCTCGTGTGGAAGACTGGTGAGCCCGATGAGGATGCGGGTGAGAAGAAGATGCCCGAAGTCCGCGAGGTTGAGGTCGATGAGGAGAGCGGCGAGATCATTCCCGAGAAGCGACCTGTCAAGCTCCAGAACACTGTTCTCGTCTCGTTCACGCTCATTATCGTTGTGGTTATGATTGGCGCTGGTTTCCGACAGATTGCTATCGAGACTTCCGTCGATCACTCTTACCTTCGTCTGGCTTTCCTCGCTCTTACTCCTCTTCAGATCTTCTTCACCTTGGTAAGTGGTTTCTCTTCTATCTTTCTAGATCCGTTTCTGCTCCGTTTGCTGACTTGGCTGCTTTCTAGTTCTTTGCTCAGGTTATTGTTGGTTGTGTCGCCCAGTGCATCGGTCCCATCCGCCAGATGACGATGAACTCCAAGTTCTACTCTGCCCGCTTGCCCCCTCGTCTCACCAACCGCACTCTTCCCCACGTTACAATTCAGTGCCCGGTCTACAAGGAGGGTCTTCAATCGGTCATTGCGCCCACCGTCAAGTCCATCAAGCAGGCCATCTCGACCTATGAACTTCAGGGTGGATCGGCCAACATCTTCATCAACGACGACGGTCTCCAGCTGATCAGCGAGGAAGAGCGACGTGCGCGTATTGAGTTCTATGCTGACCACAGTATTGGATGGGTTGCTCGTCCCAAGCATGGCGAGAATGGTTTCACCCGACGTGGTAAATTCAAGAAGGTATGTATTATTTGTTTTTTTCTTTCTTTATTTCGCATCACGTTGGTGGCGCCTCGTCATGCCGTCATTGGGGCGCTCGAACGTAGCTGTACCGGCGCTTGTTTCAGAGCTAGCGAACAACACTTCCAAGAGTGGCGTCAAGAGATCTAGATCAACGGGGTCCTTGCGACAAATTGTTCCTGTGGTGCCGAAAATTTGATTTTGGCTAACTGGTTTGTTTTTTCTACTCTCTAGGCCTCCAACATGAACTTTGGTCTCATGATCTCGTGCAAGGTTGAGGAGAAGCTCACTTTGATCGCTCGCCCTGATGACTGGACTCAAGCCGACGAGGCTCAAGCTTATGAGCGCTGCCTCAAAGAGGTCGTCGAGGAAGATGGCCGCGCCTGGGCTGACGGTAACATTCGTGTTGGTGACTACATTTTGCTGAGTAAGTCACGTGATTTTCGAGATGATTATTTTACAGTCTTGAACAATATCTGACCTGGGGATTTTCTTTCTAGTTGACTCTGATACTCGTGTTCCCTCGGATTGTCTGCTTGACGCTTGCAGCGAAATGGAACAGTCGCCTGAAGTCGGTATTATGCAATTCTCTTCTGGTGTCATGCAGGTCGTCCACACCTACTTTGAGAACGGTATTACATTCTTCACCAACTTGATTTACACTGCTATTCGGTACACTGTCTCCAACGGTGACGTTGCTCCTTTTGTCGGTCACAATGCCATTCTCCGGTGGTCTGCTATTCAGCAGGTCTCGTACGAGGACGATGATGGATATGAGAAGTTCTGGTCCGAGTCTCACGTGTCTGAGGACTTTGACATGTCTCTTCGTCTGCAGGTCAACGGCTACATTATCCGTCTTGCTGCTTGGGCTGGAGAAGGTTTCAAAGAGGGTGTCTCGCTCACAGTCTACGACGAGTTGGCTCGTTGGGAGAAGTACGCCTACGGTTGTAACGAGCTTCTCTTCAACCCCATCCGTGTCTGGCTCTGGCGTGGTCCTTTTACTCCCTTGTTCCGCAGCTTCCTCTTCTCCAACATTCGTTTCACCTCCAAGATTACCATCATTTCGTACATTGGAACCTACTATGCTATTGGGGCCGCCTGGATCATGACCACTGCCAACTACTTTGCCATGGGTTGGTACAATGGATACCTCGACAAGTACTACATCGACTCGTGGAAGGTCTGGTTCTCCATTGTCATTGTCTTCAACGGTCTCGGAAACATTGCCTTGGCTATTATGCGGTACCGTGTCGGTGAAAAGTCCTTCCTTGCAGCTCGTAAGTCCATCTTTGAATCTGTCTATACTTGAATTTTTCTTGAGTGCTAACGATACCGCCCTTTTTTTAGTGGTTGAAAACTTCAAGTGGATCATCATGCTTGCCATCTTCCTGGGTGGTCTCTCGCTTCACGTCTCTCAGGCTCTGCTCGCTCACATGTTTGAGATTGACATGACCTGGGGCGCCACCTCCAAGGAAGCCGAATTCTCCAACTTCTTCATTGAAGTGCCCAAGGTGCTCAAGCGATTCAAGTTCTCCATGACCTTTGCCCTCATCGGCATTGTCGGCATGATCATCCTCGCCACGGGCCCCTTTATACCGTACGACTGGAAGATTACCGACTTTGTTGCCATTCTGCCCATGGCCACTGTCACGGTGTCACACTTGCTTTTGCCCGTTGCCCTCAACCCCGCCCTGATGACCTTTTCGTGGTAGTCCTCGCCAGCATCCGCATGGGTCATTTGTTTTCTTGTCTTGCAAAAACCACTCCCCCTTTTTAATCCTCTCACGCCTCCATCACTACATTCCTTTTCTTTTTTTAATCTTCTTGACGATCCTTATGACATAAGTATGCTCTTCGAGATGTGTCCTCTACGGCTTCTCACTCGAAAACTTGTTACATACTATTTTTTTTTTTAAGGTGGACCCTTTTTTTTTTCTAAACCAGGTCCATCCCTCATATACCATCTACCGTGGTTTGGTGTTTTGTCTTTTGGGGTCTATTTTTCTTATCCGCCTTTTTTTAATAACTTTTTTTTTTCTCTCTCCATCCCATGCTTTCCGGAGCTGGGTGACATCCTTTTGATATCAATTACTGGGTCTGAATGAAATGAAGAATGGTCACAAGACGGATCAACGGGAGAGGGTCCCTGGGGATTTTTTATATATATACATACCTTGGTTATAATTATAGATTGCATTGTTTCTTATTTTAATTTAAACTTAAATTTATATTAATCCTTTTAAGTTAATCATTTCAAATCATTCTTTGAAATTATCTTTCTTCTTTCAATTTTAACGTGTTCTACCGACTGGTCCAGCCTCTCCTTTTTTCTCTCCCTTTGACTGTTGTTTGTAGTCGGATTCATTTGCATTAGTGTTCGGAGTTCCCCTGTCTTTTTTGTTTTTTTTTCCCTCCTTTTCTTTTCTTTCTTTTCTAATTTCCTTTATACAAGGTCCATTTTTCAATGTGTATATTCTTTTTTTTGGTCTAAGATTCCATTTGAGTCTTGACCTTTTATTTTTATTTTTGTTTTATTCTTCTTCTTCTTTGAATCATGTCCACGTTTTTTCTTTTTACTTTCATTTTTATTTTTATTTATTTTTATTTTTTTATTTTAAATTGGTTTTTTTTGCTTATGCCCGTATTTCTTCCTATTCTTTTTTAAAGGGTAGTACCCGACTGAATTTTGACAATTTCGCAACAGGCAGCTCGGGCTACTTAGCCGGCCAGTGGCCGCTGTACAGTTTACAGTATACAGTATACAGTGTACAGTATACAGTGTAAATTACTACATTCTACATTCGAAAATCTACATTCTGCATTCTGCATTCTGCATTCTGCATTCTGTCGCGGACTCGTGCGCCTCCATATCCACAGTCAATAGTTTATAAAAGTATTTTCTTTGTTTGTTGTTAAATATATATGCATGCATCCATGCATGGATGGATGATGGATAGATGGATGATGGAAAATGGATGGATGTACGACCCACAGACCAGCGGAACGGCAGAAGGGCAAACTAGCGGACAGACAGTTGAGAGCTAAAGGTGAGAAGTGAGAAATAAGGGATGAATTATGAAATAAGAGAGACGACATAAGGGACGAAAGATCGGATAATTCACCCTCCTTAAGTCCACATCCACGGGAGTCATTTTTACTCAGGCAGGCAGATAGGTAAACCTTAGATAGGTAGGTAGGTGGGGTACTAATATATAAAATATTGAAAATTCCAGCTCTCCTACTTTTTTTTAATATAGATCGAGAAAAAAAATATACATCAGTGGACTTCTAACTGTCGTACAAGAATCACTTCTCGTACCTCTCTCCAAAAAATAAATGTGGGGCTGTCAGTCACACGCCCCTGCTCAGTAGCTTCTAGCAGCTAAGCATTTCTTTCTACTTGGTGTATTTGTATTTAAACCATAGAGGGAAAATGGAAAGAAAAGGGAAGCAGATGAGTAAAGAGGATAAAGGAGATAAAAATGGAAAAAGGGAGAAAAAGAGGTTATAGTGGGGGAAAAAAGTCTACTCCGCTCCTCATTGATACATTATTATAACTTTTTTTTTTTTTAATTTTTTAGGTGGGTTTAGTCCAAGGGAATACCGGCGTATTCGTCGTAGCCGAGGGCAAGGTTCATGTTTTCTGTGTTGCAATCACTTGTTAGCATCTCCAGGCAAGGAACAGATTAAAGAGATAAATGGAGGGGCATACGTAAGCATTGGGTGGCGGCGCCCTTGAGGAGATTGTCAATAGTGGCACAGACGACAACACGCTTGCCGCTAGAGTGGACGGCGAAACCGCCAACCTGGACGCCGTGCTTGCCGGAAATGTTCTTGACCAGCGGGGGCTCGCCAACGACCTTGATGAGCTTCTCGCCGGCGTACCGCTCCTGGTAGAGGTTGCGAATGTCACGCGAGCTCATCTCCTGCTTGAGAGGGATGCTAATAGTGTGCTACACGGGGAAAAAACCAGTTAGAGATAAAAATTTCAAAATGGGGACGGGCAGTTGTACGTACGGTGATACCCTGGAACCAAACGGCGACGTGGGGCATAAAGGCAACGTCCACACCGAGCTGGCTGGAAATTTCTCGCTCGTGAATGTGGTCAGTCAAGCTGTAGGGGATAAGGTTGTTGGTAAGGTAGTTGACATCGTTCTTGGGGCTGGGCTTAGTGCCGGCGCCAGAGTATCCAGACACACCAAAGACGCTGGGCTGGCCGCCGAGGTGAGACACCAGAGGAGAAATGGCAACCTGAGCAGCGGTGGCGTAGCAGCCGGGGTTGGCAATGCGCGTGGCACGAGCAATCTCGGAGCGAGTGATGAGTTCAGGAAGACCATAGGTCCACTTGTCGTCGAAGCGGTAGTCGGCGCTGAGGTCGACAATAACGCTCTTCTTCGAGCCCTGGTCCACGGCGTCGACAAACGGCTTGCACACACCGTTGGGTAGCGCCATCACCCAGCAGTCAACTTCGCCCTTCTCTTCCATCTTGCGCACATCCTCGGCTGAAAGGTTCTCGTAGATAATCTCCCGCTTGTCGTAGCCCTGGAGCTTCTTGCCGGCAAGCTCGCGGGATGACACGTGGCGGAGATCAATGTGAGGGTGGGCATTGAGCAAGTTGATCAATGCCTGGCCAGTGTAACCACGAGCGCCGATCAGCGCGACCTTGGCAGGGCGAGTGTTGGAGGCATTCTTGGCGCCCAACGGAGGGTTGGGGTTCGTAGTGGCGTAGCCGCGGCGGGCAGAAGAAGCAGAAGAAGCAGAGAAGACAGGGCGGGCGTTGTTGGCAAAGGGTCGGCCAGCGTTGCCAAGGCGAGCAGAGAAAGAGTAAGAAGTGGGATAGCTGGCGGTAGAGTAGGAACGCTTCTGCTGCACACTCCCGGCTGATTGGGCCGCATTGGCGGCGGCGGCAGCGCGGTTGGCCTGGAAGAGCTGGGACTCAAGGTTGTAGTCACCAAACATTTGACGGCCATGCTTGCCGAACTCGGTCATCAACTCCTTGACCTCGTCGGCGCTGTCGACGCCGTACCAGAAGAGCACCTCGCCCTCCCGAGAGAGGCTGCCGTCAGCCTTGTCAAAGAACCAGGTCAGGTTCTCGTCATCAGCCTTGACGGTCCAGGCAAGCTTGGGAAAGTCCTGCTTGAGGTTCGAGAAGACATTGTCGGCCACATTGGTGAGCCATCCGGACTTGGTAATGGTGAACGTGGCGAGGTGGGCAAGAGTGGCGCCCGGGTTCGGCGGCAGCACAATGGCGAGTGCATCCATGGGCTCATCAAAGTAGGCCTTGAAGTCCCGCTTCTCGAGGCCCTTGACGTAGCGGTCAACAGTGGCCTGGGCATCAAGACCCTCGCGGTCACGGACCAAGACGTCCTTCAAAACCTCTACGTCCTCAAAGTCGGAAATGGCCGACTTGACGTTGAGCTTGTTACCACGGCGAATCAGGGTGCCAGCACCCGTATCGGTGAACAGCTCCTTTTGAAGATCGGCAGGATGAATAATGGCCACGCTCGACGTCTTGGGGAGATCGGTAAGGAGTTCCTTCATCTCCTTAATCTTGAGACGGGTGCCGTAACGGACCCACCACAGAGACATCAAGTGGTCGTACTCCTCGTCCAGGTTGATGGCCGAAATTTTCTCGTTCGTGTCGCCGTTGAAGAGACCGCCCTTTTCGGAGAGGTAGACAATCTTGAGCGGCTGCAGGGAACGGGCGAGCTCACCGGCGGCGACGTCGGCATTGACGTTGAGGACCTGTCCGTCGGGCGTCTCGGCCATGGACGTCAAGATGGGCAGGCAGCCGGCTTGGATGGCGGCCTCAATGGGGTTCTTGTCGACGCTGTTGATCTTGCCAACGAGCTGGTACTTTTCCTTGTCGAGGTAGTCGGCGGAGAAGACACCCGAAGTGATGGGCCGGGCGCGGACGCCCATGCGCTCGAGCGCCTCAACCAACTTCAAGTTCTCTTGGAGGAACAGCTGACGAGCGACACCAAGCGTCTTTCCATCGGTAACACGAATACCCTCCTCAAAGTGTGGCTCGACACCGGCCTCCTCCAGGAGCTTGTTCAATTGAGGACCAGCACCGTGGACAACGACAGGGTAGAGGCCGATATGGTTCAGGAAGGCGAGAGCAGAGGAGAGCGTGTGCAAGTGATCGGTAATAATGGCACCGCCCACCTTGATAACGGCGAATTGCTGCGAGGAGACGGAGCTGAAGTGTGAAAGATACTGCTGCACTTCCCGCTTGGAGCCAATGTTACTCAAGAGTTGAATCACGGTGGAGCGAGTAGACAAGGATTGGGTGTCTGCGGGCGAGGAATAGTGACGACGAGAGCTGAGCTGGGGTGCAACAGCACAGGCCCGAGGCACACGAGCAGAGGCACGCAGCAATGAGCTACGCTGACCGGCAGCCCGCACGCCGCGAGCTGCCACAGCGGCAGAGCAACGAAGGGAGAGCATCGCCGTCTCGGTTTAGACCTGGAGAATCATGCGATTAGTTCTCCCTCTCAGTACGTGGATAGAGCACTGTGAAGGATGAGGAATAACAAATTTACCTCTATGATGGTGTTGATGATATGATGAACGAGAGCCTGAGTGTAAACTGGGCACAGAGACCCTCCGGTGTTCGCCCGAGAGAAACCTTGGCGGACCCTATCTGTGGGGCCGAAATATTATCTTAGAGGACTGACTCAATATCGCGTGTGTGGGCGAGGCCCCGTCCCAAGGTGCCCGCAACGTTGTAAAAGCAAAATGGACCGAGCAGACCGTCTCGACAGACAAGATGCAAGAAAATTGGAAGAGAAAGAGAAAGAGAATCAGGAAAAAGAAGAAAATGTGCAAAAAGGACAAAAGTGGGGGAGACAGGAAAATGCAGAGGCCGTTGTGACTGACGTTTGGTGAGGTCTCGGCGGTTTTGATCTTTTCCCCGGTCACTCTTTCTTCGTCTTCTTCTTCCTCTTAGCGAACAGCAGAGACAGGGACTTCGTTCTTCCTCGCACTTTTCCCTTCCCTCGTTCCCCCCTCAAAACTCTAACAAAACTTCCGTTATCGCAACGACTGATCCTCTCTAATTTAGTTTAGCTGACTAGCACACATGTGTCATTCTAACTTCCCTTTCTCCGTCTCAAAACCCCCACGTAGGCCAATAAATGACCACGAGATTTCAGAACCCTTCCCTTGGTTAACGCTTAACGTTTATATGCAGCATCTTGTATCATGCAAAAAAGAAAAAGAAAAAGGACAAGGAAAAAGAAGAAGAGAAAGTAGATTCAATTGATCAGAATTTCTTCGATTACGGGAGATTAATAATTCTATCTTTGACTTCCTACTACTCCGAATCCGTGTCTTATATGACATGGGCCATGTACATGTCTCTCGAGACCAATTAGCAGTCACTCGCTATCAATACCAAGGTAATTGCTCTACCCTACGTCGCTGCCACCTTTACACAACCTATCGGAGGAAGAAGAGTCATTGGACATCACCAGCATGCATTCTCCTGATTACATGAAACGTTTGGCGGTTTAAGCTTAAGTATATTAAACAATCCATTGCATGTCTAAATCATCATAGAATGTCGACGACGCATGTCGGTAAGGATATGATGGAAAGAAAAGCGTGATACTTCGTACACGGATAAACTGGAGCAAGGACGAATCCTGCGCGGTCATGATCAGACCGCCATAGAAGGAAAAGATTCGATAGGTCGTGAAGATAAAAGCTAAAGATGGGGAAAAAGAGTATTATTAGGTAGAATGTGAACAACTCCCAACGCTGCCTGGTACCGGATGCACGGTGGCATGGAATCTCGTGAATCGAAAATTTAAACACAACGTGAAAAAATGCCCAGCCTGGTATGAAGATGGGCCATCTCCGACAGAGTTAATGTTTCAAGTTTCGGATGCGTTTTAAGCCTTTGCTTCCGGTCATAGGAAGATCTGGCTAGAAGCTAAGATTGCGCTTAATGCTTGGTGGCAACGACTGTATGTCATCAGTCTCCAGATCTGATTGAATCGGGCTTGAGCAGGATTAAAAAAGGGTCATAACATACCGGCAGGAACGATGATAACCACCAAGAGCAGGATAATAGCGACAATCAGACAGACTCGCATCCGCATGTCCTTCAACCACATCCGCTTCCGGACACGGTTGGCTCCACGACGAAAACCTTGAGAGGATGTGTGCAAATCATCGGTCTTGGTTGCCAGTGAATCGAGATGTTCTCCACGCTGCGTTGTCTTGTTGATGTTCTCTCTCATCACACCCAGGACATCTTTGACTTGCTACAGATGGCGCAACCAGTCAGCAAATCAAACATCTCTTCATAAATATACAATCGCAATACATGTGCTGGATCAAAGCAGCTGGTTGATCGGACAGAATCTGCCGACAAAGGAATCATTGCTGCCTGCGCCAAGCAACTAACAATCGCTATCCAGCATCAAAAATTCAACAAACAGAAACGTACATCCTGGAGCTGCTCGGTACGGGTTCTACCGGCATCATGTTGCGCCGCGCTTCCGCCCGCGTTGTTGCCGGAGGGAATATAAGGATCGTAAGGCTGGCTGTGCTCGGCCATGATCGCTCAGGGTGCGCGGAGGCCTGCTTGACAGTGGGAATCGGATCTCTCTGTCGTAAGAGAGGAGTGGTCTGAAGAAAGGCGGAGCGCGAAGCTGAGAGTTCGAAATGAGGGAAGGGTTGCTGGATGGGGATTGTGATGATGATGGAGTGGCAATGAAGTGGACGTTGGCTGGAAAGGTGACAAGTGATGATTGCTGGCTGAACTTGACGGGTAATAATGGGTGGCTTGGCGAGCGACGACAGCTGGGGGAACTAGAACAGTGAGAGCGACTCCAAGTCTCTGCAGTCTGCTACATAGCCACCTCTTTTCCCACCTACCCTACGTAAGCGGGCGGCAAAATCGGTGAGCAGCAAGAAAGAGAGCCGTTATTATCTCAGTGACAAGGATCTTTCGGAGCATTTTGCGAACTATCAATTAATCACAGTTCAAAGGAAATAGTACGTCACTTCTACCATTCACATCTGCATGAATAGAACATTTGGATTTCTTTTATTCAATCATTGCTCAAATATAATGTTCTTACAAGTGATGCATTTTAGAGAATGTGAAAAGGGGCGGATATGAAGTAGAGATACTTTAACCAGTATCTATAAACTGGGACAATGAAAGTACTCGTACCTTGCCATCTTTGGAGGTTAAGCCGGGCCGGAATTGGCCGAGGATTGAGAGGAATACCACAGCGCTGTACAGAGGTACTGTGAGGTATGCTATGATTTAAGGTATAACTGCACACGGTACAGAAGGATTGCAAAGTTGATGCAGCTGCAAGGATGATGAGCCCCTTGGGTGTCTGGAGTGCAAGACTCGAACTCCTTCATCTCATCTTCTGCAGAGACACGTCTGAAACTTATTGTCGCGTTACAGGATCGTGGCTGAGGGGAGCACGAGAGGTTAAAAAGGGAAATGCCGCTTGCGCAAACCCTTTGGAGCTAAGCTATTTTAGGAAAATTGGACGCATTTTGTTCCCGACCAGAGGCGAATAATTGACGTAAAATACCACCGTTAGAGGAGCGAGAAGGAGACAGAAGGCATCGTCAAAGAAATTAGAGGTACCCTGGGAAAGGAAGACCGCGACGATGATGATGATGATGAGGATGATTTGTATTAATCAAATTTCCTCAAACACTGCCACGATGATTCTCAAGCTACTTTGAACTACTAACAGAAACCGTCTCATAAGATTTCCCAAAAAGAATGAACCCGTATCCGTATTCAGTTGGCGGCTCGTGACCCCTTTAGTACTTGGAGCATTCTCACCCTCTCGCTCCTTGGGTTCGCCCACCCCCCATCACCCCCCCCTTCGACCCTTGGACCCCAAGCAGGGCAACGTCAGCCGCGATCCCGCTCTTGCTAGACCCCCGGTTCCCTTCCTTCTCCTTCATCTTGTTCCTGAACCGTATTTTCTCCCCATCGTGAGACCTGGTCAAGAGAAATTCTCCCCCGACTCTTGACGACCTCTCTATACACATATCTCCTACAGGCAGTCTGGGAGTTCGGATTGTGTGTCCTGGACAGCCAAACCGATCTCTTGTCGATCCGTCGGCGGCCGCTCGCTCTACCCCACAAACTCTCTCCCGACTGGGCATCGACTGCGACATTCGTTTGGAATCGTGAAGCACCATTTGACTCTTTATTCGGGGCTCATCGACACTTACGTCCTTAATCCGATCGTGTTTTCTTATTCTCGGGTTTATCTCAACGGTCGACTGTATTTCATACCGCTTTCTTTAACCGTTACTTTCGCATTCATTCTCTGTCGACAACCGCTTTCATCTTCTGCAATCATACAATAGAGGTCCCTGTTTTATAATCTCGCTCTCCCTCAATCAACCTTGATACTACGACAACAGGACTTTCTCGAAAGAATAATACGATAATGAGACTTTTCAGCTCAATATGCGCCCTCACATCGGCGGCTCTACTGGGGTGCAAGGTCGTCAACGCCATTTCACTTGATTTAAATGACGATAGTACGTAAACTCCTGATAACCGTTTCACATGGAAGCATGATTGTTTGCAGAAGCACAGAGCTTTCAACCAAGGAAAAAGTCTTTTGTGGGCACAATGCTAACTCTGGATACCGCCGCAGCGTCGATCAAGAACGCCGCCGCAACTGTGGCATATGGAATGATGAAATACTACACTGGTAATCATACGGGTGACGTCGCAGGCAACCTTCCAGCACCGTACTACTGGTGGGAAGCTGGTGCTACATTCGGCGCTATGATTGATTACTGGTATTACACTGGCGACACTTCCTACAACGACGCCGTGACCGAGGCCATGTTGCATCAGGCAGGCCCAGACAACGATTACATGCCAATTAACCAGACAAAGACCGAGGTACGAAGGGAGCTGTGGATGCCTATTCGCTGCATAAACATAAGGGACCAGTTCACTAACATCTTTTTCTTCGCCGGTTTAGGGTAATGACGATCAAGGCTTCTGGGCTCTCGCTGCAATGTCCGCTGCCGAGAACAAATACCCTGATCCTCCGGCTGACCAGCCTCAGTGGCTTGCACTCGCTCAAGCGGTGTTCAACGAGCAGGCATCTCGTTGGGATCCCTCTACTTGCGGAGGTGGTCTCCGATGGCAAATTTTCTCGTTCAACAACGGTTACAATTATAAAAACACCATCTCGAATGGCTGTTTCTTCAATTTGGCTTCGCGCTTGGCCAAATATACCGGCAACAAGACGTACTCTGACTGGGCGGCCAAATCGTGGGATTGGTCCTATAGCGTCCAGCTGATCAGCTCCGACTACCACTTTTTTGATGGAACGGACGACACCATCAACTGCTCACGTGTGGACCATTTGCAGTGGACTTACAATGCTGGAGTGTACCTTTTGGGTTCGGCGGTTATGTGGAACTTTGTAAGTTGGCTTTGAAATTTGCCTTTTTTTTTTGCTTTCCCTCTTGGAGTCATAAGCTAATGGCGTCAAGACCGAAGATCAAGTTTGGAAGGATCGCGTCAATGGCATCCTCAATGCCACTGACATCTTCTTCCAAACCAACCCTGCAAATGTAATGTACGAGGTGGCCTGCGAGCCCCAGAACACCTGCAACACAGACCAGCGATCGTTCAAGGCATACCTTTCGCGATGGATGGCGGCCACCACGAAAATGGCACCCTGGACCACCGATTATATCATGACCAGGATCAATGCATCTGCTCAGGCAGCAGCAGCACAATGTAACGGAGGTACAGACGGAGTCACTTGTGGCCTGAAGTGGACCCAATCTACATGGGATGGGCAGTACGGTGTCGGTGAACAGATGAGCGCCTTGGAGGTCATTCAGTCAACGTTGATTGGCAATGCTCCCGTGCCCGCGTCCAACATGACTGGAGGTACGAGTAAAGGCAACCCATCTGCTGGCAGCGGCGGTAGCGGTGGCAGCAGCAACGGTGGTGGGTCTTCAGGACTTCCCGGCGAATCGAACAAGCCCATCACAACGGGTGACAAAGTAGGTGCTGGTTTCCTCACGGCTTTTGTCCTGATTGGCGTCATTGGCGGCGCCTTGTGGATGATCGTTTAACGGTTTGCGTTTGCATATTTTTTTTTTTTCTTTTTCTTATATTCCTCTTTGCAATTTCCGTACATTATCCCCTTCGGTAACCTACCCTGCTCGCCGTCTTGGGTTTGGTTCAGGTACATTTGTCTGCCATATCGATTTGGTTTGTGGATACCTTTGAATATCACCTCGCCTACAGCTCTCATGCCCACTATTCGGACAATTTCCACCTCGACTATTCCATCACTATTCATTTCTCTCGGGCCTCATTTATTCAAATGAGCTATGGCGTGTGTCCACTCGGTTGTCTGTTCCGTTGTGCTTTACTGGTACGGCGCGGTCGGTTAGCTACAAAGTCTTTTCTTCTCCTACTTTTCACTTACACAACCTTTCCGCCGTATTCCACTGACTAAAACATGGTCCTTTTTTCTTTCACTGGAGAGCTTTTTGAGGCTCTAAAATAAGCTGTCTTTTGATTTCCATCTAGAATCTCTCACATTCTTTTGCGCTGCACTCGCCGTGGTGTTAAGTTTCATCATTGTTTTTGGCATTTTACTGTATCTCCTACCCGGCGTATTGTCCGTATATACATTCCAATCCCAATAGCCTGTCGAATCGGCTTCTCGATTGTCGGGGCACTTGTTTATCGCGTACGTGTTCTACGGCCGATCTATAACCTTTCACTATGCAGGAAAGTCGGTCCGTTCACCATCTGTGCCTTGTGCCCTGCCGTCCTCTTCATCTTCATAAAACTCTATGCCTTTGAACGAGATGTATATCCTACGTCAATGTATCCTTCCGCCTCATTCTCACATTCCCCTATATCTTCTTTTCTACAGAGGGAAGACGAAAGAAGGAATTGTTGGCTCTCGTTGACCGCCCGCAAAGCGAACAAAGAAACGGATGGGTGTACGGCATGCACGTCTCTGCTAAGCTTGAATATTCCCGTCTTCAAAAATCTGTTTGCTAACACTGACATGTATCGCTCTGTACTCCTTCTCGCAACTCTACTGTCAACCACTTAGTTGCAGAGTTATCCTGTTTGTTCCACTCGTCTTTTCGACCTCCTCATCAGATCGACAGCCGGCGGCCTCACTTTTGAGACCTTACCCTTCCTCTGAATCGTCCTTCTCCTATTATTCGTCATCAAACTACAGACTTCGGTGCCTGAATCATCCCCTAAAAGCTGAGGCTCGAAACCTGCTATCTGACTTGCTTCAACGACCTCAAAGTTCTTCCTCTGATTTCTCAATTTTCTGACACTCTGGAAAAGACAAAATGAGACGGAGAAGAAAAGGAGTGAGCTAATGCAGATTGATAACAGACATCACCGGTATCACTCGCCGCTACGTCTACTTCAGAGTACACAGTTCAGCCACAGTCCCAAGCGGCGAATGCGTCGTCGATGATCAAATCTGGCGGGGTCAGAACTGCACACGGTATTGAGTTCTGGGCAATCAGAGCTGCACCAGCACTTTCATGCTTGTCGATGCTTCTGCTGCTGCTGGTATCGCTGAAAGTACTGGCCGCGTTTTAGGGATGGGACGGAGTCTTTGAAAGCTCATTGGCGGGGATGAACGCGTATAAATGGATAGGAGTGGCATGTGGCAACATATCGAATGCAACGGGCACTCGGTGTTGCTACTGTCTCGCATATCTCATTACGGTTTCTGGCTTCTGATTTCCAGCCTGTTGATTCTGTTGGTTTCTCGATTTTTTTGCGCCTTGGCATGGCTCACGCAGTAGGAAGCATGGATGAATGGATTGAAGACAAGCAAAAATCTAGCATGGTGAGCATTGAAGGCATGGATAGCCGGTACAATAAAGCATAGCATGGCATCTCTCATGGCATTTTATCAAATTGTGGGCATATCATGTCGTTTAGGCCACGGGCACTTTATAGCACAAACGCACAGCATACAAAGGTACCTAAAAAATTTTTTCTTCCCCCTCTTTGATTCTTCGCCCAATATGATTCTTTTTATCATTCATCCTGTATTTTTACAAGTCCTGTCTGCTTCTATTTGTGCTGTATTGTTAGTTTGAGCAGTTAATAATTAGATTGCTGTGGCTTCTCAATTGAACATCTTAGGTAGGAAGATGAAGAATGCCATGATGAAACAAGTCTGAATAAAAAACATTACTTGTTAAATGGAGTAATAAACATAATAGCAATTTTGGACGTTGAGTGATGGAGCTTGAGCCGTTTGGAATATGAATCTAATGGGACGTTCTTCTGGCCAATTGGATTCACCGCTCTCGGAAGGGCGGACCGACAAAGTCGAGCCTTGCGACGTCATAGCTGACTGGGGTTCCCTAGCGACATCGAACCATTCTTCAACCACCTGTGTCATCAACAAGAGCTGTGTAATACATATCTTTTCTGCAATTCTTTTCTCCTAAGCAATTGGCTTTTGTTGGCTTAATTGCATACTATTTTCCTCTTCGTGCATTGTCAAGGTACAGTTACAGAACGCACAGCAGCACTCATTCAATTGCCAGGTTCGCACAGTCACTAATATTTTTGATGTATTTCGCGCAGATTGGATTTTGCTATTCTGACAAACATCATTACTTAATTCATCCGTTTGAGCACGCGCTGCATACTTCACAATGGGTCTCATCAAGAGCCTGGCCAAATTGACCGTCTACGGTGGTGCTGCCACGACTGGCGGTTTCTTTATTTGGACGCGAAACTCGCAATTCGTGCCATTCTCTACTTCGGATGCGATCTTTCAGTCTGCCGCATATAACAAGTACAACCCAGAGAAGAACCCTACCATGCATGACTTGTGCGTTCGACGGGTCCCTCTGTCGAAGATCAAGCCAGAGCTGCAGCAACCCAATGGCAAGCTGGTAGAGCAATTCTGCGCTGGCGTGTGGAGCGGAAAGGGTGAGTCTCTATATCATGGTAGAGATAGATTTGTGCTTTAATGGGCGCTTCAAGAGTCATGTCTTGCTGATATATATCGTCTCGGACTCTCTAGGCTACACTATTCAGCGCGAGATCCTTGCACGGAAATACAGAGGACCCGAAACTGCTCACCAGCTCTGGACTCCGTCAGATCTCAAGGCCTCAACTTACCCTGTCGGTACTCAGATTACCGATCACTTTGAAGTCCTCGAGCACACTCCCGAGAGTATTGTCGTACGATGTGGCGACTCGCCCCGCAAGACCGAAGTCCGTCCCGGCGATGGCCTCTTCGAGATTGGTGCCAAGGTCCTTGAAAAGGAGGGCGTGGCTGAGTTTACGCTCAAGAGTGTCTTCTACCAGGGCCTCGGCAAGGCATCGGGCCCGCCCATGCCAGATTATATTGTATGGCTTCACAAGCAGTACACGAAGCTGTGGATGGAGACGGCCATTTGGAACGTCACTGCCTAATTCACACCCTCACGTGCAATAGCGAGCGGAAACGATTCTCGTGATCAAGACCGGGCATATGGAGCATACATCTACCTATTGATGTGATGGATACCCGCGTAATTGAGCGTTATGCAATTGGTGGAATCTTTGGCCGTGAGCTTCGATTCTGAAATTGCCCTCCGTATCTTCTTGGAAACGGGTTGGATTTCCCTTCAAATCTCAATCCGTTCATGGATACCTGCTCCGCCAAAGTGGAGGAAGGTTCGAGGTTTATTTGGCCTAGATGAAGACGAGCAATTGGTTATCTTCGACCACCAATTTGCGGAACACCACGAAAAAATAATGCTCGGGACAGTAAATATTTGTAAAACAGCTTACGGATTTTCTCTTGTATATAATTCGAAAGGGCAATATCAAGCACTTATTTTCACTTTTGCAAATATTCCAGGCAGCCTTTCGTCTTTTTTGATCGTCTTACCTCCCAGGAATTCCCCTACACGGCCAAGTCCAAAACAAAACTACGATACCCAAGCACTGCCAAACGGCACCAGGCTGGCTTTTGTCACACGGACACTTCCTTGCCCATCCGCCACGACCTGGACCTGATTACTCTGGACATATTTAGGCCAGACCCATGCGGTCAACGAGACGCCTTCTGCCGAGAAAACTTCGAGACTAGAGCGGTCCATTAAGAGCGTCAAGCTGAGTGTATTCGACGAATCCACAATGACCGGCGCGCTCCACGTTCCTGGCCATCCATACGAAGAAGCATGAGTCGTATCTAACGTCAGGGTCTCCGTGGCCTTATTATACGTTACCAAGACAGCATCGCTACCGCCCGACGCCGCTACACCAAAGACCTTGACGGTAATAATATTCGCGCTGGTACTGGCCAGATCAAACGTCACCGTGAACTGCGCCTGGTTGGAAGATCCAACAGTCCAGCTGCTTCCAGCAGAGACATCTTTTGTCTTGCTCGTTCCACCAATCTGGCTTCCAGACGCCAAGCTCGAAATCTGGGCAATCGGTCGACTGCCCAATCCGCCATCGGCCTTGAGGAAGAGTTCACGCGTGACTCCCTGCGCGCCAGCCCAGCCATTGAGCCTGCTTACAAAACGGGCATTCTGATCCCAATTACCCATCCAGCCAATTGCCAAGACACGACCTCCTCCTCCACCTCCTGACGATGCCGACGCCGACGTCGACTTCTGTGCCGGCGGCGCAACACCACCTTCCTGATAATACTGCGCCGCATAAAAGTCCGGTCCGTAATCCAACAGACCAACTTTCTCAGACTGGAACGTCGTGCCATCAAACGTGCCCACCTCGTACCAATTCTTCTCATTCCCACCGTAAAACAGCGCCCACTTGGTCGTCTTGCCATCTGCAGATGTAATGGGGAAGAAGTTCGGACACTCCCACATTGCTCCCCGCGAGCCATCCCCTTGATATAGCACGCCCACATAATCCCATGTCGTCAGCGACCCCGCCGCTGCAAACAACTGCACCTTCCCACCCTTGTCATTATCTCCCGACCCCACGACCATCTTGTACCGATTATCGCCCGCGTCATAAAACACCTTTGGGTCACGGAACCCATTTCCCGAATCCGCGGGGGGCGTCGCAATTATCGGGTTCGTGCTAGTATTTCCGCCGTCGCCGCCCCCGCCCCCGCCAGCAGACGGATACACAAACGTCGTCCCGTCCCCCGATGTCGCCGTCCATACCGTCTCGGGCGTCGCTCCCGGATGATGCGTCGTGTCAGTAAACTCTGTAAACACGAGCCGCAGCGAACTGTCTTTTGGATCCGTCACCGCCGAGCCCGTAAACCGCCCGCTCGTGTCAGTCTTGTCCGTGTCATAATACGGCGGATACAGCGCCACGGGTAAATTCCGCCAATGCACCCCGTCGCTGCTGTCCGCGTGGGACCAGTGCATGGGGCCCCATACCGCCTCCGCGGGGTTATATTGGCTGAACAGGTGGTGCCGATTGTCTTTGCTCCATTTGATCAGCCCCGCCGGGTCATTGATCCAGCCTTGGTACGGCGTGTAGTGGTATTGCGGCCGCAGCGCGTCGTTGGAGAAGAGGCTGATTTGGGATTGCGTCCCGGATGCGGTGTTGGCTTGTCCGATGACGTTGAATGTCAGTTTTGTCGTTTTCCCGTTGTTTTTGCTCTCGTTGTCGTTCTCGTCTCGTTTGTCGTTTTCTTTGCTGTCGTTGTTATTTTCTGTTGAGAATTCAGAGGCAGAAACACCAGAGGCAGCAGCAGCAGCAGCAGCAGCAGAGACAGTCACCGTATCCCCCAGCGCCGCACACCCAACCCTTACATCATCCACATTAACATGCCCCCACGCCGCCGTCGCATTATCATACACCACGAGATGCACATTTTCGCCTGCATAGCCCACCGTATTCCACACCACGCGCACATACGCCTCGTCGTTCGCGCCTGTCTGCTTATACAGCACTTTATTATCCGCGTCCCGCACCAGCGCTACATATAAATTATCCGGATCATACCCGCCGCCAATCAGGAAACTCAGCGCCGAACTCGCTGCGAACGAACTGCTGTGCAGCTCCCCGACAGCCCCGTCGCCGGCCGCGGCGAAGCCCCAGAGGTGGTACGTCCCGACTTGGTCAAAGGGCCCGCCCCAGTAGGATGTGGCGGAGCTGATGGACCCCGAGTTGGAGAAGGCGGTGCCGCTGATAATGGTCCAGCCGTTCAGCGTCCCGTCTTCAAAGGACGGGTTGGCTGGGCCGGGGTGGTCTTTGGAGGGGTCGCATGTTATAGGGCCGGAGGAGAAGGAGGGGGAGGAGGAGGAGGGGGAGGAAGGGTCGGTGGAAGGAGCGGGAGCGGCGAGGATTGGCAAGGAGTGTAAAACGAGGGAAAGAAGGATGGAGTGAAGCGCGGAAGGCATTGTGGATGTATGTATGTATGTATGCCTTGAGCGTTATGGGTACTAATTGATATTTTTTTTTTTTTGGAACAATAGAGAATGTATATCAAATAGGGAAAAGGAAAGAAACAAAATGTCAATGTTTATGAGCCATGAATTGCGCTAGTCTGGACGAGATAGTATATGCTGCGAATATTGAGTAAAACGTTCAATGGAATGCAATGTAGTGGGATATACTCATGTTCACACAAAAGGACAAACAAGAGGTTATATACCCATCGCAAGCACAAGATCCTAATGAGGTCTGCCAAGCCAAGTAGCGGTTCCTGAGAACACGATCTTGTGATGTGTGGTGTGGGTGTGGGGTGTGGGGTAGGAAGAAGGACAGGGAGCGGGAGCGGAGGCGGGGGCGGGGGGAGGAACCCTTGCAAGTATTTCATCAATTGGCAATATGCCGCTAGTCCCCGTGCTCTGTGCATGGCGCTATACAGTACATAGTACCATTTTCTGCGCAGATGCAAGGTCCGATATATGCATTGACCGGGACCCCGGGGAGGGGGGATACAGTAGTCAATCCGCAACGCTGAAAGAGGATACACTGGGAACGATTAATCCGCTGGCCCGGAAAATCGTTGCGGGGCAGCAGGGGTAGAGGCAAATGCATATTTTTGACTGGCGCCGAGAGGGAAATGGTTTTGAGGTGACGAGAAGTGAAAGAGGAGGTACGAACGTACGATGATGGCTAAACAAAGAGGTCAAAAGAGAGTCAAAGAGTGCGGTAAAAGAAAAGTGTCAGTGTAATAGTACTATTGTCAACAGAGTGTGCTAAAGCTAAAAAAAAAAAGCCTTTATACTCAACAACACACTGCTGAAGGGGGGACATGGATTGGGGAAGGGGAAAAGGAGGCAAAAAGAAACGAGCATTAGGATGCAGGAGTGTGAAGCTTGTCGTTATGCTTTCAAGGGTCCTTGTCAGTTTCTCGTATTTGTCCGTGCAGTGGTCCGGGCAAGGTGGACGCGAAAGATGGAGTTGGAGTTGGGATCTAACATATCTGGCTTATGTTGTGTGACTGTGTCTTGCAGTGGTGGTCATAGCGGCTATTGTGCGTGGCAGCGTGGCGGAACTGTTCTGTGCCCCTCTCTCCAAGGGCCTGGCGGCTATTGAGGAGGCGAGGATAGAAGGAGCAATAGAAAAGCGAAAAGACGAGAGGGGAAAAGAATAGTCTGGATAGGGAAAATGTAGCATAGTAAAAGTGTAACTGTGTTATAAAGGACAGGTCAATAGCTTCAAGACAAGGGACGATAGATGCATAATGCATCCTGCATGCTGCATTGCCGAGAGACCAAGGGTCCAACACGTGCTTGTGTTACTGGTTCTCCTCTGGTGCATGGGGGGCCTTCAAGAACCCGAAAAGGTAGAAGAAGGACTGTAGTCAGAAGGAGAAGAAGGACAATAACCAGAGGGGAAGAAGAACAATAACCAGAGGGGAAGAAAGATGCCAAGAGAAAGACGGCCTTCCAGATCGAGTATAACGGTTGGTAATGTAGTAAAACTGAACAAAATACTTCTCTATATGGAGTGATTCATGGTGTCATCTGGGTCATCTGCTAATGTTAGCTCGCAATTGCAATAAAGTGTTGGGAAATGCGCTGAACAGCGCACCGGGCCGCTCCCCTCCCCATCCTTCTCTCCATATAATGCGGGGTCCGAATCCGGCAAAGGTCTTCTTCCCAGAGACGCAAATGGCAGCGGCAGAGGACAGCGGACAGAGCACAGGCCACAGGCCACAGACCGCGTGCAAGTATCAGCAAGACGCTCAACTGCAGCAGCCACGGGGCTGCGGTATCTTCCACGGGGTGCCGGGGTGAGCTTATTGTCGCAATTCCTTAGTCTGCGACTCTGGCCCAGGCGTTGGAGCGCCGCTGGTGCGGTAAGTTGCGGGTGCTGCAGGGGAGGGGGAAAGCTTGTCAGGGGAAAGAATGAGCAACAGACAGGGGAAAGAGAGGACAGAGAGGAAGAGAATGAGCAAGACGAGGAGGGTAAGTCATCGAATATGCAGGACCAAAAGTTGATAAATAAAACGTGCATCAAAACGCCATGCATATAAATAGTATATCATCCCTAAGCCAATTGAGCACAAGACTGTTCTATGAGCAGCATTTGGCATAATAATTGGTAATTCAATCCTCAAAAGCAGAACTAAAGGACATGGAAAACAGTCAAAGACGATGGCGTACAAATGCGGGAAAAAGGAATGAATGCATAAAATTGTCAAACAAGAAAAAGCAAAAAAGGTGGCGAGAAAAAGCTAAATGCAAAAAAGAAGAAAAATCTGGGGATTGCGGAGTATATCCTACCCCATAAACTGTAGTTAATTTCCCCAGATACCCCAGATGCACTATACCAGTATCCCAGACTGGAACGTGGCGATCCCCACAAAGATCCACAAGAGAACTGGTGATTGCCAAGCAGACGGTCGAAAGTGGATTCGACTCGTCAATGGCCGGACTGCTAGGCTATCCGCGCGGGTCTTGATGTCAGCCAAATCAGTCAAGCAAGTTTCTATGCGCGAATAAATTCTGTTTAGTGATCGGTGGAGAGACTCGATCAGACAACCGCGGCACGCTTTCAATCTGACAAAATGTGAACAATGGCGAACCAAAGCATGACTCGCAAGTTCTTTGGGCCGTATTTTCGGCCTATCGTCCTCTAACGGGTTAGTTGTTGTGCTTGTTACGAGTAGCATGAACAAGATGGCAATAGTGCTTCGTTCCTAATATGAAAACGAAGGTGATCACGCTAGGTTGGGCAATATCTTTTTTTTCCCTTCCCATGTGGCGTTTTGGTTGACTGCCAAGGTCATCAGAGGCAGCTTTGCCGCATTTCCACTAGCTTATTGAATACGGTGACCTGGTGCCCGGTGTCTGATGTTCGGTGCCTGTCTCGAAGATTACGTGACAAACATGACTATCGAGCGCCGCCGGCCACACGCTGCCGAGGGGGGCGCTGGCGCCCCGTTCCCCATCGTCCCGTCCCTACGCCCTGGGGCGAAGATGAGGGAGCGGGAAGTGCCTTTTTCGCTCTCGCTCGACCTCAACAAGAATTGAAGGAGGGGCAATTGAAAGGAAAATCTCCCTTTAGGACCAGCCATGTAGGGCAACGAGTAGACTCCATGGGCATGTGCGCAAGAGTCTTCTTTCATCATAACGAATGTGAAAACCATATGCACTGCGAGCTTGAAATAATAATGGCATCATTATCGTCATATCAGGACGTTTTGCAACAGCACATACCACACATGGGTTTGAATCAACAAATGAGAAGCGAAATTAGTTCAAGATGAAACTTATTGCGCGTGTGCGGGGAAACCCCAGCACTTAGCAGACCGCTCTGATTCCTCGTTCTCCAGACGGCGGACCCCACCGGTTGGTGGTGGGGGGGAGGCGCCGCTCTCATAGGACAATGGGCGATACGTTGAATGATCGTGATCAGAACAATAATGAGATGATGGTGGCCTGCGTCAAGGTACACTTCCGTACCTGGCCCGAGCATTGCTGGAGACGAGCGGCTCATGATTTGCTAGCCTGCTTAACAATAGAACATAACAATGAACAGATTTTTTTTGTCTCTTTTTCCTTTCAATAGAAGATGCTGGAGAAAAAGAGCACGCGTGGAAATCATGTGGCCGTGACTCGCCCCACAAGTACTCTGTACCCCGGATCCTGATTTCTGGGTAAAGACTGGCCCACAATAGGCCCACAATATTAGCAGTTGAGATCGGAGATGAGGCCGAGTAGTGTACATGCATGTGGAGTAGATGTCTGCGCTGCTTCGTAAAGATTTCATATGCCAGATGGGCTGTACTGTACTGCATGGGGTTCGTCCTTGTAGATTTGCAATTATCCCCACGGGGTAGTATAATTTCGCTGCTGAATTGGCCCACTTTTCTGGCGCTCGATCCAATTGAAACAGTGCTCAGTGGATATCCACATGGATCCAGGTTGGGCTTTGCACGAGCATCTTGACCCATCTAGAGCAATTGAGACCCACTTGGCCTCCTTTGTTGATGACTGTTATTCGCGTTCGGGTCGCTTTCGCGGTTCGACTCGACACTGGGCGACACTGGAACCCGCCGGACACGGTAAGCGACAGGTTGATTTAACCCCAAGACAGTCAAGGCCCGGCGTGACTGTCATTAGTTTCGGTCAAATATACGCCGTCATCATTGGCCATCCCCTGTTCTAATTGCACCTGGATGCCTTTAGCTCGAGCCGTCAAAGCCAATGACAAGTCGCCTGGATGGGGACTTGGACAGGTACAGGGGTAGTAAACCTCCCTCTAGGGCAGACCAGCCCGAGAACGAACCCAAGTCCAGAGCCCATCGCCGCCTCCGGCGTACAATCTAATTCTGCACTGGCCGCTCAACGTCTCTCCATCCACCCTCCCCACCCCCAGGTCTCCCAATTGTGTCCAATGATGACTGTACCAGTTACTCCAGCTTTTGCTGGCGGATCCCGGCTGGAATAATGTGGGTCCGACAGCGCCGGTCGCCAGTTCGTTCCAACGCACGCGCGAGAGAGAAAGAGCGAGAGCTGGAAAATGGAGGAATCTCATGTACGAAGGCCCACTTTAGAGAGTTGTCCTTGTGGGGAGACCTAACAGTCATGGGTCCAGTCCCCTTCCCCACGGGGGACGCGGCCCACAGCTGATCATGGCCAGACGCTGAACGATTCTCTTTCCGGCCGCAGTCGGGCATTGGAGGTAGAATCTGTACAAGTCGAGAGGCAAAAGCGTCAATCGTCATGGAGTATAAAGAACACCGTTCCTCCCCGGGTTCGGAAGTCATTCTCATCATCATCTACATCAATCAATCAATCAGCCATTCGAGATTCATATATCGCCCTTTGAACCCCTCTCTCACCTTTCTTCCTTTTTCTTCTCCATCAATCTCAGATCAGTCCTCCCTCACTCCTAACTGATTGGACCCTACCTCACTCTTCACAATGGGTCTCATGCTCAAGAAACCCGCAGACGTGGCGGGCAAGTCTTGGCCCGCCATCGTCATTGGCATGTTCGTTGCCTTTGGTGGTGTGCTCTTCGGATATGATACGGGTACCATTGGTGGTATCCTGGCCATGACCTACTGGCGAAAGCAATTCTCCACGGGTCACGTCGACAGCACTGGTGCCCCCTCTGTGACGGCATCTCAGCAAGCTGAGATTGTCTCCATTCTCTCCGCTGGTACCTTCTTTGGTGCTCTTGGCGCTGCCTACCTGGGTGACGCTATCGGTCGTCGTCTTGCCATCATTGCTTCGAGCTGTGTCTTCGCCTTTGGTGTCATCCTGCAAACTGCCTCTAGTGCTATCCCCATGTTCGTTGCCGGTCGTTTCTTCGCCGGTTTCGGTGTCGGTCTCATCTCTGCATTGAGTAAGTTTTCCTCCGTGGCCAATCCTGGAAACGATTGCTAACAAATAATTCAGTTCCTCTCTACCAGTCTGAGACATCGCCCAAATGGATCCGTGGTGTCATTGTCGGCTCGTACCAGCTCGCCATCACCATTGGTCTGTTGCTTGCCTCGATTGTCAACAACGCCACCAAGAACCGCGATGACAGCGGCTCATACCGTATCCCCATCGCCGTGCAGTTCGCCTGGGCCATTGTTCTGGTCAGCGGTATGCTCCTGCTTCCCGAGACTCCTCGCTACCTGATCAAGCGCGACAAGACTGCCGCTGCTCTCAAGTCGCTCTCCCGCCTTCGCCGACTCCCTGTCGACCACCCTGCCGTTGTTGAGGAACTCGCCGAGATCCGCGCCAACCACGACTACGAGATGAGCCTTGGCAAGGCCACCTACCTCGACTGCTTCAAGGGCAACCTGCTCAAGCGTCTTATCACTGGATGCTGTCTTCAGGGTCTCCAGCAGCTCACTGGTATCAACTTCATCTTCTACTACGGCACTCAGTTCTTCAAGAACTCTGGCTTCCACAACTCGTTTGTCATCAGCTTGATCACCAACTGCGTCAACACTGCCTCTACTTTCCCCGGTCTGTACGCCATTGACAAGTGGGGTCGTCGCCCTGTCCTCTTCTGGGGTGCCGTCGGTATGGCCGTCTCTCAGCTCATTGTCGCTGTCCTCGGTACCACCACCACCTCCCAGGACTCCATGGGCAACATCATCGTGCACAACCTGCCCGCGCAAAAGGCCGCCATTGCATTCATTTGCATCTACATCTTCTTCTTCGCCGCCTCTTGGGGTCCCATTGCCTGGGTCGTCACTGGTGAAATCTTCCCGCTCAAGGTCCGCGCCAAGTCGCTCTCCATGACCACTGCCACCAACTGGCTGCTCAACTGGGCCATTGCCTACTCTACTCCTTACCTGGTCAACTGGGGTCCCGGCAACGCCAACCTGCAGTCCAAGATCTTCTTCATCTGGTTCGGCTGCTGCTTCATCTGCATTGGCTTCGTCTACTTTTTGATTTACGAGACCAAGAACCTCTCTCTTGAGGAGGTTGACGAGCTCTACAATGAGGTCTCGTCCGCTCGCAAGTCTCTTGGCTGGAAGCCCACCATCACCTTTACTGAGATTGCTCACGCCAGTGGTGCAACTGCCAAGCGCAGAGAGGCTGACGCGGGCTCCAACGAGCACGTCGAGCATGTCGAGCCCAAGACTGAGGCTGAGGCCTAAGCATTTCAAGCTTATAAATAGGTCATTGGATTGACCTTGTTATTTGTACTGTTTTGTTTTTCTGATTGTAATGACGATGTCACGCATATATCTGGACGAATGTATTCTGAGGAGCGATGGTTTTATTTATGGGAGGCATCCGGTGTTTCTGTTCTTACTTTTCTACGCATTAGATGTCCATAATCATTAGATTTATACCAATGGCATCATTCTCATCTTGATCTCTCAGTTCCTTGATGCCTTGATCTCTTCAACAGTTTCTTGTAATTCTTCATCATCGTATCTGATCTCTTCTTATGCTTCGTATCTCTTCAGTGACCTGTGAACCTCATCGAAACAGATCTTATACATACATAATCATCCATCACTTGCTTTCACTCTTTCGTGCATACCGACATGACGTGCTCAGCGCTCTTGACACGCAGTACCTCTGTACACTATACGTACGTACTGCATACGAGACAAAGGAACCCATGTCCGAAACCAGTTAACTTTACCATTCCTTATCTCGTTCAGGGTTCCTCGTTCCTATCTTTATCCACTCGCTTGCCGACACCCCGTGCCTGTTTATCCGTTTGCAGCCTGCCCTGCTGCGTTGCCTGCAGTCTGCAGCTCTCCAACCGTCCCAATCTGCCAAGGTACAAAGGTACTTAATCCTTCACTCAGTATTACCCTACGTTTCCCTCTTCTACCAAATAACCACAGCTTTGATGTGCTCGGGATAGACGGGCTATACCCCATTAAGCAAAAAGTTCCTTTGAGGGTCTCGGGTCCTGTCGTCCTATCGTCCTATCAGTCTTATCGTATAGTACCCCTCGACGCCTCCGAGGGTGGAGGGATTGAGGGGCAACTTGCAAGTGTAAACATTTCTCATCTACGCTCTGAACTGCCAAAGATGACCATACTTGGCCTTGCCGTACGGGGACAATACCTGTATCATGTCAATTACCTACCTATGGTACATGCAGGTATGTGATCGGACACCGAAGAGATTCTGTACATAGTAACTCGATGGGTTATCCATCTCCACAATTTTTTTACCCTTCTCGTTTTTGCACAGGTTTCCTAGTTTGTAGTACATTTCCTTTCCTATCCTTTCCCTTCCTTTTATCTCCTGTATACGGTATACCCTAGACGCAATCAAATAGACAGACATAGATATAGATGTAAATATATATACTCCTTACTCCCTTCCCTTCGAGGTCGAGATAGCTTTTACTCTTCACATACTTTTCCCGGTGCTTGCATTGTGCATTGTGCATTATCCTACGGTTACACTGCGCCTACACCTACATATACTTAAAACCCACAAACAAAACATAAACATACAGGACGACACACGGATATAATGGCCTTCCAGTACCACCGCAGCGCCCAGACGGAATTCAAGCCCCCGTTGATTGCCAACGAGAATGCCTACCTCGGCGACGTTGCTACCAGGTATTCCTTTATTCCTTTATTCCCTTATTCCCTTGCGCTGTTTCTTCTCTCCACCACCACCACCTCCTCCTCCTCCTCTTCCCAACCAAAGAAAAGAACCTCCCCGAAACAAATTCAATAAAACCTATTCAATAACATAAATAAAATGAAACAACAAAACAAAATAAGACAAGGGATAATAAGCTAACACTGCCTCAGCCAAGAAAACGACCCCGAGAAGCCCATCTCAGCAGGCTTCTACCGGCTGGAAAAAGGCACGCCGCTCGTCTACGAATACACGTACCACGAGATGAAGATTATCGTGGACGGCGAGTTTGACATTTCGGACGAGACGGGGCAGAAGGTGCACGCGACGCGGGGAGACGTGTTTTATTTCCCCAAGGGATCGAAAATTACTTTTACCACGGAGAGTTTTGGATTAGGGTTTTTTGTAAGTCCCTTTAGCTCCCTTTGCTTTTCCCTTCCCGTCCTCCTCCTTTTCCCCTTGCTCTACATCTTCGTCTTGTCCTTCGTCTTATACTAGTCTCCCTCCTTTGGTATAATCACCAGACGGTAAAAAAATATAATGAGAAAAGAAAAAAGAAGAAAAAAAAGAAGAACGGAAGGAGGAAAGGACAAGAGGACAAAAGGAGAAAAGGACAAGAGGACAAAAGGAGAATAAAAATGGATAAGCTAACACGCAATTGCAATGTAGGTCGGACAAAGACGCGAGGGCGGAGCATAATGCTTTAGACCAGCAAAGTCATGAGAATTGTCATAGCGAATATTCTACATTTGAATGCAACAAATAAAATAAATTTGACGAATCGATTCCCGGTCTGTGTCTACTGTAATTAAATTTACGTGTAAACATGGACTGAATATCACTGGTAATTGAACTTGATATATGATCATTATCCTTTTATTTTGACCCATGGTTTAAAACATGTTTATTTAAGCCTGACGGCTGATCATCTAGCTCATTAATCATGACTTCTGTATATTCACAGGTTGTCGTGGAAGAAGGTGAGAACGGTCTTGTAGCCACGCTCATACTCGGCCTTGACCTTGGGGTCCTTGAGGTTTGATCTAACGACAGTTAATACATTGACCAGTAACACGCTCAATAATACAGGTAACCTTACCTGGCGGCCATCCAGCCGTGGATTTGGTCTGGGAACGTCTCAACGTAGTTCTTCACCTTCAAGTTCTCCTTGAATTGGGCAACTGCTTGCGGGTCCTCGTCCTTGGATGCGAGGAACGCAAATGGAATGGCAACGTTAGGGGCATCGTTGGGGTCGACCATAGCCGGGTGAGCAATAGCCGCGGCCTTGAATACACTGCCAGAGGTGCTGGAAAGAGTAGTAACCTATAAATCAAAGCCATAGTCAGTCTTGAATATCCTCAAATTATCCTCAAGTTGATCCTTCCAGAATCTTTATCTTCGGACCGCCAGTACTTGGTAGACACGGACTATTGCGTACCTTTCCACCCCAGCAGAAGCCGAGCAGACCCCAAGAGTCAACGCCAGAGTTTTGTGATTTCAGTTCCTCCACGACTTTGGGAACGCGCTGGATCGTCTTCGGGGGAGCACCAGTCGTCGAGAAGAAGTTTCCGAGCTTCTCGCCCTTCTCCTTGGTGTCGGGAGGGTACCAGGAAATGTCTGCGGGCTTGCCCTCGAACCAGTCCGGCACAAAGACCTTGTACTTGGCATCTTTGTCGGAGTTGGCCAGAATGTCTGCACCCTGGAGGGTCTGAGGGTAGAATCCGAAAATGTCAAAGATGACAAGAATAGCCTTCTTCGCGTCCGCAGGACCAGTGACATCTGTACGTGTAAGCATTCGTTTCCGTACAGAGTTACACCCAAGAAAATAATCAAGCTTCTCAGAACATACAAGTCTTCATGCCATCGATAGTAATGTATTGGCCCTTGGGCTCATAGCCCTCGACAATAACGGGCGGGATCGAACAGCAGGCGGCACTAGCTTGGTGTTAGCTTTCATTACTTTCATTATTCCCATGATTCTCATTATTCTAATTATTCTCATTATCTCATGATTCCCATTATTCTCATGATTCTCTCTTTATTCAGTCGCACATCTTGGACAACCACGACGTCGAGTGCATTTCTTTTGTCCGCGGCTAAACCGACCAATGCTCTTCACGCTCCGAGGGGGAAAAGAGGAACCTTACCTGTGCTGAGACATCTTAATAGCGTTTATCCAAGCCTTCGGAGGGAAATGTCAATGATTTATTCTAGTGTCGAGGGTGGTCTGATTTTCGAACCTAGCTTCTAGATTCGCCAGAGGTAAGCTTCAAAGTCTTGCACAATCGGAGAAACAGCGCTTTAGGACAAAAGAAAAGGAAGAGGAACGTACCAGATATATTGAAAAAATGATATTTTCGTGAAAGAACTCCAACTCAATGACTCGACAGTTTCTGAGAAGTTCTGTGCTTTAGAGAGGGGCCAGCCAGGCGAGGGGCAACGGGGACAAATTCAATGTTGATGTACTCTGTAAACCCAAGTGGGGATTGACCCCTGCGTTGACGTAATCGGTGATTTCTACGGAGTGCGCCGCGGCCAAAACTCCGAGCGGCCCATCGAGGATTACCTAATTAGGAAATATCATAACCTTGCGGACCATGAGTATCATGATGCGTGCACTAGGACCTTGGAAGTAATAGGACCTTAGAAGTAATGCAGTAGACATTTACCCAGATGCTTTTCATTCTAATTGCGGGGAGCTCTTATTCTCTCTCTCTTAGAAGTATTAAAGGTACCTTTGTATACCGTTTCTGCCATATTGTGTCTGCACGGGTATACGCTCTAAAGCTCCGGATTCGCTAGCCCGGCATTACCATTATCATTCACTGACAAGCAAACATAAATATGAAGTTAATTGCTACCCAAATGTACCAGAAGGGACGGTGGCCGAGTTGGGTAAAACCTCTCTGTCAACGTTCTGGAATTTCACGGGGTGAGTTCGAGTCGGGGTGTAGCCACAATCGCAGCTGGGAATTTATTCCCACTGCCTGAGGGGCGCCCCTAGATGAGGCCGCACCGGGGAAGGGGTGGAGATGTAGGATGCCTTAACCGTTCTTCGAATGAGAAGAACGGGGCATCCGAACTCTTTTGCTACTCACGTTATTTTTATTTTATTCTTGTTTTTTTGCCCCCTTTCGTAAAGAAGACAAAGATCATCTCGTAGTATATAATATCCCATCTGATTCTTTATATATACTACTTCGAAGGCGACATATATGTACGTGTGTTTTGACCAAATTCATCTAATTCTTCAATCTAAGGACTGATTATTGACGAGTCTCACAGAGGGAAAATATTGCGTCTGAACGACGATACCCAAAAAACTTCCCAATCCTCCTAATTCTTCACGTAGAGATCTACATATTGGTCTACATCCATCTCTTCGAGTCTCTTTGCATCATTGCCCAAATCAATCAGCTCCCTTACCCTCTCTGGCGAATAATGTGGCTCCAGGTGCCGCTTGTACTTGGCCAAAATCTCCGGCTTCGCCTCCACTCTACGGAGCTTGTGTCCAAGAGGCGCTTCTACTGATACTTCATCCAGTGTTTGTCCGTCATTTAATGTCACGGTGAGAGCGTTGGCAATCGTTCGAAGGTTGGGGTCGTGGTAGTCTTGGGTGAACTGCGGATCCTCAACACACTGGATACGCTTGCGAAGATCCTCAAGAAGGGGCGATGTAGCAGCCTCGCTGCCGTCAGTGTAGTCCGTTGCTTCAAGACGGTTGAACACAAGCATAGTCGCAACCATATACTATAGACAATTAGCAATCTCCTAAAATTCCAGAGTTCATCGGAGAACCTACCTGAATACAGTGGTCACGGTCGGCGAAATTGTCCAGCGGCTTCAATTGCTTGTCAATGATACGCACACATGCCTCATGCGTACGGATAGTGACACTCTTGATGTCTTGGGCCGACTTGCCCATCTTTTGTAGTTTATCGTATATAATCTTTGCTGCTTCAATGGCAGTTTGGGAATGGAATTCGGCTATATTCTCAAGGTCAATATTTGGTACGTGTTGAAGTAGGTTGAATAATGTACTCACCCGGATACGACACTTTGAACAATACATTTTCCATGACATAGCTGCCATAGGGTCTCTGAAATCTAAACTTTTGGCCATTAAAATTGACGTCGTAGAAGCCCCAGACTGGCGCGGACAGGACGCTCGGCATGCCGCCTTCGCCAGCCATGACTTTGAGAGCCAAATTGACAGCGCGCTCGCATGCATCGCCTGCAGCCCACGACTTTCGCGACATTGTATTCGGAGAGTGTCGGTAGGTGCGCATGCTCTGACCATCGCACCAGGCCTGAGAGACCACATCCGCAGTCTGTTGCTCTGAGAGACCCAGCATCTTGGACACGACAGCAGCAGTGGCAACCTTGACCAAGACTACATGGTCAAGGCCAACTTTATTAAACGAGTTTTCCAAAGCCAGGCATCCTTGAATCTCGTGTGCCTTGATCATGCCCTCCAAGACGTCCTTGACCTTGAGAACTTTGCCATTGGCAAGCTTCTTCCCGGCGCGGTTTGTGCGTGAGATCCAATCAGCTACCGCAAGAATTCCGCCAAGGTTATCCGAAGGATGACCCCATTCCGCGGCGAGCCAGCAGTCGTTGTAGTCGAGCCACCGAATCATTGCGCCGATATTGAAAGCTCCGCGAACAGGGTCGAGCTGATATGGTGTGCCAGGCACCCGGGTGCCATTGGGAACGGTCGTGCCCTCAACAATGGGACCAAGTAGCTTTGTGCATTGTGGGAAGTTGAGCGCTGCTAAGCCGCAGCCTAGGGTATCTAGGAACACGAAACGTGCGGTATCATACTAAATTGTTGACTTCGATATTAGTATCTCAACAAAACTGGTCTCAACCATGATTAAGACTAAAATACGCACAGCAAGATCGGAATCAATCTTATAATTATGCACATAATTTGCAATGTCCGTCAGTTCCGAGTCGTAGACAGCTGAACCTGGAGCAGGCGGTGCAGACGCCGACTGTAATGATGGCATGGTCGAGAAACGAGCGATGGGTGCTTTCTTGGCCACTGCTCCAAAATTTGAGCTTATAGAATATGAGATTGGTAGAATTCGACTCGACCAAACTCGGGGGTTTTGTCTAAGGAATTTAGACGTGGAGCGGTAAAGCAATCGGCTCGAAGCCATGGTGTTGGTTAGCTTCCCAGGAATTACCGAGAATAGCCTTCCGACTGCCAATGGGCTCAAGTGGAATTATATATAATTGATGGAAGCAAAACTAAGCCACGAGTTGATTATCAAGGCCAAATCCGGAGAAACAAGAGAAACAGGTATTGCAAATCTGGTCCAGGATTTTTCAGAACTTGCCAGAGAAACGAAGACGATGATGGAGTGGTTAATGCAAATTATAGCGACTTTGGGGTAAAGCGGGAGGTAGAGCCAAAGGGTGCGGGGGACGGCGGGAGCTACAGGTCAGGGTAACAGGGTCATATTAGTCTTAGCTGGGGAAATTCCCCCGAGGTTGGGGAGCGACAATAGCCGAACCTCCTCGATACTTGGCCTTTCTTGGACCACATTCTTCCGACTTCTCTTGTCGTCCTTTTCATCACTTGACCAGATTCTGTGCTGTAGCTGATGGAATCTGTTCATTACCTTGGAAGATATAACTGACGTGTTTAGGTCCTGTTCCTCTTTTGGGGGGAGTCGGAAATTTGTCAAAGAATGATTGAGGCTTTGGTATGTTCCGTAGGTTGTTCCGCCATTGTTCACTAGTAGGACCCTTTTTTTTCACGGTTTATCGTCAGGGTTCATTGCACAATATTATCACAGTTCAGTTCTTATTCTGCACTTGTCAATTCAAACATGATTCCAATACATACCCAGTCCTTGTCTGTTCGTAATATCTATATCAGATGCAAAATGCCATCCATCTGCTGCCCATCTCCATTCATCGAGATTTTTCTTGAAACCCGCACAAGCACACCTCATCATCCCTTCTCTGAACGACCATATTCCTGCATGTTACCAGTGCTTATAAAATCTTTTCCGTCAAAAATGTTCGATTGGATCTTTCGTCCAAGAAATCTGCTAGGTTCGGGGATCATCCCCAGTGCCTCAATCAACCCTTTGCCTACCATGAACACCACACTCCAGATCTTCCACACCCAGAATAATCTCATTATGCAGAACAGTACGCATCAGATCATGGCCCAGATATATAGAGATATTAGCGACTCTTCTACCCCAGGCTTGATGCTAAATGCTATTGACACTCTGCAAAAGAACCCCTCCCTTGTTCAATTTATTTCTACCTCAGGAAAACCCCCTAATAACACCTCATCGTTGGCCGGCCTGCTATCCCCTTCAATTCAAAGTGGAATTCTCATCCACTTTTACGAAGCGGCAGCGGTCATCGAGAAGACACGCATCTGGTTAGAATGCATTCAGAGAGGCGAAGAAACGACACTTATAAACGAACTCGCCCAGGGCGCAATGAGCAAAGCAACCCTCGAAAGTATGCAGCCTCTTTGCTCTAACACAAATGTATATCAGCATGTTGAAAACCTTGCAGCTAGGGAATATTTGTCTCGCACTCGTTACAGCGAGGTCGCTTCTTCATGCGGATGGATGATGCTTAGTATTCTCGCAACCTCGGGTGCATTTCGCGAAGCCACCAAATTGCTTGATCAAACCCAGTGGCAGGCAGTTGGCGAGTGCATCAAAGCGAACTTCCGAAGCATCGAAGTGTTTGCCAAGGTAAGAGGGCTCAGATGGGATATTCTACTCCCTCCTGGACTTTGCTCGGGTAGCGTCGGCCATATCCCCGTAGACCACCCTCATCACTGGACGGTTCCACTGATCGGCCCAGCAAGACGACTTCAATACCAAGGACAGTTGCAAATTAACATTGACAGGTGCATCTATAATCCCAACGCCTTTGGCATACTCGGGAGACCACGAAACTGGCCACTACAATGGCCGTATCCACGCGATCCGACACTTCGAAACTTTGACGACCTCTGCTCCGTATGCTGTACCACCATCTGCGCTTGCCACGAGAAGCCCATGGCCCAACCGCTCGTTGAGATTACAGAATATCCTCATAAAGGTAATGGCGTCCGCGCTCTCGAGAGGATCGCAAACAATGCCGTTCTGGGTGAGTACATTGGTGAAATCTTACCCGTTCATGCCAACGTTCAAGACGAAGTGTATGGGATGAGTATCTTCGATTCTCGCAGAGTTGCACAGGTAGGAATGATAAGTTCGGCCATCAAGGGAAACTGGACAAGGTACATCAACCATTCCTGCGAACCAAATTCGGTTTTTGAAACTGTTATTGTTGGCCAACACCGTAAGACTCTTGTTAAATCCATCAGGGAAATCGACATTTTCGAGGAGATCACCATCGACTATGGTCCGTTTTATTTCGACAGTCAGAAGCTTTGCTGCTGCGGTTCGTTAAGATGTAGATATGCCACGCCCGAGCGAGTCGAAGCCAGCAGAAAGTGGGCAGAGAGAATGTACCACGCAAGACAAGCTGGAAGATGAAGAAAAAGCAGTAAAACCTTCGCTGTTTGCTCACAATTTTCTTCCGAATAAAATAGAGTAAGTTCGAGTAGTAGTCCTGCACTAATCAGCCGTTTCCTTCTGATATCACATCGTAGATACCATAAGCTAATGAGATCACCAGTCACATGCATTTTTGGTGCTGAAAGATGGAGCATTTCGAAATGAATCCTTTGATAGTAAATGTAGATGGTATTTCCCAGGAACAATAAGACGGCCTCAAAACGAGGTCTATGAACTCAAAAGGTTTCGGGCATATCCCGAACATTAACACCTTACTAGTTTACAACTTGCTAAAGTTGACTGGTGCCTTCGTCGCCGGACCTTCGGGGGTAACGTAGGCCTGAATTATAATTAGCACATATCGTTAGTGTCACTTTGAGGGTGTATTTGGAAGTCAAACCTTCGACATGCCGCCGTCGACGACAAAATCGCTTCCGTTGACGAAAGAGCTTTCGTCGCTGGCAAGGAACAGTACAGCATGTGCCTGCTCGATGGCCTCACCAAAGCGACCGGTGGGAAAGTGAACCTCACGCCGGTGGCGCTTGGGAATGTCATCGCCAAGCCAGTCCTGGAGCAATGGAGTGCTGAACGCCAAAATTAATACGGTGATCAACGAATGATAAGATGAAATTTCAAAAGATTGCTTACTTGAGAGGCGCAGGGCAAAGTGAATTAAAGCGGAAACCTAGTTTTAACTTAGCACACCCATATCATATGTGGAAATCTGATATACAATACAAACCTTCCCGAGCGTGCACAATAGCAAGCTCGCGGGTCATGGCGAGGACAGCGCCCTTGCTGGCAGTGTATGCAAGCTGAGGCGTAGCGCTGCCGACTAATGCAACAACACTGGCTGTGTTGATGATGCTGCCCTTTGTCTTCTTGTGCTTGCGTAAGCTGAGCACGGCATGCTTACATCCATACCATACACCCTTGACGTTGATGCGCTGAGTGAGTTCCCAGATCTTCTCCTCCGTGGCAATGGCATCCGCGTCGTCAGCGTGCATGATACCGGCATTGTTGAATATGATGTCAAGGCCGCCCCAGGCGTCAAGGTGGGCAACTGCAGCAGCCACGCTCTCTTCCTTGGAGACGTCGCAGACCATGGTTTCAACCTTGGAGGTAGCATCAGGCAACAATTGCTTGACCTTCTTAATGGCCGCCTCCAATGCCTTGGCGGAGATGTCGGTCATCAAGACTGAGGCGCCCTCACGTACAAAGAGCACAGTCGTCTCGAAACCGATACCACTGACGAGCTAATGTCAACATAGGAACGATACATGTTTGAGGTACTTGATCGATCAAAATCTGAGCAAAGCATAGAAGATAAAAAGCCATGAGATCTAGAAGAAATTTGAAGCCAATCGATATAACGAAGCAAGTATAGGACGCAAGATTTCAGAGTATTGAATGGCATATCAAGGCACGTAAAGCGGATGATTGCATTTGGAAGAATTATGCATTTTACATCAGGTCAAGTTGAATGTGACGAGTACGTACCCTGCGGCTCCAGTGATGATAGCATTTTTGCCTTGAAGGCGGGGCGCTCTGGATGTGGTCGCCATCTTTCAATAGTGAGAAAGTTTATCGGAGTGATTGATCAAGTGAATTGATCCTCTGTTCCCAGTTGATGATCAGCGGATTCCGATGTTGAAAGGGAGCTCGCCGGACCTTATCGCGGAAGGGCGTCATTGGTCCTGGGAGTTGTGCTCGCTTATTATGCTTGGCATGTATGTCTTGCATTATTATTATTCTCATCTCGGCTGCAGGGGGAATCATGATAAGATGAGAATGTTCCTCTGAGTCGCAAATGGAACCCCGCGAAGATCGCTCCAAAAAAGTTGCAATGCTAGACTTTTATTATTATTTTATTGTTCAAGTTTTATTTTCCTATGCAAGTAGTCGCCAGTCCTTGGGCGATAATAATACGGGTCACGAGGAGAATTAATGGAAAGACTATAGACCATAGCGAACACAATGCAAAGTACCGTAGGATAACTGATTGAGGTAAAGCAAATACAAAATTATGCCCGAAATTAGATCAGTATATGGGATGGTCAGATCAGCGCATAAGACTATAAACAATGAACAGGCCAGAAGAGCTGCGAGACGCTTCGATAGACCATTGATAACATTACAACTAGCTGTTCACTTGATTATCTGCGCAGATTGTACAAGAATACAGAGGTACACGTCATATCTGCCGAACGCGGCTAAAATTGCGACCATGAGAAAGGCTGAAAGTGTAGGCGCAAGCGCTTATGAGCAATAGTAAATACCGACAACGAGCTGAATTGCATGATTTGATTTGAGTAGATAGGGCCTTGGAATACATCCCAAAAAAATCCCATCGAGAAATATCTGCTGTAAATACCCTATAGTCCCAATGCCCACAATATACCCAATAATTTTTCGCCCTCTTACGGTCAGAGCATGACGGCAGTGGAGGTGGAGAGCCCCTACGGAGCGTACGCATATGACTATTGGTGCGCAACATATACTGAGGCACCTTACAGTGCCACTAAAGGTATGGTCACCGACAGCGACAGCGACAGCGACACTGGCAGTAACAGCAGCAGGCAGTCATTGCTTCATGGTACGTTCTTCCAACCATATTTGTGTTTGTAATTCTCGCACAACTAATTATCTATAAGGTAAGACACGGTGGGTTTGGCTGTGTCTCTAACAAATCCCAGAAGGCTTTTGAAATTGTTATTTGCTCATCAGAATGCATAATTAGAGGGTTCGTTAGTGACGCTTAACTGTACAAAGGTATTGACTTCCGATTGCCCCACTGCCAAGAATGCGCGGTGCTACAAGTGTGGCATGATAAAATACCGTCCTAGCTAAGCATCCACTAACAGTTAACCGTACAGTGGTACATGCGGTAGACTGACAAGAATACAGTGGTAAGTGTGTGTTGGACGGCGTTTTTGCCTAAGAAAAATTGCTAGATGATGATTATTGTTCCGCTATTTCATTCTAGAGCATACCCGAAAGCATAACAGGTATAATATGGCTGTATTTCTTGAATCAATGTAACAATGCCATTGAGTGGCATGGTTTTATCGCAGATACTTCGTCGACAAAAGATTAACGAGGCTCCATAATTTGACGCTAGTTACCCAGGTAAGCGCTGCGACTATGTAGCTCCAAACGGACCGGCCTTGTGGGGTGACTCTCTGTTAAAAAACACCACTAATTAGCGGGGACATGTACAGGAATTCGGCGAAATTCATAGCTAATAACTTCCGATTCGCTAGCCGCTTCTTTTAATTTAGTTTCGCTATACGCTAGGTATCCCTGGTATCTAGCTATTTTGTACGCAAAGCCATGACTCGTAGCCGGGACCTTTCGCCTGGCTTAAAAGAATCAGCGGGTCCTCAGTTTTCGTCACTGTATGATAGCATCAGGCCAAATAGCCGCTTCCCCCAGTAGCTATTTTCTCGGTGTTTACTGTTGCCTTGCGGCACTCTACTCCATTTTACCATTTCAATATATCTCAATCCTATTGACAGCCATCCATCTCTTCTGAAGCCATCCACGCGGCAAATATGGCTACTGACGCGGAATGGCGATGTTTCCCCGAATTTGGTCCTCGAGAGCTCAATTTTAATGCAGTGCCACCAGGCGCCACACCTCCAAGAAGATTCTGGACATTTTGTTTGAATTTTGCGCCATCCGAGAAAAAGGGCGAAATGATAGTATTTTCTGCCCAATATGGCAATGGTGATATGACTCATGATCTTCACGAACGTGAGGACGATTCACTTGAGCAGACCAAAAAGTTCTATGGTGTATTAGCCACATTGGAGCCACCGTCTCATCCAAATTTCCAAAAGTAAGTCGCTGCCGTTACAGCAGGTGCCGGCCTGTTTGACTATATGCCTTCTTTACTCATCTTCACTTTTGGCTTGGAAATTTCTCTTTGCTTTTTTTGTCTCTTTCCCTCTTTGGTTTCTTTAAGCACTATCGCCGTTCTGACAAAGGTCTAGATACTTTGGAACAACTCCACAAGGGTGGGTTCGGCTTGAAATGCCCGAGTGCAGAATTATCGAGTTCTTCCAGGCAAATCCCAAGGCGAGGATGCCGGCTGGTACCATAGGTGCAGACAAACCAAATTTTATTTAGTAAGTCGGCCTTTTTTAACCCGTTGCTCAATTTTTTTTTTATTGTCCTTTTTGTTTCTCTCAGTCTTCTTAAATTTCCAAGGACCTGTCCAAATCTTGTTCGGTCGACTCGACACCGTCCGTTGATGCGCCCAATAATGCTGATATTATACAACGCAGTTATCGGTGGGCGATGCAGTTATTGGCTGCATTATCTTTCCTGCATAAGCACGAGTTTTTCCACACACAACTCTATCTGGACAAGCTCTGGCTCCGCAGTGATTTGAGTCTTGTTTTGTGTAATTTGACCGAGGCTTCACGGCGGGGAAATTGGGATGGTTGCTATTCTGACCCTCCAATTTCATGCGCCCTGCCGTCTGACTACCCATACTGTTCAGAGGACCAGCCCGAATCATGGCATACCCCAAAGCATGATCTATTTGCTTTTGGAACAGTTTTATATCTAATCCAAATTGAGACGGTGCTTGAAAACCCAGAGGATCCACTCACTCCAGAGCAAGAGGAGGTTGCTCTGAGTCTGCCCACGGGAGCCATTACACGAAAATGCTGGGATCAGTTGTATACAAACGCCGAGGAAGTAGTGGCTGATCTTAGGGCTGTCATTGAAGCCGAGGGTATTGAGGTTAATGAGCAGAACCAAGTCATTACAAGTGAAGGGCTAGGAAATCTCATGGCCGAATTCAACCCACCTCCTGTGATGCCAGATTACCGATAGACAGGATACAGTGAAGGATCAAGAATTGTGATAGTTTATCTCAAATACTTGGAAGGCTTTACTGTGTTAATTGGAGTCAGCTGTGAACAAGGACGAGGCAGCGCAAGGATCGCTTGGCGGATGGTCAGGATATGCTCTTCTACTAAGCTTGCTAGATATCCGAATAGGAAAAGAGTTGATCAATTAGATCAGCCAAGGAAAATTTTTCTTGTTCGTTTAAACTAACACATATCTACAATCCTCTCATTCCGTGCATGGTGTTTCCAGACAGAAATAGTTACGAATATCCTTCCACGGCTTCCACCGTCTTAGGTACCGCCCATTCCAATATCTGGTAGATCCAATGAAAACTCCGATTGGACCTCTGGAAATGTCTCAGTTGGGAGATTGTCACACGTGAAAGTAAGTCGCAGCTTTTTGGCCTCCCGCTGTGCAACATTTTTCCATTGGCCATCCAGATTGTCCTTATTATCGCTGCGCGGGTGAGCATGTCAGTTTTTTCCTCGTAACAAACTTTATTTATCAGGAAATGATTCACTTACTTTCGAACGATCTGCCATAGGGATTTGGCATTTTCGCGACCGAGCAGAACTATATTGTCAAGAAGTTCGCGAATAAAATTCTTCCATTTCGCCTGTAGAGCAGGGTCTTGGGCATCTGGATTTACTTCCGCATGCCAGCTGTCAAATTGGCCCATTAAGTCGTACATCCCTTGATAGGATGAACAAAACTTGGCTGAAACTTCCGGGAGGTTCATGTACGTAAACGCCATGCCAAGCTCTTTGAAGGCTAGCTTTCTTGCCTGTTCACTAAACTTTGAGAACGTATTGGGACTCACTCCTTGATTGCCTTTAAATAAACGCCCTTTAAGGTTGTTCACGCGTGCACTCAAAATTGTAAGTCTATCTTGATTGCCGCGACCCCGAGCGAATCCAGTACCAAGCTCCATCAACAGCCTGTCCATGAAACTATAGATAATTTGTCGGCTCGGTATAGCTGGATCTGAATGGTGGAAAAAGCTTAGCACCTTCACCGAAGGAAAGGGTTTTATGGATGAATTATCTTACTTGGAGCTCGCCAGTTGGTGCTGAACCGGGTTACATAATTTGTACCCCAGGTAGAATCCCACTGTGGTTCGGATCGTACGTTGTTTCCCCTTCTGCGGAGTGCACGGCTTGTAAGTTTCTGACGACGGAAATTTTGTCAAAGCAATTGGCATCCTTACTTTGAGAACCAAGGTAGATAGCCTGATATAGTGTAGTCGTTAAAAAATTGTGCCTATGTTCGCATTGGTCAGATCAAGTATCTTTTACTAATTTGTAGGCTCACTAACAATTGTTTGTGCCTCAAAAACATGCTCGGCTTTGGAAACTTATTGTTAGCCATCGAATCTAGCGGCCCAAGGCATGTTTGGACATACTTTCATAGTCAGTGCGACACTTCTGTCCCTCTGCATAGTATTCCTCATCGTATACATCTGATCTAAAAACATCCCAGTTGTCACACTCAGCACTAGCATTATGGTAGTACCTATTCAATGTTAACAAAGATGTTAGCATTGACAAAAAGATATGTTTATGATTTCCCATTGAAATGGACTTACTTTAAGACTGCAAGAAGGTAAGATTTGGAATCCCTATCCCAGTCGACCTTGGGAGGATCTATCATTTCATATTGAGGGAAGGACGGATATTGTGGGGACCTGACTTTCTTGCCAAAAACAGATATCGTCTTTTTGCCAGTTGTGATCCCCCCAATGTTGCGTTTCCCTACTATTGCAGTCGAATTAAAGCCGGTACTGCTGCCCATTTCTTCAAACCCTCTCTTCTTCGATGAATCGTCGGGGTCATCACCAGTATCTAAGAAATCATCTATTGCCGATGGATCATTATCATTGTCATCGCTATCTGGATCGTCAGCGGCACCATATATTGCCCTCATGCTAATGCATCCACAGCAACCGTTCTTTTCCTCTTCATTTGTAGTAACTTCGCATGTAAATGCTCCGGTTGCCTGGAAGACTACTGACGCAGCGTCGAGGCCTGCAAGAACATTGGCTTTTGAGGGAACAGCTGCCGCAAGTGCATTGAACAACTGATTTTTAGTAGCAAGAACGCCGTTTGCTGCTCCATTGGCTGCATGGGCCGCTGATTTTACTATATTAGGAAACAGATTTTTGTAAAGTATCAGACGGTTCTCGCCGGGTAAGTAAGTGCCTGTGGGAGTAGACCGGCGTTCGGAGTTCTCTCGTTTGTAGTTTCCAGACTCCGCCTGGTTGGGAAAGCAATTCCGAGGGCCCGCGACTGAGATTACATTAGCAAAACCCTTTTGCAAGCTTGCCTCCCTCAGCTTGGCTTGGAAAACTATTCATTGTGCCATAAAAGCTAACTTACCTCCGTATTTGTGAAACATATTGATGAAAAAGTCTCGGCCCCAATTGACAGTCCCCCCTCTCTGCATATTAGTGCTATGTGTTGCACTGCCTAAGACATACATGCAGGTTTGGTCCGGAAAACTTGTGTTATCTGCAGAAAATACAAGGGAACTCTCGACAGTAAGGGACATGTCGGGCATAGTCCCAACGTTGGAAGCAATAGACGATGGCAAGTTCAATGAGACAGATAACCCCTAGACATCGCGATGCGCATTAGCAAAGCCCCTTCAATGAGAAATAAAAGAGGAATATTACCAATTTTGCAATAGCAGAAGCTGATATTGATCCTGCGGTATTGCCATCAGGATTAAGAGTATTTGGGAAAAGTTGCCCAGTGGAAAAGATTGCAGGATCATTGCCATGTAAGCTTTCGTCTCCTGAAGGAGGGAAGTGCCTTTTGAAAGAGCATTAGCTTCATGAATATCCACATAAAACTTCTGAGTGACCCGTACTGAATAGTGTTGGGGAGATCTTGGATAACCCTCCCGCTTGAATATCTGCATCATCATATTAGTTTTAAATACTGCATAAAATTTGGTAGGTCTGACGTGCCCATTCCACTCTACTCCCTCTGCTCCAACATCTCCACCATTTGTACCTATGGAACCGTAAGCAACACTGCTGTCCATTAGTAGCTATTGTAGTTCTGATACATACCTGCCGTGTATTGAACCACTAAATAAGGATCAAATTTCATTAATCCTTTGAAAAGACTAAATCCTCCTTGATGCATTGTGTCGGCTTGCGAAATCATAGGGTTGGAATGGATTCGGTCAGCGTCGAACCTCCCTACTCCACTGAGCTCTGCACTGAGTAAAAAAAAGAATTAGTGAGGATCAAATTCCTATCAGAAATGTCAAACTTACATGAAATCAGTAACCCCGACGCCATTAAAGAAACCATTAGCCTGATGAACGTTAAGCTGTTGACTATCAATTGTTGCAATCATGCTGAAACCATAGTAAGTCTTTGCAGAAACCTCAGTATGAACACCCATGGCAAGTCCCTCGGGAATGAGGTCAGAATCCACTTCACACGCCTGGTTGGATTGGAAGAAGAGGAGTTTGTCTTCCATATAATTCCATGTATTGGAATTTTCGTTGAATTGAAGGGATTGAATCTGGTTTTGCCAGTCCTGGAGTGAATTACTGAAGAAACGGCGGTCAATGTCACGCTTCTTTTGTCCATTACCAGGATTATCAACCACAGCGTTCCAATAGCCTGAACCGTCAGCTACTAATCATAATAATAGATGGAAAAAATCCTTACCAGGCACGTTTGAAAAGTCAACACGCATGCTGATGCTTCCACCATCGCGACGGATATGCTTCATGTCATAATCGAAAGCAAAGTCGAAGACGGGTGAGGTTGGATTTCGAGTTGCGATGTCGTCGGGAATGGATTGATCTATGAAAAGCTTTTTAGCAATGAAAAGTGACTCAAACGGGTTTCAAACATACTAGAAGAGAGTATCATTGCAACCGCGCGGGCAAACCCGCCGCCACATTCTCGTGGCATTGAGACCAATGTGCCCTCAACACCTGCTTTTTGCACAGGAAAGCAGGTTGAAATCTCCTCATTCAAGCAAACAACACGGGCATGCTGCAGCTCATCATCCCCTCGAGAATGTGGGTCCTTGGGACAACTCAAGAATTGGATTCCATCCGTCTCACCATCTCTCTTTTTCATTCTCGATACTGCCTCTTCAGCGCCAGCAAAGAGCAGAAATGCAACGCCAGAGCTGTTTGGGTCTTCATCTCCATGATCCTTAAACCCGCCTCCAAAACTAATAAGATCATACTGGACAATGGCTGGGGGAGGAGGCCAGAATGCACTTGGGAATATATTTTCCAGGGGTACGATCGAAAAAGGTTTGGTGATACCGGTAGGGGGGTCACAGCAAAACTTTGCTTGTCTTGCATTGGCACAGGCGGTTGACCGTGAGCCACCAAATGGATCGGAGTCAAGTTCAAGCTGATTGCTGGGGCACCTTTCGGAACATACGCTGCCATCATGCCATTTGCAATTCTCCAACCCGTGGTCTGGAGGGCAGCACAATGCTCTCGTGAAGAATCCATGACCCCCCATTGGGAGTGGATAGGTGTCGCAGCGAAATGTATCGGATGGGCCACCAGTATCAGTTGTTAGTTTTACTGGTCGCTCCGCCGGGCATTCTGGGGATAAATCACAAAGACTCCATCGACAGCCCTGGATAGGCAGCATTAACAATGTGCCATAGGAATTTAGGACAGTTCAAAATTTCAGAACTCACTGGTTTTAATTCGTAGAGATCTGTAGCTTTGCAGCAATAGGATACTGCACCGCGACCACACCTGCTACCTGCCTCTCCAGAGGTGAGGCTTCCTTTCCTGTATAGCACTGTGGTAAGAAACTTGCAAGAGTACGGCTTGAATGGACAACTTCCAATCCATTTCCTTCAAATGTATGTTTCATGTTCACTTACCATCCCCAGCTGTCTGCGGTGACCTGTATTTCCTCGTCGTCACAGCTATTCAAAGTCAGTAAACGAGGAGCAAGTGATAGAATGTCAGTACATCATACCCTCCGTTGCAATCCGTACCAAGACCTTTCCCCCCATTACTATTTGCTCTATCGAAATTCCAGCGGCATTCAGAGGGCTTTGGAGCTGCAAATGAGGGGCAACAGACATATCTGAAATCGTTGGTGGGACAATTCTTTTGGCCGGCTTTCGTGCCGGTACGCGTCATAGCAATGTAACCCTTTGCGCAGGTCTGCTTAGAACCACACTGATCAGTCACATAACACCCCGTTGAATCGCTTTCTTGGTGTAGGATAGAAGTATCGCCAGGCTTTGGTGGGTATCGATGAATGGGACCCGGGTTAACAGGATTATCGGAACCACTCTGATCTGATGCAGACAAGGCGGAGAGAGCATCGTGATTGTGATTATCCCAATCTACCGACCAGATCATAATTCCACCTAAACCATTTCGGTTGGCAAAATCGAGCTTTGCCTGAAAGCTTGTTGGATTATCGTAACTGTGATAGAATATTTATATTAGAAATGATCATATCGGGCGTTCTGCTATCCGGGAAGTTGACTTACGATATCCAGTTCATGGAGCTATCGACTATATAATTGACGGCTGCCTCATGATCATAGATCGGCTGAGCGCCATTGCGATCAAGCACATCATATACTTCTTGAAGAGAGAGAATACCGGATAATCCAGTGCAAGGTCCCGGATCCCCTAGGCTTGCAAATTGGCATCCAGGGTGGGAGCAAAAGCCATCCGTAATTTTAAAAGATCTCCCGTATAGACCAAGTCCCATCACAATTTGGGATGGATCGACGCCAGCACGCCAGGCAAGATCCAAGGCAAACCCAACTTCTGTTAGATTACTATGTGCTTGCAGGAATCTTTCCTCTGAGCTTTTTCCTGGTTTGGGAGACCCACGTTAGAAAAGAATTACCAGGTTTGAAGTGGTTTCAAATGCCTGAGCTACTAGAACTTACTATCCCAAACACCATGTAGATCATAAGTCGCTATAAATTTCATCCTTTGTTAGCAGGCAGTTCACACTAGATAATTTCAAACAGTGGCCTCATACCGAAGTTAATCCAGTCAGCATAGGATGCCATTTTTGCGAGGTCGAAGTTTTGAAGGTAGTGGTAAGACATTGGTGCCGTAGCAGTTACGATATAATCGTGGGCATCTGCGCCAACAGCAATACGCAGTTCTTTGAGTAAAGCCACATAGTTGACTGTATCACCACCATTTCCACCACGCTCGTCGGCACCAGGGTAGTCCCAGTCGAAATCAACGCCGTCAAAACCATATTGTGACTGTCAAAGCCAAATTTAGCTACACTTTCATTCGAGATACATATCAAGGTGCAATGCATACAAGGAATCCGAGAAGGTTCTGAATGAACTTAGCTCTATTTGACTCGGTGGATACCAGAGATGAGAAGACGCCCTGCCAAGTTCCTGGGTTATTAAATGACCACCCTCCGACTGAAATTAGTGCCTTGAGGTCTCCATTGCGCTGCTTTAGATTCGGAATTGAGTTGAACACGGAAGGAGAAACACCATCCATCTAGAATCTTTTAGCTAAAATCTTGAGAAAAAGAAATAGTAAGATAGCTCCTACATTAGTTATCTCGAAAGTATCTGGTGTAATATAAGCAGAGGCAATAATGAGGTGTGTTAATTGGTCAACAGGAATTTCATCGGGCGACATTTTTCCTGAAATTAGTTTAATTAGATAATGCTCGGAATAGCTCGGAACAGCAGGCATTTGAATCGAACTACTGGATGGGATAAGCAATCAGGTTGTTACATACCACATGAAGCCGATTCGCTCAGACCTTGATAGTATCCAACTACTCTTTGTTGAACATCTGTCGCTGACACTGATGGCTGCGGTTGGAGACAATTACTTTGGCAGCCTTCACCACAATGGCCAGGTGTAACGCCGCATACGCCTAGATGCAAGGTTAATTAGGCATATTTCCATAAAGAAGTCGACTAAAACTTACCGTCCTTTGAGCAACATGCATTCAACGGGCAGGGTATTCCATCTTTGCATCTCACTTCGTCGCTTGACTGGCTCCCTCCGGGATTGTTTGAACAAGCACCTTCCGGGCAATAGCCACGACTGCAAGCAAAGTTGCAGAGTCCATCATAGACAGAACTGTCCATGCCTGCGGCGCCACGACCTGCGGAAGTAGTAGCCGGAGGGGGAACATTCAAGGCCCCTGTTGCAGTACACGTGCATGCGTTTATTGGGCAGTATCCAAAATTGCAGCTGAAGCTGCAAAGGCCAGCAAGATTGCCCTCCCCTGTGCCAGCGACACAAGCAGGGGGCGCGAAATCAGATACAGTTGGCGTGGTCAGCGGTACTTGAACCGTGCCACAAGCACCTTCGGGGCAATACCCGTAATTGCAAGCAAAGCTGCACAGCCCACCATAGCTAGCATCCTCGCCTTCAATGGGATATCCCTTAACCCCAGTGGCATCTGGCAACTCTCTCTGCGCGCCCATAGCAGTGCATACACACGCTCCAACTGGACAGTACCCATACGTGCAGGTAAAGCTGCAAAGACCCGCAAAGTTATTTGCACCAGTTCCCTCAATACAATGCTGTTTGTCGAGGTTTAGTGTAGGAGTTGCCGAGACAGCCTGGTTCCCAGTGGCGCTTCCAACCCAAGCATTCCAATTCTGAATACCATTCGGGCAATTTGTAGTTATAGATTTGCCAACTACCTGTGAAATTATAGTTCCAGATCTAGAGATTGTTACCACAACCTCCCCAGAGTGACCTGCAAATGGAATGCTCCCGTGATATATACCAACTCCTCCATCAGGAGTATTTTCCCAGGTCGCAGTGCGAACCACCCCTCCAATACTCACAGAGACAGTAGCGGGGGCTGTCAAAAGTGCAGAGAAAAATACTTTGTCCTGTACAACCTCTGTTGGTTCGAACTCGAGCTGCAGCTGGTTTGCAGTATTGCCCGTTGTACCACCACTATTGCATTCCAGTGATGGATAGAGACGGTACCATGTTACCAGGCCCTCCTCTGTAACAGTTGCAATACCATATTTGTATGTATCAATAACATATGGAAGAAAGAGGCGCCATCCATCATGTGGCATATTTGCAGCATAATTGTATGGTCCTTTTCCAATATCAAATGCATCAAATGCATTGTCATGCAAGGGAGCAATGTAGTGCGACTCGCCATAATCATTCCAGGAAATAATTTCAACAAAATCAGGTTGAACATATTGAATCTCCTGCCAACGATCATACCATAGGTCATCTCCACGCCATAACCAGTTCTTGTTGTAGCCAGGCAAATTGGTAAAGAACCATGGAGACGCTGGCATCATGTATGGCAATCCACCCAGAAATTGGATATATGAAGCATCGTCATAAGTCGTCATATCCTGATTGCCCCAAGGCCAGGCTGCCCAGCTGAAGAGTCCATCAGCTTGGCCAAGTTCTAGTGCTGCTTTAGCACCTACCGAGGACCAATCTGGGATAAAGAAACAGTTTGTAGATTGTTTGATTATCGCCCAGTCCGCCGCACTAGCCGGTCCTTCAAAGGTCGATACAAAGGGTCGTCCGTTGAATTGGTAGTATGAAGGGGCTGAACGGTATCCGTCTATATAAGCGATGACATTCTCTTTTGCCCATGGCCCATTGCCAGCATAATCGAAAGAGAAGAACAGCTTGAAGCCCAGACTATTGGCAGCGTTGAATGCATTGGCCACGGAGGCAGAATTTGTAGGGTCTCCATATGCCATATTAAGAGCAAAGGCATCGATATGAGCTTCCTGCGCCAGCCTAATCTCATTCTGCCAGTCTGCAACCGAGAATTTCGCAGCATTTGTTACCTGTCAGAGGAAGAGATCAGCAAGCGTAATATGAAATGGAAGGGACAGGGAATGTTGGTATATGGTCGTACCATGAAGTGAGCAAATACTGCTTTTGCATGTGCACTGCCGGCGAAGAACAAGGACCCGAGCAGGGTCCAGGCCAGCATAGCCAGATGCATCATGTAAATATTTTGTAAAGCCGTAGCTCATGAAGTGAGAGAACTGAGCATATGTGTATCAATCAATCTCGAAACGATGCTTGACAGCGGATCAGCATTAAGAGCTGTTAAATATATGCAACCTCAAAGCTGCCTGGGAGGAGCCCGCAATTGCTCACCGTAAGACCTCTGGGGGGGAATATATAATAGAAACAGCCATTATCAAAAAGATAAAGACTGTTGTTTCCACCGGGCTAAAGCTCGGCGAATCAAAGAATAAATTACAGAGCCCGTTACCGATTCCTAGATGGATATGAGTAATGCAAAACGGGCTTGATGCCCATGTCTGACATTTCAGCGCTGCTCATATTCCATGCGGGTGCGGTTAGATCTCGAAAGATGGGCAGCTATGGATGGATCCAGCCCAGTAAGACCCCTGAGTCTGTGGGCAATTTCGGGTCCTTGCTGCCATCGCCTGGTTTGCTTCAGGCAGACGTGACATGAAAAATGGTCTGAGCATCTTTAAACGCATGTCGAACACTATGAAGCCGTTCCAAACTAATAGCAAAGTTCTCCGGTATGGCGATGGGCGCTCCACAATCAGGGAGTCGAACTAAGGGCCATAGTATTTTCGAGCCGGGAATAAGGCCTTCTGTCGATCCTCTAGATTGCCCAATAGCAAAGCCATGAGAAGTCATGATTAGCACGGCGCAAGTGAATTCTCGTGTGTCAGCTGACAATCACAGCGGAGAGTCGCAGAGGTCCGAAGCATGAGAAAAGTCGACAGCCTTGAGGCCGAGATAAAAGAGGGTCCGGCAAAGTGGAGTATATATCCACCGCTGGTCACATAGACAACAAAGCATAGTCCTGGCGTCCAAACCCCACCTCCTTTTTCTGATGTTCTGGCTGTGCATACTTCCTGGCGACAACCTTTAGCTTTCTGTAAATGACACAAATTACTTTAGAAAATTCGTAGTACCTTTAGTGATTTCCTCATCAACCAGGCCGTTGACAATATTCTACTGAGCGGCAAGAAGAAAACCCTTTTGGTCGGCAGAAGAGACTGAAACGGTGCCAGTTGTAGTGAGCAATATTGTCACCCATGGCCGGGCCTCTATGAGTGTTGCTTTCAATGACATATCCTCGGCCCATGGCTATCATTCGGTCAATTTTCAGGAAAAGGGGGTGGAGAACTTCATCTGACTGTTTGGCTTGGCATGTTGTTTATACTCCTACGGAGTAAGGAACTGACATTGCCAAGCCTTGCCGTTCAGCCTGGTCATTTTTTTCCCTTCGGTTGATTGTGCCGAATATTCTCTTGGCAATCCACCTAACAAGTATCTCTACTTTGATTTGTCGACAGTCAAATTTCCATAATTTTCACTATGAAACGCCATGACAAATTATCTCAATAATGAAAACCCAGGCAGTGAGAATTCCTTGGCGTTTGCATTCCTCAGGTACTACTCCGTACGTAGCAGCTTTGATCAGGTACCCTGTATACCCTCGGTGTACAATCTAAGCCAAGCACGTGTCCTGAAAAGGATCTGGCTTTCTCTCTCACTTGCGGTAGAGGTGTTCGTTTAACGAGGTAGATTTAAGTGTTTTATAATTGATTCAAGTACAAAGTTCCCCAAATTAACATGCCTCTGGAAATCGATCGTACCAAGTGACAGTGACGCGTTTGAGAGGGTTTGAAGGTACTCCGTAAAGTTACTACTGATCTTTAGCAGCCGAGGGGAACGGAAGGGACGTGCAACAGGAACCCTGCATTCGCGGCAACAGCTACGGGCACGCTACGCGGAAATAATTAAACCATTCTTTAACTCCTTTAGCTTACAGCTCTCTACAAACTAAGAGGACTAACTGCCGTCAGCATCATTAAATGTTCACAGCTGAGGCTCGGAAAAAGTTCAACTCTAATGGGACCCCTAACCAGCAATGGACCCACTTGGGTTGACTGTTCTCGGAGAATAGATTCAGGTACGAAGATGCCAATCCAAAATGAGGAATTTCTTTCAGCTGATTTGACACATCTTACGATTAACGATAATGAGTGTGCGATCCATCCGGATCCTTTGCCGCCGGTCTTATTTCCTTGACAAAGACTCCACCGAGAGAGATCCGACGTGATCATTGTTGTGGAGCTGTCTTTCCAAAGACTTTTGAGTGTGCATTGTCATTGCTGCAATCTGTGTACTTGGATCTCTCCCTAAACGTATTTTTTTATACCTCAGTGTCTATCGGCCACAGGTTTCCCAAGATTGAGCATTTATGCCATATCGATTGGGTCACTCTTGAGATCTCTCATGAATCCCAAATTACCAAAAGCATTGGCGCACATTCTGCTGCCATGGGCAGTTCTCCTGTTCTTTCCAACTCAGGGTCACGACACCTCCTTTGATGCCAACCTGTGGCCCGGTGCATCAGAGAGCTGCATCGCTGCATTGAATGCTCCCTTGGCTTGTCATCCTCTGCTTCCCAATCTTTATGGCGGGTTTTACAATCGCCTGAGCCTCCGCACTCTCCAAGGAATCTGTACGGACCAGTGTTTTGCTTCCCTGCAGGAGCACCAGCAGAATGTATCACTGTCCTGTGGCTCGACAAAGTATTACGATGAGCCGGCCAACACATATTACCCTGCCGCAATATTTGATATTCAATCCCTTCATGCCTTCAACCAGACTTGCCTCAGATCAAAGTAAGTATTCTTGCCTGCCGCTGTAGGTACTCAGTGAGGAATCTAAGAGACCATGACATAGTGGCGAATTTTGCGAAACTTATTTTCAGAACAATACCAATCAAAATCTCTGCAACGATTGTTACCTCCAGTCACTTCAATTCCAGCTAAACTACGCCTTACATGGGCAGGATGAGGATTTGGCCAGCAGCTTCGGGTCACTTACAAGTCAATGCTCCTCAACCAAGTTCCCTACAACTTCTCCCACACCAATCGGTTCAAGCATGTAAGCACCTGTTAAGGGAAAGCTCCTGTTTAATTGTCTTTTCTTTTTTCTTTCCGCCCTTTGCAGCCATTCCATGTCTGACAAATCACATAGATCTGCTGCCGTTCCAAAACCCACTTGCACTGGATTCATCTATCAACTTCAGCCGTCAGATACCATGTACTCTGTTTCGGAGGCGCAGCGAGTCTCTACGGACACATTATTGAACCGGAATGCACTTGCTAATGATGAATCATCGTTTCCCACGGAAGGGTCTCTGTGTATTGAAGATCAATGCGATGTGCATGTTGTACGAGTGGGTGAGACATGTCGGAGTATTACACACAATGCTGGCATCAGTCGGGCTCAATTACTTTCGTGGAACGCTAATATCCATCCAAAATGCACCAACATCAAAATGCTTGTGAATCAGACATTGTGCATCTCTAATCCATATGGCAACTATACAATTGAACCAAATAGAGAACGGCACAGCCACAAAACTCGGACACGAAAATTTCAGCCGCCTCCTATTTCACCGGTGCCATTTAGAGAGATTCCCTACTCAGAGTTCCTAAAATATATCCCTACACCCACTATGACATTCGAGGCTCAGGGTGAGGGGTCCCGCTGCTCTGGAGTGGGCTATGGATGGTTGCTTGCCAAGCAAAATGGTACTTGTGACCACTTACTCGCTGATTCTGGCCTGAGCTTTGAACACTTCTACGAGTTAAATCCTTCGGTAAGCTTTTCTCTCGAGAGCTCCCATTCAAGTGTTTCTATCTGACTAGTGATGGCCATAGGTTGGCAATGATTGCAGTGGCGTTGTTGCAGGAACACGATATTGCATTACTTATTTAAACAATGGACCTAGTACTATGCCGGCCGACCTCTACGGGACTGCCTCTGCCACGACTAACTTCCTCGTAAGTTCCGCCCGACTCCCGTTTTCTTCTCCGCTCTTTGCCTCAATACTAACGAGTCCAAAAACAAAAAGCTGCCGACAGTAAATAATTCACAGACAATTCTCAATTCAACATACCAACCTATCACCTTAAACGGCCGGCACGCTCATCATAATCGTCATCATAGTCGTCATCGTAGAACAATCTAATTTTTGGGAATGGATAATCTCATTATTAGCGGCGAAATATTTAAATATATCATTAGCAGCTTTGGCTTCGTTTATCTGTTGTTGTCAGAAAAGAGCTGGCAGAGTAGAGAGCGGGTACCAAGCAAGGATTTTGAGTGCTGGCACAGTACTTGTATTAAATAGCCAACTTTCGATTGCGAAATGTGAAGCCACTGTAGCGAAGACTGGGACTCGGTACTCTCTAGCCATCTTATAGTGGTGTTCGTAAAGGCACGCCAGGTATGCCTTTACCAGTACGGACCTGAAATGATGAAACATCGCTTGAGGTATAATAGCCCCTCTGAACATCATGAGTCTCAGCCTTCACAATTTGAAAGGAATAATTACGGTTTAAAAGCAGGCAAAAGATAATCACCATCGTTCGAGTCATAGTAGCAGTAACGGTAAAGGAATTGGGAAGGCCGTAAGCTGGTGATGCGATAGATCACTCAAAGATAAGCGATAAAGTCCCATCCCAAACTAACGTTCCTTCTGCCCCGTGCGACGTTTTACCCCAAAGTCGGATATGAAGACATGCTTGACCCATCTTCTATTAACCTAATCTCTTCGCCGTGAAACGCCTGATCAATCCTAGGGTCTCCGTTTTCTTTCTCCAAGAGTGATTCTGCAGACTTCCAAGCTTCGTTTCGTGCAGCCCTTAAGCGTACCCAAGTTGTCAATCACCCATCGCCTGTCGGACCTCTTCCACGACGTCATGTCTGAACGCGTTCCTCCGGTGACCCTTGAAACCTTACCACAACTTCTCGAGCATGACGACAAGGTCAAGCTCGCAGGAGTTGATGTCGATGGCATTCTCCGCGGCAAGCTCATTTCCAAGAAAAAGTTCTTATCCATTGCAGGAGATGGCTTCGGCTTCTGCTCTGTCGTCTTTGGCTGGGATATGCATGACCAGACTTATTTTCGAGAGCTGAAGATTAGCAACAAAGATAATGGCTACAGAGATTTGCTCGCTATCCCCGACTTGTCTACTTACCGTCGTATTCCTTGGGAGGGCAATGTTCCCTTCTTTCTTGTTCACTTCTATGATCCCGATACAAAAGCGCCTCTCTGCGCAGATCCCCGAGGGCTCCTCAAGACAATGGTGGAAAGGCTGGAGAAACATGAACTGGGCGCCATGGCTGGAGGTTCGTATTCAAGAAATATTGATGCGCAGCGACCACTGTTGTGCTCTCTTCGCGGCATAACAACGCGCCGCTGACCCCGATTGCTTTAGCGGAATATGAATTCTACCAGTTTAGAGCCCCTCCCAGCTCAAACGGTTCGACCTCCGAAAGGAACACTTCTTCGACGGCGAGCTTTTTAAAAGAGAATCCGGTTGGCGCGTTGCCCCCGCTTACCGAAGGCATGTTTGGTTACAGCTTGACACGCCCTGTGCACAATCAGGACTATTACTACGGCATCTTTGATGCGTGCCAACAATTCCGATGTGGTATTGAGGGATGGCACACTGAGAGTGGTCCTGGTGTTTTTGAAGCTGTAGGATAATCTCTTTGCTCGTGAGAGATATCAGAGGGATGGGCTCATCATTCTCAATCTTTAGGCACTCGAGTTTGACGAGATCAGAGAGATGGCAGATAAAGCGGGACTTTTCAAGTTAGTAACTTGGCCCCTGAAGCAACCTGTGCTTCGTTGACGTTCTCTCAACAGATACGTCGTTAAATGCCTAGGAAGCAAATCCGGAATCACGCCATGCTTCATGGCCAAACCTCGCGAAGGACTCCCCGGAAACTCTGGCCATATGCACGTTTCGATTGTGGATAAACTGGGCAAGAATTTGTTCTATCGAGGCGAAAAAGACGAAAATGCCCCATTTACAGACGTAGCATACTTGTCTGACATGGGTCGACACTTTCTTGCTGGCCTCATCGACGGTCTTCCAGATATAATGCCTATCCTTGCTCCTACGATCAACTCGTACAAGAGGCTTGTTGAGAACTTTTGGGCCCCTGTAACTGTGTCATGGGGTCTAGAACATCGCGCCGCCTCTATCCGGCTCATATCGCCGCCTTCTTCAAGCCCGAAAGCCACACGCTTTGAAATGAGAGTACCGGGCGCGGACGCCAACCCTTTCCTTGTTCTTGCCGCCATTCTTGGCCTTGGATGGCGAGGCGTGGAGAAGAAGTTGGAGCTCAAGCTACCACCTCTAGGCAAGGGTGAAGACGTCGGTGGCACTTCAGACCAAGGAGTACGGCTCGCGAAATCGCTTAAGGAGGCAACGCAGCGATTTATGAGAAAGGAAAGTGTCGCTCGAGAAGTGTTTGGAGATGACTTTGTCGACCATTTTGGTGGCACAAGAGAACATGAGATTCGGCTCTGGGATGAAGCGGTTACAGATTGGTTCGTGAAAAGATACAATTTTTTGGGCAATCAATCAAGCTGTCAAGTTGCTAACTGAATCGTTTTTACAGGGAAGTCAGAAGATATATTGAAACTGTTTAAGTTTTACATCCCTAGACACTTACATTTAGATTTCTGTCTAGCCCAAATGGATATATACAGGTTGCTCTGGACGGCAATAGAGAATGCTTACACGCATGGATTTTCTAGCGCATACCCCAGTTGTCACATCTTACTCATCTAGAAATTTATCTTCCGTTGTTCTTTACATGTTCTAGAGCCAGTGTTCGTTTTTCCACGTCATCCTAACAAAAGGCTAGCTTTTGGGGCTAGAGAGATGTGACTTGGTTTGGAAAAGTGACTCTCGCGCCTATTGAAGATGAAAGCTTAAGAAGGTCGCACAGACCTCACATGAAGCTCCTGTGTGAGCCTAGATTGTAGTGATAAGGACGCATATGTTGCGAAACAGTACTCGTCAAAAGTGTTTCTTCATGTTTTGCCAATTGCAAGAGGTCAGAACTGGGTATTACGCTCGTAGTTCTACGCAGCAGTATTGTAGTGTCCCAGAGTTTATGTGGCAAGCACTTGGGGCGGTTGAGGCCAAACTTGCCACACAAATAGCAATCGTGAAGAATTATTGACTGATGCAGCTCCCTGCACAATTGCTCCTACTCTCTGTCAACTCCGGATGGATGAGCTTTACTTGTATATAATTATGCACCCATGAATGCTTTATGGGCCAAAAATTGAACAGTTTCTGATAAGAGGAGGGCAAGGAGGGGCTCGACCAGCGCTAATGACGTGGATTGAAGTGAAGACTTTGGGATTACAACCAACATTTGCACAGTTGCATCGCCGCTAGATAACTGAACGGTATCCAATTCAGCGCTCCAATGACGATACAGTGTCTACAAACTCCTTATCTACCTACAACTCTCTATTTTCTTCAGCGCTGCAGGATTAGGTATGCATCTGCCGACCCTTGACATGTGCTGAGACTTATTCCTACATGAGCAGGAGAGGAATCTTCAAGATAAGCCCGGTGCACCCTCTATTAAAGCACGGCAAAATCACAGGCTGGCATTCAACGGCGTGCCCGAAAAGCAGAAGCAGCGCGGTGCTACAGAGTAGATTGGTTGGCTACAGCTTTGTTGTGTCTGGCTCGTCGTTTTCGTTCCCAATGGTTCCGTCGGTCAGTTGCGTCCATTCCCCTTTGTCGTCTCCACCTTTACCAGCTTGACTCGCCTATCACCAGCGAATAGGGGCGCCGTCCGCACTTCCGCTCTCTGCTGTGCCTATCGGCTTCTCCATCTTTGGCCGTTATAGCTCCCGAGAGACCGCGCCCAGGATAAAGGGTCTGCATCGAAAGCAACAATAATGAGGAAGTCTCGGCACGGTTTGAAGTCACGAGTCAAATGATACTTCCTCAATTTTATTGCTTTTCCCGGCAACGTCAATACTGAAAGTGAATATGAATATGAATAACAAAACTATGACCATGAATACGACAGCTCTCAATGGTTCTGGCATCCAACTCCGGCTCGTCGGATCCTTATCCGGAAGCACGGTTATCGTATCCGATTGTCACATAACAATGGCAATTGAATAATTGGAATACACTTGCTGATTTGCTTTGCAGCCCAGACCTGATGGGGACCAAAATATGGGTCTCGGGCGTTTTGACGCCATGAATAATCCGCATCTACAGAGTACTCTGTACTTTGTACAGTGCTATGAAATGTATGACGGGTGAAAATGAGGGGCCCAGTCCTGCTGGTCCTCGTGCAGCGCCACGGCTGGCGCTTCACTACCGACCTGATGAGCATTAAGACGGTCGGACCATCTCGCTCCTGGTCATGTCTTGCAGATCAAGCTCCACTATTGGACTCTCTTGCCTCCCACCATCAACCAAACGGCCATGATTGATTGCTGTCTTGAAGGCCAGGTTTCGAGACTGGGAGGCAATTCCAGTACGAAGCTACATTGAAAGTAATTCTGGGGGAGGAAAAAAAGCCTCAGCTACTCTGTCGGACAATAGGGAGATAATGAGGATCAAAGCAGGCTGGCTACATGGACATTTGACGTGCAGAAGGGCATGAAGAACGAGGTATGTTAGCATGAGGTCCGGCATTTGAGTCTTATCTTGCTATCTCCTAATACGTTGCCGACCGAGCATGTGCCTTGTTTCCCTTGTAATCATCTTAATACTCGTAGGAGCGGGCGTATGTCTTAGTGGTTTGGGCTAGTTACAAGACAGGCTATCTATGAGTACGAGATTGATTCTTCTCCATGTCTGGATAGCGTTCACCTCGGCCTGCCGATTGGTTGCACCGCCTTCCATGGCTGGTCGCTGATACAGTGATTCTGTAGCGTATTGGACTTTTTACAGTAATCCAATAAAACTTTCCCTACCAGCACACAATTAACCTTCAAAATCATCCAATTCTTGTTTAAGCCTTGCTTTTTTGTTCCTTCCCTTCAGAGATAATTTTACCGGCCGGGCGCAAATGTGGATCGCTGGCCATACATGGAGACCATTACGATTCCTTCGCCGTCTGTATTCCTGACCTCGCCAAAGCTGGAACCCTCCGCCGCTTTTGCGAAGCGGAGGGCTTCCCCCAATCGGTCCCCGCAACCCACAAAGCCCTCAGTCACAGAGACGGACAATGGCAAGGGCAATGTCAATGTAAAACCCAAACAATCAAAGAGTCGCAATGGTATGCTTTTTTCTCAAGCACTGCTCGCCTCATGATAGACTCTGCTGTGCGACATGCACCTATCTTGGAGAGGGGCTAGATCTATTTCATCAGTTGACTGCTCTTGAATGAGTACGCTGACGCAGGATTTTTAATGTTTAGGATGTGTTACGTGCAAGGCCAAAAGGCTGAAATGCGATGAAACAAAACCTTCATGCAAGCAGTGTCATAAGCGCAATGTATCGTGTGGGGGTTATAAGAAGGACTTCAAATGGCGGTCGTTTGAGGAAGGCAACTTTGTTAGCAAACCTAGCCCGGCCAAGGCCAGGAAGAGTAAGCACCCCAGATGATGACGCGATTGCAGCCATTCTAATTTCTACTCCCCCATTTCAGTCTCCAAACCAGATGATCAACCTCCTGCCGTGGCTGCTAGTAAAGTGCCCGCATCTGATTCCCAGGAAAAGGACAAGTCCCGATCGAGGAGCAGCACGACGAAGGCTACCAAACCGGCGCAGACTGAAGTATCTGCTACCCCAGAAGAGCATGATATTGTCTTCCCAAGCATTGACTTTTTGAACGATTTCGACACACACCTTCCGGAAACTGAAGTGTTGCTGCAATCGCCAGAAATTCCTGAGTCGGCCTCAAGCTTTACTGAGCTTTTTAATGCTCCTACTATTGACTCTAATCTTCGTGCACTGTTTGAAGATCCTCGCACTGTGCAGTCTTCTACTGGAACCGCAGAATCATCGCCTCATCTACTGGATGGCGCGGATAGAACTATCTTGGGTGTCCCGCCTGGTATTCAGTCATTTGACTTTGAGGCACCCCATTCTTCTCAAAATCAGAGGACTGGCCCTGAGAATGCCAGAGACGATGAAGACGTTGAGGAGATTGCGCGAGAGCCAGAATTCGATCTCGGCCAGGGAACCAGGGGATTACGGCTTTCATCGCCTGCTTCGTCCAGCACATCAAGCTCATCAACATCTTCGAGCGTCGGTCGCTCAAATCCAATGGCCAGTTTCTTCAATCAGCCGGAGATGCACGCGTCCAGTCCAGAGATGCTTATACTCCGTTACGACCGAGAAACGTGTGGAATTCTCTCAGTCAAGGATGGGCCTTCAGAAAACCCTTGGCGAACGCTAATATGGCCTCTGGCACGAGATTCTCCAGCATTGTATCATGCTATCATTTCCATGACGGCCTTTCATGCTTCCAAGAATATGCCTATACTGAGAGTAAAAGGTGTAGAGCATATGCAACGCAGTGTTCTAGCTCTGGCTGCCGGGCTTGAAGGGATGAGAACGGATGTTGCCTTGGCCACAACCCTCGTTCTAGCGTTCTCGGAATCCTTTGACCAGCACATTTCCACGGGAATCAAGCATCTTCGAGGCGCGAAGATTCTTGTAGATCAAATACTTAATCTGCACCGCGCACGCCGCTGGCGAGGTTCAGACCTTCCAGGGATCCAATTTCTCTGTAACGCCTGGGTGTACTTGGACGTCATTGCGCTGCTGACGTCTCTTGACGGCGACGACGTGAACGATTTTGAAGAAGTCATTGCACCATTCGCCACCCTCCCAAATACAGCCATGGAACTCGACCCTCTCATGGGCTGCGCGACGACTCTGTTTCCCCTCATTGGGCATGCCGCGAACCTCATTCGCCGCGTGCGCAATTCCGCGAGTAACTCGATTCAGATTGTGTCTCAAGCAATGGAACTCAAGTCCAAAATTGAGGCATGGCAGCCTCCAACGCTCTTTGAGCCGCCGGAAGACCCGACTTCGGAAATCTCTCACAGCCTCCAAACTGCCGAAGCATATCGCTGGGCTACGCTGCTGTATTTGCACCAAGCAGTGCCTGAAATCCCGTCGCTGACGTCCGCTGAGCTGTCAAGAAAAGTTCTTGTTTTCCTCGCTACCGTGCCATTGACATCTCGTACTCTTGTTGTTCAGATATACCCGCTTATGGCGGCAGGGTGTGAGGTCGTCGCTCAGGAAGACCGGCAATGGGTTAGGGACCGCTGGTCGGCCATGGCACGACGCATGCTCATTGGCAACATTGATCGTGGCTGGGAAGTCATGGAAGAAGTATGGTTGCGACGAGATCGGCATCGAGAAGATAGGCTACGAGCCAATCGACGTCGTCGCATTGCGTCTGTCGGAAGTGTCGCGCCAATGGATTTCCCTCCTCTGTCTTCTGCACCGATTACCTCCCTTCCGATGCGCGGCTTTAAGAGAAATCATCACACCTCTTCGCTTTTCGACGACGGCTTTTCGGCGCCGGCCAACCCTTTCTTTTGGGGCATGGACTCGGCTCCCCACTCCGCGACGGCTGGCAATCTTGAGGGATTGAATTGCTCATCGTGGCCGCCAACGGATACCACGTCCTTTATGGGACTTGGGTCTGATAATATGTTTGACGAGCTTGATGATATTCCTGAGTTCAGCTTTGACATGGACTTTGATCTTGGCGATGGCGGTAACGGGAGCGCTGATGTCGGCGGCCAAGATCGCAACGGCAGTCGCAATGACTACCAAAGCGGCCCTACTTTATCTTCAAGCAGCGGCCTTGTGGCCGATGCGCTTGGACTGGGCAGTGATCAAGTGCCCGGCGTCGCCGCAAATATCATGAACGGAATCAACATTCCCGGCGTTGCTGGTGCACCTCTTTCCGGTGCCAGTAGCGAGGGTCTCGATCATTTACCTACTCCAGGTCGTCGTGATCGTGGTCGCGGTCATGATGGAAAACAAGATCGGCACCACCGCGACCGCGACCATGACCGTGATCAGGACGGGAACCAAAATGTAGACCGTGATCGCGAGGTAAATCGGCATGAACGGCGCCAACGAAAGCGATCCATGGCAGCAGCGGCGGCGGCAACAGGACCAAGAGGAGAAGCTCCAGGCCTTGTGGGAGGCGTGGCAGCTGTAGGAGTCTTGGAAGCTACCGCGCCTAGACTGGGAATGGGTATGGGTATGGGAATGGGGATCATGGGCCGCGGAACCAGTGGATTCGGTGCAGGTCCATCATCAACATCCTCACCAACATCAACAAGGACTGGCTCGACGTCCTCGTCCGCAATGCCCAATCCCGTTGACACGAGTATGATGAAGGAAGATTTGGAGTATGACTTTACGGTTCGCGGGCGATTACATTGGGTTGGCGTTATGCGGGATTGGAAATGGGAAGGTTAGTTTTTCATATCTGCGTCTTTCAACAGTCACAAGCTAATCATTTGGTGGTGATATTTTAGTTTTACTTGGATGAGCTGGCTTAGCCGTTGTCATTTCGGCCCTTAACCCCCCCATCGTCGACAGTTATTCCATGCACTTTATCATTGAATATCCCTCTCCTGGACCGTTTAGTTCCAAAAACGTTTATTGCGTCCATGTGTAGCGTTTCTGTTTCGGCATATTCCCCCTCTGTATCTAAGTCTGATAACATGAGTCCATGAGTCTATGAGTCCACAAGCACTTGATCTATCAATTTTTTAAATTCCACATTACTCTCATTTCCATTCTTCTAGCACCGTATATCAGCTACCGCTGCTGCTGCTGCTGCTGCTGCTGCTGTTCTACCCCCCATTCGATCAGAACCTCCTACAGTATAGAACAGAACAGCATTGACAATCCCATTTAATCCCATTTATCCCATTGAATGCTACTAACAAAATTCCTTGAGCTCGCGTTGCGGAAAATACTTTTCTTCCGCCCCGTGCACTCCCCCTCCCGCAACGTGCTCTCTGCTCTTGCTCTTCTTCTCCTTCTCCTTCCACGCCCAGATCTCGTCATACTCCTCGCCGTTGGAAACGCCGTTCAGCACATTGACAATGTATTTGCCGATTGTCGGCAGGAACTTGTAGCTGTGGAATGAGCCCCCGACGGCAAAATACACGTTGCCCAGCCGCGTGTCGGGGTGCGCCGCGATCAGGTGGTCTTGCGTCGGCGAGGCGGAGTCCCTGTGTGTATCGATATCGATATCGTGGTCAGATGGATATCGGTGCTGTCGGCGATAATGATACGCTGATGCAATGATGCACAGATGCGTTTTATGGCTTGGGGGTTTGGGGGTTTATATGCTCGGGTAGATTGTAGATTTGGTTATAGGTATGGGAGGTGGGAGGAGGGTGGGATGACACATTGACGCGCTTTATGACTTGAAGATATATATGCTCGCGTAGATTTGGTTATAGGTATGGGAAGGGGGAGGAGTGTGGGGGGATTGTTGAGGGAGAGGAGAGAAAGAGAGAGAAAGACGGGAGGGAAGAGGTGGTTGGAGGGGAAGAGGGGGAGAGAAGGCGGGGGGAAGGGAAAGAGAGAAAGAGAGAGAGAGAAAGAGAATGAGGGAAGGGGAAAAATGAGGGAACTCACCAGCAAAGCCTCCAATAGTCGACGCCGCGCCCGTCATCCAACATCTGAGGCATCGAGCGCTTCACATACGCAAGGGTCTCCTCCTTGAGTTTCTCCGGCACGACGCTCTGATCGGAAGAGAGAGGGACAGAAATCTTCTGGCCAGACGGCGTGGTAATCACGTTGACGAAGCTCTTGGCGTTGTTGAACTTGAGGTATCCGTTCTTTGGAGGGATAATTTCGCCTGTGTGATTATTCGTGCGAATCAGTGGCAGCCTGGTTATGCAGGAAATTGAGACACATCTCGATATAGGTATGGGTATAAGCCGCATAGCCGCATGGGAATAATGTGAGTTAGGTATAGGGTGGGCAATAGAAAGAAACGGGATCAATAGGAGCAATGGGGATGCGCAAAATAAAAATAAAAACAAATAAATGAATACAAAATAAATTAAAAAAAAAAAAAGGATAACAGGCATACGTACCGTGCTCACCATACACCACGACAGGCATCTTCTTCAACTTCTCCATTTCCTCCCCCTCCTTAATCTTAACATGTGCAACACACACTCCCGCCGCCGTGATCTGGGACTCGACGCGGTCTTCCTGCTCCAGACCAAGCTTGTCTTCGGCGCCAGTCATGAGCGCGCTCGTCCACGCACCCGTCGCGAGGAGGATCTTCTCTGCCGTATATATGGTTCCGTCTACAGTCCTCACGCCTCTGGCTTTTCGCTCCTTGTCCTGTTCGTCCAGCACCAGCTCTACAGCCTCGCCAACAGCATATTTGACTCCTCTCTTCATCGCGTCGCGCACCATTGCTTCTCCCGCCTCGGACGCGTCCGCCCACCCGGCGAGCGGATTATAGTAGGCATTAGCAAACCCACTCAGGTCTGTCCGCGCGAGTAGTCCGTCCCATTTCGTTCTGACTTCCTCAAAGCTGAGGTCCTGCGTAATATTTTCGTACGCGCTGCCGCTTTCGCGGAAATTTTGGCGCACCCGGTCAGCAAGATCGCTGCCTTTGCTGCCGAGATTAACCCAGCCGGTACGGTGATACAAACTGTTTTCTGGATCTTTAAATCCCAGGGGTTTTGTCGTCAGCTTTTATATGACACATTCTCTACCATGACACCTTCTTCTAAAAAAAAATGACGCCTTGAGAGGGCTGTGTACCTTTTGCTTTAAACAACTCGTTTGTACTCCACGCATCAATGGCTTCCAGCGCCAGCTTCATATAGGTCGCCTTCCCATAGTCGGCACGGATAATCTTATGCAAATCTGTCGAAGCAGCTAGCTTCGACGGCACTGGACCCCGATCAAGCAGCGTGATTCGCGATGGGTCGGGATGCGCAAGGGATAGGTGATATGCGGCGGATATACCAAAGATGCCGCCTCCGACAATGAGAACGTCGGATGAAATGCTCCGCTCTGACGAAGGTGCAGACTATGGCTAATGGTCAGAATCCCCCCCGGCTGCTGGTGATGTCAAAGGCAAAAGGAATTGAAGTACCCACCATAATGTTTAATATTTAAAACTTGTACCACGTCTTCTCGTTGTCAATTGGTGTTTATATAACCGCTCGTGTTTGTGAAATGATGGATATCACGGGAGTTAAGGTTGGTGAAATAGGGGGTTTCTACGGACTGAATCGGACACAGGATTAAGATATGGGGTAGGCAATTAAGTAAATTATTAAGTGGGACAAGTCTCGATGAATCATAATAATCCCCACTTGTTGTTCGATAAGGTTGCGCTTTCAACAGCCATCCCCCAGGGCCCTCCTATCACTTTCGTATTTCCCCACCGCGCCCGTGTTGTCGTGTTTATCGATAGCCGATAGGGGTTCGTATCGTTCGGCTCGGTATTCTAACCCGAACTAGTGATCAACTGTAGGGCGTGTCTTTGTCTGGCAAAAGAGTATACCACATGAAGCTAGAAATTTCCATTGGACTGTGAATCATTCAATTCTGAGAGAATCGAATCGAGAGTTGAAGAAAGGGGGTTAAGGTACTGGATCTACAATAGTGTAGTGACGAAAGATAGGCAGGATGTTGTAACGGGCCGACGCCGGTTTGCTCGAGGTCACGTGCTTTGGTCTACCGCTCTTATCGGTTATACTCCGTAGCTTCTCTGCGAGGGTTTGCTTGGCCATCTAAAGCGTTGAGAGGACTCTGCCACTGTTGTATATTTATTTTTAGCTGGATAGGATTATCTTTATGAGCGCCACAAACTACGGATGAGAGGTTTGTGGTATTCAAATTTTGATGGTATTGGATCGAGGCGATCTGAGGATAGACAAGCCACAACATTCCTGTGGCTTGTGAGGAGTCTTGGCACGCGGGCAACGCGGGGTATGACGGCGGGCATAAGCGAGACGCGCTAGACCCCACCATTGTCCCAGCCACAACAACGTCAGTTCTTCCCTAGGTCGCGCGTAAGGCTTTGTTTACATTTGTTCTCTCATCAAGTCTCGTCGATAGTTCCATCTCCAGAATAGTTATACTTCATTAAATAGGGCTAGACAGAATAGGTCTACTATAGCTTCGTAGGAACAAGCAATGGAATAAAGGGAATAAATAAATTGTTGCAACGTAGCGCTTGATACAGGCATAGGGGAATGTGTCGCGTGATCTGAGAGAATCACATTTTAGAAATACACAAGAGAAAACCACGGCGCAGGCAAATAGCAAAGGCATTTTAGATTGGTAGATGTACCTTGAACGACATTCGCCTCAAGAGCAGATGCAACGATCCAAATAAACATAAAGAGGAAACAATCTAGCATCAGGATCTCAAAACGTTGATTTCTATGTACCATAGAGCGGAGAACAAAATATACAAGCGCTTAGAATTGTAGTCATGCAATGAATCAGTGGAAGAAATGCGGCCTAAGGCTTGCTCCTTCGTGAGGGTCAAATCGCGGTATAAGGAGTCAAGAATATATATCCTAACGTCCTCGTTGACTGATGCAGAATACTCTTCTGGAGAGCAAAGAAGACAGAAGCGAAGTGGAGCGTTCAAAGTGCCTTCAAAGACGATGAAGCACGACAGCAAACCAGCCGAAGAGCGTAGGGAAGCCATGGTCGGTGTCGAGGAGAAGGCAAGCTTGAAAAACCGGTGAAAAATCAAGCGGGGTTTTGAGAGATAAACCGAGAAAAAAGAAGGGAGCTTGAGAAGCGACCGGGATTCGAACCGGAACCCCCTGCAGGTACCCCCACCATCCCCCCACCGGATCGCGGGCCGGCCCGCAGCCTGGGGTTCGAACCACGATAGTGGCATAGTATTTGTGCGACATCATCAACGTTAAATCAACGTCGTGATGATTGAATAGAGATATAGTATAATGGAATCGAAAAGTAAAAAAAGGCCGGACACATCTCAGCGAACTGAGAGCCGGCGAGCAACCGATAGAGCCGGAATATCCTCTGTTTCCTTTCGGATTTCCGGCTCGCCTCGCGGGGCTTGCTGAACGCCTGGCCGGGAATCTTCTGAGAGAGTACTCGGCACCGCCCTTACGGGAAGGCTTCCTACTCAAAGAAGACGACCGACCAGTGGAAACTCAGCAATCTGCTCCCACTACGCCAATGTTTCGGAGACTCAAAGGTCGGTTCCAAAAAACTCATATTTATCCTTCCCTTTCCTCGGTTCGTCTCCTCCCCTACCACAAAGGCCCATGTCCCCTCCCGTCGCCTCGCTTCCCATGCCGGCTCGCTCTATCTCGTCCTTGACCTGCTCTTCTTGGGGCCCGACCTGGAGATGAGCTGAACGTGACGCTCAACTTCCCATCTTTATCCACGCCTTTTCGTGAGGCTATCTCCATCCGCCACCCAACAACGGTCGGCAAACATGTTATGCTCCACCCACTTCGATGATTCGTGTATGATGTCCGATCCCCATCAACCCCTCGCTATTCATTTCTCCATCCCACCACGCTTCGCAAAATTTTCTGTATATCGCGTCCGTAAGCTTAAGGGAAACGATTTGGAGAAGTACTGGTGCGCCACGCAGCTCTAGTCCGCCCTAGGTATATAGTACGCGCGCCGCCGTCTGTCGCTATATCTGCCTCAGCACCCCAACGTGCAGCGCCCCTTGACGGCCAAAGATGCAGACTACACAGATGAAATTGCACGTTACCGCAAATTCGATTAGCAGGCGATAGCGGGCATTTGTCGTTTCGCTCGAGGAAGAATGTCAAGGATATGGCGTTGACCGGATGCTAGGTGAGCGACTGCGATCGAGAGGGCGATCGAGAGGAAGATTGGAGGCTCTTTTGAATCGGCATCGCTTGCGGAAATCTATACACATAGTGAATGCTCGCTGATCGAAAGACTCTAGGGCCTAGACGCGATAAATAGCTCGTTCCCATCTCGTTCAAGCAAATATGCAGTCAGAAGCCTGATGAATATCCAAAATACACTTCAACAAGCACTTGCGATGCGAACATGCGAAAACACGCACGCCAAAATGCAGCAACACATCTAAACAGCTGAACCTAAAAGCATCATTGAAGCTCAAAACAAAAGGCAAGCGGAAGAGTACAAGAAAGTCCATAAGAATGCTAGACAAGAAAACGGCAAGTATCAGAATAGCCACAACCTGATGGCTACTTGGTACTGACTACTGCAATGCTGCCCCTTTTCTATTCAATAAGGACACAATACCCACCAACACCGACGCTCGAAAACAAAAGATAGGTCTATGGCAATGCTCTTTCCCCGTCATCATAGTCGAACTCTCTCCCTTCATCTGTTCAATGCCTTCGCGCATTACTGTCGTCTTCGTTATCGTCATCGTCATCGTCGTCCTCCTCTTCCTGGCTCTCCTCGTCCCAGCCTTGTGCTTCGAGCTCATTTCCTCGGATGCCAAAGCTAAGAAAGAAACCTACTAGAGCAACACCTCCAAAGACGCCCCAGGCAAGTGCCTCGCCTTTGGGTTTAACATGCGTGGCTAGGGAGAAGAGGCCCCCAGATAGAAACGGCCCAACGGCACGTCCAGCAGCTGACAAAGTCTGGGCGAGCCCGTTCAGTGTACCAAGGACGGAATGGTTGGGTGCTGAATTCGTGATCTGGACAACATTCAGCACAAAGTATGAACAACGATGCACAATATTAAACATACCAGAAGCAGTGCGGACGTCAGTCCTCCGACCGCCGCAACAGTCTTTATGAGCAGCACGAAACCAATCTCAACCCATATCCACACTTTACCCTTGCCAAACCCTGGACCAGCGTTGTCCTTATAACCCACCCAGGGCATAAGCACGAATGCGACAACGAAGCCGCCCAGTCCGACGCGATAAGTTGTTTTGTTTCCCATCTTCTCTCTCAACTTCCCAAAGATGCCGACTTGGAAGACAATAGTGACGATGCCAGCAAATGCCAATGAGACACCAATCTCCTCAGGATTCAAGTTGCGTCCAGTAGGTGGCGCACCTTGTGCGAAGATTGGATAAAGCGAATTATAGGAGATGTTCGACAGTTGAAATATGAGATAAGTGCCAAGCAGTAGCATAGTGTTCCTATTAAGTACTTCTTTTTTGCTAAGCCTCGCAGCAGGGATGGGCAGGAGGGCGCTACTCTCAGTCTCCGATGCCGAATCAGAAGCGGAAGTATCCTCACTTTCATCTTCCACAGCCTCCGAGTCGTCACTTGCGCGATACTTTTGATGCCTTTTTGAGGATCCAAATCGGAGGTAGGAGGGACGACTTGATGCAGTGAACTCCCAGAGTCGAGCGAACAAGCTCCCCATTCTCTTACGGAGAGGTGGGAGCTTCCTGGCTTCCTCCAGACTTTCCTCCAGGAAAATCAAAGTCAGGATAAAATCCACTACCAAAACTCCAGCAGAGAGAAGGTTGGGTAGCAAATATGGGTAGGGATTGGGCTTGCTTTTATTGAACGGGTTCCGCTGGTAGACCAGCAAGCCACCAACAATAGGCCCAGTAATTCCGCCCATTCCATATACTACTGGCAGATAGGTAAAAGCCCTTGACTGGTTACTGCGGTCAGTAATCTCCCCAAGGCAGGTCGAAACGACACCCTGGTTGCCGTTAACGATACCCATCAGTGCTTGCACGGCAACGGCTTGTCCTAATGTCCTGCAAAACCCAAAGGCGACAAAGCATGCAGCAGTCAATATTGTCCCAGTCAAGATGACAGGCTTCCGCCCGATACGATCAGAGAGCCAACCCCAAAAGAAATTGGTGCCAAACTGAGCCAAGGCAAAAGCCGAAGCGATCAGGCCGACATAGAGGCCGACCTCACCTTGGCCAACTTCGGGAAAGCTGGAGGCCATGTGAGGAAGATAGGGGCTTATGGAGTTCAAGGCCGTCTGCTCCGCAAGCGCAATAATGGCAAGCATGATAAGCTGTTTCTTGGGTAGAGGCGACTCATGGTGGTCTCCCGATGAATGAGAATCGCCCGCTGCGTGCGAATTGTCACCAGCATGCGTATATGCTGATGTATTATGTGAGGAAGAGGGCGGCCTCCCACGAGATGTTGGTGGCTTCGTGGGGAAAGTATGGTAGTGGGGCGTCGATGACTTCCGCCGATCCATGGCGGTGATAGTAGGACGCTTCATAATCAAAGCGCTTCGATCTAACGATCTGCAGAATGCGCCCTGGCCTGCGATGAACAGATGTGGGGAGGTGGCTCCCAGATGACTTGGAATTGGTAATGGGGTTAAGTCATCTGTGGACCACGTCTGAGGCAGCTCCGTAAGGTAGTGGCGACTCTCAATCGGCGAAAGTCGACTTTCAAGCTGGATCTAGGTATTTTCAAAGCTCAAAGTTAGAATTTCCAGGTAGGTCCCATTGTTGTCGAGCTTCTGAATCTTTCAAGCTCCCCAAGGAATGAAGCCTGAAGGTGGCAGTTGACGATGACTTGTCGTCAGTGGTTTGGTGTTTGATTAGGCTTCTTCCGAGGGTCGGCAAAGTTTTTGATTACCAAATGCAGCAGTGGCTGTATCTGATCAGATAACAGGAACGAGATTTAGCTCAAGCAGATCTTCTTCCTCATTCGCTCTTTTCCTTCCTAGCTCCTTTTCCTCGATTTCCTGGTCGGTTGGTTTTCCCCCCGAGGTGCCGATTATCGGCCAGGTCCGAGAGAGCGGCAACGTACCCCGGTTGCTTCTCGCTTATCCAGGAAAGGAAAGTTACGCCCCCTCCTTCCTAAGCGAGACTGTAGAGTTTTACCGCCAAGGCCACTGAGCTTTTGGTGGTGGCAACACGAGGCAGTCCTTTTCGCTTCTACCTGACAATTCTCCTTGCACAGGGATTTCTGTGACGTTCATCGTCTGTTTTGACGATATTTGGAGCATTCTCTTAGAAAATAAGTCTTCGTATTCAATTGAAATATATATGAACAGTCATTATTTGGGATATTGTAGTTAGAGCTCTCATGTCATCTATTTGTGTTGATGAATTAAAATTGATTTGTCTCTCAATTATTTAATTTAAATGGAAAGGGAACAAAAAAAAAAAAAAAAAAACAATCCGGAAAAATAAATTATCCTAGGTACCTAGATAGAAGGTAATACTAATTTACAAACCCGTCCACATGTTTACGCCGCACAAATAAAGTTTCCCTGTCATTTTGATTTTATAGTTACAGTATTTACCTGCCGCAATTTTAGGCAATATAGATCAACCCCACAAAATTCGCAAATAATGGTGACAGCCACCTCCAAAAGCCAAGAAACACAAAAATAAAAGAAGCTTTGCGGAAGCTTTGTCGGGGATATTGAGTGGTCCCAGACCACTTTGCGCCTATGGCTCGCTGCGACTTGCCACTCGTTAACCCATAAAGGCCGAAGTGATGCCGCGGAGGACCATCAATCTAGCGAATCAAACCCCACACCATAACTGTACACAGTTTAGGTCGCCTTCACTGACACCCGCAAAAGGGTTCGTTGGAGGCCCCACGGACGGCTCTACTACAACTTGGCGCGTCGGTGTGGTTCTTCCACCACCAGAGACCTCTGTTAAGGTTGCCAAGCCGCCGGTTTCCGGCCTCTGTGGCTTCGATACGGCAGCCTTCACAACCTCATACCGCAGATTTAGTGGGGAATCACGAAATAATGAGAAACAAATATTAAGCTGCCGTTTCGCAAAAAAGAAAATGGATTCGCACCCCAGCGATCAATCCATCGTTCAATCCATTCCTTCTCAATCCCTCTGAGAAGTGCTCGCACCACGATCCAAGCACAATGGCTTCCCCAGTTGTCGTTGCAACAATTCAAGCCGCCATCTTGAGCGCGACGTCCAATGTCTTGGCTCAGGCCATAACGTCCTACAGAAACGACGTGCGTACCTTGCTTCTCTAGTGGTAGCGGAACAACAATACTGACAATGAATCGTATAGGCACCTTTTACGCTGGACGTCAATGCCTTGCTTCCCTTCGTCATATTTACTATCATCTCTACTCCGCCGAACTTCCTCTGGCTGGGTTACCTAGAGCAGAAGCTCCCCAGCACTACACCAGCTGCCACTGAAACCGCCAAGGGCAAGGAGAAGGAGGGAAAGGAAGTGCAATCGCGTCTCAACTTGGGAAATGCGCTCAAGAAGCTCTTGATTGATCAGATCATTGCCGGCACATTGAACAATATCGCATTCATAGCATTTCTCGCAGCTGCCAAGGGAGCGACCACCCCTGAGGTGATCGAGGCCGTTCGTCAGGTGAGAAGATTTCCAGAAACGCCGCTGCTGGGGCGGACCTCGTTCAGAAAAAGAACTTGCGCACTGACAAATTTGATTGCAGGGATTCCCTCCGCTTTTCTTGGCTAGCTTGAAACTCTGGCCTATGGTGTCCTTGATCTCGTTTACCGTCGTGCCGGCTGATAAGAGAGTCTTGTTCCTTAGCTCTATCGGTCTCGGCTGGGGTGTTTTCTTAAGTATATATAATGCATAGATTTGCGCTTTCTGTTAGAGATACCATCATCGGTTTTGAATGAATAGACAGGATTTATAGACAGGGATCGGATAGGGAAGCGTTCCGTACGTGTGGGAGCGTTCACGGATTTGGGGCTCCACCCGAGCTAAAACATAGAACCCACCATAGAATACGATAGATTCAACCAATCGAAACACGACGATTGATTAAGTTGGTACCAACAATGTGGACAAAAAGAAGCCACCGGGATCAGCAACAAGTCAATGCTGGCATCCCAGGATGATGGCCTGTGGCCAGGTGCATACTTTAATGCTGGACGTAAAAGCCCTGTTGAGTTTGCTGTTGGTGGGCGGTGCAAGCTGGAGTGCAAGGACACCATTGAGGCGTGAGAGAACTAAGCGAACAGACGCGCGCTTTCCCCTTTCGGGACCAACGGCCGTCAGAGCTGACAAAAAGTCACTCGACAATATACCCTCTTATCTCCGCTCCTCGAGCACGAGGCAGCTTCTTGAGGCTGTTGCTTTCTTTTCCTTCACGCTGCCTCACAAATCAATTTGTCAGCCCGTGGGCAGGTTGAAAGTGACGGAAACCAGATGGACCAAAAGTCCATAGACTATGTACACATCAAAACAAGCGCCAACTTCTAGATCCGAGACCGCGGAATGCTATGTCGAAAATCGAACATGTCAGCTTGACACAGTATCGGTGATCCAACGAGACGGTTTCCTCACAGAGCATAGAGACCGCTAACTAAAAGTGAGACTGTCTGCTCCCTGGCTCCTCAGCCCTACCGGCCGAGGTGTACTCGGACGTAATCAATCACTCCTGTGGATTGAATACAATGGTCGGGATAGGGCAAATCACTAAAATCCAATGCAAGTGACGATTTTGCTTATGCATCTTTTTGTTCCGAAGTTGGTGGTGTTTGACCACGGTCCATGAACACACCATTGAGCCCGCAAATATTGTTATCGATTCGTCCTCAGAAGAAACACTTGGAAACATTATCTTGAAGTATGACGCACTTGCGCCACTCTATGGCTTTACGCAGAACCTTTCTCTTCTTTTCCACTGTGGCTGTCTGCACTGCACTTTGCACTTACCGCCTTGCTGGCTATGATTACAAAAGGAATCCGAAGGTTTACAGTCTTTTGATGAGTCGGGTCTTACGGAATGGATTTGTCAACCTTGAATGACTCGTATTAGGTTCAGATCATGCATATCTTGTGGCAGTAAAAGGAGTCAACATGGGTCGCCCGGTGACGGGACTCTGTTCAATAGATTTCAGCTCCCAATGGAGGCATACCGGATGAGATATAAAAGCCCATTCCCGAGCCATTTGAAATAGATATCTAACAGCACGGACGGAAGATTCTGAATACATTGACTAATAGATCCAAGAACATTAAATCAAAACATATTAATACTATTGACAGCCCGCTTATCATCGACGGCATTACATCAGTCGAGACCTTTTCCAACTGCGTTAAGGGCTGTGGACTTGGGACACCAGGCACTTGTCAAAGCTCACTATAGCGTCTTTAGCATCTGAAGCGTCGGTGTCTCCGTTTGAAAATCATCAAAGGTATTAAGCTTTGAACTGTGGCAATGGATGGTCAGCGAAGAGAGCAGCACCTGACCCAGAGCAACGCAATAATTAAATTATGTGTCGCCTTCAGTTGTCAAATAAAATATAAAAGCGCCTTCTGACAGTTCCAGAGTCCACGCTTTCAGGGTCACCCAAACCAAACCCACGGGCACCGCTATGGTGGACGTTCGAAATTTAAGTCAGGTACGTTATTACAGCCCTATCAGCGCGCTATGCATTTCCGCCACGCATCGTCGGCATTACCAAACCTAAAAAGGGGCTGGCTTTGCCTGATTATCAATATGACATTTTGACTTTGTCTTTTATTCCGCTTTTCCGTGGGTTGCAGTGCCATTGAGGAAAGCCCGTCGTCAACAAGCATAGAAAGACTATTCCTCTCTGGGACAAGCGGAAATCTAATCCGATTAGCGCTGACCTAATCTGATCACAGAGTGACAAAGCTCAGCTTATTAATTCACTCCGGACCCATCGTGTCAACACCCTGACAGAGTTACGCCGGATCGAGAAGATCTTCGCCGCCCTGAACCAGCACGATGTCACGGAGCCGATGACGTCGGCTTGGGCTCACTACGTCAATTCAAACAATTTCTTGAATGAACTACGTGGTCTGACCAGGAACTATCCGTTCAGCTCAGAGTGTCTAGACGAAGCAAAATGGCTGGTCATACAGGACCCGGCGAGTAATAGGAGCTGGAATTATTGCTGGCTCGTCCTCGTGAAGATACAAACAAAGTAAGTCAATTTTATTATGTCCTGCTTCTCTGTCCAACTGGCTTTCATTCTGGTGTTTTTTTCTTTGCTCCTGCTCTCTGCAATTATTCCATGGATCACACACTTCTTTATTGGTGTCAACAAATTTTTGCTGTTTACAATGTTGTTTCGATATGCAATGGCCACGCCGAGTGGGGCGTATAGAGCATGGAGCCGTTACCCGTTTCCGCTGACGTCTCACCATCTTTCGACCCCTGTTTTCCTACTATTATCATTTCCATCTTCATATCGCGCCCAGTCACCACGAGACCTGCTTACTGCCCCAATTCCAAATCCCACGCGTGGCAGTGTCCAGCCGCCATCCCAGGATTGCTGGGAGCGGTGAGGTTGCTCTTGCTTGGTGCGCTTTTGGGCATCAAACATCAGCAATTGCCGATCTCCCGGATGGGGCAGAACCGGCAGTCTCTATTCCTGACCTTTCTATTTCCTTGATTGACCGCCAGTCATGGTGCTGTACCTGCGCTCTCCCCTGCATGCCTAACGGTCGCGATGACCCGATGACCCGAGGGTCCGGGCGACCCGCCGACCCGATGACCAGGTTGTCGGTCCGCTAGGCTCACCACGTTGAGCTCATTTTTTCGTATTTTATCTACCTTATTCTTCTTACGAGCCCATAACCCTCGGGTTGGTTCAGCTGGCACGCCCTGACTGTGCCCGCCCCCCTGGAAAATCGTCAATATTGATTAGATCCTTGCTTTCATTTCCCTCTTCTGCTTTGCTTTCGGGGAATGTGTTGTCAAGCGGCCAAGGCGCAGTCGCAGTCGCAGTCGCAATCGCAATCACCTTTCTTCCTTTTGTCCTTCCTTCCTCCCTTTTTTTTGTCTTTCTCATTTTTTGGTCCTTTCCTTTTTCTTTTTCTATTCTTATTCCTATTTCTCTTTTTCTTTTCTTTCCCTCTCTCGCCCTCTAAGCTCTTCGTATCGTCTTTCATATTAACTTAGCGGAACGTCCCTGATTTCCTGGGCTCTGACTTATGAATTTAACAGCCAACTCATAACCAAACATGCCCACTCGCTCGCCTCTCGCCCGACCATGTGGGGCAACACTACCCCGTCCCCGGCCAACGTGAGACAACTCGCGCGTGAATTCATCAATGAATGGACCTGGGCCATCTCGCAGATGCTCAGACATTGGGAGACGCCACCCACTGTGACGGGGCAGTAAGGACTCGCTCGGGATGTACGTTGTACATTGTACATTGTATTCCTACAGCGTACTGGCTGATCCTGGTTGGTTTCTTTCTTTTGTGAGACATGTGACATGTTCTGTTCGGACCAGGTTGCCGTCCATGTTCCGAACGGAAGAGGGCGGGAAGTCTCAGTAGGATCTTGCGAAGAGGTGATGAGGGTCTGCATTTACAATCCAGTGATTTGAATCATGTTAATTACAGCGATGGAGTACTTCATTTGGTTTTGAAATTCTGAAAGAGATTTTGAGTGTTATTGCTTATGTGCATACGCAAAGAGAAAATATTGCGTGCATTATGGTCAATGCTTTCGCAGCCCTTATGTGGTCTTTTTCGTTTTGTTTCCATTGACAGCATGGCGGGATTATATCAAGCTACAACGGCGGTTTAGGATGGATTTATCACGACTAAAAAGCCATTCGATTCTCGAATAAATTACATGACATGTTCATTATTTCTAAATTCTACAACAAATGCTTAGAAGCTTCCAGGGACCAAAAAGGAGGTAATTCATGGGCTCATGCTCGGCGCAAAAGCGCCTGCCCTGCTGCTTCGCGGTCGTCATTCAAGGCAGTATGGGCCTGACCAGAGGGAGGCTGTTGATTGCAAACAATGAATCTGTCTCTTGTGCAATACAAGCAATACAAGCCACACAGCCTACCGACTGGACGACAGCCAAAGATGACAAGTTCCGAGGCGCGTATTAAAGCTTTTGTGATGCATATTTCCAGGCTCCGTGTCATCTTGACTTTTACCGACTCAGAACCCACATGAAAATAAGTTGTACAACATAAGAGTAGATGAAGAGGAACTGCGTCCTGCGGTTGCGCTGGGCTCGTGCAACAGTGTAGCTGGCGCCACGGGCGTTGTCTGACGAGTTCTCTGGCAGGAGGACGTACTTGAGCGAGCGGAGCTGTCGATTTAATGTCAGCATTTTGGTTTGGCATTAAGGGAAGATAAGTCTCCAGTGTCTTACCAAAAAGAGTGCATTGGCCAAAAATGTATAGGTGAATATGCTCCATCCAATCCAGCCGCCGGTGCCTCGGCCTCCATTGAGCACCTCACTTAGAAAAATAGTCACTATGATTCCGACGAATTTGTAGCCCGAGTAGGCGACCAAGTCTAGAATCTGGCTTTCGTTGCTGATGCTGAGGAGGTAACAGCCGAATTTGAGGCCGAGGATTTCGATAATCACCACCGCAAAAGCAGTCGTCGCTGTCAGTCCAAGAAGTTCGGGGTGGAAAGCACCTCGTAATCCGGCCAGTAATGTTTCAAGAAGAATATAGGTGACAAAGGCCATCACTATCTCTGTCAGCTTCTGCCCGAGTCGGAAGTCTCAAGTTGAGGAAGCTCTACCTGGAATATACATATCCGGACTGTTGATATCTTCTCTTGGCGGAAGGAAGAATCCTTCTTGCCCGTTTGGAGAAAGTCGTTGTTGCCGTGACCATGGCTTATGTCTCCAAGGGAAAAGCACTAGGAAGAGTTTGTTGAGGACATAGGAATTCGAGACGTTAAAATAGTGTTTCAATGCCGAGACATTTACGTATCTATTGAACTATAGAACGCGGTTCAAGTCAGCAAAGACCCACATAATCTCATCCAAGGCGGAAACAATGCAGCTTTTTGTTGGATTTGAAGCGTGACCAGTACGTACGTTTTGTTCCACGTAATCATGTCCCGCCATCATAGCGCTCTTTCCAACCTGGAAGCCCATTTGGGCAGTCGGATCGGTCATAAAACCCCCAAAAGCTGGCATACCAGCAGCTGCTTGACCAGGGTACGGGCTGCCGTAACCTGACTGTCCTGATGCCTGACCGGCAGGCGGAGGCGGAGAACGCATCATTGGGACTGTTGACACATGTTGCGGAACAGGGTGGTGAAGAGGAGGCGACTGCGCCGGACCGTAAGACGGCCGCTGCATAATTGACCGTTTATAATGCTAGCAATGTGTATGAACTCTATACAAGTGTTCAGAATGTCGATTTGAGTGCAAGTTGGTCGAGGTGGGAGCTTGGGAGATATTATTTCCTGACGTTGCTTGTGAAGCTCTCCCAAGGCGTCGCAACTCGAGATGTTTCATACGGTTACCCTGCAACAACGCGGCAACTGCCGGGAGGTGGGATGGGTGAGGCCAACTTGATGCCTCACAGGGAAATAATAATATATTCCCCCAGTCGATCAACCATTGAGCATCATTTCCGTTCACAGGTCTTCTACGAGGAGTGAACGACGATGCTTGACAGCTTTGAAATCCTGACCACCTCCGGGGTGGTTCTCTGGTCTAGAACTTTTGCTCCCGTTGGTCCCAACGTGATCAATGGCTTAATTAGAGATGTCTTTATCGAAGAGCGCATCACACCCAACGCAACAGTCACTGAGGATTTGTCGGCGGCTCGGAATCCACCGTATAAAAGGGAGAAATATACTTTGAAGTGGACAGCTGTGAAGGAGTTGGGTTTGATCTTTGTCGTATGTTCCGGCAATTCCAGCTTTAGTCTTTACTTATGCGGAGCTTACTGACATACTTGTGTGATAATAGGCTGTCTACCAATCTCTCTTGCATCTTTCCTGGATCGATAAGCTCCTTGACAATGTGCGGGTTATATTTGTCGACCTCTATGGCGATCAGCTCAAGAAGCCCAACACGAGCATTGTTGAGTGTCACTTTGACGAGTATTTCGACCAGCAGATGAGGGAGCTGGAGAAGAGTGCGCGGTCAGCTCAGCCTGCCAAGGCCGTTGCTGCTGCTACTGCTGCTGCTGATATTGCGCCATCAACGCCTGGCGGCGTTGGAGAGGAGCCCCCGCCATTGCCGGGTATCAAGAGCTGTATGTACTGGAAATCTCACCATTGTCTAAGCACGGATAACAATGACTGACTGGATACTTCAGTATCGCAAAAACAACCATTATTTACACCCGTCCCAGCTGAGTTAAGCCCTGTCTCGACCCCTGAGGTCTCGCGACCAGCATCCCCCGCTGTCAGCCATCTACTATCTGCGAAAGGAGGACCTGGCGGCCGAACATCTCGTCGGGCAAGGAAAGCAGCCAATGCGTCAGCGCATGCGTCATCGGGCGAAGAATCTCCAGCTAGACGGCCCAGGAGCGTTAAATCGAACACGAAGAAGATGCGAAAGTGGGATGCGGACGGACTGGCAGACGAGGACGACAATGAGACTTCTCTCGACTACTCAATGAATGCGGGTGACGGAGCGGACGATGGGCAAGATGGTGGTTCTCGCGCCCCTGCAGTAGAGGCAGTCAGCCAATCTTCCTGGGGGAAGAAGACTGGAAAGGGCGAATTCGTCCTCAAGGACCTTGACGAGGAAGTACACGAGATTCTATCATCTGCAGATGCCAAGAAAGCCAACGGTGCTGCGTCTGACGGAATTATGGGCTCAGGTATAAGCGCGATCAGCGGACTGTTCCGTAACGTAGTCGGAGGCAAGACCCTCACGAAACAAGACCTCGATAAAGCGCTCAAGGGTATGGAGGATCATCTATTGAAAAAGAACGTTGCACGCGAAGCTGCGATGCGGCTTTGTGAAAGCGTTGAGCGTGAACTTATCGGCGCCAAAACTGGCAGCTTCCAGAGTAAGACTTGACTGATTCCCTTCTCCCCACTTCCAGGAATCTGAAGCTAATTTCTTTTCCCCCACAGGTGTCGACAGCATCATCCGTACCGGCATGGAGTCTGCTCTCCGCAAGATCCTCACACCCACCTCATCACTCGATCTCTTGCGCGAAATCCAATCCGTCACTTCCCCCTCCATTACCTCTCTCCAAAAGCCCCGCCCGTACGTCATCTCTATAGTCGGCGTCAACGGTGTCGGAAAATCTACCAATCTCTCCAAAATTTGCTTCTTCCTCCTTCAAAACAAATTCCGCGTCCTGATCGCCGCATGCGACACGTTCCGCTCCGGCGCCGTCGAGCAGCTGCGCGTACACGCGCGGAACCTCAAGGAACTCGGCGAGCGCGAAGGTGGCTACGTCGAGCTCTATGAAAAGGGATACGGCAAGGACGCTGCCAACATTGCGAAAGATGCTGTGACATTTGCGGCCCAGTCCAACTTTGACGTTGTCCTCATCGACACGGCTGGCCGCAGACACAATGACCAGCGTCTCATGTCCTCGCTCGAGAAGTTTGCCAAGTTTGCCCAGCCCGACAAGATCCTTATGGTGGGCGAGGCTCTCGTGGGCACAGACTCGGTTCAGCAGGCGCGTAATTTCAACGCCGCCTTTGGTACCGGCAGAGCCCTCGACGGTTTCATCATCTCGAAATGTGATACCGTCGGCGACATGGTCGGAACCCTGGTCAGCATGGTCCATGCTACTGGTATCCCTGTACTCTTCCTTGGTACCGGCCAGCATTATAGCGACTTGCGCACCCTGAATGTCTCTTGGGCGACCAACTTGCTTATGAGCTAGGTTGTCCCTTTGCTTATGAGCCCCTTTCATCTCTACTTGGAAGCTTTATTTTTATTTTTATTTTTATTTTTTTTTTCTCATCTGCGTGTTTATTTCTTCTTTTATCTCCTTTTGCTAGCTTGATGATGGACTGCTCATAGTGGAGGGAAAAGTAGTCGACGGGTCCTGGTCCGTAGATGTCGAGGATACTCGAAATGTATCTACGCGGCAAGGCGGCGCATTTGACGGCTTTTGTTGTTTCTTTCCTTTCCTTTTCTTTTTCATCACCGCTCTGTCCTTTCATTGTTGTCATTACCCATACCATCATCAACACATCCACAGATACTAGTCAGTATACCTCCCGCTCGATATTTGATATCTTTAATGAAGCCACGACATTCTATACTCGCTTCATTGTCAAGCGTAGTTTCCGAGATTTATGCTGATAGTGACACATGAGTAGTGAAGGTGTGCTGGGATACATTCTAAATGGTGACTTTCGCCTTTTGCATCGATAAAAGTACTAAGTCGCTGAGATGGGGGAATTCAACGCCATTATGTATATATTTTAATTTGGATTAATTCCTTTCTTTTTGTTGGCTTTGACTGATGAAAGTAAATTTGAATTGGATTATTTTTCAATGTATAATCATTGAAAGGATAGAGCAATAAATTAATAAATAAATAATTGAAAATGTATATATATATATATATACTAAGAAAAGGTACGTGGGAAAAGAGATATATCGGTAATCGGGTCATAATAACAGCTTACAGAGCATAACAATAACCGAATACGGCTAATAGCATTCAGCCAGCATCTCGCAGTACAGACACAACTACTTTGACCAGTGAAACATAGCATATAAATGCTCTCATCATTGCGGGATTATCTATACAACTACAGTAGGATGAAGTGGGCTGCAGGCAACAAACCCAAAAGCGGTTCCGATCCCACACTCTTCCCGCATTAACAGAAAAGAGAACCTGTATCTTGCTACAGCACAAATGCAACATGAGCTCATGATCCCACGACCCGTTTGAATCCATCTATACAGACGAACGAGCTTAGAGAACGGAGAGATCGCCGAACTTCTCCTTGTAGCCGGGAACGGACCAGCGGCCCTTGGAAACAAGCTGGGCAGTGCGCTCGTCGATGTCGGGGCGGGCGGCAACGACCTCGTCCTGTTCGTTGTCGAAGTTGACGTACGTTAGCAATGCCGTTTTCAGAAGAACCGCAAGAAGAGGTAGTTGTATGGAGACAAAAGGATAAGAGCACAAGTATATCCCATACGATTCTTGTTGTCGGGGTATACGTGTATTTGATGGGAAGGGGACAAAAGAGGAGGCTACGTACGACAGTGAGGTCCTCGAATGGCCGAGCCTCTTCAATGTTCTTGAGGGTTCTGTCAAGGTCCTGGAGCTCAAGGTCGACCTTGCCCTTGGTCTCCTCGGCGTTCTTGATGGCCTGGGCCTCGAAAGCCTCAATGGCCTTGATCTGGCGGCTGACGTCGTAGGTGACGGGCTGGAAGCTCTTGAAGTGGTTCTCAATCTCGTCGACGACGGCCTGGTTCTTCAAAAGGGAGCGGTACTTGGCGAAGTCGACGGTCTGGGGCTGCTCAGAGAGCGTCTGGACCTTGCGGCGGGCATCATCGTTGCGCTTCTTGAAGGACTGCAGGGCAGTTGCGGTCTGGCCCTTGAGACCCAGCGAGGTGCCGATCTTGACCCAGTCGATCTTAAGAGCTGCGCTTCGCTATAGAAATGTTAGCCTTTCAGTTACCCATCGCTTCTTAAGTGCGAGAAGCAAGCAAAGAAAAGAAAAGCGGAGGGCTCGTCCATGCAATTTGCTTGGCGAAGTAAATCCGCGCGAAGAGATGGCGTGGAAGATCCGGAACATCAATAGCAAGCTCATTTCTCCTTCAATTGCTTCAAGAAACACCTCATTCGATGATTCCAAATCTGAAAGATTGTTCCCAAGTATCCGAATTGCTCAAGGATCCAATCCTTCTATCGCTCGATCGTTCGATGCCATGAGGAATCCTTCCCGTGACAAGCTTGCCATTGATGCCGAATCGAAGCCATTGATGGAAATTGACGAACGCAGCTGAACAAGGGGAGCTTACTCCGACGGCCATTTTGATCCGTGCGATTGGGGGAGGTGAACTGGGGGAGAGTGGAGTGGGTTCAACGGAAATGCTGAGGTCGTCGTCGTCGGTCTCCTCGGCCGGCAAAGCAATAATCGATGAGGTTCCCGACTTGGCGAGATGGTACCCCGCACGTGACCTGAGGCTTTATAGGACCAATTTCACCAAGCACAATGTGCCGTTTCAAGCTTCGAGATGGCATTTGATAAATTTAATTTCATCATAGGATATTGGATAATTTATAAATTTAGAATTTCATTCCTCATTTAATTTGTTGTTCGCGCTGGATTATGGGGGAGGGGCAATAGGCTATGTCATATACGCAATTTGTCTGATATTGATCTCACAAGTCCAGGGCAAGTTAATACGAGTTACGTCAAAAGATGAATGCTTTTCATAACTACAGAGATAAAAGACAGGCCATCAAATGCTGATATAAACGGCGGCGACCATTTTCAACCCCAGAGCTCATTCGCATGATACGCTGGAAAATAAATCCAGAGCTGAGGAGCAAAGCTTAGTAAAGCGATGGCATCCCGTTCCACCAGATCGAAGCAGAAGCCCCACGGATGCAGTGGAGACTAGCATTGCCCATCTTATATGCTGAGAGCCATGATGGAGTTGACAATGTCATTGTCGTTCTCCTTGAGAGCCTTGACGGCCTTCTTGCGCGAAACACTAGCCTGGGCCATGACAAGCTCAATGTCCTTGGCCTCGAGACCAGTCTCGTCAACCTCCTCACCGTCGTCCTCCTCCTCGTCCTTCTTGACATCACCAGCCTCAACAGCCTTGCCCTTGTCACCGTGGTCGTGGCCGGCGTGGGGGTCAGCGTTGGCGTTAGCCTCAGCGGCAGCGAGCTGCTGAGCAGCGGAAGCCTGGGCAGCGGAGTTCAAGTCCTCGATCTTAGCCTCACCGAAGATGCTGTAAGTTTAAACCGTCAATATCCAGGTTCCGGAGACGAAGAATTGCCCGCGGACACTCACATGTAGGTGTTGCTGGAGGGAGACTTGTAGACATCGGGCTGGTTGATCACGAAAAGGATCTGCGAGCAAACGACATGTCAATTACATGTTCCTTCCAAATAAATTCTTTGCCGGATGATCCCCCGGTATCCTTCATCACGGCTTCAAGTACCCCCATAAAATTGTTCCAAAACAACACCGCCAAAATCGTTCGGTCGCGCAAAATATCTGAAGGTACTCACGTTCTTGGGTCTGCGGAGAGTGACACGAGTAATGCCGGGAACATGCTTCAGGCCGAGCTTAGCAATGGCCTTGCGAGCCTTCTTCTCGTTGCGGGAGTGGACAGCGACGGAGGCACCGGCGGGGATGTTGGCCTCGCCCTCACCGGCCTCAACCTCGGAGTCGGAGCTGCTGGATGCGTCCTCAACCTCGACGTTCTTGGTGGGCTCGTCGGGCAATTCCTCGATGCGGGAGTTCGACATTTTGGTGGTGTCTGGAAAGCTTCCCCTCGTCAGTTTCGATACCCTCTCTCGCAGTCCTCCACAAGGTCGAATTGATAGGGATGGCGATAAAACTTGAATGCCGGACCCGACGACCTGAAAATCAGAGGGGGAGTAAAATCAACACTCACCTGTGACGAGGAAGTGAGAGAAGATGTAAGGTGAGAGTGATAATACTCAATGTTCCGCGATCTAGATTATTCAATTCCCAAACCAAGGTCACCTCAGTTGAACCGTTTGCTTGTGTGACTGTTTAGCGAGTATGATGACTAATCCCCTCCGGGCGCGGCTCTCCACAACCCTCTCAAGCTACACCGGGTAACATGGTCTACGAGATGTATGATAACCAGTTCACGGACTTGGAAATTTACCTAAGTCTAAATGCACGGCAGCAATAGCAAAATAACTTATGGCATCATTTAGGGGGACAGCAATGCAAAGAAACAATCAGGACTCTGCATAATCTTTTGAAACGGGCTGTCAAATGCAGAAAGCAAAAAAAAGCTATTGAGTAGACCATATCGTAGAGTCACTGGGGGACAAATAGTCCTGTGCCTCGAACAACCCCAGATCCGTGGAATCCGTTGGTTGGTGAAGTTGCACACTGAAATTTGAGTCACAGTATCAGTCACAAACGTCGAGTATTTTCGCGAATTTGAAATCGTCAATAGGATATCTTCAACTCGGGATCAAGAAGCCGCAACCGTGAATTTGACCAGTAATATTGTATTCTATGAAGATACAACTCCGGCCTCGGGAAAAAAGGTAGTAAAGCTCCCAGATATTGAATGCTCCCCAGCCCACACTTTTTATATTTACGCCTTAGCAGCAGCCCGGACCTTGGCGTGAGCCTTTCGGACCTCGAAGCGGGCCTAGTGATAGAATTGTCAGCACAAATAGTCCTCAATGTGTCGATTTCCAGATATCATTTCCTCTTCAGTCCCAATTCATCGCTTCTCCGAAAGTGTAGATTGGGGACAGGAATCCTCACCTGCTTCCTCAGCTTCAAGACCTTGAAGCGCTCGAAGTCAGTGAGCTGCGCTCTCCGGGCCTTCTGCTCCCGGCCCTTAGCCCACTTGCTCTGACCGAACTTCTGCTCAACCTCGGCCTTCTTCCAGGCAGCCTTGACGGCACCAGTACCAGCCGCACGGGGGAGCTTGGCAATAACGATGGGGGTAAGGACAACGTCGGAGAGGCGGATAGCCTGGCGGGGGACAGCGAGCTTGGCGTCGTCGGCGGGACCGTCAACAAGGACCTGCAGATATCACAAAGTTGAGTCCTCCAATTCCCAAATCCATCTCTCTGGAATTATCGTCATCGCTGGATTGCGACTTACGCGCTTGTGGTCGACGATCTCGACGACAGTGGCGAGACGGCCGTCGTACTGGCCACCGGTGAGGAGGACGACACGGCCGACTTCGACCAGTCTCCACTGGGAGGTCTTGATCTCGGCTTCACCCATCGCAACGGTATTTCTGAAATCCCAAATCGAATCAATATTTCGTCGCTTCAAAAATGAAAATATCCGGAGTCAAACGGGGTCTCTCACCTCGGTGAGTGGGGGCTTGGTGGGTGTCGTTGTCGTTGTCGTTGTCGATTGAACCAAGTCCCTCAAGCCCTCAATCTCGAATGGAAATTCGGCCTTGGCGTGTTAAGCGAGTCTGTGTGGGCGACTGCTGTTTGAATCTAGGGTTTGATCTTTTTCATCATGTGACTGCCAAGCGATCGGCGCTAGCGAGCACCTCTCCTTCGAGGCTTTTTAGTCGAGCTCCCCAAGTTTATCGCTGAGTTTTGTTTTGTACGAGTTTCCTTGGTTACCAAGTGGATAGAACTGTAAGTCTCTTCAAATTTCCTTTCTCTCTCGCTTTTATGATGCGATAATTTGCGATTGACACTAAGTTCGGGAGGCTCTCGCCGGAGCTTCAAAACCGACTTGGTGATGTGATATTCAATTTCTTACATATTCTGAATTGATATCTACGCGATGTCCCTTACGCTGCTCTTACCGGATCACAACTGACAAGACCCTTGAAGAACATTATAGGTTTATTTGGGTCTGACGAGACAGAATCTGCCTTTGTGCTTCCATTTGTTCCGCTCCCCACGCCTTGGTCTCCGGGCTTTCCGCTTGGGGAGCTTACATGTAAAAGGTTCGTTTCGACATATCCTTGGTTCTCCGCTTGTCCAATGATTATACCCAATGCACTAGATAGTAACTGATCCCTTCGGGGATTTGATCGTACCCTTATACACCAAGATCACTGAGGACATTATCACCACACTCATTTTCACGTTTCATACTGTGTGTTTGCAAACCGCTAACACATCGAAGAATACAGAGTTCGCATTTCTCACGAAGCCTTAAGAGCGGCTTTCGGGTAAAGGCTATGCCAGATATAAAGCTACTTTGTCCCGTAAGGCCATTAGAAAATGATATCGGAGTTGGAAAATATTTCGAACTTAGCTCGTAGCCATAGAACAATATTCACAATTTCAAGCAAAATACTTTCTCCAGACCTTTATAAGTTACGTGGTGCCTCAGTTGCCCAAGGGAAATAATTGAGTAAAGATGTCCGTTTAAGAATGTAGCAGAACGAGGTGGTCGGTTCATGAATAGCCTCTCCGTTGCTGCAGGCCGGGTCTATAACCTTTAATGCAATAAATTCGTGGTAATAAAATATCCAATGCGAATGCCGGGACATGAAGCGACCAGCGCGTGCCCCAACGTTCCGGTCGTGCTTTATGCTGAAATGAAATCGTGAAACGCTCAAAAAGCGATGCTCGTGAAGAAAATGCTGAGCAGGAGAATATCTCAATCAATATGAAGTTCATCTTCAAACATTCCTCGTCGCAGTATATCGAGTAGCCAGAAGCCTTTCTCAACGCCCTCGTCACGTCGGGCTGTAGCCCATCGCCATAAATCGGCATCTCCCCACTGGATGCAGGGCAGGCTCGAAGATTGGTCAGCTGCGATCAAGGCTTTAACGACCTCGCGGTTACAGTCCGACTCGATCACAGCCTGCTTTAACATATCCGTCGCGCCATCACCAAGGACGGGCATCAAAAGGGTGATAACCCTTACAGCTGTTGCGTTCCCTTCTTGGATTGCCTCAATGAGACCTTGAGAGATGAACTCTCCTCTGTTAGAATCTTTCCAGTCGATGTAAGCACCTCCCAAGCAGAGCTTATAGAGAAGTATAACTTTCTCTTGGGCCCAAGGCCCACGCAAAAGACGTTCCGGAAGACTGAAATTCTCCCAGGCGATAATTGGCCATAAGTATCTATATTCGTCGACAGTGATACCGCAATCAATCCAGGGAACTCGTGGCGGATGCATGCTCAGATGTGCGTCCAAAGCTTCTTGCTCACCTTCGCCCTGAATACCTAGTTGTTGCTTCTTGTTTTCGAGAAGAAAGGAGTAATATTTTCGCTCACATTTCCTTAGCAATTCGAGCGTCAGCCAACGACACTCGAGAATGCGAGACTGCAACTGGCCCAGCTCATCACCGGGAACGTCTTGGGGCTCGTCCCAGCAACCGCGAAAGACAGATAAACAAAGTTTAGTGTAGACATGTTCGGAAGAAAGCAACGAGGCCAACCGCGGCGAGGCAAGCGGAAGGTCCAGGTTCATAGCGTAGAAGAAGATAAGCTGCAATATTTCAGGCGGCAATGATTCCAGTGGCGAGATTCGAATTTTGCGTCTGCGTTTCCGTGGCCGAGCGCCATCAGCGATCCGTTGAGAATCAGAAATTTCTTGAGATGACGGGCCTCCGGGCGTACCCGCCGAAGAGGTGGCAGACGAGGTCATGAGGGAAGGAATCTTCCATCTTCCGATTCGATCTTTCGGATTTGAGATGGGGACGATTCTTGGCCTTTTTGAGTCATTGTGTTTTCTTTTTCCTCGTACACGAATGGGAGTGAGCATGGCGTAGAAAAGCGCCCCATTGTGGTGCAGGATAAAAAATTATTCACGCAGTACGACACTGAGCATTGTTGCTTCAGCAGGTTACCCTGGGCGATTTTTTCGCCTCGTCAAAGCGAGCTCTAGAGCGAATTGCACAATGATGCGCTTCCATTAGGTAGGATTGCGCTCAAGAGACACTTTCATTCCTTATCAACAAAATTATCAAAGCCTATCGGACATTGATGCGCATGTTGGTGCTATGGAGCTTTCTTTCGGCCTACGACTTATACGAGGATAGATTTTGATGACCAATGGGCGTCGCGACACACACCTCGGTACCCAATGGACATGACGTCGTATACGGAGTAGAGAGATATGGAGAACGAGTAGGGGTCACGCAGTTGGCGAACGGTCAGGAGTAACGACGATCATGCTAGAAGATGCCGGATCCTCCACATGGGGCGTTTGAGTCTTTTCATAGAATGGAGTCATATTGATCACGTTGTCTTCAAGACTTGCTGGGACTGGACCGGAGACAAGGAGATTAGGCTTGGCTAAGGGACCGGCCCCTACTCCGGTAGAGTAGAAGCCAACTTAGAATTTTTGATTGCCTTCGTCATAGCTGTGGCGCAGATGTGGCGCATGACCGGTTTTGAAGTGGTCACTCTGCTACAGGGAAAAGGAAAATGAGCGCAAAAATCCTGCCAATATCCATGCAGCCACAGGTACCCATCGTATTGATTGTACAGCGCATCAACTTAAGGTACTTTCGCAGTGGCTCCTTCCTCATTTGACCCACTGATCGACTTGGTGGGTGCGCGCCTTCCCCAAATTGCTCGGACGCACCGCCACAGGTCCTGTGGCGTAATTGGCGAAGAAGAACAATGAGTGGTCAATCACCCCCTTGGTCTCCACAGGCGCTAATGACCAAGGTTTCCCGCATTTCTTAATTTTTCTGTGTGTGCCTTAGGAGCCGGTGGACAGACCTTTTTGCATCATTCCGGTTCCATGACTGTCAAACCGCCCCAAAACCAGCTTTTGGCAAAATGCGGCACTTGGCCCCCCCCCCTTAACAACCACTTTTAATGCTTATTTCGGCCATAGCCAGGAATCTAAATGCCTGCAGTGACGTTGTCACCCCTATCTAATTTGTCCTTTCCCGCCGTATTAGGACAAACCTGATTTCTCTAGCGCAGCCATTGCCGACAGCTTCTTGCGCCAACCTCTCTTTGGGTCGGCATCGACGTAAGGCCCAGGAGATGAAAGAAATTAATGCAAAGGTGACACCTGGAGAATGGACCGGAGCAAAGGCGATCCACTACGTCAGTCTGTAGAGGAAATGAAATTTGACGGGAAACAACATGACATGAACTGGCTATGGAGCGTATTTGTCCTGCAAAGTCGCCAGGGCTAGCACAGTATAAGAAAGGACAGCCATCCCCCCTTCCTCACTTGCATTCCTTCCATTCACCACAGAAACCGAACTCTAAGCAAAACACTTCTTTCCTGCAGCTAGTCACAGGGTTAGTCTCCCCATGTCCTCTTTCCTTATTTGGACGAGTTCCTTCCCATAAAACTTACTCGCTTCACAAGGCCACGCCTGGGTTATGTTGGCATTCACTTCAGAACCAGTTCTAACAAAGTTCTTCATCTCAGACTCCTTCCTTTTCACCTCTCTACATCTTCATCGCTGCTTCAAACGCAAGCTCTACCTCAAATCATAACCAAATACACACAAATCTTAATCCACCATAAATAAGTCAAAATGGGCGCGGTCGTCTCTTGTGTAAGTCTTTCCCTTCAACGATTCAAAGCTCGCAGATTGCGGCTGCTTTGTTTTTTGAACTTACTCTCCTACACCGAAATAATCTTCTGTATGGCGACTAACAGCATCCGTTTAGCTCCGCTCCATCTGCCAGAGCATCGGTGCTTGCATCATGGCAGTCGTCAACGCCATCGGCTCCATCTGCATGGCCATCATCAACGGCATCATCAGCGTGTTTGACATCATCGTCAGCTGCCTGACCTGCAACCGCGTGGGCCGTCGAAGACACCGACACCGGACCACAACAAGTACAATCTAATCGTAGCACCTCTTCTACACGAGTCACTGATTGACCTGCGTCATGGCCACGACCACCGGTGTCGCGGGCCCTTGGCTCAGTACTGTCGATCAGTGCTCGTGATTTCTCATCAGAAAAGGTGCAACGATGGACAGCAAGCTTTGTGGCTGGGGAGGAGAGACCGTGTATGATACCACAGATTACCCAGGGTGTTTATTCCTTTTATTTCCATGTTTTAATTGCTCGCTCGATGTTTTATCTCATTCTTAATTTCATGCGAAGGGATACCGGGAGTGGGATGGGCACTATGAACCTGGACGAAGAATACGACCAAGATGAAAATTGCTTCTTTGAAGCCGGCGTGGCTCTTCGCTGATAATTTGTACTATTGTTGCGATACCACTCTCAGTTAATCTACTACTTCAACACTACTTTCTCCACAATCGACCCATTGGAACGAATTTGGATTCTGACCCTATGTGAAGTCCACTTTTCTCGAAGTGGAGCAATGTTATGTTAAAGACGTAGCGAATTAAATACTGGCGCACGGGCACCCGAGAAAATGGTTGACTAGAGCTGGAGGAATGTCAGGGATTTCTGAATTATCAATATTAAGCTTGCTAGCGGCAAACGGGTCCAATATGAAACCAATCCAATGCCTCATGAAGCTGAGAAGAATAGCGAGAGCGTCGAAGTCAACGATGCGAATAGCAGACATGGCTTGTGATTTGAGAAACCTACAAGCGTTGTATACTATGCACCTAAGGGAAGCGAGCTTTGGTCGCTACATAGGGTACCTACCTACCTTTATCATAATGTTATGCATTTCCGTAAATGCTTCTTCCTCGCTTTCAGCCGCTGCGACATGCTTGGTTGCCAAGGTAGATCCGCCCGGAGCTTCCTCCTGTCCCAATGGATCGACCGCAGCGTGCAATATGTGATTCATTGATCGAACGTCTTCACTGAATCAGTCGTAAGACTTGGAACAGAATATAGGGAAGGAATAGATAATAGACTGTGTCGAGAGGTTCGAGCTTTTACAGATCTATTTCCCCTACGATAGTCTTACATTAAACTCTGACAGAGTGCCTCATTGGCTAATCAATCGCAGCTCGACAGCATTGTCTGCTATTCGAACCCTCTTCGATAGCCGAAAGAAAGGATAATATCCATGATTGGCTGTGAGTTTCACCGCCTGTGACTGTTCAACCAGCTCGCCAAACGCAAAACTTGTAGCACTCGCAGGGGCTGTGCATTATCGAACGGTCGAACATTTTAAGAAGCAGGAAAACAGCATACCAGCTATTACATGCCACGAGGCTGAAGACCGATAAGGCTGGTTCAACTAAAATTATGCGTGATCGATTGCCATACTGACGGATGGTCCGGTCCACGTATAATACAGTACACACAAAGTGGGGGCCTTCCTTGCTTAAATTCTGCAAGGCAAGGATTCGACTCTTGATGGGGCGCCATTTGAACCTATATCTACAGTTGCCTTTCCAGGTTAGAAAGCGTGGAAAAGATCGCTTGCACTACACGCTACAATTACCATTCCGATAAGACAGACAGCACTACGAGCCCTCGGAGTGATATAGACGAGTACAAAGAGAATAAAGGAAGACCCTAGGAAGAGCCAATGCCGTCGATGGGATTGCTTAAGCCCAGCTGGCCCCTAGGGCACTCAAATCGCGTGACGACGGCCAAAGTCGGAGATGCTACTTTGCATGGGATAGCAGGCCGGGTGGTGTCTCTCGGAACTCGTTGTGCCGCTGTCACCTTCCTATTACAGGCTAAAGTGGGACGGGAGCCAATTAAGCCTATTGCTGGAAAAAGCTTGGCTCCCCCGGTTTATCCGCGCTAGAACGGCTGTGGTTTACCGCTGGGAAACAATAGACCACCGAGACTGCGCCAATATAGCAGTCGAGATCAGTTCCCACCTATCTACGGAGTACTCTCTCTTTCGTATTCTCGCACGGACAGGGAAATTTGATAAACCCAAGCGCTCCAAGTGGCTGGATCTCGTTATTTCCGTTTCAGGGATGATTTGCCGAATCGCGACATAACCTCAACCCCGGTTTATCCCAAAAGACTACGGTCATTTGGGTAAAATCCCCCTCTACGGAGTATTATCTTTCATTTGTCATGTTTCTTCCCATCAGAACCGAAGATTCGCTGGATACGGCACGGGCAAGGGCACCCACCATAAGGTGACCACCTTCCTATTCAATCCCTAGGGCTTGAGGAATGCCCACGCGCGATGTTGCCATTTATGCCCAATTTAAAGGGCGGCACTGCCTCCAACTTGTCGGTCTTTCAGAAAGTCTTGTGAGAATCGAACTTTCTGTCGCAAGTCTAATCCTCCGGTTTCCAGCGATAATAACATGTCCTTGGCACCTCAGGCCCTCGGAGCTGTAGCCGATCCCCGCTCCTCGGTAGAGGCGGACAATATTGGGAGCTATGGGAATCGAGTTCTCCATACGCTTCATGACCCCAATGTTACTTTTGAAGAATATTTGCATTATGCAAGCGTCTCTCGTGCAGAGGAGAGCGAGCTACCGCCTGCCAAAGGGCCATTTGGGAACGTATGGCGTTCGATCTTCCTCGGCAAGAAATCCAAAACCCTAGAAGGAAACCCAGCAGATGGATCAGTCGTGAACACCATCGAGCAAAGCCCTGGAGAGAAAGGAGCGAGGGAAATGGGAGAAAAAGATACCAAAGCCAGCGACGAGGTCAATAACTCGTTCATGGCTCCTGCTTCGGCAGTCACCGAGGAGGAGTGGAAAGATGCATCCCGCGCGGCAAGAACGGCGACTTGGGGAGCCGTATGTACCGATATTCTCACCAAATTGGCTGCGATTCGGGCGCTCAGCTGACATGAATTGTGCTCAGGTATTCTACTTGATCACGACTGATATTCTGGGGCCATTTTCTGTGCCGTAAGTGAACTAAAGTGTGCAGCGCTCCTTGCAGCCGTAACATGTTGACTGATCCTCTTCTCTTTTTCTTAGATGGGCCTTTACACAGCTTGGATATGGACCTGGTATTGCATTGTATACGGTATTTGGTGGTCTCGCAGTATAGTATGTCTGGATTACTCTTTAAGGGGCGTTGGATCTTGGCATTGACAAGTCTCAGTACTGGATGGCAGCTATGGAAAGTCTTCATCGGACTCGACAGCGATCGCTACCCGTTGAAAAATTACGGCGATATGGCCTTTCGAGTCTACGGCCCATGGGCACGATATGTTTGCAATGTTTTGCAAAATTTCCAGGTACGTTGATAGAAACACCCCTATTGTTGCATGGCTGGGAAACGACAAAAGTTAATAAGAGACAGTTCTTTCTGAACGTCGCGCTGCTGATTATGACCTACGGAATCTCAATTCGCCAACTTTCAAGGCTCCGGCTTTGCTTCATCGTCTGCCTCATTGTATTTACCATTGCGGGTTTCCTCCTTGGACAAATCCGAAGTCTGCAGCGTTTCGGATACGTTGCCAACCTTGCCGTCTGGCTCAACCTCCTTGTCATATTCTTCACGTAAGCCATTTCAATCCCCATAATCAACAGTCAAGATGGGAGACCTCCACACACACACACACACACACACACACACTCTCTCTCTCTCTCTCTCTCTCTCTCTCTCTCTCCCTCCACGAATCTTGATAAGTTCTGACTCTAATTCGTTCATTTGCCGCCAACAGAATGGGTGTTGTCGCACACAGCCCCCCCAACTATGTTGCCGCCCAGCAGACCTACGGCATCCCACCAAATCAACCCATCCAACACACTGCCGGTTCTCCTGCGGGCCTTACCTTCCTTGATAACATTAACGGACTCATGCAAGCCGTCTTTTCCTATGGTGGCGCCACGCTCTTCTGCGAACTCATGGCCGAGATGCGCAAGCCCAAGGACTTTTGGAAGGGTCTCGTCTGCGCCGAAATGCTCATCTACGTGTGCTACATGCTTTTTGGGCTTTTTGTGTACTCTTACCAGGGCCAATACGCTGCCAATCCCGCTTTCCAGGGCATCGACCCCCAGTCGTGGCAAGACGTGGGCAACGCGCTCGGTGTCATTTCTGCCCTCATCGCCGCCTGCATGTACGGCAACATTGGCATCAAAGTCCTCTACGCCAATGTCGGCCAAGAGCTTTTCCACGGCCCTCGTCTTGAAACCCGTAAGGGTCGATTTATCTGGACCGCCCTCGTCCCCGTTTACTGGATTGCCGCCTTCGTCATTGCCGCCTCCGTGCCCCAGATTTCCAATTTCTCCTCCCTTGTAGGCGCTGCATGTATCATGCAGTTTACCTACACGTTCCCCCCGCTTCTCATGATCGGCTATAACACCCAGCGTGATGCCATCTTACCGGAAGAAACTTTTGATCCCGTGACCGGTAGACTCAATCGCATCGATGGCGGTATCAAGCGCTGGCTCCGTGGTTACCGTCGTCGCTGGCTCCAGAATACTTGGGATCTCGTCTTCTTCTTGGGCTCCTGCGCCACGGCCGTCCTCGGAATCTACGCCAGTGTTGTCTTGCTCAATGATGGCTACCAGCATAATAAAGGCCAAAATGTTGTTGCGTTCAACTGCGTCAGTCCCGTTGGATAGATTCTTCTTCTTTTCTCTTTCCATCCCCTTTTTACTTCCCTTCCCCCCTTTTCTCCCCTTTTTTTTTTTTCTCTTTTCGTTTCCTTCACTTCTTCTTCTTCTTCCCCTCTCCTCCAATCTCTATTTTTTTTCGTTCTAGATTCTCTTCCCCCCCTCTTTTAGGGTGATCAGTTTCTGTAGTAGATAAGGATACCGTGGCAGAGTTGTCATTGTTAACATGTATGATTCACGTTCATAAGGGCCTTCCAACTGGGGAACTAAGTCGAAGTAATACAAACTTCAATTAAAATACATGTATTACCAAGTTCTATAGATAATGTACCTTATGCCACATGTCTAGAGATGTTTATACAGCCCATACCAAGCTACTAAAGTGTATAGTATGCCCCCCAACCCCCTTTTTTTTTCTCGGCAAGACGCAATGTGCAGTGCAATGGAGCTTTTATCTACACCCTAGACCTTAACCGAATGCAATAGCAATGATGGAAGTACACCGAAGTATATACAAGGTAAGTAGAATGCCAAAGGAGACCGAGCCTAACAGAGACGAGGCAGAAGGGAAAGAAAAAAAAAAGCAAAGGATACAAAGGGGAAAGGAGAGACGGAAAGAAAAGAAAAAGAAAGAGAAAATTTACATCCCACTTCTAATCAATCTGCCTAATCCCTTGACTCGTCGCACTATCGTCTCGCCGTAGCCCAACTCGACTATACCCATACACATGTCCCATCCCTTTTGCGCAGACTTGATGGGATAGTCGAGCGGCGGGGGGATGGACGTGCTGAGCAGCGCGGGAAAGCGGTCGCGGCAGATGGATTTGGTGTTGCATAGGCCGCGGAGACCTTCTTCGCCTGCGAAACGGCCGTATCCTGTAATAGATAAGAAAAAGCGGGAAGAAATTAGTTCACCGTACGGCGAGTAAATTAAGATTTTTTTTTTTAAAAAAAATGGGGAATAAAAAGAAGACAGCAGGGCACAAAGGACATGAGAAGAGAACATAAGGAAATGATAAGAGAACAAAGAGGAAATTATAAGGGACAAATTATAAACATAAAAAGGGAGAAAAACGTACCACTTCCTTTGACGCCGCCAAAGGGCAGTTGAACGGCATAATACACTGCAAAGTCATTGACAGAGACCATGCCGGATTTAATCTCGGACACGACTTGTTCGAGGTGGGCGCGGTTCGAGCCAAACACGCTGGCGCCAAGACCGTACTCGGTGCTGTTGGCGATACGAATGGCGTCTGTGACATCTGTAGCTTTCATGAGCACAAAGACGGGCGCGAAGAGTTCTTCTTGCGCAATGGCCATGTCGGGAGTGACGTCGACAATCAGAGTAGGGGCGAAGTAGTGGCCCTTGGGATAGCGGGGGTGATGCAGACGCTTGCCGCCGGCGAGGAGACGCGCGCCACGGTTTACTGCGTCGGCGATGAGATGCTCGAGTTTGTCAAAGGAGGCGGGGGAGACCATGGCGCCGACATCGATGCCTTCGCCGTCGTCCAGGGCGCTGCCAACGCGAAGGTTCTTGACGCGGGGCTCGATGAGAGCGCAGAGCTTGTCGTAGATGCCCGCGCAGGCAATGACTCGTTCGATGCCGATACAGTTTTGTCCCGAGCTCTGGAAGACACCCCGCATGAGGATACTGCTGACTTTGTCAAGATTCTTGACGTCGTCGAGGATAATGGATGCGTCTTTGCCGCCGAGCTCGACGCATACTGGGGTCAGGGCCTCGGCGGCAGATGCGCAGACCGCGTGTGCAACGGGCCGTGAACCGATGAAGGTGAGATGCGAAATGCTAGGGTGTGATGTCAAGTGTGGCGCGACAGAAGGCCAGCAGATGATGGACTGGACGAGGTTGGGGGAGTGGCCGCATGCGATGAGCGCGCCGCGAGCAATGTTGGTAAAGTACGTGGATGACCAGGCGGTGGCTTCAGAGCCCTTGACGACGACGGCGTTGCCGCTGAAGAGAGCGGAGATGATCGGGCCGAGGAGGTTGTGGAACTGAAATTTTCAGGTTAGATGCTTGAAGTGGGTTTGGGGTTTATTTGATACGTAACGTACGGGATAACTGATAGGTTGTTAGTATATAGATGGAAGGAGTAAATGGGAAGTTTGATACGTACTTCCAGCTGACGCATGCAGCGACGACGCCAAGAGGTTCCCACCGAACTTCATTGACCTTGTACATCATGAGAAAGTTGGTGGGCCGGCTTTCGGCTTTGAGAGCTCTCTCGCCATGTTTAATTGTCCATTTGAGCTTTTCCACTGTCACGAGAATCTCTCCAAAGGAAGAGTCGATTCGAGTCTTGCCAGAGTCAAGACACGCCGCTGTGGAAATGTTCTCTTGATTTTCAAGAACGAACCTAATTTGAATGGTGTAAGTTTAATTGCTCGTCACTGGAAAATCATGAGAGTGGACACCATACTTTAGCAATGTCTGCAGAACCTTTCTTCGTTGCGAAAAAGACGTCTTGGCCCATTCCGTTTGCGCTTCCTGTGCGCGCGCAATGGCGCGATCAATGCCGTCCGGAGTTGCCGGGTTGATCAATCCAAGAGACTTTCCGCTGGCGGGGCAGTAGCATTGAATGGAAGAGGAGCCGGCGACCTATGCGAGCAGTATCTCAATCAGCGATTGTCCAACGAATATCATGTGATTTCGACTCCACAAGACAGAATATAAGGCTCTGCCAGATTTTTCGCCTTCAGTTCCCTCGACATTCTTCTTCTGTCCCAATTAGTGTTTTCCTATTCGACTCCACGCGCTCTTCTCATCTCTCATTTCCAGTTCTCTTGTCCTTTTATTCCAGGCCCAATATCACAAATATCAGCAATTGGGCTCCTATCTAGATCCCATTTCGTGCTCGGAGGTACAGCAGACGAGAACAAATAGCCGCAGAACCAAACTGCCGGCTTGAGACCCTTGGCTTTCCAATCCCTTTACCTCTCCTAAACAGGTTTGTCCTTTTCCATCCTCCTCGGATGCCGCAGCCCAGCCCCACGACCACGAAACCACGACCGGGGCTGCAATTAGAAGATCCCATAAGAACTCAAAAAGGAAGAATTCGCCCTACCTTCAATTCTGTCCTCTCCACTTCCTCTCCCTTCCATCCAGGCCGACACTGTTCCGGCACTGGAACTGTATAGTCCACCGCTTTTTCATTCACCCTTTTGCCATTTCCACGGCAGCATAGAGATCCTCCCCCAACTAATTTTGTGAGAAATATGCCCGCGACCGTAATTCCGACTACCGCAGTTGCCACGAATACAGCAATGTCGACGTTGCCATCGCTGCCGATGTCGCTGCGGCCGCTAATGGTTCTCCCAAGTAACTTTATTGAGAGCTTGTCGAAGCCAGCGACGGAGGAGAGAGCGAGTGCCCGTAAATAAGCAGCAGTATTATCGCACAGAGAAGAGGATGATGACGGCCATGACGACGTGGAGTTTTCGAGGACCATTTTGTCTGTTAACTTCAGACCTCTGCTTGCGTTAGTGGACAGGATGCGACAACACGGGGCAGAGACGGTGGATACGCACAGAGTTGGAGAGTATGTTAGGTCTGGAGACCCCAAACTCTGACCCCAACGATGGTGTAGAGTACGTTTAGACACAAAAGGATGATGAAAAGTTAAAGGTGTCGAGGCAAATCGTAAATTATTCCAGTTATGACGGGGATTGTTTATTTAAGGTTTAGCGGGACTCGTACCTGAATCGGATCATTTTAGTCGCCATGTGGGTTCCGCCTTGCGCCAGGGACTTCGAGAGATCAACACTGACATTAGCACGACAGTTCTACACGTACTTCTTCAAATGTTCAGATGAATAATAATTTATTTAATATTATATATTTGTGATAAGAAAAAGACATGAGCTATATAAATATCATCCTTTTCAAGCCGTTTCTCCTTGCAACATGCAATGAAATCGAGCATCGTAGTATACCAGGCTAGGCGTAGAGCAACATTGCTAATTCTAGAAAGAGCACGCTCAAACAACGACACGGCAAATTTCCAATATCCAAGAACGCGACCAAACGCGATCACGCGTCATCGTCATCAAGGTCGTCAGGAACATCACTTAGATCCTCATCGTCATCACCATCTAACGCCATGTCATCTTCTCCCTCGTCCTCATCACTCTCCTCTTCCTTCTTCACGCGTTTTCTCTTCTTCGTTGGACTCAGATCCGCACCTCCTTTTCTCTTCCCTGATCGCTTAACCAAATGCTCAATGGGACATCCTTTCCCCCATCCTTCACTACTCTGGCCCGTACTTGCACGACAACGAGGACAAGTTTTGCCATGGCGAATGAACAGCGCATGGAGGGGATATTTCAACTCATCCGGAATTCTCACATCACAGTGGCTATATGTGGTATTCCTCGTAGCCTTATCAGAGGGTACCCATCCCAGCCACTTGCACAACCGGAAGACGTGGGTATCTACCGCGAAACTAGGTCGCCGCATGCAGAACAATAACACGCAGGAAGCTGTCTTGGGCCCGATGCCCGGGAACTTGATAAGTTCATTTAGCGCGTCATCGGAAGAGAGCGCGTGTAGATGATCCAAGGAGAGGACATGATTTTCGGCCCGGGCAATTTCTGCTTCCTTCTGCGCATCTGTCTCATTCTCAACTCCGGCTGGGCCTTTTTCTTCATCGTCATGGTTCTCCTTCTTTGCCTCGACGAGGGCGTCTCGACGAGCTTTGTTCTGCTCATGAACTAATTCGAGAATCGCCTTGATATTCTTGCTTTTCGTGTCGGCGAGGCCTCCACACTTGATCGCCTCAAATATATCCTTGGTGTCGGAAAGCCGAACTTTGTCCCAGTCTACACTTCCTTTACCGATACCTTCTTGCAAAATGCCAAACTTTTGGATAAGCCCTTGAAATGCGCGAGAAGAGTTTGTTCCGGTCGTGGCTGCGCTGAGGAGCGTCCGGATAAGTGCATCTAAAATTGACGGCACCTCGCCGCATCCTGAAACAGTGACGGATGGTGGCGGGATAGTTTCAGGAGCCTTCACCTCCCCATGAATAGAGGATAGAAGGCGCACAACATCGGCACATTCCTCAGGTGTCGGATGCGGCCAATTGGGGAAAGGCGATTTGCCTGGTGTCAGGCCATATGGATTTCCTTTGCCTGCTTTCTTTGGTGAAACCGCCTTATCAGTACCATTGATGTTGGACGATGCTTTCTCAACAATGGCTTTTGTCTCGAAAACATCCTCAGCCTTAATGGCGAATCTGCCGCGCTTTTGCTTGGCAGCGTCTGACTTGATTGGGCTCTCAAGCTTCCCAAGATTATGTGGAAGTTCGTTAGGATCATCCTCAATCTTGACCGTGCTCTTGCGCTTTCGTTTACCCGGGACAGTTTTGGCAGAGGCCAATGCCTCATCAGGAATGTCGTCCGGGGATCGAGCAGATGCGTCTCCTGCTCTTGCCAATGTGATGTTTTCACTTGTTTCACCATCCTGAGCAGCCTCAGTGGTAGGGACATCGGCCTCTGGAGCCGAGCCATTTATCGAGATTGTTTTGGCAGCATTGACTTTTCTCCGTGGCGCTGGTTTTGGGCGCGCCGCACTTCCTGAAGCGGAGGGCCTGGAGGCTGGCTTTTGAGTTCGCTTTCTTGTTACCTTGGAAGCTTCAGAGGTTGATTGAGCTTGCGGCTTGCTGTTGTACGATGAAGATATTGCTGCTGTTGCTTTGGCAGCAGATGCGCGGGTCGCCCGGCCAGACATATTCACCCTGCAAAAACAACCAAAAATTTTTCAGTTCCTCGAATATGATCATTAAATGAAGCGCAAAGATATACCTCAACAGAGTCCTCAGGTCGATACTGCAACAAAAATTTCTGAAATACCACAACGTGGCGAATAGTCCATCCACCACCCACGTCAGTGTCCTGAAAACCTGATAAACTGCTAATGCAGCTCTCTTTTTTGGTTCAAGCAATAATAGGAACTATCAATTCAGCCGTCGATTATTTGTCCACTTATCCAAGTTGATTGCAACAGCCGGCGAGATATATGATGTCAATATATGTGGCTGGCTGGAATTTTCAGCAAAAGCAATCAGTTTCGTACAACAAACTTTATGAGCTGCAAGGCTGGGATGGAAAATCAGAACCGCAAGTCGCCGAAAGAAAAGGATTGCGGAATTTGCAGGAGATGATATCAACGACTGGCGGGAGGCAGTCCCAGAGAGTGTTGCGGAATGCAAAGTCAAGCACTGATACATGCGTATATGAAGAGGCCAATCAATACTTCGACGCTGCTGCCATCAAGGCAAAACAAAAAGAGATGTGTGTAGGGCTTTAACGGATATGCAACCAGGCAAGTAGTGGGTATGATACAACGGACGATGGTTCAGAAGGAAGTAATGTCAACTAGGGCGTATAAACTGCATTAAACACAAAGACAGGAGAAATATTCAATTGAGCGGATTTTTGGGTAGTGGATTGCGGAAATCAATGAAGAAGGGAGACATAAGTTCCTAGTACTTTGGACTCTGATATATCAGGTGTATCATAAGACGGTGATCATCTTCCTCTGTCGTCTGGTTGATGACGTTCAGCATCTTACCGAAGAGGAACAGACTGATGGGACCCTGGATTTGGCGGCGATAGTGCCGACCGCCAAGCGATACTATGAGGGTTAGTCTGCTGCAGGAACCGACACCAACAACGTCCATCATCATCCTCTACTGCCGCCATGAGAAATCAATTGCTGCTTTTGGATGAAAAAAATATACGTATTAGTCGATAATATAATCTTCCTGAACGATTTATCTATTGATAAATCTGCTCTGAATCTTTGGGACCGCGTTGTTGTTCTCTCAATTGCATTTTGCCTGCTGGACCTGTCACGTGCCAATAAAACACCCAATTAATCAACAAGAATATTCTTTCAATTTTCGTAAGATTTTATAACGCATGATGGTAGATTCAGTGCTTGAGACCTCAGTAGATTACTGATATTTAGATTGCATATCTCGGTATTCGTAAGTTTGACATGCAGACTTCACATAATCCATATCATGTGACTCGACTATAAAACAACGTCACCGACCCACCCAATCTTGTGCTTCTCATGCCCTCTTCAGACCATGCTGATAACCCTAGAACCCCTTGAAACTTCTTGATCCGATTTCGTTTTATGGCTGTTTTGCATTTGAGATTGACAATCATAATTTGTATTCTGTGCAGCTCTGCTTTTGCAATCGACCACGGTGGTTGTGGTTTGCTTGTTTACATTAAGTCAAACTGTACCTTTGCAATACTTGTACAGTGCTTGATACAGAATTCGTTCGATTGATATCTTTCTCAAACTTCATTTGATATGCAGCCAATGCTTGCATTTTGCCATGTTCTTTGAAAATTCTACAATGTTCGTTGTGATGCTACTGCAGAAGCGGAAAGTTGCATATCTTGGTGACCCTGATGCTGTTGCCCTGACATATTGTGCCTCACAAGCTTACTTCAGGTCTTGATTCTTCACGCTTTTAAGGTGCTAATATATTGGTTCTGGTACTTGCCGCTGGTACATCAAACGTGCTTTGAGTGCTGCTCTCAGACAGCCCTTACGCTCTATGATTCCTATATTCAATATTCTCGAGCGGGAGGACATGCACAAGGTCACGGAAAATGACGCTCACAAGTCTAGCAGAATGGAACTGATAAATAGAGAACTCGCTCGTCAAACCTCCTCTCATCAACTCTCAACACTCAAAGTTGTCGACTCTCAGCTACCTCCAACCCCCTCAACCTCTACTCTAGCGCTGATACTCTCGTTCTATCTTATTTGAAATCAGGATATTTTAGATATAGAGTTCACTTCTACTTGACCTGATTATCAACTTTTGACCATAGGTCTCTTTTTCTACTCTATTGTCACCCTGAGGCCCTCCATTTATCAACCGCAGGACCATACTCGCAATCATTTCTTTTTACCAACTCAACCCGCCATTTTTCCGTCTTCCTATTTCAAGCTCCTTGTCGCTTAATTACTCATTCCTGTGCAAATACTGTATCGCAGCAAAGAGCGAAAGACACCTACGTTCTCTCGTGCATCAATCACTTACACACCTCTGATCTGATATTCAAGTATTCTGTCACTCAGAATCTCTTTCTGTCCCCTTGGAAAAGCCGTCACGCCGTTTCGCAGTTCAGCTCCGACCGATTCCACTCCGACTACTACATACTCTTGGTAGCCCCAGTCTGGCCTTACCATCGGAGATGGAGGACGAAATCATATTCTCCGAACCAGTGGATGATGCGACCATTGACCTGACATCCGAGCAACAAGTGGTCGATCTATCTGACGATGACGACGTAGTTGACTTAACGACATCCGGAAATGCAAATATTGGAACAGATACTGGGCATCTCTCAAGCTACCGAAACGCCAAACTCAATCTCCCCCGCATCTACCTTGAAAATTGCTGCATCGACGGGCTTAAAATCTCGCTGAACAATACTATTGAGTTGGAAGACGGAGACTTCTTGCGAGTCAAAGAGATTTTTGAGGATGTGTCCAACTCTGAAATCAGTTTCCGTGGCTGGAGGCTTCGACGGTCAAAGCTCATGAGTGGAATGCTCCCAAAAAAGCTCAACGAGCTGTGTTGGTTGCTGGAAGTTGACGAAGACGATAGTCGACCACACGGCATACAGGGAATGGAAGAGATCCAGCCCTCGCAAATAAAAAAGCGAAGAGGCTTGAAAATGACCAACCAGAACTTCCCGTCGATGAGCTTCCGAGACGACTATCGCGACGTGTCTTGTTTTCCACCTGAACAGAAAATTCTAGACGATCTCGTCCTTGCCTGCCGATGGAAATTCGTCAGATATTTCAGAACGGCAATGGACAGAATTAAGGGCATCTGCCATCAAGAGGGAATTTATAGATTATGTGTCGATGAATGCGACCCCGGATGCGAAGCCCCAGAAGAACGACTACGAGATGACTGGCGCGGAGAGAGTCCCAAAGGCGGCTCGGGGCGTGGTCCAAGTGCTCAAGAAGAAAGATTCAACGCAAGGGAACAGGAAATTGTTCGCGAATCATTTGCACAATTCCACCGACGCCAATTTTTCGATCTCACTTCACCCGAACCAGAGGCCATGGTAATTGACGTTGATGCAGCAGAGACAGAGCCACCAAGACCACCTCAACCACGCCTCGTTATCGATCTCGAAAACGAAGTGAAACAAAATAGATATACATTCGGCGACGCATTCTGTGGCGCTGGTGGAACGTCACGAGGTGCCAAGATGGCGGGGCTTGCTGTGGACTGGGGCTTCGATTTTGACTATAGTGCATGCGACACCTATCGACGCAACTTTTACGGGACAAGGATCTACAACATCTGGGCTCACCAATTTATTAGTCTGACTGAAGATCACAAAGTTGACGTCCTTCACCTCTCTCCGCCTTGCCAATTCTTTTCACCTGCGCATACTGTGCAGGGCCAAAATGACGAGATGAACATCGCCACGCAATTCGCACTTGAAGCCATAATCGCAAAAGCCCGGCCGCGTGTAGTCACGATTGAGCAAACAGCAGGGCTTCCAAGTCGGCACGATAAATTTTTTGCAGCTCTCATCCTTCAGATCGTTGCTCACGGCTACAGCATCCATTGGCGAATCATAAACTGCGCTGCCTACGGACTTCCTCAAGCTCGCAAACGAGTTTTTCTAATTGCTGCATGGTACGATCATTCTCTTTATCAACCCCTTATCTCTTCTTTGCGTCATCTGGTGGCCATCTATTCATCTCTCAGGCCCTTCATACCATCTAATTTACTCCCATCAACAGTTGTCCTGATTTTATTTGACTAACGGGGTTCCTAGTCCTGGAGAGAAAATACCACCATTTCCGTTACCCACTCACGGCGACCCAATCGATGATCCTCATCTCCGGCCATACGTGACCATCAACGAAGCCATTGGCAAGATTCCCAGGAATTTCCCTAACCACGACATTGCAAACACCACGCCTCGAAACAAGCAACCGTATTCCGGCGACGAGCCGCATCGAAGCTGCATCACTACAAGCGGCGGCGCCAACACTGTGCACCCCTGCGGCAGACGAGACTTTACTCATCGCGAATTCGCTTGTCTCCAGGGGTTTCCGCTCGAACACCAGTTCGGAAACGTAAAAGTGAAGCATCAAATTGGCAACGCGGTGCCACCTGTCGTCGCCCGAGCCTTTTATGAAGTGATCAAGAAGACTTTACTTGCATCTGACGGCTTGTTATAGGGAGACGGTTCAGCAATCTACACCCTGTTCGATATTTCTCTGACAAATGCTAACCCCTTTGCTCGCCTTTCCCCCTTTCCCTTGTGTCGTCTTGTCGTTCTTATTTAGTCTGAGTGTCGTTACTTTTCCATTAATTTGCTTACATTACAGGGTCACAGGTCATGATTCATAGACTCTTAGCTCTTCGACAGGCTCTCTGCTTTTCTGCGCACTTGCTTTTCCCTTCCAATTTTTCTCCTTTGTTCTTATAGAGCTGGATCTCTACTTTTCGGTACCTATCCCTCTGAAGTTTTATCCTCCCTCACCCCTCCCCCACCACAAACACACGCTTCATGCATTTATCTTTCAGCTTTTGCTCATATCATGTTCAAGATCCACTATTCCACACGCTTAATTCCTTCAGCGCTTATCTGCAAACGTCACCAAATAGACCAGATCTAGCATACAGAATCTCATCTTTTGAAATATATCATCTTATTTATCTTATACAACACAATTTAAAATTCTTTCCTCTACAAGTCACTCCTTAAACTTATTTCCATAGCACTCTATGTCTTTCTCTTACGTGATGAATTGCGTCATAGTCCATGCTCTTCAGTGTTCACAATGGTTGAACCGTTGAAGTGATCGAGGAGCCCCTCGTTACCATTTAGCTCGTTCAGCACATTGTATCTCAATTTACCTAAATTGCCAAAACTTAAAAGGAAATGGTAGATTTGTATTGGACTATTGTCTTCCAGAGGGACAAAGAACAGCAGAATTACCGGACAGTGGACTCCTCATCTTCGGTCCAAGGACCACAAGTCCACGGTGGATAAGTCTCCTTGGGACCGGACAACTGAAAGCCCAAATTTCCAATTAACCAGGATTCGGGCAGAGTTCTTTGCCAACTGGTCTTTTTCTCCCCATCAAGTTAGCTTAGAAAGCCCTGTCGACAACCTGCACAAACACTCCAACTGTCCTACGTTGAATTCGTGCTAGATTTCAATCTAATGCCCTCAAAAAACCCTAATCTCGTCATCGACCATCTCAGGACGGGGTTCCTGACTCCTGAGTCTACTATCAGGTAACCAGGTTCAATTAGAGGCTGCCCATCTGGTAGTGCTAAGATAGCAAGACCTGTCGGAGCTCCTGCTCTCCTTCTCCTCCTCGTGGTCCTCATCGTCGTTCACCATCACAGGAATCACAGCCTTCACAGGATAGCATGCGTGGCTGCCAGCAGCAACTTTTATGTGAGTGTCTGCCTTCACTTTGTAAATTGTAACATTACGCACTTTCCGCTACATGGTCCACGACTCTTTCTCTTCCAAGTCCTGCAAGCGTGCCGACTTCCGCTGCCGTAAGTATTGACGCTTGACTCTTTTTGGAAAATAAGTTGTATTATTTTCTTTTGGTTAGGGTTAATTTCCTTAAAGTGGGTGTTGGCTCAGACTCACAGTCATTCGTCCTTCATCGACGTTTTTCAGTGGATGGCGGAGCAAACTGACGAGTCGATAAGTGCCCTGTTTAACTGAGATATGAAATGTAGGATGCTCATCCAACAAACATTGTGAATTTATAAAATTGACCATTCGGGAGTTTCTCCCGGTGTTTTGACATCCTTTCGGGAAGATTGGACAGGCAGACCCACAGGTAACTTTTTTTCAAAGGAAAGATTGAAGGATGCTACTAGGAGACTCGATGGCATGTTTTTATGCTTTGAGCTTATCCGGAAAATAGGGCAAGAGAATGGTGGTATTATACTCAGCTCCCAAAAACCGGATCAGCGGTATGGTATATAAGGGGTAGCGATTCTTAACTGTGAGTGGATTAAGAGCGCTTGCCAGAAGTCTGCTACAAACTGGGCGCCACGGTCAGGGACTATGGTTCTGGGTAAGCCATGTAACGAGAAGATCCGATCCACAACCAGGTCAGCAGCTTCTCGAGCATCGGAGGTCGAGGTAGTGGGTATAAAATGCCTCATTCTACTTAGTCGGTCATCGACGACCATAACTGCGTCGTAGCCATCAGAGTTCGGGCTTTAGCACGAGCTTCTTCTGATTCTCTAGTCGTGGGTCGCCAGTCTCTGGTCCGTGTGCCCCTTGCAGAGCAAGCAGTTTGCTAGCACAAGACAGTGTCTCTTTGTAAAGGCCGTGCCTCGTAATTGTGTAGTGATACCTGGGATACGCAGGGCAGTAGTAAGCTGGAATAAAGCGGAGTAGGAGTGATAGCTAGGCTCTATGTAACAAAGTAGAGCACTTGCCCTTCAGCAGAGCGTTCTACCCCATGATATATATGCAGTGTATAGCCACTGGACTACCCTGTGGCTGCCATGCGTGTGACATGTTGGGCGCTTAAAGGGTCTAGAGCAACGCCATGGACGGTCGGTCTGGTCTGGAGCCAGCCGCCGTGACATATCTGCATGCATGTAGTACGATCACATCTTCCAATGCAATCACCACGGCTACTGGCTCCAGCTCTGCAGCTTCATAGGCTTATTGGCACAATCAGGACAGATGATGGTTCAATCTTGGTAGGCAATAGATTTTGCAAGTAGTGCATTGTAGGGTTGATTTCCTAGTAATAAGCGCATCCGGTTTCCCTTCGAGCGGGCCTGGGCTATAGTGGATGTTAAAATCAAATATAGAAAGGAACTCGGCCCACTGTGCTTGTCTTGGCATGGCAAACACGAGAGTCTGATCATCAGTTGCCTCCATGTCTTGGTATAACCGGTTGACATTCTTTGATACCATGATTCCATTGTGAAGCTACCTGTTCACACGACTTCCTCGATAGTCAGACCCAGCTCGACATGACTGAATTGGGTCCGCATTGCGTCCTGCATCTTTTCAGGCACGGGAAACTTTGAGAGAAGCCGCAGCCTGTGTGCGTACTTGAAAAAGGACAGTTTTGCTCGCCTTTTCGGTCGGAGTGCCTTTTCAGGATGTAAAATAGGTGACAGGTAAGGGTTAGGAAAATCCAGACATGTCGCTATGAATTGCATGCTCCTTGCAAAAATTCAACTTTAGTTGCAGTACCATTTTCAAGCTCGAGCTTTTCGAGATTGTGGTCATCTGATAGTAATAGCTGTGAATCGAAGCTGTACACCTCTGTATGCTAAAAACATAAGAAAGCCCCGAAAATGAATGCTAATGAGCCTAACGCCAATGGAACTGCATCAACGTGACATCCATGCTTCCAGAAACACGAGTCCAAGTAGGACGTGGTGATGCCATTGTTTGGGTCTCTGTTCCATTGAGATGTTGCATAATCGTGTCATTTGGCATGGTCCTATTACATGGGCCCACTGCTGATATCTTTAAAGACAACATTCGAGTTGTCCATGCTCTCCGAGATTTTGCCTTTGTCAAACCATATTTTGATCTTGCCTGATTGACGGTACTTTAAGTTTTCTTGCTGGAGCTGACTTGTTATTGCATTAAGAGCGTCTGGTGGAGGGTTCTCCTGATGGCTCCTGAAAGGTGCTTGGAGGGTCGATCCTCTGTTGCAAGCACAGCTCCCTGGTAAACCAATATGAATTCAAATTTCAGACAGCAAAATTAGCGCAAGACCTTTTTTGACCAGCAATCTTAAGGAAACCATGCGGCTGTGTCATCATTCAAATCCCGGATTCGCATTTGGATATGAATACCTGGCGAAGCACAACGGAGCCGGTAATTCCAAGACTTAGAAATGTGCATTCGTGCACTAAAGGTTTCAACTCTTTTTCTGGAAAGGAGCTTACAGTCGTGTTGAGGCTCTGGCAGCGTTTGTCTTTGAGGTTCTCAATTTTATAGCTTTTGAGCAATATATTCATATCCTGGGTGTCCTTGTCATGGTACGATTTATTCGGTCTTGATTCATTTTCGCCTTGAACTTGGCTGGGTTTCCTGAGGGGGTACAGGGCATTGCATTGATGCCTGTCAGCCTTTGAAAATGTCCATCGACTCCATCCACATGAGTGACATACTCTCATGTGGGTTTTACAGAATGATGTATTGTTCATTTTTGTGTGGTGGCAAAGGTCGAAGAGTGGCACCCAGTTCTTCCACCACAGAGAAATTTCCAACACGGTGCTGGCAACTTTCTCAACGATCGACGAAAACATCTACAGATGTCAGCCGTCTTCAAATTTCTAAGCTATAGGAGCTGGAATTACTTTTTTTGTGTTTGGAGCGAGAAGACAGCGCGCCATAACACCCGCATGGAGAGGAAAACAGAGAAGGACTAAGTACGTTCAGCTGTTTTCTTGGATTTTGTGTGGCTGTGATATGGCTTGTTTTGAGGAATTTCTGGAAAGTCCAATTTCTTCACTAAATATGCTGTTAATGCTAGGTAGTATCATGAGATGAACTATCCACTTACATTTTTTCACTTTGAAGGAACCGTCGTTTCTTCAGAAATTGTCTCTCAGTTCTGGAAACTGTTGGTACGGTAAATAGAAATTGGGTATATCGAACCGCCATCATGCAAACGGCCTGAAAACAATGTCCAACTGTGATACCAACACAGCTTTTGGGCGTTCACTATAGATAGGACTATCTTTACCTTATCCACGTGGTTAGTATATCTACTGTGAGATGGCCACCAGGAAGGCTCAGGCTGTCCGTCTCCATGAATTTGAAAGTATAGTAACGGTCAATCATAACATTGAATTTTACCAAAACAGTTCCCAACAGAGTGTATTAGTGCACTGCGCAATGCCTCCAGAAGGATTTTGCGATATTGAGGAAGTCGACCATGGAAGCGGTGGAGATCAACAACATCAGATCCACCATTGGCATCCACTTTCTGGATGGATGCCTGGCTGTAACATTCAGGCGAAGGAGTTGTTTATGAAGAAGCTGAAGAGAGCAAAAAGGACATTGAATTGTATCTTCAGCCATCTTATTACTGTGGTGCTATGTGTTGCGTTGTTTTTGATCATGTGAGGATCTTCCGAATTGAGCGGCCTCAGATTCTGTGATTGCGTGTACAATGCTTTGGTATAAGTGTTAGGGTTTCTCATGATTAATGTTTTAGTAAGGCACATGGCCTAAGTGTGATTGTCCAATTCTGGTTCGAGATTGCAGTAACTAGAAGCTGCTGGAGGAGGCTATACGATAGTAGTTGCAGGTTCAATGAAATAGGGCGAGGAGAAGCCAAAATTTTCCCGGTCATGGCCAGGTCGTCCGAAGAATACATGCCAAGGACTTTCAGCTCCCTCTGTGCCCGGCGCAATGTGGGGAGATTTCTGCACACCTTCACATCAAGCGCGTACATGAAGAAGGTCATCATTTTGGGGCGCCTCCCCGCGCCAACCATTCTGGACCCACTCGGAGGTCCGATGTTCAGACTTGGCCTTGGCGCGTTTTCATCACCTCGTCTTGGACCTGGTCAAATGTGCACGTGTGCTCCTCGAGGAACAAGACGGAGAGGTCGTGACGCTGATTGAGGACCCACCATGATCGTGGGTTGGCCGAACGACAGGCTTCTCTGGGTTCGTCGGATCATGATCATGCCGAGCACCTTCCCAAAGAACTGGGCCAGCTAAGTGAACTCACTGGTGTTGATAGATGACCAGACTATTTCCTTGCCCATCTGCTCAACATTATCATGCTGGCATCTCTTCGAGACCTCCAAGCCCTAGGCACAGTTATATTGCCATAGGCAGACGAGCGGCGTTATTCTGGACTGGCTGATATCGAAGGGCGCCTCGCTCAGGGACCAAAAGTACAGGTTGAACCAAACTGTTGTGTGCTGTAAGGTTTTTTCAATGTTTTTCTGGCTTTCGTCTTTCCTGTCTTTCTTTTGAGTAACCGTTGTGCGAATCCCGGAATAATTTGACATGTTGAAGAACAATTGCGGCCCAAACCAATGAACTCAGATGACATGGGCATGCTGCTCGCAGAGGTAGCTTCAGCTGCTCTGGGGAATTGTATATTCTAGGAGCAAATCAACCCTAGCAACTGAGAGAGAGCTAAACCTATTGTTTACTGATTCTAGCCCGCTTTGCCGGCCAGACCTGCTCTCCGGCTTGTTCTTCGGCGGTCAGGTGCCTTGTGGCCCTTGTCTGTCACATGTATCAGCTTTTCGACTTCGACCATACAGTCGATGAAACGCTTTTTTGGAATGGACGGGGTGTATGTAGTAGCTCTAGAAGGTCCTCCTAATATTGTAGGAGTTAACCTTGTAGATGTCAAAAGATTGACGGTGGTAATTCTTTCACGACCTCTCTCGATAAGGCCGTTTATGTCCTTGTGTTTTATGTGATTTCATCGTATTTCTAAGACCAGAAGCGGCCATGGTCGTGTGGTGATTGACTGAAACCTTTCATGAGCATCATTCATGGGCTCTTGTACAAGCAGAGCGCAATAACGGCGGACGAAAAGTCTGTCCGGCGTCACGAAGTAGAGTACTCGGTCACACTCCTCCGTGGCGTGAAATTGCACAGCAATTCAAAAAAAAAAAATTGAAAAGTTTCGAAGGCAAGACCGATCGCGGGATTCTGCCATAGGATGAGCAAACCCATGCATTAACCGCAGACTCTAACCTTGAAGAGATTCCCTTGCAAGTTAAATTCAATTGGAGAGCAGACATTAGTTTTTCTGCATTTCCGGTGGTCCTTTTCAGAGATTGCCCGAAATTTCATACAACGCTTTCCGGAGGACTATCGATTCTGACCACCGAGAAGAAGCAGAGAACACCTTGTTGAGGGATTCCAGGTAGCTGACTTATTAAATAGAGCTTGAGAAGTATTCCTAAAATATTAGAAGCGTAAGAATGACCACAGGTCTGCCTCCCATGATTAGAATTCTCATATTTCCACCGTATCTCCTAAGGATGGACATGAGAGTGATTGAAAACAGATCAGCATGCTCGCTCCATTGCTCCATTATTTCTTTCAAACACTCATACTCTCTGATCAAAGCAAAGGACTGCAACACAGGATATTGATAGAAATTAAGGAAGGAGTTCTGGGGGAGATACAGTTCTGATGGTTGAACCACCAAAGAGCATTCAGATTGTTGTGGGGCTGGATAAACCAATAATGACCAATTTTTTACGGCCAATGATGGCCCACACCCAGTTGATATCGAGATCTCAAGGTAGGACTGCTGCCTTTTGATTGCGACCAGGTTGTTTCTTTAAGCGGTGTTTCTTGTGAAGAACTTTGCAGCTTATCCGTCGTTCAAGCGCAGTCGTTCGTGGATGAGTAGGCGGAACGCGCTTGGCCAGAAAGCTAGAAGAGTTTGTGCCCTGAGATTTCGCTGCGTCGCAAGCAGCTACACTTGTTTGGTCATACTGATGCTGGAGAGGCGAGCTGTTGGGCCCATATTGCTTTATATTGTGTATTTGCATCTTACGCAGAATGCGTCTACGTATCAGTATCCAATCGAGAGATCAGCAACCTCGTGGCACAGCGGTTCAAATTCCCTGATAAAGCTCATGTAATGCATGTTGTCAGAGGCAGATCGCATCAGCACCAAATCATTGTGACTTGACGAGATGACGTGGGACGATGCTTTGGGAGCTTGTACGAGAGGAGTGCTGTCGCCTGTGGCAGGTGAGGCCAGAGCATCGAGAGCGGCTCCGGCGCCCCATGCTTAGGGACAATGTCGGCCAGGGATGGAAAAGCTGTAAATTGTTAATGTACCCCTCTGCTGTAGCTAGGAGACCACCACCGCGAGCCCGTCATCTCTACCAATACTGTCGATGAGGTTGCTGTGGTCGTTTCTGTCGCTGTCGTCTCCTCCGTCCTGGTCGACTCTGCTGTCCCGATTGCCTTTCAGCGCATCCACAAAGTGTCAAGTACCAGAGCGCTATCACAATCTCCTGGTTGGTTTTTTCGTCTTGACTACTGGCACTGCCGAGATGAATTGTTCAGTGTCAAGCTGTGTAACTACTTCCAAACTTGAGATAGAAAAGAGTGGGTTCTAGATAAAAGCTTCAATGAGACATCAATCATATACGCAAATTTCCATGAAAGAGGGATATAATGTGTGTTCTGTATAATGCCAAAGTTTCTCCGTGAAACGCCAGCGAGAAAGTATGAAGGGTTTATGCTGAGAAAAGAAAAAGACTGAGGCCAAGAGAGAGGAAGATCCGGGGTATTTATATTCTTTTTAGGAATTTGGTTGCTGCCTGGCTCGGTTAATGCAAGAAATTCATGGTGGAGATTCATTGTTCTGTTGTGATATCGAAACATATGCTCAAACAATGATTGAAGTTTGGTGATTGTGATACGTTTGACCGGGCGTGAATGTTTGTGGTCACTATTGCATTAGGCAAGAGACCAAAAGTAGAAATACACCAGAATCGTAGTTTCTGAATGTGTGGAGAAAAGACAGGATTGCAATCAACTATGCGTATCGCGAGGTAATAGAATTAGTGCAGGTATATTTTATTAAAGACTTGATTGATATGCTCCTGGACATTACCATGCGAGAGCAAATAGCGCGGAAAATGCGAAAACTACTTGATGGATTGATAAGTCATGACGAGGGTATGGGTGATAGGACAAAGCGACAAAGTTTGAAGACCCGGGAGATTAAGTACAGGTGATAAAAGGTATGATGAAGAACTGATAGTAAAGAGATGTTGCCGGCTCGAGATATGACGGGCAGGACTGAACAGCCTATAGAGCTACTTCGTCAAAGCCTTCAGGACTATTCCGTTGTTCGACGCTTGCTTTGTCTTCTTCTTCTTCTTCCTGTTCTGGTGCTGCTGCCTCAGATACTTTTGTCGCGGGTGTTTCCTCGGCAGGTGTAGCTTCAGAAGGGACGGCTGCTGTCTCAGCGGCTTGCTCTTCGCCATCCTTTGCCACATCTTCGTCTATTGTAGCTTTCTGAGAAGCAGGCTCTGGCTCATGAGCGGCTCCATTCGTCTTTGATTCTTCGGGCAACTGTTCAGGGACTTCCTCTGGTTTCTCTTCAGGCGCTTCGTCCTTTGGTGGGGGTAGCGGTGCTGATGTCTCGGCTTGGGCCTCTAAACCATTTGGAGTAGACTCAGAAGCTTGGGCCTCTGGTTTTGGTTCCTCCGGTTTCGATTCCACAGCATTAGAAGCAGCCGGGGGCGGCTCTTGTTGTTGTTGCTGCTGCTGTGGCTTAGGCGCGGGCTGTTCCCGAGGTTGCTGGGACTCTTGTCGAATGGGTAGCGACCGTTGTGAAGCTTGCGCCGCAGACTGTTGTGACTGGGACATTTGAGATGATTGCGATGCTTGAGATTGATGACCCACGCCTTGACCAATTTGTCGTAACCTCGGATCTGCATTGAGATAGTATCCCCTAACACCGACGACTCTGCCCTCACGTTCGCATCCTTCAACCCACTCCGGTCTCACGACTGGGATATTCATCTCCGTCGCACGTTCCCAAGGCTGTCCTCTACCCTCCGTACAGACGAAATGGGTCGTGTCTATTCTGACGGTATCGATCATCTTAGCGCCAATGCGTTCCACTGCTGCTTGAAGGCTATCCTTGAGTGGCGGAGGAAGGATGCCTGGGGTGACAGTGATACCAGAGAGGTCAGTCATCTTGTGAGTCTTGACAGAGAGCTTTTGACTCGAATATGTGCCCGCGCTAGTCTTAAGCACCAAATGGAATGTGTACGGTGTATCCACGGCCAAACCGCTGATCTTGGTCGACTGTATTTCAAGTGGCCGCGGGATATTGCCTGCTTTGCTGCCATTTCGGTAGAGGCTCAGACTATGTAGATCCGCTGAGGCAAGGAAAAGAGGATCCCATTCTAGAACAACAGATGTCTGCGTTGCGTTGCGACAACGTAGAACTGGTGTTGCGGGCGATTGTTGTCCGAAATTAGTGTAGATGTCCTTTTGGAGACGTGTGAAAGCTTCGCGGGAAGCAGTTTCAGCATCAAAATTCCGTGCGACAGTAATGTCGACGATAGAGCCGGAGGTAATATGGGGAGGGAGAAGAATGGAGGGAAATTCAATCTGTTTTCATTCGGTGGTCACAATCAGCACTGATGCTCCGCAGGGGCTATCGTTCCTCTGGGGACAATGCAACCGTGGTAGTAAGGGAATAATTGCACTCCCAAGGGAATCCCAACTTACCAGACGTTTGTCCTCTGTCAGAAGCACAGCGACTCCTGCGTCGACCTTTCCCACCGTCAGTGAGACCAGCATGATGCAGGTAGTTAATTGTGGAAATTCTAGACGGAATAAGCTGTAGATGGAGCTTCTATGTTTATCGCGGGTTTGCGTATGCAGCCAACATGCCTCCCGTCAAGGTCCCATTTCCGTTTTGGGAAATATAGACGGAAGTTGCCGCGATGCTCATATTCCGGAGAAGACATATGCAGGGCAAAATTACAGCGTTTGGTATATCATGCAGACACCGTTATAATCTTATGTCCTGAGCCATCAGGTCTCATATTATGTGTTTCAGCAGTCGTCTTATTAGGACAATATTGTTGTCAGCGTCAATAGGGCACGGTGACTTTACTGCGGCGCACTTTTATACCTACGCATTCAGGGAAAGTTGTATCACATGCTTGAGAAGCTCATTCACCAAAGGGCAGCACATGTTGGTGATTAAGAAGAATAAAATAATTTGATCATGATACTTGCAAAATCCAAGACTGTTCAACAACCTTGAATGCAATGATCTCATATGGCATAACATCATTGCTGCTGTGAAAAGTGTCTCTCTCCCAGAGAAATCACGGACGCTAACCCTAGCCCTCGGCCACGTTCCATGCCGGAAGAGGCATAGTGGACCAAAAAAATGTGGGCGAAAGAGAATTATGGACCCAAAGGAGACTCCCCCACCCAATAATCTTCTGTTAATCACTTTTGACCCGCCACCTGTGACAGCAACTTCGTCTTTTGCCGCCTTCGTCGTCTCGACTCATCGATCTCATACGCAGACTCGAACGACCCTTCTCCAAACTCTTTCAAAGCAGTATACTGCTCACAGGTCACCATGCCTAAGAACAAGGGAAAGGTTCGTTGCCCCATATCATTTTTTTTTATTCTGCTATATCTATATTCGCCGCCGTATTTTCTATTGTATAATTATGCGGCTTTTACAATATTTTGTCTTGTCTGCCGCCTAAAAAGCAGCTACCCCTCACATGAAGCTTTCACATAAAAAAGAGAAATGTTCTACATATTGAGGACCAACAACTAATACTCCGATCTACAGGGAGGTAAAAACCGCCGCAGAGGCAAGAACGAAAATGACAACGAGAAGCGCGAGTTGATCTTCAAGGAAGAAGGCCAGGGTGAGTTTTTTCTCCCCTCTTCTGTACCGCCATACCCCACCGTCAAGCGGATTTTACGAACAGAGCGCCGCATCATTATTTTCGAGGACCAACGAGGACTAATTTGTTTCATGCAGAGTACGCCCAGGTTGTCAAGATGCTTGGTAACGGCCGTCTCGAGGCCTCCTGCTTTGACGGCGAGAAGCGTCTGGCGCACATTCGTGGCAAGCTCCGAAAGAAGGTCTGGATCAACCAGGGTGACATTATCCTCTTGTCCCTGCGTGACTACCAGGACGAGAAGGGTGATGTGATCATGAAGTATACTTCGGATGAGGCCCGAAGCTTGAAGGCTTACGGTGAACTTCCCGAGGGTGCTAAGATCAACGAGTCCGGAGGGTACGTGTTATCCAGCTTCCTAGTCGGATGGTTCGAAGCAAGAAGATTGAATGATGCTAACTTTGAATACAGCTACGACGAGGCTGCCGAGGACATTGGCTTCGAGTTCGACGAGGACCGCGACGAGGACAGCGAAAAGAGCGACAAGGAGCTCGATATTGACGACATCTAAACGCCTTATGGCAAACCGCTCCGCCATCCCGTCGACGGCGATGGCGGTGACGGTACCACTGATGATGGGTGCACATTCCTAGCGACGTCCGTACATCCATGTACGACGTCGCTTGCCCATCATCAAATCTTTTCAGGGGCTGTTTACGATGATACCTTGTTCGCATTATTCGCAAAGAAATTGCCGATCTTGCGTTCGCTGATTTTGGACTCGCCCTTGTTCCAATGCTTCTTTCTCTTCTCGATTATTTTTTTAACGACGTTTGAATGATGCATTGAGAGATTGGTCATTACGAAAGTTGCAACTCTGTATGGATGGAATGGGTAAAAAAGAATGGGGAATGCAAAAATTCGAGGCACAACGGCGTTCGATGGGTTCCTTCGCACCACATGATGCATAGCGGATTGGTTCCTGGGCGGGCGCTCTCCATGCCTCTTATTTTTCTCATTTTACTTTTTAACTCTTTCTTTCCAGCATCGTCTCTGTCGACTTTACCCTTAACGATAGATTATTACTCCTTATTACTCCGAACATTTTCTCATTCTCATGTGATGTGATTTTTCTGCCAACCCCATATACTTGAGCCCATTCTTACACCGTTTGTTACCTCTTATATTGACACCCTGGTAAATCGTATAACTATCAACTCTCGGACATTCAGCTCTGCCCAATCCTCCTGGAGATATCGACCTCCAAAAGAATCTTCGTCCCCCAAATGGACCCAAAAACCTCCAATTAGTCAAACAAACTACGATTGAAAAACCTCCACACCTGGCGCCCAGCCTCTTTCCCAATCAACCTACTAATATCCTCCTCTTCCATATTCGCTAACTCGTGCACGTTCGCCACGTCGAGGATGAGCCGATTGAGATTCTTCTCCGTGATGCCCGGAATAGCACGCAGCATATCCTGCGGCGTCTGGTTGAACGTCTGATCGGACGGGTCTTGGCCTGACTCTAGATCCAAGCCAATCTGGACTGCCTTGATTGGATCCGGTTCCTCTTGGTTCTTTTTGAGTTCCTTTATTTGGGAACACAGATTCGTCAGATGGATGGATGGACGGGAGGTGCTGGCATGGAAAAGGGAAGGTGAAGCAGGGGAGGGAGGGGAGAAGGGCATACCTCAAATATTTCGGCCGTTTGATAAGGCGACGACGACCAAATCACCTTGAGCCGAGGGAAGGCGAGGGTAAGCAGGACGAGTTTGGACTGCAGATCGGAAGGATTGCTGATGGCCGAGGGGTTGTGTAGGAGGTCTGCGAAGGGCTTTATGCAAGCGGGAGAGTGTCAGTCACTTGTTCAAATCTTAGGACATGGGAGCACAGCGGGGATTCTGGATATATGTGGAACCTTGAATTGGGATATAGGGTTAAAGCAAGAAATAGGGGGAAAGCGCACCTCCAGCGTAAAGCTCTTGTTCTGGTCGAATTCGATCAAAAGCATGGGATTCTTATAATGCTGCAGCATTGTTTCGGCTTGATTGTACAATCTGCCATTGTTAAATGAAGAGATGAGATCGCGGATAGACTTCCGCTCCACGCATATATTTGGACTGAGAATGTAGTCGCCGACTGTTAATTGGCAGGGGACAACGACGATGCTGCGTCCGTGAAGTAGCGAAGGAAGGGAACTGCGGAATTCACGGGTATCTACGACCACACGAGGAGGCTGGGCAGTAGCTGCGAGACGCCCGCCGCCTGCGATGCGTGTGTTGACTGTGCGGAGGAAATGTTCTTGCGGGTCGTCGATGCCGTGCGCGTCGAGGGTGAGCGTGACGGACATGCCCTGAGTTGATAGTCAATTAGGGCTCTGAAACGTGGACGGACGGGGAAATGGGGCGGGGGACGCATGTATTGGTATTAGGGGACGGGGCTGGACATACCGCTCTTTCCTTGATCAGCTTGGTGAAGGAGTCCTTCTCACGTCTCACTGCGCTGAGATATCGTTGCTCTTCTACAGATCCGCCATAATACATGAAATATACGCGCACATTGCGGTCTGTATGTGAGCTCCGATACACTTCTATTCGCCGAATGAATGCCGAGTCTGGTTCGTACATGATCACGTACCGCGGCTTGACCTCCTCGAGAACATGTTCGTCCATGTCGCCGTCGTAGGGATGGACAATGAGAAGATCATTCATCTCATACATTTCGAACCAGTCATCAATGTCTATCAGAGGATCGGCCGCAATCTCTTCCTTCTGGAGCTTTTCTGCCCCAGTTGGCTGTATCTCGGCCAAGAGGCCTGCTACATGCGCCTCCGTGTCCTGGGCTAACTGGATACTACCGTTTGCCGCGCGCCCAGGACCGGATGCTGCAGATGATCCTCCTCGAACACGGCGCCGCTTGTTGGGTGGAGCCTTGGGTCGAAGGCTGGGTGTTCCGCCTTGCCGGTCCGTTGCACCCTCGAGAGCTTTTTGATTTTCTGCAAACAGCGAGGCGCTGACCTTGGCAAAGTCGCGCTTCCAGTTGAGATAGTTCCGAAGAGCTCGGCGCATCATAAATGCAGCGGACGGTCCGCGCTCTTCATCGTCGTCTGACTCTTGCTTCTCGACGTCTTCCGGTCGAACGTGCATTGTCTGGAGATACTCTCTGAGCTGGCGGCACGTTCCTTCGTCCCCGCACATGATAAGAATAGTACCGTTGGAGTCATCTCGGGGTGGTGGATTGAAGTACGCGTCACGCTCAATCTCCTCGAGAATTTCCGCCAGTAACGCCCACTTCGGTTGCTCTTCGAGCACCGGACTAAGTGAATCCAACGATGTTGAATTGGCATTATTTGCCACTTCAGCTGCATTCACCTTTGCAGTGTACACTCGGCGCTTTGCTGTGTCAAAAAGAGTGTGAGCTGCATCAAGGAAAAGCCAAGGGGACTGATTTTGTCGCGTCGAGCCAGGCGGCGGAGAAGACGCAGCCAAGATCGTATCCAAATAACGGTTGAATGCAACAGCGTCATATGTGAGCAAGCAGCTATAGTGTAGTTAGTGTCTGCAGTAGATGACGCTTGGAAAAGGTTTAGGATAACACGCACTGTAAAATAGTGCGCAAGACACCGAGATCATTGACAATTTGTTTCGACTTCCAGCTAACGCGATGCCAGACCGGATCTAGTTGTCTCCGAATAATAGCGTCGAAATTTTTATGTAACGCGCTGTCAACGTTCCAATCATCCATTTCCAGGCCGGTGTTCGACTTTTTCAATTCACTGATGCTGACTTCTACGCATTCGAGGACAGCATTCTGAATATCCCTCATGGCATCAGTCATTGGCACTTCGAATTCGATCACTTCTGCTTTTTTCCGCCCCTCAAGCGCCTCAGCTACAGTAACATGAAAGCGTGGCCATAAAGAGGGTTTCCGGAGAAAGAGATTTCGCATCATTGATGCCAAGGGAGCGAATCCAGTAGTGAACGGCTCAGGGCTATCAGAAAAGGCTTTGAGAAACCCATTCTTATTATGCTGCCGATAAATACGGAGGATGAACGCTTCCAAAGAGGTTGCAATTACCCTGGAAACAATTAGCAATATCGAGCCATGCGGTTCAATTATCATACCTTTCAGCGTGTAATACTATGATTCCCGTAACTGTACTCGGGTCAAGTAGGCCTGCATCCGGTGTTAGTCAGTGGTAGATTGTTTTGCCTTTTTCGACTCACTTGATAATAGATCAACAACAAGGATTCGAGATGTGATTCCATATATTCCACCCTCGGTATACATTTTTTCTCTGGTCATCATAAGTATCACTCTGCAACAGCGAAGTCACGCTTCTGCTCACCTCTGACCAACATTTACCAAGTCGGTGTTGATCAGCCGGAATCCCCTCGCCATTGGCGAGTTGCTGATGGCAGCATGTTCGGCCAATGCTACCCCAGAGTCAGCACGCTGTTTCTATCATACGATGCAACGGAAATGGAACGCAACAAAAGCAACATGCATTGGCCGCAAGAGGAAGAAAGTCACGGGTTATGTCATGAGAATTTATGAAGCAATAAAAGACAAATTCTAGAAACATGATAATGGAGAGGTTGACGTATTACCTTCGCCAATCCATTCTAATTCTCGATCGTCCGCACCGATTACAAGCACAAGGTTCTCTCCAGCAGCATCGTAAGAATGCAATAGGTTGGTCACGACCCGGAGAAGGCCTAGACCGCGAGCGAGAATCACCAACTCATCTTCCTGGCGAAGCTCATGAAAGAGATCTTGCTGGTAACGCAGCGGTAAAGAGAGCTTAACCGGAGGCAATCCGTCATTCTCCGCCTGCATTTGTCTGGATTTACGGTTCCATAATCCTTCGTCATGTTCATTGTTTTTGGAGTCGGATTAGAGCGGCATAAACCCCGGATTACCTAATCCTGTGCATAAATCTTGCGCCACACTGCATAAAGTTTCGCGAAATCTCCAGATTCACCCTTCCACGTCATAGCTGATGAGACCGTTTCGACGTCAATCATTGCAAATAATCATCTGATAATAATTCTTCGACGTTAAATTGTCCCAGAATTATTTGAGATCATCGAGAGCACAAATATTTCAGAAGAAGCAATATTCGGGTTATTATTCAAAATAATGAAGATGAAAATTAAAAACAACTTGAGATTACAATACACATATTCGTTAAGAATCAAAATATCATGTTCCCATAAGAGAGCTCATATATATGCCCATGCAATCGTTCCCAAACGACTCAAATCTATTTGTTGAGCTCCTCACTTCTGGCCTTTAGCTCCTCCTTGGATGCCACAGGTGGCAGATCTTTGGCCTCGGGGATTACCTTGACGAACAGTCTATATCAGCAACTGCGTAAACCTGCAGAAGTGCCATGTGCAATAGGAAAACTCACCGGACCAGGGTTAGCCTGGAAATCCTTTACCTCAGCCTTGACCTTGTCACTGGCAGTCGACTCGGTATTCTTCGAAGGTTCCTTTGCGACTGTCCATGAGAAAGGAGACGTTAGCATTTACCAAGAGCAGCGAGGAGAATCAGACGATAGTTATCTAATCGTACCCTTATCGAAGATACCGCTCTCGGCAACTTCCTCGGAGGGGAGAACGGGCATTTTGAGTAAATGAAGGATAGATGCACACTTGATAGACTCTGATAAAAGAGCTCAAAGTACAAAGTATGAAAAGAGATAAAAGAGATGCGCGTAACAAATTCTGGAGAGTTGGAATGGAGTGCACACGAGTATATATGCAGGCAGCAGGATGACGGATTACCAAGGATGGTCGCATGACGTCGCTAGACAACTTTGGTGGGGGAAAGTCATTGGCGGGACGTTGACCGGGCATGCTGTTGCTGAACGCGTCAACAGGAATTGTCTGTCGATTCTAAGGAAGATAATCTTAGGTACTTTCATCTGAGTGAGAGTTTGTATTTTGTATCTTTGACATTATTTCATCTTTTATTTGGGAAAATCTGACGTGGATAAGAGAAAGTCACAGGACACACAAGTCGTACTTCAGGTTTAGGGAAATGTACGACTCATGTGCATCTCAAAAAAAAAAAAAAATAAAAAAAAAAATAAAATAATTGGTCGCTGCTAGAAAGTACAGGCACTTCTTCCCCAGCTTCCAGTACTGTCTGCCATTTTGCCGCTCTGCATTTTCCGACATAGTGCTGATAACTTGATACTTCATTGCTATTCCGTACTTTTACGTTGCTGGCCCCGCGACAACAAGTCGGTCCACGTTACTAGTGGGCGATGCCGCTTCCCACTCAGCCTTTTGCATAGAGAAGGAAGACTCCACCAATGAGCCCGGCCTCAGAGGCGCCTGCAAATAGTCACCAGAGTTGCCTATTCATAGGATAGTTACCAGTTGTTACAATCTGCTACCATCCAATGAAGTCTTTTAGTTTCTCCAAAAAATGTAATGTATTCTATATATTACACGTCCGCGGTTAAATGTCGTCGGAAGTGTTTTTACCCCGCTCACGCGTGCCCGGGGCTTTGCCTTTCACCTATAAAACTATAAAATAGCCAAATGGTGTAGGAACTGTTCATATAGGTAAAAGGGATTAATAGACTGCACGACTTAAGAACGTCTGTTACCAACCAGGTCTCATCTCCAAAAGTAGGTATGAAAAGCCCCTTTTTTACGCCTGTGCTTTTCTCTAAGGGAAGAAACAGCTCACCCTATTTTTTTCTTTTTTTTAAAATAAAAATAGTCTTAAAGATATTCAAGAGAAAATGTCTTATCTAGGAATACCAGGCGTGTACGATTGCTTCGACGAGATTACTCCCACGGCCCCCGAGTCGAAAACCACTGCGTTGTGGAACAACCTACTCAGATACAAGTTCCCAGTCGAGCAGTTCAAAATTGAAACGGAGGCATGGCTTGACGACAAATCGCGACCGGATATATTGGTTGTAAAGGTCGTCTGGGGCGAGACTGTGCCACGCGGAGATTTGTTGATGGTGGAATGCAAGCCAATGGCCAAAGATCGACCAGCGGAATGGGACGCGGCTGCTGAACAATTAGAACATTATCTAGAGGGAAACCGCAATGGCCTCGGTAAGGGCGTATACGGTGCGGTTGCAATTGGGCTCAGAGTCCAGTTCTATGAGTTCATTCCCGGCAGAATGCAGTGTATCTCCGAAAAGCTCACAGTCACCGACCGTTCAGGGGCTGAAATGATCGAACAACACCTTGAGAGAATGAAATGCAAAGCACCCGGAATCTAGACCACATGATCAGTGTTGCAACCGAGGAAAGAGTCTCGCAAATTTGAAGAATACAAGATTTACATGCTTTCTATTCCCGCAAAATAGCCGTTTTGAAGCCGTCAAGCCGACAACATATATTTTTATACATTTCTCTGGCAAAAGATGAAAACAGTCAGTCTTAGGGGCAGTATCAAAGATCGATAATAAAAATATGAAGCCATCTAGAAGATAGATATAGAGTGCGATTGCTAAAGCAGTGGTACGACTGTAAATACCCACAATCAGTACTGCCGGACTTATGACGTAGAGGTTGTTTCGAAATTTGCAAGTAAACAATCGTACAGAGCGTTGTAAATCCAGTATAACCACTTGTAATATTTACATTAGTATTTCTGAAGTGAAAATGGGAATTTTCACAAGACTCACCTTGCTGGTCTGTGGTTTGTGTGAGTATTGCTCGAGCGAACACAAGCCGCTGGAAATATCACCGAAAATTATTTTGCGTCGCGATGTTGAAAATTCTAAACCCTTCAGGCACTTTCGATCATATATTCTACTTCCAATAAGCTCGTAAGAGCAGCGAACCCCTACGCACTCTTCTCCGAAAGCCAGATCTTGCTCCTCAGTTTTCCTGCCATCTCTTCGGAAATCTGCAAGAATGCTGTCTAGTGTCTGACTACCGTAGCTGAATTTCATACCGGTTACCCGTCCATGGATATTGATGCATACTGCAATTTTGTGGACGTTTTCCATAGAAGCCGATGATATGCATGCTTTCCATAAGGATTGTGCTAAGTCTTGGAGGGCACTTCTTGGAATGTTTCCATCCCCTGTTACATCTTGCTTCGAGACAATTGCTGGAGCACTTAAAGATTCTGAAAGAATGCCAATGGTTTTTGAATATGAAGCATGGGGAAAGAACCTCGAGGAGTGGCGGAAAAGCCCATATACACCGGTAATAATTGCCTCCCCCTTCTTGTCTAGATCCTGACCTGTAGTATTTGCTGTGAGAGGAACTAAAGGCGAAGCTGAGGTGAAAACTAGCAGCCGTTGGGCATTGGTGCATAGCTGTACAGTCAGAATATCAAGTACTACAAGTCGGCAAGATAGACTTACCATGATTGTTCCAATGCCGTGATCCATCTCCACAGCTTTTAGAGTGGTAACGCGTTCACCACTTGGGCCATCAATGACTCTGCAGTAACATGTACCAAAGCAGGAGCCCCATCGCAGTGAATGGCCATCACAATACATAAATTCCAATCCAGTAATAGCTTCGCGGTCGTTCGTGTAGAATGCATTTATTTGGACTAACTTTCCCAGAAGTCCTGCTCTTGGATTCCCAAAATAACAAAGATGTCGAGGCTCTGCATCTTGTGGTTGGAATTTGGTAGAAATGTCAATAGTGTGACAAGTTGGTAAATGTGGCATCCACAGTGATGGAGATTCCAGTTGATCTTCCGGTCCGATTTTGACTGATTTAAGTTTAATACTCTATAAGAAGTTAGTATCTAAGGATTTGCTGTTGCAGGATTGGTATTGGCTAACTCACATCAAATTCAAGATACAATATGTCACCTTTCTTGTATGGGCTTAGACCCTGATACGTACAAGGCCCAGACTTCTGACCAGCGACATGCGCTTGATTTGACTCACATCCTTTGAATCCAAGGCCAATAAATCCGCCCTCTTTCCCAAAGAACATAAATCTGCCGGAGCAAGGACCTCCAGGTAGGAATTGAACTGGCTGGCCACGAAAGTGGTTTCCACACGAAAAGGAATCATCGTTGGATGACCATAGGCCAGTGACAAAGGTTGTCTGGCCGACATAGAGCAACGAGACATTCAGAGGTGGGGTTGGTAAGGCAATCTTGATCGATCTCCTTGGATTAGTTGCCAAATTTGACGAGATGATGTCTATTACTTCGAGGGCGTGTTTCCCTATTCGATGCAGATTCCGCAATGACGCAGCAGCTGGTCCACTTCCATGCGTCACAACTTGTTTCACGTGCTTATAGTTGACCTCAAATGTAGGGTTGGCCTTTCCTCTGATAAGTCCAGCGTACGGCATATCGGATTGAAGGCGACTTTTCCAAAAGCTTGGGGGTGTTGCGAAAAATGCCGTGAGACTCACAGCTCTTAGTCGATGCAAGTCTGCTGTAGGTAAGTATTGAACCACCTTGGAAACGAGCTCTGGGGGGAGTCTCTGCAAAAAGTCCGGTTTCGAGGTAAGCTTGGTCAGGTCTTCTTTCATCAATGGTGGACGATAGCTTTCCAAACTTTCCCAGCAGGCTTGGAGAGGATCTTGAAACACAAAGTCTTGGCCTTCTCGATCGCAAGCTGGAGTGTGACGTACAAGGTGTTTGTCACGCTCAATATAGGTAGCAGCAGCTTTGTCTGCCTCGAACATTATCGAGAATGAGATGTCTCGAAAAAACATATATAATGCTTGAGGAATGCCGTCCAGCCCTTTCGCTTTGAGAACGGTCGAAAAGATCTCAAGGCATGCTGAATGAATGCCGAAATTCGCTGTCCCATCAGGATTTTGCCCGGCAGCATAAGTTTCTGTAGGCCCCTCGAAGAAACGTACTCTCCGTCGATATATTTTTTGTGTCTCCATACCATGACCGTCCCATCTTACTGTTAGAGGTGTCAGTAGATGCGCTGTAAATCGATTGGGATGCATACTAATATGCATGTCATTCATCCACTCAATCTCCGTATCACCAAGGTCCATACCACACATGTAACATCTGACAACATGATTGTTTCCGATCATCTTACGACTCCATATGATTCAATGATCAAACAGAGCAAGGATGATGAAAGGAAAAGTTAGCCAAAGGACGTTGGAGGTGGACAATTGAAAATTATATTATATAGCATGTACCCACGACCCCTTGCGTGACACTAAAAAGCATGAAGGTATTCTAAGCTTGTCAGAGCCTGAACGAGCAGACACAGCGTCCAAAACGATAGACCGGTATCTTCAATCATACCCGTTTCAGCCTTTTAAAGATATCTGTTTGGATATTAAATCTACTATACTGCCTGGCCGCTGAGCGTCAACTCCGCTTACAAACACGACTTCCTGTCTTCTTATATAAACGCTGGCGTAGGATGCTCGTCCACACCGCAAGTGGTGCAGGGTGGTCTTTCAAAGCTTTACATTAAATTTCTAGAGACATAAGCTACTTGAATGCTTCTATAATACTTTGGTCTTGTGCCACTTGAAACGTGATTGGGATTTATGGGGTCGGAAGGGGACTTCGTTGGTCGATTTTCCCCCGCAAATTAGCCAAGCTGCTGCGCCACAGCATGTATATCGGTTGTGGCTTGGCCAGCCTTGGCCGCATCACTAAGTCACCCACTCAACTTCCCCCCCGAATGGTGCCCAAGTATCATCGTGTATCTTTCTACATCGACCCCTCCGCTCTCCTTTGGCCTTCACCCGTTTTGTCCTTTGTCTGCAGGTATCTGCTCTGCAGGGAATCCCTTGTCTCGAGGGTTTTATTTCGCCTTTGATTGAGGGACGATCTGTCCCAAGGGGCATTGTTTCCTAAAGGGAGAGATAGCCGTAATCACGTAAGGTCAACTATAGTCACATCCGTCATAATACTCCGCTCGACACAAGCTCCGTTTACCACCTCTCACGCGATTTAAGCTCAAATTCAAAGAGAGCGCGATACATACCTTGAGCTAGGCTCATCCCAATTGTTAAATACAGATCAATTCGTGTCGCAGGTCGCGCTACGTTACGATGCCGTCCATTCTCTCCGACGAGGATAAGGAGACCGTCAAAAGGACGGTCCCAAAGCCCGCAAACAAGATTCATGCCGTCGCCGTCGCGCGTCTCTATGTGGCCTATCCGAACCGACACCGATGGACATATTCGGGGCTTCAGGGAGCGGCTGTTCTAGCAAATGATCTTGTGGGAAACACATACTGGATCAAGCTTGTGGATATTTCGGTAGGTCTAATGGAGCGGAAATGCAGAAATCGCTGACGTCTTGTCAATTTATTGGACTAATAAACTTTCCAGCCTTCTAGTCGTGGTGTAATTTGGGATCAGGAGATATACGATACATTCTCTTACAATCAAGATCGGACCTTCTTCCATACGTTTGAGTTAGAAGATTGCCTCGCTGGCTTGTCCTTTCTCGACGAAAAGGAAGCGAAGCAATTTAAGAAGAAGATGGACGAGCGCGAGAAGAATGCAAGCAAAGCGACGAGGTCCACTCCGTTCAATAATGGCGTAACTGCACCCAGCGGACCTAGCGGCAAGAGTCACAGTCGTTTTGGTATTGGGAGCCTGCTGCACCCGCACAGACATTCTTCCGCGCCTTCTCAGCCACCAGCACAATCGATCATTCCTCCAAAAGGATCAACCCCGGTTGAGAGAAGCCCAGCTCGAACAAGAAGCAGTTCCTTGGATGACGTTGATCCGACATGGAAACCATTGTTGAACGAGTTGATGGAGATGGGTATTACACCTGATCAAATCGAGGCGAACTCGGAGTTCATCAAGTCGTACATTGAGAGCAAAATGGCATCTGGCGATGCCAATGGCATAAATGGAAACGCTGGCGCAGATCGGAGAGAAAAGGCACCCCCGCCACCGCCTCCAACTGCTCCGCCTGGTTTGGCTAAGCTCGATACCATCAGCCCACAAACTACCGGGAGTACAACATCTTCTAAGAGAGGACCTCCGCCTGCGCCGCCGCCAGCTCGACGAACACGCCAAGAAGCGCATGCTATACCCTCGCCTCCCCCAGCTCCGTCACCGCCGCCAGCCAAATCCCCGCCTCGACAGCCTTCGCCACCCCGTGGGCCTCCCCCACCGATGTTCAGGGCTCCGCCGGCCATTCCAGATGCTGGAAAATATGCACACGCTGAACCGCCAGCGCCTCCTGCACGGCAGCGTGCTACCTCCAATGCCGCCCTCACAAATCCTGGCCCACCTCCACCTCCACGGCCACCAAAGACACCTGTCGACGATGCCGCGGACTCCAAGCCCAGATTCGGCGTGCCACCTCCTTTCCAGCCCTCATCCGTCCCACCACCACCCCCTCAAAGGGGGGCTGTTCCACCGCCGCCACCTGCGCGGGACAGCCCAACGATGCACACGGCACCCCCTCTCGCACCTCCACCTCCACCTTTGCCGGTCAAGTCCCCTACATCCGCTGCCCCCATACCGCCGCCACCTCCGCCGCCACCTATGCCTGGAACCGGTGCAGGAGGGCCACCAGCACCTCCACCACCCCCACCCTTACCAACTGCTGCACGTCCGCCTCCTGCTCCTCCTGCTCCCTCAGGCGGAGCCCCGCCTCCACCTCCATTGCCACCGGGCCGTGGTCCGCCCGCTCCAGGTGCGCCACCCGCACCTCCCGCGCCCGCGCTTCCTCGACCAGAAGGTGGAAGAGGGAACATGCTTGCCGAAATCCGCGGCGCTGGAGGAATCGGAAGTCTCAAGAAAGTTAGTGACGCCGAGAAGAATGATCGCAGTGCAGCGTCAGTTGGCGGAAATGCGGGTGGAGGCGGTGGCGGTGGAAGCTCATCGCAACCTACGTCTGGAGCTGGTGGTGGGATGGCTGGTGCCCTAGCCGCCGCACTCAGTGCGCGCAAAGCCAAGGTCAGCCAAAGCGGTACGTATCTGCCTCTCTACTACCGAATCTTTGTATGGTAACCCATTTTGCTAACAACGTTTTAGATGACGAGGATGAAGACGACGATTGGGACGAAGAACCAAGGAGGAGGTGAGCTAAGTCGTCTCTGTTCTGAAAATGTAATGTGGAGATTGTAGGAGGGATCTCTCGCCGGTGAGACTAGATTTGGTTCGGCTTTGCTACCTTGCTCTGATAAGCGCGCATCTCCAATTTATTCCCCGTTTGCTGTTTGGCCCCTGGTATTACTTCTGTTCAAGGATATCACAAGTACCAAGCTTGACGATTTCTGGGCACATTCAGCTTCCTTTTACGCTCTTCTTCATATTCCCGGTGAAATTTCGGAGCATTTTTTATGTAATAAAACCATGATTACAAGCATTCTCTCGTAGTGATACACTATGTTCCATTTGTCTGACTTGCCATCCAGTAATGTGTTTCATCTTAATTTATCCTACCATCATACGCCTTTGATACAAGCCCTCAGCTTTAATGGGTTGAAAAGATAACAGAAAAGATGTTCAGCCTGAAGTAAAAAAAAAAAAAGGAAGGTATAAAGAAAAACAAATTCAGCAGCCCAAAAAAAGGAAAAGAAAAAATAATAGTGGATAGAGTGAGATTCGAACTCACGCGGGTTGCCCCATGAGAAACCTGATAGGCTTTTGTGCTCACGTTAGGTGAGCAAGATCCTAGATCTTGAGTCACACGCCTTAACCGCTCGGCCATCTATCCGATTGTTGGTTTATAATTCGGTAAAATAAAACTTGTTGCTGAACCGTTTGTGAAAGACAGTTGATGGTTGGCTTTTCCCTTTCAGACTTTCCCCAACGGAGATAACGGATCCTGCGATGATGACCAGTATCCAGAAAATCAATCCTAGCGACTTTATTATTTTTCGTACTCATGTCACGCCAGAACATCACGCTTACAATTCCTGAACAAGCACGACACAGGCGATACAGCTCATAGAAAAATTCTACTTGTGAAGTTGTACCACTTTGCGCAGTAGGCTTTCGAGCAAGATTGTCGCCGGTCGAAACAGGCCGCGATGAGGGCCACTGTGCATCGCGGTGCAAGTCCAACATGTGTGCCATCGTCTGCGCTCCTGAAATTTCTCAGATCACAAGCTGAAGGTCTCTGCTTCTCGCCATCGAATAAATCTGTGCAACATTCCCTCGGCCTTTTCTGCTTTAACCGGGACAATGTGACACGGAATGGGTCCGAAAAGCGCTGGCCGAGAGCCAGCTTTGACTGCGCCATCCCACACGCTTTTGAACACCAAGGAACTGAAACAACTCGGAACCTGAATGCAAAGGCTCAATCTGCTGTTCGAAAGGCTTGGAGAAAACCTAGCGCTAGCTTCTGGGAGAATAAAATCTGGACACCGCGTTGCCGGAACACGACCTACGCAAAAAGCTGGGAAAGAGACCAGATAGTATTTGCGCCATTCTCATCGCCGTCGTCGTCGTCATCGTCGTCGCCACAAGCTTCTGCGACTTATCCGCAGCCATTACAAGCGTCTTTCATGCCCTCCGATCTTTTCTCTCCAAGAAAAAAACAGCAGCAGAACAAGCCAGAAGTACCGCCCGGTCTCTTCACGCCCTCCATCTCGCCGCTCGCAACTTTACGCCTCACATGTCCTACAGCGAACCTTTCTGTCCGCCACTCCTCATCAGATACCCGTGTTCCCTGGCTGCGACGTCTGTTCGAATTCAAAGCGGGAAAGAAGGATAAATATCCCGCGCGTGGCAGCCGGCATCAACTGTCTCCGCCCCGGCCCAGTTTTCTCGACGATGGTACCGAAAGTTCGATTTCAAGCGCCGGACGCGGCCTGGCGCTCAAAGCTCCAAACGAGCTGAAATTAAGATGCACTGAATTTGACGAAAATGGAAACGTTACTCTCGTGAACGGAGAGTTTCGAAAAGCTGAATTAATCGCAAAGGTTCGCAACTATCCCTGGTTTCATTCCCCTTCTCGCTCTAGTGATGCTAACTCCAATATCCCAACAGTACGGTTTATTGCCTCGTGATCTCCGCAAGATCGATTCCTCCTTACTCCCAAATATTCTCGTCCGACCATCAGCTATTCTCATCAACCTTTTACATCTTCGGGTGCTCATCAAACACAACCGGGTCCTTGTATTTGACGCGTACGGGTCTACAGACTCCTATACCCAATCTGTATTCATGTACGATCTGGAAGGCAAACTACGACAACGCGGCGAAGGATTGGGCGGGCTACCATACGAATTCCGCGCTCTCGAAGCGGTACTCATCAGCGTGACTACCGCATTAGAAGGCGAATTCGAAGGCGTCCGCGAACCTGTCGTGCGTGTCCTGCGCGAGCTAGAAGAAGACATTGACCGCGACAAGCTACGGCATTTGCTCATTTACTCCAAGAAACTTGGCACATTCGAGCAGAAAGCACGGCTCGTTCGAGAAGCTATTGACGACTTACTCGAAGCCGACGACGACCTTGCATCCATGTATCTCACTGAAAAGGCCAGCGGCAAGACCCGCGGCGAGGAAGACCATACCGAAGTCGAGATGCTACTCGAATCATACCATAAAGTTTCTGAAGAAATCGTCCAAGCCTCGGGCAATCTGGTCTCGAATATCAGGAACACTGAAGAAATGTAAGTACTCGACCCTGTTATTTCTAGACCCAATTGCTCTCTCTTTAACCCCCCCCCTCTCCCCTTTTCTCTTCCAGCCCGCTAACGAATCCAAATAGAGTCAAAGCCATTCTCGACGCCAACCGCAACTCCCTTATGCTCCTCGATCTCAAATTCTCCATTGGCACACTCGGCATCGGCGCCGGTGCCTTCGTCGCCTCGCTCTACGGCATGAACTTGGAGAATTTTATCGAAGAAACAGACTACGGCTTCGTCACCGTCAGCACCTTCGCCACCGTCGCCGCCATCGCCGTCTGCTATACCTGCCTCACCAGACTCCGCAAAGTCCAGCGCGTCAGCATGTGGGGCGAGCAGGGCAAACGCAGCCGCGGTTCCTGGCGAGATATTGATCCCTTGCCGCCCCTCACCGACCACGGCCACGCCGCGCTCAGTCGCTTCGAGAGACTGGAAAGTATGCGCAGAGCGCAGCAGCAGAAAGTCGCAGAGGCTGTTAGTACTGGCGGTGGTGGGGGTGGCGGCACGGGCGCCACTGGAAATACAAGTGACAGTATGCGTGGCGGTCCGGCCAGAGACGTTTTTGATTCGCTGAATCCTCTTGGAAAGAAGTGATTCTTCGGTTAGTACTTGAGAATTTTATATTCTTCAAAGTATTCTTCAACAGTCTAGATCTGGTTTTTTCTTTTAAGGGTCTAAAATCTGACTTCTTTATTGAAGGGTCAGAGAGCCGGTTTCTTCTTTTAAGCGTCCAGATCCGGTCTCGGCCATCGCGATCATCGGGAAATGGGGACAAAACTCCACTTAATCGTTTTATATCCATGTCATGACTGATTCGTACCATGTCGTCTCGAATCATCACATATCTGGCATGACGTACCTTATAGTATAGTCCGGCACAGTACAGGACGCATTACAGGATAGTATAGTACATACATCCGTACCTGGCATAGCATAGCATAGCGTTATATCATGCATTTAAATCGAAATAGAATTTACGAATATCTGCCTTATCTCTCGCTGTCTGTCTTTCTCTCTGTCCTTTTCTCTCTCTCAGCTGTAGTTATATCCAGCGGGCAGATGCCTTTTCCATTACTTACAACAGCCTTAGAAGGCCAAGGATCATGACTGAGTCGGTTGTCAAATACCTCATGGCCATCAACTCATGCCATTATCCACCTCTGAGCATCCACGTCTATTTCTTTCTAACATGCTAGCGATCTGTGGGCCTCTGGAAATCAATCAAGTAATTCTAAAATTTTACTTGCTTCCCGGCAAAGTTGATCCGTAGACTGATACTGCCCGGTCCAACACTTTTCAATAATTCCACCAAAAACAAGACCGCTCACAGATGGAAGTGCATTGAGCGGAGGCAGCTCAAACCCTGTTTCCAGAAGATCGCACTCGTATACCCGCCAGGCCTCGATGGAGTAGATGACACAGCCCAGGTGAAACAGGTCAACTTTCGCCGTCAGGCCACCATCATTAGCAGTTGCAATGTCGTCGTCATCCGCCAGGACTGAACACTGGCCAAAGTCCATCATTTTGAGCGACTGGCTATCATCCGCAATGAGCAGGTTTCGAACGGCAAGGTCATAGATTAGTATTTTCGAATCATGAAGGCTGTGCACTGCTTTGAGAACGGAGGATATCCATTTTGCTTTCTGTCGTCTTTCTGGCTCTGTCGCTTGTTTCTCCATGTATTCTTCAACAGTTCCCCGCTTGTAGTAAGCCAGTAAGATACCGTCATCGGATATATCGATGCATGTGGCAATTCCGTCGCCGCAATGTCTTACTCGACTGTAAACTCTTTTCTCTATGGCGAAAGCGAACCGGTTGCAGTCATTCCGGTATTCAATTTCCTGGCGATCCTGCGCAGCCATATCCGCGGTATCTTCGACTCGTGGAATTTTTAAAGCATACGAGCCCCATTCTAAGACGACTCCAAAATTCCCTGTGCCAATAATTCGCTCTTTCACTCGTGTCCCGTCTGGTTTTAAGAAGAACATGTTTTTGGAGATTTGCACAAGTGACCAAGTGAGGTCGCACTGCGTTTGCTGTTCAATTGTGAGAGGTTAGGGCTGATAGGTTGATTAACCAATGCATAGATTGAGGTCGAGGTCGAGGTCGAGGTCGAAAGTCAAAGTAATAGCATTGGAAGTCTAGGAGCAACGACTGAATATCTGGCATTGCTTATGCTAAAATTTCCCCCTTCATGGGAGGCTATCCACGACACGCGGGGGGATAGCTCGGCACCTCAGATATTATTGTTGCCCGTATTGGGCAGCATGCCCTTACTCAGGCCTAGGGATTTGAGGAAAGCCTAGGAGGTAACTATGTGTGTGTATAAGGAGGAAGAGGGTGTATATCAAGTAACTCCTGTCCCTGTACTCCTTCGTATCACCTGAGCAGAGCCATGCGAAGTCAGCAACCCCTTGTGCGTAAAGAAGCCAGGAAGCTTGCGGCTTGGCAGATGGTGTACTTGATCGTCCAGACTTTGACCGCGCCGTCCTCACTGGCGAACTATAGTTTACCTACCTGAGTATTCTTCTTGTTGGTCCGCTAATACTCTCAGCAGCGGAAAGGCTACCATAGCAGCGGTGCGGGTCGAGGTTCTAGAGAAGGAGCAAGGCACTTTAAGGCGGGTAAACTCGACTACAGAAAGTACACCACGACAACTACATGACCACATCGATTTAGGTTTTATCAAAGATATACAAATAGTTAGAACGATTGAGTCTTGTGCTAAGGGAACATGGTAGGATACTCAAGCTATCTGAATGCTAGCTAGAGTGTGCCTTTTCTACAATGGCTTCCGCTTCCGCTTCTGCTACTGTTGTTTGGATTGTCGCTGCCGCTCAGATAATCGTTCACGGAGCCGAGTCATGATGATTGATGTAATCGAGATTGAGCCGAATGAATCAGATGTCAATGTCGAGGAGAAATGGAGAGTTCTCCTGACAATCTTCCCTCTCCATATCTAGCTTCTCTTCCATACTTAATTGGCACTGTATGCAAATGTCTTCGCATGCAAAGCCATGTGTCCATCTTTCACAATCTCTTTGCAACGCTCGCTCTTTCTCTGATTCTGGGTCATCAGGGCTGAACCCGGCCTTTATCTTCTTGACGTGCTCTCTCCAGAGCTCATTCCATGGGTTACGAGACCAATACTGGGTATACGGAAACGACCCACATAGGCGGCAAGATCTATCGAAATCAAGAAAGACGAACTGGTCCTCATAGAGAGGAGTCTGGTCTTCGAAAAGTGCGATAAACGTTTTCGGTGTCCAGCCATCATCAAGCACCGCGCATTCTTGTATCGCAAACTCCTCCAGATTGACGTTCAAGTATTCTAATAAAAACCGAAACCACCAGAAGCTTAGCTGTTCAGCCAGGGCTGCTCTTGCTAAAGTTCCTGGTTGTGTTGTCCATCTCTCTAGCTCGAAATTGTAAAAGGGTTTGGTGATAATAAAATGTATGTCCTTGATCTCTTCCAAAAATACTTTAAAATTGCTAAAACCGTATTTTCTTACTTCACTTACGAATGTCTTGGTGCCGTCATCGTATTCAGTCCGGTCAAGACCTCCCCTTGCCACCTGATACATATCTGCTTTGAGAGATTCGTCATTGTAGTACTGACGAATCTCACGTACCAAATCAGGGAGGTCTACAAAGCCGAGGAGAAGAACTTGAACAATAAGATCCATCCAAGAAGGACCTTCATCCGAATGTTGGAGATTTCTAAGCAGCCAAGAGCAAGGCCGAGATGATCCGGCCTCGTTATGAGTAGAGGCACAAAATTCATTGGCGGTGAGGGTTTCTTCCAGTACAAGCATCGTTTGAAAGGTGGAAAATTTGCTTGTTGTAGGACAATCAATAAGTATTTGATTTCTTTCAAGCTCTGTCAGGGCGAGCAAAACCCTCCTCTGCATGTTGTAAGTCTCATAGTCGTTCTGGACCTGAAGTTTATTGAAACGGCAGAACATGTAAGGGTAAGATCTCTTATATCGAATACCTAGCGTCACACAGGGGAAAATTGCTGTCATTTCCCAGGGCATCCTGAAAGTGTGTCAGCCTAAGGATTGAAAGAATTAAATATATCTCGACTTACAAGGCATGCTCCCCGGTTCTGGCTGTCCCATCTGCTCCGTGTTGCAAAAGAAGTCTTATTAACTCAGGATGAAGGTTTCCAGCTGCAATCTATGTATACGTTAGCTTAGAGAGCATTGAAATATTTTTCTCTTCCTTACATGTAACAGCGTGTATCCGTCGGAGGACACGTCAAAGGGTGACGCAAGCCCCTGAGCAAATAATCCCATTACCCCAGAAATATTTCCAGTCGCACATAAGGCAAATACAGGAGAGTTATCCGGAACAACCTTTGCGTTACGTATTAGCTATCCCGCTTTCCCTAATAGGCAGCTACTCTCAGAGAGGTTTCGGGTTTTCACATTGTACACCCGCAAAGCGGCTTTCCAGCCAGTGTAGCTTGATTTCGTAATGCTTGCAGTGAGCGCCGAGGTTATACCAAGCCAAGTCAGCCATGATGAAGGCATCAGTTGGAATGACGTTTCAAGAACAAATTCTTCGCCTTCATACAATCTTCCGTCCTTATTTGCAAAATGAGATTTCGCCTGTTTATACTTTTTTGATGAGAAATGCATGAACCCAAGTATTGTCCTCATGTTCCAAAAGTCTGCCCGACTCAGCGTTTCTCGTGCACGCATCCGTGCAACCGATGACCTCCCATAGTTGACTGATAGCGCATTCTCCATCATCGTACTGTTGTTGTTGTTGCTGACCGAGCCTTCGAAAGATGAAATCAGCAGGCAGTATAAAGGATTTTATTACTATGGATGGTTCACCTCCTGTGTTTTGTTCGAAGCTTGGGGCTCCTGAGCTCGTAGAGAGCGAGCTTGATATTTTCTGGCCACAACATTTCCCCCGATCAATATCTGGAGCCCTTTTGAGGAGATCCGAAGGACACGGAAGTAAATGATTGATCGCATCCTTGCTACAATTGAGAGGCTCTGCTTCGTAAGTAGGATAGGAACAAACACTGATTGCATTTGTTAAATCCCGAACATGCATAGCAGCCAATTGTTGCACGATTGTCTGCATCATTTCGACTTCCTGTAAACTGTTGGACAGAAATTTAACAGAATCAGAATGCATATCTGAAAGAGTGAGATCAAAATGCAGCGATCTCTCTTGGCGGAAATCACCATGGTGAGCGGTTAACGTACTTCACTGCCAAAAGCAAGGTACTTTTTGCTTGCTCTAGTTTGCTCTCCAGTTTCTCGAGTTTTCCCTCTCTCCTCGCTGCTTTGATTCTGGCCCGGATCCGCTGTACCCAATGCATGTCATCTACACCTCGTTCGAGGTCTTTGACCACGCTATCCAGAAAATTGACAGCCCGCTCACATTCAGGTAGCGCAGTCAATAATGCCTGGTCATTATTGCAGATATTGCCGACAGCCTTGATTTTGATCAAGACAATTCGAATCACAGTCAAAGCCGAATTGATTGTAGCCAAATCTTCAGGAACTTCATCCAGAGAACGAAGGAATTTCTGAATCTTGTCGACAGTTTCAATGAGCTGGACAGCGACCCCAAAGCAACCAACAACACCTGTTGCAATGTCCATGACAAAGATCCCTGAAGAAATAGAAGATGTAAAGGAAGTTGAAAGAGTCAAAAGTTATGACAAAAGCGAGCTAGAATTGCTGCAGATTCATGGAAATGGTTAAATTTGCTTCGTAGCTCAACCACGGAAGGTAGAGAAGTGCGCATGTTCACAGCCCTGCTGCTGCACGTCTCAGCCTCGTTGCCTTACCCAAGCCATGGCCCTATCAGAATTGAGAGCGGTCGAAGGCCGCTAAGCCTCTATCCTTTGCGACATCCATGTATACCGGCTTGATATCCTCATTAACATTGGCTCCACTTGCGTACTTAGAGTGATCTGTTTGAGGGCAGTTGTTGAATATTCGAGCAAAATCGAGATACTTGAGATGTTTCTCTATTGACTCCGCTCCCTGCGACATCTTTGTTTTTTAAATGAGCGTACTCCCTGTAGCTTAAGGATAAGTCTATTGCCTTGGGCACAATATGTCGTTTGTATGCAATACTTTACGCTGTAATAGCTGAGGATTCTCGATGTCAGTCCATTAAAAAGTCTCTGTAGCGGAAAGGCTAATAATATAGCTGCCGCCCTGCCGCGCGGACCGAAGCCTTGGGCAAGACAAGCGAGAATTTTAGAGAAGTTCAGTCCACTAACCTACGGTAACAACGTCAACTCTTGTATTTAGGGTTGATATACAGAGTACTGGACCCATTTAGATTATGAATAATGTAAATAAAAAGAATCTAAATGCTAATTTCTCACTCCAGCTATCCTGCGCTTTTTCGGCATTGGCTTCTCCTGCTGCTGTGGTGTGTTTTGTCGCCGTCGCTCAGACAATCGTTCACGAAGCCGAGTCATGATTCTGTTTGCTTCTTCCTCGATGATCTCTTCCAAGGCCTGATTTTCTTCCAGTTTCATCTCCTCTTCCTTTCTTGTATCTTGTTGTTTCGTCTTGCTCTCATTTATATCGTCGGTGTTTTCATGACTGCATTCAGCGAATCGACTATTGTAGTCCGGGATGCCATCGAATTCGGTCTCAACCTCCTCCTCAAGAGGGGGCAAACGAGCCTGTTTCCAGAAAGTCTCAGGCAAATCCCGTCACTAGCTGCCCAGGAAATAACTTACTTGTGGCCACCTCTCGACGGTGACGAGCTGTCGGGTCGCGCTGTCGATGCTTAGCAGTGTCCGCATTACTGCCTGCTCCCAGTTGCCCCGGGAGAGATTTTGGCGACGATGGAACGCATTTATACGGAATGAAATGTCAGAGCACTCCTTCTGAAGAAGAGATTTCCTATCTCTAATAGGCTTGGGGGCCGTTGCTACCTCATCACTGAGTCGAAGGAGTGAGGCAGCCCGTTCCCAAAACCTGGGATCAATCTATGATTAGTTAGCGGCGAAGCCATCAGGACGGGTTATCATGCTCACCGGGCGACACTCTTTTGATGACTTCGCGCAGGAGGTACACCGATTCTGGCCTACTGGCGAGGTACATTTCAGGCCAGGTGAAGTCGATTGTTCCTTCAGACACTGCTCACAGCAGGGGCGAGGGAGTGTGAGCCGTGGTGGATCCAGGGGCCGGACTTCAGGAGGAATCCAGCTGTTGACCATTTTATCTGCGATTACAGAAAAGCACGAGGAATAATAGAGGTACTTGCGTCTTGGAGAAGCTTTTGGCACACTACCAAATATCTCGGGGAATGGCAGATATGGGGAAATCTGCTGGGCAAGTAGACGTAAACAGTCCCTTAGACAAGCTATCACAAAATGAGTTGAAGTAGGAGGAGCAGGAGGCAAAGGCTTCTTTAATATAACAGAGCTGCTCAGAATTCTTGATTGCAGCAATTGTTCCAAACTCAAGGAAGAGTGAAGAATCCAATGACAAGATAAAGGAATCATCCAATCCAGCCATACTCTGTTCGATGCAAACAGCGCGAATCCCAGTCTCATCAAACGGCATCAAATGATCCAGCGCACCATAGCAGCGCCGCCGCTCAACTTTGAAGCAAAAGACTGAGCGGGCAGATGCCAGAATCAAAGTGCATTTGAAGACAGTTCACCGAAGAAGAAATCATGATTGTGTAGAATGTACTTGGGTTTTCTCCCGTAACCACATAGGCATCTATAGAAATGAAATAGAAGGCCTAAGCAACACAAGGGACGCCAAATGGGCTCAATCAGCCAATTTTTAGTCAGAGGAACAAGCAAAAAATCAAATCTCATTCGCAACTGAACTTCATTTTGCCTTTCACATTAATCAGCTGAATGGAGTAACACAACTTAGCCTGGAGGGTAGCTGTTTGCTTGCGAAGGGCCGAAGAAGCGTAACTTATACATAGCGGTAAAATGGCCTCCTCGGTTGCGTTACTCTTGCAAAGTTATGGTTAAAGTCCTTCGCTAAATGGGGCCTGCCCTCGCTAGTTTATAGCGGAAGATCACTCTTAGAGGGAACCTTGAAAGGTGAAAATCCATGGAGTCGGCTTCAGCTAATGATTTGAGAGAATGTATTGGTATATCTAAACAAGTTTATAGTGGCTATTTTATACATGTATTCTATATCGTTTTATCCATCAGGAGCAAAATCATCACCAGCATTGATATCATGTGACGGGGGTGGCTAAGGGGCTGAGTTGCTGCGGCGAGGAGGCAAAGCCGATGTTGAGGGTGGTGAGAAGCGCTCAAACCGGAAATGTACAATTACTCCGTATAGAAAAGTAGGATTCGATCAAGACTCGAATATTTGGAACATCGACATGTTCAAACCCTTCACCTTGAATGGAGTATACACTTGCTGATTCAGAATACCAATTGCACTGAATCATAAGCGATGGATCCTAGGGCATTTGCCATGTACTCCCAAAAGTGCCCATCAGGGGATCATTCTGTGTGACATAAGATGCAACAGTGTCTAATTAAGATGCATCTCTAGAGGGCGGTGTGGTCAGACACAAATGATACAACATGCCGTTTCTTTTTGGCTCCCTGGTTCGTGGAGTGGTGATACACATTATATACTCCGGTAGACCAAATGCACGGAGCAATTGCCGATCTGTAACCCCCCTGCTCCGTTGGCTTCATCTGCCACTGCTTCAATGCCTTCGGTACCTCTGTAGAGGATCAATGAACTATTACCTTGCTGGTGGGTTCAGGGCCATTGGCGGTGGTACAGTGCTCTCCATGCCATACGAATCATGATTGCTGACATGCTTTGCATGTAGAACTTCACCCTGGATTATACTTTACGGTGCTGCAGTGACACTCATGCAAGCCATATACCGGCTTCTCGTTCGGCCGCAACGATGCAGGGGCCAAAAAGACGAACCGAACAAATTGTGAAAGGTCACATTGGTTAGACCTCCAGTTCCGCTCGACAATTTTGCTGCGCATTTTTCAATCAGATATAGCCAGTAGCTGGCGATGAACAGTCTAAGACCCGAGATTTTCCCAACGGCGTCTTGAATCGATTCGAACGCTTTGACCAGATATATCCATCATTGCGGATGATCGACTCTCATACCCCCATTATCTCGACGATGGCGATCAGCCTCGCTCGGGTCGGGCCTGAGCCACCCGCTTACACTTACCTTGCCCTGTTCCCCAAAATTCATGGTACAGGGGATCAGCTTTTGTATCTCTGTTGTGGTTCCCCATCATCCCGTGTCGCATTCGACGTGCATCTTACATGGATGTTGATTACCATGGTACGCATACAGCGTTCCATGGATCTTTGCAGTCGCTCATGGGGTTACGGGCATGTGCACGAGATACAGACATGATGAAGAGAATTGAAGCAGAAGGACTCGTGGTAATTTACCAGGTGCTGCTACTGCAATTCTATCGCAAGTCGTGCTCCTACATCTCTTGCGCTCGGCCCGCAGAGAAAAGCGTCGCTCAATGCATGTGGCGGGGCTCTTTTCATCATGAGCTCTGCAGCTAGATTTACTGTGCAGGAGAAGACCATGTCTGACCGACCAACTGGCCGACTTCGCTGCTCCCTCTCTCCTTTTCGCTTTTTGGCTCAAAGGAAAAGAAACATCCAAATTTTGACTCTTCCCTCCTGCATAACGCGTCTGGATCACTTCCTTGGGCTGGCTATCAATCTTGTGGCCTGACTTACTTGCTTCGGGTCTTTGGATGTGCTGGCGCATCATCATCGCTCTGCCCTTTTTCCCGGCGGCGCATTTAACGCGTGTGGATGCGGCAGTTTTGAGAGAGCGACGAGAAAAGATTACAGAAAGGGGGGAAGAAAGAGCCAGACGCTGAGCCGATGCGCCATCCGCGTTGCCCATAAATCGGCTGGCCCTCCTCTTGTTCGTCCAGTACTGTTTCTACTTTGCTGATATTTCGTCGTACGTCTCAGGTGGAGACACCGTCAGACGCTCATCATCCCTTGCGTCCGCACATGGGACGAGCTTTTCCTTTTACTCTCCCCGCACATTTTATCCAACCACTTGAATAGGCTTTCCCCTCCAGCCTCTCCGTCCAGCCGCCGCTGTCGAGACCTCTTTTTGGTGCAGCCCATTCAGAGACATTGCCAATTGAGAAGCTCGAGTTCGCGATGCAGCATGCTCCATGAGGTCGTCGGCGGTTCTCTGTGCCTCAATGCCTTTCCCTCGTTGGCTCCGTCTAAATATACTGTACACTTTCCATCCGCTGTATCCGCAGGAGGTAAAAATACTCTTTGACAAATAGGTATCGGTGCATTGATCTCCTGCAACCTCTTTCCTCTTCCATTTCTCTTTTCTTTAGTTTTTCTCTCCCCATTCTTCGGTCTTCGTTCCAGATACCTGCGTTCGTACAACCTCAGTCTCTTCAGAGTCTTTTGCCGCTTGTCGTCTGTGCGGATACCATCGGCCAACCATTTCTGAAGATTACATGTTCAGGTGGTGTTGTGATCTCGGCGATTTGGGCTACTGAGACCTGACTATGTGCGAACATTTGCGTTATTCATTGATACACTTTTCGTAAAAATCGTCATACATGTCTAATCCCTTGTTCATGCCTTGATTTACTTATTCACTCTCCTGCGCATCTTGCATCGCTGTCAAGCTGCAGCCTCACATCCTTAGCGGGATTGCCCCATTCACTGGTCGCCTTAGACGAGCATAAGAGATGGGTGACTAACTTCACTCTTGCTTCAGTAACTTCAAACAGTAAAGAACTCCAGTTACCGTTGCAACGGCTGTCCAGAAACCCTATCGCGAGATTCTGAACGAGTGGGAGATCCAAATTACGCTGTTACAAGAACGTATTCTGTAGGACAGACAGTCCCAGTTTGGAGAGAGAAGGTGGACGGTAGACATCATGGAGGATCCTATATCTTCACTTTCAGCGACCCAGCTACATTACAATATGGATGAGATGGGTGGGTCTTTGGACAGGCAACGCCGGACGAAAGCTTCTCGACCGTTGTCCGAAATTTCCTTTTCCTCGATTGACAAGTCCTTGGGGAAACCTACTCACGCCATGGGTTATCCAGGCGAACGGCCCCGGAGTCCAACCTTTGAACTTGCCTATTTTCTTCGCCACACTGGTCCTCCTGCAAGCACTCAGACTCACTCGCAGCCCCATTCTCATCCGACGCATTCCAAGTCGGCGTTTCGATTTTTGAAGCCACATCGATCAGTCTCAAAGAAAAGTCATGCGCATGCGAAGGATATCTCATCATCACAGAGGTTGCCTGATTCTGTTATTATGAAGAAGTCTGCTCAGGGTAAGAATTTGGCAGCGTCCGGAAAATAAAAGAAAATAATGGAGCTAATCCAAGCACGTTTAGGTAAACGATATTTGGCTATCAAAGCACCTGGCTTTGACGAGTACAATCTTGGGGATGACAGCTCATCTCTCAATAGCTCACCGATGACGAATAGGACGGGTGACGCAGATGTTCGTTTTTTCGAGAAGCACTCGACAGGTCCAAATACTGTTGCAAGCACGGTAGCGGGTAGGAGCCGTGGTACATCGCGTTCCAGCCAGGCCTCACATCCGTTCAAACCTCCGCCTCTTCCTCTTAGCTGGAAAGATGCATCAGAGAATCTTGGACGCGAAGCATTGGATATATATCTTCCGTATATCAATCATGCACTGGAGAACAGCAAGCTGGCGCGGTATGCGAGCTCCTCAAACTCGACCGCATCTGCCAATGGACAGCCGCTGCAGCAAGTAGAAGAGGAGCCAAAGCAGCCTACTCCGAAGAAAGCGACACGAGGTGTTACCAGCCCATTATCCGGCGCAAGCAGTATTCACCACTCCGGAAGTATTTACGCTGCTTGGGACCCATCTACCCCAGGAATAGCATCACCGATTGCTACTGGTCCACCCTCTCGAGTGTCGAGCATCCAGAGGAAGAATCTCCATCCCTCAGACAGTGCCATTACTCTTTCCTGCACAACCTCACCTCATTCAGGTACAGAAAAACGTCGCTCCACGGACCGTGCATCAATGCAGTCAGCTATTGGCTCCGTGGCGGAAACAGTGTACTCTGATGCATCGAGCGGAGTTGTTATGAACGCTTTGCGAGCCGACATGCACCGGCCAGCTGGAGTTGTCGGGCAGTACACAAATATTGGATACAAACCTCCTCGACCTGGTCCAGCGCCGACAAGAGCCCTTCCTTCTCTGCCCGAGAATCATCATGGCCGCATCCGCTACATTAACACTGCGCGAAAGGCCGCCAGCCAAGGTGCAAGAAGCCTTCAAAGCTTGCGCTCGTCGTCCGCGTCCCTGGAAGATGCTACGGCTCGACTCAACATTCGAGAATCCATGACTTCAAACCGGCCAGGCGGTGTAATTCGACATGATCCACTGCGATCCGAGAGCCAGCCTCAACTACCAACCTATCGAAGTACTTCCGACGGTGCATTAGCTTCAGGAAAGCACACGAGAATTGATACTTCTGGAAGAGAACGGGCTTCTGAGAGTGCTCAAAGGGCTAGAAAAGGCCGCGAGGATTCCGTACGTGCTCGAAAATTACGTGATCTCGAAGCTGCTCGGGCTTCATTAGAAAGGAGAGGGGTTGAGGTCAATTTTGACCCCACCATGGCCAAGATGCTCTGCGACAGATCAGAGCCAATAACAGCGTTTTTCCCTCTCCCAAAGAGTGCGTTTTCGGATAGCAGGACAAGCCGAAGTTCAGGGTTTTCTGGTGTGAGCCAAGGCTCCAGCAGTCTCAGTTCAATGGGACGGCAGCTCAAGGACGCTCAGCGACACCTTAATACATTTTCTCCAATCATGCAAGTCATTGATCAAGTTCCCACAACACAATACGATACTAGCAATAGGCTTGAAGCCGTTTCCCAGAAATCCGTCGATGCGGTCGGTCCAATTGAACCTGAGCAATCCATTAACCCGACCATTATCACCACAATCTCTCAATCACCAGAGGCTAATTCCAATCCCACTTCTCCAACTCACATTCAATCAGCGGCCGGATCCGCAGACCACGATCAGGCAAATCACCCAGCCCAAACCCATCTTGAGCCAGTATTGTTAACATCACTTGCCACAACCTCATCCTCATCGTCACCATCCAGCAATCGGACCGTCAAAGGCCCAGGTTCCGACAAGGCCAGATCAACCGGATCCGGTCGCTCATCACTTACCTCGTCGACTGATCTGGAGCTAAAGATGGAGGCGCGACTCAATGCCATGGAGAGGAAGAATGCCATTCTTGAAGCCGCGCTCCTCGCTGTCCTGCAGACTTCCAGCAACCTCGGCGGGACCGGACCTGCTTCTTCTTCGACTGGGACTCGATCTAGTGGTATGAGCGCAACTTCTTCTCGTTCCCTCGAAGCAGCAATTGCCGCCTCGAGAATGCAATGACAGGTTTCTAATACCGCGCAATAGCTGATTTGCCCGCTCGACGAAACTTTACTCCATGAAGCGCCAATCGCGATCAAGCTTGGCTGCTCAATTTTCTCAGTTTATTGCCATCGCAATGCTTACCTTTGGTTAAGCTCATTACATGCTTGACGATTCGACGTTCTTGTCACAACATCGGCCAATTACGCTACGCTCGCTCTTCTCCTTGCTCATTAAGACCGTCAGACATGAAATGCGTTCCATTCTGCTGGACAGACTGGTGCATTCCTTATCAAGCCTCTGGTTTGTCCTCTTGCTTTCGCCGGCTTTCAACTATTCCGTTTCTTTTGCTTTTTCCAATTCCTTTTTCCAATTCCTTTTTCCATTTATTCGCTTTCCTCGGCCAGTGATGGACGCTTTGACTTGTGCTTCAGCTAGCGTATCCGTTCTATTCGTACCCTTTGATCATTATTTTCCCCCATTCCGTTCCGCTTGAACTTTCCAATCAACTCACACTATTCCTTTCTCTCTTCGCAAACATTTCTTCTAAGTCCCAATTTATTCAATCTTTCTTTCTCTTCTTCATTACTTCTCAAAGGCGTCTCCATTCGCTTTTTCTCTTTTCTTGCTTTCTCTCCACTTCTCAAATCTTCTTTTCCGCTTCCCTTCTCAACTTTTCTTTTTTACTTCTTTTCTTCTTTTGTTCTCCCTTTCCATTTTCGTTTCCACCTTTCCTACTTCAATTATTTCTGCCCACCGTTTCACTTTTACCCCGCCTTCTTCCTCATGTTTTCTATGCCCAGTCTTACCGTTTCGTTACCTGCGGAGTTCTGTTCCACATCCTTTGCCTACTGTTCTTTCTTTTTTTTTCTAATCTGCTAGCATTTGTAGCGCTTTGGCGCAATTCAGCGCTTCTATCTCTTCAATCTAAGCTAGTACTTCTCCCAGTCAATTTTTTATCAAATCTCAATTTGAGACCAATAAAGTTACTACTTGGTTTAAGCTTTGCTTGCTTGCTTGCTTGTTTCCTTGGTTCTTACTTGCTACGCTACACATGTGGTATGGAAATGACATGATACGATACAGTTACAACATCAAGAATATGAAAAGTGAGCTTTGATGTAATTTAATCTCGACGCCATCGGCCATTCGGGGTCCCATCTCATCGTATATGTCATACATGCAGGGGCAGTTGACGACAATAGATAAGATGGATACCAAGTACGAATAACTGTAAGGTGGATACGAAATAAGATAGGATAAGTGTAAGATAGTATCAAATCAGAGCGCCACAAGACCCTGCGTAAAAAAGCCAGGAAATGGCGCGAAACGGAGAAATGTTACGAGATAAAATCATAATATGATTGGCGCCCCTTTTAAACGGCAATGCAGATGTGTCATATAAATAAACATCGCTACATCCATTTAGGGTGCTGTAAGAATGGCTCTTGCGAAGATGAGATATATGGGAGAAAAGAAAAAGTAAGAACTAAAATAAAGAAAAGTGAAGAAAGGAATCCCTGTAAGGAAATGACAATGCAGTAAGACTAGAAATGTCTCTCCGCATCCATCCGGTTTGACAACAAGTAATGGTTCAAAGGGGACAGAGGATGAAAAGGGCAAAATAATATAAACATAAAAAAAAAAGTTTAAAAAAAATATTGCAACCCATCTGCGCCACCTCGCATGATATGCTAAAGAATTTTAAAGGACAGCGAGAGTAGCTGTAACAGAAATGCAAGATATGTATCGATGATTGATGCGCCCGGTGTGGAATAGAAGAGAAAGATTTTAATAACCGTGCCAGTTCGCGAAGATGAATTGAGGAATCGATGCGATGCTAGACAACCGGCATAGCCGTTGTAGCGACGATGAGATGGCGATAAGATGATGACAACGGAAAGAATCTCCGGTCAAAATTGAGGTGGAGAGCAAGGTTGTGTTCGGAGGGAAGAAGACAAAACATCTAAGGCCTGGGGCCTCTCTTCTTTGGCCGAATAAACGGATCGACTTCCTTGCGGCGCTTGGGCGGAGGTGGACCGCGAATAGGGTTCGGCATGGGTCTATTTTGCCCGGGATCAGGTGCAGGTTCAGGGGCTGAACTCACAGGTCTCGGTGGCAGAGGATGAGTTCCGGCAGGGACAGGTTTGCTTGGAAGGTTCTGAGGCGTATTTTCAATTCGAGATTTTGACTTGACCTTTGGACAAATTAGCTCATTCATAGAATAATTACCTGAATACAAACTTACGTCTCCTGGCTTCACAGCAGGCAAGTCCGTTGGCGGCGATGGTTCACGAGGTCGCTTTCCAAACCCCTTTGGTGCAACGGGCGGCTTCTTAGGCAGTCCATCCTCCAGCGGAGGCGTACGTCTGGTGACATTGATAGAAGGAATCTTGGAATCATGTTCTCCAAGTTGCCGGGCTCGCTGCTTGTCCTGGAATTCTTGTTGCTTCCTATAATGCGCGTCCTCTTTGTCCTGGAGCCGTTTGCGGTCTCTGGCAGGTAGAGCATTTGGGTTAGGGCAGGTATTGGTGACATGACCAAAGGCGCCGCATTGGAGACAACGAACAGCCTTGCAATGAATTCTAGTATGAGAAGTGTCGCCACAGCGGAAGCAATGGCTCGTGCCGGCATCCGTTTGAGCAGACTCATCATGACTCTTGCTGCCTGGCGTGCTGGTACCACTTGTACCAAGGGTTATTTTCTTGTCGGCGGGGTTGAGAAGAGCGCCCGATGGTGCGGACAGCGCCTTTTGAGGAGCGTTTGTAGTTCCCATGTCTGCCGACTTTTTCTTCTTCTTTGGAGCCGGAGGTTTGGCCGTGGTTGCCTCTGAGGACTTTTTCGAATCACGTCTCTGAGGCGCAGGGGGTTGCACAGGAAATTCAGGTTCAGAAGGAGTTGCAGAGCCGGCAGTCGGCGCATCTGGCATTTCGATATCAGAGTCGCCTCCGAAGCCATTGCTGTAGTTCAAAGTCTCTCCGCTGGCCGAAGGCCTAGCGAGCATCTTTTTCAAATCACCGGAGGTGTAGAGTCCTCTGCTTTGCGCATCCGTGATAAGACCCGCCCAGAACTCGCCATGGACCAAAGACTGTGAATTTCCCAACACCCACAAGGAGCACTTTGCACGAGTAAGACCGACGTTCATACGACGAATATCCGCCAAGAAACCAATTCCGCGACTGGAAGAAGCTCGCACGCAAGAAAAGATGATGACTTCACTCTCACGACCTTGGTAAGCATCGGTCGTGTTGAAATCAACACTAGACAGGATCGATTCGCCATATTTGGCGGCAAATCTCGTCTTGAGCTCTCGAAGCTGACTCTTATAAGGTGTGATGATGCCGACTTTTCCTTTAAAATCATAGCCTCGGAAATCGGTAATCAAGCGATCAAACAACATTAAGGCAATATTGAGTTCGGCAACGTTAATGAGAGAGTGGCCTTTGGGTGCGCTCTGATGTTGTCCTTGCACATCGAAAAACCGATACGGCCCCAAAACGCCGCTTGCATGCCAAGGCTTTTGCCTGAGTTGATCCATTCCAGGTCCATCCAAGAGCTTTCCATCATAAAAGGCTTTGCTTGGGTACCGACTAATATCCGGGTGCATACGGTATTGAGTATCCAGAAGGTGAACATCATTGGGATGATTGCCCTGCATCCGGACGAACAAGCTCTGCTCGTATTGGAAACGAGCAGCCTCTCTCGATAGAACAGTAGGAGGAAGCTGCTTTGGATCTCCGACGAGGATACACTTAGAACAACCATACTTGAGCGGAATGAGCGCACTCAACTCAATTGATTGGGCCGCCTCATCGATTATGACAGTCTCGAACTCAATGTTCAAGTTCTGAAACATGTCATGTCCACTACCACTGAGAGTTGCGCAGATAACATCAGCTTGATCGAGAATTTCTTGCTGCACGCGTCTTCGGTTGATCTCTGCATCTCTTGCCGCAGTATTACCGCGGTCGCGGGCATTATCGAGCTGTGTACTGAGCATGGCCTTTTTGCGCTTCAAGAGCTCAAAGTTCCGCTGCTGCTCCGCCGCTTGCTCGCCTTTGGCGCGCGCCTCGTCAAGGATTGTCCGCACCACGTTAAGCTCGTCAGATGTGGCCTTGTGTTCCATCATGATTTTGTGAATCTCGTCGCCAGGGTTGTTCTTATTGCCGTTTGCCAGGTTGAGCTTTGCATTGACCAGCTCTTCCAAGGTGACGTCCATGACATTGGCATTTATCGCGTCGCTACGGCCGATACGGACAACTCGCAGGGGTTTGGGTTCTCCGTTCAATGTCTTCACAGGCTCCTTTAAACGCATAACCAGCTCGTCCACAGCTGCGTTACTTGGTGCGCAGACTAATAGCTTCCTGGCTGGTGCACCTCCGCGAGGTCCGGGAAGATTGAGTCCATTGTTGAATTGTGGGCGAGAGATAGCCACACCCTTTTCCTCGAGGCTTGTTGTTAGTAGTGCTCCTGCGATAGCAACAATTGTCTTCGTCTTTCCCGATCCCGGTGGACCTTGAATAAGAGTAAATGCATCATTATCAACGGCTGATCGTACAGCCTTGGCTTGTGCCAGATTCAGTCCATAAATGTCAAAGATGGACTTGAGCTGCTTTTCCGTATAATTGAGCAGCGGAGATGGCTTAGCTCTGATAATTTCATCGCAAAGATCGTAATACTGAAGACCAAGCAGAGCACCATACTCTCTTTCAAGCGGCGTGATCGAAGAAATCTTCACACCCCACAGTGTGACATTTGGAGCAAGAGAGCTGATGAGCGGGTTTCCAGGAACGACACGATAGGAGATTTCAATAATGTTCTTCTTCCGCGTCACTCTAAATACTCGAGCAAGACAGTGTGGTTGATCGTGTCCCTGGGTCGGTGATTTCGCTTTCGACATAAGAATAATATCCGCTTCGCCAATTCCAAGGTCTTTTCCATCAGCAACGGAAACAGTTGTACTGACCTCAATGAAAGAGTCTACGGACAGACGATTGGCAACTTTGATCTCAAAAGGTTTAAAGTTTCCCTCTTCCCTGGCTTTGAGGAAACCTTGCCATGCTTCCAACACAAGCAAAGGCTCAAAGACCCGCTGATAATCGATCGGGGTTCTGAACGTATTCGAGACAAGACTGTAGTCGTGACGGTCAGAGCTAGGAGGGAAGTCTCCCTCGGCGAAGAAGTCCCAGCTAAGAATCGTTTTGTGAAGGGGCGAAAGGTCGGGCGCTAATCGAGCGCGCATGTCCTTTGCAGATCGAACCTGCCTCTTCTTCTTAACGGGTCCTTGGCGCTCCATCTGCTTCAGTGCATCGGCTTTGCTCCTCTCGTAGTCTTTGACAGCCGATGAAGATTTAGGTGCTTTTCCAAACAACTCTGCGTCCATTTCATCCATTTCAGAGTCCGATTCAGAGTCGGACGGTACCATCATGATCGAACCCTGTGGCGCATGGTCTTTACCTCTTACGCCAATGCCTCGAAGCCCTGAACCTTCCTCCGAGGTCTGCTCAGCGACACCGGTTGGCGGTAGGTTTTTCTTGACGCGAGCCAGTTCAGCGAGATCGCGGCGTTTCTTCGCTTCCTTCTCCTTTTCACGTCTTTCACGGAATGTCAATCCATCGGCGTCTCGTGAAGGTGCCCTGAGCGCAGGTACTCGCGCAGGCTGGTCTTTGAATTTTTGTAAAAGAGGGCGGGCTTTTTCGACCGACTTGGAAAGATCCAGTATATCGTCATTGAGAGTACTGGATCCGCCATACTCATCTTCGTCGCTGATATCGATGACGTCTCTGGGCGACTTGGCCTTTGCTCTCCAAGCCTCAAGATTGAGTGCCTCCTGCCTTGGTCCTCTGGGTCCAGTGACAGAAGGCGCAACGCCAGGCTGTGCCCATCCAGCCAATGTACTCTGCCTTTTGCTTTGCGCTGGAACGGACTTTGTGTCCTTGGTCGACGGCCGTTGCGGACCATGGTGACCTTCTAGTGCTCTGGAGAGCTCTGCTTTTGACTGAAGTGGGAGGACATTTCTGACCGACCCTCCAATGATACCACCGTCGATGTATGCGTATGTATCGTCTCCGATGGTCATTCCCCAATCAGCAAGACGACCGAGAATCTTTGTAAGGAGGGCCACCAGTGTGTTTGCAAGATACTCGTCTCTAAGTCTAAGCCATTTTGCCATCGAGTTCAAGGTCAGAACTGGATGTTCCAGTAACTTCCTTCCCGCATTCTTCTCCCCGGATCCTTTAGCCTGGTCGCGCTCAATACTATCCGCCGAATCAATAGCGCTTGAGAATGCAGAGTACTGTTCAAAAAGCCTCTCAGCAAACTCCATCGTATCTCTGCAAAATTCCATCATCACCGATTTATCGTTGCCCCGCTGACTCCAGCTTTCGGTTCGCTCAAAAATTACTCTCAAAGCTTGCCACTGGTATTGCCAGAACATTTCAACTGATGTGACTTCTTCCGCGCCGTTCAACGTTTTACTGCGAAGCAATCCATCTTGCAAATTACAGAGGATGTCAATTACATCGGTGCAAGTCTTAAGCATCCGTGGAACAGAGGCAAATGTGCCTTTATTGGCAATACGTCGAATCGCCCAAGCCAGACAACTCATGGTGACGTCGAAGAAAGATTTCAGGAGATGGGCTATCGCCTCCTTTCTGCCAAATTGGGCGCTGACGGTCTTAATGAGTTCCAGAGCTGCATGGTAAGTATTTTCATCTGCAGAGAACAATGCAGAAATCAACGTGCTTGCGGTTTCTTTGTTTTTAAAAAGCTCGTCTAGATCGTCCGGATCAAAGTCGTTTAGCTTTTCCAATATGCGAAAAACCCAGTGAGTAAGATGACTAAATGTGTCATTGAATCGGCTTTTCTCTTTAACCAGGGTTTGCTCCGTCCTGAGATTGAATTTCTCCAAACCAACCAGAGGCATGACTGCTCTCAGGGCGGCCTTGGCAAGAGGCATGTTATCTGACTCAAGGTTCTTAACAACAGCATCCCATATGACATTCGAGTGCGAACTGCCCCCATGCTGTAATGCCTGTTCAGCCTCTAGGATCTCATGGTCCGCTTTTAAAGCTCGACATTCCAGCGATAAGGCGTTGCGAACGACATCCATGCAGGCTGAAGCTACATTTTGGCCCACATGTGATGATGAGCGCGCCACGGTCAGAATACCCCCGACGTAAGTGCTTGCCACTTCAAGGGTGTCAGAGACTACTATGCGACCAACGGAGCCAAAAACGGACTGATCTTCATTGAAATTACTCAGTGTTTGTACCAGTACTTGCACTCCCTTCTGATAGCAGTAGATCCTTGATGACTCAGGGAACTGGTCGGTCTGTAAACGATCAATCAGCTGCAAGACGATTGACCGACAGGCTGGAGGCTGGTTTGCTGGTTTGAGAGAAGCCATAAATGGCTCAATCCATGCCAGCATGTCATTAACCGCTGGGGTTACGGCGAGGTGGTCACCGCTGTCTTGCCGTAGTGTGCGGACGAGGTAGGGATTCGTAAAAATTTGCTCAACGACAGTGGACGGAGAGATAGCTCCCATGGAGTCCCAAAAGTCCTCTGGAGACTTTTCTAGTAAGAGAACAATTGTCTGCAGAAGCGAGTGGAAGCCTGGTGTGTCGAACTGAAGATGCTCCAATGCCATTCGGCATACGTCAATATCCATAGCGCGCAGAGAATGAGTGATGAGATCCTTGTCAAGCTTATTTACGACAAGCTTCATCCCATCCCAGAGCCGTTTTATGAGATTAATGTCAATCTCTGGGCCAGCTGCTCGGGTCAAGACTCTGATAAGCTGCTCTCTGACCGCCCAGTCAAACTCATCGGAAGTGATGTTCCTCGTGAACTTGGACCAGGAGTTGACCGCCCACTGAAGCCTAAAGGGTTGAGGGTCGAATAGGAAACACGTCATTGCAGGAACGCAGTATCCGAGTTTGAGAGTGCGCTTGACCTGCATTAAGCGGAAGGGCTCATCGAAATATGATTGAAGGAGGTCATCGTCAGTCAGGAACGCTTCACAACTCAAGGACTCAAAGATGGCGTGCATCGCAGTAGGGTGGAGAGCGCCCGGTCCGCGTTTCTCCGGAGGAGTAGCGAGCAAAGAAGACAGCGCGCTCGTCAAGCCCGCCTTTATCCGCTGAATATCCTTATCGTCAAAGATTTTGCAGAACTGAAGAACGTCTTGGTCATCATAATCACTGGTCAAGTCAGCGGCGAGATTTCCAAACGGCAAAATACCCGATTTTTGAAAGGAGACTCCATACTGTCTTAATCTCTCCATCATTTGCTTTTTTCCCTTGTGATACTCGCGGATACATGTGTCACATCTCACCATCTGCCGATCCAATCCATCCCGCAAGTACTGCTGATAGTGTTGGATGCCTTCACCATCGTATGCAAGCAGCTGCAAGGACATGAAAACTGCGCCCCTCCGTTGCTCGGCTTCTCTGGCTCTATCAATAGCATTTCCGTTCTGCTGTTCGAAATTCGTCTCGTTCGGATCTTCGCCATCATCGCCACGCCTTTCGCAAAACCAGTGAACTTCATCTGGGAGAGCTTGCAGGCTTCTGTAAGGTAAGAGTACGTTGTCAGTTTTATTCTTCTCTATTAAGCCAAACCACTATGGCCGCGGAAAAGCTGAAGCGGTTTGCTACAGGAAAATGGCGAGCACAAAGAAAGCGAAAGCTTGAAGACAACAAGCCAAATACAAAAGCTACTTACTCGACGCCGGCCACTAGCTCGGCCATGACAATTTATTATTTCCGTCAGGTGGTTGACACGCTCATTCGTCCATTTACAAGGGAGTAACAAGACATAAATCGGTTATTGGACTGGACCGAGCTTGAGAGCTTCTACCCTGTCACAACTCAATGCTCCCAGCTGACCGTCAATTCGTCGTTCTACAGCCCTTTTTGACTTAACTCTCCAAGTGTATGTTTCGTAAAGGAAATCTTCTTATAGGCGTCCAGTCAAGGTGTCCCTCAAAGGTAGTATCCTCTATGACTCAAATAAACTTCCAACTGACGATCCCCGTGATCTATATCCTCAGCGCTGTGCAATGGTGTAAACGACCGTACGTAATCAGTCGGAAAAGTTCAACGAAGTCGTTGCCAAACAAATGTGTCCAAACAAACTGATGGTTGTTGTACGATCCCGTTCATTCGTTTAGTTGTTTACTTGATTGTTTGTTTACTCTCGTTCTATCCGGGCGTCGATTTCTGGTACACGAATATTCACTGTCAGGTATTCGAATATTTTCGTGCAATCGAAAAGAGGGTGACAGCTTGAGATTCACTCTCTAAGCTAGCTCGTTCGCGGGACGTTTCCGTGCCAGGTGCTGCAAGCTTTCCAACAAGTTCCGAAAAGTTTAGGGTGTCTGATCGATCTGAAAAATGTATGACGGATCTGTATTGAACCTCCAAACGTCAGCTATCTCTGATAGTTTGACACTGCATTAGAGTCAGGAGGATAAGCAATCAAAGGTATTATGGCCTAGTTAACAAAGGGGGTATTTCACCAGATTGTATCCTTGTTCAGCAGGATTGAAATGAAAGGGTTAATCTTTGGCCTATGAAAAATAGTTCGGCCATTGGCCATGAGCCATAACGCTTGCAGAACCCAACACAAAAGCTGCAGAAGCATGAAGCATGAAAGGTTCACGGGTCAGAACTACCTTCAATTACCGACGCATAGACCATTTGTTGCCCGGCGGTAAGGTGTGTCCACAGTAGAGTCGGAAGCAATGTGTGCACGAGGAAGCAGTGCCACTAGCTGTATTTAGCTTAAAGGCTGCGCTATGCGGGAAGGATAGAGTGTCTGAAAACAAAGCGCAAGGCTCAATCCACTTTACGCGAAAACTCGTCAGTCAACCGCGTAGCGCGTGCCTGCATTCGCGACTTTAGGCATGTCTTGCGGCGATAAACTTTCAGTGAAATTGGTTTATAAAGCTCTATGTCAGTTCTTATGACACCGGGTAACAGGTCGGTTAGCTCAGTTGGTTAGAGCGTGGTGCTAATACCTTTGTCCTCTTGCTTTAGCAAGAGACTTCAGTTAACGCCAAGGTCGCGGGTTCGACCCCCGTACTGACCACTTACCGGTGCTTTCTCTTTTTGCTTTTTAGTTTTTGGGTGGGAGGATTGGTTCAAGATTGATCATTACTTCTTTTTGTTTCTGGTACGAAGTATATGACAAATATAGTCGAGTCATATCAACTGTTGCACATATGAGGCATCGATTGATCCTTTTTTTGGTGTTTCGAAGCAGGATTGGCAGCGTTGATTCTGAATTATCTAGAAGATGATATAAAATCACATTGAAAAAAGAATTCTTAAAACGAGATCTGGCGGGGGGGCACAAGGAAACGCCGGGTATGCTCATGATATTGAGAAGATATGAACGAAAATCGAGGTTCAGGGAAAGAAAAGATGGATCACGGAGGATCAAGACTAAGCAGGCTCATTGAAAAGGACGCAAAAGACACAGGAAATTTAGGACAAGGACAGAAGACTGAAGGAAAGAATCAGAAGACATTGTCTATATACACAAAATATGGAAAGGAAAAAATTTTAGAAAAAGACAGCAGGGTTTATAAAAAAAAAGGGACAACGATGGTATCAGTAAAAAGAGTCATCATCGCGCATGAGGAATCGCTGACTGCTGTGTTCCGCCATTATCACGGTTTCCATCTACGCCAGTTTCGCTGTGCTCTGGCTGCGAATACTCCGACTCCATTCTCGTGAGCATGGCGGCAGAGGTAATGTCATTCGACGCCTCGAAACTGGGTCGCATTCGATCCATACTCATGCGAACTCTCTCATATGAGGGTCGGGAGGGACGCTCCACCGAAGTTCGCACCGGAGGGTCTAGTGATAAACGATGGCCGGTGTATTCTGTGCCATCGCTGCCGTTTTGACTTCGGGGGTTATGGGTAGTGCGAGTCGCCGCTACCGAGGGAGGATAAATCGGCCTTTCATCTTCATTCTGATAAGCGTTGCCATTTATAGGTGCGGGCTTAGGTATTTCGTCCGAGGAAGCGGTGGACTCGCTGTTGGATTGGACAGTGTATGCCGACTTTTCATCAAGATAGGCGAATTTCCCTTGCTTGACTTGCTCGCGAACAATGTCGACGTCGTAGGGCATGTAGAATTTCTGAACGATCTTGGCGCTGAATCTGGGTAACAGACAGATAATGACAGAAAGGAAAGTGACAGCCCAGAATGTCGCTTGGCCAAAGACCTCGCTGGCAGCTCCGTAAAACGTCATGGTGGACGTGAAGGCTGAATAGACTCCTGTCCAGAACCACACGAGGAGGATACTGATTGACATGATGAGGAGAGTGAACCAGTCCCATCTGTATGTGTTCATGAGTAAATAGATGTTTGCTACAACGACTGTTGCGCAGGCAACATAGATGCCTATGCGCTGTCTGTCATTAATATTTTGTCCGTTCGCGGTGACAAAATTGGCTGGTTTAAACATGAGATATCCCATGTAGAAGCAAATCACAGACTGGTAGATGCCATCAAGCATATACACCCTGCAGCAGATTAGCAACATGTTAAGTTAGACTCCGGGGAGAGACAGGACAGCAGTTTCTTACCAGAACTTTGTTTGTGTCCATTCCTTGCGTTGAATGCCACGACGGTAGAGCTGAGGGACAGCAAGAGAGACCTTGTCACTTACATCTTGGTCGAGCACACCCAATAAGATGATTGGAATGGATGTGAAGGCCAAGTTGTACAGTAGAATGTACGTGTATTCAAAGAGATATGATCCGTCAAAATTGTTGTAGATCATGTACCAGAATAACGTGAATGTCCAAACGATATTCTATGCATATATTAGGGACCCTTTAAGATCAACATGTAGGTTCATAGACGAGTAAGCTTACCTTGTAGAAAAAGTTGGCAATTGTCTCACCAATTCTGCGATATGACCAGCGGCCGTGAACAAGGACAAGTCGTTGCAGAAAGCGGAATTGACCAATGGCATAGTCGGACGACATGGCTGCCTGTCTACCCTCCTCACCGGCGATACCCACTCCGACGTCTGCCTCTTGTATCATTGCGACGTCATTGGCACCGTCTCCAATGGAGAGTGTCATAACATCAAGACCTCGTTTGACCATTTGAACGACAGCAGCTTTCTGGCTGGGGCTGACTCGGCAGCAAAGAACTGATTTGCACTGCTTACAGAGCAAGAGGAATTGCTGCTTGTATTGCTCTTCCAGAACAACCTTGAGTGAATCACCATCGATAACAATGGCGTGAGTGGGACCAGGTGCGCCGTGATCCTTCTTAGCGGCAGCCAATTCGGCATCTGATCCTGTCATCCCAAATACACTCAGGTGTTTCTCCAATTCTGCTGACACTGCTTCTGGATTCCCAGCATCCGCCTTTACAACAATGAGATTCATGTCATTGTTAAGGAGGTTACAAGAAAATCCAATATTGATGGCAGTCTCGACCTTGTCTCCAGTGAGCACCCAAAGCTTGATTCCCGCTTCTGCGAGCAGGGCAATCGTTTCAGGCACACCATCCTGAAGTCTGTCCTCGATGGCTGTTCCGCCGAGTAGCAGCAGCTGCCTTTCGATCTCATCTGAAATCTTCTCAAGCTTCTCCTCTCGATCTTGGACTGCAGCGGCAGCAACTTCATGCTTCTTGTTCCACGCGTAGTACTCGTCCTCATTCAGCTCCCTTTGCGCTACGCACAAAGTGCGAAGACCTTCTCGGGCAAACATCTCAAGATGTTGTTTGGTGCTTTCGCGCAACTCGGCCTGCTCGCCACGTCTCAGGCGAGACCAAATTATGCTGTCTGCGCCTTTGCAAAAGAGAACAATTTTCCCGTCAGGCATTCGAACAATAGCGCTCATACGCTTTCGCGAAGAGTTGAACTCTAACGTGTTGAGAATAGTATATGATCGCTCCTCGCCCATGATATTGAGCATGATCTCATCACCACGACGGCCGAGAACGGTAAAGCCACAGTCACGAGCTGTGGCAACCAGGGCGGCCTCATCTGGGGACTGGGCCTTGAATTCAATCTTGGGGGGGTCACCGGGCGTTCGCTCTGTGACAACCGTGTGGCAGAGAGCAAGCGCGAGCATAAAGTGCTCGTTGGCACGACTTTGCTCCTCTCCATTTTCGCCTGCGAGGTGGGCAACGTAGTCTGGTGCAACAAAAGTGAGCTGATCATCGACTAGGTAGGGGTTGTCGTGCATCTTTCGAAGACCAGCCAACATCTGCACTCGATCTTGTGCAATCTGCTCGCGCATTCGCTCCCCCTCCTCTTCGACGTCGACTCCCTCTCGTTTGCGCATACCAGCCAAAGCCTCGGTGTAAGCCTCTCCATAAGGAACCCCATTGATAGTACATTTCTTGAACTCCATGACATTTTGCGTCAAAGTTCCTGTCTTGTCCGAGAAAATGTACTCGATCTGTCCGAGGTCGTCTGAGATATTCCACGACTTTGGCGTGCAAGGATAATCAATCTTTTCGTAGTACATGAAAGTATCACTCCAAATGAAGAATGCCTGGGCCGTCTTGATAATTTCAAGGGTAATAAAGAGCGAAATCGGGACCAAGTTCTGAAAGAGAATAACAACAGTCCAGAACGTGACGAAACCATTCAGCGCCGGGGTCCCTCCAATGGATCCAAATTCAAAGAAGTCGAGAGAGTTGTGTCCTTGACCCCAAGTAACGCCGTTGACGATAGCGCAAATGAAACACATCAAGAACAGGATGATGAAGTTGTAGATGACATTCCAATTTAGGTCTCGAGCGATCCTCGTGCGCTTAGTGGGCGTCATGCCAGAGTTGAGCATAATCTTGGTCTCTTCTCCGGTGAAGACGACAATGGCAAGCACCCACTCCGTGTTTCGAAGACTGCATCCACGTAGCAGCAAATTGTTGACCGAAATTGGTTCTGCTCTGGGAACGGGCTCCACGTCTTGATCTGCCGTGTCAATTTGATTCCAGCGAATCACACCATTGTACTGGTAAAGGTTGGAGTGCGGTGGCTCGCTCTCAATGAGAAACTCAGTCCGTGCGCAGTCTCTAGCATGCTTCACATGACGGCCACAGCGCAGTGACTGACGGACTTTGAGGTTTGTCTCGCCGTCCAAATTCTTTGTCTCAACGTAGCAAGCGCCGTCCGGATCCGAAGTGGATAGGATGACACAATCGGCCGGAACCTCGTCTTCATTGTAGATGCGCACAAAGTCGCCAACTTGCACATTCTTCCAATAGTCTTTTTTGAACCGAGCTGCATTATGCAGGGGTTTATTGGGATTGATAACGTTGCCCCATGCCTTATTGGAAGCCGAGGCATTTTTTCTCAACTCCTGCGTAGGAGCAGCAGCTTTTCTCGCGGCAAAGTAGTTTTCGGACTCTTCGTCGTAGGAGAAACCGGTCATTGGGCGTTCGTGGACCTCCAAATTGCCGTTGGAGAGACGCTCTTTCGCGGGACTCGGCGAGGGAACGGGCGTCATTTGGATGCCTTCCTCCTCGACCCCGCTATTCTGAGAATAGACTGAAGAGCGGTAAGAGTTCATCGAGGTCCGCGGCGTTGGCCTGGTGCCGGCAGACGTCCGAGGCTCATCGAGGCCACGCTCGACATCTTTTTGGCCCTTTTTGGACGACTTTTTCCTCATGCCTTTGCATGCTCGATAAGTGGATACAATTGTCCGCGTGGTTGCCTTCTTCACCCTTCGCCAGGCGGACACGTTCTCCTCAGACACGTTGACATTGTCCCAATCCACCAGACGATGAACCGACGAGTTGTTCAGTTCATTGTCAAGCACGGTTCGCCGCCAGTCCTCAATGGCATCTTTGATCGCCGTCACAGTGAGAATAACAATAATGGGCACGGCACCGAGGCCGGGATTGGAAGCACCGAAAATGGAGAAAATCTATGTTTTCGCAAGATATGGTTAGTTCCGGGAGGCGTGGTGTATAGAGGTACGGGAAGAAAGACTGACCTGGAGGATCACAATGAACAAGAAATAAATATTAGCTATGTTGTGTAGTTGAAAGTACAAGTTCTTCGGGACGAAGCTGAGAGGCGTATATTTGGCCGTACGGATCTTGTTCCGCGAATACTGGATCGCGGGCCGGCCTTCGTCGTCTTTGGCGGAATCCGGGAGAGGAACGTTGAAGTAGATGGACCGTTGTTGACCTTCAGCTTCTTCATGTGACTCTTCTGTATCCTGATGATCAGGGCCATCCTCTTCTTCTGGAAATGAATCGGCATGCTGTTGCTGCTGTTGTCGCGCCCTCTTCTCGCGTACCGAACCTCGATGGAACCGGTCCATGATGGAGAGACGCTTCTTTCGCCCGCTTGGGCCAGAAACTCGTTGCGTCGCCCATCGTATCCGATTGACGGGATTCGTCACGTTAGTTGGCTCTGCGTATGGCTGAATGGTCATTGTGCAAATTGGGAGCGAGGCAATGAACGACAAGGTCCTTCACCCTTGAACCGGCGACGATTTCCAGAGCCAGGGAGAGTTACTAGCAAGTCGGCTGGCGCCGAGACTTGCACTCACAATCGATGGATCAAAAAGGTGTAAGTCGTCAATGGCATTCGTTCAAATTATTCAGCGGCTGCTGTCCTTGACGCAGAAGACGACGACAGATGTAATCTTTGTAACCTTGGAATCGGTCGGGTAGGACGGATGAGTGAGCATCCAAAGAGGAAAGGATCCGAGGATCAAAGAGCGATACCCGTCCGTGTCTCAGGAACAACTTGATTGCACGACGAGGTGTCGAAGAGCGCGACTGGTGTCGTAAAGATAGTTGAAATTCCCAAGATGTCAGTCACCAAAGGACGAGGGAACGGAGCGAAACAGTGACGAAAAAGACTCGCAGCGGCGACTGGGTGGGCGGCGAACTAGAAGGCTAAAGTGTTAACCATCCGGAATTAAGATTCGGGAATACCTGGATTGGTAAGGTTGATTAGGTACCCTTAGGAGAGATGGGCCCGCCACGAGCGACGCGAAGGCGTTTTCCCCCAGGATGGTGAGGAATGACTCGCGAGCAGTTGGTCAATTGACAGGGAAATCAATAATGATCTCGAGAGGCTTTAACAAATAACATAAAAGTGAGACTTTTAGGAGGAGAAGGGTAAAGATGGGTGAGATAATAGGAGGCGAGAGAATAGAAGACGAGTGTCCTGGTGTGCACAGAAGGGTACCAGGGCAGTCTGTCTACTGCGAAAGAGATACAAGAACTCCGCAAATGACGGGGTGGCCCCTACACAGCCAGGACACGCATGCAAGAGTAATCAATGCGCATCAAATCAACGCTTACCTACCAAACGCAGAGCAAAAGATGCCTCAGGTTGCGCGCCAAAAAGGGATCTGACAAATCCGACTTAGGGAGGTGGCAGTAACTTGGATGGTGCGGCGCGAAGTCTTTTTCTTTGCCCTTTTTTTCCCACTCGTTGCTCCTGGTGATTCCCCAGCCGTGAATATTCAACGGTACCTTGGGTACGTCAGGAGTACTTGCACCTCCCATTTCTGCGCTAGTCATCACCAAGTCACCCGCTAGTTGTGGACTAATTGTGAGCGAGAGGGACTTTAAAATTAGCAGGGCGACATGGATCTTCATCCGCTGCATCATCCATCTTCGTCAATAGAGTAATCAAACAAAGCGAATCAGTGCTCCGACCAGCCATTAGATGTGCAATAACTTAATAGTACCTAGATCAGACTCTTCTTTCTAATAGAAAGAGTTCATAGGTAGTTGGATACTCTAAGATTACAGAATTACAGTATCTTGATTCCTTGAATATCACAGTCTGTGGCGAGTACCGTGTTCATTCCTGCTCAAGTCAGCCCTAGCAAGGGCGGCCAAGAATTAACCTGGGCCATGCGCGCCACCGCTGAGCGAAGGTTTTGAGACTCCATCTCGGACTCGTGAACGTGGCCTTAAGCATGATTAGCCACTTGCTGATAAGCTTTACGACTTTTCATGGTTGCTCGGAATCTGCATCAGACTTGCATCTCAGTCGAAAAGAAGGATCTGACATGAGACAGGAGCCTTTCATCTTTTCTGTGGGGATGACTAACGGCGATTTTTATGCGTCTTGGGGATTAGTGATGTGCACCTTGGGGACACATCCCACTTCTTCAAGTACTGTCACCTCTAGATGATGACACTAAAGAGCAAAATGCGATCAAAGTTTGTCCAGAGCAAAGTAGAGGTACTTTTGATAAATTAGCGGAGCTTCGTCATCTTGGCGGGTTCGCCATACCCGCATTGAAGAAGGAACCCCAGCAACTTTTTTCATGGTCCGGCCGCCGCCGCTCTCGCCCCCCTCGTCGTCGCTGTCCGGTCGGCCGCTCGGTCGGCTTCGGGCAAGATTCGCATCCGAACATGCCGATATAATAGCGCATTATTATCTTTTTTCCTTGAGTCCTTCTGTTTCGGTACCAACCAGTGTCCGAAGCAGAATTTCATATGAGGTGCACGTGCAATGGCTTGGACAAGGGTCTTTTCTAGTCATCATTGCCCGGTCAGGGATGCTCCACTGCTGCTACTCTGGACTGCACTCGTAAAACACACAGACTCACCTTTGTTCAAGGCGTCAACCCACGGCTCATTCTGCACTGGACACAAGCAGATGAGGATAGACAATGTAGCCTCCAGGTTTCTTCTCGTGCTTCCATCATCGGTGAAGATTGTGGCAAATTCCATTGAAAGTAACAGTTCTGATGGCGTGAATTCCAACAACTTGATCAGTGGAAATGAAGCTGTAATTAGTACGGTCATATCCTCAGCATTCTATGCTCTTCTAGGCCCTCACGTAATTTTGAGGAAGACAGCGGATGCAAAAAGTGTTCTGTCTTTGGTATTCATCCCCATGCTGCCGCCTTTTAGCGTGCTGATGCCGATTTGTCCAGCAAAAGCACGTATCTTCCAACTCTGGAAACTGTTTATAATGAGTACCATTATTTATTCATAATTTGACACTCGTCGGAGACGGCATTGATAAAATCACAGCCTCTTCTACCGCGGCTTTGAGGTCGTTTGGATGTTTCTGAGATGATGTGTGTCCAATGTATCCGATTTCTAAGATATTTTTATACCACGAGGAATTGCCCACGAATGTTCGCCATCGAATACATTCAGGACCTGGAAAGCTACAAAACATCCTCCGAGTTGAACGATAATGGCATCGAGGAACAGTTAAGAGTTATGCCCGGTTAGGTCAGCTACAGCGGGAGAGCCTAGCATAGAAGCTTAATTGGAGACGCTTTTCCTTCCATTATACGCGAGCTCGCGTCCACCTCGCGTCTCGAACGTGCCCTGGTGTTCTGTCATGCCTAACATCATTTGGAAAGAGATATAATCAAGTTACCCACGGTGATGTCAAAGAATCGAAATATCACCGATTTTTTCAAAACTAAGAATGACGGACGCTCCAGGCGAGATCCGCAGGACACAAAGACAATATCGTCATTTGGGGAGAGATCCTCTTCCGGCGTGTCGTTTTCTCAAGATGCACCTTCAGCTTTAAACGGCACATTCCGAATGCCGCCTGTGGTAGAAGATGACTTTGAGCTAGAGAAGAGAAACGCTGTAAAGGAAGAGAAACTCTCATCTAATGGCCCGTTCTTTGCATCCCAATCTTCTGACTCCATGCCAAAACGAGAACATTCTCCCTCGTCTCAGATGGGCAGTATCCCACCGTCTCAAGAGCTGCCCTCTGATACGCAGACGAGGGGCATGCGGGGCGGCAAGGTCTTTGTGAAAAGTTCCGATGATGAGGACTCTGACTTGGAATCTCTTGAGGATATCGATAATATCCTCTCACGAAACAAAGACAAGCCTTTGGGAGTAAAAGAGGAGCAATCGCCAGCATTAAAAAGCCGGCTTCGATCTGGTGGCCTCAGATTCGGACGTGGCACCAATGATCACAGCCCAAGAATTATACCCAAATATAAGTTTTCTCTAGATTCTCTAGTCAGACAAACCGAAGAGGACCAGGTAACCGAGGCGAAAGTTGCCTCAGCAAGGGCCGCTATGGACTTGGCTTTTGCTTCTAAGCCAGCTGTTGCTGCAGTTGCTCGCCATGCAGGTGGCATAGACGAGAGTTTGCTTTATTCTCTGGTTAGTGAAGGAGGCGATGAGGGACACGTTGAGAGAGTTCTACATGCAATGGGCAGGACGGGAGCGCTGAATCGAGAGGCCGTGTGGTATTTCTTCGGCCCTAGAAATGCTTCACAACCTCTGGAATCACAGCCATTTCCCCAGACCGAATCACCGAACCGTTGGGAGGCTATTCTAAGGGGTAGGCTAAGTTTCGATATGTAGCACAAATGTTGAGGTTAATCATTGTCCAGATCCTACATCACGGCAGCAAGCATTTCTATCCGGATTTGCCCGAGAAATGGCCGTTTTGCGTGGTCTTTCGAACGAGGTCATCCTTTGGTTATTAAATGAGGGTAGGCAATTTTCTCATAAATTCTAAAATATTGCTAATCCTAAATTTTCTCAGTCTGTATAGAGCGGCGGGAAGACCTCAGGTATTCTTATGCAATGACGTTACAGGTCAGTATCTGGTTACGCTTATGGAATAATAAAGTACTGACAGAATTAGGCTTGCGGGGGTCAATTTTCAGCTGCTGTCGAGCCAGCGGCTATCAACGGTAGTCTCACAAAGCTTGAGGCTCTCGAAGATGCATTAGATTTAACCTGTCTCGCAGCCCCTTTTCACCGTCCAACAGGTGCGAATTTTCAATTTTTAATGACGAATTAGATGTAGGCTGACCATTTCAGCGGCGCCCGATCGTGACTTCTCACGGTTACATTCGTTGATAGAAATTTTCGGCGGGCTTTCAGAGAGGTACGATACACCCTTCCATAAACAGCAAAGCATTTACTCATTTTGAGTCAGCCTATCACTAGAACTGCGCAAGCATACTCTATGTCTATTGTTTCGCTTGACACTCGATTCAAACGTAGCATATGACTGTAACATCCTCTCAATAATATCAGATGCAATTGTTCTTCTCTTCGACGATGCGCCAGACCACGAAGCGGGCGATCTTGTAAGTCAGCAACATTTATGATTCCCATATAACACTATTGTTTACATTCAAAAGCTGGTTTGCGTCGGCAACACTGTGATGGGATTTGTTCGAGATCCATCACTCCGCTTCCAATTGCTCGACGCCATACCCAACTCATCACCGAGGGTCAATCTCTTCCGCCGACGACTTGCGTTCGCCTTCTTCTTTGAAGATTCGAGCTATCTGAACAGAAACCGAGACGACATTTTCCAGATACCGGAGGTGATCAAGCATTTGGATACTGCAGCTTTCACCATCAATCGAGGAACCGACTACGTGCAGCTCTCTGCTCTCATTTCAATTCTCAACATCGGTATAGACCGAGGCGTTTCCGCGCCGGCATTGTCAAGCAAAGAGCAAGAGAGAACGTTCAATGCCGATGTGGATGCGCTCGCAGCAAAGATCAAATTCATGTTTAGCAGCATTGTGGATGCCGGTGCTACGAACATGACGAGAACAATAGCAAAGGAGATACTCGAGCGACTGCACTACCGTCTCAGTTATTCCGTTCGTACCAGACCAAAACCGAAAAAGAGTATCTTTGGTGCTGTCATTGATGACGACGGCGATTCGCCAGGCGGAGGGCAGGCAAACTTCATGTCGCGATTCTTGCAGCAGCGGCAAGTAACGGACGCCGCGCAAGAGAATTGAACATATATGCATAGACAGCGGGGATGATATCTTTTATATTTGCCATTTGCCATTTCGCGGGGAAGGGATATTTTGGAAGCAGCAAAAGCACGTGCACTTTTTCAGTTACTTTTTTTTTTTTTGAATATGATACCAGATATGTTTGCATGGATACTATTACAGATTCTACAGAGCGCGCTGGAATACAATCAAGAATGTACAGAGCAAGCAAGCAAGAATGAGAGGGCGCCGAAGCGCGAAACAAACTTTGTCGTCGCACTTGCGGGTGATGTCTGAATAACCTCAGTAAATGATATGTTGAGAAAATGCTTCCGACAAACAAGGCAATGCGAGATGTAACATACGGGTATGAGCGGCATGGGATTTAGTCGTAGAATTTGCGGTTTTCGTTCTTGCCAAAGAGAGTAGTCCGCACAGCGGGCAGAGCGTCGGACTCGAGAAGCTTTAGTCGCTCCTCGAAAGTGTTGTTGATGTCAATCTTGCCGTTACCTCCGACAATGGTAACACCACCGGCGCTAATTCTCAATCAGCCTTTATTGCTTCCGTCTTTCACCGTTGAATTACAAGCCCACGGGAAGAAAAAATAAAAGAGTAATGAAGTAAAATGCTTACCTTCCATCCGGCAGAGGGTTCTTCTCGTCAACCGTAACCGTAACCTCCTTGCCGACATTCTCCTTGAACTCCTTGGCGGCCTCGTCCAGGGCCTTTTTGACGACATCGTAATCGGCCGGCTTGGCCCGCACCTGGACCTTTTGCTCGTTCAACGCATACAGGCCCTCGAGAGTCAAGTTCTTGAGAATCTCCTGGTACTTGGACTTGTCCTCGGTATATCCCTCGAGCTTCTTGTTTGCCTGGTCAAACAGGTCGTTTAGCAGCTCCTGGCGCGCAGTCAGGATCTTTAGCCGCGACTTGTTCGCAACGGTCGAGCGGGTGATTTGCTGCGACATGGCGGCCTGCTTGAACTTCTTCTCGTACTGAGTGTCGATCGAGGAGGTTTCCTGGCGGACGAGCTTCGACTTTTCAATGGCGAATTCCTCATCGGCTTTGATCTCGATCTCGCGGGCTTTCTCAATGGCTTCTTGCTTGATGAAGGCCGTCATCTTCTTCAACTCCCCTGCCACCTGTATAGTTTTGCGTCAAGCATCATGTTAGTGATATCTGGCTTTTACAAGTAATGTCTGAGATCGTGGACGGAAAGACGAATAGCTGTAGAGAGACAAGCTGCGGAACATGAAAAAGAGGTGTATAGCTGTCGTAGAGCAGCCATATCAGGGCATGATGATAGCGATGTGCTGAGGTCGTACCTGGTCATCGGACAATGCGTGTGCCTGCGACATGTTGGGCAACTTGTCTAGTAGCTGGAACCGCCTCTGGAGAATATGGAGAGGTGGTGGTAAAAGGGTTGTTTTTCTGGGAGAGGGGCAAGGCGGAGAGGTGCTGGCAGAGATGTGGGCTACAGGATGATGTCGATTTGGATGATACTCGTCTTGTCGTTGTATCGCGACATTCATTCGCTTAGGGGACAGCAGCATGGTAGCTGCTGAAGGTACTTGTAATCGCACACTAGATACTTGATATACGAAGTACCGCTGATAAAGATGGCGCTTGACTGATACCTTTACATTTACACTCTTCACAGGTAAACACTTTTATTCTGGAGCTTCACGTCACTTGTCAAGTTCAATGTGAAATTTTGCTCTCTGTATTATGAGGAATAATATCCCCATGTATTGTGTCAGCCCCAAATGCATCATTTACACGAACCCACATGATCCTACATCCGTCTTTTCCAATGTTACTGACCGACTCCGGATGATAGCCAGGTAGCCATCCATGACACGAATCGAGGCCGCAAGCGAAGCGAGATATTGGGATGAAGTCAGCTGTTGGTTGGTTCTCATTAGTCCAGATCCAGAACCCGCAATCTGTAACCGCAGGGGGAAGAGACCACGAACGGAAGAGGGTTGAGTGGGCTCTACACACGTAACGATCATAATAACAACATTTGGCTACTTTGCCCAATTTCTCATTTTCTTTTTTTCTTACCTATTCTTTCTCATCATTTTCAACAAAGCTGCTCAAACCTCGCATCCCTGCGTCATGTCTCGGTGTATCTCAACATAACAGCTACATGATCGCAGCATGCCCATACCAGTTGGATAACCTCGTCTGTTCCCGGTATCCTGCGCAGGTAACGTCGTCTCGAGGAGCGGTGAAGCAACGGAAATTTCCTCGGCGTGCTGCCCGCGTTCTACAATCATCATGGGCCAACTCGGAGATCTGTCGCCCAATGCCAGCGTTGCTGTACGTTACTACGTCAACGACCCAGCGGAGTTTGGGTGATACCTTTACGTTCAATACTAACTCAACGACGAATCGCAGGTCGGCGTCATCGTGGGCTTAATCTCAACCAGCGTACAGAGTCTGGGCTTGACATTACAGCGGAAAAGCCATATACTAGAAGATGAAAAGGCGCCGGACATTACACGTCGACCGCCCCATCGTCGGAGAAGATGGCAGGTATGTTTACCGCGGCGAACTTCCGCGCGGCAGAATGGAAGAACTAACATAAGGGGAAATGACAGCTCGGCATGCTCATGTTTATAATTTCGAACCTTCTTGGAAGCTCTATCCAAATAACAACATTACCACTGCCTGTCCTTTCTACGCTTCAAGCGGTACGTCCAACCCAAGACGTGGCAAAACGGGGTGATATCAAAGAGGGAGGAGTACTGACGGAGGAGCATATAGTCCGGGCTCGTATTCAATTCGATATGTGCGACTTTGATACTCGGAGAACCCTTTACGCGGTGGTCGTTGGTGGGAACAGTATTGGTTTGCGCGGGCGCAGTGTTGATTGCCACGTTTGGTGCGATTGCAGAACCGGCGCATACTTTGGATCAACTTTTGGCGCTTTTGGGCCAGAGACAGTTTGTGCTCTGGATGGTTGGACAGGCAATTTTGGTTGTTTTGATTATTATCGGTGCCAGATGCCTCCAATTACTTCACCCTCGTGCCCATAGCAGTGCGCGAATGCGTCTTGCCAGGGGAATGTCCTATGGCGCGATCAGCGGGATCCTCTCCGCGCATTGCCTTCTTTTGGCAAAATCAGCAGTCGAACTGCTAGTCCGCACTGTGGTCGACCGCAGTAACCAGTTTAACCGGTGGCAGTCGTGGGTCATTCTTGTGGGATTGGTTGTACTCGCACTGACCCAGCTCTACTATCTTCACTGCGGCTTGAAGCTTTGTTCTACCAGCGTTCTATACCCTTTTGTTTTCTGCATTTACAACATTATTGCCATTCTGGATGGCCTCATCTATTTCCGGCAGGTGTCGAGTTTGGGCGCATTGAAAGGGTCTCTTGTAAGTTGTCGCGGCACCTCTGGCTGATATATTAATCCTAACGCTTCTCAGATTGCTCTTGGCACTGTCATTCTCCTCTCTGGCGTTCTTGCCCTTTCATGGCGTCTCAGCGATGAGTCAGTTACCAAACCGCCCGTGGCACACTCTGCTCTCGGCCCCGGTCTCGGCTTTGTCGAAGAAGCTCCAGAGGGCGTCTCGCTCTACGACGATTACGATGACGACTCTGATCACGATTATACACCCTATCTAGAGGACGAAGAGGCCGCCATTGCCGTCCGCGAAGGCGAAAGACAGCCCCTCCTCGTGCGACGCAAACGTCAGCAAAGCCACCAGCACGGCACCATGGATCCTACTGCCAGAGACGATCGCATTCTAAGCGCAACGCGTCTGGGCAGACAGGGACTAGCTGAAGCCGCTGAAATCTGGGATGAACTCGACGACCAGGACGACAGTCTATTCCGCCGCCGTCATCAACTCCAACATGCCCGTACATCATACACCTATAACCCTCGCGCCAATACAGCCAATGCGCGTGCGCGTGCAATGAGCACACCTACGAAATTATTTCTCCGCCGCTCGTCACGACCAACACATGGCGCCGCCTCCAACGAAGCTCACGCCAGAAACCATCGTCTTCTCTCCTCCAAGGGAAACCTACGAATCAATACCGCAGATATCGACGACTCATCATTGACCTCTCCTGAACTGTCCCCGTCTCCTCTGTTCCATTCCAAAAACGACCCTAGTACAGTGACTCGTCGCCGCAGCTTACAATACCGCAACGAACATGCACTGCGCCATGACGATGCTCAACAAGACTCGGATACCTCACGCCGCTTAAGCTACTCATCTTCGTCAAACCTACCGTCAGACGTACATCATCACCCCGCTCCCACTGCCCGCCCTCTTTCCCGTTCTGCTAGCACGCCTGTCCACCGTCCCCCACCGTTATCAGATGCTGAATACGATGCTCATGACCACGAGGACCAATCGAGTCCCACCGCGCCCGACACCCCGTCGGCATCGACAGGCGAATGGTGGAAAATGATGCGTCTCTGGCCCCGCGCCATTGGCGCCTCGGCAGCAGCAAGCATCTCTGGTAGTATCCGCAGTAGCAGGAGCAAGAATAAGGATAAGGATAAAGCGCGCAGGACACGGAATCCGTCTGGTCCAGACGAAAATGTAAATGATCAGTAGCCATTATTTTTCTTTTTTTTTTTTTTTTGTTTTCTTCAATCATTCCTTCCCTTCCTTCCCTTCTTCTTTTTTCTTCTTCTTTTCTTGGGGGGAAGGGGGGTGTTTCTTCCGTTCTCTTTTCCCCGCGCTCCCCTTTCTTTCCCTTGCCCATTCCAAACTTTTCTGTTTACTGTGTTGAATTAAGCATCTGGGGTTACTACGGTAAAGAAATGGCATTGGCGTTATACATATGCTCGAGAGAGTAGTGTCGTCATTCATCATTCATCCGAATTTCATCCATTCAGTTTATTTCAATTCAAGTCACCACTTCCGCATGATAGATTCGATGATATGCATTTTTTGGACTTGGTCAGAAATAGAATGAAAATAAACCCCCATATGTATATATGCCCGCCCCTTCCCCCCCTCCCCTACCCCCTCCACCGCCACCGCCCCGCCATCCACTTGACAGCATACACCAGCCCCACCAGCACAGGCACTTCGACCAGCGGCCCCACCGTCGCCGCCAGCGCCTGGTCACTGTCCGGCCCAAACGTCGCGACTGCCACCGCAATCGCCAATTCAAAATTATTGCTCGCTGCCGTGAAACTCTGCGCGGTTGCGAGCCCGTATCCGAACCCCAATAGCCTGTACGTGACGAAGAGCGTGGCGGAGAAGATGGTAGCGAAATACACAACCAGCGGCGCGGCGACGCGTAGGACGGACACGATTTGGTGGTGCACAATCTGCGCGCCTTGAGAGGCGAAGAGCACGAGGATGGTGAAGAGCAGGCCGAGCAGAGAGAGCGGGCTGAGAGTGGGGAGGAAGGTTGTGTCGTACCATTCGTGCCATTCGGACTGTTTTGTTTGGCTGGCGTGGTTTGAGCATCTCGACTGACTTGCGCGTTCTTCGTCTCTTTCGTATGGCACGTCTGCGGTGGCGCCTGTAGTGGTAGGAGAGGTTGGAATGGTGGTGGTAGTGGTAGGAGGAGTAGAGTGAGTAGTTGGAGTAGTAAGGGTGGGAGGAAAAGGAGGAGGAGGAGGAGTAGTGGTAGGAGGAAAAGGAGGAAGGGGAGGAGTAGTAGGAGGAGTAGGCCAAAAACTCCAAGAAATCCAGGCACCTCGAAGCAAATAGCGCGTGAGAATCGCAGCAGCCAAAGGGATGCCGAGAAAGACAGCGACGCTTTTGGCGGCGGTGGAGTAGTCGAAGTTTGCGCTGAATGAGGAGTCGTCTTCACCACAGCTGTCAGCTCCAGCCACGCAGCCATCGCTGATGACTTGGATAAAAAAGACGCCCATGGGAGCGAACAAGACCATTTGAAGAAAAGAGTTGATGGCCACGAGGATGGCGCAGTATTCAGTGTCGCCGCCTGCGAGGCCGGTCCATGTGAGAACCTAACATTGTGAGAAATGTGAGCTGCTTTGTGCAAAAACATATTTAAAAAAAAAAAAAAAAAAAAAAAAAAAAAAAAAAAAAAGGAAAGGAAAGAAAGAAAAGAAAAGAGAGAATATCAGATATTAAGGTGACGCTTCTTAACTTACCATGGCAATACATCGTGCGAGTCCGACAAGAGTCAAACCCTGTCGCAACTCTGGCTTGTCGGGCAAAAAGGCCCATGCCAATGCCAACTGTATATTTCGTCAGCCTTTTCTTTCGACGTTGGGGTATTCTGCCTAACAGGTCGCATGAGGCTGTCACCTATGGGCGATAATGAAATGATAAACACAAAGCATAGCCTGCTATGAAAAACACACGATTGACATCATAACAAATATACCATGAAGAATAGACGATGATAAACATAAACATACCATGAAGAACGGAGCAATGATCCAATTCACAAACATGCTAAAAGCAATCTGTATCCAAATTTGCCGGGTTCGAAACATGTGATGCAGACTCTCATATCGGACCTTGCACAGGATAGGATACATCATGACGAGCAGACCAATTGCTATTGCCAGTTCGCACACAATATTAGCAAACCCCTATTTGCAAAATTGTATCTGAGATGAATGCGTCCAGAAGACCAGGATTCTTACCAATTGGAATCGAAACTCCCACGAATTTCCCCTTTTGCAACGCCCGTCCCGTGCCGGGGACAAAGTTGCCGAGAATAATCCCAATTGCCATGGCGAGGAATATCCATATCACGAGGAACCGGTCCAGGATCCCGAGATTCTTGAATGCGGATTGTTTTTCGTCAAAGGCCGAATCGAGCCTGTCCGAGTTTGATTGATTCGGGTCTTCTTTCTTTTCCTGCGTTTCTACAGCGCAGGCCGGTACGGGGATTAGTTTGGCAGATTCAGATGGTGTTTTGGGATGAGCCTGGATAGTTTCTGCCGATGCCATGGCTATATAACCTGTACAAAAATATGATCTTGATTATAAATATAATTCGAGAACGGAAAACCCTGGACAACAAGATTTGAAATTGATTCACAGTCTATTGGCGCTGTTGGACCAAAAAAAAGAATGAATTTAGAAATGCATCGAGGTCATAATGTAAGTTAGCTGCTGAAGCTATGTTGATTGAAAATTCCAGTATTGTATTTGGCAATCCAAGTGCGAATGCAAAAGCCGGACAGCGTTAAGCAATCCATATTGGGATTTTCTGTCTTTTATGGTGCCTAACATTTCGAGAAAAGTTGGCTTGATGGCGGAAGAAACCCCAGTGGTATGTCATTGATAGATGATGATTGGGTGAGAGTCGGGGCGTAAACACCACTGGCATGTCCTCTGGTCCTCGATGGGGAGAAACTTAAAGTTCGGACACTAAATGCCATGACTTGTTCCTTCTAGCCAATCAGGACATGGGAGTGACATACCGAAGTTCTCTCCAGATGCAACTGAACTTGTATTGCTGCTCCAGAATTCAGAATACATAGCATCAAGGTCGATAGGCAGAGCGTGTTGTGGCATGCATATTGACCCAGAGATAAATATGTCTTCTAAACCTTCTGTCAAGGCAAAGAATCCAAAGAACAAGACAAATACTCGTAGGAATACAGAGGTTAGTAAACCACTTTACAAGGCATGACAGCACGGTTCTTGATCCATATTTTATATCAATTGCTAGGCTTATCTGCCTGTATCAATTGGATAGACTAACAGTGCTTTAAGACCGAAAAAGTAGTATCCTTGTCACCACTGTCATCGCAACAGTCGCAATCGTCGACATCCTCGACATCCTCGACGACACGAGTCCGTGATAACCAACGCCGCTCTCGTGCGCGGCGCAAAGAATACATTCATGAACTCGAGCAGCGATTGCAAAAATTTGAAAGAGCCGGAGTGAAAGCGACGCAGGAACTCCAGGCAGCCGCAAGGCAAGTTGCAGTCGAGAATGCGCTTCTGCGGTCGCTGCTGGAAGAGCTTGGTGTTGCAGGGAAAGGTGTAGAAAACTACCTGAAATCGCATAGAGACACGAATACAGCAAACACTGGCCCTATGCAACTTCAGCATCCGCCGAAGTTTTCTTTATCAAGTTCAGCAAGGTTAGCAGATCATCATTCAGCGACTCATCTTCCTTCAACTGCCGCACCTTCTGCTCAGATGGAAGTCTCACAACCAATGCATTTCTGGGGTTTGCAAACAATATCAACTAGGACAACGACTCAAAGTGACCATATAGTGCACCAAAACCGCAGTTCTTCTTCAGTGTGCTCGCTGCCAAAGGGAATTAACCAATGTTACCGCCATACAAAGAACTCATTACATGAGATTGGGGTTGGCAGAGTTGACTCATCGCTATCAGATCATCCAGCAGTGGAGACACATAGAGACGTTATCAATGGCCAAACATTAGGTGCAGAGCAGCATGTGGCTCCTGAGCCTGTCATTTCTGATGCCGCCGAAGCAAGCGGCCAAGATACAGGCCAATATATGCCCTGTGAGGCTGCGGCTAGAATCATCACGACTATGCGGGGCGACCGAGCAGAGCAGGATGTGCGGTCTGAACTAGGGTGCCATTCACCAGATTCCGACTGCATGGTTAGGAACATGGATATTTTTGAATTGTTAGATAAACGATAGATGTGAGAATGCACTTTTGATATCATTTTGCCGTGTTCTTTGTTGCTCCTTTCACGGGTATAGTGAACAGGGTGTGGGCTGTTGCCATCGAGTGCTTCGCAAGATGAAATGCAACATCATCCCGCTCGAGCCTCTCCTGCTAAAGTATACGTTCCAGATTATATCTCGTGTGAGGAAAAAGAAGGACAGAAAATTCAAATAGGATTTTTTTTAGAATAACAAAACAGGAGGAAAGAAAAGAGAGTAGAGACTATAATACAAGATACAATCTTCCATCCATCGCTAATCCTTCTCATCATCATCCCAGCATCTCAGCAGTCATTAAAATATGCCCTGCCCAACCCTATCGTGGCCCTCACGCTCGTCCCCGCGCGATCCCGTCCCAGGTCATCCAGCTCGTACCATTAAACAGTAAAGAAACGTAAAACTGGAAAAGGAAATAAAAAAAAAAGAAGAGCATGAGGGAATAGCGGACAAGAGAGACTACCTGCGCCGAGATAAGGAGCAAGGAGCAAGAGGCACAACACGTCTCAGACCAGACCAGATTGTTACGAACAAACGTCACAGGTTGGTGGTTGTAGTGCCGAAAGCCCACTGCCATTTGGTAATCCACTTTTGAAGAATGTCGACGAGGCTGGAGATGATAACAAAGAGAATCTTTCCTTTGGGATATTTAAATACCAAAGAGCAAACAGACAAGGAAAAAGAGGGTAATAACAAAACGAGAAAAGCAGGTACGAAACCATAACGAGAAAAAACGCAAAACAAACAGACGCAAAAATCAACCAGACCGACAAATTCGCACCAAACACCGAGCCAGTCGTCGACGAGTCATAATGAACACGAAATGAGATCCATTTCTGCAGACCCAAACCCTTTTTGATTTCCCCAAAAGGCCCAGAGGCAGACAGCGCCCTCAAAGAGTCAACCACACGAGGGAACACGACAAGAGGAACAAGGAAACAGGGTTTTTTCGGGTTTTGATGATTAAGTTTGTTTTTTCTTGGAGTTGGAATCACTTCCTCCTCCAAAGTGGGGGATTTTAAATATGAGAAAAGAGGCTGGCAGGCACGGTCGGGCTGGGAGGGGAGCGAGTGGGGTATCAAACGAGTGTTTGTTGAATAGTTTGTCGTACCACATTCCGTGACCGCGTGAAAACAAAAGCCATCTTGATCAGCATTTTTGATAGAAGAATTAAAAAAAAAAAAACTCCCGGTGACCTCAAAGTTCATTCGCATGCGCGTCCCTCACGCGTCCTCCTCAGGTTGCCGCCTTTGGCTTATGCCTGGGGAGGGTGCTGCGGGGGCATGCGAGCTTGAGGCGGCAGAGGGTACTGTCCGCTGGCAGCCGCTGCTTGTGACTGCGATGCCATATACTGCTGATATGCGAGTTGTTGCTGCTGATCGGCAGTCATATAGGCGGGATGCATTCCGGCGCGAGGGGGCATGCCTGGCTGAGGCGGAGGAACCTGCGCATGCGCAGCGGCCGCAGCGGCTTCTTCGGGCGACTCCACGGCCGAGTCGACCTCGCCATTTTCGGTGCCCGTGGCCGGCTCAGGTGCGTTCAAGCAAGCCTGTGAATCGCGTCAGTGGAAGAAGGACGGAAAAGGGAAAAGATGAAAATAGAATAAAAATATGGAGATCGCGTTCAAGTCAGTGTCCACTCAGCGCCGGTCATCTTACCTGAATGAGATTCTTTCCCTCAGCCTTGGTGACAAGAGGCTGAAGCTTGGGCGTCGTAAAGGTATAGACGAGACCAGTCTCGGACACGACGAGCAGCAGCACCTGCGTGCCTGTGAGCACCGAGAGCTCATAAGCCTGTAATCGCGTTCGTATTCGCGTCAGCAACGATTCTCAAGTGCTAGAAGTCAATGATGAATGAGAGATGATAGGTGGTAAGGACGTGATGGCGCGTCGGGTGGCGCGACGTCAAGGGAAAAAATTTCTTCAACTCACCTTTTTCATAATACCAGCTTTTCGTTTGGAAAAGGTAATGTGCCGTCGCGATTTGTCCTGGATAAATTTGATTTCAATCTTTCTTCTTTCGCGACCAGGCTTGTCCTCGTCGTCATCGTCATCGTCGGCGGTGCTAGGTCGAGGGCGTTTGGCGCCGCGACTCTGCTCGCCGCCGGCGACGGGCGCGTTGGCGTTGCCATTGCCATTGTTGGCGGGCGCAGCACCGGCCGTCAGCGACTCATCGTTTTGAGTGGGCGAGGCAGGTTGTTCGTGCTCGGGCATCTCAGCCATGATGGTTGATCGGATGGGATGGTGAATGGGATGCTCAAAAGGGTATTCTGTTTGAGGGTTGCGGCTCTCTAACTCTTTGCGGGCGTCGCGAAGAGCGTGTGGGGAGGTGTTTCCTCTTTCTGGCGGGAGGTTAGGTCGGGAAAACCTTTTTGAGGCTAGGTTGCCGTGGGACAATTGGGGCTTGTGCGTGACCGAAGGCCAAACTGATTGTTGTTTCGAGGTCGTTCGGGAAAGAAGCTGGGAGCAATGCAGCTCAATCCTAAAAGGGAGCGACGTATGAGATTAATGATTGATCAGGCAAAGTGAGCGAACAAGAAAATTGGGGCTGGGGGGGTGGGAGGCGGGCCTGAGAAATGCAAGGAAATTGCGAAGGGTTTAGGACGAACGCACGCACTCATACAAAACCGTGCTCGGAGGGTAAAAGAAAGGGAAAGGCGCGAGACTGGGGGGTTGGGGTCTTGGTGGGTTTGTGGGTTTGCGTGTTGCGCGGATGGGGGTGGTAAGTAAGAGCGAGAACGGCAAGACGGGGTGGAGGTGTGTAGGGAAAGTGGTAGCTGACGAGTACCGTAGTACTCGAATCAGTCGTTCATTCTCCGCCTCGTATGGGAAGAAAAGTTGTGTGAGCAAGAGCTTGGGTAAAGTGGATCATTGAGGACAAAAGAGCAGTTGGGGCGCGTTAGCCCCTTTCCAAAAGCGGAAGTGGTAGGGTTCCACTCCAACGAATGCCCTCGACCGATTGGTCTAGCGACGACATTCTGACGCAAGCTGCCACTCCCCGAACCGGCTAGGATAGCTCCTTTGACTGGTGTGCGCCGAACGACTGCCTGAACGCACATCCAGCTCCATCAATTCGACGACGATCATTCGGTCCTTGCGACACCAATGGTGCCCCCGTAATCGAGCATGGAGACCCATCGACCCTAAAAGGTAGGGCTGGGGAAGCTCATCCACCATCGGATTTGGATACAAGCTCTTGTCGTGCCGCCAATGGAACGTGTAAAATTTGCCCAAAATGGAAAGAGCAAGGGGCAATAGAGAGCATGCGGAAAGATGTAACAAGAAAGATACAAAAAAAAGTACGATCGACCTGGGCAACGACAAACGGATAATGAGGGTAAACAAGCTGAAAGCGGTAGTTTGATGTCTGTGTGAGGCGTAGAGGAGAAGATGCAAGGACGAAAGCCGCTTTTCCCGATCGGCTGAGACGATCAGGAACAAAGGGTATGTGATACGGGAACAGCCAGAGCAAGAGCTTTCAAACATGTACGAAATAATAATTCAAAGAATAATGATTTGCATAGTTCAGTACATAGCTGAAAACAGGAAAAGGCTTCGACACTTACCTGTGTCGGATGGGAAGTGAATAAGGTCGGATAAATGACTGGAAACGGGTAGGTCGCTGGAGTTTAATATAGGTAGTTACTCGAGAGACTTTTCAATAATGTTCGTCTCTTTCTCTGTGGATTTTGATCAAACACGGCAGGTCGCGACTATCGTGCGCGCACGGTACCTGTTGTGGTAGTGCGATGGTCAAGACGCGTCTCGTCAAGGGTGAGACTCGCTCCTCTCCACCGGGGTAACAACCACAGCGACAGAAGAAAAGTAATAATCACACTCAATTGAGTATGGAGCCAGTGGATTGAACCTGATCAACCCTTTTGATTTCGTGGGTCAGGGCTAATTGTGAAGATTCAATGGTGATGATGATACTGAGTTTGAGTGCTCGAGTTGATGGCCCAACAAGGTAAGAAGTGGGTAGAAAGAAGAGGTCACTCTGTATTTGTTCCAAAGTAGAAAAAGGCAACACGAATGAGGCAAAGTGGACAAAGCAAAAGAGGGAAAATGGGGGAAGAGCTTCGCCTTTAAGAGGAATGGGCTGTCTTCGCTTTACGTCGTCCCTCGGCTCCCCACAAGCGAGTAAGACTTAAGCGAACTCCAGCGATCACTTTGCGTACTTGCAGTGATGTTCTCCAATACTTGAACCTTCACTTGTACGAGAGCCGTTCCAGCGTGCATCGCTAATGGCAGACTCACCATTGACAAGGTATCGGCTCAAAAGGACTAATTACATCAGAGGAGTGCTCTGTCTTTGCAGTGAATGGCATCAAGGAATTAGTGATGTCAAGGAGAATTCGTGAGCTTTTCATTCAGTGTGATGTATTAGTGAATCTAATTAATGAAATGTATCATATCAAGCTCTACTCAATTACTCGTCTCTAAATTTTATATTTTTTGATGAAACATCGAAAATTTTATCGATAGTACGAGTATGATCATTGGAATGAAAGGGTAGGTTCGAAGCCCCTACAAGCCGAATATTTTCTGTATTAGCACGGGGACAATGGAAGTTAGCTCCTGTTCAATTTGGGCTATGTAAAATAGGTGAGAGTCTAAGCGCCGATAGTAATGCCTTTTGTTGATTTCCATCTTTATCGTACTGTACAGACCTGCAGAGCATGCAAACAGTCATATATTTCATCTTCCAGTTCTCATGCTGAGTGTCAAACTACTGATGATCACATTGGTATTTTCGGACCTCAATGTCCGCATACAGCAGCCTTGACGTTTTTGAGAGCACCATTCTTCAGCCCCATATGGCTAACACTTGCAGAAACGGATGCATGCTCTTTTCTAGCCTCAAGCACGTGTTGGTTTTGAGGTACAGCAGCAAATGTTATCATTTTTCATCATTACTCAAGGCGTTGGTCCTGACCAAAGCTCACAATTACTGCAATACTGACGACTTACAGAGTAGGGCGCCTGAAATTGTCGACGCGACTGGTTTAGCGCGCGCGGGGAAGGCATGTGATGGACTAAAACGGATTGGGGCATGAATCGGAGCCCATGGAACGAAGTTCGGAGTACCCCTCACCTATCATCCCCCCTTGTCAACATGATTGTTGATGATGATGACTATGATGCAGTTGGCCACCATGAGCGATTGGCTTTTCAGTGCGGATGACTTCTAGCCTTACTCTTGCCGCCTCTCTCTTGCTTCCCCTCGACCTGCGCGTTGCCGTCCCTTTTAAGCTTCTCCCCAGAGGGAACTCCCCTAACCCCCCGTGATTGCCCGGACGGCTACCGAGGTTCGCTGCCGACCTCGGACATGTGGAAAGACTGGAGCTCGGAATGATCTTCCTCGCTTTGATATGCTAAGTTACTTGGAAGAAAAATGAAAAGGTGGAAATGTTGAATGAAAAGTTATCTAAACAGGGTCTACGCATTGTGTCGCTTCTATTGAGATAGCTTGCTAGAGTACATTTAAGACTATGCTATGCATGTCCTACTAATGATGAATAGAGCTCTTCAGGGATCCGTCAGATTTGCTGCAGATGTCGTTGAAGTGTAGCAATTTGCGCCCAGGAGCCGAGAGAGCTTGTGATTCTGGTTCTCTAAACATCTTTTTCAACTGACAATGTTTGTCTCAAGAGGTACCGTACCCCTAGGGTTTGTGTTTTCTTCGTTGGTGACCTTCTCTGCTCGTGCAATGGCCGGCTATAGGCGATGGCCGATTCGGCACTGGTAACTATCTCGACCGAGGGACCCTTTTCCATTAGACCTTTCCCCACATCCAGTCTCATATCAACCGCTAAATTCTTGCCCTCCGCCCGAAGCATGCTCGTCTCAAAAACAGTCCTTTCGCTTCTATCCTGCTGTTCTTCATTGATACAATTCTCCTTCATATTTCTTCAAAATTGTCCATATCCTCCTTGACAGCGCTTCAAATTTAATCAATTGATTCTCGTACGTCATAGCTATTCCGTGCGACCCTCCCTTGTTTATCCCCAAGCTGCCCTATTGCTGACCTTATTTTACATAGCTGTATAGATACCCAAAGTGATACAGAATACACATTTATAATTCAAAATTTTCTGAACAATAAATTTGTCGTCACAATGGCAAGCGTTGATGCTCTCCTCAAGGATGTCAACATCCAAGGAAAACTCAATGAGAAGACCAAGACCATCTTGAGCAAGGAAGCCACCGCTTTCCTTGCACTCTTGCACCGAACCTTTAACCCTACTCGCAAAGCGCTTCTCAAACGCCGCGAAGCCCGGCAAGCGGAGTTGGACAAGGGAGCCTTGCCCGACTTTTTGCCCGAGACGAAACACATCCGTGAAGATGCGGGTTGGAAGGGAGCTCCTCCGGCCCCTGGACTTGTGGATCGCCGAGTCGAAATTACCGGTCCTACTGACCGCAAAATGGTCGTCAATGCGCTGAATTCCAATGTTTGGACTTATATGGCTGATTTCGAAGGTAAAGATATAATATCATGACACTATGCGAGTTAACAGTACTGATTCTCAAACAAACAATAGACTCCAGCGCACCGACTTGGGATAATATGATTAACGGACAAGTCAACCTCTATGATGCAATCCGTAAACAAATCGACTTTAAGCAAGGCGAGAAGGACTACAAGTTGCGAACCGACCGCACGCTACCAACCTTGATCGTACGTCCTCGTGGATGGCACCTCGAGGAGAAGCATTTCACCGTGGGTGGTGAACCCATATCGGGTAGTTTGTTTGACTTTGGTCTCTACTTCTTCCACAATGCTCGCGAACTTATCAAGCGGGGCACTGGACCCTACTTTTACTTGCCAAAGATGGAATCTCATTTAGAAGCACGTCTTTGGAATGACGTGTTTAATGTTGCGCAAGATTACATTGCCATGCCTCGGGGAACCATCCGGGGCACGGTTCTGATTGAGACCATTCTGGCGGCATTTGAGATGGACGAGGTGGGTTGACCGGACCATCGCGGCGAAGGACAAAACCTAATTGGTTATAGATTATTTACGAACTCCGTGACCATTCGTCTGGTCTCAACTGCGGTCGATGGGACTACATCTTCAGTGTGATCAAGAAATTCCGGCAGAACCCCAATTTTGTGTTACCTGACAGGTCCGCGGTAACGATGACGGTGCCTTTCATGGATGCTTACGTCAAGCTGCTCATCAAGACCTGTCACCGACGAAGCGTGCATGCCATGGTATGTTGGAATTCTCCCGTAATTCTCATGGGTTTCGATTATTAATGGCCACTTTTAGGGTGGCATGGCTGCTCAGATTCCCATCAAGGACAACAAGGAGGCCAACGATGCGGCCATGAAGAACGTTTATGCTGACAAGCTCCGGGAGGCGACTGCTGGCCACGACGGCACCTGGGTTGCGCACCCTGCTCTCGCCAGTATTGCGATCGAAGTGTTCAACAAGCACATGCCCACACCCAATCAGATGTTCGTCCGCCGTGAGGAGGTCAATATCACTCAGAAAGACCTTTTGAATATGAATTTCCCTGGAAAGATTACCGAAGAGGGCATTCGAAAGAATCTGAACATTGGTCTTGGTTATATGGAGGGCTGGTTGCGTGGCGTTGGCTGTGTTCCTATCAACTACCTCATGGTAAAAATAGCCACTTCACCTATGATTTGATCCATGTCGTCACGCTTCATATGGTTGCTAATTTGCACATTTGTATCAATAGGAAGACGCTGCTACCGCAGAAGTCAGCCGCAGTCAGCTGTGGCAATGGTGCCGTCATGGCATTACCACCGCTGACGGCAAGAAGGTTGACAAGGCTTATGCTCAGAAGCTTTTGAAGGAACAAGCCGATGAGCTTGCCTCTAAAGCCCCCAAGGGCCATAAATTCTACGAAGCGGCGCACTTTTTCTCTGGACAAGTTACTGGCGAAGATTACGCCGAGTTCTTGACCACGTACGTATCATTCCCACGCCATCGTGGCGCAGTATCATGATATCGTATCAATTTGCTAACCTCAACCACAGGCTTCTCTACGACGAAATCACTACGGTAGGACGCACCACAGCTAAACTGTGACGACATTACAATTCTTGCTTTTCTCCATTTAAAATGGCTAAGTCAGTCGCGCAATATCTTTTGAATTGTTGTTGTTGATTGGCTTCTGCCTCATGTCCAGCAATATCTGCATGACCTGATACCCTTTCATGTTTACCGTATCCCCCACCGCTTGGCGCGTCGTCTCGTCTGTGGTGTCTTTTAATTGAGATGATGAACTGACTTTGGAAAATTCTTGTTCATCTAGATCGGCTCTCCGCAAACACCGGGGCAGGAAACAGCGCTATCGTGAAACAGAAGTCGAAGTCTTCAGGATCACGCCACCATGTGCGCTCGCGGCAAAAGTGTAAATTGTGCGATTCGTTCCTGGAACTAGGCAGGGATATTTGATGACAGGCAACTCAAGCTTAATCTGATGAAGTCATGCTCTTTGCTTTTCTTTGATTTCGATCTTGTTTGCCCGGTTTTGTTTTATGCCCACGTCTGCAATCGACGACTTGTGTACTTGTGACAATATCGTAGCAGTCAATCACGAAGACATTATGTCATTGTATTTCTATCAATCTTAGATAATGACATTTGATCGCCCGCATGTCGTACCAGCTAAATACTACGTCCTGTCTACTCATTTAGTATATCTACCTACCTACCTACCTGTAGTCTGTCCATGTCCAGTGTCCTCTATTTTCTTCCCGCTCTTCCGCCACATACATTCACTGCCCTTTTTTGTTTTTTTTTTTTTTTTTTT